CCAAAACCCAAACCCAAACCCAAACCCAAACCCAAACCCAAACCCAAAACCCAAACCCAAACCCAAACCCAAACCCAAACCCAAACCCAAACCCAAACCCAAACCCAAACCCAAACCCAAACCCAAACCCAAACCCAAACCCAAACCCAAACCCAAACCCAAACCCAAACCCAAACCCAAACCCAAACCCAAACCCAAACCCAAACCCAAACCCAAACCCAAACCCAAACCCAAACCCAAAACCCAAACCCAAACCCAAACCCAAACCCAAACCCAAACCCAAACCCAAACCCAAACCCAAACCCAAACCCAAACCCAAACCCAAACCCAAACCCAAACCCAAACCCAAACCCAAACCCAAACCCAAACCCAAACCCAAACCCAAACCCAAACCCAAACCCAAACCCAAACCCAAACCCAAACCCAAACCCAAACCCAAACCCAAACCCAAACCCAAACCCAAACCCAAACCCAAACCCAAACCCAAACCCAAACCCAAACCCAAACCCAAACCCAAACCCAAACCCAAACCCAAACCCAAACCCAAACCCAAACCCAAACCCAAACCCAAACCCAAACCCAAACCCAAACCCAAACCCAAACCCAAACCCAAACCCAAACCCAAACCCAAACCCAAACCCAAACCCAAACCCAAACCCAAACCCAAACCCAAACCCAAACCCAAACCCAAACCCAAACCCAAACCCAAACCCAAACCCAAACCCAAACCCAAACCCAAACCCAAACCCAAACCCAAACCCAAACCCAAACCCAAACCCAAACCCAAACCCAAACCCAAACCCAAACCCAAACCCAAACCCAAACCCAAACCCAAACCCAAACCCAAACCCAAACCCAAACCCAAACCCAAACCCAAACCCAAACCCAAACCCAAACCCAAACCCAAACCCAAACCCAAACCCAAACCCAAACCCAAACCCAAACCCAAACCCAAACCCAAACCCAAACCCAAACCCAAACCCAAACCCAAACCCAAACCCAAACCCAAACCCAAACCCAAACCCAAACCCAAACCCAAACCCAAACCCAAACCCAAACCCAAACCCAAACCCAAACCCAAACCCAAACCCAAACCCAAACCCAAACCCAAACCCAAACCCAAACCCAAACCCAAACCCAAACCCAAACCCAAACCCAAACCCAAACCCAAACCCAAACCCAAACCCAAACCCAAACCCAAACCCAAACCCAAACCCAAACCCAAACCCAAACCCAAACCCCAAACCCCAAACCCAAACCCAAACCCAAACCCCAAACCCCAAACCCCAAACCCAAACCCAAACCCAAACCCAAACCCAAACACAGAAAATAGAAAATAGTCTTTTAAAGTATTTTACTTGCTGGACTTTTCCAAAAGACTCATGGCTGGTTTGTCGTGCGGATGATTCTCTAAGAAATTCTCAAAAATTTCTTATGCCCATCCATGTTCTCCTTCTCCCATCAATGCCACACCTTCATTGTAATTCAAATATTGAGCGTGACCTTTTTTACCTCCAATTCATACATCCATTCATCGGCCACTTCATGACTCACATCATGCAACAATTCATGCACATCACATGAATAATAACAAGGGTGATCGACAAGTTTTGGAGAAGTGATGACACAGCCACCACCACTTTGGACATTCGTCGAGTTGGTTCCAGCACCTTGTCAGGTGTTAATTCTAAAGTGTCAATAAATCTCGTAAGGAAGAATCCTTCTGTTGCTTTTTTTGATGACATCGGTCACGAGAATTGGAACATGCATGGATCGTGCCAATTTGGTGAGTTGTTCCAAATTATATCTTGCGCTGCTGAGAACACTGAAATTCTTAGAATCTTTGGTTCCAACATTTCCTGCCAAACTTTGTTGTCCACAAATGACAAAGATCAAAGACATGTTGTCAATGAGAGTTGGATTTTTGGTATAGATCGACAAGTGACGCCATTTCTGTTCCTTAATGGACTTGGTTTTTGCCAAGAATTGTAATGTTGCCTTATTTGCTTTCATTTCATGATTTATCTGATGACTCGAAGCATTAAACGCCAATGTAATGGATCCTCCTTCAAAGGACAAGTCTTGAAATGGTTTGAACTTGTTCAAAAACATCGCTCAACATTTGGACCACAAGTTCAGGTTGGAAAAATGACACAAATTCATTGAAACCTTCCATGTGAACGTTCAATAAGGTCATTCTCTTCATTTCCAAATGAAGCGAAATTTTGTTTCCTGTGCTTCTCTCTTTCGAAAGGTTGGTGTTTGTTCCATTGATGTCAATTGTCGACCACTTCGACTTGGTTGAGAAGATCCCTTATTGGAACTTGCATCTTCTGAGGAATCAACACTCAATCGGTGACTACTACTTTCATGATCAATATGTTTCAACGAATCTCCAACCGAGGATTGTTTGGAACAATCTTGCACATCAATCGTTGCGTGACAGTTGGCAGCTTCTTGTTCTGCACTCTCCGCTCCTCCGTATCGAGTTCCAACAATAAATGTGAAGGAATGAATGCTCGATACATTTTAATCTTTTTCACCATGTCCATAAATTGTTGTTGCAATTTAGGCAGTAAGATGGAATTTTAAAAAATTTGCTTCCCTGCATTTGCATTACAAACACTTGTCAAGTACGTAAAATCAAAAGGTGGTGAAATGACATCTGGCACCGAACGTCGATTACAATAATCTGTTGACAAACCATGTTATAATATTGACACTTACAATATTGAACATCAAATTCAAGGTATAGATAATAGTAGGAACACCTCCTAAATCAATTACTCCAATACATTCTTGAAAAGCATTACAAGTATAAGTGGTGGTGACCACTCCTTCATGAAATTTCTTTTCAGACACAAAGGCACGATAAACCACTGTTTCTGTATAATTGTAATCTCTCAACTTGTAGGAGAATCCCAATTGACCTGTCACCATCTCATTAGAAATGGCAATTTCTTTCAGAGTTTGATTCGCATATTCGACAATAGACAAAAATTGAGAATCCCTTACTTTAGAACTGAGTTCAGTAAGGGTGGGAGAGAAACTACTCAACCAAGTGGCACTTAAAACGAAAGTGCTGCAGAGAATTAAGGAACAGACTAAAAAGATGAGACAGAAACGAATGGAGAGATGGAAAGAGGAAAAGGAGGATGTTTTGTTGATGAAGAGACTCTCCTTGTCATCTTCAGTATCTTCTAGGTCTTGAGAGAGTTGTTGATGGTCATTGTTTGAAGCAGGTTCTCGAATGGGTGTTGGTTGGTAGGAATTTGATCATGTTGTTGTTGTAGTCCAAGACAAACTTGTAGAGGTTGACAACAGATGCGGTTGATAGGAATGAACTTGGAAACCAATAGTTACAGCGAGAGGATGGAGGGGTTTTTTGGAAAAATTAACATCTCCTAGCTTGTTTACTCTCATATATTTTGCGGCAAAACAGAATTAAAAACACAAGACATTACGTTACCACCTGTCAAACTTGTTGCCATTACGTCCCATACAAAGCCATCGAAGAAATAATGCATGCTAAAACTATTTCCTCATCTTGTCCTTGAATGATTCCCAGAGATATTGTAGTGACCTGTCAACAAGCTTCTTTTCACTTTCAAAGTGAGAGACAAATCTCGAGTGAAGAAATACTAAAATATAAAAGGAAATAATAAATAATTCTGATCTCTATGGAGTGTCATGAAAGATTGTTCGAATGGATCTACAAATATATGTGTGCTTCCATAATTTCAAAAAGAAGAACCAACCAAATATCAATACTTCTCAAAAATGTCGCACTCTCCTCATCACATTGTCATTCAAAAGTGAAACTGCCAATTGTTTGAAATTCAAATTATAAGATGATTCAAAAAGTGCACATGTCTACAATAGAATAAATGTGTATTAACAACAACAACCTTAATGTTCACACTCATCCTTACTTTTGTGTGGTTGAACCTCTTCCTCTACCACCACCTGTGGTTGCCATTCCTCTTCCAGCAGACATTTGTGCAATTCCACCTTGTACGGGTGTCATTCCCACAGTTGGCGTCATGCCCAAAGTTGGTCCTGCCACGAGTCCAACTGTAACCAATGGTGTTTGTTGAGGAATTGCAACACCTCCACGGCCTAGAGCCATTCCACGAGCAGCTGCCATTGCAACACCAACGGTAGCACCAGAGACACCTCTTGGAGTTGTTGTGCTGGTTGTTGATGATTGTTGTTGAGCTTGTTTGGTTAATATGGACTTCACTCGGGAATCTTCTGCTGGTGGTGGACCTTCGACAATAATTGAAATAATATTCTCTCCACGAATTAAGAGAAAACCTAGTGTTCTTTTCTGTTCAACTTCTTCACCATTGTTATTCTTGGGAATGATTTTTCGGAATTCTTCACAATCAGCCATGACCATATTCATGAATTTATCAAAGGCCATGAATTTACCGACAATTTGTCTTCCATCTTGAAGCGTTATTCTCATTCGGTAATTGAGAAATTGATATAATTTAGAGGTTTTTGGCATGGACTGGAGATTGAAATTAAATCGTGATGGTGATGACACATGGTGTTTGTTCGTATGTTTTACATAAATATTACAGAATATAAACAATCATCGGATGAATGATTTGAGATTAGTTGTGGTGTGAGCATCATATTGTGATGGAATTCCATCATCATATTAATTTATAGAAACAAATGGCCAACCAGCAACATCATCATTATAATGATGTTTAATCAATAATCATCATAACATTGATGTTTAATCCAAATCAAATCATTCATCACGATATTTATAATCATTTCATACATTCCATCATTAAATCCAAAATTCGATTCGATCGTGTCATTATGATGAACAAAATACATTTCGGAACACATGTTCATAATGAATGTTTTGCAATGAGAAAATTCACCTACCATTTTTGTGTTGTTAATTTTTTTTTAATTGAACGTGTATCTGAACCTAATAGAGCGCTCTTTATTAATACTTCCAACACTTATACAGAATTTGCAAAAAGGAAAATTTGAGGTAAAGAAATATCATTCACGTGACATCCATAAGCTACAATTTTACAAAATTTCAAAAGAAGCAACACAAATGCATCCATTAGTATGTCAATTTCACACAATCCGTAATATACTTACTTGACAAAAATTCAAATCTCACCAACTTTACATTCATATCATATGTCTTGTTAAATTCATAAATCAATGATGTTCCAGATTCTACTTTTGGTACAGTAATTTTCTCCACAACAAGTTGAGAGGTGGCTCCTTCTGTTGCCTTGTCATCCTCTCCAAACAAAAAGCTCACTCGAATATGCTTTACCTGAGAATGAATACTATCTGGTGTATGAGTTAAATTAATTCTGAATCCAGAAACGACATATCCTCCTTCAGGTGATAAAATTAAATCCAAACAGTTATTTTCCTTCACATATTTGGACTCAGCCTTCAATTGAACTCGTTGAATGGTAGGTTTTGATCGAAGAATTTCATCCATTGTGGCTTGTTGTTGAGAATTGAGGAGTGGAATTTCTGATTTGTGTAAATTGGTTTCGTCATTAATGACTTTACCATAAATGAGAATTCTGCCAAGATGCAAGAATCGTGTCTTGCGAAGTGTAGTAGAATTCCTGAGAGTACTGGTTGCACCATTCTGAAGAATTGACTCGTTTTGAGTGTTGGTAATTGCCAGTGAGCTCTCTGATAATTCCATTGTTGTTGCTTTTGACGAGGATATTGTTGATTCACTTGACAATTCCTGTGACGTCTCCAGGGATGGTAATTTCACAGTCATTCTTACCAAACGACACATAGGCTCATATTTTTGCTCGTTCTGTGATGTCAGAGCCGTCATATGGTCAGAAAAATTGAACTCCAACATGTCATTTGGCTTGCTGGCACTCAATTTCCACGATGTAATGCTCTTAAAGCTTGGTAATCTTTCAGCAATGGCAATATCAAAAATAGGAGCATCCTCATTGGAATAACCTAACTGATCAACGAGAAGTACCATTCGAGAGAGTTTGACATATGATTGTAATACAATAATGATAGTGACAGAATCAATGCTGGGAGGGGCATACCAATATTCCAATGGAAGAATATCAGGTGGAAATAAGATAGATTCAATAGGTGGCGACTTGGGAGCAGTTTCAACTGTACTCAAAATTCCACTTCCAGGAAATTCAGAACAAAGAGTTTCTTTGGCGTGTTTTTTCATCATTTTTCGAGATTGTGAAATGGGAGGGTACAATTCTGTGAATAATCGAGAAATATTTTTGGTGGCAAGTTTCGATTTTCCAGTTTCAATTTTGATGTGTTCTTGAATTTCATGAATCATTTCTTTTTGTTTTTGAATGTTAGAGAAACATTCCATGCAAACATTGGAGCTCTTCCAATTGTATTCGATAATGTCTGTTTTGGTTTTGGACATGCAGTTTTTACAGAATGCATGTCTGCAATAGCGGCAAGAGGATTTTCGAAGCTTGATACTTGTTTTACAGAGATAGCAATTTGACCTTTCTAAACTCTTTCGAATCGATTTTTCCACTTTCGAGTCTCTGGAATAAATATATTGATTGGGATCGAATTTGTCAATTTTGTATCCGTGTTGAATGAGAAGATTGTCTCTTTCACTTGCTGTGACATAGAGTTTCAAGCGAGCTAATTCCAATTCGAGAGCGTCAGTAAAGGTCATTTCTGAGGTTGGCGTTGGTACTTTGGTTTGAATAAATTTCAAATACTTTTCTAAAGATCTTGTCTTATCATTACGAAGCTCTCTCAATGATTCGTCTTGATTATTGATCATTTCAATGAGCTTGTCTCGTAATCGATCATGATCAGCAGCAGTGGTTTTTGAAGTTTGAAGGAATGTTTCCAAATTATCAGCATTTGTTGGTACATTCTTTTGCTCAAAATAATCATCGAAAATTGTATCAAAAGTTCGTGACAACTCGTTATCGTTTCCTAAAATTTTAACTTCTGAAGAAGTGTCATCGAGAGCCATAAGATTTGAATTGCTATTATTCATGACTGAGGAATTGGTAGTTTCATCAAAGTTGTGTTGACTTGCGGAATGTATTTCAGAGAGTGAATTCTCGTCATGAGTAAACTCCACGGCAGTTCCATCTTTAACCATGTCACTGAAACTCACTTCATTTCTCTCAGTTTCTTCCTCTTTCTCTACTTGCTTTTCCAACTCTTTAATTTCCTCTGCCTTTCGTTTTGATACTTCTTGTTGTTGCTTCTCCAAGTTAGAAAGCACTTGCTCAACTTCATTCTGTGACGAAGCCCTCAATAATTCTAAATAAAATTCTTTAGGTGATTGTGCAGGATTTAGCAGCGTGTCAATGGTTCCGAAAAGTTGGATTTGTCCTATTGTCATGCAACTACATGGAGGAATACCGTAGAAAATAATTCTCACCACTCTCATTTTCGAGCTGGCATCACTGCCTTCAAAATCATAAAGTGAAGAATTTTCGGGAATTCCTGATATTTGAGGTGGTAATGTATACAATAATTTAGTGCCGTCCTCACAACGAGGAATATTCAATTCTTGAAAACCCATTAAACAGTCATCAATGTGAGTACCAACAAAAACATCCATCTTGGATGGAGAGGTGGCATCATTGAGGCCATGTTTGATGGTGAGAGCTAGCTCCGTAACTCGGCAATAGAAAGGTAAATAAATTTGAACTTCTATAAAATCAAAATCTCTTGGACATATCCATTGATGAGAGAATCCACTTCGAATGAGTGCTCTTTCTTCAGTTATATTGTATTCAATTTCTTTTGGAACAGACTTGAAAATAAAGGTCGGGTAATGACTGATATAACGAATTTCTCCATATTTGGTATTCACAATATGAGAGGGAAAATATTTGGCCAAGTTCAATCCTAGAAACATTTCGTATTGTTGTTGTCGAATTTTGTCTTTGAGCACATTTTGAATTCTTCTCTCAACAATGAGTTTAGTATTGTTTGGTGCTGCTCCTAAATGTTGAGCGAATTCACGCATTGGTGACGTGTGCATGGCAACAGTATTTGTGTACAAAGTGGCACAAACATCTCCAACATTGACATAAATTTCAGCAAGCTTCAATAAGAGAACGGGATCAAACTGATCGCGAACTTGTTGAAGAGTATAATTCAACGATTTCCAACTCTCTGTAAAATCCCCTGAAGGATCGCATAAAGAAACTCCTAATTGTCGACATTGTTCTGCAATAACTTGAATGGAATTAAAGAAACAAATTAAATTAGTACGATCAAGAGAGTCCGCACAATTCACCCTAAAAATTCCATTTTGCTTCTTCCACAACTTCATATCTACAACGGTTCCATGTGAAGAGACGCGCATAATGCCAGTGGTGACTCCTGCTGCTCGCAACTTGGGTGAAATAAGTTCCCACAATCGCTTAACGCCCTTGTCAACGCCTTCTTGTTTGTGAATGGTGTGCCAATCGAATTCAATCATTTCAAGTTGATCGATGGCCATCAGTTTTTTCACAACTTTTAGAGATTCTCTGAAATGGTACGTTAAATTTCCTTCTTCAGAGTGGACCTCTTTGGCTCTGAGTAAATTGATAATGGTAATTGGAAGATTGTGATATCGTTCAACAATTCGTTTGTAGTAGACATCAATGTTTTCATAAGGTCGATCAGATATAACTATATTTGCATCTTGTACTGCATTGTTAATTTCACTTCGCCTGTTATTATGAGTAAAGTGCATAGACACATTAAGTGGATGAGACAAGTGTAGGTACGGTAGTACCACGCATATGATATTTAAATTGTTTACAATGAAACCATTACATTATCATAATTTGTTATTGCAGAGGAGTGAAATAATCATATGATGAATCCCAACTTTTCACAAAAAACCTACCAATGAATGGGAACAGTTCCTCTCCTCCAAACAAACGTGCTGAACATGATTGTTCCATTATACACTCTCCACATAATTTGTTCCGATTCATATTCATTTCCAGGGCTTGATTTATCATTTAAACCTCTTGCATTGTATCTTGTTCCCGGATTGAGACAGCTCTTTCTACAAATAATGGCCAAATTAATACTTCCAAAATTGTCACCTCCATTATTTCTATTGCTGCTGCTCGTGTTTTGTGAAGTTGTTGTCATGCTGAATTCATCTGAACCTTGCTGTCCTTGAAACAAATTTTGCCCTCTTGTCAAAATGGCTTCATCTGTTTCTTTGCATTGAATAGGACCAGAAGATCTTGCAACTCCTTGCAACAAGACACAACACCAACTTCTCATTCGAATTTTTCTAAAACTCTCAGTGAGGTGAGTATTCCAACAAAATTCTTCAGTGTAATCTTGAGGTGAATGAGTCGAAGGAAAAGGTCTTGTCAAGTCATATGTCTCACAATAGAAATGAAGTCCCTTGAGTTGAAATTCGGCCATGAGTTCACAATTTTTCACTTCGGCACGAGTGATTTTGTGTGGATATTGCAACGGTATCGTGATGGTTTCAGTTTCTCGAACTGTGTAAACATGATGCGAGGGCGGTAGTAACAAATCGAGGCTCACTTTGGTACAAATGAATAAATATCCACACGTTCCGATGACTGTGTATCCAATAATTGCGTGACATTTTCTGTTGTTGGGTGTGGTGTGAAAGGAATATTGTTGTTATCACATGAAACCAATTCAACACAGAGATGAAAATTATTGTTGTAATTGTTGTTGACGACATGAAGTATGTTCGAGTTCACAAATATGTTATAATAATTTTTAAATTGTTGAATATCATCATCAGTTATTATTATTAAAATCATAATAATAATTATAATTTTAACATCATCAAATCATTTGGAATTTCATGAATCATTCAACAAATGTTTTTACCATTAAATTTCATTCTCCCACTACTTACGTTACACTTTTAATATTCTTTTTATCCTTCGCTAGAAATTTCAAAGCATCTTGCGGAGTGCTAAAGAGATCAACATTCGGTTGTCCCGTATATAACAATTGACCTGTATATCTTTCAATCGTAATAATCTGAGTGTCCCTCCGTCTCGATAGTGAACTAATGATATGGAAAGAACCACTCTCCGTCTCGACAATTAAGTGTTGAGTTTCTCTCATCAATATAGGTTGTTAGGCAAAAGATGAGAATTTTTTCTGTTTGAGATGGTGTGTGATGATTAGAATTTGAAAATAGTTGGTTTGTTTAACAACTTGAGGCTAGTTCAAAAGAACAACAATCGGAGGTGGATATTTGTTTGCTTTCTTGATGAACACGAATAAAGGAAACGAAAAACTTCATCTTTTGTGGAGTATCAAAAAGTCCATGATGAGAAAAGGAAGCTTGGACATCAATTTTGGAAAAAATGCTCAACAAATCAGCACACGTGTTGGCTTCATCATCCTTCTGTAACAAGAGATTATTATTGGCTTCAGCAGCTGGTAATGCTTTTGGTGCGAGTACACGGGTAGTAAATGTACCAGTTTTACAACATCATAATTCCATCTCAATTTCTGCAGCAGCTCAAACTTCTTTCATCGGAACCACGAGAGCCTTCTCGACCCATGCCACAGTGGGCTCAGCTCATCAACAAGAACACATTACCTCATCATCACCAGTATCCTTCGGAGAATATCATCAAAGAACTCAATATTGTGGAGAAGTTAATCAGGAATCTCTAATTGGAAAGTCAATCAAAATCAATGGATGGGTGGAGAATATTCGAGTGATTAATCAACATGAGTGTGTCTTCTTGACAATTCGTGATGTTAGTGGAGTCGTACAAGTCATTCTGAAAAACAAAGAATGTATGTTGTGTTAGCAAATATCAATCGTGTTGGTGTTGTTTCAAACATTATGATTATCATTTTGATTTTATTGCTCACATACACCAATGTTAACATGACATTTTATTATCACTATAACGGATACAACAATAATAATTATTGAAAAAACAACTGATTATGAATAATATTCATTTTCTGATGAATTTAATGTGAATGGTATTTCTATACTTTTTTATTGATTTACTACTCAACCTTAGTGATTGACTATTTGAAAGAAAATGAAGTGAAACCTGAAAGTGTCGTTTTTGTGAAGGGACAAGTCAACAAGCGTCCTCAAGATATGATCAATGAAAAGATGACCACTGGAGCTTTTGAAATTGAGGCCACAGAATTGGTGCTCCTCAATAGAGCCAAGACCTTGCCGCTGCAATTAGTGAATGCCGAAGAAGAAATTCGTCTCAAGTACAGATATCTTGATTTAAGAAGAAGACAATTGGTCGAAAATTTGTCCATCCGTTCAAAAGCTTTGGCCATCACACGAAAATATTTTGGAGAAATGAACAGATTCCTTGAAATCGAGACACCCACTCTTTTCAAGTCCACTCCTGAGGGAGCTCGTGAGTTTCTTGTGCCTACACGCCAACGTGGAAAATTCTATGCTCTCACTCAGAGTCCACAGCAATACAAACAATTGCTGATGGTTGGTGGTATGGACAGATATTTCCAAATTGCAAGATGTTATCGTGACGAGTCGGGAAGAATGGACAGACAACCTGAGTTTACTCAAATCGATCTTGAGCTCTCCTTCCTCACACAAAAGGATATTTATGTGCTGATTGAGAACTTTTTGAAAATGTTGTGGAAAGAAATTTTGGGAATTGATATCAAGACTCCATTCCAACAAATGAAATACAGAGATGCCATGGATGTAAGTAGTAGTATATACGTCATAATATATTTTAGAACGATGTAAATCTGACTGACTTTATAATTAACAACTGACATTAATGGTGCATGTGAAAATATGATTTATGTCAATTTTTTTTGTTTGATACAATCATTAATGGCAAATCACTCACACAGCTTTATGGCAGTGACAAGCCAGATTTGAGATACGAAGATTTGAAATTTAGTAATGTCACTGAAGCATTCAAAAATGAAAAGTGTCATATTGATGTTATTAATCAAACTCTTGCAAGTGATGGTTTTGTATATGCACTCAAGGCAAAACAGATTGGAGGCTTAATGACAAGAAAGCAATCCGATCAAATTGTAGAAAAAGCAAAGAGTGTCGAAAAAACACGTCTCATCTTGGCCACCAAGATTGGCAGCGAGCCAACATTCCTTAATAACAAGCTCACAGAAAAGCAGCAACAATATCTTCGAGAAAAGCTCCAACTTGCCGAAGGAGACATGCTCATTTTGTCTGTTGACCCTGATTGGGAAACCACAGTCAAGGGATTGGGACGAGTGAGAGAACAATGTGCCAAATACATGACTGAACAAGGTATTTACCAATTCAATACCGTTGAAGAGAAGTATAGATTTTTGTGGGTCATTGATTTCCCACTCTTTGAAAAGGCCAAAGATCAATTCGGTCAGGCTCATTTGCACACCTCACGAGGACTCTCGAGTATGCATCATCCATTCACTGCTCCACATCCAGATGATATCAATTACTTGTATAGCAATGACGTGAAAGATATTTTGAAGGTTCGTGGACAACATTATGACTGCGTGTTGAATGGTGTCGAATTAGGTGGAGGATCCATTCGTATTCACAACGCCGACATGCAAAAATATGTTTTAGAAAAGGTTTTGGAATTGGGTGAGGAGAGAACAATGGTGAGATTTGGACATCTTATTGAAGCATTGAGTTATGGAGCTCCTCCACATGGCGGTTTGGCACTTGGTTTCGATCGTTTGGTTGCTCTCATTTGCGGCGAGGAGAGAGCCAAAACATTGCGAGATGTGATTGCATTCCCTAAGAGTGCTTCTGGAAATGAAATTATGACACAAGCACCAGGACAGGTGGAGCCTGAACAATTGCAAGAATTATTCATTAATGTTGTTGAAGAACGTTAATCTTCCAAGTAAAAACCATAAATGTTGAATCATATTTTTTTGAATTAATAAATTAATAAAGAAACAATTGTAAAAATTATTTAATATGCAGATTCCAATTTTTAAATTGTCATGTAAGAATGAATATTCGCACACGTACGGATTGTTGTCGCAACAAGATCCGTTAGAGGGATATTATATCATTATTAACTTCCGATTCATGTAAAAATTCGTTTTTGTCAAATGAAATTATGAAACATATCAAAGTGATGCCAAATCTTATTATTTCGCACTATGATCAATTTCCTCCGCAGACTCGGAATAATTTCTCTTCAATACAAATTGTTTTTTAAAGATATCAGCCTGTAGAGTTTGTAGAAATCTCAATTCCCGTCTTGCTCTTTCCAACAACGGACCAGTTTCCACAACATTTATATTCTTTCTAAATTCTTTTTTTGTTTTTTCCAATATGAAATCACCCAGATATGCACCATCATCAGAGTCCTCCCATCGAGGCCATTGATAACCCACTCGGAGCAATTTTCGGTAGAGAATGAGAATTTGAGAACGATTGGCTGATCGGAGAGAAGTGTTCATTTTTTTCTTTTCAATTTTTTCATCATTGTGTGAATCAAGAACGCCATGAAATGTCAGTTTGAAGTTTTTAAAGTATCGAATCCCTCAGAAGCGCTTTCGTCTTGTTCATTCTCCTCATCAAGGACGTCTTCTTCATCGTCCTCCTCTTCAAATTTTTCTTTCCAAACTCTCATTTGTCAATAATCCTCACAATATTCCAACCAACGATCAGTACGTCCAATCTTTCCTCAAACAGCAAGTGCTTGGTGCTTTAACGAAATTATTTCAAAAAAGGAATTGTAATTCTATTTAAACTGTAGATAATAATCATCATCATCGGGGATGTCAAGTTGGTAACGAACAATATTTTGAAACTTCCTTTTTAAAAGACGCCATCATCCACAATCTTCCATTATTGGTATTTCATATCTCTTTGTACTAGTTCTGTTTTAAATCAATTCACAATTTATTCTAACCTTGTCAATTTTCATTCCATTTTCACAACAAATTCCAAAATTCGAATTCGATAAAATTTCTCTCAAAAGATATGCCATCGAACCATTTCCTTCCAAAACATCACAAAAAAAACAAAGACTCCATTCTTCGAAACATTCTCGAATGAAACTTTTACTCTCCACTCTACTTGTCGTCTTATCATTGACAATTTTATTGTTGGCGACAACCCAAACTTCTTCTTCAGCGGTTCATGCGGAAGGAATTTCCCTTTCGACCTACATTCCAAAGAAGCACAAGAAACATGTCGATCGTTATGGCAAACACACAAAGGTAAGAAAGCATCGACATTCGTCGCATCGTCGAAAACATTCTGCATCTCGTCGACATGCTAAGAAAGGAAATGTGGAACATTATGTCGATGTGGATGGAAAACATTTGCGTTCGTATACACCATTTTCGCATAAACGTCGACACGATCAACTAGCAAAGAAAAGACGACATCATCACAAGAAGAGAAAACATCATGCCAAACGTCATCATAAGAAACACTTTGGAAAGAAGAGAAAACATTCATCACACAAAAGAACAAGACACCACTCTCATGGAAAGAAGAGAAAGCACTCACATAAGAAAACAAGAAATCACAAGAGATGTCATCACCACAAAAAGAACAAACTCGATACTTACAAAAAGAAGAAAAGACATCATCACAAAAGAAGACACAGAAAGAATAGCCACAAGAAGCATCACCATAAAAAATCAAGACATCACAAGAAGAGACATCATCACAAGGGACTTCATCATAAGAAGAACAAAATGGAGACTTATCACGAGTAATGATTGATCCAAAAGCATAATTTTGAGAATTCTTTAAGCATTTACGTTTTGACAATTTTCAAGCAATATTTTGACATTTCCATAAATCCACAACTTGGAACAAGAGTGAGAGTTTTTTCCAAAAGAAACTTTTTGAATTCACCACCACTCCCCTTCATTGCAATGATAATTTTGATATCAACCTACAATTTTCCCAAATAAATTTATCGAGTACTTTCTTAGTGTTTCAACAAAATTCTAATCCTGTTTCAATTTACTTCCCTGCACCAAACTATTGTTCAGATACAACACAATGACCATTCCAAATAAAGAAAATGTCACTAATCGTGAATATTGAATAGGGGAGAAGAGACGTTGGGATTGATCAATGATTTTGTGAATTCGAATCAGAACTCGATTAAATGTGTTCTCAGCGCTTGTTTTTCCTACAACAAGTGAAATGGCCTTTTTCAACATGACCGTTTCTGTGGTACCATGTCCCTCTGTATACCATTGTTGAATCACAGAAGGATCCAATGAAGAGAGAGCCAGCTCAGGATTGTAGTCATCTTCGTTTTCTGTTTCAACCCAATTATCCCAATCTTTCTTGAATGGATTTGATGGATCTTTTGATAATTTAGTCCAAAAGTATGATTTTCGTTTGAGAAGAGTGATTTTGATCCAACGAATTCCAGGTTCAAAGGTCAACTTTCCAATATCATCAAATAATTTAAGATCAAAGGAATACCACCGACCGGAGGATTTGCCTCTAAAACTGATGGCATCTCGATCGGTCATGTGAATACTCAATTCAGTCGCATTGGATAATTCTACTGTTAATAAAACTTTGTCACGTCTTTGTGCCCATTTTACAATTGGAATCAGATACTCTGGAATTCCAACTCGTTCATACATGTAAATTTTATGTTCTATAACTACGAGTTCACTTGGATTTGAGAGAATTTTTCGATAATTTAAATTCTTAAATCCACTTTGTCTGCCAATGAGTCTAAAATTTGCATTATTCAATATTTGTTCTCCTGTTAAAAGGTGTGTAAACATTTCTTGATGAATGGTATTGAGTGTTGTATTGTCGAGAATTTCAAGTTTAGAATACGAGTACTGATCACGATATAGGTATTGAGAAACACCATTCATTGTCACATGCGCATCCATATGAATAAGAACAGGCTCCGTACTATTTCTACTATTGTCAAGATAATCATGTAATTTCATTAAGCCTCCAGCTCCGTAATAATTGAGCGAACTCACATGCAAGAAAAGTGAGCTCGAAAAAAGAGAACCAGTCAACAAGAGCGTCGCAAAAGCAATTTTCACAATATTTCCACTGTGAGAATGTAAATGATGTTGAGAGAAATTTCATCAGAAGGTCATTATGGAATTCCATAATATTGAAATATAATATTGTTTGTTTTTTCAATATTATATAATATGAAAAAACAGGCCAAGTAGTTAAGCGTGTGAGAAATAATAATAATTATACGAAAAAATCTTCAACCAACCTTAACAACGAACTCAAGCCAATAGCAGCTACCAAATTGAACAATGGCAAGGCATAGAAAATAAATCGTAGCTCCTTATGAGGAAGGAACGAGTAAAGAATAACAAATAATAATGCACCACAAAACATGGTCCCAATAAGTACCAATTTCGAAATTTTTGTCGTGTCATTCGATTCGGATCGTGATCGTTTCAATCCTCCCAATGAAAATGGAATAAATGTGAGAGCACACAGCAAGGACCGAGGTAGAGCTGAAGTGAAATACCAATGGAACGGTAATGCTCCCCAATGAATACTCTTATTTTCTACGGTGTTATAGAGGAACACCTCCCCTTCGGGCCAAATAAATCTCCTCCAAAAATATGAATCGACCAATATCGAATAGATGACGCCCGACACAATAGACGTAACTCCAACCCATATACCGGAGAATAAATGAATTTGTTGAGTGGAAAGACATAGAAATGCTAGAGGCACAATCAATACAAATACATCACTCCTAAAAACAACTGCGGTAAAACCAAGCAAAAAGAACATGGATTTTACATGATTCCTTGTCCAAAAACCAAATGCAATATATACTAATATCAGAGCAAATGTATTTGGTAATGGTCGTGACATGTAAAACAGCAAATGAAATTGAACCAAGTTAATAATATTAAAGCAAAGAGCAATGGATGTTCCAAATCTGATTCGAATTCCATTTTTGAAAAATTGATATCCGGTAAATGATAAGCATCCCAACACAAATCGCATCAATAACAAATCCGATGGAGCATCTGTGGATATAAATGAAAACATTTGAAATATCGGAAAGAGTATTGGACGAACCATCTGGACCAAAGTTGATACAATACTCGCTCCAATAAAAGTACGTGGTACTACTCCCGGAAAAAACATGTGATCAAAATCGCTTGTACTCGTTTTGCTCAAAATATCAAATGTAGCTTGAGTATTGAAACTCTCTTCCACTTTGGTAAATGGACAAATAATAAAATGTAACATCATGGAAGCAAATAATCCTAAATCACTCAACAATAGCAGCGGAATTTGATGATGACGGCTACTTGTTGGTCGCTTGTTGTTTGTTTTTAAATTTTGGAGTAATTTTCTCTCATCGGAATCTTCACCACCATTGCTTGCGGTGGCTCTTTGCGATGAGACTGATGATGCTCCAGTAGTGGAATCATCATCATGGAGACTCTTTGGTTTGCTCATTTTTTTTTCGGAATAACCCAAATACCCATTTTAATCCTCAGGGAAGTCAAACAAAATCATTTCGAAATTTCCAAACACAACAATGCAACGTTCAAATTCCACCTCTCTATTTCTCTCTCATGACAACAAGAACGAACGAACTTTCACAGCGATGGTTTTGATCAAAGAAAATTTGTTGTGAATTCATTTCCATAAAAATTCACATCAAAAAAAATGAATTTCTTCGAGTCTTGTCATAATGTTCCATTTTTCAATTTTTGGAACCCCGATGAAGATGGAAACAAGTGGCTTGTTGTAATGCGTTGTGGAAGTATTTTTGTGATTCTATTTTGATGAATGGTGTGTTTGAAAAAATTTCACCAGAATATGTACGACAGGATTGGAAATACACTTTAGCGAAAATGGCAACTCTATTTTAAATTATGGATCGATACAAACCCCAAATCCATGGAATGATAAGCTAGTTCTTGCTTCATTTCAACAGATGGATGACCAAAATAACGTTTGGGAAGTGAAAAAAACAGCAACGGTATCTGTTGGAGCATTTTGTGTCGCCCAAATGTTTCCTGATTCGAGTTTTAAGAAAATGAATGAACTTGTTTCCATTTCGACAAACAATCATGACTGTCGAATATCAAACCCTATCTCCTAACATTGAAGAAGATACAAATCATGTCAAACCGTTTTGTTTTTTTGGTACATGGATGACTATTTTACATGATACATTACAAGTGGAGAATGATCAAGAGAATCATGGTGTGAAACAAGATGAAAATATTAATGTCTACAACCCATCGTTTTGTTGGTATGATTCTTGGGATGATAGATACGATCATTTCCTGTGGTTTCCAATCTTAATGCTGGTGGATGTGTGAGGACTTTCAAGTATAAGGCCACTTTTTTGGAGAATAATGTACTGAGAGTTGAGAAGCATTACGAGTTGGAGTACTGATCAAAAATATGAGCGAATACGATTCATCAGACTTCATAATGAATGAAGGCATCCTAATGATTCACTGCGGTATTTCCTGTAAATGATCAATTCTGAAATTTCATGAATATCCATTATTTCATATTCATTAACAACACTCAAATCAGTCACAACCAATACACAGAAAGAAGGTCGGTAACAACAACAGTGGTTGTCAACAATAAAACACAAGGATTCTCTTACCGATCATTCAATAAGTTACACGAGGGCCCCATCAAACCTGCAGCCGCAGCGAACAGCCATTCAGCCAGGATAGTCCTCGCTGCCAAAGTTGTTGACATTTTAATAACAATTGATCACCTAATAATTAGCTGTGCTTGAATGGTAGATGTTTAAATTTTACTCCTCATAAGATTTTTCCCTAAGTTTGAGAATGTTGGCAATGAATGGATGGAAAAAGGCATCAAAACAATCTCCAGAAACCAAAATTAATTTAGGACATGGTGTCTCTTTTGAAGTTGGAATTATTCCTGTTCTGACTCTTTTGGCTGTGTTATCAGAGACTTTTTTTCTCGAAAAAATTACTGGATAAATATCATAACCTTCAATATCCAATAGTGCTTTGTTATAATAATCACATAATTGTTTGGGTTCGAGTGTCCTTATTTGTGAATCATCATTCATAAACTTATTTTGAACTACAAATAACACTTTCCTCCCACCAGAAACAAATACAGGCAAAAATCCATCAATACCTTGTTGATTCGGTTTTGCCTTTGTGATTACATTATGCATGTTTTCGTTCTGAACAAGTGATTTAGAAATTGTTTCTACAACTTCAACATAACGGTAGTAGGCTTTTGTGCCAATATTGGTGGTCAAAGTCATATGAGCAAGCTTATCTGTCATATGTGCTCCTTGAAAAAGTTCACCGACAGTAAAAGTATTTACAGGCTCAATTGGTTTCAGTTTGAGAATATAGTTCAGTTTGCAGGTAATTGTTTTCAAACATAGCTCTTCGAATTTTTCCCAATCCGGTTTTGTTGAAGTATAAACAAAGTCGTTGAATAAGCTTTTTGGAATTTTCTCATTTGATTCTGAAAGTTTATCAATAGCAAGAAGTGGTATTCCAATATGGTCATTAGTTTTGTAAATTCTGCCTTGGCCAGATAATTCTTCAACTCTCTTTTCATATTTGAGAGCTTTGTGAGTGCTATATGGAAATCCTGAAAGAGTAAGTATGGATAGATATTGATAAACATCTACTTCATCGCTTGGTTGATATATCTTATACACCTCTTTCACAACATTACCGTAAATATTGCTTATTTTTGTTTCTAGTGGCATAGTTGTATTGTTTTTAATTTCTTTGGCAAATCTAACTGCCCATTCTAAATGTCTAGGGACAACACCAATGATACTCCAAAAAATCTGATACTTTGGTGTATAAAATTCTATTAAATCTTGCTCTTTCATAATAATTTCGACATCCTCTTGTCGCAATGATGGTAGTGGGACAGTTGTTATTTGGTAGTCAGTTGGTCCAAATTTGGCATCGGATTCCATTAACGTTCCTGAGAATGATGGAAATAAAATCAATCCCTGTTTTTTCTGAAAGTGTCTCATATACCATCCAATTTTATGTTGTAATTGTGTATTCAGATTTTGATTCAGTCTGGTTACTCTTTGATATTCATCAAATGCGAGAATAAGAGGTATTGGCATCGATTGCTCGACTTTCAATTGTTCGTGCAATTTTGAGCTTATAATTCGGAGAAGTTCATATAAAAAATAATCATTAGTTATTTTTGGTATTCGTTTTGCAATTTCTTCTCCTTGTTCAAAAGCAGCGTAAATGATTCTCGATGAGATTAAAGAAATAATACTACTGTCTCTTTCAACATCATTTTGCAAAACAAATTCATTTGTAAAGTTGAAGTAAATGATTGAAGAATTCTTAAAAATATATTGTGGTTCGGCCTTCGAAAGAATTTTGACAACCTCAGACATAATACGAGTCTTCCCACTCCCACTTCCACCTTTGGCAATCAAAATAGTTAAGTCTTGTTTGTTAATTTTTTCTTGTTGACTTGCTTTGTATTGTCTTGCACTTAAATCTAAAATTGCTTGTTCTCTATTCAGCATGCCATTGAAAATGAGACGATCTAGATAGCCATGTGATAAATCTCTCAATTTTAGCTCACTGATCTCTTGCAATAAATACAATTCTTCATCAGAAAAATTTGGAATTATCTCTATATATTTGTCTGGAATGTATTTCGGTTTTGAGTCTACCAATTTCCGTTCATCCCAATAAAATGTAAAACAGTTGCACAAATTTCACGTGTGGGATTTTCATGAGCAAGATTAGTGTACAGTTATCCAAATTACTTACGTTTAGAAACGATTTTCAATAATGGTAATTGTATCTTATTTTTCTCTATCAATTTGTCTTTTATCCAATTCACTACAGTTGTGCAAGTGGATAAATCAATCTGGTTTTCAAAAATTTGTTTCACGATATCATTTGCAGAGAGTTCATTCCCATTTTGTTGAGCTTTTTCGAGTTCGTACACAATCTTTGAGAGAGTTGTTCCATCAAATTTTGCATCATAGAAAGGCTGAGCTTGCTCTATGGTTAATCCAGCCCCACCGTTTAGTTTTGATTGGCACAATGCATCCTTTGTTTGATCCTTGTCCCACAAACGAAAAAGTTTGGGCATTAATGTTTCATTGACCCAATTAACAACAGTCTTGCAAGTGCTTGAAGGAACTTGAGTATAGTCTTTGCTTTGAGACAAGGAGGCAATAGCAGCTAGCCTTCCGACCTCTTTGATATCCTTTACAATGATATAATCAGACGATGCAGCACCACAACCAACCGCTAATAACAACTCTCCCATTCAAGAAATGTCCTCAATTTCATTTGGGTTGAGATCATGAGAAGCAGTTGGTTGTTGTACATGGTTGTGCTCAGCACCACTTCCGTTTCCTCCCGATACGGAATAAGAAAGACTTTTTGTTGTTACTTCATCTTTTGCCAACAAGGAAGATAATGTATGGAAAGAGGGTACGAAAGTGTTCCTTGTATGATGATGATTGGACAAAGATTTCCGAAGCGAGAGGTTAGAGTCTGAACCAAGTGTATCAACACCAAAAACTACACCTCTGAAAAATCGAGAGAAAGAGAGTGTGGATGAGGAAAGTGGATCACGAAATAAATGGCGAGCAACGTTTTTCATCAGAACTTCAAAATATTTTTTTTTGAAAATTCCAACTGAATCAATACAAGGCGTTCAGCGATAAAATGACAGTGCGGAGATACCCCTCTCGACGGAAAAAGTTTTCAAAAGTATCGTAAAAAATAAAAGTCGGAACAGCATAAAAGCCGGATCAAACATACAAAACACAACTTTATTGATTCTCAGAACTGATCTTGATGTTTAATCTTTCTTATTTCTTCTAATTCTTATTAAAGAACACCAATACACACGGTGGCTGACACAAGTTGTGGTGTTTCCGATCATTTGCCGTTAAATCAAAACAAAAAAAATTATCGGCCATGAATAATTTATTATTTTCATCCCTACAAGATGAATCTTCCGTTTTGGTCATGTTCTTCTTTTAGAAGACTCACTCTTTGTGAAGAATTGCTGAAATCATCAACCTTACAATTTGAACGTTTCCTCTCTATTTCTTCATTGTTGAAAAAACAGCTTCCGATATTCTCTTATTCTCATCATCATTATCATCATTAGCAACAAATTAAGAAACAACAACAATCAGAAATAACATACCAATCCATATGGTCGACCTCACACAATCCGAACGAGTCAAAGTCTCTCTCTTCTTACCCAATCAACTCTCTCGTGAGTCTAGAACCAAAATTTCTCACTTCCTCCGAGATTGCTCTCCTCACTTGATACAAATCCCAGAAAACGAAGGAGAATTCAATTGTTACAGTGATCAAGTCTTGTTGTCTTCCGAGTTGCCTGATGTGTTCAGCGTGGATGCTGCCTTCCTGCCACTTCTCGTCAAGAATGGTCTTATTGCTCCTCTCTCGGATGTGATTAAGGAGGATTTGTCTCAATTCATTCCCAATTATCAACCTTTTCAGTTTGCATTGGAGAGTTGTCGTGTTCAATCTGAACTGTATGGAATCCCAAATTTAATTCAAACCAATGTGGTCTTGCAGAAAGAATCACCAAGTGAATTCTCATCGGAATTGGATTTGGCTCAACACAAGGGATATGATTCGATTGTGTATCCAGATGTGGCTTCCTCCGATGCCTTACATATTGTGAAAAATTATGCCTTACTACAAGGAAGTATTACTTCTACGACCACGACCACCACGACTACTGGAGGTGGAGGTAGTGGCGAGAAAGGTGACGTTGTTGTTCCAACATGTACCATTTCATTGAATGCCTTTCCTGAAAAGCCTGAACATGCAGATGAACATTTTGTGACCTCGTATCGAACCATATTGAATGCCACTCAAATCGAAGCTGCCGAAGATTTGGTTGAAAGTTGTCGTTATGGAAAATGTATTCCATGTGGAGCCTACATTGGAAGGCTCGAACTCATGTGTGGTCTCAAGTCCAAAATCGAAGATGAAAAATGGAATTTGACACTCTTACCATTTTTAGGAAAAGGTTCTACCAAAATTGCTCCAACCGTATCGTGCATTGTGTTGAATTCTCAATTACAAGGGCAACGAAGACAGGAGGCTCTCAAGTATATTCAACGATTTTTCTCAGACACTCATGTCGACGAGGTGCTTCAACGTGGAATGGTCATTCCGTGCGATCGAAATCGTTTGAATCAATGGGCCTCAAATTCGAACATTTATCGAGACGTTTTATTCTGCCTGGAAAAGCATGAACGCGAAAATAATCTTTCAGTATTGCGTTTTGATCCAGAACTGACCAATGTCGAAATTCAACGAATTGCCAAGATTTTACGTCATCGTTTACATCATTTGGCAATTGCTACCTTGAGATGTCTCACTGCAGACATGGTTGAGAATGCGAAAAGTGGACATCCAGGTTGTCCCATTGGTTTATCACCTGTTGCCTATGTCTTGTGGAAATATTTCTATAGAAGTACTTGTAAAAATCCAGCATGGTTTAATCGTGATCGATTCATTCTCTCGAATGGACATGGATGTGCCCTACAGTATGCTTTATTACATTTGACAGGTTATGAATCCATGCCCATGGAAGAATTGAAACGTCTTCGAAAAATCGATTCCAAAACACCTGGTCACCCAGAGTGGCGCCACACAGAAGGAATCGAAGCTACCACTGGACCTCTTGGTCAAGGAGTTTGCAATTCGGTGGGAATGGCACTCGCAGAAGCACATTTGGCCGCTCGATTCAATAAGGAAGATTTGAAACTCTTCAATCACTATGTCTTTACGTTCTGCAGTGATGGAGACATGATGGAGGGAATGTGTAATGAAGGATTGTCTTTTGCAGGACATCAGAAATTGAACAAACTGATCATGTTTTATGACGACAACAAGATTACCATTGATGGAAGTACCACACTTGCTTTCACACAAGACACAGCCACAGTGGCAAGAGGATTTGGATGGCACGTGATTGAGGTGGTCGATGCAGATTCAAATTTATTGGCGATCAAAAATGCAATTAAGGCAGCTCAACTCGTCACTCAAAAGCCATCCTTAATTATTTGTAAAACATCGATTGGATACGCCACCAAGCATGAAGGATCTGCCAAAGCACACGGATCAGCTCTCGGAGCAGATTCTGTAAATTACTTGAAACAGCTCTGTGGTTTTGACACACAACAAACATTTTTCATTCCCACTCAAGTTCGAGAGGATTTCAAAAAAATTGCCGATCGAAATGCACAATTATATGAACAGTGGAACGAGGTTGCTCACAACTATTCACAAAAGTATCCATCCGAATGGGAAACCATCATGAGAATGAGTCGACAAGAATTAGATGGTGATATCGAACCATTACTTCCCAATTTCGAAAAAGAAGAACAAGAAGGAAAAGAACTCGCCACTCGAATGACGTCACACATTGTGCTAAATTCCATTATTCGTGTGATGCCTGGTCTTGTGGGAGGTTCTGCCGATTTGACACCTTCAAATTTGACAGATATTGAAGGAGGATTAGATTTCCAACCACAACAACGTCACGGAAGATATATTCGATTTGGAGTGAGAGAACATGGAATGGTTGCCATATCGAATGGAATTCTGTATCATGGTTTATTGAGATCTTATGTGGGCACGTTTTTGAATTTTGCATCGTATGCTTTGGGAGCTCTTCGTCTCTCTGCATTGGCCCACATTCCAAATATATACGTCTTGACACATGACAGTATTGGATTGGGAGAAGATGGACCTACCCATCAACCTATTGAAGTTATACCTGTTCTTCGTGCCATTCCAAATCTTGTAGTGATTCGTCCAGCAGATGGAAGAGAAACTTCTGGTGCTTATTTATTTGCTGCGAAGAGTAAGGCCATACCAACGTGTTTAATTTTGACACGACAAAATGTGCCTCAAATTCGAAACACAGACATTCACAAAACTCTTAAGGGAGCCTATTTACTTGAATCTTCTTCACAAAATCCAGATATTATTTTAATAGCTACAGGATCAGAGGTTCAAATTATTGTGAAGGCTTCTAAAATGTTGAAAGAAGAGCATGGGCTTCAAGTCAATACTGTGAGCATGCCAAGTTGGGAATTATTCGAAATGCAACCACGTGAGTATAAGGATCAAATTTTCATTCAGGGAGTTCCAGTCTTGTCTGTGGAAGCTTCTTCTCCTCAGGGATGGATTGGAAAGTACTCACACTTTGCATTGGGAATGACTACTTTTGGAGCAAGTGGTGCCTATCAAGATATTTACAAGAAAGTTGGAATTACTCCAGAGAATACGGTTGATAAGGCCTTAAAATTGATTTCAAAATTTAAAAAGTCTGCTCCACCTTTGTTGTATGCGTCAGTTCTGGACGAATAGTTGCCAACCTTTTTTTAAATTCAAATTAGATTTTACAACAGCTTATCTTGATTGAAAAATTATTAAATTTGTGAATTAGAAACGCAGAAATTTGATCTTTTTTAAAATTCAAATAGGTTTTACAACGCTTGTCTTGAAAAATTATTAAATTTGTGTGAAATTAAAAACGCAGAAGTTTATTTAATTCAGTGCCTATTTACTCGTGTCAGAATAAGTGGAATCTTCACTGCCGGTCGTATCGAAAGAAGTTGATATTAAACTCAATGTTGAATTGCCTACTAAGAGTTTCGAATTTGTGGCATTCTCTGAGGTGGTGGTATGTGGTGTGTCAAAAATGTCTGGAGTGGGAATGCTGGTCGTAGTGTTTGTTGTTGTTGTTGTTGTTGGTAACAGCAATGGTTGTGTCGATGGAGACATTAACAACGGAGTACATGGTGACATTCCTCCACTCGAAATGGTGGATCTTCTATTCGCATTCTGTTCAATATGATACAATAAACATTCGAAGAACTTTTGTTTGTTCTGGAATGTACCAATTCTCATTTCATGTTCCTCAGCATTAAATTGCACATCCTCTTTCAAGCTATTATCTTTACAAATGATAGGAATGGGCGTATAATACATGAGATCATTCTTGAGAGAGAGTGACTTTTTAGAAATTAAGCAAGTTCTCAAATTATCTGCCACAATCGAAGCATCCATATCGTCATAAATAAATTCCCATAACCAAGCAATGCAAGGATCCATTTCAATGAATGAATTCATACCGAGTGGATCCGTAAATGGAGTAGTGTGATTGGAAATGGTCAACGAGTTATCTCCATGATTCGTTGATGATAAATGATCCATCGTCGAAGAAGTGTCACAACTCTTGAAAATGACAAAATCTGAATGAATGAGTTTCGTTCCAACAAATAAACATGTCAATTCATTCTCATCCAATAATTCACGAATGCAATCCAAAGAAGGTAAAAATTGATATAAACCTTTCAACAAGCATTGTAATTCTTGTGAAATGTTGTTAAACAACAAGTAAGAAATGACTTGTTTCAATAGTGAAATTTTGTTCTCTTCTGTGACACGAATCGATTGAGTCATGTGTTTCCATTCTTGTGAATTCTTTTTAAAATGTTCATAATTGGACAATAAATTTTCATAAAATTCACTCTTTCCAACTTCATTCAGCAATTCCTCGAGTGTTTTCGTTCCATCATGTCTCTTCTCCATAATTTGTATTAAAATCGAATATTCAATTCCAAAATCTGAGAAATCCGTCCATTGAATGGCTTGTCCTAAAATGGTCTTGACAAGAACATGACTTGGAAAGAAATCTTCCACAAATAAATAGGGCTGTAACATTATGAAACCCATCATTCTTCCCAAACCAATGTAAATATCACTGAAATTTTCACATCCAATATTTTCAAGCCATTTTTCATAATTTCTCACTTCAAAAAAAGGTTTCAAATGATACTTGTACGAGTGTCGACAAGTTTTGATGTGTTTGAAAAATGTTTTGATCACATCTTGAACAAGAACTGCAATTTTTCGAGCAGAACTTGAACTCACTTGAACATTGATTAATTTGTTGACACCTTCTTGATTACAAAAATCTTTAAAAAATGAAATGTAATTGTCATAGTTGAGAACGGTCAATTTGGTTTCTCCCATTTTGAGTGACACTTCACGAATGTACATGAATTTCTTGTGGAGAGAAGTGTTTTTTCTTGAGGTGAGAACTTCTTGATTGAGTTGAGAGAGTGCACGTTTTGATTTCTGAACAAGTTCTTGATCCTCACAGAGAACAGTGTGTGAAATGTTGAAAATGAAATTAAATTTGGAATCCAAAGTTTTGTTGCTATTGGTGTAAAGTTGTTGAAGGAATGTTAATTTTCCATCTTAATTTCATTCATCAATGAATTAACAATAAAAAAGGAAATGTGAATGTGTGAAATTGTCAGATATAAAATGCATCATTGATTCACAATGAACGTGAATGTACATGTGCTACAATTGGAACCTTCATAAAACCAATCTCTCTACTTACCAATGGATCCAATTTCACTCAATTCTTTGCTAAAATTTTGAATAAGTTGCGCAATTTTGACAGGATTTCTCATCTCGGCGGCTCTCTTCGTTGTGGCCATATGATACAAATCTCTAAATTCAGAATTGCAATACAATTGTGGCATTGGTTTAAGTGGTGTTGATGGAGTTTTTGGAGAAGAAGGTGATTTGGTGTTGACAATGGTCGTAGTGGAGATCAATACACGAGTGGTGTTGTCACCACTTCCTTCGAGAAGGGATTTTCTTAAAATTAACTTTTTGACACTTGTCTTTTTGAAAACACTGTAAACCACTGTGAAGGTCGTCATGAGATCAGTTCCATCCTGAACGACACTACTCTTGTCAAGTGTCAAATTTTGTAAAAATGTCACACCTTGCAATTTCTGTTGATATTGAGAAGTAGGTTTTGCTTTCTGATCGAATAAATTGTAAAGCCATATTTCCAATCGAGCTTGCATGGAATTCCAACCAATGAGATAAATATATCCATTTTTGCTCGCTGGAATTTCATTGAGAGTGTGAGCACTCGAAGTAGATTTTGTATGACCTCCACTCGGAGTAGAGTTTTCTTTCGCAGAGAGTGCAGTGGAATATCCTCTGTCACGGCGTGAAGAGGACGAAGAGGATGTTTTGGAACTTTTTTGTTGACACGAAGAGGATCCTTTCGTCGGGGTGGAACCAACGTTTTGCATGTCATTCAAATTCTTGTCAATAAACTCTGAAAATTGATGTAAAAAGAATTGATTAATATTGTAATGAACTCTAAAATCTGTGGCATATTTCGATTTGGTATTCACTGTAAAAATAGAAAGATCATTGTAGTGTGACACAAAAAAGAATCGATGTCTCACCGAGTCACGTCGAAATGCTGTGGTAATAACTTTTGTGCAAGGTGAATCAAATTCTTTCAAAAACAACAAATCTCCCGTCGAGGGTGACCAAATTTTGACAAAACAATCATTGGATGCTGATACAATCAAGATTGAATCCGAATAAGGGCCTCCGTGTGATTTCACGGTTGAGTAATCAATTTCAAGAGTGGAAGAGTTCGAGTTGGTATTTGAATTTGTGGCATTCGAATTAGTATTTGCACTCGTGGTTTGTGATTGTTGTGAATGCAAAGAACTTGCTGAACTCTGTGACGACGTGTTTTGTCCACTCATCGATGATGTCAATATTGAAAGAGCCGAAGGAGCGTTTTGTGGTTGATTCATTTCATAATTTTCCAACACCTCTTTCGAAGGACAAACAGTAATAAAGTTAATTTGTCTCATGTGACGAGGTGTGTGATTTCTATTAAACGTCTCATTGGGAATCAAGGAAACTCCTGACCATTTTCCAAGTTTGCTGTATTGCTTCAAAATTGAGAACATGTTCAATTCACCATTTCTCAAACCAACCAAAACACTTCCAACAATGTTAAAATCATTTGCCAAATATTCGAACGCAAAAATTGAAGTCACCACATCATTACATTTGATTCTTGTCATGGGCTTTTCATTATGAACATAAAAGAGTGTTAAAAATTGATCATCGCTACCTGTCAATAAAAATTCATGAAAAAGACATTGTGAAATGACAGCTCCTGTTTGTCTTTCGTACATAAAATCCAATTCCAATAAATTTGATAAATCCTCCAAATTGGGAAAGGAAAAAGAAGAGCTCGAGGTTAAACTCGAAGATGGTAATTCGATCTGAGCACTCACTCGATTATTTTTGGTCAAATCCGATCCTCCCGCCAATTTCCATCGACAAGTGACACCATCCATCGCTGTCGTATAGAAAGTGTTGTGTCGATGATCCACAGAAATGCTCATCACCTTGTTGAGATGAGACTTGTGATGAGAAATTTTGTTGAATATTTCATAGTAATTGTGCTGTTGTGAGCAATCGATGGCCGTCGAGGTTGTCGATGAATTTTCTAAAAATTCCAAATCGGATGGTTCATCGATGCCACTTGTCAATGAACGAGTGTTGTTGTTGGCTCGGTCAAAGTCTTCAAGAGTGTTGAGAAGGTCATCTTCGGTGGTGCTCGAGTGGAACAGCCGACGAAAGTTGTTCATCATTTTTTTTTCTTGTTTCGCTGAATTTCGCATGAAGATGACAGGTCTCTCATTGAATCCATCATGTCGTCGCATCGTGTTGTTGATAGGATAGAAATTCATTCGGTGTTAATTTAAATTTCATTGTTTATTTACAATAATGGGATTTTCTAGAAGGAATCTTCTAACACATTTTCAACATCATCGAAATTCTCGGAATGAGCAGTATGGTCACTAAATTCATTCTGTGAATAAATATGATTGAATTGATGAAAATCAACAAAAAAATTGTCATAATTACAAACCACCATCACAACTTACCAATGAATGATTACTTTGATTGCTTGGATTACTTTCATAATCTTTAAAGTCATCTGAATAATTATCATTAAATTCGGAACCAGAGAAGCCAGAAATTTCTTCATCGTTTTGGTGATGATCCCCCATTAATTCATCGTCCTCATGTTCATGCTGATGCTCCAAGGTGTCACCATCGAAATGATCCTCTCCAAAGTCTCCATCTTCGGCATAGTTTCCTTCAATATCTCCAAAATCTTCGTCAAAATTGTAAACATTATCATCAACAACATTGTGATGATCCGATGAATGGAAGCTACTCATTTCCTCATGATGATGTCTTTGTTTTTCACCAACACCACCACCTCTCTCTTCACTTCTGTTACTCTTTTCACTGGTATTACTTTTATGACTGTGAATGCTGTGAGTAATGTGAAGGCTCTTTTCACTCAAATGCTCGCTATGAATACTGTGGTTACTCTTTTGACTATGAGTGCTATGAATGCTGTGAGTACTGAGCTGACTATGATTGCTCTTTGGACTTTGATTGCTTAATTGACTATGATTACTTCTTTCACTCTTTGGAGATGGCTCTATATCAGAAATATCAAGCTCCGAGTCGTCGAATGCTTTGGTGAGGAAGGTGGACTCTTTGGGTGAATGCTTCTTTTCCATGATGGTTGAACCCAAATTGGTATTGGCATTATTATTAAATATTCCAACAGAAATATTGGAGCTATTACCAGTACTACTACCACCACTACTCAAAATATTCACACTTTCGAGAGGAGGTGATGACGAGTCGCGTGTCTTCAATCCAACCAATGGTTTGAGGGGTGGCAATTTTTGAGACAGAGCATCCTTGGCCAAAGTGTTCTCTGAGGGACTGCTTTCTTGAGATTTGCTTCCATCACTCAGTGGGGGTGATATTGATGCATCATTGTTTGTCTTGGATTTCTTTTTTCGTTTTTTCATGGTGGAGCTTAATTGTTCTTCTTCGAACGAGTCATCCAAAGAAAGTGAAGGTGACACGGTGGTGGGAGCAATCACAGATTCTTTGGTGGACACTCCTTGCTGTGTGAATTGGTTGAGAGCATTTTTAGGAGATGAGTTTTCGGATGTATCAAGATTGTTTAAGGTTGATTTTGGAGGATTTTCTGTTTTCTCCAGATTTCTTGGAAGTGTTGGAGATTTTTGAAATTCTGGTTGTTGCTGTTGTTGTACAGATGGCTGGAGTTGAGGTGACACTGACTCGGAAGTAGTGGCCACCACATTGTGCAACCATTTAGTAAAGAGTTGCAACAACAAGGGTTCTTGTGTGCCTAAATCTGATGTGACATGATGATGTGAAGAATTTTCCAACTTTTCAAGAACACTCTCTCGATCCTCTTGCTCCTGTACATGAGTTCATATGAACGATTTAAATTTAAATTCACAGAGTCACTGAGAACCTACCAAATTTGCTTCTGGTAACAAGACACTCTTTGTGAATTTCAAATCAAAATAATCCAAATATTCCAATATTAATTGTGACAATAAGTGATCTATGATTTGAACATTCAATGAACAAGCATTGTTAGACACAGTGTTCAAGTTCTCATTCCAAATACAATTCCAGCACCAATTCAACCTACTTTCCGAATTACTTTTCATTTGTTGTATTTTCTGATTTTGGAAATACACTTCTCCGCGAGGTCTTCCATGCAAGACATCATAGACACTTGCCCTCAATTGCGCCTTGTACCTTCCGATCACTCCGGCACATGTGAGCGATTGAGAAACTACCTCTTTGAGTTCGATTAATTGGGGATTGTTCGACAGAAGTGCACTCGTCATGATGGGTTTGAGATTTGGTTAATTTTTTTTCAATGCTACTTTTGTAGAATTTTGGCGGGATTTAAATTTCCCACTTTGCAAGTAATCCCAATAATATCGTGTGTTGTTGAACTTAATCTGTCTTTTACAGGCACAACTATTGAAAATTTATTCATGTCAATCCAAATAAAAATTCCATACTGAAATAGAGGCATCAACGGCACAAGTAATAATTTGTTTTTCATCAGGTGACCAAGAGCATTTGCAAACCACAGCTGTACATGAACCTTTTCCAATCACTTGTTTCGTCTTCATATCCCAAACTTTGACGAGTCCATCATTTCCACAAGAGGCCAAATATTTTCCACTGGGACTGACACTAATAGCGCTTATTTGAGTATTCTTATCTTCGAACATGTCTACTTGATCTGGAAAATCAATGTCCCAGAAACGAATTTTTCCATCACTGCCACATGTGATCACCTCAAGTTCATTATCCAGTCTTTGTGAAATACCAGTAAATCCTGGGCATGATCGATCTGCAATGGAGTGGAAAACAATTCTCTTATTCTTCTGTAAATCGTAGGTGTAGACAAATTTATCCATGCTAGTGGTATGCAGTAAATGAGCTTGACCAACATCAATTTTCACTCCAGTCACAGGTTTGGTGTGATCTGAAAATTGTCCAAACATTTCCTGATTTCTCATGGACCATAACCTCACGACACCATCGTGGCCCCCGCTCACAAGAATCTTACCATCACAGTCCAAACTAGTGACTCCACCTTTGTGGGTGTTGACAATTTGCCAATCTTGTTGATTTGTTTTCGTGTTAAAGCATCGAATAAATCCGTCGGACCAACCTGTTACAACCTTTTCTCCCACATAAATGATGCACGTAGGTTTTGAGGTTTGGGTAGCCACTACAAAGGTGTTGAGAGTGAAATAGTTTTCTAAATCCCAAACTCGAATGGTTCCATCGGAAGAGCATGAACAGAATTGATCGCTCTTTTCACTCGAAAAAGCAACGTCTGTCACCTCACGAATATGACTCTCCTCAATGAGCTCGCTCTCAAGAGTGTCCACATTGAGGCGATAAATTTTTCCATTGTCAGTTCCTGCCATCAATACCCGTTGTTCGGAATGCAAACTCAAAGAGGTCACTCTTCCTACAAGCTTTGTTTCCTTCTTAATTTTCCAATTGGTGTCATTGCCTTGAAGCATTTTCAGTGATCCATCACTGCAGCCACAATATAAAATGTCCTTCTCATTACAAAGAGACATAACACTCGAAGAGACTTGAATAGAGTTTCTATAAATTGCATTCTTAATATTGAAGACCATAATCTCTCCTGTTTTTGTTCCTGCATAACAAAATTCGCCGCTCTCGTCAATACATGCTTCAAGGTATTCTCTTTGAAAGCCTGCAATTCTTCCAGGAAGTTGGCAGATTCGAGTCGAAAGAACAAATTGCATGGCCTTTGCTTCGTAGGCCCATGAGCAAACTTGAATCGAATTGTCGGTGGCAATGATAAAAGTATAGGAGGGTCTTCTTGGATTGAAATCGGGAGTGAGTGGTGATGAAGTGACAAAGAATGCTGGCCGATCGATTTTCGCTCCTCCAGCCAACTGTCCAGTTTGTGTGTCCCATATGGAAACTTTTCCCGAGCCGTCTATCGGTTCAAACAATCATTCAAAATAATAATAGTATGAAATTTGATAGGCGTCATGATGTTGCAACATCGTTCACAGTATCCAAAGCAATAAAGGATGACAATATTTTTCTTTTACAAAACCGATCACCTACCTGAAACTGCTAAAAACTTGTCATCATGAGTAAAAGATAAAGACATAACTCTATTAAGATGACTCTCAATCCTGAATAGAACCTTCTTTTTTGCCAATTCCCAAACAATGACTGTGGCCATTTGTCCCTTTCTCTTTGTTGTTCCAATCTGAGCGGTGGCCAATAATCGACCACTGTTGGTCAAGGCCACACAAGTAATTTCTTCGTCGTGTTCAGTCAAAAATTGTTGATTATGAGGATCGTTGATATCTCCCACTACCAACACTCCTCCAATAGGATACAAAATATATTTACTATTCCGAGGGTGAATGGAGATGGTATGTCCATATTTTCCAGTAAATCCAATCACATGTTCCAATTCCAAAGCATTGTTTCCTTCCGACATGTTTTTTTATACAATAATAATTTGTATACAATTCTAATCAATAATAATCGTTGCTGTTGTGTATGATGATGAAAATCAAAAAACGTTTCAAAAAGTTTCCAGTGTATGCAAGATTGGTAAAGGAAATGATTTTTTTTTTGTAATTTCAGGGAGCGGGAAATGTTTCCCTCGTTTTTGTGCTTCAAATTTACTCCTCAAAAAATGTCTTCAAGAGGTTCCTCTGTACAATCAACCACCAGTTCCACTCGATCCAGAGCTAGCCATCATCAGGTCACGCAAGATGAAAAGAATAAACAATCACATGCTATTGGAGAAGACCCAAATTTTACAACTTCGGGAGCTGAAACAGATTATTCGGAAACAGCATCCACAACAGATGTTTCCACCGATAAGGAAAACGCAATTCGTACCCGAACATCATCTCCTGAAAGTAATCATTCGGGGAAGGTTTTGAATAAGCAGTTTTCAAATAATGACAATTATTCTCTTGCAACTTCCGAAAATTCAAAGGAGGAAACAAAGGTTCATGATCTGCCACGACCAAAGTCCAACAAATTTGCAAAAGAAGTTGAGATACAGACGGAAACTCATCCGATCGAATCATACATTGATCCCAAGTATGAATTTTCTCAATGGAAATTACGAAAGAATGTGGTTCAAGCAGCAGATCTACGAAATAAGAAGGACAGTAAGGCGCAAACAATTCAGTCGCATTTCAGGAGAGACAACGATTGTCAAGTATATCTCAAAAAGTAAGTGTTTTTGTTTTGATGGATTTCAAAGATGTGACGCCTTTAAATTGACATGAATTTAACAATTATTTCATTCAAAACATTCTTCAGAGAAAAGGACACCCAGACACCTAAAGAAACCGGAACTAATCCCACCAAACATACCCGATATATCAAAGGTCTTCGTGGTAATAAGGACGCCAAAATGACCGTGGTGGAATTAAAATTTGATCAGAATTAGTGCCAAGATGAAACTATTCCAAATTAAGATCACATGCTAACCAAGTTCAATGAAAAACTTCAATTTAACTTTCTTGATTGCAACAATTAAAGAGATTGTATTTATTATTTTCTGGAAAAGTCATACAAGGATGAGGGTGGAGTTTGTTGTGTAGAATTGCTCGAATAATGACTTGGCTGATTTTCAACCCTTCTCGGTTGGAGACGTTTTCGAGAAAGACCGCTTCCACCACGGGAGGACCCTCGTCCATCTCGTGAGGTCACTTGTGACTTATCTACACTCGACTGAACACCTGGTTTGTATCGCGAGTAAGAAAATAACTTATTTCCATTGGAGGTTGCTGCTGAAGAAGAGCTATTAGAGTTTGGAGATCGTGTACTGTAATTTGGAAAGGGAACTATTGGTTGTGGTTGAGGATGGTGAGCTAGCCCACCTTGTTGATTGGCGTAAGGAGGATAAGACTTTACGCCTTGATACTGTACATTCATGACTGGTTTCTTGTTGTTTCCAAAATTATTCATACTTGATAATGGAAGAACCTCATCACCATTATTGTTGTTATTATTACTGCTACTTTGTGTGATTGCATTGTTTTGGTTTTCATTATTATTATTTCCTGTGTGGATAGATGGAGTCAAAATTTTAAAAAGCATGAGGCAACGAAATTAATAATATCAGGTAGACATGCCAAAGAATCGTTGTCAATAACACATAAAATACATATAATAAACAAAAGTCAATGGACCCTTATTATCAGGTATACTATACTTACGTGTCACACCTGATTGTACTCGACTATTAATATTGTACTTGAGAGGAATTGGAACTGAAATACCAACTTGGAAAAACGGATATTGCAAGGCTTGGCTTGCAGTGGGTCTCTTCATTGGGTCAAATTTCAATAAATCTGTCATGAGTTGAATAGCTTCATGACTGGCGTTTTGAATGATATTTTCTAACGGGGTTGGAACAAATTGAGGAAATTTCATTCCCATACTGGCAGCTAGTTTTAAGCCTTCCTCCCAGGTCTCCCGAGTTGGAGTCCCCAACACAGAGCAAATTTTGAAAATTTCATCTGGCTCACTTCGTCCTGGAAAGAGAGGCCGAAACGTGTACAACTCGGCCATAATGACACCCACAGCCCATAGATCAATCGGTGAATTGTAATTTTGTGACTTCATCAAAACCTCTGGTGCACGATACCACCTTGTAGAGACATATTCAGTGAAGGGAGGTCGTGACCTAGTTTCTTTCGCCAATCCAAAATCTGCAATTTTTACCGTATCTCTATGAACGAGCAAATTCTCTGGTTTCATGTCACGATGAAAGTATCCACTCTTGTGCATGTACGCAAGACCTTGAAGGACCTGATAAATAATATTCCTAATCTTGGATTCCGAGAAGAGTTTGTCGCGATCCTTCATGACTTGATATAAATTGGCTTCCATAAACTCAAACACAAAATATAATTCTTGATTTTCACGAATGACTTCTTTGAGTTTGATAATATTTGGATGATTTAATTTTCGGAGGGTCTGTAGAGTCCTCGTTGTCGTGTTGATGAACAGAGTCGTATTTCAGAAATCAAGACAACCACAATTCAACCTCTCGGAATCACGCTCATCAACATACCTGTACTTCTTTGAGTTTGATACATTCTTCCCAACTCGAATACGTTCGTTTTATTTTCTTGATGGCCACCTAACTCATCGTCATGATCCATCATTATGCATTTTTAAATAATGAAATTTTCAGCAAGGAGAATTTGCCACAAGATCACCAACCGAATACAATACAACTACACTTACCACCTCTCCTGTTTCCTTATTCACTGCTCTCACCACACTTCCATAAGTTCCGGCACCAATAAGCTGATTGAGTTTGAAACGATTCATCCTTTCCGTTTTCAGGTATCAAGACGAGATGAGGGAAGGAACGACCAACCTCAATTTTTTTTTAGTCGTTATTTTTTGTAGTGCTGTTGAACTGATTTTGGCGGCAATTTTTTTTTCTTCATTTACCTCTCTGGAAAATTCATTACTGAATCGTTCATTGAGGAATCTAATAAGCAAGAATGTAATGCTTAGTTGGGTATGATCAACATTTAAACTCAAAGATAAAGCCAACTAAGAAGATAACAACGCAAAACATAATCCACAAGACTCAAAAGCAAAATGAACATCTTGGAACTTGTTGTTGAACAATTCGCCATCAGGATCTGAACCATCATCTCAAAAAATGCTTTTAAATTCATCATCCATTCCGAATGAAGCCACATCACCAACTCATTCAGCATCCATTCCTTTTTCTTCTTCCGATCTCTTTTCCAATCTTCCAGAAGAAGTCATTGCACACATTTGTTCCTTTTTTATGAAATATTCAAAAACCAATCTTGTAGAGAGGAATTTAAAGAAACAAGATTTGTTGATGAGCGATGAAGAGACTCATGCCATCACCATTGATGATCTTGTAGATATTTTTCCGTTGGCTTTTGTTAATAGGACCATCCGAGAGAAGATTTTGAATAACAAGTATATTTGGAATGAGATGATTATTCTTGATTTATCGGAATTTGCAAAATCAGATCAATTATTTCGTTACTTGAACAAAATTAGTGATTGGACGAGTTGTCTCGCTGATGAACATTTAATCATGTTGGCTGAGAGAGAACGAATGAAAATAGCAATTGATTTTCTGGAAGGACTTGGATTGGCAGAATATATCAAAAAGCTCAAAGTGAGTTGCATGTTGAAACATGTCCTAGATGGCAATAGCGACTTGACAAATGACCACACCAAAAGCAGCATTGCGAACATGACATCATGGACAGATCTGATTGTCAACACATTTCCTGCTGTCACAAATTTGGCTTATTATAGTTTTTCAGACAAGACCAATCAGTATGATCACTTGAACATCTCAAAGGAAACATGTTGGAAAAATCTCTCACATGTGAGTGTGTATTTTGATAGTGTGACACTCATGTCTCTCATCAAAAATCATGACACAATCACATCGATTGCCTTCTCTCCAAAATACTCAGACTCTAAATTTTTAGAAACACTCACAAAGAATCAACCTCTATTGAAAAATGTGAACTCGATCGAGATTGATTATCGATTTAAATTTGAGGAAATTGAACGTTCTCCACTCTTACCCAAGTTAACTTCCTTGATTATTGACCCATGTGTCGTGAATGCAACCTCTATTGGCACAAAATTAGGTCATCTTACAAAACTTGCCTTGAATAATGTGAGGCAATCTCTCGTGTTCAAAAATGTCACATTTCCAAACATGAAAGAATTTAATTTTTCATATACTGATATGATGCCTTTGACTTTTGATCAGGCTTCAATGCCCTCTCTTGAACAATTATCCATTCAAAAGGCAGATATTGTCACCATCCATGAAAATTCTCAAGACATGATGAACTTTCCCAACTTGACATCTGTCAAATTTGGATATTGCAAGTATGCCCATTCGTTTTGGTTTGACCAACATCCTCGGATAACTACCATTTCTCTTTCAGACACGGACATTGTTTTCAACTCAACCACTCGTGAGATTTCCATCGAAAATCATCCTTCTCTCGAAATTGTTCAAGTCAGTCAACTCGAAGACATTTCCATCAAAAATTGCCCTTCTCTGAAACGAGTCTATATTGAAAAAACAAACCACATCTCTCTCCACAATAAGTATTTTAGTGTTGTGGCAATTTCTGGATGCTCCAACAGCAGTTCACAAATATCCATTGTTGGAGATTATTGCGGGAAATTAATACTTCCTGAAAAAGTGGAATTTATTTCTGTGGATGTAAAAACAATATCCGTTCTGAATTGTTACAACTCGCCTCAGTTATCAGATATGATACCAAAAAACAGTCACAACATGACTCTAGATTGGTTGTATATTTATTGTACTGTTGAAAATCCAACCAAATTGCTCGATATTATTTCAAGTTTCAAAAACGTTAATCATTTGAGATGTACATTGAGCATTTCACATACTTATATCATTGAGCAACGAATGGTGAATTCCAAAAAGGATTTCGCAACAGTTTCAGTGCTCTCAAAGTTGGCTACTAAACTCGTGACTCATTCACAAGGAATAGATGTACCATCTGTTTTGAAAGAGTACAAAAATTTATCTACATTGTGCTCTGTATCGAAATTGAAGTTTGGAAAAGAGTTCTGTTCAAGCAATTCGTTGACACATCTGGAAGTAAGCGCCTCTAAATTGTCATTTATTGGATTTCCTAATTTGAAAACTATAAGATTGTCTAATAGTGAGGATATTGACATTGATTTGGATCAATTAACGAACTCGCTGGAAGAGTTGTCAATGGTATCATCGACAAGTAAGTGTTGCATTGGAATTTTACCAATTTTTCCAAAATGAAATGTAAATTATAAGATGTCAAAATTACTGGCAATAGGTCGATGCTAAACCTCAAGTTCTTTTATTTGGAAAATCTGAAAAACCTTAATATTTGTGTAGAGTTATCTGCTCCTAAATTGAGGGAAATAATTATACATTCCATTAGAAGTACTGATCCAAATCAAGAACCTATTCTCCATATCATTCATGCTCCAAAATTACTTTTCAAATATGTCTCATTTAAATGGCAACCAAAGTACACAAATATTATCTCAAAGCCCTCAAATAATGGTGTTGTTGTCGTTAGTAATAATAATAATTATTGTTCTGTTTTGTAATATCTACGACTTTCGGAGAGGACAATTTGTTCGACCAACGAAAGGTGTTTTATTTTAGATCGAAAGGACTGGAGTTCTCGCTTGGAATGAATTGCATTACGGTAGCCCTGTGATCAAGCTGGTCAATATCAGCAGAAATTGAATTTCAGGTTGAAATGACAGTATGTTCGGTCATATGATAATAAAAGAGGAAATTTTACTGAGCTACGTTACACGAAAAAATGTTGTTGATATTGTTGTACAGTGTATGTTACAATCTTGTACAAAGTAAATACTCTTGTGTAAACAAGAGTTGTGTTTGCCCCAAATAGATGATGTTTGTGAATGAATGTAAAAAAAGTGTAGAAGATACCTTTCGCAACTACTTGTTCTTGGTCTTTGGAGATGGTGAACTTGGATGCTTGGGTGCTCTGTTCAGCTTGCTTTCAAGCTTCTTGTAATATGGTGCATTCTTAATGAGTGGTAGATATGGCTTAACAGCTGTGTTAAATCTTTGAAATTGGTCATGATCAGAAATGGAAATTGCTGTCTGAACCACATAATTACCGAAAGAGTCTTGCAGTAAAATAGATAAATTCTTGTCCTCTAAAATTTCCTCAATCATGATGTTTTTAACCCTATCATTACCAATTCTGAGACACTTTTCAACTACGTTGGAACTGAACTTGTTTGTAGAGAGAGAAGTAATATGTCCATAAAATCTGGCAATAATCTTTTCATTGACAGAATCGTCGCCCAAATCTAAAATATACTGTACCACGTAATTTCCAAAAGGATTCTGAATGAGAGTGTATGCATGGGTAATCACTTCCTTAATGAGCATCATCTTTTGAGAATCAGAAGCATGATCGATACACCTCTGAAGCACGCAGCAACCATGTTTGTGTGTTGCCACTTCAACACAACGTCCTGCAACGGCGGTGTAAATAAATTGCTTATTGTCTGTTGATAGTTGCTGGAGACAACGTTGAATCACATGGTTACCATTCAAATCCTTAATAAGTGGAACGACAGAGTCTTTGAGAGCTTCAATGATTTGAGAAATTTGATCTTGTGCGTTGAGACATTCAATAAGCTTTTGAACGGCTCTTGTACCATGCATATTCATTGAAATGTTAATCAAATCTTTTGAGACTGCCTTGATAATTTGTGTCTTGTGCTCGTTTGAACAATGTTCCACCAATTTTTGACACAAATAATTACCAAATGGGTCTGTCATTAATTCTACAATATGGCCATAAATTTCATCGAAAATAATTTGAAGACTTTGATCGTTTTCTGTGAGCTTCTTTTGTAAGAAACGACATCCATATTGATCTTTTGCCAAACTGTAAACTTTTCCAACAGCGTCTTGAATGCTTGACAACTTCATCGTCTTCTTTTCTTCTTCAGAAAGCTCCTTCTCTTTTCCGCTGTTATGACCACCAGATTGTCCGCTCTTTTTAGACTTGTTCTTCTTAGTGGAAAGGGCTGGTGAGCTGCTCGTAGAGGATGACTCATCGGATGAGTCCCCTCCGGATGGAGAGCTTGATTTTGGTGTAGTTGTGCTGTGATCGGTTCCATTGCTCATTGGAGAAGCAGTCACAATGGTTGGAGAGTGAAGAGAATTATTGACACTACCAGGAGGAACTAAATTGCTTGCAACAACCGTATTGAAAGCAGGCGGAATTGAAGTGGCACTAGTTGTGCCTGTACCATGCACTTGATTACTACTTGGTGACGATCTGGCTCCAATGGTTGTTGGGCTGCTTAATGGTTCCACGACCATCATAACATTGTTGGGCACTTGTTGTGGTTGCTGATAAGGTCCTCCTCCCATAAACATCATGTTTGGAAGAGTTTGAGTGGGTGATGAAATGATTACATTGTTTCCACCAAGATGGTGATGTTGGATCAATGGGCTGTTGTTTCCACTTCCACCTCCAATACCAATAGGAGTTGGCTTTTGAATGACTAAGACATTGTTGCTGCCAGTAGTACTATTTTGTTGCATTTGCTGCTGCAATAATTGTCTGTTATATTCTAACATTTGTTGCTGTCTGTTGAGCTCTTCCATTTGTTTGCTCTGAAGCAAGAGTCGTTGCTGTTGTTCAAAAGTCATTCCATTCATGAAATGTTGAGGAGGTAGATTTGCTTGTTGTGGTTGTTGTTGTTGTTGCATATTCCAATCCATAGCCATCATCATTCCATTGTTATTGGGTCCAGGGCTTCCTGTACTGCTGTTAACATTATTTCCAAATGCCTGAGGATGCATGATTGGATAGGAGGAGCTTCCCTGTGGATGAGGCTGCATCTGATGATGATGAGAAACATAGTTATTGGCATGGTGAAGATGATGATGAACAGCACCTGAGGAAGAGGCCGATGGAGCGGTCGAAGACGAGGAATAGCCATGATTCGTGTTGCTGTTGTGGTTGCTATTGTTCTTTCCAAACATGTCATAGGATGCTGCTGGAGAGTTGAAAAACAACGAGTTTGCCATCTCCAATGGCGTTGGTAACTTATCCTTGTTCGAGTAGGAATTGTAGAAACTTGCATAGTCTGACTCACAACGAATATCACCAAACAGGTGAGAATATTTGGATTGAGAAGCGAAAATATTATTGCTGTCAAGTTCAGTCATGATAGGAGGAGCACTGATAGCTCTTTGCATGGAGAGGCCGAAATATTCATTGTTAGAAGGGGTGGTAGTACGTTTAATTTCACTACCGATGGGGGCTTGAGAGTTGTTGTTGTTCATGTGGTTGTTACCGTGATGATGATGATGAGCATTATTCATTCGTGATGGTGATGGTACATTGGTGTTGTTGTTGTTGTTGCCATTATTAATGATACTCTGAAGAGTATGAATGGCAGAGGATTGAAAACCGTTGTTTCCGTTGGTGTTATTACTGTTCATCATGATTTTGGAGATGAACACCGATGAGAGTGAGTAATAATAACAATAATAATAATACTCAGAGAAGGAACAGGATGACAACAAGAATGGTAGAGTACTCTTTTGATAACAATAACAACTATTGCTGCTACTACTACTATTACAACTGCTTGATATTGTGAATGACCACCAAAAATTGGTGTTGCTGAAGCAGGAAGAGTGTAATGAGTTCTTCGAGTTGTTCCACTAGTGAATATTTGCAAAGATGTAATTTCTTCTCTTGAAGAAGAACACACACGCTCACAAGTGATGGGTATCTCTCTATTTCAACTACAATAAGAGAGGAAGATGACGGAATTTGAAAATGTGCGGATGATGCTGCTGCCCTAATGGTTCTCTAGTCCAATAAGTATAACGCGTCCTTCGTAAAGAACAATACGTCTTTCATGAAGAAGAAATTGGAGGAATAAAGACCAGTCCGTACCTTCTCAAGAGTCGCAACTAACGGTTGTTCACAAGAGCTGCTCTGGTGAAACTTGTTGAGGAAGATTCAATCTCGGAAAGGCAGCACGCAGAAACAAGAGAAAATTTTTTTTCGAGCAAATCCAATCTTGGTCAATCAAACTTGCAACAAAATTTTGATAGAAGATTTTGTTGACTCCAAGTCTAGAATGGCTTGCAATAACGAGCAATTCATAAGAAAACCTATTTGTGTTATGAGATGGTGTTGGAAAGACATAGATGTTATTGTGCAAATAATAATACAGCAATTGGAATTGTTCAAAATTGAGGTATGATTTTGCCAAATCCCAATCTTCTATTAATGTATATTGGGAGATGTTACATCCTCTTGTCATGAGAAAACAACAGCTCTCTACACACAAATAAGTTGTGCTCGAAATGTCATGTTCCTTCTTAAAGTCAATTGGGCGGTTTTCAAGGTATGCATTTGCAAAATCAAAAGCACAAAATGAACATGTTCCTTGAAACATAGAAAAATTTCTATATTCTTCTTCTACTTCTTCTGCAAATCCCCAATCCAACAAAATGATGTCATAGTCTTCCTATGTTGTGCGTACGATATTATCAGGTCAAATATCTCTGTGAAAGAAACCAGCGTCATTCGAACATCTTTCAACACATCAACAATGCTTGCCAATTTTTCATAAGGAATAGGTGATAGGGTTTTGTTTTGCAGAAACCAATTTTTTCGATTAAGGCATTAATAAAAGTCATAAAAGTTTGTGTTTCACATTCATTATACATTGCATCATAGGTTCGAGTATTGACAGCAAAAGACAAGATTTGTGTGGTTGAGGGTGTAGGATGTGCCGACATGGTATTTTTTTTGTAATTGCCTCAATCATGATGGCTTGTGTTACAAATGTCAACAATGATCTACAGTTTTTGATGAAACGTTATAAAAGATTTGTTATTCATTAGAAGCAGATGAAGAATTTCGACTCACAAGGCCGTTCTTTTCCTTTTTAGCTTCCTTAGCTCCATGAATTTTTCGAATATTTTCTTGAATCTTGTTGAAGAATTGTTTCGAACTGCCAAACATCTTGTCTGAGCCAACAGCAGAGGCATCTTCGAGTTTGGTAGCCTTTTCTTTCTTGGCATTTTCCTTCTTCTTGTCAATGTCATCCATGAGCTTGGCTGCATGAGCAGAGGCACCAGGATTTAATTTCTCAACCAATTCCTGAGCCTTCTTACTCTTCTTACTGGTCATTTCTTTGATTTGTCTTCTCTTTCGTTTCTTATCTTGTTCTGACATTTCTTCCTTGGCTTGTGGTAACCATTTCACAGCGGGAAGAATTTCGTGAGCATTCTTCTCACCCTCTTCCTTTCCAGTCACGAGATTTGTCACGCTCTTCAATTCTGATTCATCTTCAAGATCAATTCGAGGTGGAGCCACGTAGGTGAAGGTCGACATTTGATTGAGTACTTGGAGAAGATCTGAAACTTGTTTGAGAATTTTTTGCTTGGTTGCCTTAACCACTGGATCCTCTTTCTTTTCTTCCTCAATGTCAACTCCTTCAACTTTTTTGAGATACATTTCTTCATAAATTTGCGCCAGAGATTTTTTGGATTTTTCATGTTCCAATTGCACGTCTTGTTTTAAATCTTCGTTCTTGTCGCTCTCTTCTGGTTTTACAGGATCGTCAAAAATTCCACTCACAATTCGACTAATGATAATGCTTTCTAAATCTCTGGTCACTTCTTCGGAAATGACTGGCTTGGCCTTGTGTGCATGTTCAAATGTCAATTTTCCTTCCTCGACGAGAGAGTTCTTTGGTCTTTTCTTTGCATCGACTTCACCAATTTCTTGCCATTCCTTATCTGCAACGTGCCTTTCTTCTAATTTTTCCATTTTGGCTAGCAATCGTTCTTGCTCGAGTTCGAATGGTGTTTTGAGAGTTTTGGATTCATTACTCTCATCCTCTTCATCATTGTACTCTTCATCATCTTCGTCGTCCTCATCTTCCTCTCCATACAGCTCTCCAAAAGCCTTCCTCAATTCCTTATTAGTTAATAATTGTTCATTCATGTCATAATCCATCTCATCCAACTTATCCATATCTTGTTCCAATACTTCGAGAAATTTGTTAATGTCTTCCTCCGTTTCCGCCTCCGATTTATCTGCAATATAATATCTTTCATCGTGAATAGATGAGGGTTTTGTGAGACTCTTTTTCGAGGTGTGATGATCATCTGACCCATCATTTTCTTCGTCAAAATTATTTTCATCGTCTTCTTCGTCATCATCATCATTGGCCATGGCTCGCCGCAGAGCTCTTTCGTCAATTTCTTGGTCATTCATTCCATCTTCATTTTCGTCGTCATCCGAATCATCTTCTAATAAGTATTCCAAAACATGTTCGGGCACAATACTCTCCAAAGATTGTAATTTGTTTTCAATATTATTTGAAAGTTGCTTGAGAAGAGGTTTATGAAATGTTTCCAATTGACTCCATATTTGTTCTTCATCAAATCTAATCACCATTTTGAGAGTAGTAGATTAATTGCGAAAGAATCATATTATTATGTGTATCATATGTTTTACAAAGATTACAGGATTGGGATAGTATACATATGAACAAGATCATCATTAGTAAATCATGTCTCGGAAATATCATCATTCAAAAAAACATACCCATCCACCAATAATTTATTCATTCCCGATGATTGAGCCATCAATGAATCTTTTCCTGATTTTTCCAATTCATAGACTCCCTTGATCCATTCTTTTAATTGTCGTTGTGAGTCTTCTCCAGATTCAAAAATTTCCTCTATAAATTGCTTATTGATTCCGTCATGAGCACTGTGTTTGTCATCATGTTCGTCGGAAGCATATTTTGCTTGATGTTGTTGTTGAATTTGTGTTGTTGTTTCTGATGATGAAAGGTGTGAAAGAATATTCGAGAGGACCAAAAGGCTGTTGTTGCTCTTCATTTTTTTATTCTTTTTTTTCGAATTTTTTGTTGAACCTTTGTCGAATTTATGAAAAACAAGTTCCTTTGACAACTCCGTCCATTCAAAGGTCATTATTGAATGCATATTTTCGTATGTTGCTAGGATCTACCACAAAGTTCTTGTGTACGTGTTTTTGGTCAATGTATACATTGAAGAGAGACAACAGATATTAATATGAATACTTCTTACACTAGAAATATAAACATATTTATTATGAAAACACTCGACAAAATTGAAACTCTCTCAAAATTGATACTGTGAATGATGAGCCACTGGTGGAGTCATCATCATCATACCGCTTGTTGAGGTTGAAGGAAATCCATACTCTTGAGGTGTGGGAATTGTTCGTGCCACATCCACCGACGCATCCACAAATTTGTTTGAATTTGGTGGCATCATTTCAATCACATTTGAAGTTTGATGGATGGAAATGCTGTTCGATGTTGCTGTGACAAATTCGTCATTCACTGTTTCTTTTTTTCTCTTGGCAAGCTTGCGTGGCTTTTTGGATGAGGACGAAGTGGATGAGGTGTCATCTCTGAGATGATTCATCTCTTCATTATTGTGAGTGGTCATTGTGCCTTCTTGATTCACATCTTCGGTTCCTTTCTTTCTCTTTTGTGAAGTTTGTGAGTTGGAGGCAGAAGAAGAACGTTTTCTCTTGGATGATGTAGAATTGGTAGAAGATGATGACGAGTTGGTGGATTGAGCATCTGAAGCATTTTGAGAGGACTTGTTCTTGTTCCCACCTCGTTGAATACCTTCTCTCTTATTGACAGCTCCATTTCGTGCCTTATTCGGATCATAGAGACCTTTGGTATATCTCCATTGTTTGTGATAACATGTCATGCAAGAAATTCCTGGAACGACATCATATTCAGGGAAACAATTTCGATAATTGTGAATATTTCCTTGATGGATGGAATAATTCTTGAGGAAACTCACCACGGTGGAGTCTCTCTTGCAGCAAGCACAGGTTTGAAGGCCTTCACTATTCACATGTTGAATCTTGTTTGAGGAAGAAGCACTCGATGATGGATTGCCGGCACGACTTTGTGAAGAGTTTGAAGAGGAGCGAGGAGTTGCCGTCGTTGTCGATGTTTCTTCTTCTTCACTCCATTCAGAGTCGTCATCAGCAACATCAAGCTCTGCTGAGGCATCTTCTTCGTTATCCTCTTCAACATAGTCTTCATCGAGATGATACGTTCGACGACGAGAGGTTCTTCTTGTTCTACGAGTCGATGATAATGTTGGTTTCTTGATGATTTCTTGTTCTTCTTCGTCTATGACATGGTCCTCTTCTTGTTCCTCGTCTTCCCCTTGTTGCAACAAGGAATTTGAGTAGGAGGACATGGCCTTTGGCATTCGAGTGCTTAGTCTTGGGTATTCTTGAGCGTCGTTAATATAATCGAGAGCTCCTAATAACATGTAAAAGGATTGTAGGGAACCTTTAGGTGCCTTACTGAAGATGGTGGGGATTGAAGTGGGCGTTGTGGTGGTTATCATTTGTGATGATGGGAGATTTGTATCTACAGCAGTAATGGTAGATGTAGAGGATGATGAGTATGGGAGAGTTTGAACGAGCATTGATTAATGTACAATATCTAGAGGGTAGTCGGGTATTGACAGTGTATGTTCTTACAGATTGGTAATTGATGGTTGTGGCAGTGATGATGTCTTGACAACTGACAGTAAGCCTTGTAATATTTTCAAATAACAATAATAATCAAGTAAACAACGGAAGGGAAGAAACAAACAGAGGAATATGGTGTTGATTCTTATGGCGGAGTATGTATGCAAACACTTGTGTAAAATTCAAACGAACCAACGAATGACAGGGAGCGGGTCACACGATATGGGTGGTCTTTCCAATTAGAACAATATTGGTGGTATGAATGTTGTCGACAAATTTTGGTGTTCGTTATCTCTCTCTGAGCGTTGGCGCTTTCAAAACCTTATTCCTCCTGTCGTTGTCAAAGGGGTTGCGTTGTTTTTTTTGGTATTGTGTTAAGCAGTGTGGGTTGATGGAGAAGCGGCTCATGCACGTTTTAAGTCACCGACGGCTATGTGTAGAAGAAGAAGGAATATTGTCTCTGCATCATCGTCAGCACTCGATTGAGAGGAGCCCATCAAGGCGCCATCAAATTGGGCGTCATCTCCTAATATCTAATGTCTTAATTTTCATGCGAAAACAGAGGGAATGTACTAGAAAATGAAGAGTGGATGATGGGATGCTGTAAAATTCTTTTAAAGAACATGGGATGATGACTCTTACGGTGAAATGCGATTGGTGGTGATGTCATCCAATGTATGAATATGGTGATATTATGTTGATTTGGAGAGAAATGAATATCATATCTTTGAAGAAATGAATATTTTATTACATAATATCACCATATTCAATCCAATATTCAATTTTAATTTTGATGAATCTGATTGAAGGATTAGGAATAATGTGAGTACTCACTATAGCTGAATATCAGAGATTAGCGACGAATCTTAACGGACAATTGCTGTCATTGAATCTATTGACACCTTTTGCAATTCATAGGGTGGCCTTAACCTTTTAATTTCTTCATTCCTACCCTTCTTGTTGTGTGTTTTCGAATGAGCTGTACTTGCCAGGGTTGCGGCATTTAAGAGTGGATGGTCATCTTCACTAATTAGTCATGATCATACTCACTTCACTGTCATCATCCCACGAAATATTCAATTTTCCCTTGTACTCATCACCTTCTTTCAAATCAGGACAATGTGCTTGCATTCGTATCTTTACGCCGTAAACCTTACCACTTTTGAGGTGATCCATGAATTGAGAAGGTTGAATGATCCTTGAAAAGGAGCACGATTGCACGGTTGGAATTAACTTTCCGCTATTGTCTGTCACTCGAAAGTTGTTCACTTGTATCGTATGGTGTGGTTTCACCTCAAACACTTTTTGCTCCAATTTAGCATCCAGGAACACAATTTTCATATAAATGACCACTTGATTGAAGGTCAATTTGGGTTTCTCTTGTTTGTAGGTTCCATAGTATCGGTATGCATTCACTGATGACTCGTAAATGTCCTCAAAACTAGTAGCGAGTCCATTGATATTCACGTGGTATGAAATGGGTTTGGTAATGTCAAAAACTTTGAAAAATCCAAGTTGTGCTACCTTGGTAAATTTCTCCTCACAAGGCGAACACAGAAATGGGAAAAGAGGCTTAAAATCCCACCAACAATCGTTATCATCTGTTTCATTATGTTTCAAAGCAAGGAATGGCACATCAATCGACTTTTTGAATTGAAATTTTTTCAAGGAATTCATGAGTCCATTAATTAAATAGACTTGTTGTGGTGTTTGAGGTTGAAGTGATTCCATTTCATTTCGAACGCCATTCATTAATTTGAAATTTTCTTCCTTTTCTAGAACGGACATGGTCATTTCCGTCGGTAAATCATGCTTTCGGAAGAGACGTGCTGCTGGCTTTTTCAAATGTTGAGAAGTTGAGTTTTCATTTTCACTTTCGGAATCACTTGATGATGAAGATTCCGAAGAAGAAGATGAATCATCACTTGATTCATCTTTTTTAAATAATCTATTTTGTTTGGAATAGAGTTTTTGAGGAGGCTTTTTTGTGTGTTTGGTGGGAACCATTGGTGGTTTAATTTCCTTCACCTCTTCTTCATCTGAAACTTTCTCACGACGAGTGCTGTTCTTCATGTTTTTCAATGGTTGTTCCGAAGAAGAGGTCTCTTCCGATGATGAATGTTTTTGCTTTTTATGAGCGTTTGTTGTGATTGGATTTTCTCTTCTCTTCATTTTTTAAAAGAATTCGATTCTCCCAAAAGCTTGAATCATCAATGATTTTCTTCAAGTTGACTCTGTGCATTAAAAAGTGAAAATTCGAGGAAAACAAGAAAAAACCATGAAATCAAGCAAAAACAAGGGAAATTAATTCAAAATCGATGTGCGAATTTGATCCAAATCAATTGTTTTTTCGTGTTTGTTTCATTTTTGTCCTTTCATTCAACAGTGCAAAACTTAAAGAATTTGAAAAAAATCAAAGCTTTTGGAATTTTAATGCGCAGGCCCAAGTAAACTGCAAGGTGACATTCGATCTGTGGATTCAATGGAGTCTTGTAGTGTTGGTGAGGTTATTCATCTTTGATATGAAATCCTTTACAGATACTAGTTTGAGTGTTTTTGGGGGGAAGATGTTGTTTTTGAATGCCTTCCCTTTTGAGAAGTAATTCACAACCGTTTCAAAGTCTGTACAAAGTCCGTGTTAACAGTCCAACTGGTAACTTTCTCTTTTCAGGTTCATGTTCCAATAAATTCAAAACAATATCACAAAAGACTGAATCAGTGCCACACATTTTTGTCAGTTCATCCTTAATTTCATCTTTGATGGTTTTATTCTTTGTGTCATGAATCTTTTCATAGCTCAATCCAAAGCATTGTAAAATGACAAACCCAAGAGAAAACATATCGCTTTTTGGAGAGATTAAATCATGTTCCTCTCTTTCTGGAGCACGATATCCTGGAGAATGAGACTTTGATTTTAAGGGAATGCCATCACCTGTGCAATTTCCATTTGATTTTCGATATTCTTCTTTGTTATAATCGAATCTCTTTGAAATTTCAAAATCAATTAGAAAATAATGATCGTCATATTTCACAATATTTTCAGGTTTCACATCATTATGAATCAGTCCTTGTTTTTCGAGAAACGAAATTTGACACAAAATGTCGCAGACCATTTGTTTGACATCATTGAGGCCCATCTTTCGAAGTATATCATGCAAAGAAACCCTTCAAGCTGATCAATGTTCCACTAGTTGCAATATACAATGTTCTCATCGAACATCGGAACAGCGATCATCCTTTTTTATTTGGACACAAAGAAATTCGATAAATCTTTTTGAGGCACCTCAGCTGGGGGAAGATTAAAATCAATTTTCTTTCGAAGTGCTCCCAATCCAAGAGTCAACACATCCTCAATTCTCATAGACCGTAAACCATTATTTGGGCACAAGTTAATAATTTGATCAAATAAATTTCTAGAGTTGTAGTTTTTGACAATATTCACATCGTTTTGAATGGCATCCGAAATGATATGCATTCCTCCCAAAACAATTAACAGGTGCTTAAAGCTTGGCAAGTCATAATCCTTTGCGTCAATGCTTTTACCAAACTCAGCGTGTGTCACAATCATATCGTAACCTTCCTTATAGGGTGATTGAGTGAAAATTTCGCTAAAACATGACGCAAGACGAACATTGTAGCCCCAGTAGAGACCTTTCTTTTGTTTAGGAGTTTCTGAGCTCACAATTCTTCCCTCATGATATCCTTGTTGTGTGTTATAAATTTCCACAGTGACTCTCAAACCAGGTGGTACAGCTTTTTTCAGCTTTACCAATTTTGAGTGGCCAACATATACAAGATTGCCCTCTTCCAATACGAGGCCCTCCCTGTAGGGATGTGACATTTCCATGGCATTTAAATGATGAGAACTATCGAGAATGTCTTGTGGCATGGACATGGCTGTTTTCAACATTTTCAGTTTTGGAATGAGCTTTTCTCGCAAATAAGGTGGTGTCTCCAAAAAATATAACATGTTCGCCAAATACACATGCTTATCGATGGCAAGTGAAATGTAGTCCTCTTGCTTTTGCTTTTTCTTTTTTGACTCTCCATATTTTGCTTTTTCCTTCATTTCTGTCACTACAGGAGGTTCAATATTTGGTAAAAAGTTTGAGGTATCGAGTAAATCTCCCTTTTCATTGTAGATGATAATTTCATTGACTTTGAAACATGTGCAAGCTCTTGCAATAGAGGTACAAATGAGAGTTTTTTGTTCGTCCGACATGTTTGAGTCCAGAATGCAGCCTGGGATGGCTATCGTAACGGTGTAGTTCTTTCTAGTGTATGGAGGAACATATTCAACCAAGACCTTCTTTTTTGGAAGGGAGGAATTGTGTTGCTGTTGCTTGGATGACTCTAAGCTTGCCTTGGATGATTTTTCAGTAGCAGGCTTGATAATGGTCGATTTTGATGCATCCATATTGGTGATAGTATTAGTAGAAGTGATAGGATTATTGGTACTTGTTGTTGAGCTTCCTTCTTCATTTGACTCTCCGTTGGCCGAGTTTTGTTCTGCCTCTTCCTCCTCGGCATGATGATCGTCGCTAATATCCATTCCATTCAAAGCAATATTGGAATTTTCTTGCTCTTCGTCTTGACTTGGCTTTTGTTTGACATCCACAACGGTTTTCACAATGAGTTGTTTTGCTTTTTCTTCCTCTTCCTTTCCCTCTCTGAATTCTTGGTTCTTCTTTCTCTTGAGTTGAGAATTTTTCACAATAAGTTTTTCTTTGAGGAGTGAAATTTCTTTCAGAATTCTCTTCTTTTTGGAACGTTGTTCATTTTCTTGTCCTAATGAGGTATCGGCATTTTCAAGTTTTTCCTCCTCCTTCTCGATTTGTTCAAGTTTCTTCTTTAATTTTTTAATCTTCTTCTGTATGGAATGTACGGAATCTTCAATATCATTTCCATCAGTGGATGATTGTTGTTCCAACTTTTGTCTATTGGCCACAGCAATTTCGGGATGTTTCTCAATAAAGGCATCAATAATTTGTTGATTTACATCTTTTTGGTTTTTCGATTTTGTAAACATCAAATCCTGTTTAGCTTGTCTTCGTGTAACCATTCCGGCATCTTCTTCATCCGAGCTCTCATGATACGTTTCAATGATGCTCTTCGCTTTGGCATTCAAAATGAAATGCGAATTGGCAGCAACGCTTCGAGGCATTTTTTTGGGTTGAAAAAAAATTTGAACTTCTCAAAAGCTTCGAGTAAGAACACAATTCAAACCTCAACAAGAATGATTCAATATTTATTGGTTGTTCATTGTAATTCTCGAATTTTCTACTTCATTCCACCCTAAGATTGCAATTCAATACAAATAATTATTGGAAGGATCCGTAGGTGGATTGTAAATGATTCTGGAAAAGTAAAAGTTATTCTTTGGATTGCAAATGACTTGATAGACTGTTTCTTGATTGCAGTTCGGATAATTCGAGATACATTGCATGAGAAAATTGAAATAGGGAGTATTGAAGGGAATGTTGCGGAAATGAATATTGTTGGACATGAGTTGTGAGTTGTAAAGTTGTTTGGAGAGTTGTTCCTGAGTGGTATTCTCAACCAATTTCAATTGAGAAAAGTCTTGAATGTGTTGGCTGAGAAAGGCTTGAGCTGCACATTTCCGATCTAAGGCATTATGAAGGAGAAGATCCTCGCCAGCCCATTCCGGATCGACACTCTTTTCCCAGTGATCAATATTGGTCTGAACGAGGAAGGCTCTCTGTGGTGGCTGTTGTTGAGGTAATTTTGTTGGAGAGTGTTGTTCTGTTGGTTGTTGTTGCTGTTGTTGTTGTGTAGGATGGTCCATCATCTTCTTCATTTCCCGATTCAATTGCAATCGATTCAAATCACTTGTACGGGTCTTACTCAACAAGTACGCATCCTCCTCTCCACATACGACCAAATAACATGGAGCCATGATGGGATAATGATCAATCCATCTCAATGCAGTCTCTAAGGAATCGGCCTCTTCCAAAAGTTTTCGAATCAAGTACTCGGCAGGATAGTAATTCATAAAACCGGCCAACACATTCTTCACAAAGCCAACAATTTCATTGCTTCCTTTGTTCTTTCGGTAATTGAGTGAAATGCTGAAAGGAGTGGCAGTGACAGAGGTCGTGTTGTTCTTGTTGATGTCACTTGCAACACTGAATTGACGATATCTCATGCCCGTTAGAAATCCATTAAATCCAACCCATGTCGTTGCACGATAGATCAATTCGGAACCTCTCACAAATTCCACATCGATGGTCAAATTTCGAAAAGGCTCTGGAAATGTCACGGATCTATTCGTTACTACTCTTAATACTTTCCAGAGCTCTTCACTTACCTGCTATTTCTAAATCCCAGTCCAAATTTCGTAAATGATAAACTCCTTCGAGTGCTGAATTCTCCGAAGAGATTGATGTTGTTGATGCTGATGGTTCAGAAGAAGATGATGAATTCTTGTTGTTATTGCTGTTATTGATGAACTCTTTCACAGCAATGGATGAACACATGGCTAAAAAGTTATATCCCAAATTTAAATTCAACAAGTCACTGTAGGAGAGGCCGAATGCTGGTTGAGTGATTTCAGCAATTCCTTTCAATTCCTCCACGATCGAATCCGAGACGGTGGTCAAGAGTTGTTGTGAAGCCCATCCTGAAATTTTCATTCCCAATGGGCCGAACCAACCGGCTTGTTCTTGGGCCATCTTATCGATATACTCTTTCAGTGGTTTCATTTGGTTGAGATATTCCCGTACGATGGGTTGCCATCGTTGGCGAGGAGGAGTATTGAGATCGATCGTGTAGAGAGGAGTTGCTTTGAACGTAGGAGGAGGAAGTGAACCAGAGTGCGGTGATGGAGAGACGGAAGCTGCAGATGTGCAAGTTGGAATCTGTGGTTCCGTTGTTTGTTGTTGTTGTTGTTGTGTTGAAGAAGGTGTGTTGGAAGGGAGCTGTTGTTCCGTTGGTTGTGCTGACATTTTTCTGGATCTTGATGAACCAAAGACGTTGTAGTTGTTTCCATTATGAAATAACTGGAGTGACATTTGAAGCAGTCTGAAAAACTACGGTAGATATTAAAATAATAATTATTATTGTTGTTGTTTAATCAAATTGACAATGTCATCGAATTTAAATACAATCCACTTGTTTGAATAATATAACTGTCCTAATTTTAAATCCACTCTTGAATGTGATGAAATATTTATCGTAAGCCAGAATCTATTGTTGATAACGATCTCCGACCAATGGTTTTGGTAGTTTGAAAGCAAGCATTTTCTCAATGACATAAACACCCAGGAGTCCAAAGGAGATGAGCATGGCATATTTAATGTTTCTCTTGTCTTGGAGGTTCGAAACTTTTGGGAATGTGCGTTTCTGGTCATCCAAGTTCAAAAATTCCAATCAAAACAGTGTTAATATATTAACAAGAAATTAATTTGGTAATTCCAATGATGTTATTATCATTCGATGATGATTGAAATGATAACGTTGATGATAAATCATTTGTTATTATTGTTGTTTCGTTCCAATGGTGATGATATTCAAGAATTTTCAATAGGACCATCATCATTCCAACCTACCTCTCCATGACCCGATGATGACGATGTCGAATTGAATCTCTTGATGATTGAATTTTGGCAACGCAACACTCCGTACAAAGCTGTGTTGTGCTTTTGGATGAGGCTTGCAGTGAATTTTCTCATTTTTTGTTTTTGAAAATTCTCTCCCAAAGCTGTTTAGCAAATGGTTGAAAACAGACCTTCATTCAATTATTCTATATAGAAAGTAGAGAACGATATTCCAAGATGATCCAATCTCTAAAAATTCAGTTTACATTCCCTTGGTTATTGAGATCCATTGATGATGATACGCCTCAACAACAAAAAAAATGAAAGCTCTCTTTTCTAAGGCCAACAAGGACAAGAAAAACGGAGGCACAGACTCTCCCTCAACGCCTCCCAAGAATCCAACCACTGCAAATAATAATGGGAGTAACAGTCCATCATCATCACCTGCAACACAAATACCAGGAGCATTCAACACATCAGGAGTAAACTCGGGAACATCCTCACCAAGTTCAAGTCCTTCAAAGAGCCAATTTTGTTTTCCCAATGACTCGTCGTCCCCACAGAAAACTCACTCACCACTCATGAAGAAACTCTCCCAAGCAATGATGGTGAGTACCACCTCTAAAAGAAAGGATTCATTTTCAAAACAAGGAATGAGCCCTTCTGCATTATCCACAAAAGACGTTTTTCATTTGGATTTTGCTGAAGATAATGCACACTCTCCTCATTCCCCAAAGACCCCGAATACCTTCAATCAAAGACACATCAATATGGACCCTTCAACAACAACTCCAAAGGACTCTATATTCAACAAGTATGATTATGATGAGAATGGAAATATCATGGATCCAATGAGTTGTCTCATGGACAAGGATGATGTATTCATTTTAAGCGGAAAGTTTGGAAGAATTAAGAGTGCACCTACAACTCCTTCCACAACCGATCAATCATCATCATCAGAACAGAACCTTAATGAAATCATTGAGGAATGTATTTTAATCATTGGAAAATTGAACATTTATCGCATTGAAAAAGACCCTTCATATCATGTGGAGCTTTCGGATTTCGAAAAAGAGGTTGAGCAAGAAATTTTGAACAATACGAGCAATTTGATGAAGCAGGCAAAAGAAGAGGAGAGGAAACGTTTGGGACTTTCTACAGATCAACCACTTCCTGTCGAGCTTGCAAACGATCCCATACTTGGAAACAACAGAAACACAAACCTCTTATTGCAAACCGATATAACTGAACCGGTGGAAGATGTAAATTACAGATCAAGATGGATTGTGAAATGGAAGGTCCCATGGTGTATGATCAATTCGGTAATTTCAGGAGAGCGTGACAGGGTGTTCACCATCTCATTCCACAAAAGTGCAAGTCTTACAGGATTTAAGCTAAAAGATTTCCAATGTTGTACAAAAGCGGATAAGGAAATTTGGGTCAACGTGCTTACTTCATTATTGAAGGAGTACAATCAGGAATATTTTGAAAGTAAGTTTGAAGGAGCTAAAATAGATTCCTATTTACATTTATTTGTTGATGCACGTAATTGTTTTCAAAATATTTGATATATGAAAAAATTTAGCATTAATAATTCCATCACCAGAAATTTATCAAAGCCATCTCTACATGCAAAAAAACGATGTTCAAAAGCGAGCAGTGATCCTCTCCAATAAGAAGTTGTACAACGTCAAGATGGCAATTGGTGAAACTGATGAAAAGAAAATTAAGCATAGAGTAAGTATACTTGGTTATGAACAGAATCTTTTGACATGAAACTCTCACAATAACCAGTTTGCAGTTCCTTTGGAATATATTAAGGGTGTGAAATCATTCACAAAGACACCAAATGGAATTGAAATTTTGATTGACCGAAAGAAGGCCTCCAAAGACAAAAATTGCAAAGGGTCCCTTTCCGATCAATATTCATTCACTACCGACACTGAGGCTACCAAGATCCAATTCGTGACAGAGCTAGCTCAAGTCTATTTCTTCCTTACGAATCATGAACTTGCTTATGAAATGACAGAGGGAGTAATGCCCACAAAATAGGTGTGAAATTAATCGAAAACACAATTTCCTTTGAGTTTTGAAATTCATGGAATTGACATCACAAATATATTCTCTTTTTCAAATTCCCAAATTCTAAAACCATTGCTTTTCGTTTTTCAATCCCTGTGATTGTTCAACAGACAGTTTTCGGCCTGAATGAACATTCGGCCATTTCTTTGTGCTCCTTCTCTTTGAGAAGCATCTCTTTTCTCAATTCTGCCTTTTCTTCTCGAATTCGTAATCGTTCAAGATAAGAGTCAGGATCTGAACTGATCCTCAATACAGATCGAACATGAACTTCTCGATTCGTTTTAGGATGAAAGGTCACCTCTTTCAATTCCTGCTGTTCGATCAATTTCTTCATCGCTTCAATCTTTTGTTGTTTCATTGACAAGTCTCCCTTGCTCATTTCTTCTACCGAGCGAGAGGGAAGTGTTTCAGAAATCTTATTAATCTTGGGTTTGAAAGTACAGTCTTTAGTGTTCATGGCATGCAAGTACTTTTCTTGAATCTCCTTTCGTTGTTTTTCAGATCGAACTCGGTCTTCTATTCTCTCGTGACCATTATGTTTTGTGATGTTCTGACTCATTCGATTAATTACTGGTTTGTGAGGACACTGCAGAGACGATTGTAACGATTTCACTTTTTCTTCTTTTCTCTTCAGGGTATTAAACTGTCGTTCCATAAACTCTTCAAATGAATTCCGAGAAAAATTAGAGATGAGATCAGAGTTGCATGTGCTCGATCGTGAAGGTGATGCTGATCCAGGTCTTTTCAAATGAATACTTGACGAGGACAATCTAGATGCATTTCCAAATTTTACATCACCTCCACCCTTATCTTGTGAATTTGATTTGGTTGTATCTGATATTGATGTCAAATATCTGGGTTGAACTGTTGGATCTACAATAATATTTGGTTTGAAAGAACATTCTTTCATTTTCTCAGCCTGAAATTTTGCAACCTTTTGTTGTCTTTCTTTTTCTTTTGTTGCTGCCATTTCGTATAACTTTAGACAAGAACCTTGAGAGACGGAAGAAGAAATAGATGATGTCATATCAGATGTCTGGTGGTATGAAAGATCACTCTCATTGTGTGAATGATTGTTTCTCTTCTCGAGAATTTGATTGGTGACATTTGGTTTAAATGTACAAAGTGAACTTTCTTCCTTTTTCATTTCTTCTCTTTTCTTTTTCATTTGTTCGTTTTTTCTTTGCTGCCATATCAACATTCTTTCTGCGAAGGGAATGGTTGAATTTGAAGGTCTTGCTGTGGCATAACTCGAATTGATTTTGGGTTTAAATGTACATTCTTTTTCATCCTCAAAAACAAATTCCTTTGGTCGGCTTCGTTTTTGTGATTTAAAGTCATTCTTAATGAAAGCATTTCGATGAGTATTCGGTATTGTGTTGATATTTGAATTGTTTCGAGGACAATGATTTTCCTTATCCAAGTTATTTTCATTAGCTGTATTTGTATCAATGAGAGACTTTGAAGCATTTCTCATATATTGATTATTTCCAACGTCATCACAAGACTGTATTTTCGTTGCCCAAGTTGGAGGCTGACATTTTTCTAAATGATTGACATTTGAACAAGAGGATCCTTGAAGAGTTGAATTATTTCCTCGGAACTGGTCCTGCGGTTGTTCATCCAGCAGTTCATCATCATGATGCGAGGTCATTAACCTCTCAGATACAAGCATCGTTTGAGATTGCAACTCCGAAAGCACTTGTTGAATACTTTCAAAAGAAAGTCCATCATTCTCAATAGTTTCCAAACTCTCGCAAGTAAGATCCAGAACTGGATGATGTTCATGTTGATGGACCCCATTCAGAAGATATCTTTCTGAACTCATCCATGAGATCTCTCCTCTCCGAGTTGCAAATTTGCAAAACACATTATTCGAGCTGTTTCTTTTTTTCATTTTTTTTCAAAACTGTATGTTACGTTAATTTGGTTGGCGGGAATTTCTAAATCGGGTTATTCCACCTTATGATCATTTATTCATTCGAAAACGAAAAGTAATGACCACCCGGTTCTGCACAGTGCTTGATAAGGAAACCCAGCGCAGGAAGAGACCAAGGTCAAAAAACTCGCTTGGTGGCAAGCCAAAAAGCAAAACAAGAAATGCAAAGTCCGTGCACCGTGTGTTTCACTTTCTCTCCATTTCTTTCTCCTTTGCTGCATTTATAGAGCCATCACCGTCACCACGACTGGCCATGACTCGTCCTTTCATAGCTTGTGATTTCTCCTTAAAATAAGCCACCATCGAACTATTTAACAATAAGGTACTTCCCTTGATCCATAATCCATGATTAGGTCCAATAATGACTGTTTGAGGTCGAGAGTAACCACGTGGTGTGTAGGTATCCAATTGTGAGCGAGGAAAGGATTGCAACACTTGACGCAAGACAGTGTTGACAGTTTTGGCATGTTTGTGTGCGTGTGAGGCTAATTTTGTTTCTTTCACATTTGTGGCATCACCAATAGCGAAAATGTGGTCATAATGAGTTCTGGTGCTGTAGGTGATGACCGAATCCTTTAAAGTATTATTATTATTATTATTATTATTGGTATGAACTAAAAAAGGTGTCATGACATGATGATCCTTTGAATTCATCGCTTCCACTTGCATGTGAGCATTCACACAAATAAATCCATTCGAATCAAGACTCTTAGAAAAAAAGTCTCTCAAGAAATCGACCTGAGGTTTCATTCCAGTGCAAATAAAGCATACCGAGCAGCCCACTTGAGTTTCAGTACTCGAGGAATGTTGAGTGGAGCAACACGTGTCATTGCTCTTGGTTTTTACAATGAAACTTTTTGATCCGTTTTGTGAAACAATTTCAGAATTTAACATGACCTTCACATTGGGGAGAGAATTCTTGAAAATATTCATGACAGCATGGTGTGCATCTTGAATTGGTTTCATGAGTTGATTCGATCGTTGAATCATGGTGATCTTTCTCTCTCGATACTTGCCAGCAAGAAAACCAGAGACTTCCACTGCTACGAAACCTCCTCCCAAAACACAGATTTCTTCCTCTTCTGATAATTGTTCAATAATAGCATGAGATTCTATTAAAGAATTGGCGTCATAGGGATTTATCCATTGGATTTCATTTCGTTGTGAGGAAGATGGACCCGATTGGATTGGAAAATTTTTCCAGCACGTGCACATCCAGGGGCCAACACCAAATAATCAAATTTCATAAAATATCGATCAGGAAGGGGAGTTGTTGAGTCTTCCAGATAATCTTGCATGCTCTGTATTTAGACTGGTCTCTGTTCTTCTTGAACTTTCAGCAGAGTGCTCATGATCTAATTTAAATACTTCAAAATTTTCTTCTTGAGGTTCAAGTGTTTCCACAATGACTCCGACTTGAGAGGCCAATATCACCACACCTTTCACACATTTCACGTTGGAGGGTAGTGTTTTCTTATGAGAAATGGAAATGTGATGAATATTATTCTTATCACTAATTAAGGTCGGATAAATGGGAACTAAATCCATCGTTCCCTCCTTATCAATGAGAATGATTTCAAACAAATCTCCTGAAAGTTGTTTGGCCACTTTGTATCCAGACATTCCTCCTCCCACAACGATGAGACGTGGTTTTGAAAGGTGTGGATTCATTCGAAACCGTTGTGATGGATTCTTTTCAAAACTGAACATTTGTTGTGTCTCACCGCCACTTTCAAGAGGTTCAATCCATCCCCATGATTTCATGAATTGTGCCATGCATTCTACAAGTTGAGAAGTGAGTGAAGAGTGTGAAGACTTGAATGTCTCATGTTGCAATGTGGTGTTGTCATTCAATGAATGGCCACTCCAGGATGCTGCTACTGTTTCTTTTTGCTGTGCCATTCGTTCGATCCATCCTGTCATCCACTCCCACGCATCTCTCACTTGAAACCAACAACAAGAAGATGAATTAGAACTGCTACTACTACTACTACTACTACCACTTGTCGAACTCGTTCCAAACCACCGCCATGGTGAGGAGGAGGAGAAGGCATTGTTTTTCAAGACACTCAATTTCACTCCACTGTATGGTTTTTGCATGCCTCTCAAAATGACCCATCGCATGGCCTTTTTGAATTGAACAAGTTCATCCAAAGAGGAGGAGGAGGAGGAAAAGGTTTTCCATTCATCCTCAACACCGACATGATCATATTGATGAGGAGAATCACCCTTTCAGATGATGGCTGCTTGGAGGAGAGTGGAGAAGAGGTATCGGGAATGTTCTTGTTCCATGCTGATCCACTTCTTGTGAGACTTCGCACCAATATGTTGGACGGTAATCTGTCACACTTGCATTAAATGTCATTGGCACCAGGCCTCATAATTTTCAATCCCATCAATTCCAACACCAAAGATTACCACCTTTTTGAAATATTTGAAAACATAAAGATTGGTGAGAAAGATTCGAGAGAAAAAACTGGAATTGGTTGTTGTTTAAAACAATTCCTTAGACCACATCATGAACAACAGCAGCATTGGTGATGGCTCAGATCCTTCATCATCCGAACCAACGTTTATGATAAGAGAAGGGTTGAAGTTTCCTCGTCTTCAATGCTATGATTGTGCTGACTATAGGTAATTCCTTTTACAAATACTTAAGAGAATTGTGCTGACCATAGGTAATTATTGTAATAGAAATCCTTTTACAAATACTTAATAGAATGAATCTTCACTCCACTGGGATAGGCCATTGAATTCAACATATTTCCTCCATAATAAAAATTGCATGCAAAATAATAGAGCTTGGGAAATGGTGTGATCGAGTCTTGTCTGGAAATAGGACCATTCAATAACATGAAATCTTCAATGACTGTCACATGTCTTCCATTGTGCCGAATGAGTACTTGGGCGTATTCCTTCTTTCGATCTCTTTTTCGTTTTCGCGAGAAGTGATTAATTCCTGTCACTTCAAATGAGATCAAATCTCCTGGTTTCCACTTGTCATAAAATAAACCAGCATTACTTGTTGAATAACATAAATATCCATTGCTGGCATATCCTAAATTCAATTCCACTTCTCTGGATCTTCCACAATATCGAGATCGAATGTTGTAAACTCCAAGATAGTTGAATTTTGCAGAAATCGTTTCACTCATGGGTTCATTCACAAGAGCTGTTTGTGTGGGAGTTCCAACAACATCACCATGTGAATAGAGCAAGTCACTATCCACAATTCCCAACAAAATAAAATTGTCCTCATGTATACGAGATTTGAAATCTCGATTTCGTTCTTCCACGATTTGAAATTCAACATTCATGTCACACAAGATGGGCTTATTCATTCGAAACAATTGATAAGTACATTTAAGTCTTGGAATGTGTTCAATGGGTGCCTTAATGACTTTTCCATTTTCACACACCACTCCTCCCCGTTTTGGAAAGGTGTAGAATGTGTTAGAGGTGGTCACGGTTAAATCTGCTGAAGATGATGATACCGCAGACATGTTCAGATGAAATGAAGAGTTGGTTGAGGAGGGCCCTCCAGAGCTGGAAATCATCAGGAATGACGAAGAGTTTGGATGCATGAAGGGAGGTGAAAAGCAGCGACTCGAATCCATCGAGGTTGTCGTCGTTGTCGTTGTCATATTCAAATGAGGATTGGGAGAATTTGGAGCATGATAAAAGTGATGATGATTGAGTGAAGAAGGAGATGATTTCCATCGACTTTCTTTTGCAAAAAAAGTATTTGGATGAAAGTAGCAATATTCTTTTTCTCGGCTAATGAATGGACTCCAACACATTCCGGTAAGAATATCTATCAAAATCATTTTCCATTGAGGTTCGAAGAAGGAGATTTCTTGTTGAGGGAAGGTTTTTTTTTGAATCTTGTCTGTGGAGGAAGAATTTGAATTTTGATGACACGTGACAGAATTCGATTCGAAAAAGGATGAGCAATGATACACCTCCACCTCTTGCAAGGTCCTTCCACCTGGATATTTGTAATACATTTCAAAATATTTTGGAAATTGTTCAGTCACAATAATTTTGTAAAATACTTCATCGTTGAGTAATTGATACCATCTCGAGTGAACGAGCATACAATTCAATAAACTACTTCCATTTTCAAATCGTTGATAAATGTCTCTTCGTGTGAGAGGTTGTGACAAAGAGGACATTCCATTCGAATGTGTGTAATGATTTGCATTTTCAAACTCAAATAAGGTTGCCAAATCGAGTGCGGATCCCAAACAAGCACTCATTGGAAGAAAGGCCATAATTTGATAAAAGACGAACCGATCTCCCAATGCTTCATCAATGAAATTGAAACTTTTCGAAGGTCTACTTTTAGGTAAAATTTTAAGAGGAGTTGAAATTAATTTGTTCGTGGAGGGACTTGACTTTCTGATTGCACGACTGGGTCCACTTGCTGATTGTGTATGGTTAAGGTTTTCAGAAGAATTTGGTCTGGTCACAATGTTGTGATTCTCGTGGTGACCATTGCTAATGTTTGGATGATGTGGAGTGGCATGATGATTTGTTTCTAATTGAAAGCAACTTGAAGAGTTGTTGTTGTTGTCACTATTACCACCACTCATGGAAGAATGACTTGTTGAATTCATGTTAGTTAGAAAACTCTTAAAAACATCCCGTCCAAGCCAATCCGGTGTGGAAGGCGATGATAGAAATGCAAACTTTTTGTGAAATGTGAATGACTTTCGTCTTCTTCGTCTTTGATTGAAAGTGTTTGTTGTAGTTGTTGTTGTTGTTGGTGGTTCGGAATGGTAATAATACTCGTCAGCATGGAAAATTGGTGCTTGGGAGAAATCATTCTGCTGCTCTTGTTGTTGTTGAGAAATATTGTTGTTTGCTTGTAGGGGCGGAAGTGACATTCGTATGTTGAGTGAACGCAATTTTAGAAAGAAATATCATTGAAGTAAAAAACACAATGAAGTGTTGGCTAATTATGGAAGTATGTGGTTGGGTTCTTTTTCACACATGTTGCAAGAAAATGTAATTTTTAAGGGTATATGACGGGAATGGAATTTCGACATGTGTGGAAAATTCATCAATTAATCACCAAAATCCAAACACGCTGTCACAAGGATTGCAAGTCAAATGTATTATATAATAATCATTATAATAATCAAACTTACCTTGTTGTTGTAATAATCTTGTATTTATTGGAAATAGATACAATGGTCGTGGATGATCAAAAATGGGGTTGACACTCTTTCAGAAGGATCACATACGTGCAAAAGATGGGAGTGGTTGTTGTTGCTCAATAGAAGGTTGAAAGTAGTAGAAGCGGTAGCAGTCTGATCAGAATAGTGAATTTGAACTTCTCATAATATTACAATAAAAACTGGAATGGTCCAAACTAAAATTTTGTGGAAACACATGAGCGTAACAACGAGTAATATAGTATCGCTGGGGTTCATAATTACTTTCTCTTTTGAAGAACCTTGGAAATGCATTCCACAAATTGTTTTCCTAGGTTTTCAGTTTCTACTGCACACGTGAATTCTGTATAAATATTTCTTTCTGCATTGTGATTCTTCTCCAAGAATTTGTTTTTGATGAATTCTCTGGCGCTTTCATAGTCGTTTCCTGTGTATTCGGGTTGATATTTAGAGAGATCTCTTAATGTCTCAATTTTTTCTTTGAAAACGTCAGTTTTGTTCAGGAAGAGAATGATATCGGTGTCTGTGTGAAGTAGTAAGGGTGAGTTGAGTGATCGTGTTGTCATGGACATGCAACATTTCCATATCAATCACGCATGCACACAAAAAAGGTGCATGAAACGATCAGGTCGATCACAACATAATTCAAAAAAGCAATCCGGTTATGCCACTCTCAACAATGTCACCAACAGCAAACATACCTTTGAACCAACGATTATTGCAAACGTCTTCAAACAAGTACAAACTCTCGTTGAGACGTTGCGTCGATTCATCTTCGTAACACAATTGGTTATACTCGGACAAGCTGCTCACGTACAGTAATGCATCAACTCCTTCAAAACAGTGAATCCACTTTTTACGTTCTATATAAAATGGGAAGAAACGTGTTTCACAAAACATGTCACAAACAAGGAAAAGGTGGCACAACAGACATGTGATTTTTTGTCACCAAAAAGCACGTGAATGCATTCATCACAACAAATTGAAATACCATGCAAAATATCATTCGGAAATAAATACATGAATAGCAAGCCATCAAACCACTTTGAAACATACCATTTCTCTGACCACCCACATCAATAACCTTGACAATTTTACCAATTTCTTTCAAGTGAAATTCCATTTCTGCAATACCAGTCGTTTTCAATCTCGATCTCAAAACATCATCCACGCTTGGTAAATACGAACTTGGATCCTTAATTCTATCCATGGCATTAAAATAATAAGCAGCAGAATCAGTAATCTGAAACAAATTTCTCTTTGCAAACGCCTGTTGTATCGCTTCTTCTTTCGTCCACAAAAACTGAATATCATTCGCCAACTCGGGTGTCCAATGTCGTTCAATATTCAACAAGGCATCATCATCCATGCGTTGCATAAACTCGGAAGCAATTCGTTTCGATTCATTTTTTTGAATGGGAATTTCCAAGTTCTCACAAGCCTCAATCAAGGCTCTCATATTCCTCACAATATTGCCGTAAATAATTTCACGAAAAGTGGCGCGCTCTTCATCGGTGAAGGGTTCCTTGTGAATGATTTTCATTTGTTTGAAAATGGTACCTGTTTAGCCAACAAACAGGAGGAGGAGGAGGATTGTTGTTGTTGTTGTTGAGAGGAGATGTGTTAGTTGTTATGAAATATCATCATCATCATGGTATTGATGATGAATATTATTGGGAAGAATTTCCATCATGATTGTTGATGATGGATATCATGTTGTTGTTATGATTATTATTGATAATGTTGTTGATCAACCGAACCGAACAACATATCGTGTCATAGTGATGGAGAGTACATTTTGTACAAATATACACAAAGACGGGTGATATATTCGCCGTGGTGGTGGTGAACACAAAAGTAGCGTACGATATGCAAAAGCAGTCCACATCCATCCATTCACACACACACACATCGTACGATGATATCATCATCATGGAATGATCATAGGATGGGTTCATCATGGCCGCCAAAAGTTATTGTTGTTCGTTCATTCGTTCATTCGTTCATTCATTTTCAAGCACGAATCGTTCATCACCATCACAAAAGCGAATATATCATCAATAATTTCCATTAATCAGCGAAAACAAACGAGTCAACCAACGATGCATCCTGATGACGATAATGATTTTAAAAAACTTACTTTTTCCACTTTCACCAGCACCTAACAACAAGACACTCACTCGGTTGGGATCCTTCTTGGAAGCGTTTCCAGCATTGTTGTTGTTTGGTGTTTTCGTTTTGTTATTGGATGTTGTTGATTTACTTCCCGAATCTCCAAAACAGCCCATTGTTATGATGATGTCAAGTTTTGAATGTTTTTGAAAAAGAAGGAGAGAGAGAGGATTGAATACTTATTCGAGTCAAAGGTGTATACTCGATGCTTGCGTATGATAAAGGGAGAGAAGAAAAGCACCAATTGTTGTTGATGTTGTTGTCGTTGGTGTGGAATGGTTGCGATGCTCGCACTCAACGGCTGGCTGGTTGTTGTTGAACTAGCGAAAAAGTGCAATGTTCTCTTCGTGTTGTGGAGAGAAAGTTGGATGGCCAATCGACTTGTGTGAGATGGCAGCTGAAAGGTAACAGTTTTTTTTCTAAATAGTTTTGTATTAGTGACAGATGACGTTTGGCGGCATTAAACGCACGGGAATATCTCGCAAAGAGACATCATTTTAATGTTGACTAGCGAGGAAGGTCGTTGGTGTTGTCAAAGTTCGACAGAACAGTGGTGATGCTGTGCAGATATACCCAAATATACACACTTCTTATACAAGAAAGAGAATTATTATTTGTTGTGAAGCATGCAAGTCGCAATCGTCAATCTTAAAGGCAATCGCAAATAATTTAAACACCTCAAATCAAAAAAAACAAAGCTTGGAATGACAAACCAATCGGCATGTAAGTGGTCGGCCAGATCGGATATCTAATCTGCTGCGGTCACGTTAGATCCCACAGATATCTGTGAACGAGTTTCAAAAATTTTCATCATTAATTTATCACCAATCGATCGACACCTGATTGTACAAATGAGGAGTCACTATTGTTGTTCGCTCCAAATGCTTGCCTTATCTGAGTGGAACCAGTGATTCCTTCTTTTTGCAAACGAATCTTTAGCTCGAGAAGTTTTCGCAAATTGGTAAATTGTTCGATTTGTTTCATGTTAGGATCGTGTGTCTCCTTAATGTATTTTTGTTTTTCTCTCAATTCCTTGCTCATTTGTTCGAGTTTTTCAATTCTTCCCTTCAGGAAGGATGTGTAAGATTGATATTCGAGAGAAAACTTCTTGCCAGATTTTGGATCTAAAAAGTCCTTCTCGTCATCAATTCTCTTTTTCATTGCATTGTTAATGGAACCTTGACTCTGCAAAAGGTAGTAAAGGCTTTGCTGACGTTCAATCTCCTCTTGAAGTTCCTTAATGTCACTTCGTAATTTGGTCACCTCACTCTCTTGACCAAGTTTAATATTGTCATAGACAGCCTTCTTGTCATTGTACTCATTTTCAATGGTTTGATGTTCTTCTCTGAGAATTTTGAGCTGCTTCACCGGTTGCTTGAGACGTTCCTTCTGAGCATTGATCTTTTCATTGAGTTCTTGCACAATTTTTGAAATTTCTTCCAAAGTTTCTCCCTTTTCCTTATCAATCTCGTTCTTGGTTTGGGAGGCATCAATGATTTCTTTTTGTATTTGTCGAAATCCTTGAATACCCTTCTCTTGTTCAAGCTTTCTTAAAAATTGTTCAACCTTTTCATCTTTCGATTTTAAAATTTCTTCTGTTCTTCGCAAAACGAGGTTCTCTTTTTTGAGCTCTCCCAATTCAGCTTTCATCTTTTTGGCAACATTGGCTTTCTGCATGACTTCTTGTCTGAGTTGTTCAAATTCCTCAGCCGTTGGAATTTTCTGCCCCTCAAATTGTTTCAAGTCATCCTCGACTTTTTTAATTTTGGCTTGAACTTTAGAGAGTTCTTTTTGATTGGTTTGAAGTCTTTTTTCCATATCTTGCTTCTTTTTCTGTACAACTTTGACCATTGAGGTTAGTCTATTATCATCTTTGTTTTGTTGGTTTTCAGTTTTTTGAGATAGTTCGTCTTGTAGAGTGGTAATTTCTTCTTTCAATCTTCGAATGTCACTGTCAACTGATAATAAAGCGTCAGTCATGGACGACATGTTTGACACTTTCTTCAAAATATCAATCTTGTATTGTTTCTCACTAATTTCTGTTGGAAGCTTGGTTTGAGTTTCTTCTCGCAGCTTGGAGACAACGTTTTCCAAATTTTCAATGAGAGAGTCAACATCACCAGATCCAATATCCCTCTCGGTTTCAGTCAATAATTTTTGAACTTGAGCTAATCGATCTTCACTCTCTCGAAGTTTATGCAGCTGATCTTGTTGACTCTTTTCCAGAGAAAATCGTTCGTCCTGTTCCTTATTGAGCTTGCTAGTAAGATCAATAAATGCTTCAGCATCATTCTATGTTGTGGTAATAATAATAATTGCAACAGGGGTTGTTGTGAATGAACGTGTGATAGTTATTATTATTGTAATAGTGTCATGACATCGTTAGAATTGTTGGTGAGTGTGTGATGATTATTTCAATCCAATCGGTTAATATCAAATCAACATGAAGAATCACATACCGTTAATTCTCGAATTTTCTTTGTCAACTCTTCGTTTTTCACTTTTAACTGCTCCTTTTCTCGTTCCATTTTGAAAATACGTTGCTTAATTTCCTCCGGATCTTGGGTGCTTTCTTTCAAAGTAGTTGTTTGCTGGTGGGTCGATTTAAAATTCTGAATGAGTTGTTTGTATTGCTGATAGATATTGTTCACCTCTTGATCCATTAAAAATTCATCCGGAACTTTAATTTCGACCATGTATTTGGCCAAGTATACTCTCTTTTTCATGTCATCAATTTTCTGACAAATACTAAAGATGATGGGGTACAATGTTTTCCGATCTCCGTTAATGATACCGGCTGCCAATTCATTCCTTCATATTTTTTGGTGTAACCAAATCAAAACCGCAATTATTGGAGGATTGGGAAATTACTGTTATACAACATCATTCCAAGCAGTTACAATACTTACTGATTCTCTTGTCGGAGATGTTTAAAACCCAAGATGACCACAAGAAAATGCATCACTCTTTGAAATGTTTGTTCGGGAGGTTCCTTATTTAAATCACCTTTGTATTCAGTCGACAAGTATCCAATCAAATTGTTCAACAAATCCAATAATCGACTTGGTTTTGAACTGGATAATTCATCAAAAGAGACCAACGTCAAATTCATTTTCAAATGCTTATTCAGCACTTGAACCATCATTTCAATATCCTCACTTCCGTGTCCTTGTTCTCGGAAGGAGACTCCACGAGTACTGGAGGCACGACTACCTCCTCCACGACTACTTGCAAGAGCACTTCTCGCCACCGCCACTTCCGACATGTTTCAAGGACGATAATAATCAGGGAAAGAATCTACAATTTTTTTTAAAAAAAAAGTTGTACTTGCTTTTGGCGGAATTTATGAATTTATGTACATTTCATGGATAACGAGGATGAAGAGAGAGACTATTGTCAATCTCCACACACTCAACGACATGATATATGGCAACTGTTCTCAGTTGTTGTGGTTATTGCATGATATATGGTACATGAATGGTGGGTTGCCATTCCTCACCTTATGGTCTCAGTTGTTGTAACACTCTTCACCTAATTCTATTGTGCATGTTTTGGATCTTTTAAAATGATTTGAATTTTAAATTGAAAGAAGATTACAACACGTCAAGGTATTGCCTGTTTTTGTGTACTATACATGAAGAGCTGTCATTCTTATTTCTCAAGCTAGGTGGTAAATGACTGTAACAAGGTGGTTCATCAGGTCGAGTCACAGTGAGAAGGGGAACTTTTACCAGCATTTGTTTGTCTAGAGATGGATGGAGGAGAGACCTTAATCCTATAGCTGATTGTGAATGATAGATCTTCTTCGTTGGTGAATACAACGATTGAAGAGAATGAAATGTGGATGATAGTTCACCTTTGACACGACGCGAAGATTCGTTTTGAACGACTTGAACGTCTTTTGAAAAGCAGTTTGTGCTGAAAGATCGAATCAAGCTATTATTACCATTCTTGTGATTCGAAATAATGATACAATTTCCAGGAGACATTGCAGTTGCAGCATTGAACGTTGAAACTTGCTGTTGATTGTCCTCCATAGGTTGCTGCTGTCTTGAAGAAGATAGTTTTGGAGTGTCCTTTGAGGGAGAAGAGTTTTCAGCAGGAAAGCCACGTTGGTTGATTTCCATTGTCTCCTCAAGGAGAGGAGTAAGAATTCTTTCATGGTATTGAGAAAAATGATATGAAGACTGTTCTGCTGCCATGGAAGAACATTCGACAGGAATGGTTGGTCTTCTTATTGTAAAGGATTGCGAATAGGGCTTTGAGATCTGTGTATTCAATGATGCTGTCCACCTCCCACCATCAACCATGGCTGTTGTATCATTAGACTCCTGAGTGTCCATTCCACAACCTTCTGGTTCGGATGGTTCATAATCGTCCTCAAGAAACGACGTTGTGAGCAAGTACTTCTTCCTCATCTTGTGACATGTTCCGTCAACCAATTCGGCGGCGCATGATTGGTGCTGCCTGTCGACAACCACATGTGTCCCTGCTGGTAAGGATGATGTTCTTCTTAATGATCTACCATCATGAAGAATGTCTGCCGAGGTTGTTTCATGCAGGTCCTTTATCCTTCTTTCTGTTGCCTTCTCATTGTGTGAGAACAATGATGATACTGAAGAATGCTTTAGATCCCTGCATGTAAGAAGATCTTCTCGATGCTTCAACTCTTCGTCTTTTGCTCTCTCCAGTGACGTCGAGGGCATTGATTTTCTTATTGTGAATCGAGGTGGACCTTCACTTGCTTCTACAAGATATTCGGATGATCTGAGAGGACGTTGACCTCCGTTCATCCAAGAAGGAGCAGCAGCATCACTTGACCCTGTACTGTTTGTTGAAGACGACGTTCGTTGTTGGGATGAGGAGAGACCAGAACCCATTGTTGTTGTGACTTGACACTCAGGAATGTTATTTTTCTTGTTGTTGGTATTAAGGTCAGAGTCATTTCCAATCAGCAGCATCTGTCTGATCCGATCCAAAGAGTCACATTCAAACAGCCAGAGTCGATGGAGATAATCTTAAAATATTTCCTTTTCAAGAGAATTGTGAAAGGCCCTTGAAACTGCTTGAGTTCCTATACACGTTCTTTGAGCTAAACCTCCTCGACCTTTGAGTGTAAAATTGGCACTCTGCTACCAATCGTGGCGATCGCCGATCGGTGAAAAAATCGGCCCTCCAAGCGGCCAAGATGAGCGGCGTTCTTTTTTTACAGCCACTACTACACATGTACAAGAAGAAGGAACGATCGTTCATAAAATTCCAAACAAATTCTGAAGGTTGTCAAAAGACATTTAAGGGTTGTGTTAAAACAACATGGACCACAAACAGAACAACAATACACACTTCTTTTTATTTCAACAACATTGTATACAATAACGGTGGTTTCTGAATTCCTTTTCAATAAAGCGTTGTCTGGGATTGTCGTGGAGACAAGGGAACAAAGGATTGTAGGTGTTGGCACGCCGTCAGGGAAGATTTGATTGTCATAATCATTATTGCTTGTGTCACTTGTCACAGAATAATCGATGAAATCTCCAAATAGGATGCTAATGGAACCTTAGAACGAGCGAGGACAATCATTTGTGAAGATTTAAAAGCTGATGAATTTTTGAAAACCTTTTTGACCAATGGTTTGACAGTGAAAGTGAAGATGGTGGATCCTCATGCGTTGAGAAATGAGATTGTGGAGAAGTGACAAGATGAAGAGGGAAGTTGGAATGTGGCGTATTTTGCGAGAGCGACTGCACGTAAGTTAATGATGAATCATTTGAATCTCATAATTTGGCATTTGACATTTGTTTCGAATTGAAAGCCATGATTGCCCGAGAGATTTCGTAAGCGTTTACAACATTGTTAAAATTCCTCAAGATCAAGAAACCATCTATACATCCACGGGTATTCCTCATGATTTCTCCGCGTATCAATTACCTCCCCTTTTCAAGCCCTTAGAAGGAGCCGTACGTGGATTTAATGTTTTTACCACCTTGCGTCTGAAAGAACTCTCGAACGGAGATTTGAAAATGAGTTATGCCAATCAAGCGCTTCCCAATGGATGGATTTCCTATAGTATTGTGAACGCAGTGATTTTTCAGTTCCACAAGCGTTGGGAGAAACTGCAAAATATTTGAGAAGGAAATTGAAGCATTTGAATGATTCGGAAGGAAAAAACCATTAAGGAATTAAGTAATTTGTTGTTGATGTATGAAATGGTAGTTAGTTGATAAGAATGTGCTGCTACTATTGATGATTTTGCAAAATCAGCAAAATGTCAATGGTTGAAATTAAAAATGTCATTGACACTGTTGTTAATAGATCGCTTATATTCACCCAAAAACACCCCGCAATAACACTCTTCCATTCTAATTCGATGCAATTCCTGATCAAATTTGAATGCAAACCCATTGCTTTTCACTGCTTCAATAATCAATTCACGGTCATGGTTGTAAATGCTTCCCCAAAGTTCTTGCAAGACACTTCCATTTTCGCGAACGGCTTGTAATATAAAGTCTCGATCGTTCTGCAGTTCTCTCGATGCATACGCCATACATCTGGCATCCACATGTTTGATCAATTGTAAAAGAAAATCCCTGTCTTTCTTGAGCTCCAACGAGGCATTTGAAAAAGAACTAGAGTCTTGTTGACAGGCACTCAAAACAATTTCCTTATCTCGTTTAAGCTCATTTGAGGCATGTTGCAGGTATTGTCCTTTGAAAGTGACCAGTCGCATCATGAATGACTTGTCACTTTTGAGGGAAGGTGAGGCAAATGAAAGTGCTAAAGAAGATTTCTCTGCTGCTGCATAGACAATTTCATTGTCTTGTTTCAATTCAGCGGATGCATCTTTCAACAAGATTGGATTTCTTTTAACAGCTTGCAAAACAATTTCCCTATTGGTCCATATAGATTTTGACATGCCTTTGAGAGACAACAGGTTGTTCCTTTGAATTAATTCTGTCGCCATTGATATATCGTTTTTCAAGGAATTCGAAGCGTATTTCATTGCTCCTGGATGTGTCTTCACTGCTTGCAAGACAATTTCTTTATCATTTCTTAATTCTTGTGAGGCATATTGCAAGGCAAGCCCATGTTGTGAAACTGCTGCAAGGACAAGTTGTCGATCTTGTCGAAGTTCTTCAGAGACGTGTTGCAATGCAAAGCCAAACTCTTTGACAATTGGTAAGGTCATGTGTTTATCATTCCAATTCATGATCCTCATGTCACTTGTTATGATGGTAGAAGAAGAATGATTAATTTCTGCCAATGAAAATGGCCTTAATGATGTTGCATGATGAAAGGCAGTCAAAATCATTTCACAATCGTTCTTTAACTCGTCAGATGCCCATTCAATGGCTTTGTAATTACGTTGAATGGCTTCCAATATGAATTCTCTCGATTTTCGCCATTCTTCTGGAACATGTTTCATTGCAAGAACAGAATATGGGAGCGCTGTCAACACCAAATCCTTATCCATTTCTTGATCACAATTATGTTTGAAATTTGCCAGAATTTCAATATTCATCGAAACGGCCTTCCTTAGAAACGATTGGTGTTGCATCAACTCGGGAGAGTGATCCGTTATTCGAATCGACGCTGATGGCCCAAGACTTTGAATGACTTGTAACATGAAATTGGGATCCTTTTTTAACCTTTCGGAAGCAAAATCCAACACTGACAAAGTACCATGACTTTTGACAGCTGTCAAGACAACCTTTTCATCGTTCCTCATCTCATCGGAAACAAAAGGAAATGCACACCCTTGAGTATGCACCAATAATTGCTTGACCAATGAATGATCCTTCCAAGTTTTTAAACAAGAACCCTGCATTCTCTTGAGTGCACAGCAAATATCATCCGAAAGTTGTTGTTGTTGTTGTTGTTGAGAGGAATATTTCCCAAACAAATAAATTGCTTTTTCAATCAAATTCGTTCCGTATTTATGTAAAACTTCATCCGAAGCCAAAGATAAACCATATCCATAGCGTTCCAAATGAGAGGAAACAAAATGAAAATCATTCATGAATTCAATGGGAAAGAAGCGTGTTTGTTGTTGTTGATATCGAGCGAGAAGATATTTCTTCATTCCGATTTGTTGGCGATTGAATTTATGGCAAAGGAATGATTCCAATTTTATCGCAATGTTGTTCTGTTCATTATTGATTGTGGATGGAAAGAACTGGAGCGAAAAATCCATACATTGAAGGCTTACAAGTGTCATGTTGGACAATTAATTAATTTTTTTTAATTTTTTTTTGATACTTTTTTTTTTAGGACAAGGAGAAAATCTTTGAAAGAACGATCAAATTCGAAAAACAACAATAAGAAAAAGATAGATATTATTTTTATAACATTGAAGATCACTCTACTAGATCATGACCAATGGCTTTGTGTTTTCAAGTTCTTCATACTTATCAAGCTTTCGTGTGTAAAGCTGTCCTGAACGAATAAAACAATACACTCTCAGAAAAGATTCTGAATTGATAAAACCAGTTTTTTCAATGTCCCATAACTTTCGGATGGCTTTTGCTTGTTTTTTTCGAATTCCAAATGACTTTAAGGCATATTTGAATTCTTTCTTGTTCAACAAACCATCCTTGTCCTTGTCAAAGTTTGTAAATACGGTGGATGCTTGTTCTTTGATTACGTTAATATTATTGAAAACATCTCGAGAGGCGATAATTCCGTCTGGAACCCATACAGTAGGCGTTTCGTACATTTTTTTGGAAGGTTGATGCTCTAATTGTGTTAATTCCTAATAATTATTAATCCTTTTTGGTAAAATCCGAATTGAGAGTTCTTCCATTTAGGGACGGATCTTCTTGTGTAACACACAATGTGTGTAACAAGAATTCAGCTCGTTCGTCTGGGACACAAGCTAAACATGAAATGCCATGTTTCCCAGAAGTTCAAAATCCTAACTAAAAAAATAGGATATGACAGTGAGAGCTATTAAGGATGAAAGATGATAAATGGAACAACGTGAACAAATTTTTGTTCAAAAATCTCACGAATTTAGGGGTTTCTAAGATCAATATATTGAGGTGACCCAAGAATTACATCCTTGAGCTAATAATTTATTTGATATTTTTTGCACCAAGCGAAAAACGCCCCATCGCTTTTTAAACTTGGAATGTATTACATATCGCTCGTCGCCAAATTCTTCACCTCCCAAGAATCAATTGAAATGCTTAAACTGAATTTCTGCGTTAAAACTAAATCTTCGAAGAATCCTCTCTCTAATTTTATGAGCCATTTTCAAATCAAATTTGGAAGATTAAATTTTTTAAATTGGCATATTATGCCTTTATAGTTGAAAATCACCAAATAAATTTTACAAACCACTCAACCAATAAAATTCCTCAAATACTCAGAGTCAACCATATCCAACCAATCAAATTAGCTGATTCATCATGGCGAGTAATATAAATTACAAGCTTACACCAATCACACAATAAAACCCAAAAAAAAAAATGGCAGAGGATGAACAACAGAGCTTGATTAAATTACAGGCAAGCGAGGAAAGAAAGCAACAACACAACAAAAGAATTAACAAGTACACAAATGCAAAGAATGCTTTAAAGAAATTTGAAACTTATTCGCGTATGAATGACAGAGACACCATTGCCCAAGATATTGATGAAGCATTAAATTCTTTATACAGAGCTGAAAATGAATTAAATCAAATGTATGAAATTGCAAAAGGTTTCCAAGACAACCTAATGGAAGAACGTAATATGAGATCAGAATTAGAAAAAGAAAACAAGGAATTGCGTGACAAACTTCATCAAGCACAAAAGCATGCTCTTCAGGAAGTGATTAAACAATTGGGTAACCTTTCTGTGGATGAAGAAACGAATGAATTGGTATTAAAAATCAAAAAAGAAGGCGAAAAAGATATTAATCCTGTCAGTAGTAGTGAAGTAATGGATAATAAAGAAAAGTAAACCGTTTACTTCAGCACGAGAGAGGGGAAATTGGATGTGTCACATTTGTTGTTATTGCAAAGCTGGAAGAAAATGAGTGAGAATTTGACCCCTCGAATCGTTCACTCCACATGCGCCAAGTAGTTGTTGTCAAAAACAACAAAATTCTCGACCTTCTGAATCTCCTGGAGGAGGGGCCTGGAAATCAATCTGATCCTGATCTCACAGATTTACAAAGGATTGAGAAACTCGTGGGGATCGAGCAAATCCTGATTTCGTGGGAGAAGATAAGCGATTCCACAAACAATAGAGTTATTTAAAGACGAGATCATAGAGAAAATCATGAACAACTAATTCCAAATACCTTTGGATTATCAAGAAAGCGCATTATGCATGCCGTTGAAGAGTCTTTACAAAGGTTGAGTATTGATTGTAACTGTAATTCACATGTTTCAGATCATTCCTTCAACTAAAACGACAACTCTCTATTTCCCTTATTACAACAACTTGGACATTATTCTTCGATGAGACAACAATACTCCAATTGAGGAAATCATGGAAGCTTTGCATGATTTAGTAAAATCAAGTAAGTCCGTTTCATTGGCACTTCTTCCATGAGGGCTTGTCAATTCGCAAAGGTTCAACACATGGCTGACAAGAGAGGATTCACTAAATTCATCTCCATGCCAAATCTCTACAATCTATTGTATCGTGAAGAGGAACGTGACATGATCTCATTTTGTAAGGATGACTGTGACTCCATGGTCCCTCGAGAGGAATGTCAGCAAGAGCTCATGATTATGCTGAAGTAGTCTTATAGGTGCGCAACGAGTTTTTTCGCTGGAGTGAGCAGAGATTCGCTTGGAAATGAACTAGAATTATTTTTCCATTGTTAGTTTCTCATCACTCTGCATCTTGTTGCAAAGCTGGAAGATTTCGAGTGAGAATTTGACCCTTCGAGTCGCTTCGAATCGTTCACTTCATATGTGCCGAGTTTATTTTCTTCTTCAGTTGTTGTTGTGTTGAAAGTCTTCGTATGTTCCAATGATGAAGAAGCTGAGGAATTTTTTTTCTGAACGAAATTTGTGAATTGGAATACTAAATTTGGTAAACTTCAAGGCACGAATCATCACGTAAGACCTGTCATCATCCACATGTGGTGGTTGTTTGTGAGAAAATCCTGATGAGGATCATCATCAACACCATCTGAATCTCCTGTAGTCATGTTCATGGCACACCTTCTCCTCATGGTTGACCACATGCATGTACCATCCATACAGATCGGTCACTCTCATAAAGCATGTAAATCATCATTTCAATAATAAATCATCATGTAAATAGTCCTTTCCATCTTCTCACTACAGTCATTAATGATGATGCTTAATTGAAAGACTATTCAAACCATTCAAAAAGTGTGAATTCTCATTCTTTTTTTTCTTTCGTTTGTTGTTGTTGTTTGGAGACGAAAAGTGTGTTGTGTTGCATGTCGGAGGAGAATGCTTGTGAGTGGAAATATTACCCAACCAATCTTCAGCGGAAGATCTTTGACACAAATTTGGAGTTCCATTTTCGAAAGGGACAACTATGTCCGATTGTACGCTTGACATCCACTTCGACTTCTCGCCTGTTGTTGGGTCCTGTGATCTCATGATTGTATTGCCACAACCGTGAACCAGCATGTCAACTGGAGGCATCATTGGTTGCATCAGATGAAAAGCATGTGAATTGTTGTTTGTTCCATCTGAATGTTGGTGTGGCATGTAATGACGTGTGGATTTAACATTCAACATCGAAGAATGCTCATGTTTTGACATTTTGACCATCGTTGTCGTCGTTGAACTGGATGGTTCAGTGGGTGTCTCTGTGGTAGTTGTTTCTGTGGTTGGCAAGTAGGCACCATGATGTGATGAATCATTCAAAAGTTGAATGTGACCTCTCTGTTCATGTAAATACATGATCAAGCTCTCTACGATTTTCAATAGTTTTGCATCACATGCATTCAGGATGGAATGAGTTAAATTTTGTGCATCTGAAGATTGGATCCGACATTGCATCTCGCCACCACCTCCAACTTGGTAATCTGTCACATGCTGTTGTGTATGGATGCTCACATTGGTCAATGTGTCCTTTTGCGAATTCAAATCCTCAGAATGTGGTTGTTGTGGTTGTTGATGAGTGAATTGTTTGTATTCATCATGGATCGAAGAGGTTTCCTGTGGTTGCTGATGAGTGAATTGTTTGTATTCATCATTGTACTCATCGACTTGTTGTTGTTGCATTTCGAAACACATGTGTAGTTGGAGATTGATTGGTTCAATCGTGTGGTTATTAGGATGATTAGGGTTTGTTTTTTCATCCAATCCTTGAGTGTCCACATTCTCGAGACATGATTGGAATTCTGAGAGAATATCCTCATTAAATAAATCTTCAAACTCTTGTTGAGTCATGTTAGAGAAAGAGAGGCATGAAATTTGGTCTGATGAAAGAGGTTTTTTTCAGGTGGTTGGATTTCATCAAAATGGAAATTCTTTTTTGGATTGACTTTTCGCAATCACGCGACGTCACAAAGGTGTTGCCAAAAGGATCGGTGTGGCCGACCAAGAACACCTCTTCCTCCTCACAAACATTCGTGAAATCACTCCTCTTTCGAATCAAACACTCGGCGGTGAAGATCTTCACGAAGGTGGTGAAAATGGTGTTATCCACTCTTCAGCTTGTCAACAACAAATAGAACATTCACGCCAAGCTCATTTCTCATTACATTCACTTGAATATTCATGCACTCGATGGTTGTAGGACACTATAAATATCACACACTCATCTAGAAACTTCTGTTTCTTCAATCACATGCCTCTATTTGTCACCATTCTGTTGGAATATCGGAATTTTGTGTACAATTCTTTCTTCACCAAACTGAGAGAATGAATTGCAACGACATGCATGTCGTTTGACTTAACATGCTCACATGTGATGAGACACTCAGAAACCAAAAGGTTCTTCTTCTTCTAATCAGTGAATGAGACATTTCTGGCAACGAGTTGAAGACGCAACGATGGATCATTGCCTTCCTTCGAACTTATTGGCACCTGAACTGCTTGTTGCCACTCTCTCATTGATGGGAAAACATCGATGAGAAGGCAGCACGTCATGTTATTTGCTTCTTATCGAAATGATCGTTTGTGTGCTCCTTTTTTGATTTCAATGATGATCATGGTGGTTGCAACAATACGACGGTGATGGTGGTTGATAGCTGTTGACGATGTGGTCGCATGAGATTGTTCGCAACTCGAGTTGTGATTTCGTCATTTTTTGCTTTCGGTATTTATCCATGGTCAAATGGTAAGATTTGAGTTACGTTCATCGCGATGAACCCACTCTTGCAAGAGAAGGGACTTGATGGTCACTCGTGGTTTATCGTTTGTTGTTTTGCCAATGACATCAAAGCAAGGTTCCCCACAATGCATATCAAACAAGAGCCTTCACAAGTTGTTTAAACCTTTGTCGTTGCAGTGAATATAATTCGTCACAACGACGAGAGGTTGTAGCCGTGGTGGTTTCTATTTTGACAAGTGACACCACCCGAAGAAAACAATTGAGTCTTGAAATCAATACTACCTACTAAAGGCGTTGTTTCGCTTGAGATGTTGTTATTTTCTTGTGAGATTGTGAGAATATGAAGCTAGAGGAGTAATTCAATCGATAAATTCATCGACATTTTGCATGAAAAACAACCTCAATTCCGAAGTTTTTGCCAAAAAAGACATTTGACTTTTTAATATTAAGCAATCATCCCGAGCATAAAAATTAGTGATAACAATAATGATGTGTGTTTAATAAATGATTATGATTAGGGATGAGTGTTTACAGGGATCGACTAGCAAACGAGATGGAAACCTTTCGGCAATATTAGGGACGGTATGGGCGTATAGAAAATTCTGATGAACACGATGATGCGGCGGCTCTTAGAATGAAGAAACTTTGTAAACAACGGTCACCACAAGACAAATAATGGAAAAGTAAATAATGTCTACATGGTGATTGTCAAATGTTCAATGTACGTTATTTTGTTATTACATTTTGTAATTTCCAAAACAAATAAAAAATTGATTGTAAAATTTTAACAATTTATTTCACGCGAATTCAATGAAACGTCGTTGTCAATTCAATTTCCAATTCAATTGCTTGAAACTATTCATACTTACTCATCAAGAACGCTTCCCAAGGTTCCATCACAAAATTAGCACTCATGATTTGATAATACAGGTACTTTCTCTTCATGTATTGGAAGAGAGACATTTTTTCTCGAGAGTGTGTCGACAGCTTGGTGAGCGAAAGGACAAATGACGCACAAAATCGGACTATCGTTGGTGTTGGGTTTTTTTTAATTGATTGAATCTGCTTTTGGGTTTCGGAGGATGATCCACTTTGGGATCTTGGAGGTCAAGAGTTTTTTACAAAATTTGAGGAACGTTACAACGAAAATAAGAGAATCAAATTCTCTCGAATGGAGGAACCTATCGCTTTCGGAGGACTCCATGTGTCAATACTCTTCAAAGGATTGAGGATTTATTTGTACATGCTTCCAAGAGAGGAGTTAAAACGGTTTATGTCACTGAAATGCATGCAGAAATGATGTTCATTTAATGTTTATTTGTTAAATATAACTGAGTGCTCAAAAACACGATCGATTATTGCTACCTTAGTAACATTGCCGCAAGCTCATTTCCAACCACACCAGGACGTTGTAGCAGTTTGATTTCGCTCTAAGAGACTTGGATGATGAATCTCTATCAATTGAATTGCAATTCGTTCTCTTTCATTCGACCACCTTCACACCTTATTATAAATAGGTATTAATTTTCGAACAAAGTTTTCCCTTCATGGTCAATCGTTTCTTTTCAGAGGCTCCATAACTTTCACCCTCCGAAAAACACGACTTTTTTTCACACTTGTCTCCATACCAACCACTGTAACAAGAACAAACATGAGGTCCCACACATTCACCATTTCCACTACACACAGAATTGGTCTTGTGATCCAAACATGAATATTGCTCACAATTAGTTCCATAATATCCATCACTGCATTGACATTGATTCCAAGATACGCATTGACCTCGTCCAGAACACACCAAAGATGTCTCGTTTTTCAAAATTCCAAAACAGGAAAATAAGGAACAGTCCTTGTTTAGAACATGGCTCTTACATTCACAAGTATCCACATCGACACAAATACCAGAGCCAGAACAAACGTTGGGATCTGTCGAATTGATACCAAAACATTTCCAACCTGAAGAAAGAGCCACCACTTGGACATAACTATTCGCAGTAATCAAATAAGGAACTCCTCCCAATGATTCCTTAGTGGCATACAGAGTTGGTATGGCCAAAGATTTCACCGTTGGTTGTTGTGAAATTTGGAAAAAGGTACTGTCTGATCCCATGGTGTAAATATTTCCCAAAGAAGTTACAAAATAAAAATGGTCCAACACTCCCTCTCGAAAAGCTGCCACATCAATGACATATTCTTTTGATGTGCTTTGGTTGGGTATTGTCATCATGTCCGTACTTCCCATGTGTCGAAACAATACTCCATCCTGTGTGATCATGAATAAGAAAGTCGAATGAATGGGCAGAATCATTTTTTTCACCTTCTTTCCTGCAAGTTCCGAGTTCTCTCCTATCGGAATTGGTGTGTAAAATGCAGAATCTGAAAGCGAGGAAGAAAGGATGGAATTGGAATTGGAACCACAAGCGTAAACACGCCCAGTGGATGTCAAAAAATAACTCGTTTCTGTTCCAACAGCCACTTGAACAATTTTCACTCCCAAATAGTCATTGATTCCAGTTTTTCTAAAATGATCTTCAATTCCAGTATCATAGGCTCCCAAACAAAATTGACCAAACGAGTTGGAACCTACTCCATAAACAACTCCATCTGAATCAATGACCAAGGTGTGACTATTTCCAGTGGCAACACTTGTCAAGTTTTGGAGATAGGTAACTTTTGTTGGAGTGTCCAAATATCGTTCAACATGTCCAATACCAAGACGGTTATTGAGAGTGTCTCCCCATGCATAATATGATCCGTCGGATGTCAACATGACAGCACAGTCGTAATAGATATTCAAAGAGGTCATATTTTCAGTAAATAGGTATGGATAATTATGATTCAATATAACAGTAGGATTGATGGCATTCGAATAGGGCATTAGATTGATATGCGAACCTTTTCCCCATGCCAAGATTTCAAATTTGTCATCAGACATGGGTGACTTTGAAAATGCCAAAGAGGCTCCTGAAATGGTAAACAATTGTTGAACATTTGACTGATGCGAGACAATCTGTGATTCCGATGGCAATGGCACTTCTAACGGAAATTGAGAAAACTTTAAATCACCCACACATGTCTGTCCGAAGGTATTGTCACCCAATACATACACCTGATTCATACTTCCGAATGCCACAACTGTTTCTCCTACAAAATATGCCTTAGAAAGAATTGCTGGACCCTCTTGATATGGAAAATTGAGTAAATGTGGACCGGTAGGATTTGGATTCCATCCTTGTGACGTGGAAAGATCTCTTCCCCATATGGACACGATTCCTCCACCCAAGAGACAAAATGCACCCGATGTTCGAAAAGTGGCATAAATTTGCATCACCTGACAACTTCCACCAAAGATTTCCTTAGTAATATCTGTGGGAGAATATTTGATTTTCTCGGAGGAAGAATCAATTTGATGTTCACCATTGTCTCCAAATCCAAACACCTTTGTATCACCGAGTGGTGATGTTTGAGCTAAAGCCAAGCAATGTTTCTCTCCGCATGCAATCTGTGAGAAGACATTGTTCGTGTAATTGAATGGAAGACACACAGGAATTGATGTTTGAATTCCCAGATTATTGTCGAGTAATAAGGCATTGGCATTACTTCCCCAACCATAAATAAAACCAGTGGAATTGAGAGCCAACATGGTCAGTGAAGCACTGGTGATGAATGTAATATTTGAGATGGAATCTATTTTGGCGACAGAATGGTACAACAAATCGGAATTTCCTGTTCCTCGAATTCCAGAATTCCAATAACCAAAACTGTAAATTTCTCCTGTCGTTTGAGTTAATATAAAAAATGTTTCCTGAGTCATAGTGGGATAAACAAAAGGAATTTGAAAAGCAATATGAACTTGTCTGAATGAAGTGTTACTTGGAAGACCTGTCACTAATTGCCAACGATCGAAATTGTAAAATTTCACATAAACCAATTGGTCCGTAGTGACAGCAAGACATGAACGTTCGCAATACATGTGTTGTAATGTTTTTGAAAGAAATTCATTGGTGATTGTATCGTTGAGAGAGTAGAGGTTTGACAATGGTGTTGGTATTGACAACATTGGAGGAGGAAGAGAAAATGCGTTCGAAAAGTAACCACATGTGAAAACACGTGACCGAGTAATGATTCCACTCGAATTCGAAACATAGTTCACATGAATATTTAAATTCCCACTCGATTCAGTTCCAAATATGGATTGAAGTTGAACGACTTCGTCAGAATATTCATTTGGATTGAAACCAGCTGCTGTCCATGAAAGTGTTGCATTCCATAAAATATTTTCAATATTTATCACTCGAGTCAAGTCAGAAAAATGTGAAATTGGAGCTGAAGAGGCTCCAAGAAGAGCTCCGTTTGCGTTACTGCCCCAAACTTTGATGGAGGAAGTTGGAATGGAAAGAGCATGAGAGAAAGGCTGATGGTAATTGTTGAAGATTGTTGTCGTCATTTGAATGATGATGATGATAAGGATAGATGCACACTGTGTTGTGCTGTACAAGTGACAGTTGGGCCTACACATTTTTTGGGCTGTGGTGGCATGTATTCGTGGTTGCAAAAAGAATGCTCCTAGAAGATATCTCACTGATATGAGAATTTCTTTATAAGGGGTTCCAACGAAGATGATGACGAGGTAAACCCAGAAGAAGAATTCTCATCTTCTTTGTTCTCCCTCTTATTCTCATGCACACACTTCTTGGCATACTTTTTCAATAATTGGATGAGATGGTCTTCATCATCTTCTTCTTCCGATGGTAATGTTTGAGAAGAAGTCTTCTTTTCTTGAGGCTCTTGATGATAGACATTATAGAGTTTCAACATTCTCCGAACCTCTAAATTCAAAGCATTCAGAAAGCATCGTTTGTACCGATCGTCGCGAGCACCCAACTCGGAGAGGTATCTCACCACTCCCAATCGCCCACACAAACATGCATAGTAGAGCATGGTATTTCCATATTCATCGGGTTCATGTAGAGAGGGAGAGGGATTGGAGGAGCTTTGGAAATGTGTTTGAATGGCCTCTAAGTTGCCAGTTTTACAGAGCGAATAGATGGAAGATGGTGGTGGTAATGAGGATGGCTCGGATGATGATGAGAAGGTGGAAAGCATGTGTTCTCTCACTCGCTTGTCGTCCAATTTATTAATAAGTTCAAAGGTTCAACACTCAATTTGATTTGTTGTGATCGATATTGTTTGATGCTGTTTTATGTTGGACGATGTAATCCTATCATCAGAGATCATTTGATTCGACAATTTCGAAATTGAAAAGGAATGAACGAGAGTGTGATGAAACATTTTTGTTCAAAGTTTTCAACAATCTTACTCCCAATTTATTAAAGTTGATGTTTCTTGGCTCTATTCAATTCATTCCAATATAACATCTTGTAGTCAGCATTGAGAATACCAAACTTGATGGCACCTCTCAAGAATGGAATTAAGCTAGCCTGAGCTTGAGCACCGTTCTTGGTTTCCAAGAAAGGATGAGGGTTGGATCTCGATCTTGTGACTTGAGTGTCGAAGAGAGTGTACCAAATGAGAAAGACAAAACTCAACAGGGTGGCCATTGTGGCTGGAATGCTGATAATTACAGCTCCCAAATAGTTGAAAAGGAAGAATGGTTCTCCATTTCTAAACTCGAATGGTTTGTTGTCGAGTTTGTATTTATCACTTTCATACTAATGTAAAACATGACGGAAGAAGAATTTGTTAAAAAGAGTGGAGACGAATTAAAATTTGAAAAAACTCGTTCCAAACTTGATGCACACTTACCATTCCAGAAGCAACATCAAAGAATCCAGGATTGTTTCGTTTTGCCAACGATTGCAAGAATCGTTGTTGATGTTGTGCGCATGCAAACCTAAGAACCAAAAGATTGGACTTTGGTACAGCTGCAGAGTTGGAACTCTTCTTTAAAGAACCAAGAACTGTCTTTAAGGCTGCTGATCGATTCATATTCTCTTTATGAATACTCAAGTAATACTACTACTATATTGTGAATGAACAACACAGAGATATGTGAGTGGAATTTTTTTGTATGTACACGAATGAAGATAAACATTCAAGCTATAGTGAGGAGAAATGATAGGAACGACGTCACCGATGCTAAGGCTGTACTGCCGGCGACAATGGAGAAAGGCGGCTCCCCTACGAAGGCGATGCAACGAGGATCGGTCCTTTCAAATTGGGCCGACTGGACTAATACTTACGATTCGTTTCTTCTTGCAAGAAATTGATTTTTCTTGAGTGATGAAAGCCTCTGTTCTGTTGATATGGTATAATGAAGATTGTTTTAACACAAGATGAATTCATGTCCTTTCAAAAATTCAGCTTTATGGAATGATGTCCTTTCAAAAATTCAGCTTTATGGAATGAGCTTGCGCGCCACCACAGAACTACAAAAAAAAATTGCGTCATTAGAATGAGAGCCAGCATTGCAACTTTGAACAACAACAACAGCCCAACCTTTGGTCCGAATACAACAACAGCCTCTAACACGACCTTGTCTTCACTGAAGGGTGGTGCTTCATCGGGATTTTCAACGGTTGGGGAATTGCAGGCTTTTATCAATTATAATTGCAGAAGAAAGTACTACAGCTCGATCACTGAGGTTTGTGAGTTGTTTTTAACGAGAGCTGAGGATCCGATCGTGAGATTATGGAATTCTTTTGGACATTGTATGCAAGGAAATTTGAGCGAAGCCATCCGAGGATACAACATGATCAAGGACAGAAAGGAAGTTCAATTGGCTTCATACATTGGTTTGGTGGCTGCCCATGAACAATCGGCCATTCAAGACGAACAAGAAATTGAAACTCTAAAAACATTTATTGAAATGGAACGGGGATCGGCCCAAAACTCTGCCAAACTACAAGCAGCGTTATTATATCTGCATTTGGGAGAATTTGATGAATGCAGAAATATTCTGGAAGATGTAAGTGGATCCTAATTTTGAGAATTTTTTGTTATGCAAGCAAATTCCATTCATTTTCCATTCTGCTGAAATTTTACATTCTGGATCAACAAAAAATTATTTTTAAAAACACACTCAAAAGATTGATGACAAATATAAGGACCCATACACCAACTTGGAAACAGTCAAAGCATGGGCAACGTTATTGGATGATGAAATAGAACTCGTAAATTGCGAGTCATTGTTTGACGCTTGCATTAAGGCCGACCCAAAAAATCTTGACGCCATGATGGGAAAAGCAAAAAATGCAGAAAAACAACGAAAAATACAACAAGCGGTCGATATTTGCAGTCAAATCAGTTTGGCATTTCAAAATTTCTCACCTGCTCTTGTTGAAAAATGTCTCTTGCTGATTCAACTTGATGATTGGGATCAATGTCGAGAGACTGCTCTTCGAATTATCCAAAAACAAGACCCTAACAATGTGGATGCAATGTATATTAATTTATTGTATTTATTTGTGAAAGGTTCACAATATGAAGATCTTGTGAATCAATTCAATGAATTATTTAAAGCCATCACAAAGAGAGAGGCCAAGAATGATAAATTATGCTTCTCATTGGCCAAAACGTTCTCATCACTCTCCGAAGGAAAAGAAGAATTGTTGAAAAAGTCACTCGATTTGCTCAACCTGGCTAAAAAAGCCAATCCTATCGAGGCAGACTATTTCATTCTTCAGGGACATATCCAAGTAATGATGAAGGATTTTATTAATGCAGAAACATCCTTCAGAAAAGCTCTCGAGTTGAATGATGGAAGTATTTTGGCGAACAAGGGACTTTTCAAATGCTCCATTCTACAGAATAAGAAAGACGTGGCAACTCAATACAGAGATTTTCTTGGAGATATTGAAGTCATCATGGACGAACAGGACGACGATGTTCATGAAGAGTCAGCACAAGAAAACAAATCTGAACTCTTATTCTTGATGGCTCTGTATGAACATAGATGCAACAAAAATTTGGAGAATTTTACCAAATCACTCTCTGATGCGTATGCTCTCCATGAAAAGGAACTCAGATCCATGAAGAAAAGCATTGAATATTATGGCATCTTGAATCCTCAATTTATTTTGGAAATTTGCAATGAGTTAATTCGTTCCATCCCAAGCGAACCATTGGGACCCACAGATCCACCCACCGAGGAGCTTTCCTTGTGTTCTAAAATTCTCACTTCCCTCACATCAGAAGTACCAGGACTCATGCTTCCCCAATTACTGTTAGCTAAAACGAAATTCATTATGAGAGATTTCGAATCAGCACAGCGCATTTTAGCACGTGTGTTGCAATTCGATCCCAAGAGCTCACAAGCACATATTCTGTTAGCACAAATTGCATATTACCAAGAAAATTATGCACTTGCTACCACCGAATTGGAGAGAGCAGTGAGCTATGATTTTGCTGTGACAAAACAAGCAGACTACAATTTGTTGAAGGCTAAAGTACTTGCTTCTAAAGGAGAAACCAAAGATGCCATTCAAAATTTAGAGAGAATCCTTAAGGCAGAAACAATTCAACGAAAGATTTCAGATGATGAACTCATATCCATTTACTTGGAACTTTCATCGGTTCACTCAAGAAGAAACGAACATGTGGAAGCTGCCAAATACATTGAACAAGCTTTGGAAAAATTTGCTGGCACTGAGCAAGAAGGAAGAATTATTATCGCCAATGCCAAGCTTTCCATCAGTAGAAATGACTCTGATACTGCCATTTCAATTTTGCAATCTGTACCACCAGAATCTTCTTTCTATTTACTTGCCAAGTCAGAAATTGCCAAAATTTACCTCAATAGGAATGATAAACGTGCCTACGCCAAATGCTATGAAGAACTTGTGGAAAAGTCAACCAAGACTTCCTCCAGTTATTTATTCTTGGGTGATGCTTTCATGAAAATTCAGGAACCAGAAAAAGCCATTGAAGCCTATCAAGAAGCACTCAGCGTTGATCCAAAGAATTTCTCACTGAGAAATAAGATAGCCAAGTCCCTAATATTAGTACACAATTATGATGAGGCCATTTCTTTCTATAAGGAAGCGATTGATCTTGATCAAAACAATATTGATCCCAGATATGATTTAGCGCAGCTTTATCTTAAGCTTCGAAAGTTTAAGGAGGCTGAAAGTACTCTAATTGAAACAGTATCTGTTATTGAAGGAAAAAAATCGAACCAAATTAGTTTGATGTCTCAATACGTTAAAGTCATTTTGCTTCTCTCACAAGTTCACAGTAAGATGAGTGACTTGAAAGTGGCAATGAACGATTTGGAACAAGCAAAGAATATGCAAGTCAAGTAAGTTACTCGATATCGTTTAGTATTTTGTTCCAATTTTGGTTAACATTGGTTAACATTACTACTGATAATTATACGTATTTCCTCATGACTCACTAGAATTCTCTCAAAATTACAAAATTCACAACAAGACACTCTGTATTTGGAAAAACAAATTGCCGCAAAAATTTGTTATGACTTGGGAGACTACAATAGAAAATCTGGTGACTCTAAAACAGCATCACTTTTATTCAAAGAGGCACTCCAATATGATGAAGCGCATGAGTCGAGCATGCTAGCTCTCGCAGAAATTTACCTCAAAGATAATGACATTGAGGGCTGTCAAAGCCAATGTACAAGTTTGCTGCGAGTGAACAAGTCACATGAGCAAGCCACCATCATGATGGCAGATATAATGTTCCGAAACAACAAATTTGAAGAGGCTATCGAACATTTTCAAACATTCCTACATCACAAACCAAATAATTATAAGGCTCTCGTAAAATTATTGACTCTTCTTAGAAGAGCTGGAAAACTCGACGAGGCAGAACCATTTCTAAAAGAAGCACAAAATTTCTCTCCCAAGGAAGAATATGATCCAGGTTTCAACTACTGTAATGGGCTCTATCACTTGTACAGAAACAATGCAAGAGAATCATTGGTTTGGTTCAATAGAGCTAGAAAAAGTGGTGACTGGGGAGAAATGGCCACTGTCTACATGATTGAGACATACCTTAATCCAGATACAACTGTTGAAAGCTCTGAAGTTGATCAAAAAGAAAAAAATCCCAAGACCATGGTGAGCGAAAACAGAATGGAAAGTATTACTGCAGCAGAAAGATTATTGGAAGAGCTTACAACTACAACCATTTCACCACACAAAAAGAAAACTCTACAAGGATATCTCAAGCTTGCAAAATGCAAAACAAAGGATGAAATGGAGAAGTGCATTCCATTTTTTGGTGAGGTGTTGTCACAAGACTCAGATTATGTACCAGCACTAGTTGCGCTATCGTATGCATTCGAGAAGACCAAACAAACACCAAAAGCCAGACAAACCTTAAAAAGAATTTCAAAAATGGAAATGAAACCTGGATGGGAAGATGATTTCGAACGAGGATGGTTATTACTCGCGGATATTTATATTGGAGGTGGAAAGTTTGATTTGGCACAAGAACTCATTAAGAAGATTTTAGAAATCAACAAGTCATGCACTCGAGCATGGGAATTGGATGGATTAATCTATGAAAAAGAAGGTTCTTTCCAAGATGCTGCCAACTGCTATGAAAAGGCATGGAAGTTGTCAGGTGAGTCCTCGCCGAATTCTGGCTACAAACTTGCATTCAATCTATTGAAAGCAAAACGACACATTGAAGCCATTAATGTTTGTCACAAAGTTTTGCAAAAACATCCAAACTATCCAAAAATTAAGAAGGAGGTTCTAGATAAGGCTCGACTTTGTATTCGACCATAAATGTCTGTTATGGAAAATAAACCATCATCAATAGTGAATATGTTGGAAACTGTTCATACCAATTTAAAAAGGTCGGAGTGATGTTTGGGATGTTCTAACGCTTCTTTAGTAAGGGAGTTGTTTGATTTCAAAACCTTATCAGTTTCTTGTGAAAAAAATGTTTTAGTCAACTGAAAACTTTACTTAAAGTTCCTGGTTGACTAAGGTATTGGTATCGAGGAATGCATAATTGTTCTTACTTGTTTCTTCCACATATGCAAATTTCGTTTCTCGAAAGACAAGGACTGATTCATAATGATGTGAAACCTGAAAATATTGTGAAATATGACGATCGTTATTTTCTAATTGATTTTGAAATTTCAAAATAACAAAGAGGGATATCGAAAATCCAATGGAAATTGCATACGTAGTGGCATTCCCTTAAAATCAAAGTCCATTCTCCAGGATATCGTACTCCAGAAAGAGGATCTCTTGCTTTGATTTCAAATCAAAGCTGGATAACTTCACCACCACTGCATGACTCTATTGTGAAAATTCTGACTAAAGGAGGGACAATAATACATGTTTTGATTTGATTCAAATAACCATAAAAAAATAGTTCACTTTTCCAATATGTCAACAACGGATTCCACCTCTCCACCACCTTGCTTCACTCATCACGATCGGCTGACTCTCACCATTGAGAGTGCCTCTAACTTGGTCGCTGCTGATTTGAATGGTTATTCAGATCCTTTCGTAGATGTTTCAATTAATGGCGCTTACGAGAAGAGAACTTCGGTAAGATCATGATCTCTTGATCACCTCAACATGTTGAGGGTTAACTATTATTATTAATCGTGAATGATGGATTGCATAATTAACAATTTCATTATTGAATATGACCGACCACCTTCATCATTGTTCAAACTATTACCAATGTTTGATATTCAATGATTCCGATCAACAACCACACACCAATGTACGATGATGATGGATCATCATGAACAATCATATTCCTGAATCATTATTTAGATCAAAAAGAAAACTTTAAATCCCGTTTGGAATGAAACCTTTGAATACCGTTACTTGTTGTACATGATGAATTCTCCCTATCAATCCTTTTCTGTAGATTTTGAAGTTTATGATTGGGATCGATTCACAAGCAATGTAAGTGTTTAAAGCTCAAGTGTTCATCCAACTTGTTTCATCGGATCATCACTGTTTGTGATTTATTACACTACCTGATCACATCATTCTCTCACACACACTCACACACACTCACCTCATCATGATGATCCAATTCATATGAATATTAACCGTATCAAGGACTTTCTTGGTCGTACCTCTCTTGAAATTAATGCAGCCCACATTGAATTTGGAAAACTCTACACTGTTGAACTCCCACTCAAAGATACCAAATCAGGAATTCTTAAAGTGAGCTACAAAGTGGATCGATTAGCTGAGAAAGTTGTGAAAAAGACTTCCATTTCTTCTTCTGGTGGAACCTCTTCAAGTACTTCTTCATTGAGATTTATTGATGAAACCTTTCCAAGTGAATTCCGTCCAGCTGCTCCAAAAGGTTTCAAACTCATCACTTCTGAGTCCAACAAATTATTGGGAACTCATGTGGCTGTGCTCATGAACACCACAACAGGCGAGGTTTTGACCATTACTTACAATGACCTTAAAACTCTTCCATTTGACGATGGAGCCAAAGTTTTCCTGGATGTTTATTTGAAAAATTTGAAAGATCGTGCAGACAAGTCTCGTGGAACGTATGAATTAGAAAGTCGTGAAGTGGATGTGACCTCTCGAGTGTCACATCACAAATTTACAAAGGTTTTGGAGAGTCGTTGTTTGACTACTGTTCAAGGTAAAAGAGTGTATTGTGTTTCATTGACATGTGGCTATTCGTGTGGTGTTTTGTGTAATTTTGTTTGGATGAATGCACAAAGTACTTCCTTGCCAGCATCCAAGTATTCTCAATTGTTGGAAATTGCCAAATGGACTGAAGTGAGTAAGCCATAAAGTTGAGTTTTTGAATCGACAATTTTTGTTTGTTGACTTTAAATCATGAACGTGTTCATGTAACATTTACATGTTCTTGTAATGCATGCTCCTATATTCTTTCATGATTAAGAGTTGAGTTGGATCAATCGCATTAAGAATTGCAAAAAAATGCACAAGATGAAGTTTGTTTTTCATTGTCCACCACTACCACAATTCATCCAAATCACAACATGGCAATCTTTCTTTCGGAAACGAGTGTATGACTATGGTCATTTCATCGGATCCAGTCGTAACTCTCAGTTGCAACAACACTATCATCACTTGTTCCAATTTCATTCTCAATCGTCAACGAAGAGTCATGGCCATACAATTTTAAATTTGCATCACAAGAAAAAAATGCATCACTCTCAAAACTTGACGGATTCTTTATCCTCTTCGTCATTAACACTATCATCTTCATTAGTATCTAGTAATGCACCATCATCATCTTCCAACAAGTTCATATCGTTTGGTGAACAGGATATCCATAATGGATGTATTTTAAAAGTTAGTCTAAATTCGGAATCTAGTAGTAGTGGTAGCAACTTGGATTCATATTATTATGAACAATGTAGTGAACATTTAAAACAGGGAGGATTGGTTGCCTTTCCGACTGAAACAGTTTATGGTCTCGGAGCCAATGCTCTCGATGAGAAGGCTGTTTATTCCATTTTCAAAGCAAAGAAGAGACCTCTCACCGATCCTGTCATTGTTCACGTATTGAATGTACAAGAAGCTAAAAAGTATATTGTGATTGAAGAGAATTCTCTATATATGAAATTTTATGATTATTTGGCTGAGTGTTTTTGGCCTGGTCCTCTGACGATTGTCAGCAAATCCAACGAGAATATAATTCCCGATTGTGTTACGGCATCGACAGGATATGTGGGATTGAGAGTTCCAGCTCATCCTGTGGTTCGTAAATTGTTGGAACATTGCAAGTTACCAATTAGCGCACCATCTGCCAACAGATTTGGACATGTCTCTCCAACCACTGCTTCCCATGTCATGGAAGATTTAGGTTGCTACAAGAAGGAAGAAATTGATGGTGAAAATGTTTTTAGAATTTTAATTTTAGAGAGCTCGGAACAAGATGGCAAACATTCGGAATGCAGTGTTGGAATTGAGAGCACTGTCGTGAAAATAACTGCTGCAGAGCAACCAAATGTTTTAAAACTTGAAGTACTTCGAAGGGGAGGTATTTCAGTGGAACAACTTCGAAAGTGTGCTCAAGTTTTTGTCGAAAGAGAATCCAAAGACTCATACAAGCCAGAAATTCTAATTGAAACACGTCAAAAAACATATAGTGTCAAGATGAATGATACAACAGCTCAAATTGCTCCTGGACAGTTAATTACACACTATGCACCTTATGTTCCTGCTTACATTTTGGAGAATGTGGTCACACGGACAGAATCATCACACTCTCTGAAAGAAAATCACACACTCGTTCCAATTCAAGAAACTATTATTGTCGATTTCGGAGGGAAATTACAACATTTAAGCCACATCTGTCTCGTATATAAGGATTTATCTAAGGATGGTGATATTCACGTCGCTCGTAAGAATGTTTTTCAAGTATTGAGAGAATGTGAAAAGATTGAAAGCGCTCAAGCAATTTTACTTCCAAATTTGTTGCATGTTGACATTGAACATGCCGATTCTCTTTTTGATCGACTTTTTAGAGCTGCCAGTGGAACCTTTGCATGTCTCATCGAAGAGGAGTCAGGAAAATATTCATTGGAAATACCGAGTCGATCCGATGCTGCCACTCACCCCTCTCATTAATCATCTCGTTGTTCTACCATTTTTTTAAATTACAATCTTATTTAATTTCTTTTGACATAACCTAGAAAACATCTATTAAATGAATATTCAACAAATTATTATTTACAAATTATTAAGAAAATATAAGAGACATGTAGTGAAATTCAGTTCAAAAAAGAAAACATAAAAGAAGCATGCCACCTGGTGTCATGATGTCACGCACACAACTACTTACTTTTCCAATAAAAAATCCGAATTAACAAATGAATGATATTCATCAAATAGTTCTGTACAATCTGTGCCCAACACTTGTTTCAAAATCTCGACACCTCCGGGATGATGATCCAAAAATTTAGTGATATCATACACGCGTTCTCGTAAAATCACCCAAGCATCTTCCACTGTATTGTGTTTGGCAACTTCACTGATCGGAATGGGACCCAATGATGATGATGCATTCGGAGATGGCATTTTCATGGTGAGCATACTCCATTGTCGGAGCCCAAAGCCTGGTTTGAGAATGACCTTTTCACGTTTCCGGAGAGGAACAACAGTATTAGTTGCATGGTTGGACGATGCAATCGTTTTGTTGTTGGAAGAATCCAAAGAAGAAGAAGGAGTGATTCCGTTCGAAGTTTTGGTAGTGCTCCCAGAAAAGAAGTATGAAAACATTTTTTTTTGAAAGATTTTGAAAATATTGGTTCGTGGCTGAGAATCCTCAAAAGTTTGATCGAAAAGCGCGCGCTTAAATTGTTTCTCCTCCTTCGCGGTAGATCAATAGTTGGTTTCATTAGTTATTCGAACTGTTCAGAAAAAGCTGTTTTGGACATGGCCATTAAACTGTTGATTACAATGAATCAGACAATGCCAAAATGTCATTTCAAATCATTCAATGTGTTCAATGATTTACAGAAATCTAAATCACTTCTAGATAATTCTAATTGAGCTCACAAAGTCAATCTTTCCAAATATCATTCTATTCCGTTTCTACAAGAACAGATTATTTCTTTTAGCCGACCGATCAATATTTAGAGAACCACAACAAGAAAAATGTCGCCAACAAGTCCTTTCAAACGCCATCCACATCATCACAGGGTGATACTCCTTGTGTTCGTGGCCACTTGTCATCTTCTATTGTTGTTGTTGTTGTTGTCGTTACATCATGTCAGTGCCGCTGCTGGTTCATTCCGAACCGAAAACATTCAATTCACTTCAAAAGCTCCTTCGGGAAGCCTCACTCTTTACGGAACTCTCTTTCTTCCATCATCAGTTTCAACAACGTCCTCCTTATTTGCCAAAGAAAGAGAATCCTCTTCATCCTCATCCTCATTCTCTTCATTCTCATCATCATTGGAATCTAAAGAAGAAGAAAAGGTTCTTCAGCAGAAATTCCCAGCAGTGGTGTTGGTTCATGGCAGTGGTCCTCAGAATCGGAATGAATCCATTCAGAATTACGTCTTTCTCAACACTCAGGCACAACCCGAATGGAAGAAACCTCACTGTGGTTATACTTCTCTCAATTTCCAAACCTTTCATGAAGTGGCTCAACATTTGGCTTCCCAACACGACATGATTGTTCTCACCTATGATAAGAGAACGTGTTGCAATGCTCAGTACCATCCTCAAACGTGTGGAAAAGAATCATGTCGTGTGGATCCATTCACACATCATTTCACTGGTTCGTGTTATTATGCATGTCAAGCTGCCAATTCTCCTCAATTATTGGATTTGAATGTTCTCACTTTGGAAGATTTGGTGTTGGATGTGGTTCATGCGTTGGAATATTTGGCTCTGAATCGATCGCGTGATTTATGGTTGGATGTTTCACGATTGGCCTTATTGGGTCATTCATAAGGAGTGAATGTCGTGTTGAAGGCCATGAATGTTTTTAATGACAAGTTTCGAAAGATGTGGTCCTCTTCGTCGTCCTTATTCTTGATCAAGAATTCTCCTCTTCCACAAGTGAGCAACGTCTTTCTGATGAATGGCGTCGTGTTCGATTATGGACAATTATTATTGGACCAATACAAGAGAATTCTGGACAAGTGGATTCTCATTAAGGGAGTGTGTGAAAAAGAAGATCCCTCTTCACCACTCATCATCAATGCCAATCAAGCCATTCCTATTGCTAATCAAACACTTTTGGTCTTGCAAGATTTCTTTCCAAAATTTAAGGCTGGAGAATATTCTCTCCGTTGGATTGGGTCTATTCTATTGGAGGAGCCATCTCTAGTTATTTTCTGAAATCGTGTTATGAGTTTACATCAATTGAATTCACAAAGGAACAATTATTGAATATGAAGAGTGAAAAAAGTGATGCTGATGATCATCAGATGCCATTTGTGTGTTCATTGAATTCACCCACTGATCTCAATATTCAACCCAATGAATATGCTGCCTTGTTGGATGTTATGGCACAACGAGAACCCTCTAAAACCATGTTTCAAGTATTCGAGAATTTGACACATTTCGACACCCCAAGTGATTTGAGTAGTAATGAAATTACTCAAAAAACAATGGCTTTTATTGCATAGGAGCAAGTAATTTTACATCATGATCTTGAATGTGTGTGAATGTTCAATAACACCACAAGAGATTACGGCGTTTGCATTTCACACAATTGCAACATTTTGTTGGTCAATATAGATTTCTAAAATTGCCAATGTGACACTATTTCTTCTTTATTCACCTCTGAATCATCCATTTGTGGAGCAAGACAATATGGAAATTGCATATTTCCCTCCTCTCATCAATCTCAATCGGCAACAAAATTCCCACATTGATAAACGAGCTCAATAACAAAATGATGCCATACTTGAAGCCAATTGTTGATGATGATTCAAAGACTTGATGATCTTCTGGGCTCATTGTTGTTCTCGATGGAGTAAATCTTGCATTTTCTCAATTAGTTGCCTTATCTGTTGTCAGATCTAATTGTAAACAAATGTTCGTTCTTGGCCATTTCTTTGACATGGAAGAATAATGGGTCATGAAATGATTCGTTTGCTTGACGGTGAAGATCCCTCCAAATTCAGTCCGAAAGAACTGATTGTATTCTCAATGATTTTCTGCTGAGTGTATTTGACAATGCCTTCCCTCCATCGTCACCACAGACACAGTTTGCGTTATCCAGAACGTCTTCAATTTTTCCAAGTGTAGGGTCTTTTGAATTCTTTGGCTCGTTCTGAGAGTTCGTTGGTTTGTTCAATGAGCTTGTACATGCTTCTTTCCATTAATTTCTCGAGCGTTTGATGCAGAATTTCCTTTTTGTTTCTTTCAAATCCTTTTTACACTTGAGAATTTTGTTTGCTTGTATTGGATCTTGAAATTTCGTCATTAAATGATCCTTGATCGTTGCTGTGTATTGAGCTGGAATGTTCTTGTGTACGCCAATCCGTAAACATATTTGTAATGTCTTAATTCACTTGTCTTCAGAATCTGAATTGCCCTTATTACTAAATTCGATGTTCAAGTTATCAAAAGTCGCAGACTCCAATAGATTCTTCTGTAAATGCAAAAACAAATCAGGACAGAATGACCGTAATCATTTGAGTCTCAGAATTAAATATTTTCCTTTTTTAGAGTAATCTTTAATTTTACCCCCATTCTTGTTGATTGTTTGAAAGTTTACGTGTATATGTGCTACGAGAGGAATCAATTTCTCCTTGTCAGTTAGTGTCGTCATAAATTCCTGTTGCTCAGTCCACCAATTACAGCCTGAACAAAGTTTTGTACTAAATTTTTCTTTGTAAAAGTACTTCGTCTTCACAGACTTAATTCCTTTTCTAATATTTTCTAAAAATTTTTCTCTCTTGCAATTATGCAATATGTTGCTCACATTAATACCATAAGGTTGCTCTGAAAAGTTTAAACAAATACCATCAGCGTGACAATATATAGAGGGAAAAAAATATAATCCATCTATAATGTCTTTAAATGTAATGGAATTATTTGTGGAACTTTCAAACTCTTCTACATGTTTGTTGTAGTTCAATAAACAATGAAAGTATAAAATATTACCGAACATATTTTTGTTAGTAGACTTAGATTTTGTGATGACTTCTTTGGCCCATTTTGATGTGTAATATTTGCGATAAAAATCGTTAGATCGAATAAACGTATTGATTACAAATTTGTGGTTAAGCAATAGAGCATATGGTCTTTTCTCCAATGTTGAATGTGATGTCGATTTGTTCTTTTTCTTTTTCCCCGTTATTGTATTCTCTTTTAATATTAATTTTGAAAGGATTTTGTTGTCCTTAATAAACCCTCCGCTATGATGATGCAATAAAAGAGAAAATACTTCTTCCCATTTCTTAGAGTCATGTTGCTTGATAGATAATAATAAATGGTTGCTTATCCAGCTTCAATCTTGAATATAATTGTTCTCTACTTAGAAGTCTAAACAGTTGGTAAAGAAAGCCATTGACGTTCCAACAACAAGGTATTGAATATGTCTGCTACAATCTTTGTATTGACATTCCATTGAGAGTAGGATAACAATTGAAGAAGAGTTTCAAAAGGTGTTTTGTTATCCGTTTGTTCCCAGATGGTTAATGCAGTATGCAGGCACAGTAATCTTGCAATAAAACTACATTGAACTTGTTGAGTAGCAGTAGCATAGAGCTTGATAACAGATGGACGTTTCATGGTGAGTCCGAATACTTCTCTCAGCTTAACAGAAGCTTGATCAGTTCCACGTTTCGAAAGATATTGTTGATCAAACAGAGATGAACAATGTTATCATGATTCCTGGATTGACTCCTAATCTTCTTGCAAGCTGTAAAATGAATTAGTTTAAAGTTTAGCAAATTAAACATAATATAGTAGTTACCAAAGCAGTTTTACCCACGCCTGAAGGTTCAATCACGCAAACTGTTGATCCATCACGAATTTTTTGGTCCAACGTTTTTCTTTCACTTTCATTAAACAGATCGACTTGTAATTTTGGGAGGAAGGGAAACAAATCTTTTGCTATCGCTGTGGAGTAAGTTGGAACAAGAATATCTCTGACAAATTGGGATGACAGCATGTGTTAAAGGGAGTAAGCAACTTCCTCATAAAAAACTCGTTTTCAAGATAATCCTTATCCTTCAAAAGGTCATTCACCATGTTATTCATGACTGTCTCAAAATCAGATTTTTTCATATGCAGAATATGTCATCAAAACTTACCTATGTGAATCAATATACCAACAACAACAACTTAAAAGATAAACCTATTACCATCACAATTCAGAGTGAAAGATATTATCTCAATCATTACCGACAGTTTTGGTCAATGCAAACATTCTGACAACAAGTGCTGTAGTAATTGCAAAGAAGGTAACACTCGATGTAAAGGCATTTCTTTCGAAAAAGTGAGCCATTTACTGACGACATCTGGGACCATATCGCACAATAACCATACCTTCGTAAAGGTGAATTTCAATCATCATGGCGAATTTAGTTTTTTTAGCGTCGACTGTAATAATTGCAATCTCAACAAATATGGAGTTTGTGAAAAATATGTTATGACACAAAATTACATCATTATCAGCGAACGATTGAAAATCAAAACACCAAAATGAATCACCTTGCTGCAAAGACACAAGAATACAAAAACGTCATCAAATCATTGAAAGCAAATGTTTCGAAAGAGTAAACAATAAAATTCGTTTGTTAATTAAAGGAAGGACTAATGGGTTTGTGGTCTCTTCAAACACCCGACCTTAATAAAGGTCCGGTGTTTGTGGGATTTTCTGCATATTTTGTCAATTGACTTTATTCAGCAAATTTTTTATTGCATGATATGAGGTCGCATTTAAACAATTGCTTGATAAATCCATGAAAATCATAATAACTTGATAAATCCATGAATATCATGAAAACATGATGAATTAAATAAATGAAATTAAATAACAAAATTATATAGTTAGCTCAATAAAATCCTTGCCGAAAAGATTCGAATCAAGGTGGACCTGCACTGTCTCAATGTTCTTCCTTACCACAAGAACATTCCGATCAGCGAAAAAGGTACCTTAGAAGCTTAAGAAAGCAAGTGGGGAGTGTGAATGGGTGGAAAGTCACTAAGCAAATCAAAACGCACGAATATGCAGAAAATTTTTTGAGCATGAAAATATTTTTCGTTGCTCAACCAAACACAATCGAAACATTCATGCCCTTCACTACGTTCAGAACATATCAAATTTCTCGACGAGATATTAAAATTAAGAAATTCGAAGAATTATTTGAGGAAAAAGATCATAAAAACATTATTTGGTAGAACTTCTCTCGGTTGCACTAGAGGAAGGAAAATTACACGAAACCCAGTTCTTTTTATCAATTATTAGAAAATACTTTAAAGTACAAAATTTGGTTTCATCGAAAAATGTTAACGGTTTTCGATACAAAGAGTGTATCATTCATTGCTGTTTATTACTTCGATTTTATGGTGGCTTTCGTTTGTGGAATGTCTTGAAAGGAAATTCCACTGACGACATTATAACATCCGAAAATGCATTGGATAAGCTTAATTTATTGCTTCCATCCAATTAAGAGCTATCTTCCCGACTTGTCTTTTGGAAAACTTGCTGACAATGATTTGAAAGATGCCACAAATCATGTTTATCGTTAACTCCATGTAAGGATTGTGATTTTAAAATTGTGTAATGACTGTTTGAGAGGGAGATGGTGTCGATCATGTGATTGTGATGAGCGGGAATGTTCATCTTCAACTCAAGTCACAATTTCAGTCCTCCATGGACGTGACAAATTTTTAAGAAGCAACCACCATGGCTCTTGTAGTGCCACTTCATCGTTTTGAGACACCATTAGTGATGTGGTGTTTCCTTCATGTGTCAGCAACAATAAATTGAATTGGCAAGTTTTGATGGATTGAAACCATCATAAAATCATCCTATGATCGTTGTTTTATTAAAATTTGCAGCGAAAAGGTTTCTCGTAGCTTGGTGTTCACAAAAAAATTCGCTGGAGTTGTCCACCCGTGGAATGAAGAGCTATCTGTGACTGATTTAAATAAACTATCACCAAATTCATCATTTTCTTCCATTTCATCATCGTCTACTTCATCAAATCAAATAGCAGCTTCATTGACTAATTTGTCTGCATCGACATCTTCGCTTGTAAGGTTTTGATTGTGAGAAATTATGTCATCCCATAATTCAGCCCCTTCACAATTGACGTCGTTGTTGATTTGTTGTGAAATCTTTTCATTTGAAATGGTACAAAGGTTTTTTTAATTATTGATAAATGATGAGTGATAGGGGTTTATGTGTCAAGTTCATTCTTTTGAGGAATCTAAAACACGCGCGTCCTCGAAAACGGAGATGACTTTCTCTGACCAGCTTCTTGCTATTAATGTGAATGCATTTTTGGGCATTTTAGATTCATTTGGAAAACAAAAAAATAATCCTTCCAGCAACTCTCTCCCTTTCTTTTTATTCATGAATTGAACCAAATTAAATCAAAGAAACCTCCAATCAAAAGTTCAATACTTTTTTAAACGGACAAAATTGATGATGGATCCGAACCATCGCTGCCAGCATCATCTTTTTAGAGGTCATCATCCTCTTTCAATACGATCCGTTCTGTTCTTTTTACTTTTTTCTTCTCTGGTAGTATTACTTTTCATCACGACTTGTACTGGACGTGGAAGCTATCATGTTCAAGCCTTCACTCTCTCCCAAACTATTTATTTAAATCCTTCATTGCCCGATCCCATTGGACAACAGAATTTTCCATGTAGTGATAAAGATCATCCTTGCAACTCTCTCACAATGGTGGTCGAGCGATGGCAAGAATTGTTCAATAATACGATAGTCCCATCATCTCGTAACGATACCGAAGAATTGAATGTTATTTTACTGAACCCTATCATCCATACTGATTCCAGCAACAACAACAATAATAATTCAACACTAAATTGTAATGTTATACTTCCGCAATCAACCCCTTCAAGTCTTGCATGGAAGAAATTAATTGTTTCCGGAATGAACACTCAACAAAACAATGATTCTGATCTCTACATTTCATGCTCGAATGGATTTGTCATGTTATCAGAGACGTACCAATGGGTGGAATTGAAAAATGTGCGTTTGTGGAATATGTCTTTTGTGTTTTCTTTGAATGCAAAAACTTTAAATTTCATTGACGAGAAAGTGAGAACCCTTGTAACATTGTCGGAAAGCAGAATTGAGAATGTGAAACATTTATTCTATGGAGCTTCCAATGGAGAAGTTAATTATCCACGCTTACAAATTTACTATTCAAATGTGATCGATAGCACGATGGAATGTGGGCATCATTGTTCGGTTATCAGTACGAGTATTCAGCGAAGAATGTCCTCTGTACGTGACGATATGCTTGAATCGGACTTTGTGCTGAATGATGTTTTTGCATATTTTAATGACGTGCATTTTAGATTGGTTTATGACGTACCAATCAAGAACAATTCAGTTCCATCATCATGCTCAGATTCAGTTGGAAAACATGCTTTCATTTCTGGCATCAGTACAAAGTCTATCACAATGATTAGCTCGTCCATGGTGAGTGATAATCAGTGTGTAGTTTCCAGTGGTGTATGCTCTGGATACTCGACCATTAATTGTTTTGGTTGCAACCATTTTTCCATGCGCAACACCACCATGGACACCGTAGGAAATGTCGTTTACAAAACCATTGCTAGCAATTCAGAAATACGATCTGGATTTTATTTTGTTGACGTAGAGTTAAGAAACACTAAATGCAGCCACATTGCAGTTCAAGGAGCCACGAATGTTTATATTTCAAGTTCAAACTTTGTAGACAATTTGAGCGTTGACGGGTGGCCAATACTGGAAATATCAGATGCAGACACGTATGTTTTATAATTTTGATTAATTTTTAATTCTAAATTATTATTTCAACTCTGCTTTTTAGTGTGGAAATCAAGAATGCAAACTTTACCAATAATGATGGTGGAGCCTTGTTTTTACAAAACATTGGAAATGTGAAAATTCAGGACTCTATTTTCAACAAAATGAATGGACCAGCAATTAGATACCTTGATATTCAGCAATATTCATCTCTTGATTTGAATGCTTTTTTAATTTCAAACAGTGTATTTTCTAACAATTATGCACAACATGGTGCAGCAATTAATTCCAATAGCTTGGGTGTGACAATACTGAATTGTACTTTTTATGGAAACATAGTATCACGTCACGGTGGGTCTATTTATATTATTGAGCAAAGTGAAAACTCAAACAAGATGATGGTCATTAATAATACTCGATTTTTAGATGGCAAAAATCTTTCTCCATCAAGCTTTGGAGGATTCATTTACGCTAGTTCTGAAGTTGGAAGTGTTTCCATGTATAACTCGACATTTACTCATGCTGAGAGTGAAGATAGTGGTGGCTGCATTTATTTGGATGTACCCTCGATCGTTTTGCGCTCAGTATCGGCCTCGACATGCTATTCAAAATATGATGGAGGAGGAATATTCTTTGAGAAAGGTACCATTGTCATGGAACACTCCAAAGTGAGTTATTGTAAAAGTGATGGATATGGAGGTGCCTTATATATGAAGGCCGGAGTGTATGCCTTTATTTCACAGTCTACCTTTGAGTTTTCGCATTCGGTTCAAGGCAGAGCCGGAGGATTGTATGGCGAAAGGAAGACTGGACTTACCATTGACAATTGTTTATTCAACTCAAACACGGCAACCATAAGAGGAGCGGCTATTTATCATTCGAGAGGAAATGATTTGACTATTACGAACTCACGATTTGTTAGAAACCGAGTTTACTACAGTTCAGAGAGCTCGTATGCTGAGCAAGGGCCATCAGGAGCAGCCATATTCTCCTACCAGTTGAGGAACTTCCTCATGACTAATTCAACCTTTGAAGAAAATTCTATTGAGCATAATCCTGAAATGGAGGGTCGAGGAGGCGCCCTTCTATTGACTCCATCGGTCTCATCGACACATCTTTCAAATGTTACTTTTATCAAAAATTCGGCAGAATCTGGAGGAGCTCTCTACATTTATAATTTAGATTTTCCATCCTCAAAATTTTCATTAGATAATTTAAGATTTATTGGTAATCGTGCCATACGACAAGGAGGAGCAATTTTCCTTGTCAATACTGTCAGCACGGCCATTGCAGATCAGTGTAAGAAATCATATTTCGACGATAATTATGCCAATCTGTATGGAGATAATTATGCCTCCACTCCAAAACTGTTGACGCTCGCAAACAATGGGTGGATGCCAGAACAGCTGTTTTATCAGTTCCCTCTTGACATGATTAGAGATTGGCTTGTGGATAGCAAGGTTTTTAAGGACGAACCAAAAATTCTTTACTCTGGTCAAAAATTGTCTCTCAAAATCGATGCTTACGATTTATTTAACGAAAGAATGGAAAATATTAGAAATGTAGATATTGATTTAATTTTGACCTCTTCTCTGAATTCCACATCAAAAGAAGGCAAAGTCTATTACGCTACAACATTCTCAAATGACACGGCAACATTTTCTAACATTACCATCTATGGAAATCTGAACTCAACCTTGTATTTGTACTTTTCCTGCAAGAGTGTAATTCAAGAATTTAACATTCCAGTACAAATACATCCATATTGTCCAGTGTTTTACAATTATGACATTACTGAATGCACACCCAACTACAATGTGCAAAGTGTATTTTTGATTATTATTGGATCAGTCGTTGCTTTTGTTTTCACATTTATTGTTTTATTGACTGGTTGTTGCTATTATTTCTTGAGAAAGAAGTTGAAAGAATTGAAACGAAGAGAACAAGCGGAGGAGGACTTACAACGTCGCCTATTGCAATATCAATTAATTTCCTCGAAGAATAGTCTGAAAGAATCTCACACAACCATTTCATCGGCGACTCAAGAAAAAACCTGGGTCATTAAACCTGAAGACCTCAAGATAAAAGAAAGAATTGGTCAGGGAGGAGAATCTGTCATCTTTAAAGCGACATGGATGAATAATGTTGTTGCAGTTAAAAGAATTCAAATTGACACGTCTGCTCTTGAGGAAGATGATGAAGTGAAGACGGAAACTATTAATACGACATTTGAAAAAGAAGCATATATTTTGAGCACTCTTCGTTTCCCAAATATTGTAACATTTTATGGAATTGCCATTACTCCGAGCGATCGATTCATTGTTATAGAATACTGTTCTGGAGGAAATTTAAGAAAAAAGATACATGAAAGTAAGAAGAAGAAACATCCATTAAGCATAGCTCAAAAATTGAATTATCTGTTAGACATTTCCTATGGTATGAAATATTTGCACTCATTGGATCCTCCACTCATTCATCGTGATCTTAAACCTGAAAATATTCTCATTGCTGAGAATAATGTTTGCAAAATTTGTGACTTTGGTTTGGGAAGAGAATTCTCATCAGAGGCTACCACAATCATGACCAGTCAAATTGGTACTCCCACTTATATTGCTCCAGAAATTATATTGGACCAACATTATACAGAAAAATGTGACGTTTATAGTTTTTCTATCATAATGTAAGTTTTATTGCCACAAGGCGTTTGATTCAGCAACAACGTTCTGTCCTTCTGTGTGCATTATTCATTTTATATGATGAATTTTTTTAATAACAAAGGTGGGAATTACTTTTTGAGGAGAAGGCATTCAGTAAGGAAAGTTTTGATGTCATGCGAGAATTTATGGAAAATCACAAAGATCTCATCTCTCCTAAACCCTATGAACCCATTGATTTAGGAAAGGATACGAATATTGACGACAGAGAGTTAGGAACAAGTACAGAAAAAGTGAGATTATTGGACGTGGATGAAGCTGCTACTCAAGTACCGTCATCACAACAAGAAGATGCTGCCACTCAGGAGTACTTCAATTCATTCAACGTGCCTAGTTTTAACATGTTGTCCATGACCAAGGAAATTGTCAATGGGCTAAGACCAATTATTCCATTCAGAATTAAGAAAACCTTTAGTATTCAATCAAATTCAGATATCAATGAGAGTATAAGTTCTTCCTCAAGAAAATTTCTACAACTGGATCCCTTATTGAAACAATATGTGCGGGAGTTTCTGCTTGAGAAGGAAAAGGGAACGAGTTTCTTTTCTTCCACGAAGAATATGGAAACAAAAGTTTGTTTAATTGTAAAGGAATATTGTGAGTTAATGATTCAATGTTGGGATGAGGATGCAAAGAGACCAAGTTTTTCAGAGATTTGTGAACACTTGTCGAATTGTGCCAAACTCCTGTCTTAATTACCAATCAATTCCAATAAAGAACTATTGTGGATCCCCCACACATACTCTCACAATAATTTATTCCTACGAATAAATTTCAAAACAAAAGAAATGTCACAAATGGCATAGTTGTTGAGATTTGAAACATACAAAGCCTTGAATAATCGTTCAAGCATTTGCATGTTTGTTTTCAAGTCACAATAGACAATGAATCCAATATTTTGCACTTCAACTCTCCCACTCTTCCTAAAAAACTCGTCACTCATACTCGCATACGCTCTCGGTATAATTGATCTCAAGTCCACACAACATGCATGCTTTTGAGAAGCTCCATAATAAGAATCACCACCATCAATAAATAACAGGTTTGGCTTGTGAAAATATCGAAGAATTAAAAAGTCTCTTGAATATTGAACATCAAATACATGTCGCTTGTCAATCTTTTCCAAATAAAATTTCATCCGCTTTTTGATGAACCAGTTTTTCAACCTGTACTCCTCCAAGAGATGACTTGTCATAAACGACACTAGGCAATCGTTCAATTTCTCCAGTTATGAAGTTGACTTCTACTTGACATTTAGATGCCACATCTTTCTGTCTTACCCACATGATTGAATTGGATCCGCTAAATATATTAGTAAAAGCGTACTTGTTCAAATCCAATGTAACAAAGGGTTCATGATTCCAATCATGGTCCTTAATGAACTGATGGGCGTTATTTCTTCCTCCAATTGAAACTGGAGCATCTTCGTGTAACAGCACGACATGAAAATCTCCACAATCCATTTTCACGACTGAGAATCATTGAGAATTTGTGAAATCATAATTGAAACAAATGTGCAACATCCACCATGATTAATACGTGGTGGCTTTCCTGAACCAGGGTACACAAGGGAATGTAAATGTTTGGATATGTCGAACATAATTTTTGGTTCTTTACATTTTAAGCTTTCGATTTCAAACTTGCTCATTCTAAAGTAATCATTACTACCAAACAAGCAACAGTTGTCATTGATTGAATTAAAAGCAATAATCAATATAGAATTCGTATAGGTTACAATGCATTTGTAAAGCCTTCCATTCTGTTGAGCCGCCATCAAATGGAGGAACCACGGAAATTATTTTTTCAGCTTGACCACGGTAAGTTTGTTTCGGAGCACAATTCGCTCGATATAACATGCCACAATCGGTAATCAAGAAAATCCAGTTCTCAGTGGGGTATGTCAGTACTTGAATAATATGTCCTATCATTTTCATTAAGCTTTTCTCTTTTTTTTGTTTGTTTTTTTCATCAAACAGATTCAGTTGAACAGCAACAGAAGAATTCTTCTTGACAAGAAGTTCGGGCAGACTGTTTGCTCATTTTTCAGTTCCATATATATTCATTCAGTTTGAAACAAACTTTGAATTTGTGGGATGTCGAAGGCGACAACGCGTATCATAAATTCAGTCCATGAATTTGCATGTATTGCACACTGTAAATAAAAGGAAAATTTATCTTTTCAATGTTGCCATTTCCTGATGAGAGAGATGATCTTTGTTTAAAATCATCTGAAAAACATTAAGGCCTTCATGATCAAGGTCTCACGTTTTCAGAGATGGAAAAAGTTTTTCCAAACATAAAAGAGATTCATCTGATCCATTGGGGTTCGTTTATAGAACCTTTTGATACTCAGAGAGTATGCATGCTCAGAAATATTCGGAACGAGCGAAACTTCTATTTCATGCCTTATTATTATTGCAATGTGTTACTTTGTTTGATCGTTTTGACGGCATTGATTTTACCACCCATCCTTTCACAAATTGTACTGACATGAAAGCCAAAGAGATAACAAATCTCTTGAGATAGTATGGGAGACGTTTTAGAAGGTTCTTCAAGGTTTGAAAATTGCAAATTCTCAAAGAGTAGAATTTCCAAAGATTCCTCACCACTCACTTAATTCCTTTTCCGAAATTTCCATTTTGAGACGGCGCTTAATCACATGCAAACATCTAAAAAAACAAACAATATGGGACACAAACACTCAAGAACAACCGAAGCTTCTTCAACCTCTAACTTGCCTCCACAAGAACCCATCTCTTCTCAAACCCAACCTCCTTCTCAAGCCCAACCTCCACAACAACAACCTGCAGAAACAATAACTCCACACTATTACTATGTGGTCGAGGCAAAAGATAATGAATTTCTGGAAGATCAAGCAGCAAGCGCCTCCTTCAGTATGTCGATTTGTCTCTCCTTGTTGTTCAGTTTGTTGGGTTGCTTCTTGATGAGTTGTTTTCCTTTTTGGTTTACCTATCTCAATTATCGAGATTCACCAAGTCAGAAAGCCAAACGAATTGCGCGAATTTCTCAAGGAACATGTTGGATTATCACTTTGCTGAACGTCTTGTTTTTATCGTTGGGTTTAGCTGCTGCAATTATTGTCCCTCCAGTAGTCGCTTATGCTTAATTGAGATCACTTTTTTCTCTTACGCTTAATTGCAATCTCTGTAAATAAACATTCAAAAGTTAATGTAAATATACGTTCATATAAGCATTGTGATCGATAGACAATCATGATTGAACTTTAATGTTATATTGAATAAAGAATATTTCTCGAAAATATTCAAACAAGTTGAACAACAAAAAAATGTCTTCCAAAAATAACACGGAAAAAGATAATGGTGGGAGTGATAGAATCACTCCATCTACCAAAACGACGACGACCACCACCTCATCATCATCATCCACGGAAAGAACGATCCAACGTTCTCAACAACAACAACATAATACCACATTACGAAGAGGAAGACCTGTTTCCGATCCCTATTACATTCCATCAACTCCGGAGAGAATTCGTGGCGGAGAGGATGATCATTCATTAATTCCGCAGAGTAGAAGCAGAACACACTCGTCATCATCCAATCGTTCCATGAGTGAGGGTGGAGATGGTAGCTCGCATCTGAATGAAATGCCTGCACCATCACGACCCTATCAACCCTACGATCGGAATAAACGTGGTGGTTACAACAACAAATTTCAAACAACGACCAAGAATGAAAGACATCATCAATGGGAAAATAATATGACTCCGATAAGAGATTATGACAGAGATGAACGACGAAAAACACCAAGTCTAACTAATAATACTCGAAATTCGGAATGGGAAAAATCACCTGCTAGACCTCGAGACTCATCATCACAACATCGAGGCTCCGAGAGAAGAATAGGAGGAAGTAGTGTCAACAGTAGTGGTGGAATTGCCCGATACAACAATAGAAAATATCAAGAAGAAAATAGGAGTAATTATCCGAGAAAAGATGGAAATAATAGCACTGGCAGTTCTAGATATTCAAATTATTCACAAAATGTCTCAGACAATAGATCTGTGGCTTCTTCATCACAAAATTCGGTGAGGTCCTCACCAAACTTGTCCTTAGATCAATCGAATAAGGACCCCCTTGATTGGAGAAATGAAGAAACAGATCCAGATGAAAATATTCTTGATTTAGAACGACAATGGTATGCGGAGGATAGTGAAGTTGTTGATTTTACACAAGAATCATCATTGTTTTTAGGAGATGAAACAAAACTTAAAAAACGTGAAGAAGAATACAAGAAAAATAAGCAACTTTTAAAGAGAGATCGCAGGATTTCTGCTCAAAAATCACAACAGCTTAAAGACAATGATGCTTGGGAAATGAACAGAATGCTACAGAGCGGTGTGGCCAATACACAAGACTTTGATCTTGAAGAATCTATGGAACAAGAGCAAACCGTACAAATTATTTATCACGACGTGAAACCACCATTTTTGGATGGTAACGTTTCATTTACCAAACAAATAGAACCAGTACTTCCTGTGAAGGATGTCACAAGTGACCTTGCTGTTGCATCAAGAAAAGGAAGTGCACTATTGAAAGAGATGCGAACGAAAAAAGAAAGAATGAAGGCCGTGAAGGATAAATTCAAAAACAGAGGTACTCTTGGCAAGATATTGAAAGAAAATATTGAGCAAGATGAGGATGACGAGAGATTAATCCACAAAAAACTTTTAGATGCTTCTCTATCGGCAGACAAGATAGCAACGCAAACCAAGGAGGAACTTCGACTACTGGCAAAACAAAAGAGAGAAAAGCTTCCTATTTTCCACTGTAAGAACGAACTGCTTCAAATTATCAAAGAGCACAATGTTATTATCATTGTTGGTGAGACAGGATCAGGAAAGACCACACAATTGACCCAATACTTGTATGAAGCAGGTTATGGACAATTTGGTAAAATTGGATGTACACAACCAAGACGTGTGGCAGCCATGTCTGTCGCTAAAAGAGTCTCCGAAGAAATGGGTTGTGATTTGGGCTCAACTGTTGGATACTCGATCCGTTTTGAAGATGTCACATCCGAGAAAACAGTTATCAAATACATGACAGACGGTGTGTTGTTACGTGAATCACTTCATGACACCTATCTCGACCAGTACAGTGCCATAATTATGGATGAAGCTCACGAAAGATCCCTAAACACAGACGTTCTTTTTGGAATTTTGAAAAAAGTAGTTGCAAGACGAAGAGATTTAAAGCTCATTGTCACCTCGGCCACCATGGACGCTCAGAAATTTTCTAGCTTCTTTGGAATTGTTCCAATCTATACAATTCCTGGAAGAACTTTCCCTGTTGACACTCTCTACACAAAAAATCCTGTTCAAGACTATGTAGAAGCAGCCGTGAGGCAGGCCATTCAAATTCACACCTCTACACCCACTGATGGTGATATTCTCATTTTCATGACTGGTCAAGAGGACATTGAGGTGACATGTTATGCTCTCGAAGAAAGAATTGCCGAGCTTAAGAAGGACGATGAGCACGTCGCTGATGAAAATAGAGTGCCAGATCTCATTGTACTTCCAATTTATTCCATGCTTCCCTCCGAGTTGCAAGCAAAGATTTTTGAAAGAGCTCCAAAAGGTCAACGAAAATGCATCGTAGCCACCAATATTGCTGAAACATCACTCACAGTCGATGGTATTCTGTATGTTATTGATACAGGTTTTTGTAAATTGAAAGTATACAACCCAAAGGTTGGTATGGATGCGTTGCAAGTGTATCCAGAAAGCCAGGCAGCTGCAGACCAAAGATCAGGAAGAGCAGGAAGAACCGGACCTGGAAAATGCTTTAGACTGTTCACAGAGTCACAATACAAGAATGAAATGCACAAAACGACCATTCCAGAAATTCAGAGAACCAACCTGGGAAATGTAGTCTTGCTACTCAAATCTTTGGGTATTAAGAATTTATTGGAATTTGATTTTATGGATCCACCACCACAAGACAACATGAAAAATTCCATGTATCAATTGTGGGTTCTGGGAGCAATTGGAAATAATGGAGAATTAACAGAGTTGGGAAAGAAGATGGTTGAGCTACCTCTCGACCCACCTCTCTCTAAAATGTTAATTTATGCAGAAAAGCTTGGATGTACTTCTGAGGTTTTGACCATTGCAAGTATGCTCTCAGTGCCGACAGTCTTCTACCGACCAAAGGACAGAGAGGAGGAAGCAGACGCCGTCAGAGAGAAATTTTTTGTTCCAGATAGTGACCATTTGACACTTCTCAACATTTATCAACAATGGAAAAATCATGACTACTCTGCTTCGTGGTGTTCAGAACATTTTATTCATTTTAAGGCTATGAGAAAGGTCAAAGAAGTACGAATTCAAATCGAAGATATTATGAGAAAGAATGGAATTGAAATTGTTTCTTGCAATATGAATTTAGATTTGGTGAAAAAAGCAATTTGTTCTGGTTATTTCCATCATGCTGCTTCTTTGAAAGGAATTGGAGAGTATGTGAACATGATGACCAGTATGCCATGTAGCTTGCATCCTACAAGTGCTCTTTATGGAATGGGAGTTACTCCAGATTATATTGTCTATCACGAATTGGTCATGACCACAAAGGAATATGCTCTAATGGCCACAGCAATTGATGGTTCATGGTTGGCAGAGTTGGCACCAACATTTTTCAGTGAGAAAATTCCACATGTCACACGTGAAGCAAAGAGAAAAGAAATTAAGCAAAAACTTGAACAAGAATATCGAAATGAGTTGCAAAATGAGAAGCTTCATGGTACAAAACCTTCCACAAGCAGATCACGACGGTCGACCAGTTCCACAATTGTTACTCCTGGAGCTCCTTCATCCACACGAAGAAGTTCCACAACAACAGGTTCCTCATTGCTAAGTGCGTCAACCTCAAGAAATGCAAATGATGGAACAGCAGAGAGAAGAAAAACAACTCCAAGGAGAATTGGTCTATAGACAAGTGTCATATGTCTTTGGTGTAATCCTGCCTTGATATTACTCAATTGAAACTATTAAGCATTGTAGTGGTGAATTTACATGAGCAAGCACGTGCGTCCTTTCACAGAAACAATTTTTGTTGGATGCCTTGGCTCTGAATATGCCAAAAGCTCAAATAATTCATCAAAGTAGTAATTCTTTTCGGTATTGTTGGTATTATTCATGATGGTGATGGTATTAATAGTGGTATTAATAGTAGTAGTATTGAGACAAGTTGCATTCTGATCACCATCACCAACACCACCAACACTCTCCGTAGCATTTAATGCTTGTTGTTGTGAAAACACTTTCATGTCCTTTTTTACATTCCACATGAAAAAACATCCATTCCTCAATTTTCTTGCTTGTTCTTCACTCAATATTAAATTCGTTTTACACTCCACATAATACAACGCATGTGAATAGTCATTACTTCCAAAAAGGAATGGAGGTTTTAATATACAATGATTTGTTGTATCATCAGATCCTCTCTCTCCAACAGTAACTCTTTCATTGATCATCATCAATTCATAGCATGCGTATCCACTCGTTCCAATAAATCTCTCGGTTTCATTCGTCAACTTTTCAAACACTGCAATGCATGGATTCCTTGTAATTAATTGAATAATTTCTTCATGTGAATATTGTCTTCCATCTGACATTAAAGACGAAGCAATTAATGGAAAAACTTCATGCATGAAGGAATGAACGAGATTCCGAGATCGAATATCCATCGCAGCTCCCAATGCATAGAGTTTGGTGTGTTTTGGAATGATCCTTCTTCGACCTGTCAAAATGGAGAAGAAATGTTGCGAGAGAGTTCGATTGAGTTGTAAAAGAGAGAGAATGGAATCGTCCGAAGGAAGGAAAGAAAGAATGATTGTCCATGTGTCGAGACAGAGATCGTTGAGAGATGTCATTGAGTTCCTTATTAGAAATAAACAATTGTTTGATCGAATGGTGATTATTTTTTAAATTTGAATCAATGATGAACTTGCATGATGCACGTGTGTTTTGTTAATAATATTCCAAATAATTATTACAGACAAGATCCATTCATTCCATCGTTTCACTCAAAGAACCTTGGAATTGTTTTTGGTTCACGTTTCCAAAAAGTGTCACTTGTCAATAAGCCTTCATGCGTCAAAAAAAATTATTTTCTCAACTTCAGATCTGAAACAGTGGGCGTACGTCGTGTTATTAATCGCTTGTTGTTGTTGTGTCCAAAGTCATTACCAACACCATCATCACAGCCATTCTATCATTCTCTTGATCCAAGTGTCAATTGTCAAAAAAACTGACATTTTTTTCCATTCATCCACACATTTCGCTATTAGAGAGATAACAACAACAACAATAGATCCAAATTTCGCCAACCATCACCATTTCGCTCTCTCCACAACTGCTGCTACTACATACTACTCGTTTCAATCTTTTATCACGGCGTAAACAACTCGCAAAAAAATCAACCAAAACAACTTCGAACACCACCTTCAGCTCAACTCCTTTTATAATCATCATCATCATCATCGTAATCATCATTATCATCATTCTCCACAAAAATTCAAAATGTCGACCACACCTGTCATTGTCAGACGCATCAGCAATTCAGCAAATTCAATCAATCACAACAACAACACTTCCCCATCGTCGACCAATTCATCTTCACCATCATTAGCCAACAACAACAATGGCAATGCTGTGAACTCTTCTCCGGGAGTCGCCACTCGTCCTCGTGTCATGAGAGTCCTTTCGAAACCCTCTTCGACATCTGACACTTCCTCTCCTTCCGCAACAACCCACACTAGCACCACAACCACAACCAATAGCACCACAACCACAACAACGACTCCTTTCACTAGTCCTTCGTCGACGGATCCAACCAATGATGAAAATTCCTCTTCAACCATTCATCATTCATCACAAACTTCAAATGTTGCTGTCAAACGTGTCGTCAAGCGATTGGTTGTGAAAAAACGAGTCGAAGGAGATTCGACATCAGCATCACTTGTTTCAACCCAAGTCGAGAGAGACCACTCGGGGGATTCTTCAACGACGAATACGTCGTCGACCACGACAACAACAACAAATCATACAGATGCTGTCACATCACAAGTGCATGCCGAAGAGGTTGTCACCGAATCGAATCCAAAGAAATCTTTATTGACAACCACAACCACAACAACCAATTCGAATCTTTCACAACCATCATCCTTACAATCGTCATCCAACAACAACCAAACAAGTTCATCAATGATTTCCAATGTCTCCAATCACCTCTCTGTGGAATCCTCTCCTTCTGCTGTGACAAGTGAAAGTCATGAAATGTCACTGAACACATCTTCAAGTGCGCGTCAATCCATTTCAGATTTACAAAGTAAATTCAACAATATGAACAATCATAATAATAACAACTCATCAGAAAATATTACTGAACAAGTTCAACCTCAAAAAAGAGTGGTTCGAGTGGGTGTGAATCGAAATTCTGGAAAATATGGAAATATAGGAGAAGTTCAATCCAATGCTTCACCTGAAGTGTCAAATCAAGAAGAATTTCAATCTGGAGTGAAAGTGAGAAGACCAACTGCTCCGAGAATTAATACTGGACTTGTGAACAATAACAACAACAACACGAACACCAACACCACAACTAGTTCAACAAGTTCAACAATTTTGCCTTCTTCTCCAACTGTCTCCACAAGTGAGTGTCACTCGACAAACAATTCCACAACGACAACAACAGATAGTCCAAATTCTGCTCGACGTGTTCACGGCATTGCCAGTATGCTCGCTCAAAATGTGAAATTAATGACACCTCAACAAATGCAAGAACAAAAACAATTAGAAAACAGTAAGAAAAATCAAGATCGATTGAGACCCATGCGTCCAAATGAAATTCTCGAATGGTATGGAATGGATGCATCGATTGCATTTACTCATGCCAAAGATGATGTGAAATACGATGAAAATTCAATCGAAGAATTGAAAAAACAATTTCCAAATATATCATATACGGATTACTTTCATAATCCAATCTATGATGAACAACTTGCTTGTGAAGAGATTGAAATTGACATGACACCACAAGAAGTTCTTCAATACAATTATGTGGTAGATTTGATGAAAAAAAAGAATCCAAATTTACTGACTTTGGATCCAATTTTATTCGAAGAGGAAATGAGAAATGCCTCTCGAAGAGCGTCACTCACCATTGCCACAAAATCTGTGAATGCACATTTCAACAACTCATCGAATCAACATTCCAATCAAACCGAGAGTGTCACATCCACCGAAGATGTTCTTTCACGTGAGGACGTTGGGTTTCCCATTCAGAAATGTTCTAAAAATTGGCGATATCAGCTTAAAAAGAAGAGAGATCACTCTGCAAAGAATTCATTTAAGGAGGATGTGGCAAGCATGACACCAAGAGCCAATGCACAACTTTCTCCTTCTTCACCAGTTACTTCGGCATCGACAGCAGCGGTGAATCCACTGTTTGATCACTTGTATTATATGCCATGTTGGAAACATCAAATTCAACTTGAGCAAATTTCAAAACGATTAACACTTGAGGAAGTAAAGAAGATTTAAAATTTTCTGTTTCTGACATTGTTTTTTCCGACAAAACGAGTTTTTAACCTTGTTTGCGCTCCATTTGGATTTCTCGAAGCCTTCATGTCATACACCTTTCTCTTATGCATGCGCAACGCAGTTTTTGGGTGACACCAAGCCAGTTTCGCTGGAGAAAAAGGAAATAAGGGACTGGACTAATTCCAGTCCATTATCCAAGCGAATCTCTGCTCACTCCAGCGAAAAAAACTCGTTGCGCACACATAAGACTACTGTGTAATAACTTATCTGCTTGATAAGAAATCTGAGACAACCAAGTTGAAGAGCAAACAAAATTATAGATAATCGGCAATACTCTCTGTTATTTCAGACATTTGAAACAATCCAATATGAAACACAGAAGACACAACCTGTCCTGACTGAAACACATCTCTTAAATTTAGAGGAACTAATGCAACAGCGAAGATGGCGCCTTCGGTTTACGTTTGTGTCACAATTACTCCAACAAAAAAAATACAACCGTCAGAGATGCCTTCAAGCATCAATGATTTTGAATTTTTGAAACGAATCGGATCGGGTTCTTTTGGAGAATGTTGGCTGGTGAGAAGGAAAGCAGATAAAAAGAATTATGTAATTAAACAAATTAATGTGTTGGGAATGACTCCGAAAGAGCAACAGGTGAGTAGATATTCGATATAGTCGTTCTATAATTCTTTTCATGGCTCTGTGTTGGATGCGAAAAAAAAAACAGGATGCCCTAAATGAAGTCAATGTTTTATGCAAAATGAATCATGAAAATATTATTGAATATTTTGATTCGTTTCTAAGCTTTGATGATCGAAAATTAAATATTGTCATGGAATATGCTTCTCATGGAAATTTGTATGAATTGATTCAAAAACAAAAAGGAAAATTATTATCAGAGCCCGAAATTTGGAAATATTTCATTCAAATCTTGTCAGCACTCAATCACATTCATAGCATGAAAGTTCTTCATCGAGACATTAAATCTATGAACATTTTTCTCGACTCTCAAAACAATGCAAAAATTGGAGATTTTGGAGTTTCCAAAGTTCTCGATTACACAAAACAAATGGCTCAAACCGTTATTGGTACGCCCTTCTATTTGAGTCCAGAAATGTGTGAAAATTTGCCATATGACGAAAAATCAGATGTATGGGCATTGGGATGTGTTCTGTATGAAATGGCAACGTTGAAACATCCATTCGATGCCAAAAATCAAGGAGCTCTAGTTTTGAAAATTATCACAGGTCAATATCCACCACTCAGTTCCATCTACTCGTCAGACTTGTCCTCAATGATTAAGAGTTGTTTGATGAAGAAACCAAAACAGAGGCCCACCACATATCAATTACTATGTCATCCCGTTCTTGTGAAAAAGGTGAGTGGAATGTGTATTTGTATACATTTTGGTGTGTATATTGTTGGAACTTATCAAATCCTCTTTCTTGTAACCTTGTATTGATTTGTTAATTATTTACCATAATATTAATCCAAAGGCAAAAGAATTAGGGCTCAATCTTTCTCCCTTATTAACACCTTCTACTCCTCCCATTGTACCTTCAAATTCCAGTAACAACTCGCCCACCGTTGTAGCTTCTTCCTCATCCAACAGTAATGAGAGTCGATCCTCAACTCCAACAAGTCAAAAAGTCATTATTAATAGTGACGCACCAGAAAAAAAAGTAGTCATGATCCGTCCCAGCAATAATCGACCAGCAAGTAACAACAATGCAGGATCCACTACTGCAAATCGTCCCAACAGTGCCGCATCCGTAAAGAATGTAGTCACACCTCCATCCACTCATGCTGTAAAGCGAGTTGGATTGAAGGTTGACACAAAATCACATTCTCCTCCTCCAGATCGAGAGAATGCTGATCTTGTGCGAAATTTACCTAAAATTCCACTCAAACCTTCTGCATCAAATCAAGCATCTTCTCCTATTGACAACAGGGCAGATAGCTCCACCTCTGAAAATGTAACACCCAAATCATTATTGGAAGAACAACAAGAAACATGTACCAATCAAAATCTGCAAGAGGATCATCATTCAAACTTGACCATCAAGCACGAAAAATCAAAAGAGAGGCACATTAATCGCATACTTGACAAAATTACACAAAAGGAAAATGAAATGAATGAAATCAAGACACTCTGTAAGGAGAAAGTATCTGAGACAATACTCAATCAACTCATTACTTTCTTCAAAGACAGTGTCACAAATAATGAAGAGTTATCAGAAGAGGATATTAACTTGTTTGTCTTTGGAAAGATTTCATTCCAACAAGTGGATATTATTCAACATGTTTACAAGATTATTTATATACAGAGTGCTATTGATGACTTACAACATGAAATTGAGGAGTGTCTTTGCAAACAGTTGAATAACGCTTGAACATGCATGATCATATTTCTCAAAGGGTATCTCAAACAGTCAAGTTGACGACAATTAAGAATGACAGTGTCCAACAATTTGTTCTTTAAGAAGAATCCAACCAACTCGACAGCAATGCATCTACAAAACCTCAAAATTAAACAAATCATCAAAAGAGACTGGAGTAAGAGGCTGAGGCAATGGCGAAGGAGGCACACCAGCACTTGTTCCAGCACCACTTAAATTTGCAGAATCATGATTTGAACAAGCATTGGTGTTGCTACCAGAACCAGTACCAGTACCATGACCACTATTACCACTGACACCATTACTCGTAATGAGTTCATTCACGTTGAAGGAAAGGAAGGATCCTTCTTTGCTTGGCAATTTGGTTAATTCCTTCATCTTGGTATCAGAAAGAGTAATGAATAAATCTTCTGCTTCACCTGTTACGCTATTGATTTCAGAGTAGACTGGTGTTGGATATTCACTTGGAAGTTCATAAGGCTCAGGGCAATATTCAATATCACTGTTCTCGGGAACTATGGTTGTTGAATGGATCGCCTTTTGGAGTTGAGATTTGATGGAATTTGAAGGGAATGGCTGAGAGGAGGATTTAGAGGATTCTCGGGAACTAGAACGGTTCAAAAGAGTATTCTGATTGGATTTGTTCAACTTGAGGGGTGGTTTCGTTGAAGAGGATGATGGCGGTTGAGAAGAATTGCTGTTACTACTATTGCTACTACTACTTTGGTTGTTTTGATCTTTGAAAACTTGAATGGCAGTACTACTTGTCTTGACCTTCTTGGGAGCAGGCTGTGGATGAGGTTGCTGTTGTTGGTGAGAGGATTTGTTGGTAATATCGAGGAGAGCTTTTCGTTTCTCTCCTTGTGTCTTCTTTCCTTGATGGAGGATGTTAGTGTTGGAAGGATTGGCAACTCCTTTCAAATTTTCCAATGATTGAGAAGAGGCTGCTGATTTCAAAGCCATCATCCCCGATGGATGCGTTGTCCCGAAAGGAACGGCATTCTCCAAGTCGGTTGGAGTTTGATGGGGAGGCATTGAGAGTGGTGCTTTTATTTTTTTATTTGAAGAATATAACGGTCATATTTTTATTTGGCGGGATTCTTTCCTTCTCTCACTCCGATGAAGACGAAGAGCCCTCTCCATTGTTGCAATAAGTTGGTGGATTAATGACAATGACAGGAATTTTGAGCATAGTTTTGATTAATTGAAGAGAGTGAATGAAAAATCTGTATCCATTTCTTGCATTCTCTGAGGGAGATAGTCTTGAATTGGCCAATTGTCCACTATTCGTGTACACCACTTGCATGTCCATGAGAAACTCTAAGGCCGTGCTTAATACAGGCTCTGGAAGGAACAGCAATGTACAATCGGGACGAAAATTGAGTAAGCAAATAATTGCCTCACTCAAATCAATCAAATCTGCAAAGGTAAAAACAAAAACTGGAAAATCTTGAGGAGAATTATACGATTCAATGTGTGTGATAATTTGTGTCGGATTCTCACTGATCGAAGAAAGTCGAACAAAATTCACAAACTTGAAGCGTTCAGATTTTGATTTGGGCTTTCGACCATAACCAATTATTGGGCAATGAAGAGGAATATTTGGCAAACTATAGTGAAAGACCCCGCTATTTGTTCCTTCCTCTGTGTGTATGTAGAGAGACGATTTGACAGTGTCAAAGATCCACTTTTTTCTTTCATTTTCTACAGGAGCAATGTACTTCAATTCATCCTCTGAGTAAAAACAAAAATATTGGGGCTTAAATCTCATCTTGTTGTTTTTCGTGTTGTCTTGAGAGATGATGCGCTGTAGCGAAAAGTTTCGTGTCATGAAATGCTCAAACATCAACTCCCATGGAAGAGCCTGAACACTCCTGCTACATAACAAAATTAGGTGTGAATTTGGATATGGAAGCTCGGAAAGACGAGGCAATCCAGAGAAATCAATGGATCTTGGAGTGAGCGAGAAGAACTTGCTCTTCATTCTCTTAAAAAGCCCAACATAGTCAAATTTGCTTTTTTCTAATTGTTTGTGTACTCTTTCATATTTTCTCTTGTTTCTGGAATTGGAATGGTAGTCATAGGGGCCTCTAATGACATTTCGAGCAATGTATTCGATAGTTTCAAAATTATTATCAATGCGAATGTTTGTTTTTTTGTCTTTGCGACTCTGGCAAAGTAAACTGTAGAGGTATGCTTCAATTTGTGATACAAAGGGAGGTTTGACTTGGGTAGTTTGTGACGATGGCGCACTAACATTCTGAACATTGTGTGCTCCAAAAAGTGAATCCTTTGGTTTGACTTGATGTTGAGTGACAAGTAAATCTGTCGATTTTCGAGATGAGGAGCCCTTAAATGTGTTAATGAATGGACCATTGCATAAGCCTCCAAACTTTTGATGGATAATTTGCCCTGTCTTTGGAGTATAAAACGTAATAATCGTATCCATGTGAATAATATAAACCAGTTTTTCGAGAATATTCATATCCAAATGTTTCGTTGATTCAATTGAGGCATCAATAGAAAGTGATTTTCTGTAATAATCGTCATCAAATGATTTGCTGTCTTCTTTCTGACTACTTTTGACGACATAGGATGAGTCGCTACAGGAAAGCTTTTTTTGGTCGCTTGAAGAAATAGACTTTTGCTTAATAATCGAGATTAAGTTGTAGAGTCTTCTCATTGATTCCTGATTTCGGAAATTGAGCTCTTTTTCGGATAGATAGTGTTTTTTAGCGTGTTGTTTCATTCTAAATATGCAACTCCATATCTTTTCACTAACTAAATCTTGAACGTTGCCTTCAATAAACCCATCAGATGATTTTGAGCCATTAGAAGATTGAGTAGACTGAGAGCCTGTTCCACTCATCTTCAAAGGATTCATGGATCTCATTTGTCTTGCGACCCGAACTGAAGATTTTCTTCTCTTTCGTAGAAATGGCAACGTTTTCACAGACATAATTGCCGCCATTTGTGAATTAATAACGCATAGAGATTCATAAATCTTATTTCTTGAAACAAGGGAAATTTCATCGACTTCAGATTCTGAGGATGAATCTCCTCCTGATGCAGTAGAGTCATAAATGTTCGACTCGCCACTATCCGGGCCATTTCTTTTCAATAACTGTTCAAGCTCCGTTTCTAGCAGTAAATACGAGTCAATAATTGTCAAATTATGATTGATTAGTTCTTTGTTTCCGAAACAAAACATTAATCTCACAAGTCGTTTCAAAATTAATAGCAGCTTTTCAAGAAATGAAGGAGGTGCGCCTTTTGATACTACAATTTCACTGTCGTGAATGAATAACGTAAACATTACATCTCTACATTGCTTCCAATAAATTTCAGAGCTTACTCGTTTGCCTTGGAGGTACCTCGCCTCTGCCATTGTCACGTAAGCGTCGATGGCAACGAAAACAGATGTTGTCCTTATGGCAACCTCCAAAGCAGGTATGATGTGATTTTCCTCAATTTCTTTCAAATTTAGCCAATATCTATTGTCCAAGCTTTTGGGTAGTGTTACAATGGTTGGATCGACTCCACAAAAGACAATGGGAAGGAGCATAAAATCTAACTGGGCGCGAGCAATGAGTATGTCGACCTTCGATGCCTTATATTGATTTGCGCAAATGTTGTACAACTCTTTCGCCTTTAGCAAACAGTCCAAAGCATCAACAAGAACTTCTTGAGGAGTATTGTAGAGAGACCGTTTGCTCATCAAAATGCTATCTGGTAATGTGTTGTGATTTCTACAGTAATGTTCCTTGATAGTTTCAACAACATCAATCTTTGATGCCGAAGAGAGAGAAGTTGGGAAGGAAACTGGGCTCGTGTAATGACTAACTCTTTGCAAAATTTTTCCTTTCAAGAAAAACAAATCAGCCAAAAGGAAGGGAGCTGTGCATTGAGAGATAGCAATATTCACACAATAGAGAGCATCAGAAAACCTCAAAAATCGTAGATAACAATTCGCTGTGATTTCGAGTATTTTGATATGATCAGTTCCATTTGTTTCAAATATTGAGTTTTGCTCAGACAACAAAATTCCAAGCTTTCCCAACACAAAATCACATTCTTTGAGCCATCTCTTCTTCAAATAAGCTTCTGCCAAATTAATGTACACCGTACACCGTTGAATAGCTGTCAGTTTTTCATCCATTAGTCTGGCTAAGAGATCTAAACCTCTTTCAAAATTGTAACTTTGAAGAAAGAGTTTGGCAAGTGTGAGATGAAGATTCAGCTCATATTCTCCAGATTTTCCTTGAGATCTCATAAACAGTAAAGAGTTGGTAATATAGGATTCTGCATTCTTAAAGTCCCCTCGCTCAATATGAAGTGATGACAATATTGAAGACAAATGTCCAAATTTTGCAACCATCTTTTCTTCGTTGGCATGGTTGAGTAGAAGTGTATAATAATACACACCTGATCGCCAATCGTCCTCTCGTAAACTCAACTCTGCCAGATCGCTAACAAGTGTGTAGTCATATGTAAGAGACACAAGTTTTTGATTCTCTACTGCTGCTTTAAACAGCAAGGACGAGTAGACATACTTGTTATTATCTGTTAATACTTGGGCCAGCTCAACAAGGGCTCGTGTACAAATATGGCTCAGTAGACTTGGTGTAGATTTTGTGAAGCCACTTGTTTGGTGGAAAATATACACACTCTCGAAAAGAACTCTTTCCGCTTGTTTGGTGTCATTCGAAATATTTCGACAATAGAGACCCAAGGAAAAGGCAACAAAGGCCTTCAATGATGACATACACGGCAATTTGTGATAAAATATGTTCAATAATTCGGTCCTATCATGCACATCTAGCAAGTACTGGTGATCAGGGTGGAGAGAATTGGCCATTTTGTTTTGCAGTCCAACAAGCCTAAACTCTTTCTTGTGCGGATCAACAATAAACTCCAAAGTTAATGGAGAAATACCAAATATAAAATAGTGTAAAATTAATAAAGCTTCGCAAACAATTTCAGCATGTGTGGGAGGGCTTAATAAGTGAGATTGAGGGTCCATGATCATCACAGTTGAGGTAATTGTTGTGAATTGGCTATTTCTAACAAAAATGTCAACTAATTTCGGAACAATTTTCTCACATTTAGGAATAAATTCTTGTTTTCGGAGGAATAAGGTAATATTATGACACATGCCTTTCATCTCAATTAAATCAATGATGTCAGGATATTTGGAATTGAAAACATTCAGATTATCTTTCATATTTACAAAACGGTCGTAAAAATCAGGAGTTAACGAATGTGATGCAATTTCCAACAATGCCAAACTTATTTTGAAGAGGCTATTTAACTGTTGAACGTCTTCTTGGTCTACATCTTTGGTAATTTTTGCTGATGGTAATTTTGAAAAGTATTCACCTATCAATTTGTAGCAATAAATTTGGGATTCTCGGCTACCTATTCTTGCTAATTTCCAAGCACATTCGTAATACATTTGAGCCCATGATAGTGAGAAGGAGTCTACATAATCGATACCATGTCTAAACTGCTCCAAAATAAAATCACAATTTCTTTCAGCATTTTGTTCTTCCTCTGTTTGAAATTTGTGTAAATCTTCCAAATTTAATGATCGGATCCACTTCAAGAATAAATCTTTGGATGTAAGAATACTCTTATCTTCCAATTCTAATGAATACAGCTGGGGAATTGTGTCATCATATTTTTTTATCTTGTCCACCAAATTATTTCCTTTGAACAGAGAAAAGTTGTTGGGAAACAGTTGCTCTTGGATTGGATCTCCGGTTGTATTGGCAGACTGAGAAGAAAAATATCCAGCGTAGAGTCCTTTGAGTTGTGCACTCGGCGATATTCCCCAATCATCGTCATCGTCGTCATCATCAAACTGCTCGAAAATTGGGGGAATAATTTGGAGATATTTGGTATCCTTTTTGGTTTCGGCTTCAGGAGCCGATCGTTTCTTCAATTCAGCTTCAAAGTCTCTAAATGTTTTTGACTCAGAAACTTGAGAGGTGTGTGTTTTTTCCACAAGTTTCAAAAGTCGGGATCCCAATTTGTTTAAATTCAGTTTCAACAAACTCTTCAGCGTGTTATCGACAGCTTCCAACCAGATTGTGTCGTCTAAAAAATAACATTTTTCTTTTCCTTGAACGGTGAGGTAAAACATGCACGGTAACAAGTAGCTCCGTATTATCTTTTCATGATCATGTGATTCGCAAACAGATTGATCCCCAATAAGATTTTTCGCTTGCATTAGAACAATTTCAGCACATGCTAATTGAATGCTATGAATCAAATTCGTGCATGAAATTATGTGCGATTGTGAAATAGAAGTCATAAGAATAGAAGGAGATCGTCTTGGATAGGATTGAGGACAAGGATGGGTTACTGATACTAGGCGAATTAAATTCTCTCCTCGTTCACGTGCAGACTCCAAATATTCACTGCACTCATCAAGCCTATTTACACCTTTCATAACTTTAGCAAAGAGATATAATACTCTCACGTAGAACAGTTCAACTATTCAGAATGACATGGGATTTTGTGTGTGCGTGGTGAATTGCACAATTTTTGAGTCAATGCAATAGGTTAAAAGAACTATGTAATCCACGGTACTCGTTGTTGAATTTAAAACCTACTCTTGATATTGAAATTCATAGATATTACTTCGATCAGCTTATCCTCAAGTCGGCATAATTCATAGTGTGCCTCTCCGAAATATTCATACTCAAGAAATACTTCCACTTTGTTAAGGCCAAGTAGAATGACATTTTCAAACTCATTTGTTGCATTACTATTTGGAGCTCCATTATTAATATTCATTGCACTAATATTGTTATAGCCACTCGAAGAATCCAATAATTGCAATAATTCAAAAACTTCCCACTTCGGAGCACATTTACCAATCAATTCCCTCACATGTGCATAATAATAGGGCAAGATTGGTAAGCTTTGATAGTTTTGTTTCTTTTCCACTGCGGGATGAAATCATTAGCCAAGAGAGGTATTCGTGCATTTATAAACATACAAACCAATACGCATACAAATGTATTATCATCATTATGGTATCAGCTTGAACAAACCCCACTTACCTAGCAGTATAAATTCATACAATTCCTCCTCAATCGTCTTATTATTTCCATTCATAATATGATGATGGTGGTGTACAATCATCGGAGAGGAAAATGTTGTCATCTTGCATATGATCATTGGGAACGTTCCAAAGTGTTGTTGTCTGTCTTGAGGCGAGGATGCCTTAATGTGTTCTATTCAGTATTGAATATTCCCAGTTAATTTTTTTTCCGTTGAAATTTTTTTGTTTTTTCCACTCTCAGCGCTGTGAGAGGGCGCTTTCATTTCGTTTGGTCGCGATTGAAAACATTGAAGGAGCTCGAACCAAAATTTCAACGTCCTGCTTTTCCAAAGATCAATTGATCCGTCTGAGTAAGTTTATGAGGCTTTTGATGGCAGAGAAAGGCCCTTCCAAAAGCAATAATTCTCTATTTTTCTGAAGGAGTGTTTCAATATATGTTCAATGAAAACTGATCACCATCATCATCACACTCGTGTTAGCCTAACGTTTAATACATCTATTGATGTGGACATTTCATTGTTTTGAATGCAATAGGTGTTTCTTATGAAAAAAAAGAACACGAAAGCTGTATGTTTATTTCCGAATTCGAGAGGCAAGCCAATCCAAAGATTCTGCAATATTGAAATCCTTAGACACGCTGGTCATGAAAATTTCAAGTGGTCTTTGAGCGCCAAACGATTGATCCACATTCTTACCAGTTCTCAAATGTGTTACGTCCAACTGTTCGGAGAGTTCAAATTCTGGCATGGCACTTGGATTGTCCACTTTGTTACCCATGATCACGATCGGAACTTGTGCAAGATCATTGTCTTTTAGAATATTGTACAACTCAGCTCGTGCCTCATGAATTCGTTTTCTTTCGACAGCATCGACCATGAATACAATTCCACTCACATCCAGATAATAATCTTTCCAGAGCTTTCGGGCGAGTGGATGTCCCCCCAAATCAATGACTTGAATTGTGCATGAAGACGAGATTTCAACGGTTTCATTATTGGGATACATGGTCTGATTGAATTGTTGCATGAGGCCAGTTTTGAGTTTATAGAGAAGAGTGGTTTTTCCGGCATTGTCCAAGCCCAGGAAAAGCACTCGGCCTTTGATTTTGTCTTGAAGGATCCCTATTGCTCGTAACAAGGAGAAAAACCAGTCAAAGAGGAACATGTTGATGAAAGAAGAAGGATGTGTGAAGTAAGCGAATGATTAATCTACAACGAGTTGTTGGAAAGTTTTTTTGTTCATGAAAGCAACAAGTGAAGTTTGGGATTTTATTTGAAAAGACAAACACGTCAGCACATCCAAATATAGATATGTACACATCGTTGTTTTATGGGTATGGCCTTCTAATCCATGGCATTGAAACATAATTACTTGTTACAAAACAATTTCATCATTCATGACATCACCTGACTTACAGTAGTCCTGACCATCCTGTTCTTCGAACCAAAATGTGTGATTTATTTACACGTCCTCGACCAGTCTACTTTCTATTATCCATAACACCGGCTGAAGATTGCGTCATGGTGCTCGTCATAATCTTGTCGTGTGATCCACAACTGTTGGAAAGTGGGCAATGAAGCAAGAATAGAGCCACCAATCCAGGCACCAAATATTCTGTCATTCTCTGCTCTCACACTTCTTTCAGTGATCTTTGAGGATCCTGTCTTCTCCGTCAAGATACGAGAAAACTCACTGACCAATCGTTGCTTAAAACCAGAAAACATTGTAGATCCACCAGCAAGAACAATATTGTCCATTAAAATTTGTTTGACATAATCGTCAGATTTGTCATACACATGATACAGAGCTTCATGCACTCCGAATATGCTCGGTTTTCCAGCCAGTTTAGGATAGAATAGTGCTTCAGGGCATTTATAAGCCTCATGAGAAATTTGTATCACTTTTCGATCTGGTAATACATATTCTGACACTCCAACATTGTATTGCTCCTCTGCAATATTTTGTGACACATAACACAGTTTTTCCTTAATTTCCGTAACAGTTTTTAAGCCTCCAATCGTTCCGTAATTAATAAATTGATCGTAGCGTCTATTCTTTTCTAGAATTTGTCGCAAATAATTTGTTAAATCTTGTCCTCCAAATTCTGACTTAACAATGGCATGGTAAAGAGGAAAACCTTCAAATATTGGAACCATTTGAGAGACGCCATGCCCAATTTCAACCACGAGGCCGCTCGATTTTCCAGTAGAATATAACGACAAAACTGGTTGCGTTGCAATAAAAAGAGAGGGGACCTTATACTTCTCAAATAATATTTCTGCCATGTGATATCGATTCTCTTTAGGATTTTCACAAGCTTCTGAAATGAGAAGAGGTTGATTTTCCGGTGTCATGTTAATTTTTGGGTGTGAATAAATTGCCTCATACATGCGCTCCATCATGTCCCAATCATCGACAACTCCTCTCTCCATTGGTGTAATAAGGGTACTTGTATTTCGAGAGTCTCGTTTTTCCCGATAGTTCTTTTCATTGTTTGCATTGAAGGAAAAATATTTGGCAGAACGTGATATGGCTCCCGATGATCGATCCACTCCAAGAGCCTCATCTCCAATTAAATAGCTCAATTCATCCTCATTATTTTGCACTACTTGAACTTCGGGTGTTTTTTCAGACGATGATGCGGATTGTTGTTGCTGATGCATTTTGGTCTGTATATTTGAGGTTGAGTTGGGCTGAGCTCCTCGATGACCAACAAATTTACTGCTATTGGGATCGATGATGGGATCATCTGCTGCCATCACTGTGGGCATGAGTAAGAGAGGCATATCATCACCCGAGAAGCCAGCCTTCATCATTCCTGTTCCTTGGTCAATGACAATTGGTCTAAACTCCATGGCATTTGAGAGCATCATCAAATCTTGGTCTATAAATACATTTCGTCGTTTCATTTTGTTTGTGTTCTCTAGATTTTAAGTTAGGAAAAGGAATTATGGAATTATTCTCTTATTCGAGGATGATTATTGAACTCAACTCCCGATTTTGTTTCTCAAAATACAATTCAGTTCTGCCAAGTTTCAGCTTCAACCCTTTGTTTGATTGTTTTAATAACACGCAATGATATCTATATTCCTGGTTGTATACAACACTGAATAATATAATGTTGTTGATTCGGGCTGCAATTAAACTTTTTCGCTTGGTGCTCGAGGTTTTCTCTCAATTTTTTTTAAACGTAAAAAATGAGCGCAAACAACACCAACGTTCATAACAATCAATACGAAGAGCCTCTTCCACCAGACCATCAATGGTTGGGTGAGAAGTGGAGAGATGGAAACAGACCACTGCGTATTAGAAAGAATCCATTGGAGGTTGCTCCTTGCAGGAAGTAAGTGATGATGGTAGTCGTGCTGATGATAATGGAATATTTTTGCGAATGTTGTGGTTGCTCGTTCAAATATTTTCAATTTTTCGGTGATGATGATAAAATTGATGATGATTGATTGCCATTATGATACGGATATGATAAATGTTATTATATTATTGAAACAATTGTTGCCCATGGAAACTTGCGGATGATTCTCTTAAATTCTTTCTCTTACATCAACAAAAAACACAATCACATGAACAACACCTGCAATCTTCACTTCAACAACACAGAGGAGAATGTGCCAGCGCAAACCAACTCATGGAATTTAGACAATGGGTGGCAAGAGAATGGGCCGTGTATGCTGCCGAAGTTGACCTTTTGCGAAAGGATGTCGAACAATGCTGGTACAAACATGGTGTGGACGTCATTAGACACTGTGAAGACAAAGTTAAGAAATATTTGCATGCCGTTGATGAAAAGACTATTAGAGAGGTCAGAGCGTAAGTTTTCACAGTTCTAAACACACATGTATGGTCACAAATTATGAATAATATATTTTTATTATTATGATTTGATAGTAAATTAATGGAGGGAAAGAGAGCTGTAGAATAAGCAAATAATATATTATTTGGATGTGCTTTACAAATTCTAGAATTTTAATCATGTGGAAGTTTTTATTAAAGATTAATTTTTTGAAATTCACAAATCATTTTCATTTGGATGGATGCAACATGCAAACGCAGTACTCATCATTGACTTTAAAAGATATCTTCATCATTTTGTCACACCCTCATGCAGGGCCTTTTTTATGCAATACTTTCAACTATTTATTGGCATAGTACGGAAGTTGGAATAAGATCACAGGACCACTTTGACATCCTATGGCCAAGAATTCTGAGGAGGAACTCATCGCCAAACAATTGTAGCTGTATTGCTTCTTCATACCCATTTCACCAGGGAAATTAGAATATACATAGAGAGAAGCAAGGTGAGCAAAACGGAATGCATTCGATTTCTCGGTTGAGGCAAACATTAAGAGTTGCGAGTCCGCTGTGAACCTCAACATGTCAACACTTGTCGTCAAATTCATAAATGTTGTGAGTGGTTTTGGTGATTGGGAATTAAAGACATCATTCCAACGATACAAATTGACTGCACCCGAGGTGGAGCCGGTTGCAATGTATTGCATATCAGGTGACACTGCTATGGAAGTCGTATGAATTGAGCCGTGATCACTGAAAATGTGCTTGGCCTTTTCACTCTCCACATCAAAAACAAACAACTTTCCTCCCTTACCAGCCACAAAGAGAGATTTAGAATCTTCAGAAAAAGCCACACAGGTCACTTGAGAAATGTTGGCTGTGAAGGTGTGTTTGATATTGAGAGTTTTTCGGGAGATGAGTAAAATGCTTCCAATGTCATCCGCGATAGCAATAAGCTTGTTGTCACTAGAAACATCAACAGCGTTGTGTAGTAAGAATTTGCCTCCTTCCTTCTCGTCACCCCTTGTTCTTCGTGAGAATAACTTTTGAGTTCTTCTTGTTTTTCCTGTATCCAAGTCTGTAATGAGGAAGTATGCTGATTTTTCAAGGAACGACAATAAAGATTTACCGTCCTTAGTGAAACTGATATTTCTCAGATTATTGTCACCTTGGTTGGTTATTTGTAACCGATCTAAAATTGGGTTCAGCTCTCCATCTACGGTGAAAAGACGAATTTTCTTATCAGAATTCAAGACAGCAGCAATATTAAGCTTAGGATGGAAGGCCAAACTAAAAACTTGACCTACACGTTCTTGAGCATTGACGTCATTCAATTTTTGATAGGAAAGTTTGAATCGATCTAAAATAGTCTTGGATTGAACAATGACATTCTCAGATGATCTCTGTAAAATATCATCTGCAGATCCATTCAAGTTATTTTCATCCATAATGACCTCACGAATACACTTGGTTCCGTCTTCCAATTCACTCTCTATTTGAGCAACCTTGAGTTTGGCCCAATGAGGTGTTGGACATAAATGTGAATAGATTTTTCTCATCTTCTTTTCGTACTGCTCACCAGAAATGATTGACCCATCTCCACCGTCATGACCATTATTCGATTCTCTACCTCTTTTTAGAAATCCCTTAATAATGCTTTGTGCAATTCCATCCACATCGACTTCATCTTCTTCATCGTCATAATTATTGGCAATTCTCAATTCTTTTGTGTAGACATCTTCCCATGCTGGTTTGAGCCGAATGATCATGGGTAGCTTGGAAGCTCTTTGATGTAGTGATGTTTGAGAGCTATTATCATGCCTCTCATCCTCATGCATATCGGTATGAACCTTTACAGGCTTCTCATAAAAGAATAAATCAGAATCTTCTTGTTGTTCAATTTCGGAACGAAGAGAGGTTGTGCTACCGTGTTGCTCATCATGTTGATGCAGTCCGAATAATTCATCATCGGTCATCATGGTATCATCATTAAATCCATTCTTCATGGAGACTTGTGTTGAGGAAATGTTATGGTTGTTTGTTGTTGAAATACTTGACTTGTAGCCTCCGAACAAGATACTCGTAAGATTATCATTCACCAAGGCGTTTTTCTTCTTTTGTTCCAATTGTTTTGATGATTCGTTTTTGGATTCATGTTGGTGGAAATCCAAATCATCATCATTATCTTCCATCATCATTGAATTATCATTTACTTCATCATTCTTCTGTTTGTTCTTTTCTGCTGCCTTCTTCTTGATGAGGCTTTTCAAATTTTTATTTGTTGTTCTTTTGTTTGTTTCATTCTTTGATTCCGAGAAGGATGACGAATGGAGTGGAGTCGCTCCCACGTCGGAACGTTTCTTGACGAACATTTTGAGTTTTTTTTCACCAAATCTTTTGAAGTTCAAGTTATTATTATTTTGAAATATTCAAAAAGGTTGATTGGAATCTGCACTCATGGTTTCTTGATCGTGTGCGATTGGAAAGAAATACCAATGTATTGAGAATTGAAGATTGATGAAATTCTTTCAGAAAAAAGAAAAATTGAAAAGGAAATTAGTAAAAAAAATCTAATTAGTTTATTGTTAGTTTTCAAAATCAACGCCGAAGCAGTTGGAACTAATTCGACCGATTTCAATGTTCGTTGTTTTGGGTTGAGAGTGATTTCCACACATTGACTTTGGAGCAGAAATGTTTGGAGAGTTTTTCGGCTTGTGTGGTTACATATTGAGCATGCCTGCTGTTGGATTCCAACTGTTTGTCAAGAATGAAATCTCGAAAAGGATCACCAGCGAAAAAACGAATGCGTATCTTGAGGTCTTCTTGAGACATTTTAAAGTTGGAAATGCTTTTTGCATTGGTGCTGGTAAAACTATTAAACGCACGTTCATGCGGTTGACTTTGGCTTGAATTGTCTTGAAATTGATTTCAATTCTGTGGAGCAAATAAATCTTGTTGAGGTTAGTCTATTCAATTCATTGATGTCATTAAGCTTGTATTCAACAATTATGTATGAGTAGATATCTTTTACCTTTTTCTTAATACTGAATCTCTCTTTTTCGAATTTGATGGTTGTGTTCTTGCATAGTGTTTTAATAGCTTTGGTAATTGCGAGTTCACTTGTTGATTCAGGGAGTATACAATTTGCTATATGTGTTTCTTGCTTTCTTTTGATAATTTCAAATCCTTGTTCAATCAATTCAGTGTTGGGATTCTTGGAATCAAAGTTAATTTTAAGTTTGTACAAGGTTTCTTGTGGATTGAATGTTAGGCACATTTGTTCAATTCTACATTTCTTTTGATTGATTGAGTACTTGATGAGAGTTTGGATGTTCGAAATTGATTTTTCTTTGGCTATTAATGTTGTTGGAGATGATGTAAAAATCATTGGTGAAGCGAAATATTTTGTGTTTTTTCTGTCATGGCTGGTGAATTAAGTTTCTTTAGTATTTGTTGTTGAGTTTCGGCATTTTGAATGACTAAATTGAGAGTGTTGGTCTTGCTGTCTGGAATGTACCAGTGTTCAATAACTGATTCAAATCTTTTTAGAATAAATTTAACAAATGAGGATGAGATATTGTTGTCCGAGTAGATTGAGATTGAATTAGTTTTGTTTTTGGGTTGACCAGTATGTTCATTTTTTTCGATTCGAAATTAGTAAAAAAAATTGAACCCAAAAATTTATTATTCACCTTCGGAAACTGGATCATGGTTGCGATCCTCTCTTGTCACAGCATTACATTGGTAGTGGTTTCACATTAGCGTCGTAAGACTCCCACCTGCCCTTTGTAGGCTTATGATAGATACCCTCCAACCGGTGTCGTAGGTTCGTTAATGAGATCTATGATGTAGGGTGGAGTTATTGCCCTGCCGTATTTCAGTGAATAGCACGGACCACCCCCAGAATTCCCATAACAGGTTCATCTCAACACTGATCTCATAGAGTAGGCACGCAAATCCCTAAGCTATATATGGGTATCTCTCGCAGGCACCTCGAGATAAAGGCGTAGAAACTAACTTTCGTCAGCCACCACAGGACCAGTTACGCATTTTTTTGAAAGCGAAATTAGTAAAAAAAATGCGAAGAGAGCAACGAGAAGCTTCCTCACGACCACACAGCAGCAATCAAGATGATCGGAGCAAGAGAATACAACAATTGCCTTTAGAATTACCATTGTTGGTTCCTCGGGATAAGAATTTTACGTGTTTTCATGGATTTATTACTTTGGATCAACACAAGGATCATGATGAAGAAAAATTGGAATTGCCTTGCCAAGTACATTTTAAATTTCATCAAAATTATACCAACACTAATATCACCAATGACAATCATGGAAAGGAATCTAAAAAAATACAATCGGTACAGATCTTAGCTTGCCCAGAGTTACAGGAATTGTTGGCCAAAAAGCCCACACGTTCCATGTCATCTTCCAATCCATCCTCATCGTATGAACACATATTGGTGGATCGACTTTTAAAATGTCATAATAATCATATGGATGCACCTCTCTCGCAGCAATGTACGAATATATTATGTGAAATGAAAAATTCTCTCTCACAAATCCATTCTCTGAACTCAAATACCTTCACAAGCGTAAAAAAAGAAAATTCAAATTTATTTAATCCAGGAGCTTTTTATAAGCAATTTTTAAAACAGGTGGATGAAATTGGATGGAATAAGGTTGCAGATTTAAAAGTAGATTTATCCACTGTCACACTGTGCATTACTGATTTACAGGATCGAAATCATTATGTTGAAGTCAATACATCAACCATGGAAACCTTTGCTGAGATTCCTCCAGAATGTCAAGCCCTTGTTGATGCAGAGTTAAGCAAAATATCTTCATCATCCAATATTTTACAAAATGATTTAATGATGGATGACAACCCTCACCATGTATTATCCTTGAGCATTATTTATGACAAGTATCGCGAGATAATTGAGAAACTTTCTGATTTTTTCACGGTCATTGAAGATTTTGATGAGCATTTGAGAGTGTTAGAACCTGAAAAACCAACTCGTAGCCATACTATGAGACGTATTGTTATTGGAAATCACTGCTCTCTTCAACTTCAAATAGACCCATTCAGGCCAAAAGAGCGACCTAAAGACATCAAACTGTTGGGCTCTGACTCGATCATTTCTCCTCTTCGCTTAAAAATTAATCAGAATCGAAACAAGTGGGATTTAAGCAAGTTATTACGGGAGAATCTTGAAACGGTTATGGAGACGTCATTTCCAGCCAAGAAGAGCGCTGATCCAAATGTCATGAATACAGAAGATGAATATTCTGAGAATTGTGGTGTTTGTTATTCGTACCGAATGAACATGAAGGTTCCAGATAAGGTTTGTGACAATGAGAAATGTAGCATGCCATTTCATACAGAATGTTTGATCGAGTGGCTTCGATCTATTCCAGGAACGCATCAGTCGTTTGATACCATGTTTGGTTCATGCCCTTATTGCTCTTCGCCCATTAGTGTGTCCATCATCAAGTAGAGTTCTTCGAACATTTCCATTCATTCGAAATGAATATATTCATTAATCTAAATGTCTTGAGCCTTAACAGAATTCTAGTCATGATTTAACGAGATTGACCAAAATGATATTTTAATATTTAATGCAAAAACTCTGATAATGAGTATTGTATTTCATATGATTTTTTCAAACTCATTCATTATGGTTGGAGTCAAAGTTTGTCCAGTCGCAATTAAGGAACTCAATTATCCAAAAATGACATACAAACTAAACAATGTCATGAGCACAAATAATGTAAACAGCACATTGACAACGTGTGAAGAATTTTCTTTCAAAGCCGTACTGAAAGATTGTTGTTGTGAAATGAATTCTCTTGCTGACCGGAATATTTGGGAATAATTTAAGGTCAAGTGTTTAGTTTTTTCAGGAGAGCTTGAGCCGGTCATCCATGACACTACGAATAGTGAAATAATTGAAAAGAGAGCTATACATGCACTGAAATGTAGAAAGTTCGAATGAATGTAGTTATCGAGTATGACTCTGGCAACGTGTGGCAACTTGTACATGTTAAATGAAGTTCTATTAAAGAGAGCCTCTAAAAACAATCGAGACAATCCCAATGTGTTTCCTAGAATTAAAGTGAATATGCATCCGTATTGATTTGGTGTTTTAAACAACACTCCCATCAAGAAGATAACAGCAATTGGCGCTGCCAAATAGCCCATGACTGTTGTAGTTGGGTCATAAGTAAGGACGGAAATTCACACACAACATCAAGTGTAATTTTTAGAAACAAAAACCACCCACCGATATTTGAACTACAATCCAAAATGTTGTACTTACTCTTGTGAGTGTAAATGTAGAGTTGTTTCGACAAGACTTGCACCACAGGAATAAATAATAATCCAATCACAGTCACAACAGCTCCTGCAAGCTTTCCGACAACCACATACTCCGTATTCCTATTTGGAAGGTCAAACTCTGAAGAGTTAGGATCAGCTGCAGCAGGAACATTTCCCTCGCGTGGTGTTGACAATATTTGCTGAGCATTTTGCATGATTCTTCGTTTGTCAAAATACTCACGAACGACTCGATAAAAGTCCATCGTAAATAGAGTCGATGAAGAATGAAACAATGATGCTAAAGAACTCATTAAGGCTGCAATAATTGCAGAGAGCAATAGACCTTTGAGACCAGGTGGAGCTAATTTGGTAATGAGTAGAATGTAGGCAGAATTGGGATCATCTTTTACCTCTGGAATTAAAACTCGAGCAATCATTCCTGGAATTACCATTAGGAACAAAGGTAAAAACTTGATTAAGGCTGCCAACACGCAACCTCGAATGGCATTGGCTAAATCTTTGGCAGCGAGAGCTCGTTGCTTGAATAAAATTGTCAAAAATTCAAATTAATTCATTGATATACAAGTAAGAAAGTATTGATAAGAGATGATGACAATACACTCATGAAAAACCTCCTTGACATGATCATCAACTTACCACAATAGATTGATCAGTACACCAATACCACATGGATGTCCAAGTCATTCCAAATAAAACTCCAGTCACAGGAAAATCATGGTGTGAAGGAGGTTGAAAGAGATGCATCATTGAGTCTGGAAGATTCTTCTCTAAACCTGAATAGCCTCCAACTTTAATCATTCCTTGTGCAAATAAAATAGTGGCACCTATAATCATGACAATGGTCTGTAATACTTCTGTGTAAATTACGGCTGAAAGACCTCCCAACACTGTATAAATACCAGTCGAAATAACGACAGCAGCAGCAGAAATCCAAACATCCCATCCAAGCAATCTGTGTTTACGTGGATGCATATAAAAAATACATAATTATATGATAAATAAATATAATAATAAAAATAATAAAATACATAAATGGTTTCAAAAGAAATTACAAAATTTTGTCAACCATTATCAGACCATTCCAATCATAAAGCAATTAATGGTAAATTCAAGGCGTTTTTCGATCATGAATGATGTGATAAAAATTTCAATAATTCAGAAAAATGTCATTAAGAATGGAGTGACCCAAATTTTGCCTTCACAAGCCATAAAAATACATACACCTTAAACACAACCACTCCAGCATAAATGGAAACACTAATTTTGGTCATGACATACATCACAAGTGACATCATACTCAGATACATTCGACAATTTCGATCAAATCGTTTTTCTATAAATTCTGGCAATGTAAAAACTTGAGTCCTCAAATAAAATGGAATGAAAAGCCATCCCAAAACTAGAATCCAAATTGGGCTGTAAACTTCAGCCATTCCAACAGCTAATCCAATGGAGGCTCCTGAAGAAGAAAGGCCAATAATGTGCTCAGCTCCAATATTACTTGCAAATAGAGAACATGCAATGGCAATAAATCCAACATTTCCATTCGCCAAAAAGAAACTCTTGGATCCTTTTTTCACATTTTGAGCTTCTTCATCATTTTCTTCATTTGAATTTTGTGTGAGATGATTTGACAGTGCAGATGAATTCAATGTCGGTAGTTGTTCATTTCCCAAATCCACTTCTTTCAATGCAATTTCATTGTCATCATCCTCCTCAACTCCGAGAGTCATGTCACTCACGTTTTTTTTCATGGTGATGCCCTCTATTGTTGTCTCCTTGTTAGCAGCAAGTCCCTCCTTCGTTGTTGTCGTCGGGGTCGTCATAGCGATGAGTGAGTCTTTGGATGGTATGGGTTGCATGGCAACCTCTCGAAAAGGATCCTCCTCATCACCAAGAGCCGTTCCATTCCATCGACGTTGATTCTTTCGTTCTCTGCAATATTTTAGAAATCGTTTCACACCAGAAACAATGGTCGAATAAAGACCTATCGAAAAGACAAATAAAAAGTAAAGAATAATGACAATGATGTCTGTGGTATCAATGGGTGAGTAGGAGGTGGTTGCAGTGGCGTTGTTGTTGCTGCTACTACTACTCGTTGTGGACATGTTCCGAATAGTTGTTGTTTTTATAGTGTAATGAATGTGTATATTGGACGTATGAATCGAGATTCGAATTGTGAATAATTGATGACCAGACAACGCCACTCGAAAGAAATCAATGACAAAAATTTGAAGGTATATTTGCAGGCAACACCGACGGAGAAAGAGGAGAAATTGTTTTTTCCAAGTCCGCCCTAGCAGCAAGTCACTTTCTCACCAAGTTCAAACATCGATCTGGCAAACACGCCACAACAGTGGCCTACGAGTCAGATCCATCAATGTACATGGTAAAAACACCTCAAAGGAGAGAATTCTGGACATGGTATTGCTCAATCTGTCTCAAAATTGTGAGAAAACTCTTGGAAAAGACATTGAAGACTTGTGTGCTAATGAGAGAGGAACGGGTTGCTTTCTCTTTCGAATATCTTGCTTGATCATAGAGATCTAACACGGTTTCAACATCTTCCAATGAGAGGCCGATTCGATGGCGAATCTGTTCGAGCAAATCTCGTGGAGAACCACCCAACAATGAAGCACAGGTGGCATCATAAGAATTCTGAAGGTCATAGAGTGAGAGCACTTGCTCGAGTAGGGTGTTCATGGAATTTTGAATGAATTCTCGATACGACACGGGACGTGTTTGCAATAACTGCAGACGATAGTCGGCTAAGGCTTTTAATGCCTTTTCTTGTTGCTCGATTGTTGTTTTCTGATGAGGAGTCTCTTCCTCACCATCATCGTCATCATCCTCTCGGACCGAATGGGAAGATATGAAATGATGTGTGTGGTGATGATGTGATTCAATTAAGGAAGTGTTGGATTTTCTTCCGCTGGTTCTGTTTTTCATCATGAAGGAAGATGGATTGGAAGGTGGAGGTGTTGTGGAGCGGCCATGAGGCGAGAAAGACTTGGGAGATGGTACTGCAGTTTCGCTGTGATGAGAAGTTGGTTGTTGTTTCTGCTGTTGTTGTTGTTGATCAATCGGATCAGCCACCTTCCAGTACCATGCTCGTTTTTGATGATGAATATCGAATCGGGATGATGGTTCTTCAACCTGCTGTTCATGGTGATCATTTTCATCATGATGATGAAATGAAGGAGAATCATTCATTGAAACCTCCAGGTGTAGCATGGGATCAATGATTTCTCGCTTCACTTTCCAAGAGTAATTGGAAAACTCTGAGGCTAAAAGGTATTCCTTAGTGGACATGAAACTCTTAGAGTCAGCGAACGCAGAGGCATTCCTCTGATGAGAATCAGACATTCTGGACAGGAGTATTTGCCTTTTCACTTTCCGAATGGCTCCAACAAGGACTACGATGGACACACTGAGCAAAAAACAAATCACCACAACGATTGGGATGGAATTTGTTTTGTACTCTTCGAGAAGTGCCATTAGGGCGTACGTTGAATTTTTTAATGTCAGGTGTTATGTTAATTAAGACTGCATTCCAATTTAAAAAGTGGTGGTTTAAGAACTCGGGTTCCTTTGAAAAAAGTCGAAACGAGTCTGGATAACTCTTAATGAGGATGTTGGGTGGGCATGTTCGATATATTCATTCAATTTTCTTACTTCTTGATTATTCCTATATTGTTGCATCATTGCCTTCTTGATCTTTCCAATATTTACTCATCATTCTCTAAAAGCAATGTTGTTCCTTATTGTTCACTGTTACTCTTCATGATTTGACCATTATAAATTAACAGCATTAAACAGAACTTCAGCAGCATGTTCATTGTAAATGATCAAACGAATCAAAGCTACTCTCCTCATCATGTAAAAGTCCATCATAGACCATTCCAACGAATTTGATAAAGTTGAATCGCCCACTTCGATATGGATCCAAGATATCCATCACCTTATTAAAGTCTCGTTTTGTGAAGGGTTTTGATTCTCCAGTGAGAAATGACTGTGACGAAACATCTCCAGTTTGTTTGACGTAGTTTTTCTCTGTCCAGTAATGAAAATGAGTCAAATAATGCTCAAGCTCATCGGTATTGATCCAGCCATCTTTTCCTTCCTCGTCATTCTCTGATAAAATTTTGAATGCCTCCAGTAATTGCGTGCGTCCGATTCCAGAAGGTTCTGGTTTGTCCATAATGAGGTGAACGAATTCATTAAAGCTGATGGAATCGTTGGGTAAGTGAATGTCTTTTTTCCTGTAATAGGATTCATGTGCAGACTGAATTATTTCTCGTATTTGCTCATTCGTTACTCTGTATCCGATTCTTTGAAATAGGCCTCTGAGATCACGAGAGGTCATTCTTCTGTTGGTCAGTTGTTGCTGATCAGTTATGGATTTTCTTTTGACCTTAATATTCTGTAAAGGTGTATTGTTGCGAGTAGGAGCTGTGTTGGAGTTGCTATTGATATCGCTAGTTTGTAAGGAAGGAATACTGATCGATAAATTGGTTGAGGCATTATAGTTCCCAGGCAACTCAGACGGTGAGGGAGTCAAGTCTTGTCTTTTCGGGGGAGGAAACGAAAAAGCACTCAGGGCATTGTTTGCAGTATTGGCATTAAAGTTGTTGTTGTTGTTGATGATGACACCACCACCACCACTAGTATCATTGTAGGCGATGGTATCACCTTTGGTGGGTTGAGGCTTGTTATCTAAGAAAAATTCCTCATCGGAAATCAATAACAATTCATAAAAGGCTCTCGCCTCAGCCATTTCTTCCTCACTCATCAGGTATTGAAACAGATGCATGTTGGCGGAGGCCTTTGAATTGGAACTACTTCTGGTTCGTTGTTGACTCATTTTTGTTTCTTGTGTCGCTTTGTAAATTGACTATGTGATGTATTGTTTGGACACAACAGTACATGACGATATTAAATTATGTGTTTATTAGGGCAATCCCATATTGATTTGAAAAAGCTTACATGTTTGAAAATCCAGTCATTTTGAGAATTAATATGGAAAAGTCGTCTACTTGCTTTCCTCTTCCTCTTCTTCAGCAGGAGGGGTTATGCCTCTCTTTTCCAAAGAAGCATTCAATACTTCTTGAGCATATTCCTTGTTCATCAATCTATCATCACGAATACCAGCGTCTAAGAGCACCTTGTAGTGAGTGTTTGGACGATTTCTATACAAGTATTCTTGAATGGTGGTTCTCAAGGAAGGTGATTGAAGCTTGTCCAACTTGGTTGACTTTAAGATACGCATCAAGTGAATAGCCAAGTCTCGAGCCATTTCCTGAGTAGCATTATTGACATGGCAATTGAGAGAGCCCAACTTGTATCCAAAAGAAGATTCATTCAATGTGACGCTAATAGCAGCATAGTTAATTAATGGAGAAACGGAAACAAATGTTTCAGTCATGTCAAATTTAGCAAATGGAACAACGCCTAATCTTGATCGTAGGTCCTCATCCAAGGTTGCCAATTTCTTGCCAGTTCTTGCCTCGGAAGTCATATCCTGTTGCAAATTCAAAAATCTACGAATTTCTCGCTCTCCACTTGCAGTATTGTAGGCCACAGCTCTTTCAACAATTGGTTTGTCCAAGTGGGTTTTTCCCTCTTCCGAAGCTGGATAAGTACACTTCCAAGTTGTGCGGCCATCAGAAGAAGTGATTTTACAAAGCCATGTATCTTTGGATGTCATTGAGTATCTCTCAAATGATTGTCTTTGCTTGGCAAGCTCTGAAGCATCAGAGAGAACTTCATCTTGTGGAACGCTATCGTAGTATGTAACGGTATATTTGTTGGTTTCCTCCACCTTTCCACCTTGTTCCTTCAACAAATCGACGACTTGTTGTGGATTTTCAAAACCAAATTGTATGTTAATATTCACGTCGTGAGAGAAGGCTTTTTGTACCACACCCACTTGGGACAAGAGATGATGGCTTTTGTTGGCATTTTGAGCAAATTTAGCACTCTTAGCGAAGAGAGTCTTGGTACTTTGAGCCTTGTATACGGAAGCCAAATGACTTGATGAGGTAAATCTACGTGCAACCGAGAACATTCTATGATGATGATGAAAATATGTTTTTTGAAAAAATAGTGGTGATGCCGAAAAAGAGAACGAGAGAAGGGCAGCAACAAGCGTATTTTTTTTATGATGATGAAAAAAAATTATTGAATTGCAATGAATTTTTAATATTTTCAGTCTAAAGAGCTTTGGAAGACAAGCTGTTGATCAAAAGAGTGTGGTTTCTGTGTTCAATGAATTTTATTTGGACTCCTCTCAAACAGAACTCCATACTGAAATTGAGTGCGACAAGAAACGCCCGACTTCAACAATATTTCCTGGAAAAAATTATTATAATAACGTATCGATCATACGTAACATCATACGTAATATTGTTCGTCTTGTTTGCAAACCTCGTCCATCATCATCATGAACACCACCTCATCTTCCTCCTCATACCGACCTGCCATGAAAGTTGCAGACGCGTTAAGTATTGTTTTAAACAATATAGACCTCATTCCTTTCCATCGTTCGCCCTTGATGAAACTAGAAATTGAGCCTCCAAATTCAGCCGATGCATCGAGTGGAAAAAAGAAGAAGCAGCAACAACAACAACACTCGGAAGACGGTTCATCCTCTCGTCTTCAAATGATACCCTTTTCTGATCGGAATAAGGTGATCAAATCACAGATTGTGCGTATTATGTTGGATACTCACACCTTGTGGGAGAGGTCAGCTCAGAACGATGTTCTCTCCAACGCAGCTTCCCTTCAACTCATTACTCAGCTGCAGACGAAACAACTACCTCCCAACGCATTGCCATTGCATCCGAACACGATCACTACAGCGGAACAAGTGGATGATCCTTACGAAATGAATCGATTTGTGAAACAATTTCTGATTGATGGTTACTTGGTGATTGACCCTGCCGCTCTCAAGACCTGTGGACCCATGTTTCATAGAGAAATGTTGGAATTGGGACTCTCAGTTCGAAATCATTTAACCACAAAGATACCTCAGATTTTGCATGTTTTTTCCGATTCGACAGTGAAGAAAGTTCTCACTCGATTGCTTGGATCAGATTATGAAACACTTCCGACCACTCACATGCATTTGAGTGAAAGAGGAAGACTTGATCAGGTATGTGTGTGGTTGCGGAACTTTGTATTATTAATAATGATTCAAACGAACACATCTATTGATTGCACAATGTGTGGTTGGAATTGATGTACATTGCATGACTGGTGTCAATTTTTTTGATGACCATTCTAATCTCAATCGATGATTAATTTCGAATCAATAGCACTGGCATAAGGACGATTTTCAGGATGGATATATACGACCAGTGGAGCCTCCAACCACCTTAAATCACGTAATGGCCATGTACTATCCACAAGATACAATTTTAGAGATGGGACCAACTGCCATTCGACGAGGTAAGTCGAGTACTAATTACAGAAACCATTCTCAAATTCCACTTTATTGAAACACATTGTGACACACTTCAATCCTTTATTTGTTTAGGTACTCACTTTGAAGGCTACTCGAATGATTATGTTCCTGATCGATATTTATTCGACCAAAATCAGACCAAATATCGAGAGGTGTCTTTGACATGCCGAGCAGGAACTATTGTCATGCTGCATTTCGAAATTGTCCATAGACGAATGAAGAACACTCTAACAAATAGGTTCATGATGAAGTTTCAGTTTAGAAGAAGGCAACAACCTCCAACTCCAGGCAGCAGAGGTTTGAGTAACAAAATGAAGGCGATTGCCTCAACGATACAACCCTATGACGAAGTGAATCCCATTGATGACAATTACGACCATCAATTTATTGATCCATTGGCAAGAAAAATTTGGAATTGGATGCATGGCTTGCTTCTGTCAGTAATCGAGTGAGTACAGAGTTTGGAATCAAAGATGACGAAAGTGAAAAGATCCAACCACAAAGAAACCTTTCTCCAATAATACTAATAATACTACTGGTAATAGAGGATGATGGAACTCTGAATTAAGAGTTAAATTGTTATATATTGAAAGTCACACATCATCATTAAATTCTTAATGTTGAGAAGTAAAAAATCAAACTGAACCCTAAAATGTCTCATTCAAGCGACACCCATAGAACGAAAAAAAATTAAAAAAAATGAAACAACAATTTATGGGCGTAGCTGTAAATCCTTCATCCATATCTTCCTCTTCAAGTAGCAGCCACACAGGGAGTATTATTGGATCATCATCATCGGGTGGAGTTGCAACTGGAAATTATCTTTCTGCCCTCACTCAAAATTCTCCAATGCTAGGTGGTAAAAATCCATTGGTATTGAATGGAAGCAGTAATACAAACATCAACTCGACGTCGTCGGGTGCTCTTGGTAATGTTAACACAATCATCGGTAGCTCGCGAAATTTAAATCAACACCAAACAATGGGTGGGTTTATGAATCAGACAAGTTCTGGCGTGGGAGGATTAATGGATGGCAATTTTAATCAGAGAGGCATGGGAGGTATGACTCCATCATCGGCAACCTCGATTCGAGGCGGTGGACTTCCATCATCATCATCGGGCCTCATGAATCAGCCTGGAAGTGTGAATCGTATTTCTCCTACTCAACAACTCATAAACCGATCAACAACACCAAGCAGTAGTTTGAATCAAAACACGACACTAGCATCGTCGGGAGTTTCAGGTGATTCATATCGGCCTTCAGAATCAATTCTATCAATGATTAATAGTGGACAACAATTTGCTGGGCAATTTCCATCTAGTGCCATGAAACTTCCCCAAATCTCCCAAAATAACATCTTTAAGAATATTGCCCTTTCAAATTACACACCACAACAAAAGCAATCCATGATAATACAAGTGAGGAACTTGGCGCAACAAAATGGATTTGATGCCAACACAATCGATCAACATTTTCAAGAGTATCTCATGTACGAGCAAACGAGACAATATCAACTCCATCTTTTGCAGCAGCAGCAACAAATGCAACAACGTCAAGTTACTGCTGACGACAAGTACAGTCTTTTTGGGCTGACAAGCATTTTCAAGGCAAAAGATTCTGATTTAGCTGTTCTTGCTCTTGGACTGGATTTGACATCGCTGGGTTTAAATTTGAATGCAACTGAGCAAATCTATCATCAATTTGCATCACCCTTTTCTGACATTCAACCTCCTGGAATTATTCCTGATTACAGAGTTCCCGATTGTTACAAGCTTCACATGCCTCTACACGAATTTCACATTGAAAAGTTTACTGACGAGACGCTGTTGTACATGTTTTATGCCATGCCACGTGATGTTTTGCAACTTGTTGCAGCAAGAGAACTTACCAAAAGAGGCTGGAAATACCACAAACCTACCCAATTATGGTTTATCCGAGATGTCAGTGTGAATGATTTTGTTCAGACTCCAGACGGTGAGAAGGGTACATATTTCTACTTTGACGTCCAATCGTGGTCTAGGAAACGAAAAGCTGGCGTCATATTAAGTTATGATATGCTGTACAACCCTGCTCCTTTCTTGCAACAACAACAGCAAAAACAATAGTTGTTATTGTGTAGAACTTTTTAAAAAGATAAATCTAATGCGATATTCTCCCACATCTAGAAAAATGCAAAATTTTCTGACAAGAGATTGACCTTACAACAATGATCGAATAATTTATACAATTCTTTCCAAATCTTTGGCATAGAAAAGAGTCCTTGTAATGACATCTCTGTTGGTTCCTTGGAAGGTCTTTTTGTCTTCTGTAGACTTTTCAAAAACGACCTGATCGTTTTCAATGCTCCACATCATTCTTGAGGCAATGAAGTCTCTGGTTTCATTTTCGTTTTGGAAAAGCAAAAGCTTTTGAATGCCTGGTAAGCTAATTTTCTCATAGGCAAGTTCTGTACAGTCTGCAATTTCCTTTCTTATTGTGTCAATCATCAAATCCATAAAGACATTATATTCAGGAGCAGGTGCCTTATCTCTTAAACTTCTTAATTTTGTATAGGAACCTTCCATCAAGAATAATTCCATTTGTATGGCGTGCTTAATATACATGCTCTTCTTGTGAAGTTCAATTGGAATCAACTCCAACTCTGTGTGAAACTCGGCAATTCTATTTTGTGCCAATAATCTCAATAAATTTAATCCGAGAATTAATTCTTCACGGCTACTCTTGTTAAGTCCAGGTAAACGAAGGTCGTAGTATGCCTTCACTTGTTTGACATTTCTTTCGAAGAGATCCATATCTTTTGTTTTTGCGCTCAAAATCACAGCGTGTTCAAGAATTTCTCGAGTCAATAGAATTTCTTGTTTTGTGTCTTCATTGAGAACAAGTTCGCTGACTAATCCAGAAGCCACTGCAAGAAATGATGGTAATTGAGTGAAGAGTTTCTTTTTTTGTAAATGATCATAGTATGGAATAACAAGTATAATCGGGCCCAATAATCATTCAGTGATCACCACGATCGGAATTTCATCCCGATTTCATACAACAAAACAAGATTGACAAAACATTCCAAATAACATTTTCACTACTCACCTTCAATTGTGCCAATTGTTGAACAGCTTGAGCATTTTGATTTGTATCGATGGCTTGTTTGAATTGTTGAAAGAGTGGAAAAATTTGTTGGACAGAGACGACGGTCATTTTTTTCGAATTGAAAATTTATAAATAAAAATGATTTCCTGCTCAGAGAAGATAAAGTAGTCAATACACTGTTCGATTAAGAGGAACGTTTATGAATGCAAAAGCATCAATTAATTGATAATTGATAATTGATCTTGGACTGTTCATGCCAATTAATAAAGAGATCTTCTAGAGTGAATGGTGATGGTGGTGGTGAAAATTATCATTAAAAGGACCCATAGGTATTAAAAAGAATCAAAAACACTCCATCCACACCTACAAAATAGTAACAATCTTCATATCCTCCACCCCAAGTATTCATTCCTTCATCGTACCTGAAAATTTTGAGAGGCTTTTCAAGTTTGTATTGTTCATGCCATCCGATGATTTTTCTGAGAGTTTCATCCGTGCATTGTTCTAAAGGAACTTGTTCAAATGCACCCTGTTGAGGGAATGTTCGATTCGTGATTCTTTCAATATTTTGTTGGGTGATGATGATCTCACTCTCGGAAGGTTTGGTGGATTGGCTGAGATTGTATAATTTTGTAGTATTGGATTCATATCCTCGTGCGGAAGCAACTCTGGGATTTTCCTGTTCAAGGAGAGCGAGTTCATGAAGAATTGATGTCATTCGGAGGAGTGTGCAAGTTTTGAAAGGGACTTTTTTATAATTGGAACATTCTTTTGCCCTGAACTGCTCAGTGCTGCTTTGACATTTTGGGAATGTTGGTGGGTGAGATTATTCTTTCCAAAATCAATGAAGATTAATCGAACACATTCAACACAACAATCATTACGAATATTTTGGTCAACTCTCGAACATTCAACTTTCAGCATCACATCAACAAATGATGATAATTCTTAATGAAAATATTTCGACCACCATTACCATTGTGGTGGTGGAAGCTGTGATGGTGTCACATAAAGTGTCCCTTGATGAGTTTTGTTGATATGGTGGTACTATCATTTATTTCATTCGCTACAACCTCTCTATCATTCAAAATGCCATTTCATTTTCATCATTCCGGACACAAAACGGCAATCTTAATTCTTTACAAAATTAAAATGGTGCCTGCGACCAACCTACTCCTTAAGGCTTTCATCATCTCCGTCCCAAAGTCTTTGTAATATTCAAAAAAAATATCCAACAAACCATACTTTCATCATGAAGACTCTCCTTATTACACTTTCTGCCTTAGTGCTCTTTTTGGGAATTCTTGCTGCTTCCATTGAGGCTCAACAGGCTCATTGCTTTGATAAATCCTTCCAAACTCAACTCCGCGTTTTTGAACCAAAGAGAGATTTTATTGATACTCAAATGCTCTTTGTTGATGCCGATGCTGGTTTGACCAGAACTGATATGATCATGAGAGAACCAGTCGCGAGAAATGTGAGCGTTTATATCAATTACAAACTCAACAAGAGATGGATTTATGAGGTTGCTCAGAACTTTTGCCATTCTGATGTTGTTACTCAACCTCAACAACCTTTCTGTATTTCATCCAATGCCACTTATGTAAGGTAAGATTTTTTAGTGTTGTTTCAATGTTTCTAATCATCACGCATACGCTGTGTCTAAACTGTTAATTATTACTCTAACACGTGTTTCTTTCGAACGAATGGCACACGAAACACGGTTCCCTCCACGATTCACTCCTGTTCGACATACGTCCCACATAGATCTGACGTCATTGGAGGAACCCTTAAGGTTGATGTTTATGATGAGAAATTGTTCGGTTTCTCTGCTCGTATTCTCTATGCTCCTGCAACCAATACTCCTGTCGAAGTTATGACTAAGGCCGGTGGCTTTGGCAATGGAATGATCATTGAGGAGTACTTTAACTGGATTCATCAAAAGCCTGCTCCTGCAGTCTTCACTTTGCCTCAAGCTTGCAAGAACGTTGCTGCTCAAAGAGCTGCTGTCTCCCCACAAAATAAGGTAATGATCACTGAAGTTACCAAGAGAGTCGATTCTTTGCTCTACAGAAAGAGTGTCAAGACCTTGCTCAGCCAACAATAAATTGAACGCAAGCAATACGTCGCAGCGACTGCGAGAATCCAAATATATTGTCACTAAATATACCGACAAGAATTGAAAATAAATTAATACAATTTGTATTCAACAATAAATTCTTCTAACAAATAATAATCACAAGCATATGAAAAGTAGGCATGAAAAAACTCAGAAGAATTTGGAAAGCATAATCAAAATAGGCAAAAAAAGGAATCTAGAGAGGAGTCAAAATTGAAAAGTAAAGTTTAGATGAACAAATGAATCATCATCATTAACCCATCAATACCAAAAGGTGAACCATGACAGTGGTGGTGTCAATGAGATCAATCGATTCACGAGTTATACTAATTTTGGTTGTTGTTGTCTTCTACTTTTCACTGATACCCTTTTGACGAGCAGTCTTTAAAATCAAATTACGAACAAATTGCTTCTCAGAGGCAGCATTTCTCATGATGGCCATTGGATCCGATGACTGAGATCTGAGAATATTTGGACAAAACACCACTGCCAAGTTTTCACTTGTCATCATGGTCTTTTTACAATTTGGTAACATGTCAGAGAGAAAATCAAGAACAAAGTTAAGAATGGTACGATTTCCGGGTGGTAATTGATCCAAAACTGCAGCACTCTCTTGTTCACTGTTTGCTACAGAAACGCAATGTTCATAGAGACGATGAGGAATGAGTGGATCTGCCAACTCACGCAACCACAACTTGAAAAGAGAGGCCAACACGTGAGGATCCTTCTCAGAGATTTCAAAATTGCATTTACAGAATTTGTCTTTGAGAGCTTCCACTCGAGAGACGTCTCCAGGCAATCGGAAAATACCTTCCACATTTGTGAAATTCACCTTCTTTAAGGCTTCACTCAAAATATATAAAATGTATGGCTTGGATGGATCGAATTGTGGGAATTTTTCCTTTTGCCATTTCAAATATTCTACAATGGAAACACCAAATATTGGTTCTGGTGGATGAGGATTTGACATGTTCTTAATTTCATTGTCCGATGGAAGCGTTTTTCTTGGGCCTGTGACACAAGATCTTCTCAAATGTTTCTCAGAGAGGAGAGAAAATTGTCGAATGCGTTCGTCTTTACCAAGTTTTGGATGTGTCACAATGGTGTGTTGTAAAAAGTGTAAAACACCCTCTTGTAAATCATAAGAAGTTGGTGGAAATGCAGAGAGCATGAGTCCAAGAAGTTGAAGACCTTTCACAGCACTCTCAACCTTTGGATTGTTGTTGGTTTGTTTACAAAGATAAATAATAAGCTCATTTCTAATAGGTACATTGAGTAGAGCAATTTGAAGAATTTCTATTAGAGGAAATGTGTTCCAAATTTCATGATGACGACATTGGGTTACCATAAATCATGTGTTGTGAATGTGTGTGAATGAATTCATTCATCATCATGACATTTCGTAAAAAATTAATTAATATAAATAAAGAATGTTTAAAATTCAAAACTTACCCTTGGCAAGGAAAAAATCATGAACATTGGTTCCACTTTTCACAACTTGTTTCACAGTTGGTGAACACTTGTCAAAGGTACGGTCTCCCATAAATAATTGAACCAATTCAAAGCATCTGAGAGCCTTCTCTTGATGTTGTTCCATTTTAATGGGTTGCAGTGTTTGATTCAATCGATCCTTTTGGAATTCAATCAATTTGTCAACCTTCACTTGTTTCTTAAAGAGACCCTTCTTGAATTTTTGGAAATGTGTCACGCCGTACTTGATCAAGGTATGTTCACCCTGTGTAATTCGTGGCAATGCATCGGAAGCCTCTTGATGAGAATCTTCAGCAGAGGTACCCATGTGAGAAGATTTTGGTCGTTGAGGAGTTGTTGGTTGAGCATTATTCGAGGAGCCCGCTTCTGTTAACAATTTGTAATCTGCAATGTTTTCAATGGTAGAAGGAGTGTGATAATGTGTCACTTTCTTATTCTTATAGGGTGGTTCCCAAGTAGATTTTTGAGTTTGTCGATGGAAATAATAGGTACGTCCAGTATTTGAATCCACTGCAGCTTCCCAACCATCTTCCAATTCTAATGATGATATTTGTTTGGAAATTTGTGGAGAAGTGACAACCTTTGGAGTGGTAGTGCCGATTGTACCTGTTGTTGTTGTTGTGGAGACACTACTCGAGTGTTGAACAATGTTGGAAGTACTCAACGGTTTTTCAGAAGGTTCTTCTGCATCTTCGTCGTCATTTGCACTACCACTCGTATTCTTCTTGGTTCCGACAAGATCAAGATTCAAAGTTGCTTGTTGTTGACGAGGTGTTTCAATCTCATCATCATTCTTAATGATGTCTTCTTCTTCATCTTCTTCGTCATCACTATTGTATTGAGATCGAGTGAATAGTCCAGAATTTGCAGGAACACTTCCAATAACATCCAAATTGGCAGCAGTTGAAGGAGAATAGGTTTCAATCTCCTTCTTCACATTAATTGGAATGGCATGTAAATGTGACACTCGACTTTTCAAATTTGACATGACATTATCTTGAGATAAACTTCGTTGATGTCCAGAAGGAGTGCCAGTAGTATTGTTCGATTTACGTCCTTTTGGTTGTTCTGAATTCAACAAGATCAATGACTCATCTTTGTGAGCATTTGATGGTGTCTTGGGAGTGATGGGTGTTTTACCTGTCATTTCCATCACAGGTGAAACTGGAGATTTTAATTGTTCGTGAAGTTTAGTTGAAACATTCATTGTTGTATTCAAATTTGGAGAACTCAAATTCATCGGTAAGGACCATGTCGTTTCTCCATTTGTTTTGTTATGATAGTAATGTCTTTTTGTTTGTGGATCGTAAATGGTCAACCAAACACCATCATCCGATTGAACAATGGCAGCATCTACAATTGGAGTATTATTGGTTTGATGATGATGTTGTTGTTGAGGAGGAGGAAGAGGTGTTGTTGTTTTTGGTGTCGTTGTTCCAGTTCCGTTAGAATCATGATTGGAATCTTCTTCTTCTTCTTGATGATGATTCACGGAGGAACTTGAAGACATTTTTTTAAAGTGATGATGAAAGGCTTTGTTGTAATTGTTAATGAAAACAACACAGTTGTTGGTGTGTTCCTTCTAAAGTTGTTGTTGTTGTTGTTGGTATTGATGATGATAAAGAAGAAGAATGTCAAGTTCACAAACGAGTTCTTCTCTGTTGATGATGATGAGGAAAAGCGATGATAATGGAGTGTGATGTGATCGAGTTTCTTGAGAGATAGCGAGTGGATACGCCTTTTTGTCAAGTGAAACGTTTTTTTTTCAGGTTGAAAAGTGTGGCCGTCAGCTGTCAATGAATTTTTTATGATTGACAAGATCGCTCCTGGACAAGAGAGGGAATGATCAATAAGAAGCATTCGATAATGTCTTTCTCAATTCTGCATTAAGGATTAGGTTTCAATTGGTCATTGTGAAGCACGAATTTTCGAAAGTTGTTCATTCAAAAGGATTTGCCATTCTTTCTCATGTATGAGACTGAATTTAAAAAAGGAAAGTTCTTCTCAGCCGAATCCTTTTTGTTTTAACATGCACATTGTAGATTCTCTAATCTCATTTCTTCTGAGAAGAGCATGAAGAAGAATATATTGACAACCATTTAAGAATTATTCTGCTCCAAGAATTTATTTACAATTCATCACCATTATGATATTGATTCGTTGTGAAATATTGATTGTCTTCTGTGCGAACCGAGTGTCGATGATCATTTCCACCACTCTCAACACCAAATAAATAATTTCTAATGTTCATCATTCCATGTTTACACTTTTTCAATTGTTTTCGAATGGTCTTGATCAATAAAGATTCCGAATTGGATAACACAAGATTCCAAAATCCAATACACAATGGAATCAACAACACAAAACTAAACACATAAATGATCCATCTCAAAATCATAAAAGTAGCACTCGTGTCATAGAGAAAGGGATTATCTCGTCGACAGGAATCACTCATTTGGAAGATCATTTCACTCACAATACAGGACAAGACGAAAAATACAAAGGAAAATAAAATTCGTGAAATTCCGACGTAAAGTAGACTGTTGTGAAGTTTGGCAGAAAGTTTTTCATTGCCTTTCATTAAGAGTTCCAATTTCCGATTTTGGAGTTCGGGATCTTCGGGAGTGGAGTTGTGGACATCTTCGATGGATTCCGAGGACTCTTGATTAAAGTGTCCATATTCCCGGACAGAATCTGCCACTTGTGATTCCGGTTGTTCATTGGCATTGGGATCGTAAAAGAATTTGTAGCCCATAATTATCAAAATCGATGAAAAGGAGAGAGAAAGGGCTGCTCCGATCATGTCTAGAAAGCCCAATCCAATGATTAAATTGAGAAGAAGCTCATGATTGCAATGATCTTGTTGTTCATCGGCGTTCGGAGTGTTTAAGCCTCCGACGAGTATTCCGTAGAGACCGATGGGAAGAGAAGTGATGCAATCGAGAAATCCAATGATGCAGAAAAATCTAATGTTGATATGAGAATGGGAGTGTGTGGTTGAAAAACAATAATGGACCACTTTCAGAAAATATATTGTCAATAAACATACATGATCGAAAGCTTTAATCTCAACGAGGGATCGTATTTCATCGAGTAGAGCAATTCTGTCAGGAACATTTTTTTTCTTTCTCTCCGAATTCTTTTACCTCTCATTCCAAAAACAGAATGAATTGTGAAAACCAACAACAAGACCATCAAAGCCAAAGGACCTTCTATAATCAGATGATATCATCATACAAGGGACTATTTATATTCCCCACAAAGAGCTTTTGTTGTCATATTCAACACACACACATGCTTGGTTGATTCTTTTGGATTTTCAAAACACTTCAAAGTATTTCATCCAAAATATTATTCTTTTTCATAATATTCTCAAAAATATCGTCCAATAATCTCATTTGTTCGTCTTCAGCTCCAGATTCAATTAATGGAGATTTTGTATAGAAATTATCAGAATGAGCACTTGTGGGTGTTCCATTAAGGTTCGGTGAGGAGGCACCGATATTAATACCCATTCCACTACTAGTGTCACCAATATTATTCATTCCATTGATCATGATCGAATTGTCATGATAGGTTCCAATCATTGGTGACAAAGAAGGCGAGACATTCATAGTTGCAGTGTGTGTGGAAGAAGAATGGAGTTTGTTCGTGTTGTGGACACTTGTGGAAGTGGAAGAGGTGGCAGCAGATGTATGATGACGTCCTCCAGAGGGTGGTGTTGATGTTGTGTTCAGTTTTTGATTCATCTTGGGTGGTGTGAAGGGAGAATAGTTGTGGTTTTCATCCAATGATGTGTGTTGTTTGGAAAAGGCAATAATGCTACTTCCTCGTCGTGTGACATGGTTACTCGAAAGTGTGACTGAACTTTGATTTTCAATGAGTTGTGGAGCATTTTGTTCTTCTTTCTTGGCACCGTGTTGTCTCTCATTGAGATATTGAAGGAGAAAACCAGTCTCTTGTGAAAAATCAAATCCAATATTTTGAGAATCAGTGTAATAGTACTTTTTCAAAAATGGATGTGAGAGAAGTGCCTCTGCTGTTGGGCGTCCTTTGTTTTTGAGACACTTTTTCAAGAATGTTTTTAGTGAACTGTCACATGAAGAAGGTAAATATTCTACAAGTTGATAACCATATTGTACAATTAACTTTTGAAGAGTAATTTGTTTGTTTGCCGATTGTTGATAGGTTTCTAGAAAATTAGGAATAAGTTCATAGGGATTTTTACCACCAAGACAGAGCTGTAAAACAGTCACTCCAATACTCCAAATGTCAATGGAATAGTCAATGGTGACATGACTTGCCTTAATGACCTCTGGGGGCAAATAAATAATGGTTCCAAATTCGTGATTGAGAGTCGTGCCTTCAGGATTAGCTTCACCAAAATCAGCTAATTTGATGCAATCTGTGGTTTCAATGAGTATGTTGTGAGCTGTTGAGATGTGAAAATTAAATTAATAAAAAATACAAATGAATTGACAGAATGAAACGATTGGCAAGAAGAATCCAAAAGGTCTTTGAAAAAGAATGCTTCCATAGAAATACATACGTTTGATGTCACAATGATAAATATGATTTTTGTGTAAGTAATCGACTGCAGATATTAATTGTCGAGTATATAACGCAAGTCGATGCATGGTGAGATGTCTATTGTGAGCCACTTCGAGATGGTTCACACTGCGTGATGTTATTATTAATGAAAAAAGATCATTGTCCATACTACCTATAACTCTCACCAATTACTTACAGTTCGAATAAATTACCTCCTGGTAGATATTGAATCTTGATGTAATATTTTCCATTGCCAGACTTGTAATCGAAATATTGCACAATATTTTCATGTTTCACTTTGTCCTTCTTGTATACATCGAGTTCTCTTTTAATCTTGGAGCAATCAATGACTTTTAGTGCGAAGAGAGTCTTGTCATTGTGATCAAGGCATAGCATGACACATCCAAATTGTCCTCTTCCCAATTCTCTGATCTGTGTAATTATTTCGCGAAAATGACATCATGTGAATCACGAATGATGATAAATTATTTCCTTGTCATGATTCATGAATTGCATGAAAAGTGAACCTACCTCTGTCCAATCTTCCATTTTATATTCAAGAGTCACTCTGAAAATATCCTCTCCGCTCTTGTAGGCGTCAGACATCATTTGTCTAAAAAGTTCACTTGTTGTAGCCCATAGCACCTTCGAGTTCAATGTATACTCAAATCGAATTTCCCTCATTGTTACAATTCTGTTCTTAATGATTTTCTGATTGATGAAGTTTCTCAATTCAAACTCAGACGTCGACGAAGTATATTTGAATGAATACGTTTGACCATTGTAAATGATGGCCAAATTTTTCTCCTTCTTTTCAAGATAACATTGTCTTGCAAATTCTATGGATTCTACACTTTTCACACCCTTAACAGTCAACTGATTAATATCAACATCGTAACGTTTGATTAAAAATCGAATCGCATCCTTGTTTTCATTTTCTGCCGCTTCCACCAAGTAATTTGTAAAGAAAGTGCGCAATTCCGTGGCTGAGTTTAGCATTTCTTGTTCGAATTTATCAATTTTGAATTGTTTCATGTATTCTAAGGCCTGAGAGAAGGCCTCGACCTTATCCTCGGGTATTGATCGTTGATGTAAAATATCATCAATAATTCTGAGCTTTTCAATCCGTTTTGCATTTTCAACAATGGTATCAAATCGCGAAAATTTGTTCAACATTTCGACAATGTTCTTACTTCGTGTTAAATCACCAGGTAAATGATTCGAAGTGCTAATGACGAACTTGTTTGCACCATGAAGGAGTAAAGTCTTTACCACTTTCTCATTGTTGTTAAGACATGCATAGTGAAGAGGCGTCATAAGGGTGTCAGGATGTGCATAATTCACATCTGCATTTTTCTCAATGAGTAATTCAATGCTTTCACTGGGAGCATCGAGTTGTGTCAATATGAGAAGAGGCGATCGTTCAGCCAATAGTTTTCGTTGCAACTCCTTGTTACTAGAGTCGGCTTTTGGTTCTTTCGTTTTTGCATTGGCATAATCGTCCATATAGTTGGTCGAGTGATATCTCAGTAAGAGTGACAAAATTTTGTTTTCCGTATTAATTTGTAATTCTGCTTTTGGGTTTTTGCTTGATTTTCCAATCATTTCGCAACAGGTGTGAATACATCTCTGGAAGTTTTGAAAGGGTAGTTGTAGTGAATTATTATATTTCAATGATGGTAATGAGTTATATTTTGCAATTCATTCTATTCTATTCTACTTACCATCTAAAAAATGGAATAAAGTCAACATGAAGAAGTTGATTCATTGAATATTCCTACTTACTCCATTCTGTACATGTTTATATAAACGTGTTTATTCACAAGTCCATTGAAATAATGTTAATCATATTTAACAAAATTCTGTAGTGAAAATTGAAAAAAACATACCCTGTTGGTATAATTATCTCTCATTCCCATCTCCAATAAATGTTTAACGACTTCATATTGTCGTTCTTTAACAGCAGTATAGAGCGGTGTCTAGAATGTGACAGTATTGAATATGAAAAAAAAAGCATTCCAAAAACTTCACATACCTCTTCGTCAAAGGTTGTTTTCACTTCCATTTTCACATTGTATTTTTCTAGAAGAGTAATCACATCAATATTTCCACCTTTACAAGCGACATGAATCACATAAAAACAATCGGTCATTTGTCGAATAAATTTGTTTGGATTTGCACCTTTTTTCAATAAATATTCTACAATCTCTACAGCACCGAGTTGACAAGCGAGTGCTAGTGGAGTATAACCCTGTGTTGTTTTCATCCAAAAATCGGATTCAATATGGAAAGGGCATTGGATGAATCATGCAAGTTCCAATTTCATACAGGCGTCACACGTTCCAATAATAATATCGTTACAAAATTGCATCATTGGAGGTCAATATTCACCTCTTCAATTCTTCCGACATTAAACATACCTCCAATGACATCATCTTACTCGAATTGTTATATACATCTTCAATTTTGTTTTTTCCAATATTCAGAAATTTATCAACTAATTGCAAATCTCGTCTTTCGATCGCATCAAAAATATCAAAATCTCTCGAACCAGAACCTCGGGTTGGTGAAGAGTCAATGAATGGACTACTAAAGTTCATCATAATCACAAATGATGATGATGAGGTGATGGCGATGATACAAAGAATTCAATTATTAAATATTCTTCTTCTTGTTGTTGGCAATTATATTAATAAAAACCCAATGTTGGTTGAAATTTCTTCTCTCTCTCAATTCAATTTCAAAATTTCTTCATGAAAGGCTTTTGATGACCCACCCGATATCGGAGTATAAGAGTTTGGATGAGAATGAATTGTTTGCAATGACAGCAAGTGGAATGCTTTTACTACGTACCACTACTACTACTGTTGTTGTTGTTGTTGGTGTTGTTGGTGATGATGATGGTTGGAGGAGGATAATCAAGAAAATCAGGTCGCGAAGGCCGTAAATGTGTTGAATCTTTTTTTGGAAGAGTTTTTTGACAAGTGCTGAGTATGTTCGTTCTCCTTCGCGAAGGATCTCACACTCAGCTGCTTGGTTCCAGACTCCAGAGTATTCAAAGTTTGTCCGAGAGAATTGTGAAAATTCATTGAATTTGAATGATAAAAATTGAAGAGAAACCCAATTTTTGAGTCAATTTACTTGATTGAGATGTATATCAAAAAGAAAACCAAACATATAATGAAGGGAAAAAAAAGAAGGGAATGTAATGACGTTATTTGGTGATAGTGTTTCACCATTTCAATCCGTTAGAAAAGCTTTGCCAATTCTCTGTGACATTCAAATAAGAAATGGACAATTGTGTATGAAATGTTTAGAAGGGCACGAACAGAGTTTGGGGTGTTGTGAGACGTGTGTTTCACTCTATTCTAAGGGTGCCAAAATGGTTGAAAATGAGTTGCCGTAAATTGTGTGCCAGATGTGCAGGTTTTACTAAATTTGAAATCCACTCAGATAACGCACCCAAATTAGAACAACTCCAATACCATCCTGGGCATCCTTGTCGACAATACAAGGTAGAATTTTGCCTCTTGCTTGACTTCGGCAAGGAGCAAGCAGGAATTTCCCAACTTTCTTCCTTTTTCCCTATACATGGTACCCCAATAATGGTTGGTTTTGACAGGATCCACCACTTCATTTCGAATAAAAAATCTATCCCCTACAGTTTTTATTTGGATGATCTTGTCTAAATGTAATAAATTTGTCTTTTCCAAGAATCATGTTCGTCGTTGTTTACATACTTTTATGGTATTGATCTGAAGCTTTTGCCACCGGTCAGACAGGAATCGAAGGGCAGAACGGAAAAATCTCAATATTGAAAAAACCTCTTGTTCCACACATCAAGAAAAATGTTCAACAACAACAACAACCTTAATCCATGCATTGGTGCCTCCAACACCATTCATGTCAACCCAACCGAAAATACTACTACCAAATCAAACCAACGTCCAAGTGATGTGGATCATGGTGAAGGATTGCACCATATGCATGTGCCTTCCTCTGTGGCTTCCTTGAATTCATTGAGTGATGTCTCTCAACCTGTTCCTTCCACTCATGAGTTCCAATCATCACCTACCCATGGACCTGCGTTGTTCAAGAAGGCAAATTCAGAGGTTGGAAGTGAGAACTTTTCTTCCACTTCTGGAGAGAACTTTTCTTCTACGACTGATCATCTCTCAAGCTTGTACAAGATGACACAAGAGGTCATGCTCTTTCTTTACACCATGCAAAATAACTCGAGAAGACTTGGATGGAAACAACATCTTGTCGATTTGGTTTTACATGCTCAGATGTTTTGGAGTTTCCTTTTCATTCCAGTGTTGAGCCCACAAGACTTTTCGTTTGGACAATGGGGAAGTTGGATATTTACCATTGCCAATTGGTCGACTACTCTCTCGATGGATTTACTTCCTTTTTATGGAGCATTGGGAATGGCCAGTGCTTCCTTAGTTCTCTTATTGATCATGATCATGTTGTACATTATTGGAAAGAAAGCTGCACGTGAAACATCTGCTATGGTGGTGTATTTGAGAAAGATTCTTCACACTCTCTCTTATATGATCATTCTATTGTCGACACCGACGGCGTTTATCTTTTCTGGCTTCTTTGATTGTAATTATGGATTCCAAACAAGGCCTCATGTGTTTACTTCTGTGGTCCATCATCATGCAGTCACCAGTCAAGCTCTCAACAACACACAACCGTCTTCTTTCATGGATCAAGGTGGTGATCAAAAAACTCTCAATAGATTTCCCACGATTGCTTGTTTCGCAAGCGAGAATATCATCATGTGGACAATTGCACTGATTGGAATGATTGCACTCCTTGTATTGACTGTATTGTCTTCTTGTATCATACCACACATGCATCCATTAAGCACCTCTCTATTCAAGAGTGATTCTATAGTTTTTAGAGTGAGCTTTCTATGTTGTAACATTATTTCAATCACCATTCATTATCTTATACCTCCGCATTTTGCCTTTGCACGATCCTCTGTTCATATAATCGTTAGCTTTGCAATGTCCTATTTAGTCTTTAAAACCATTCCAATGATGAGAAGATGGGAAAATTCTCTTGTCTTTGCCATCACCGCATGTCGATGGGGAACTTCTATCGGCGGGCTCATTTCCCACTTATCAAATTCGACGACATGGAGTGATGAATTGGGAATTGCAATGGCCTTGTTAACCATTGGTTTGATGGTTCTTTTCTTTATTATTGGCTTTGTAGGAATGGAAATCTATACGAGGATTGTTGTTAAAAAGTTCAAGAGCATGTATTTTAATTTCCAAAAAGACAATGAAGGAGAACGTGAATTATTGCAATTGTTTCAAGTAATGGATGATAACAAGCATTTACCTCTCTTATATTTGTTTCTAAAGTTTTCCATGACTTTATCCAATCAGAATGATTTACTTCAAGGTATTAATTTTATTCGTGGTGTGATCTCTTTAAGAACTTTCAATGACATTCATTCTCTCATAATTTCCTCTCAAATTGTGGCCTATTATATGCCTGACGAAATTAATTCAACAAACTTTGCTCATGCCTTGTTAAAGAAGGCCATGAAACAACGTCCAAACTTATATCTCAAGTTCCTTATTGGCCAAAAGAAAAAAGAGATTGAAGTATTCACATCTGAAGTGATTAAAACAGATGGATCTATCGAATTAAAGGAAACACTTCTAAAAGTGGAAAAGAAAACTCGAGAATTAACAGCAATTCATAGACACTTTTTTAAGGAGCTCATGCAAGAGATTGTCTCTTATGATAAACTTGAACGAATGATGATTCGTTGTGCCCTATTAGAAGGAGAATGTGATTCTATTTTCAAACATGTTCTCAAACTTTATCATACCGATAAAACTGTTCTGCGAATGTAAGTATAATATTATAAATATCAAACATGAAACACATGAATGATGAAAAAGGTATGCACAATATTTGGAAGAATTCAAATTCAACAAACAGCTGGCTCAGGAATATTATGTCGAGGCCTCTGATATCGAAGAAGAAGAATCTCTTCGAAAAAGCATCTCAGGTTATAGAAATTTAAGAAATAGTGGCATTAAGAAGATTCTTAAAATAAGCAAGACCTGTGTTGTTCATCCAGAAACAGAGGATCATGTGGTGACATCGCAAGAGGTAGACAAGAGATATCGTTCTAAAAACTCTCTAACTTTTAATGTCCTTTCAAAGAATTCTAATTCAGAGGAGAGACCGTTCGAGTTGGAAAGAGGGAATGGTGAGAACAGTTTGGATTTCACTGGAGTTGATACTTTGAACAATGAAGCAAAGAGAGAACTAACTTATCGATCCACATTGTCAACACCATCTTCGAGAGTGATTCAACAAGGGCTGTTAGGAGTGTTTATTGTAATTTCTATTCTTCTCGTCACAACAAGTTTATTAATGGGCTATTTCATTTCTCATGAGGTGACAGATCATGTGACAACGACAAGAAGTGCTTGCGCACCTATTATGGGAATAACAACAATAATGATCAATTTACGAGGATTCCAATTGGTACATTGGTTTGGAACCGAACGTTTTACCTATGACCTATCGACTCAGATGTTTCTAAGTCTTGATGAAAATAAGAAAATGATGGAAGGTGAGTTGAACAATCATGATATTGTTTTTACAATTAACATATGACATCAAGAAATGAGTAATTTGGCCATTCAGTTAAGAGAAGCTGCTTATAACTCAAAGTTCTCTAATAGAATTTACTCTGTATATCATGGACAAAGTTTTCCTATACTAATTCCTCAAATTGAAAACAATAACATCAGAGTATTCAATGTTACTACACAAGAAAATGCCACAATGGCCGATATTAATAACATGATCATTGAAGCTTCAGAAGTATTACTTAACTCTGACGAGAGTGAACTCCTTCAAACCTTGACCAGTTATGAGTTCATGTTTTTACATCGAAACTTTGCCACCTTTTTACATGCTTATTCAACCTTTTGCAACGAATTTATGAACTCTTCTCAAAACGATGCTCTTGAATTGAATCATACTTTTATCGTTTTTACATCTGTTACCCTTCCTATTTATATTCTCTTTTCAATCTTTTTTATGATTTTCATGAGGTTTGATTTGGTCATTGTAAAGAAGCAAATTAAGCTGTTACAAAAATTTGTGACAAGGTAAGTATTATTATGTTCAAAATGATGATCAGTTTGAAAACATAGTGAAATGTGGTTATAAGAAATGAGATTGGAAAGATTTATCACGAACTCGGAAAGAAGATTGGTGACGAAACAACTATTCACATTTCAAGAGCGGCATCTCTCAAACCCAAAAATTTGTTTATCCTACTTTCAATCACTGTTGTGTTCACGGTCACTCTTAGTTGTGTTTTGTTTTTGGAGCAAACACTTTCAAATACTAATTTTTGTGTCAGATCCTATTCGACCATCAGAAACAGTTATGGCACTCTCACTTTTATTCAACGTCTCGCCTTTTATGTCACTGAAATATTCACTTCAAAAGCAATTGCCAACCAAACACAATTATTGGGAAATGAAAAGCTAGAATATTTCCACAACGATTTCAATAATATTGTGACTTCTCTTCGCCAGTATTGGGGGAAGTGTTTGTTTGGATCCGATTCACAATCAGAGATTGACAACAGAGTGATTGGTCTATTTCCTGAAACAGATGAAATGATTAAGGGCAACGAAGATTGCACTCTTGAGAAAGTTTTACACGAATCCACCTCTCGTCATAACCTTTCATGTGTGGTTGGAGTGGACAGTTCAATTTCAGAGATTGTTTTGAAGAGTAGAAAATTGATCGAAAACGTGGAAGCGATTGACAGCTCCATGTTGCAAAATATTGACTTTTTCATGGATGTTGCTTTTCTGACAAGTTACATCTCTCAAGTGTTGATTGAATTTTCAGACGTATTCGCAATTGCCTCTTCTGAACCCAAATTAGATGTATTTACAGCAGTTGCAGTGCTTGCTTTTGTGTCCTTGACATTATTGCTATTGTTTTTAGTCAACTCTATGGCTCTTCATGAAAAAACCACTTACATCATGCGAATGATGTTCAATTATATTTCTCTTGAAACGATCGAGAGTAACGAACGCTTGAAAAATTATGTTTTATATCATTCCTTAATAAGCTTTTTGGAAAGGTTTAATCGCCATGCGAATTCAGACAATTCAGACGCCAAACTTGTTTCCATTTTGAATGCATCGGTTGAAGGAGTTGTGATGTGTAATTCGGCACTGGGAATGGAAATTGTGAACCCTGCCTCTCTTAGAATGTTTGGATATCAACAGGAAGATGTTTTTGGAAAGTCATTAGTGTCACTGTTTGAAAAGAGTAAACAAGAATCAATAAGAAAAGAAATCGAATCAATGAAATCAAGCGTGACTGAACATGAGTCAAAAGGAGAAACCTTTGATGCGGATTGTCTCAGAAAGAACCAAACCTTGTTTCCTGCCAAAGTAACTGTATTCATTTCCATCTTTGAAACCCAAATTGTCACCTGTTTTCTCAAAGATGTAACCAGTGAAAAGAAACAAAATTCTCTTCTTGCTGAAGAAAAGAAGAACAGTGAAAAGTTGCTTCTCAACATCCTTCCTGAGGTTGTTGCTTCTCAGTTAAAGAATGGTGTTTCTCTAATCGCCAATAAGTTTCCAGATGTGACTTGCTTTTTTAGCGATATGGTCAATTTCACAGGTAGGTTCTGAAAATGCAAAACAGCTTTTAATATCTGTAATGGTCTTGTTGTTTTTAGAAATATCATCCGCCATGTCTCCTACAGATTTGGTAACCATGCTAAATAATATTGTCAATGGATTTGACAACCTTACCGACACATATGAACTTGAAAAAATCAAAACCATTGGTACGTTCTTAATTGTGTGCAATTCAAACGTTGGTCACAACGGATATTGTCATCCTTAATATGAAATGTTAATCTAGGAGATGCATATTTTTGTGCTGGCGGATTGTTTAATAGCTTGTCAGGTAGGTCTATTGGAGTGCGATGATTAGATAACAACCATCTTGAATCTTTACTCAATTTTGAACAATTGTTCTTTTTTCACATATATTGAACTCTGAATGCATCCAGATCATCCTGAGCGAATGCTCCGTTTTGCCATGGATACCTTTTCAGTGATTCGAGCATTTAACAGCAGTTTGATGACAGAGTTTTATAGAGCATCTCTCAATGAAAATCTCTCACCTCCTCAACAAATCAACATTCGTTGTGGCATCAATACGGGTAGTGTGGTTGCAGGAGTTATTGGAAAGAAAAAGGTATGTGTTGTTGTTGTTTGGAAAATGTCCAACGCCTGAGGTCATATTTCAACAGTTTGCCTACGACTTGTGGGGAGATACCATCAATGTTGCCTCGAGAATGGAATCGACATCCTTGGCTGGAAGAATTCGAATTAGGTAAGTGTCACAAATTCTTGTAATGTTGAAACCTGCAAATTTGAAATAATAACCACTTAAAGTCGTTCAACCTACGAACGAGTCCACGATCTAGATTTGACATTTGTCGAAGAAAAGATTGTTGTGAAAGGTAAAGGCGTGACACAAACTTATTTATTGAACGCTTGTCATCATGTTTGTGCTCTATTGACGCCAGAAGAAATCGATCTACTCATAAGAAATGAAAATGATCCATTAAGCGTCGAGAGACTCACTCAAAACAATTAACTATCGAGAATGCAAATGCAAATGGTTCGAAACGTTCGCTTTCTGAATCGCCTCCACTAATTATAATGAGATTTAGTCTATTCTATTAAATCATCATTTCAAATAAGGTTTTGAGGCCTTGTTACGAGCATGAAATTTTTGTTTGAAACACCCAAAATTGATATTCGATGTCAAGAGTTGCGAAATTTGCAAAGACATTGGTGAGTGTGAAGGGTCTTCATCATTGCATTTGGATCAAATCCACAATTTTGGGTCATCAACACTCCAATAATGGAAATGAATAATTCTCCGTGCGTGACTGTGGACACAATCTCATCACTATTAATAAGGATAACGTTGAATTCGTTGTTACAAAAAAATGTTTCACTTCTTGTACTTTATTGTTTATCTGGCTTGCTTGATTGGTGGTGCTTGGTGTGTTTCGGAAGGAGGTGATATCTTGGGAGAAAAGTATGATGCTTCTGTTGTGGGTGGTATTATTTTGTCGGGTTTGAATACATTACCCGAGACGATCTTTTTCATATCGGCTCTCTCTTCCAATCAGCCGACGTTTGCAATGGGAGCCATTTCGGGTTCAGTGGTAGGTTGAATGAAGCATCTTTGAAGTGGGATTGAGTCAGTTCTGGTCATCATGATATCGTTGGAACATTCCAAAAATCATCATCATGGGTTTTCATAAATATTCCGATTATTCGTTATTCAATGATGTTGATCAACATGATAATTTGAACGATATCAATCATCGGAACCATTTATTGAACGATGATGATTCATCTTTTCCATTGGATATGTTCCATAATAATTGAATGAATGAATGAATACTCTAAACTTCTTGTATTAGATTGTAGTTTGTACAGTCGCAGTGGGATTATGTGTGGTCATTGGATCTAACGTGCGTCATAAAGATTCCAATCAAATCACTCTGTTCCCAAAGGTGAAACAACAATCGAGATTTCTCATGTATAGTTTGGTATTTGTATTGAGCACATTATTATTTGGTTTTCAACTGTTGATTTGGTAGGTGTCATGAACATTAAGGTTTGTTGATTCACAACTAATTTGAATGATTGAAATTCCTGAATGAATGAAATCTACCATTGTGAATGAATCATTATCATCACGACGTTGACGACTCCAATGTTATGGACTACTATGAAACAACACTGCAGCATTGGAGGTGTTCTTGGTTTTGCATCCTTCATTGTTTACACTCTATTGAGCAAGAAGGACGAAACACATGGACATCACGAAGACAGTGAAGAAGAGGGCGAAGAAGAACAACCAACCTATAAGGGAGTTCTCTATCTTATCGCAGGAGGATTATTAATTTATGTATTCTCAGACCCATTCATTCAAAGTGTTGTCCTTATTGGAAAATCTATTGGAATTACTCCTTTAACGTTGGCATTCTTCTTTGCACCAATTGCAAGTGAGGCTCCTGAAATATTGGAATCCATATCTTTGAGTCGACAAGGAAAATTGCAAAATATTAATATTGCTTTCAGTAATCTAGTTGGTGGTACTATTTCCAAGACCACTTTATTAACAGGTGTAAGTACTCGTGGATTTTTTAATAGGAGCTGAGACATTTCATGTGTGCGAATTCAATAGATTTTGAGTTTTTATGGATATAATCGTGAATTTGAGTGGCTCTCTCCAGCATACACACTAAGTCTCTTTTTGGTGTTGGTATGTGCTGGTTCAGTATCAGCCTTTGGTTTCGGTGACAAGTTTAGAGCTGTTCATGGATACGCACTTCTCTCTTTATTCTTAATGAGTTGTTTGACACAATTCGGAATTGCATGGTTCTTTGGTACAGGAAGTGTTCTTCAATCAGCAGAGTTGGATTAGGGGTTCTTTTTTAATAAAATCAAATATTATCATAAAATTTTGATTTCGCGTCTCTTGAGGAGACTTATTATCATAAAAAATTGAACTGCATTTGCAACATAAGTACTTTGAGTGTAGACGGTTAATTTCAAGAAACAAGTCTGTTTCAAGAAAACTCAAGTTTATTGGTGGTGACAACGGTGCTGTGAGCCAGGAGGCAGAAATATAATTTTTACAAAAAGATGACGTTAGTCATTCTCGAATGTTGTTAGCTTTTCTATTGTTGTATTTACAGTAACACACAACCTCATTCTTTAAATTCCAAGGTTGGTTTTAATGCTCTTGAGAACCTCTTCTTGCTTGTTCATCAAGTATTGCTTTGGGTTCTTTGCTTTAATTTCGGCAATCTTTTCTCTAATTCTTGATTCATATTGACCTCTCAACTTGGCAAGTTCCTCTCTCATGGTATTGACTTCTTTCTGATGAGTTGTTTCGTATTCCTTGGCCTTCTCCTTGGCTGCTTCATAGAGAGGAGTTGCAACGAATTCCTTCAATTCATGTAATTGATCCTTTCTCTCGTCGGAAACGGGCAATTTATCGATGGCAGCATCGAGATCAATTTTAGGTGTTGCTGCAAATGTTGTAGTAGCAGCGAAAAGTAAACAAAGCACAAGAGCGGCCACAATAATGCTTTTGTTCATCATGGTGGTGATGATGGTTGTTGTTTTTTAAAAGAAGTTGAATGGCGTTAGGTTTATTTGCTGAGAGAGATGTGTTTGAAAATTTTTTTTGTAACTTTTTATTTGGATTGAGGTTGACTAATAAGAGTTTACATTACCTTTTTGGTCTTCTTGACTGTTCGTGAGGTCGTCCAGTAAAGAAGAAACATTTAACTAAAAGTTTGAACTGAAAAACAGCATTAAGAAACAACAAGATAATTCAATATTTAACAAAATTCTTTATTCTTGATGAATATTACTACCGCTCAAACAAAGTGAATCATATTCAAAAAACCAAGATCGATTTTTAAATGTTTCCGAATTATCTTTCACACATTGGAAGTGTTTCAATTCATCTCGGACTTGTGAAATTTCCACATGTTTCGTGCCACTCGAGGTCATTTCCTTAAGGACCTTGTAGAATCCATTCTGCAATAATTTGCATCGCTTTTTCCAAAAGGCTTTTCCAATGCTCTTCGAATCCATAAACACATGAATGTCAGCATACGAAGTGTGCACCAAACGTGTAGAGTGATCACCCAAAGGAAAGAAAATGTAATGAAACAGAGAGGAAGCATCTTTCTTTCGATTGTTGTTGCCTTGAGGTTTGAGAGCAGTTGTATGACCCACCACAACATATGCCCCTGTATGAGGATCTCTGAGACAAGTCGCGACAAAGGGAAAGTGACGAGGTTTAACAAATGGAAATTTCACATCAAGAGTGAATGAACCAATTTGCAAGGAAAGGGAACAACAATTGTTGCTGGAAGGACTTGTTGTAGAGTGCAACGGTGAAATGTATTCATCCAAATGTAAATCGCTCCCCATATTGTTATCAATTTCTAATCGGCATTTGATATCGCAAAAGCACGCCCAAACGTCCTCTAAAGTGAAATATTGGAATAGTATGTGATTATATTATTGCTTGTTGTTCACAATAACTTACCAATATTGTATGGCAAATGCAGGACCATCTTGTTCAATCGAAGTCCATTCATTTTCTCTTGACCAATGAGATGTGAATTTTTTGAAATGAAGGTTTGTAGATGGGTAGGTGTACGAGAGAAGGACAACTCCTCCCAATCCGAAGTGTCCTTAGAGAGCATGTAAGCAAAGTAAATGTCTCGATCCGTAATCACATTCGAATGAAAATCCAACGCTTTGAAACGTATATCCAAATGATGACCCTTAGAAATGTCCAAAGCGATGGATCTCGTAAATTCCTCTCCCTTCTCTTCAAGAAAGGTGAATAGCTCTTTAGAACGAGAATAACGAGGAAATTGATCCATGGACAAGTCTAAATTCACTGTAAACTCAATGGTTGCAAACAGAACCTCTGGATTCATTCTATCCAAGATTAGACATGGACTGTAGAACGTATTTTCACCTTCATTCAACAACAAGTGATCCTCCATCATGAAACCTCCAATTTCAGAACCAGAATTCACACTCGTGGTCGAACGGTTGGACAATTCACTGTTTCTTCTCAACTCCAAGAGAGCAGCCATCACATTTGATGAATTGTGTTCTTCTTTGATATGTTTGGAAGAGGATGCTGTTGAAGAATACTCGTTGCGCATCAGGAATGGACGAATTGGGTTCAACAATTTTGAAATTTCCGTTAAGGCATTCCCTAAGGGTTTAGAGTGTGTGGTGCTTGCCAAATTCAATTGATACTTGCTTTGAGGGGCTATAAACAAGTCTCGAATTTCATTGAGCTTATCCCAGAGATGAAGGACTCGTTTGAAAATATGCACTTCTTCCTCCATGACTTGTCCTCCGCATGGTGACGAGTGACGGTGATGATGAAGATACTTTTGCAGGAAGTGTAATTTTGAATGACAATGAACCGAAGGGGTTGAACAGTATCTCCTAATTGGATTCATGAAGAAAGAATCTTCTTCCATATGGTTGTGTTCACTGCATTGAGATTTTCCAAGAGGTGAGAACATGAGTGAAGAAGAGAGAGGACTCGATTCCGAGGTAATCATCATTGTCGAGGGTGATACGGTTGGAGGTGATGTCGCTTGATTTTCGCAACATGAGGACATTCGTCGAACGAGAGCAAACATCTCTGCCCGAGCACGTTCATACTCTTGTTTATACTCGTTCAGCGTATTGAGGAAGAGGAGGGGCTCCTCATTATGAACCAATTTCAAATAGCTTTGAAAATGTTCACGAGCAGCCTCACATTGCATGACTTCCTCGTAGAGGACCATGTAATTCATGGGATTGAATTTCTCAGCTTTCAATGAGACTGGTTTCTTCTTCATCTTCGCAATGGGGAAGAGATTGAAGGAGAGGACATGAGAAGAGGACATTGTGGGAGCATTAATGTTATTCAGCGTATTCGTGAAACGATCGTCCCTTGGAGGAGGAAACACATAGGGAGGAAGAATTTCAGACCTTGTTGTTGTACAACAATAGGGAAGAGAAGATTTTCCAAACTTTCCATCATCATCAGGAGGTGGTGGAGGTGGTAGGTGGTCCTCTTCTGAAAGTATTGTTTGTTGATGTTGTTGTTCGGCACTTTGATAGGCTTTGTGATCAATCCTTATCTTATGATGAGAAACGGAATCGATTCCCCGATTTGGTTGATCTTCTGAGACATCCTCAAGGACAACTCGTTGAGAGACTTCTTCAACCATGTTGATTGGTGGTTCAATGTTGGCCAAGAGGTATCACCTCGTCGCTGAAGATGTTGTTTTTTGAAATTTAAAATTCATCATCATCGCGTCTTGATACCTATCAGAGGCCATTCATGATGATTACTCGCCCGGAACGAACATCACTTACCATCGCAAACATGTACGTTTAAAAGGAGAGATAACAAGAATTATTCCCATGATGATAATGACCAACAACACCATGCCCCAACCATTGCCACCCATGGGAATGATGGAACACTCCAATAATGGAATGATGTCTGTTCCTCATCTATCTGCTCTTGAATGACCTCAGTTTAATCCCATTCAACCTCAACCCAATACTCCCACTTTGACTCCAAGTGATAGCTTTAGAAAACCCTTGCCTTTACCAAACATGGTTGTGCCTTCAAATCCATTGAATTCCATGACGACTCAGATGGTTCCATCACCTCAGCAAACAACACCACCATTATTGACCAAACAATCCTTTGTCATGACGACTCCTCAACCCCTGATGGACTCTCAACCAACAACAAGTGTTGTGATTCCTTCAACTTGTGCTTCTCTTCATCCAGCCAAGAACATACCTCTGAAGAGATTCAAGAAAGTGTCAAAAACAAACGCTTTGCTGATGGTTCGACCATGCTTATTTGGATTGGACAGAAAATGGTCGATTGTTTCTTTGCTCAATTAGGTGATCTCGTTATGGTCAATCTCGTCCGTCGTCGTGAAGTCAAAGAAATGATCATTGGCAATCGTCGTTTGAAATACAAGACAGGTGGTAATCTCAAAATGTTCTTACTCGCAGTGATCGATAAACTCTTGAATCTCTTCACACTTGGTTTTTGGACCATTTGTGGAAAATCACATGAATTCTTTTACTCGCAAATCGATGCAAGAATTTATTGGGGCAAACCCATTCAAATTTCCAAAAAGAGAAAGAACTTGGGAGGTGATTTGCAAGATGCTCCACTCCTATGGGAACACGAATGTGAGAGAAATGGCCATCCCGGTTTGGGCACTATTAAGATTTATAGTGTGTATTTGGGTTTTGTCAATGAGTTGATTTACTTTGTGTTGAATTGGTGTAATAAGGCATGCTTGGGTTTGTTACAACCTCAAATTGATGCCTTTTATTACCCCAAATACTTTTCCAAGATTGAATTGGGTCCTGGAAGATTCTGTGTGGTCCATCCTCAAATGATTTCACGGGAAAAGATTTTTAAAACATCATGTCAGAAGATTTATCTTGTGTTATGTGGAGGATTGTTTGAGCTCAGAAATTCGTAATCGAAAAAAAGATCCAGCACTAATTTCTTCACTCATGAATACTAAATGGTTACATGAAGAAATCAAACGAATGAAATATATCATGTCTTTTTGGTTGACAATCGTACCTACGGAGGTGTTGTGTGGGAATTGTTGTCTTTGTTGTGAATAGAGAAGACTCAAATATTAGTGAGAATAATAGTCTGTTCTCTCAAGTATTGAGCTATTTGGGATCTCTCTTTTCAAAATCAAGTACTGAAAGTAATTTGAGTATACAATTCAAAGTCAGTGCAGAAACACGTACACTGAAATATCAGGTCAAGCCAGCTTATTTGCACGTGTATGAACCAATATGAATGCAAAATCATAATAGATGGTAGATATGGTGTGGGGAAAACTTCTCTCAGCAATTGCATGATGAATGATGAAACATTGAGGACTGGTGCCCAGGCAACAATCCAAGCCGCTTTTTCAAGCAAGAAATGTTCTGTTGGAGACTTTGCATTTATTAATTTGAACCTTTGGGACCAAGCAGGTACATTTGCAAAAATGATTTGAGTGACATCAATTTGTTCATATTATTTCTATTTAGAGATTTCACGCGTAGGTGTCACTTGCTTTTTTCAAACAAAATTTTTCAAACTTTTCGACCAAGTCTTTCACCAATTTATTACCGAGGAACAGCGAAAAATTTAATGCTATTTGACATTGCAGATAGGGCAAGTTTTACTTTTGTTAAAAATCAATGTAAATACGTAAAAGAAAATGTTGGCACGATAGAACGATTACCAAATCAGATCTATCGAAAAAGAGAGTGGTAACTCGTGAGGAAGCAGAACTGTTTGCAATGAATGAGATGGATGGATCTTTGTATTTTGAAATTACAAATACTGAGCTTAGAGATTCACGCATGATAATGTGGTACTGTGCCTTAATTCATTACGTTCTACTTTTCACACGAGAGGAAGAACTTTGTTGTGAAAATGGTAATATTTTTATATTGTTTGATGCAATGCTATATACACATCATTGCTTTAGTGTAAATTTCTTTCGCTGCTGTTGCGAGAAAGCCAGTGAATTATACATGTTCTTAATTTCGGATAATTGTTTTTTAAGCTGCTCGTTTTCCTCCAGAAGCTTGGATTCATTGGAAGACGTTTTTTCATCGTCTCTTGACATCGATTGAGGAGAACTTTGGCGAATGGAGGGCAGTATTTCCGAACTCTTGCTAGAGCCGCTGGTTTCGCCGTTTAACATTAATTTTTCTTTCAAATTGGCAATATAGCTTTCATAGTTGCGCTTTTGAGAGTCAATGATATGAAGGTATGATTTGATTTCTTCTTCCTTGGCTCTTTTTGAATGCTCTATCATTTGTTTAAGAGCTTCATTTTCATCTCGTAGAATAGCAATCTCATCCTCTAATTGGACATTCGTGGTTACTTCGAAATTTGGCTTTTCCCCTTTCATAAACTGATGACATTTTCGTTCAAGCTCTGCATTCATCATTCGCTCATTTAGAAGCTGCTCATTCGCTTCGAGAAGTTTATGTTCCAACTCTGCAATTTTTTGCTGAGACATTTTTTTCAGCTCTCTTAGTTTTTCGACCTCTATCGTAGAAATGGTCAATCTCAATTTTGCTTCTTCGTCACCACTGCTATCAACCATTCCTCCCTGTTTGACACTATCTGTGCTCGATGCAAGCAAGCTTAACTGCATAGTCTCGAGGGCCTTCTTGCTTGTTGTCTGCAGTTCATTCTTCAAGTATCGAATAATTTCCTCTTTTTGCTCCAACTCCTTTGTCTACTCATGTTCAAATAGTGGTAATGCATGTTGAACCGAGTTTCAATGAATCAACCAACTTATTACAGTTCCAAAACAATCCGATCAACTTACCAATTTCTTAATTTCTTGCTCTTGTTGTGGTGAGCTAATGACATTGGTAGAGGATCCAGACTTTGTGAGCCCTTTTTTCTTTAATTGGTCAAGTTCTGCTTTCAACAATGCAATATATTTGTTATCATTTTCAGTTTTTTCAAGCATTCTTGTTTGTTTTGCCTTCATTTCGTTGTATGATTTTTCCAAGTTCTTGCATCGCGCAATCGACGCCTCGAGCTTGCCCTTCACTTGTTTAATTTCTTCGCTCTTCTCTGATAATTCCTTTTTCAAGTCAAACAACTCTGCTTTTCTCTCTTGTTCTAATTTTTCAATGGCCTTTCTTTGGCGTTCATCCACTGAAACCGAAGAAAGGGTTGAAATTGTTGAAGAGGTTTCTATGTTTGGAGATAAGGATGATAAGTTTACAGAGGGAGAGCCTGACACACCAGTAGAGGTTGTTTGAGGATTTTGCATCATTTGATCAATCTTTGCCTGTAAGTCTTTCACTTTGATTTTAAGCAAATAAATCTGTTGAGCTCTTCCTCTGAAACCTTCACTATTGTTTAACAATGCATCGATTTGCACATCTTCACCAACTTCTTTCTGAATAAGAGCTCGTAATTTCATATTTTCAGTTTTGTATTTTTCACCTTGCTCTCGAAGCATTTTAACTCGTTTTTCATTGGCGATGGCTTTTTCTTTAAATTGGTTCAGCATTTTCAATGTTTCATCGTCACCTTCTTCATCAGCATCACCATTTGTTGATGTGTTCACACTTGAAGAAACGTCTTTTGTGTTTTTTGATGTAAAATGTCGAATATTATTATTGTTCGTCACTGGTGTTTTTTGTGATGTGGATGATTGCAGTTTTTGAAGCTGCTGAATCAGGGCCACTACTTTTGCTTTTTCCTTGTTCAATTTCACAATAATGTTCTTATTTTTCTTGGCAATTTCAATTAGTTTCTTGTCTCTCAAATCCATCATGTCTTCCGTGTCTGCGTGCAATAATGCGATCTTTCTCAACTCCCTATTAATGAATCAACCTACCATCTGAAAACAATGTTTCAATATCTCGATTACAAGTTCTCAACTCTTCAACAAGGTCCCTCAGTTCTCTAATTTCAACGTCTTTCGCTTCAATTTCCTCCAATAAAGCTTTGCTCACCTCCTCTGGAGTGCAATCTTTCATCTTGGAATTTTGTTTACTACTTTGTGAGTTGTTTCTCTCCTCCAAACAGGATTTTGGAGGTGCGTCGATCTCTTGATCCTCATCGGAATCCACTGGCTTTCCTCCCTCATCATCCTTGAGAAGATCTTCACCCCGAGAAATGGTGCTTTTCTCTTCCGTCATCATGATTTTTTTAAGAGTTCAAAATTTGTAAAATTTTGGCGCGATCAACACATTCAATATTATTGTTGGATTTTTTTGTTTTTCTCGAGATTTTTCACTTGCTTTCAAGGTTCATGATTTTAGAGAAATATTTGCACCATGACAAATTTGCATTCTTGCTGGATATAATTCATCACTGTACTCCAAAACATAACCATTGCTTTTGAGAGATTCACAAGTTCAGAATCTTTTCGTAACTCTTCGCGTGCGTAATAACCATTCTTCACTGTCTCCAACATGAGTTCCTTGTCAGATAGAAATGCACAAGGACCATATCCATATTGTACTAAAATGGAGAGGTTATTGAGTTTGATTGCCTGCAACACAAATTCCTTGTCAAGAGCAATTTGATTTGGCACATGTTCCATAATATCCACATTTCGCAATTTGTAATAAGAACTGTTTGTCACACAAAAGGTTTTCAGATACATAAGGTTTTTCCAATGAAAAAGCAAGGGGAAGAATGAAAATTAAAATAAGAAGAAGAGTCTGTTCTAATGATGAATAGGTTCATTTACTTCTTCTTACTTCCAAAGATATTCTTTCCAATCGAAGAAAACATGCCAAATATTCCAGTATTTGTAGTCGTACTCGTGGGTTTTGTATTTCCCAGAATGTTGTTGTTGGTTGACTGCTGCAACAAAGCCTCTTGTACCTTCTGCGTGAGAATGGCATTATTGAGCACACGTTGATCGGTACTATCTGGATCGATGTTCATGGCTTTCATGAGTGGAGAAAGATACAAGTTATAATTCTCAATACTTATTGTATTGAGACTAGATTGAGAAGAGGTGGAGATGGACGAAGAGGAAGAAATCTTGCTAAAGAATCCACTACTGTAACCACTTCCACTACTACTACTTCCCATTTGTTTATGTTTCAAGGATTGCATCATACTCTGAATACGTTGTTGAGCCAAATCCAATAACTTTTCTTCCTTAAAGAGGAAGCATTGGACTTGTCCACTCGTGAGTGTGAGAGCTAACAACTTGGAGTGGACATACTTGTCGAGTTTATCAATGAAAGCGATTGGAGTGAGGATTCGTTCATATTCGTGACTCTCCCCAACGGATGGTAAATAGTTGGCCGATTCATACGCCACATGATATTGTCCAATATAGAGAGAACCAATTTCAGTGAGGGAAGAGGCAGAGAGTATTTTACGATCGAGTGCTTCATCACTCTCGGCAAGATGTTTCAATTGGAAACGATGTAAAAAATAGTTCTACAGAGATGTATATATTAGCAAGTGATCAATGCACCCACCATCGATGGTGTTGATGCGAGAGTTCAGTGAAGGTTTGAAGGTGGCGATCATTATGATACCATAGTGGGGCAGTAGTGTGCAATAATAATAATATGAATGAGTGTTCATCAAAGTAGACATTAATGAAACATGTTGTAGTGATAATGATGGTGAAATGGATGCATGTGACAAACGCTAAAAGTAGATCGATGAGTGACTTACCTTATCATCATTCTTCTTATACTTTTCTAATTGAGCCGCATCCACAGAACTGGCTGTCTTCCATTGTTCCCATGCCTCAGAGATATCTTTGAAACCTAATTGAGCATCATCAATGTTGTAGAATGAAACAGTGTATCCTCCTGCAAGTTCAATTTTGATTTTCTCAGAACCGCTGTTGTCTTTTCGTTTCAATAGTTGAATGTTTTTCACAATACTGAAATTTGCTTTAAAACTAAAAGTACCCTGCACTCCATCTGAAAAACAGTGAAAGCCAAAACAATGATTGAAAAGCAAAATCTCTCCTGAAATGTAAGTTTTGACTTGTCCTTCTTTGTATGCGGATTGACATACAATCCTTCTCAAAAGTTTACAATTTGAGTTCTTAATTTTGAATTTGGATTTGAGAGCGTCACTGGCTTGATCAAAGATAGAGGACTCGACTTTCTTTGATCCACTTGCACTTGAAGAAGTGGTTGGGGATTTCACTTCTTCCACTAATTGTGGCTGCTCATTTCCAACAATCTTCAACTGTTGAGAAATGACATTAATGAACTTGGTTCTTACATTTGCATCTGTAAAGGTGATGTATCGAGTGATGGCATTATTTTCACTTGCAATGGTAAATTGAATTCCTTTTGTTGATAACAGACTCTTATTCAATTTTGCGTTTCGAATATCTTTCAAAAGGAATTCGCGAGTTTTTCTAGAGTATTTGGCCTCTAAAAGTAATCTCAACTCTGTAACATGAATATCATAGGGTGTCATTTCATAGATGCCATTCAGAGAGACAAGAATTTCTTCATAGCGATCATTACTTTCATCTTCATCGTTGGTTCCTTCAATTGGCTTCAAATTGAATACTTGAATAATGCGTTCTTTTTCTGCCTCTCTTTGATGTTTCTTGTAGAAATTAACGGCTTCAGGGTCACGTTTTGTTTTCAAGAGTAACAAAATGTGATGCTTTTTCAAAGTATTTGTGAAATTCAAGTTTGGATATTTCACATACTTTTCATAGATGTTGATCAATTTAGAAGAGGAAGATTCATAGAGAGAAAATATTCTCTTCAACAAACGAGAGTTCTTTTCGAGAGTCTCCTCAGCAATTCCAGTATTGGGATCATCATCATTTCCGCAAAAATAGAGTCCAATGGCAACGTGACAAGATTCCATCAAATAGACTTGCTCCACAGTGAGGAATTTATCCTTATCCAATTCAATATCATAGTTTTCAATTGGAATAACAAATGTGTAAAGCATTTCAAAATTGAGAATATCCAACACCTTCTCAATAAGTAGTTTGAATAATTGGGCATAACAATTTACAGACAATAACTCAAAAGCAGGAGTTAAAATTGGATCAATAATATCCTCACTCAAAATCTTGTCAGAATCTTTTTGTAGCAAGTCAAGAGTGGCCTGTTTTGACAAGGGTCTCGTGACGCCTTTTTGTTGATCCAATACTTTTCGAGCATTGCTCATAATTTTGCCAAGTGCCTTTCGAATTGGAATTCTAAAGTTGGATGCAATAATGGCAAGAAGTGATTCAATGAGAATATCCAAAGAAGTTTTCGACTTTTCCAATGCACTTATTTGAGCCTCACCGATTTGGTGATATTTAGACAATGACTTCTCAATGGATTGATCATTTTCAAAATCAGTGACTTCATCATCGCTTGGTGTTGCTTTCGAAACTGCTTGATCTTTTTGAGACTCCTCCTTTTCCTGCTCCTCCATTTTCTTTTCAATTTCTTGCGAGTCTTTCATGGCTTGTTGTTTTTCTGTAACCGATTGCAGAATTTCCTCAAGTTCTTGTTTTGAGACTTCAATGTCATTCAACATGATCAAAAAGTCCTTGGTGATGGTAATTTCAGAATAGGGTTCATCCACATCGATGGAGGTATTGTCATTATCATTAGTGGTTTGCTTCTTCTTGAAGAGTTGTAATTTGTTTGAGCTCTTCTCAGAGGCCTCATTATTCACACCTTGTTTGGTGTTTTTCGTCAATACAGAGACTGCCAAGTTTTTCACCTTGTTGGCATATTCGAAAGTGACCTTTCCAAGCATTTCAGTAAATAACTCCAATAAGTGTTCATTGAAAAATTCCAATCCTGATACGAAGAGCCATGTCTCGTGAGCGGTTGAGTAAAAATCAACAACACTGGTGCTATGTTTGACTTCTTCATTCACAGGTAACCAATTATCGACAAGAATGGACTGTTGTGCACAATTTGAGAGTTTTTCATACAATTCTGAAATGAATTTTTCTTCATAGCCTTTTGAAATGACATGAACATTTAACAATTCACTCTTCTTGCCACATAAATCAGTCGAACATTCAACAATTTCCTCCAAAGGCTTCAATTTGGCACAAAAGTGAAGCATTTGATACCCTGTAAAACCATTCTTGGATTCAATTTCTGAGAAATCCTTCTTGAACAGTTCATAATATATCCAATTCTTTTGTTCGTATTTGATTTCTTCTGGAAAGATGGAAGAAAAGTCGTAGAGACGATCGAGTTTGAATGTAATGATTGGAATCATTGAAATTAACACTTTAGCGTTGAACTCTTCTGTTTTGAAGGCCTCCATTTGTTGTTTCTTGATCATTTCATAATCAAGTCTGAGTGATCTTTCCACCAATTCATTCAATTTTTCAATATATTCTTCATAGGAGTGCTTTTTGTGTCGACACAAGATGGTGTCGTAAATAGTGAGCACATTCTGAAGAGCTCCCTCGGGTTTTCCTCTTGGAAACTTGTCTTTGAAATTCAAAATTATATCGAGAATCTTCTTTTCGGTGTTTTCCATAATTTTGTTAATTTTCTCAATTTGTTTCAAATTGGTTTCTACGAGTTTTGTGGCTGTGTCATAACTCTTTCCAAATTGATCAGCAAAAGTTACCAATAAACGAACATTTCTGGAAAAGACATCCAATAAACTAATTTCGGCATTGTGATTGGATAATCCAAAGAGTAAATCAACTTCCTCTAAAATCCACCTATGGACTGGTGTGACAAGACTATTGTCCAATTTTGGAGCAAGAAATGCTCTTCTCAACAAGACTCTCTTCACCTCATAAATGTCTGGAAATTTGTAATTTTGTAAATTAGCTTCAATCTTTTTCGTCTTTTCCTTTACATAGGTCTCCCAATTTCCATTAAAGGCAGGAAAGTTTTGGAAATGACCTCTCGTAAACTTGAGTGATATTTTTCCAAGTGGTTCTGTTGGGTGTTCTGGATGCTCAATGTTAAATTCTAAGGAAACTGGAGAGTACAATGTTCCCCAATTGGACAATGGGAACAATTTGGAAATGAGATCACGGACCTTGATTTTCACAGAGCCAATTTCTTTCTTTTTCAAACCGGCAAACTTGGCATAGATGAATTGAAGAGAAAACTCTTGGTTTGCCTCGTTGAAGGATCTAGAACATGTTCCATGATCCACAACATATGTTCGGATATTCAAAAAATGAAATTCAATATTCTAACACACACTTACACCTTAATTGTATCTTTAAAATTTAAATCAAAGGTACCGTCATTACGGAGTTTTGCCTCCACATGTGGTGATTCGAAAGTGTTGGTGGTCTTCTCTTCATTATTGATTTTAATCCCTGAAGATTGATGTGTACTCACTCGATACATAATGTCAGCACGTTCATGAACTTTGGAGAGAACGCCCTTCTTTTTCAAACTCACACGTTCAATTTGAAATTCCAATTTGGAAACAAATTTATACTTTCTTCCACTCTTAACGCTATCCAAAATGAGATCAATTTCTTTCATCTTGTTTTGTCTCCATGTTGCATAATTTTGAGGAGTTTTGAAATCTTGTGTAGTGTATGGCAATTGTTGCTCTTTGGCAAGTAAAATTTTTCTTAGCAATAGAAAATCCACACACAAATCACTCGCTCCATTCTCTGCCTCGATGCAAAACAATTGATTCCACATGTGTTCAACATCTTGCTTGGACAAGTCATTTTGAAATAATTTCAATGCATGGTCTTGGAGTTGTGCAAGAGACATTGGAGAGCTTTTGACTGTCACTCCTTCAGTGCCTTGTTTTCCTTGTCCTTGTTCTAATCCCGACGATGAGAGAGAACGACGAGTAATACTATTACTAGTATTATTATACTCCTCAGGAACCACATGAATTGGTAAATACATGGTCAACAATGAATAATACAACGCATCTTTCAATAATTGGCACGAATTCTCTCTTTCCTTTTGATCATCTCGATCAATATCGGGATCACACAGATTGAGAGAAACATCTTCAATGGATTCGGCATTTAAATTGGATTCACCTTCGATCGAGGATGCTTTTAGAATTTGTTTGAAAGAACCACCTTTAAAGTTCTCGATGGAATCAGTGCTGGCATCGACCATCTCCTTGAGAGCATGATGACGTTTATGAGAGAGGACATGAGAACTGAATTTTTGGGCTTTTGCCTCCAATCGTTTGATGGTGCGGAGAGAGGCTTTCATGGTTTCAATAATGATGATGATGGAGAGGTTGTGATGGCAATAAATTGATGAGACAAGTGGATGGTGATGGTGGGTTAGTGGAAGAGAGGGAACAAACGTTTTGTTGACGATTTTTTAAAGTGAATCAAAAGAAAACTAGGGTGCCAGTAATGACAGTTGGCTTGTCAAAGTTCATGTGACAAATCTCTCTCAAAGGGCTGATGTATTAAAATTCACACAAGCTTGAGAAGAAAACTGTAAAACACTCGTCTCAAATAAGACAACATGATCAACAATGACCTTGCCACATAAAAAAGGAATAATCAACACAATCGTTTTAGTTCCACACAAGCCTCCGATTACAACATTTGACATCCAATCGTATGAGAGGCGCTCATTCGCGAAGAATCTAGTCTCGAGAATAAACTCGCACCTCAAAATTTAGGTTGAAAATTGTCGTTGAAAAAAATCCTCTACACCCTCTCTGATTCCCTCTCCAAAAGACTCCACACAGGGTATTATTGCCAGTCGGATCCAAATTTTCATACTCGAGAAAACCGTTAGGAAGAGTCTTTTATTAGTAGTCGTACTACAGCTGTTAGAGTTTCTTGGTAAATAAGAACACCACACATCACCAAACAACAGAACTTTCTGTATGATTATTGTTGTTGAACAACAACCAATAAGAGAAAACCGAAGGCAAAACAAAGAATTCTTATTCATCTTGAATAACAATGTAAGTTGTTATTTTAGAAGGGTAATTATTTTGGATGACTATTAATCTCGTTTATTTCTTGCTTTCATTTGAATATGAATTCCGTAACGACGTAATTAATGTTGATGCTGATAACACCAAAATTCGTGATGATAATGATGGTCTACCATCTTTTGTCCATCAACCGCTCACCACTGTTTGATTCATCCCATGATGAAATTCAACCCATCGCTTTTTGGAAATAACCGAAATTGCGCGCCGAATATTGTCATCTTTTATCGCTCTTCTACTCTCTCTTTTTCAAAAACGCACTTGTTGACGCAATAACTTCTAATATTTGTGGGTCTACTCTCTTCTTATTGTTTGCTTTTGTTGTCTCATTCCATCATGTTATGATGACATGTGGATACCTTCTTTTCTGGCTCCAAATTTTTGATGACCACTACTCATCACATCTGACTCACATGTAATAATTTTCAATTTCTCATACTCACATGATCTCATGTTTTCATAACCGCACACAAACAACAGGCCATCCTCGAACCAGCCTAGCATCGCTCAACAAGAGAACGGAGAGCACAACCACCATCACGAACATCACAACTGCTGCAATCATCACCAAGATGTCGTCGACGTTTCACCAACAGTTGTTGAACAATCCATTGTTAATGGAAAACCAATTCTAGTCAATTATGCTGAAAAATATGTCAAGCATGTTGACTGTGAATGCTGTGCTGATGCTGGCTTTGAAGGTCCAGAGAAGAGATTGGAAGTTGACTTCCGTCCCAAGAAGAGTGATTTACCAGCCTATCAAGAATACTTGTCTCACCACAATGATGCTAATAGTAGTGAAGAAGAAGAAACTGCTAATCCAAATTATTACAACTTGATGAATATTAGCGATGAGACATGGCAATCTATGCTTGATCTGGCTTGTTGTAGAATCCTTTCAAAGAAGGAGAACGAACACTTTTCTTGCTATGTCTTGAGTGAATCTAGTTTGTTTGTGTTCAGAAGAAAGATTGTCATCAAGACATGTGGTACCACAACCTTGTTAGGAATTTTAAAGAGAATGAAAGAAATTGCAGATTCTCAAGGTTTAGAGGCTGAGCTTGTTATTTATAGTAGAAAGAACTTTGTTTTCCCTCACAGACAACCACACCCACACTCATCATTTGAAGAAGAATTGAGATATTTGACTGAGGAATATCCTGGTGGTGAGGGCCACGTTGTTGGTTCGGTTTTGAGTGACCATTGGTATCTCTACATTTGCGACATGCAAGGTGTTGATGACCAAATTAGAAAGGATCCAGACCAAACTTTGGAAGTTTTAATGCACGATTTGGATCCTGAGGTAATGAAGCAATTCATGGAAGCTTCTAGAAAAGATAGACCAACTGGAATGACCATTGAACAACAATCAGGCATTGACAAGTTGTTGCCTGGATCAGAGATTGACTCTTTTGAGTTTGACCCATGCGGATACAGTATGAACGGATTATTGGGCAAATGTTACTGGACTATCCATATTACTCCAGAAGATCATTGTTCATTTGTCAGCTTTGAGACTAACGTTAAGAGCTCTAAAGTTCAATACTATTCTGAACTCATTGAAAGAGTTGTTCATACTTTCCGTCCTGGACGTTTCACTGTCACGCTTTTTGCTGATGACCACTGGGACATTAGACACGAAGATCATACTCTTCACAGAACTCCAAGCACAGATGACCACACCACCTTATTAGACAAGGAGTCATTCCAAATCCACAACTCAAACTTGTTAAAGACTTATAACGCATTTACCAACTTGGCATTGGGAGATGAATACAAATTGAAGAGCAAGACATTCTACGAATTTACTGGAGGTTACAACTTGACCTTTACCAACTTTGCCAAAATTGTCAACAATTAACCTTCCAACAATAATGACTCATCCAGTTCATTCAAACCAATGCGTGCTCAGGTTCAAGAAGGCTCTTTTTCTTGAGATTTTAATGCTGCTCTCACTTTACTTGTACCCTCTCCTTGCCAAACTCAAACTAATAATTCGACATCAATGCGCCCAATGTGATTCTTTTGTGTCCAATATGCCAATAAAACAAAGTTTCAAAAACAAAGACACTGATAGGAATAGGATGTCATTTTACTGAATCTCCTTTTATAAAAGATCCAATTCAATTTTTGGAAGTAAATGCTCTTCGACGGCTTATCACAATGTTGGTAAAATCTTTTTTCAAAACTAGATCTTTCACAAGTTAATGAAGGTTTGACAAACCATCACATTCCACTTTCCTTGCACTCAAACCGAACATTAGCAGCAGTCTATTATCACGAGACATAGGGATACCAGTTGTCGAGTGAGGTCTTGGTTCCAAAGAGTTGCTATGTAAGCCATACAAGTCACAGTACTGCAATCCTTAGACAAGCAGTGTAGCTCACAAATATGGAAGCTAATGATTGTTATTATTTTCGGCCACTCCAGAACTCTGTGTTGTCTTTGAATCTTGTGACTGTTGATGATTTCCATTGCCAGAACGAGGTTGATGGTAATTCTTAGACTTGCCTCCTCTCGATCCACCACGTCTTCCATCTGTTCTGTTGCTTGATCGATAATTGTTATTATTCGTACGAATATGTGAATGGTTGTCACTTCTCGAGTGTGAGATCTCTGCGTGACTTCGTTTTTCACCAGAATGTCCTCCTCGTCCTCTTCCTTGATTTCCACCACCTCGTTTGTTACCTTGTCCTCTGAAAGATTCCAACTTTTCCGCTTGTCTCTCTTCATATTTCGTCTTCTTTTCGAGAAATGCTTGTCTCTTTTCCTTCTTCTCCTTCAATCGTTCATCTCGTTGTGCATTCATATCATTCATTTGTTCTCTCGTGATGACTGTGTACTTGCTTTCATATCCAGGTAATACTACTTCAATCACAGGATACTCCAATATCACCAAATTTTTGAGACACTCTCGTAGACAAAGTGTGGAATCCAGAGCATAGTATAAGGTCTCGCTCGAAGATCGTCCCTCTACCTTAATAAAGTAAAAGAAGGCATCTCTCAAAGGAGAGGAAATGCTGACACCATTATCTTCACGGTGTTGGTTCTGTAAAGCATGATCTTTCTCTAGATGATAAAGGTTACTACTCTGTTCAGAATGATCCCCAACATGGTTGAGAGTTTCATCATGATGTTCTTCTTTCTCCTCCTTGAAATTTTCTAATTCACTGGTTGCCGATTCGACTGTTGTTGACTCTTGAGAGGTTGTTGATGATAAAGATTGCTTAAATTTCTCAAAGTAACTTGTATACTTTTGCAAGTGATCTCTTGTTTTGGCACTTCCATTCACATTCTTATCAAAGTATCGACTCATCAAATCACAAATTTTCAAATCTTCGGAAACATGAGCCTCCACCCAATGACACGGCTCTCCTGTTTGATGATCCAATTCATTCATGAATATAAATTCCAATCTCCAAAAGATCTTGTCGAGCTTTTTGTTGTAGTAGGAAGAATTTTGTTCTCGTTTGGACATTCCTTGAGGCATGAGTTCCATCCGAATGCCTTTCTGAGTGGCTCTATATTGTAATTCTCTAACTTTTGGATGATGATACTGATACGTGTGGGAATCAATCTTTTCTAAATCTCGTTGTCGGGACCAATGAATGGTTTGTGATTGTAAATTCTCTAAAAAGTTGTAATCACTTCTTAAATGTTGACCATTGAATTCTTTTAAATCAATATATTTAGTGGTATCTCTCTTGCCAGTGCATGACGAAGTGGTTTTATGGTTTTTAAAACACTCCATGGAGCAATACTTGATGGAACAACATGGGCATGTATATTTGGATTCGGAAGAGGAGCAAATTTGGCACGGAGGAAGAATTTTCTGTTTTCGCTTGTGATATTCATCATCTTCGGAATGTTCTTCTTTTTGATCAAGAGGCTGTTCATTGGAATGATGATGAGTTTCATCGGTTTTGATGTGATTTGATAATGGTGTTGCAGGAATAATATCATCATCATGGTTGGATAGCTTTCTCTTTTTAGAATCTTGTTGTTGTTCTAAAATATTGTGATCCTCTTCATTGAGTTCCGATGTGAAGTGGGAATTTGTTAAATCAATTCCGAGTATTCCTTCCTTGTCTTGACCATCCTCATGATGTTCATTATGATTGACTTCAACCAAAAATTCATTTGTTTGCATTTTTTTCTTGAACTTCAAATAATTGAAACGATAATTCATAGTTTGGGCGTTGAGGTTCATAAACTTTCAACTCAGTTGGACGTATTCATTTGAATTAAAACAGATTCTTCTGATGGTTTATTATTCATGCATGAAATGTTGTCTGGTGAGTCTGACCATTCGTTTCAAGTGACCAATTTTCTTAATTCCAATCTTGTCACGAAAATCATCAGAAGTGAAATTTCTGATTTGTTCCATGGTGATCAAATTCTTTTTTGAAAAGGCTTTACAATATTTTGATAATTCACCATTTTGTGTCAAAAAGTCTTGTATAAGTACTGTCTCTGGTGAAAGTGAAGCAGAATTGGAAGGATTTGAATCTTGTTGAGGTTGAGAACTCAATTCGATGAGCTTTGTAAGAAGGAATGTTTTAAAGTCTTCTGTTTTTTTGAAATGTGGCATAATTTCATTCTTGAATTGAATTTGAACAGAAATGAACAAATCATCCAAACACTTTCTCATCTTTTGAGCCAATTCAAGAGAAATAGTTGCGACATTGTGACATGCAGTGTTGCTGTTGCAACTATCAGTGGAGAGTGACAACACGTCCAAAGATTTGCAAATTATTTCTTTCTCATTCCAAACATTCACAAATTGTTCTCTCACACTCGCAGGAACATTCATGCAAGTGACACTTTCAAAGTTCAAAAACTCATGGTAAACTTTTTCAAACTCCTCCAACAGCAGTATGGTTGGCTGTTCATTCTGTCTCAATTCTCTCTTCTTTTTGTATTCTCGTGTCACTTCCATATATAGTAAATACTCTTCATTTTGTCGTTGTTTCAAATAAGATCTCAAAATTTTCAAACCTTCATCTTGCATCTCAATAAGGGGATCAATTTGACTGTATGTTTGAATGATTTCCTGAACACGAATGGATGATGAAGAGGAAGATTCATAATCTTTATGTGTCCCGTTGAGTTCTTCTTTTTTAGGGTCAACTTTTATACTCTGGTTAAGGAGAACTGAGGGCTGCTGTTGCTTAGAGGAAGAAAAAGAAGTTTTTGATGATGGTTTTGGTGGAAGTGGTGGTGGCACGTTGGAGCCATTATTCAAGAAAGGAAAGGAATGATTGGATGATGGAAATGAGCTTGTGGCTATTTTGGCATAAATGTACTTTTTGATTGGAAGCTTGCTCGTGCTGTTTGTCTTTTGTAAAATAGAAGAGGAGGATGAAGTGGTGGTGATAGTGGTGGTGGTGTTTTTCTTTTTACTTGGGGTGCTGGATGAATGGACAGGAAGCAAAGGAGGGGTGTTGGTGAGAATGTTTGAATTTGGACTGATACGATTCGTGATGATGGGATTGGACATGTCTGAAGAGTAGTCACAACAAGGTGTTGAGTTATTTTGTTTTCGTCTCAAAACCTCCTTGACCTAGTTTCTCACAAAAACGATCAATGACAAGTATATGATGATGGAATCAAATATAGGTTTCCACCGATCACTTCTTGAGCGAGCTCAGTGAGACTGTTTTTGGTCGTCGCGCACATGTCCGCATGGGATGAAGTACAGCTCTCGCGAATCAATTCGGATACTTTATAAAAGGCTGAACCATGATGGATGAGTGGTCAGATTTTGTCATGACAACAAACAACACCACTGATTGGAATCAACATGTTCATTCGATAATGATATTTGATAAAGGCAAAATGTGGTTGGTGGGTGGTTGACACGTTTAAACGACATGAACACTGTAGAAAGCATGTAAATGGTTTTGAATCAAAGAGCAACGTCAAAATTAATGTCCTAAGAAACGTTTGTCTCAACTCAAAGTTCAGCAACAAACCAGTCGAATACGTCCATTCATATTTGTATTTTCGAAAAAGATTTTGATTGTTTTTTATTCATGCATGAAGTGTTCTCTGGTGAGTCTGACCATTCGTTTCAAGTGACCAATTTTCTTAATTCCAATCTTGTCACGAAAATCATCAGAAGTGAAATTTCTGATTTGTTCCATGGTGATCAAATTCTTTTTTGAAAAGGCTTTACAATATTCTGACAATTCACCATTTTGTGTCAAAAAATCTTGAATCAAAACTTTTCCTGGTGAAAGTGAGAAACAAGTTTGGGATTCGGAAGCTTGTTGAGGTTGAGAACTCAATTCGATGAGCTTTGTAAGAAGGAATGTTTTAAATTCTTCTGTTTTTTTGAAATGTGGCATAATTTCATTCTTGAATTGAATTTGAACAGAAATGAACAAATCATCCAAACACTTTCTCATCTTTTGAGCCAATTCGGGTGAGATAGTTCTTGGACGTGTTGTGATGGATAATGTATTTGACAAGAGTGACGAAGGTGAACAGGCCCCAAGATTTTCACTCTCTTCATCATTGTTTTCAGTCTCTTCTGTACCTGTGTGATTGGTTGCTTTGATAGATGTGGTATTACTGCTGGTTGTCGGTCGTTGCATTTCTAAATCTTTACATCGAGTTCCTTTCTCAATCCAAACATTTACAAATTGTTCTCTCAAACCTGCAGGAATATTCATACAGGTGACACTTTCAAAGTTCAAAAATTCTTGATAAACTTTTTCAAACTCTTCTAATAGTAATAATAAGTCAGAATCTTCATTCTTTCTCAATTCTCTCTTCTTTTTATATTCTCGTGTCACTTCCAAATAAAGCAAATATTCTTCATTTTGTCGTTGTCTCAAATAAGATCTCAAAATTTTCAAACCTTCATCCTGCATCTCAATGAGGGAATCAATTCGATTGTACGTTTTAATCGTTTCCAGGATTCGGCTGGATGAGGAGGAGGAGGAGAAAGAGTATGACTCTTCTTCCTCTTCTTCATTACGAAGCTCTTCCTCCTTAATGAAGGAAGACTTGTGATTCTGTATATTTGAGGGTGTGATTACGGAAAGAGAAGAGGACGATTTCAATGGTGGTGGTGATGATGCTTTGGAGCCTGTAGAAGAAGAGAAAGACAAAGAAGGATCTGCTTTTGTACCAATGTAGTACAACTTGTTCTTGGTTGGATGTGTCGGAGTGGTGGTTGTACCACTGCTCACAGAAGAAGAAGAACACGATGATGATGATAAAGAAGAGTGATTGCCTCCTCGAGTAGGGGATGAAAAGAGTATTTCCGAAATGGCACGATTTGAAGAAGTGAAGGATGATGATGAAGAAGAAGAAGGCTTGTTGTTTCCACTATTCTTCTTCTTGTGGGTGGTAGAGCAAAGCAAAGGAGAAGGATGAATGGGTGTCGTCATGGTCGTGTTGCTGTTTCTTGTAGTGGTAGTATTCGAATGAATGGGTCGGATGTTTGTATTCTCTATCGTCATCATCTTCTTCTTTCCTAAATAGGAAGATGATGAATGATTCTCAAGAAGAGTCAAAGGCGACTTCTTGTTCATGCCATTATTATGATGGATGGTCGAGTATGGACTTGTGGGACTTCTACGGGTATGACTGGACATGTTGTTGATCATCATGGTTTCTGAACCCATCGATGTACAAGTCAATGATGTTGCTGATGCTGATGAAGAAGAAGAAGAAGGATGGAAAGACCACATGTGATGAGAAGGATGACTTGTTCCGAGTTAATTGATGATTGGATGAACTGAATATAATCTTAAGGTTGGACAAGATATCTTCAATGATAACAATTTGGCTCGTTGTTGGTGTCTCTTCAAGTTATTTTGTTTTGAAACACTTTTGTTGCATGTCAACAAGAAGCTCTTCTTAAATTGTTTGAAAGGATCTGACCTGGTTAGAACGAGATGCAACTGGTTCGATGTACGCTCTAACAGAGTTCACGTCAATTCTTGATGTGGTTGGAGATGACATGTTTTTTTCAGAAGTGAAGACTGATAAAGGAGCTTCTGACATGTCAGTTCTCAATTGTGTTGGATAATGGTGTCAGGCTATCATGAAAGTCGAGAATTGTCTTGAAAAGAAGGGCCATTGACACAAATAATTTCTTGGTGTGTTGATTGCTGTGAGTGAATTGTGTTTGGTCGATTGTGAATCAAAGTATTAAAATTTTAAAATCCAGAAAAAGCAATGGACTATCAGAGTTTTGGTTCACCACAGCTAGCTCAACAACCACCAAAAAGGAATCTATCAAATTTGACAAGTCTGCAACAAAATTGTAATCCATTCACACATTCGGAAGTGCCTTCTTTTTATTGATGTCTTGATGGTCCTCACTCAAACCACTCACGACAAGTACCATTTGAGCTCTTCATGACAACATCAATTTTTATCAACATCAAAAGATTCATCAAATCACTAGATCATATTTTTGTTCGAATTAACATCAAGAATATATTTGTTGTGGTCGTTCCTTTGTCCACCTTCTGACAAGACCACACTTTTCCTTACAATAAAGTCATCAAAAGTTCTTTCCACTCTCTACAGTAGTGGATGCATTTCCACTTTGAGTCTTTTGGAATCATTCGAGATATGTTCTAAACTCTTTTGAAGTTTGTGAAGATTTGCAATAAGGTTGATCCTTTTGGAAGTGAAGAGGTCAAGAATGTACTCCTTAATCTAAATAAAAATTGATGTCATTGAAATTTTCTCATTAACTTGAATCTCATACATCTCGATAAAATCATTTCATCAGATTCTTCAAGGAAAGATTCAACCTTCTTGAAATGTAAAACCATCTAGGGTGAGAATACTTTTAAACTCATTCGTTTTTATAAAGTTTGTGATTGTTTATTAGTTATGAAATGTTCTCCGGTGAGTCTGACCATTCGTTTCAAGTGACCAATTTTCTTAATTCCAATCTTGTCACGAAAATCATCAGAAGTGAAATTTCTGATTTGTTCCATGGTGATCAAATTCTTTTTTGAAAAGGCTTTACAATATTCTGACAATTCACCATTTTGTGTCAAAAAATCTTGAATCAAAACTTTTCCTGGTGAAAGTGAGAAACAAGTTTGGGATTCGGAAGCTTGTTGAGGTTGAGAACTCAATTCGATGAGCTTTGTAAGAAGGAATGTTTTAAAGTCTTCTGTTTTTTTGAAATGTGGCATAATTTCATTCTTGAATTGAATTTGAACAGAAATGAACAAATCATCCAAACACTTTCTCATCTTTTGAGCCAATTCAAGAGAAATAGTTGTGAATTTGCCACTTATTGGACGAGTTGTCAATGATAATGAACTTGACAATGGTGGAGAAGAAGAAAGTGATGACAGTAATGGACTGGTTCTATGAGAAGGTGAGGATCCTCCAAGATTTTCACTCTCCTCAGAGTTGCTTCTCTTGCTTGTCTCTTCTGTCCAAGTCTTGGTTGTTGAGGGGCTGTGTGATAAGGGTTGTCCTTCCAAAGAGTCATAGAAAATTTCTTTCTCATTCCAAACATTTACAAATTGTTCTCTGACACTTGCAGGAACATTCATACAAGTGACACTTTCAAAGTTCAAAAATTCTTGATAAACTTTTTCAAACTCTTTTAATAATAAATCAGAGTCTTCATTCTTTTTCAATTCTCTCTTCTTTTTATATTCTCGAGTCATTTCCATATATAGTAAATACTCTTCATTTTGTCGTTGTTTCAAATAAGATCTCAAAATTTTCAAACCTTCATCCTGCCTCTCAATAAGGGTGTCAATTCGATTGTACGTTTTAATGGTTTCTCGCACATGACTGGATGATGAAGAGGAAGAGGATGTCTCTTCTTCATCTTTGAGTTCTTCTCCTTTTTTGGTAGAAACCCTCTTGGATGATGGAATGTAAGAATCAGAAACCTTGACATTAGAACAGTTGGAATTATTTTGGTTAAGGAGAATGACATTTGACGTAGAAATGGGGTGCAGATACTTGGTAAAAGTTGAAGAAGAGTTCAAGGATCTTGCTTTCGAAGAAGAGAATGGAGAGGATGATGAAGAGCGATTGGTGTCAGTCGATGAAAAGAGTATTCCCGAAATGGAATTTGACAAAGAATTCTTGTTTCGACTCTTTGTCAAAGAGGAAGAGGTCTTGCCTGTGCGAGTTGTCGCTGTCTTCGTCGTCGTAGGTGTTTTGATGGAAGCACGATTAAAAGATGATGAAGAGGTTGATGATGATGGAAGTGAATTGTCTTCAAGACAAGAAAGACTTCCATTGCGAATGTTTTGATTGGAATGGGTCGTTCTACTTTTGCTACTTTTGCTACGTTTACTAACCATTGTAAGAGAGTCTGAAGAATGATGACGATCGACTAAGATGAGGACAGAGATTACTTTTTGTGTTTCTATTAAAAGAATAAGGATGTAGACAATGATGATCTTTTCGAAGATGATGGATCTTTGAAAGACACGAATAAGTGATCAAGGCTTTTTTCAAACGTTCTTGAAAGAGATAAGGAAACACATCATCCACAATGAGAACACTGTATTACGATATTTTGTTTTGCTCTCTCTGTGTGTTGTATATCTCTGTGTGACACTTTATCTTGTAAATTTATAGATCTTATGAGAGGATTCTTGAAAACTTTCTTCGTGTCAAGCACTTCCGCACCCTCTCTTGAAATGAGCTGAGAGAAACTCTTTTTGATCGGCGTAATCATCGTTCCAAGTTCACCCGATTCCAAGCGAGCAATTTAGGACAAATGTGTTCACAAAAATTGTTTCAGAACTGACATTTCGACAACACGTTTCATATCAAAGGTGGAGAAAAAACATGTCATCTGTTGTGTTTTAAAATAGTGAGAGCGACTATTTAAAAACAACTACATCCATTTGAATTCTGCTTCCGTTATTTCATGACCTTTTGAAGTGTCAATTCTGTCATTGACAAGTAGAATTTAATCTAGTTTTTAACGAACTCGATGGATTGGAAGTATTACTCTCTTGTATTGGGTTTGCAAATCACATCATAACAGAATGAACCTACTCTCTTGCAAACTTATTGCTAAACCAAATATCAAACAATTTACATGGAATCACAGTGATAAGAAAGAGTGGAATGTATGATAAAATTTCAGTCAAGAGCTTGGCATCATCCAATTCGCGCGCAAATTTTAGCGCCACAAACCAAAAATTCACAAGTTAAATTTAGCGAAACGGTTTACAGTTAAAAACCGCGCAATCCTTTTGTATATTCATTTCATATTTGTATTTAAATAGATTCTTCTGATGGTTTATTATTCATGCATGAAGTGTTCTCTGGTGAGTCTGACCATTCGTTTCAAGTGACCAATTTTCTTAATTCCAATCTTGTCACGAAAATCATCAGAAGTGAAATTTCTGATTTGTTCCATGGTGATCAAATTCTTTTTTGAAAAGGCTTTACAATATTTTGATAATTCACCATTTTGTGTCAAAAAGTCTTGTATAAGTACTGTCTCTGGTGAAAGTGAAGCAGAATTGGAAGGATTTGAATCTTGTTGAGGTTGAGAACTCAATTCGATGAGCTTTGTAAGAAGGAATGTTTTAAAGTCTTCTGTTTTTTTGAAATGTGGCATAATTTCATTCTTGAATTGAATTTGAACAGAAATGAACAAATCATCCAAACACTTTCTCATCTTTTGAGCCAATTCAAGAGAAATATTTGTCAAATGACCATTTCTTATTGTGATGGGTCGTGCACATGGCAGGTATGGTGATTGTCCACTGCCCTCCTCAGATCCAACACTTTTTCTTGTCTCTTCTGTCCATGCATTGTAATGATTGGTTGTCGATTGGTGAACTGCTTCATAAAGAGTTCCTTTCTCAATCCAAACATTTACAAATTGTTCTCTCAAACCTGCAGGAATATTCATACAAGTGACACTTTCAAAGTTCAAAAATTCTTGATAAACTTTTTCAAACTCTTCTAATAGTAATAATAAGTCAGAATCTTCATTCTTTCTCAATTCTCTCTTCTTTTTATATTCTCGAGTCATTTCCAAATAAAGCAAATATTCTTCATTTTGTCGTTGTCTCAAATAAGATCTCAAAATTTTCAAACCTTCATCTTGCATCTCAATGAAAGAATCAATTCGATTATATGTTTTTATGGTTTCCAGGACACGATTGGATGAAATGGAGGAGAATGGGCATGAATCTTCTTCAACTTCTTCAGTATTGAGTTCTTGTTCTTGATTTGCGGATGCTTTGCATGATGGAATGGAAGAACAAGTGACCTTGGAAATGGTACTGATTGAAGACTGAAAGGAATTGTTGTGATTATGGACATTGACACTTATTGGTTGATGTTGTTTGGAACAAGCTGAACAAGATTTCAATGCTATTCTTTGGATGGCAGCAACGCCATCAGAGAAAGAAGGAGCAGAGGACTCCAATGGAGAGGAACTATATGTTGTTATTTTGGTTGGTTTTACAAAGATATTATACTTGTTGTTGTAGGATGGAGTGGTTGTTCCAGTTGGTGGTGTCATGGTGGTCAAACTTTTTGCAAATGATGGTGAAAAGGATGATTGATTGGGGCTGTTACTAGTACAACAACAAGGACAATAGTTACTGGACATGATCTTGTAAGATTTTTCACTGATTGTTGAAGTGCATGTTGATGGAGAGGTTTTTGAATGATGATTGGATGAAGATGACATGATCACGATTTGTGTGATAACAGAAATGCTTGTGTTTTGATGTTATTGCCGTAATGTTGTTTTGTTTTAGAAGTTAATAATAAAACTATACAAATCAAATTTTGGCAGCTCCTAAATACATTGAAAATCTTCGGAACCACTCCAAAAGAGGTGACTTTCACGTAAAAGTAAAAAGTTTGCAGGCTTATTTTATTTTTGTCTGGTTTTTTACATTTTAATGTTGACGATTTCTGACAGTTCCTTACATTTTATTGAGGGACGCATTTGAGAATCCTTTATCCCGTGATCGTTCATTTCCACACTTCTTGAACGAGCATTGATAAACTTGATGGAGCTTGAAACACTGTTGTGGAAATTGTTGCAATCTGGAGGTTTGGTGACATATTTTTTTTTTTGTTATCACTGTCCATGCGTTTATTTGTTCGAAAATTCAAACGTTATTCATGGCTGTGTGTGCAATTAGTACAGTTAAAGGTGGTTCATGTCATCAAAGTTAGTGTAATTATTGTTGTAAATTTCAATTATTGTTTGTCATCAAGGTTAGTGTAAATTTCAAATATTGTTGTAAATTTCAATTATTATTCATGGTCGTGGGTATTTCATGTATAGTTTAAACTTGTTCAAATCAATGAAATTGGGATTAAAATCGTATTGTTGTTCAAATTCATTCCAGGTGAGTTTCAATTCTTCCATGAAAAAATGATTTCGTTTCATCCACATTTTAGTAATAGATCGATAAGCTTCCTTAGTAAATACTTTGTCCCATTTCTTACCCAATCCAACTTTAGCACCTGTTAGGCTATGGATATCTTGTTTAGTCTTGATGAGGTACAATAGTCGTTTGGAGAATTTCTTGTTATTCTTTGCATATATTGAGATATTATATAAATTCCTAAACATTTCTTTTCTTATATCACTATAGTATTTACATTCAAAAATAATGTGTTGCATTGTCTCTCTACTACAGCAAGGACATAGCAAGTTCGTCTTGGATATCTTGTTTAAATTTTCCAAAGTCTTCATCACGTTCACTCTAATTTTAAATATTAGATTTAAGGTTCTGAAACCGATTCCTATTGAGGGGTAAATGTTGGTGAACTTTCTGTTCTTGGGAGGAAGGTTCTTTGGCGTATATGTTCTTTTGTGGAGGCGTTGAAATAGAAGTTTGTACATTGCTTGTCTAGTGTTTTGAGTGTATAATACATTGTTGATAATAATATACCAATTATTGGATGGAATATTAGTAAGAATATTGTTACAATCAGCACCTTTCTTATCAGCCCTATCTGCTAATTCATTTATGAGGCTATAGATATCTTGTTTACCTGTATGACTATTAACATGCATAATTTTGATCTGATCCTTCACTTTTAAATAATTACGAATTTCTTCAACATAAGGATCTCTAGATTTTCTGAATTGGAAAAGTTGGTCATAAATACTTTTCGCATCTATGACTATTGTTCTAGGAGTGTTGTTATCTAGCAATCTAACAACTGTGTGGAGCGCTTGAACTTCACTGTTGTAGGAAGTTCCTTGTCCTAAGGTGTGACTTGAGATGGAAACATTCTGATCAGTTACAATACCGTATGCAGCAATATTATTGTTACACGATCCGTCAGTACCAATTAGTGTAGCTTTGTTCAAGAGGTTTGACATGGATGTGTTGTTACCAACATATTTGTAGTATTTGCTTTCGTCTTTGATTTTTCCAAAATCCATGCTATTGAGAATGTTGCGAATTTGGGTGACATGATTGGAATGTTTGATGTCATTATGTAATTTCACTTGTAAATTTTTAGGGTCAGGAACCCACATACTTAATCTGTTCCAATCTTTATAGAGCAGAAATTGTCTTAAACCTTTAGGGAATTTTCCATAAGGGATGAGAGTTTTTTCATGCCATTGGTCGCTCGAATGCCACAATCTAATATTGGAAGATTTGTTCATGAAAATTATTCTCTTGAGATATTGAGGAATCCATGGGTCTGGTTTATACCAAGTAGGGATTGGATCATTGAGGATGTCAAAACCATGCTCCTGTTTGATTCGTTCACAAAGGAATCTTGTAGAAGATCCAAGACAAATATCATATTGTTCAAGGAACTTTCTGACTTTACACATTAGGTCCGAGTAACTCATTTCTTGAACAGAAATTAATCCAAGCCCACCTTTGTCTTGATGAGTATAAAACCACTCGAGAGCTAATTTTCTCTTGGTTCTTAATCTTTCACATATAAAGTTGCGAAAGAATTTATCAATTTGTTTCTCTAGATGGTCATTAGCAAGAGGAATTAGGTGGTACAGTGCATACGGAACAATGTCTGTGTTGATAATTTTGACAATGTTCTGTATTGGAAAATTCCAGCCAATAGAGTTAGTTCTTCTTTTAACTTCTTCAATAATTGAAGTAGTGTATTTCTTTTGTTCCTCAGTATTATTGGTAATATTATTACCAAGTATAATAATAGAATCATTACTTTTGATCGTACTTCCAGATAATGTCTTGATACTACATTCCTTATCAGAGAAGAGGTTAGTTTTGGAATGATCTAATTCCATGTGATAGCCATGAAGATAGGTTTCAATGTCATGCAAAGAATTTTCAATTTCAGGTAGTTCGTTGGAAAATGAGTTCAAATCATCAATCCATGCGCCTGTACTAATGTTCCAATAATTTGCAACACTAGCACCATTATATGTTATTTCTAAAAATTGTAAGAGAGGCTCAAGCGCAATTTTGAATGCAAGGGGAGAGAAGGTGTCGCCTTGTTTCAATCCATCTTTCACATTGAAACATTCAGATTTACCATTAGGTATAACAAACTTTGTCGTAGATTCACCTAATATTTCCAGAATTCCATCAGCAGTAATTTCATCAATCCCTAAGAATAGCAGTCCATCACGAAGCATAATTCTCGGTAATGAGTCATAAGCTTTTTTGATGTCAACAGCCAAACCATAAAAAGGTTTCTTGTCCTTTTTTGCCCAAGCAATCATATTGTAAATTGAAAGGACTCTGTGAATAGTTTCTCTGCCGTCTTCACCACCAAATTGAGCTAATGAAAATCTTCCCTTTAACACTTCCTTCAATCTTTTGGTGATTAATTTAGTTCATTGGGGTTTGGTGACATATTTTTTTGACAAATAAATTGTTTTTAGTTCATTTGAAAGTTTACTTCTGAGTGATATTTAAATATAAATTAGATATCTATTTACTGTAAAGGGGCATAGTTCAATGGTAGAATGAAGGATTGTGGTTCCTTAGACGAGGGTTCGATTCCCTCTGCTCCTAAATTTTTCTTTTTTGACAGCACTTTGAAACAGTTTCAAAATATCAGAATAAAAATTTTAGAAAGATTGTTCTCATTACCAAGAGGAAGGTTGAAAGAGAAAATAAAACCATGAGAGAAAGACTCAAGAGAATTGAGGAAGGGAAGTGTATTCCATTAACCCTTGTTTGGGTTGTTCATTTAAACACAATCAGGCCTATTCAGAAATGATGCTACATCATGACGACAACATCAAGGTATTTCCTATTTTTGGGTACATGTGAAGAACCATTCCTCTTTGAGTGTGATGGTAAATGACTGTAACAAGGTGGTTCCTCTGGTCGAGTCACAGTGATCAAGGGAACTTTTTCCAGCATTTGCTTGTCAACAGATGGATTAAGAAGAGATTTTAAAGCTGATTGTGAGTGGTAGTTCGTCATCGATGGTGAATACAATGTTTGAAGAGAATGAAAGGAGGATGACGGTTCACCTCTTCCACGACGAGGTAGAGAGTCTTTTTGAATGACTTGAACTGGAGAGGGAATGTCTTTTAAAAGGGAGCGTGAGCTGTAAGATCGAACCAAGGAGTTTCCACTCTTGTGATTCGAAATAATGATACAATTTTCGTCAGGAGACATTTCAGCTTGATCATTGAACGTTGAAGCTTGTGGTAGATCAAGTAGCTGCTTCCGTCTTGGAGAAGAAACAGTTGAAGTCTCTTTTGAAAGTGATCGATGAGAAGAGTTTTCAGCAGCCAAGCCACTAAGTGGGTTGATATCCATCATCATGGTCTCCTCCTCGAGTGGAGTTAGATTTCTATCATCGAATCGTTGAGAAATATAATGTGAAGAAGATTGTTCTGCTGCACTGGAAGAAGAACATTCAACAACAGGCATCACGGTTGGTCGTCCAATTATTGAGAACAAGGACGTTGAAATGTTGGGTTGTGAGTTTTGTGAATTCATGAACGTTGTGTGCCTTCCTACACCACCAACCATGATGGTTCTTGTTGAATCAAACGATCCATTCTCAGACTCTTGACGTTTCATTCCACAATTTTCTGCTTCGGTGGGTTCATTCTCCTCAAGAAACGACGACCTCTTTGCGAGCAAGTAGTTCTTCTGATATGTTTCTTCAGTCCAATGGGCATGGCTTATTTGGTCCATGTGGTCCACTACATGTGTTTCTGGTAAGGAGGAGGCTCTTCTCATTGACCCACTTCCATCATCATTATCATCATGAATGGGTGTCGAGGTTGTTTTTTGAAGGACCTTTCTTGCCTTCTCATGTTGAGATGATTGGACCAATAAACGAGCATGCTGCTTTACAGTCCTGCATGTAACAAGATGTTCTCGATGCTTCTTTATTGCTTTCAACGTGGGCATTGATGTTCTTACGCTTGTTAATCGATGAGGTGAATGTTCACATGGTTGTGGATGGACAGTATATTCGAAAGGTTTTTTGAGAAGACGTTGTCGTCCTCCATTCGTCGTAGAAGGAGTAGTTTCACTTGACCATGTACTGTTGGTTGTTGACCACTGTTGGGATGAAGTTTTTGCGAGACCAGAGCCCATCGTTTTTTGATTCAAAGGAATGATGTTTTTCTTGTTGGTAAATCAGAATCAAAACAGAGGATCCTATCCGACGATCCAAAGAGTCACATTCGAACAACCTATCTGGGAACAGTGGAGAATCCTTGATGGTTTCCTTTTCGAGATTTGCCACCTTCGAAGGTTAAGCAATATTCTTTGAATTCCTTAGTACAAAGGTCAACAGAAAATCGGTGTTTTCCGATCGTAAGCTATGAACGGTAGCCAGTTGCCAATTATACACAACATCACATATACCTGCCGATTGGCCAATGTTTCACAACCTTTTTGAATGAAGGATCAAAATACGATCCTGCAGGTTGGAATTTTCTGCTATTTCCAAAAGTATTTCGGATCAAGTAATTGTTTTGGTAGCATGTATAACCGTTCAAAATTTCAACTGGATTGGCAATCAAGAGGTCATCCTGAGTGTATACAAACCCTTCCTCGAATGACAAGTTCATAATTTTGAACAGCTAAAGAGTGTGTCTATACATGAAAGCACTGACATGGAAGTTCTGTTGAATTAGTTGAATGCTCGTTCCAATAAGTGTGTGAGTGGTTCGCAACATTCTTCCAAAATCAAGATGTCTTTGTCATTGAGGCTGTTAAAACTGGGAAAGAGGTCATTTGTGAAAATGATTAAATTAAGGAACTCAAAGATTCGAAATATTATGCTTGAAACCTCATTCTCAAGTCCAAGGAAGGTTGAGCCGACATTTAGAGTTGTCAACAAATATTGGATGGATACCATTATTGATGTTCTTTAAAAGACAATGATCAAAAGACGCGAGTCATCAAAAAATGCCTTCATTTGCTTCTGAGGTGATGATTGATTCGGAGGGTGATACCCATTCCGATACGGATCGATCAAGACAACCACAATTTTCATATCATCAAAAAGAGCATAATATTTGGATTGATCAGGAAGAAGAGGAAGATCATTCACAATCCTCATCCAACAAGGAGGAACCTACGAAAACATTATCCAGTAATAATAATAATAACTCAACGGATGAGCACACTAATGCCAATATGTTACATGAAGAGGAATCACCAACCAATAATAATGCTCATTTGTATACGGTAACTACTAACAGAGAGCATCAGGTAAAACGAGGACCACTACAGTTGAAACTATATCGGAGATGGTATTCGTGGATATTTACAGGTGTGGCTCTTGTTTTATTGTTGTGGGTTATTTTGGGTTATTTATTTACGTTTGCCCTTCCGATTGTCGTGTCTTCCGATTATTCTGCAATAGAGCGATTACTTCATGCTCTTTATTTCATCATTTTTGCTTTCATTTCGGCTTGCGTTTTATATCCCTTTTACAAGTGTATTTTCACTCATCCAGGTTTTGTGTTTAAGGACGACAAAACTTGGGCTCTCACGCCTCAGCAAATTGAATGGTATAAGAGAAGAGGACCTAATTTTCTTGTTGAATTGGAACGAGAAATTCATCAAGTCATGGGTTTTAGATCTCGATTAAGAGAAGTGGATCTGCATTCTTCATTAGAAAATGCCGACAACCGTGTCACATCAGAAGAAGTCATGCATGACCAACATGGAGAGTCATCTCACAACAATCATGAACCAAACTCTAATAGCTCTCCTCATCAGCATGACGAAGAGGAAGATTTATTATCCTTTCCAGATCGGCAAACATCAGAATTGAACTCTCGAGGTCAAATTCGAATTTGTGAAAGATGTTGGATAAGAAAGCCAGATCGAGCCCATCATTGCAGACAGTTGAACTGTTGTGTGCTGAGAATGGACCATTTTTGTCCTTGGTTCAATAATGTAAGTCATATCCACATATGATTCTTAATTTTAAATTTACTATTACGAATTTAACAATTATTCCACCCGTGTGTAATTCTTAACTCATAATTTAAATGAACAACTTGTAATTCTTTTGGGATTTATCCGATCGTCACCAATTTCCAACCTTAGTGTATTGGGTTTTACAATCACAAATATTTTTTCCTCTTTTTAGTTTGGATTTCTATTGGAGGTATTTTTGCTGTTCTTACCATGTCAAAAACTCTTTTCAACGCTCTCAAACTTCAAGGAACATCCAAATATGCAGTGATATCAATTTTACAGCTCAATCAAATTTGGATTTATATTATAAGTTTTTGTTTTGGATTTGCCATGCTATTCTTTGCAGGGTATCACCTTAAATTGATCCTATTCAACACGACAACCATAGAATCCATGGACAAGGAGAGACGCCTCTACGATCAACACAAATGCCATCCCTATGACATTGGAGTTTTGAACAATGTAAAATCCATTCTCGGTAACAATCCTCTACTTTGGTTGTCACCCTTCCATGTCGAATACAGTGGAGATGGATGTCATTTTCCAATTCATACGTATCAATTGGCCCCAAATCATGATGCTGATACGCAAGTGCATCATCACGATACGTCTGTTTCAACAACAACAACTGAATGATTGTCCTCAGTATATTTCAAGCACAACTGAATGATTGTCCTCATAATAAAGAATAAAACAACAAAAAAATAATAAAAAAAAATTATAAAAAAAATGTCCAACTCACTTCTTGTTGAGCAAGCACGTCTCTCTCATGTGGACATTGAACAAGCCATCAAATCCGTTGTGTATGAAATTAAACATCGGGCCAAAACACAAAAACATATGGTCTATCAGAATCATCGGTTGAATTATCATCTACAACAAATACAGGAAAAGGCCCAATACTTGAAGGAAAATATTTATGGAGTACCATCATCATCGTCAAGTGATGATCATCAACAACACCTACAACAACAACCAAATTCATCTCACCTAGTCGCTGATACAAACGGCTCAACCTCTGTAAATAGTGTAACTTCAGCCGAGTCCGATCAATTAAAATCCATGAGGGCTCAACTCACCGAAACAACCTTCCCCAATACAATTTCTAGCTTTTATTCTCGATTGGCTGAAATTAGAGAGTACCATAAAAAGTTCGCAGTGAAAATAGAAAATAGAAATACTTCAGAGTCAAGTGATGAACAATTGCAAAACAAAATCCGACAACGAGTTCAAAACGAAATTGAAAGCGGAGTTGTTTTTACGGATGAGGAATTATACGGAAGGTATGTCGATTTACATGCTCACTATAACGCGTTCTTGGACTTGATTAATGAAAAGCCCTTGGAATCGGTCGCGAACAATGTTCCAACTCCTGTCTCTGTCCAAATTGATTATATGGAATACTTGAACACTATTGGACAGTTTGAAAAGATATCTCTGGATGTGAAAAATAGAGAAAAATACAAGACCTATCTCGAAGGCTTATTAGCATATTTTATTGATTTTATGACGAGAACTCAACCTCTGATGAATATCCAAAAGATGATTCGCGATGTTGAAGAGGATTTTGATAAAAACTGGAGAGAAGGAAATGTAAGTGAGGCTTGGGCTTTTCTTAAACCTTCTCTTGTGAAACAACAAGGCGAACAAAATAATGCTGCCTCACACCAACAACAACAGCAAAACTCTCAACAAGCTGTTAACAACCATGGTGTTCAACAACAACCACCGCAGAATTCTGCTGAACAAAAGAAAAAGAAACGTCGTGGTGGTAAGAGAAAGAGTCTTCATAATGTGGACAAGATGAGAGCATTGGCCTTATTGGAAACTAAAATTTCCAAGTTTCTCCAGGATTGGCTTGCCGACGTCATTCAACAAACCAAAGTCAATGTCGAAAAGAAATCCACTAGAACCTGGGAAGAAAATCAAGCAGAACTCGAAAGAATTGAAAAACAAATGGATCTCGAAGATGACGAAGAGTATCAAAGACAGCAACGAGAAAAGAGAGCGGCAACGGAAAATCCTGATGATCCTCTCAGCAAGTATGCAAGTAAGAAGAATAACCCTCTCAATCTACCAATAGGTCCAGATGGAAAGCCAATTCCCTATTGGCTCTACAAGTGGCAAGGGCTAGGAAATGAGTATATTTGTGAAATTTGTGGAAATCATTCGTATTGGGGTCATAGAGAATTTGAAAAACACTTCCAAGAGTGGAGACATGCAAATGGTATGAAATGTTTGGGAATTCCAAATACAAGACACTTCCATCACATTACAAAAATTAAGGATGCTCTCGATTTATGGAACAATATGCAACAACAAGTACAACAACAACATTGGGATGATGGTGAGATGGAAGAAGTCGAAGATGAAGAAGGAAATGTATACACCAAGCAAACATATATTGACCTCAAGAAACAAGGTTATATCAAGGAGTCCTCCTCCAAAGATTCGAAACGAAAAAAGTAAAATATGAAAATCAATTCACAAATTCTTAGGAAAGCATTCTTTCTTTTGACAATACTGATCTAATATGCCATACCGTTTGGCAGTGTGACAAGAATCAAGACATCTTGACTTATAAATTAATTCTTGCATTTTTTAATTTAAATTATTGGGTGATCAACATTACTCGTCATCGTCATCAATGATCTTGTTCTTTCGTGAAGGAGGTTTCTTTGGTGGAGCTTGAGCTTTTTTTCACTGGTTCAGTCTTGACGGGTTCTTCATTTTTCACTTTCTTTGGGGCAGGTGCCTTCTTTTCCTCCTCAGTCTTCTTTGCTGCACGTGAGGGTGTCTTTCTCTTCTTTGTTTGCACTTCTTCTTCACTTTCGCTTTCAGATTCTTCTTCAGCACTTGATTCTTCTTCACTCTCACTGTCGTCATCCTCAAGAATTTTCTTTTTGGTTGTCTTCTTGGTGGTAGTTGTTTTCTTTGTGGTTGTGGTCTTTTTGGTAGTTTTTTCCTTCTTTACAGTTTCTCCCTCAGTTTTCTTTTTTCTGCTCTTCTTTTGTTTGAATTCTTCTTCTTCTTTTTTTAATAAATCTTCTGGAACCAAGGCACGTATGGTCTTGGCAACTTCTTTGTGACCTTGACGTTCAGCGAGAATATGGGCGCTCAATCCCCATGCATCTTTAGCCATTAAATATTCTGGTGATTTGTTATGCTTAATTAATGTTTCAACAACTTCGGAATAACCCCAAAGAGCTGCCATATGCAGGGTTGTACGTTTATCCTATCATGAGTTGTATGGTGAATTCATTTGAGATATGTTAGGTGTGTGGGAGGTGTAAAATAACAGCAGAAATATACATCATCCAGTTGGATTTTATGTGTGAAAAATGCATTGGCAAATGATGGTGTCGTGTATAAGGTAAGGCATTACAAAAAACGTCTAAGAAAAAAAACATACCGAAGCATGAGTGGTGACATCTGCACCTTGCTCAATCAAATATTCCACAATATCTTGATTTCCAAATCGGCAAGCTTGTAACATAGCAGACCATCCATCCAAATCTTTAGCTCCTAACGCATTATCCAAGCCAAATGATTCGACACACTGCTTGACCTTATCCAAATTTGATTGCACACCTGCAGCTCGGAATAATGTTTTCATATCCTTTTTAGAAAGTTTAGTTGTTTGGTCCGGTGGATAAGGGCATACATCAGCCGATGGTAATTCAGCTTGTTTGGTCTTCTTTTTCTTGCCATTACTTTCAGCTTGTTTGGTCTTTTTTGTTTCTTTCTTTTTTTTAGTTGGCTTTGATGTTTTCTTTTTCTTTTTTACTTCCTCTTCGGACTCGTAATCATCATCGTCGTCCTCGGATTCTAATTCTAATTCTTCTGATTCATCATCCTCCTCATCCTCCTCAACTTCCTCTTCATCTTCCTCATCCTTGTCCGATTTCTTTGGAGACTTCTTCTTTTCAGATGTTTTCTTTACAGTAACAGTTGTCAAAGTTTCGGAAGCAGAGGAAGAACCAGCCACTGATCTCCTACTTCTTCCAACTGTGGTTTTTGTTACAGTAACTTCTTCAGTTTCTTCCATATCTGCTATTGATTTCTTTTTGATTTGCAACCGAGGTGAAGGTTGATGTTCTTGCTGTTCCTTCACCAAGGATCCTATGGTTTCTTCTTCATCGGAGGAGGCCATGATGATGTTGTGTTTCAATTCAATGCAATTCTTCCACTGAGAGTGTTGGCAGTATTTTTTTTTTAAAATTTGAATTTGGATTTTAATTTTTGGCGCGTTTATTTTTAAATGTGAAAGGATAATGAAATTCTTTCTACTCATCATTATTGTTTCTTTTCCTCGATTGAAGAAATGAGATGAAGAACAAGTAGGGTGCTCATTCAAGATTTGAATAACGCCAACCTGACTGTTTCACTTGGTGAAAAGGAATTCCTGTTCGCGAATCCTTTTCATGATCATAAAAAAATGGTGTCATCGCTCAACAGAGTCAGATTGTTGTTGACAGCAGCAGCAACTTGTCTCATCCTAGCGTTGATGTTTCTTCATGACGACACCATCCATGCTGCCATTCCCATCATACCTCCTCATATCTCCTCCACCAATTCTCAAGTGGATCGTTTAAATGAAGCAATTACGATACAGCTCCGTATCCGAGTCTATTACAAGAACATGAATTTCAACAACAAGAAGAATGAAAACACAATTTTGTTTGTTCGTGGAAATATTTCTCCGTTAAATTGGTCCTCGGGAATTTCTCTTTCCTCAATTTCCAACGCGGATGGAATTTATGAGACCTTTCTCAATATTTCACAAAGTGATTTAAAGAGTCAAGGTTACATTTTGCAAATGAAATGTCTTGTGAATGATCGGGATTGGCAATTAGGTCCTAATGCCATGTTTGATTTGAAAAATCAATGTTCACATCCTGATGATGATGATTTTCACAATGAATCCAAATGGAAGATCAAAAAAACGAAGAGTCTCGAAACGCCAATTACTCTCAATGTATATCCATGGTTCTATACCACAGAAGGTTCCATTTTCATACTTCCCAATTCCATATATTCTCCACAATTGAAAAATTACAGAAATATTACACTCTATTTACCTCCTTCTTATTTTGAAAATTCATGGAAACGTTATGATAATTTATTGATCATGCATGATGGACAGAATTTATTTGATCCCTCGACAGCGTTCATGAATCAAGCATGGATGATTCAAAATACATTGAATCCATTAATGTTGAATTCGAATGCGAATAACGCCATGGAAGAAGTGGTCGTGATTGGAGTTTATAATACGCCAGATCGAATGAATGAATATACCTATTCGAGAGACAATAGTGTCGGTGCAGGAGGGAAGGGAGGTCTCTATTTGGATTTTCTCGAACAGACACTAATGCCAACCTTAATGGACATGTTCAAAACGAGATGGATTTTGGATCATTCAAAATTGGGAATTTTGGGAAGTTCATTGGGAGGTTTAATTTCATGCTATGCAGGATGGACACGTCCGACAGTGTATGGAAAAGTTGGATGTATGAGCTCTTCATTTTGGTGGAATAATCAGGTAGGTTTGTGAATTCATTTGAAACAAATTGTCTCATCTATTGTTGAATCATTTCACAGGACTTTAATAATACAATTTTGAATCGACCAAATGTACCACAACAATTAGTGATCTACTTGGATAGTGGCAATCAAGGAGTTGATAATGATGATGTACTTCAAACACAAACAGTCCGCAACCATATGCTCAGTTTTCCTTCTTTCACCTGTGGCAAAAACTTGTATTACTATCTGGACAATGGTAAGTGACATGGATTTTTAATGAAATTCAAGAGCATTAGAATTCTAACCACAAATTGTAAAAATTATTATTAGGAGGTCAACATAATGAATATTTCTGGGGAAGGAGATTTTGGTCGCCTTGTCTATCCTTGTGGAAGCCAACACCACAAATTGTGTAGTTGTCGTTAAAATTGCCTGTATCCATAAAAAGTTTGCAAATAAATTATTGTTGAACAAATGGGGAAACTAAATGGCAATTCGTCATCCAATCACAGAAGCAATGGCAAATCCTAAAGAACTAGTAATAACCAATGCTCTCCACCATATCGGTGAATGATTCTTCTTCTCTTTCTGTACAAAATCCTCAATATATTTAGGCTCAGGTTTATGAGTGACAAACCGGATGGAGGAGACATCAGGGACGTGACTTTGCGCATTTTGAGATCGAGATCCCACACAAAACAGAACATCTCCAATTTTTGCTGAGCGTTCTGTCACTCGGATTGTTGATTTTGTTGTTCCACTCTTCTTAAACTCGTTGAATGCCTCATCACTCACATATAAATAATAATTCTCTTTTAAAGTTTCTGGAGAAAGAGTGGTGTCAGAATTTAGGGTGGCCAAAATTACTTGTCGAACGGACGCCTCTGAAATGTTATGTTCCAAGTAGTTCTTTAAATTGTTTATGGTGATCTCTGTATCTTGCTGCAAATCAAGATAAATTTCATTTAGATTCCATGGATTGTGTAACCAGTATTTTGTGTTTTTCCAGGCTTCAAATTCTCGGTTTGTGAATAACTTTCTCCAAACGTAGGCCGCAAATGTCTCTCGTTGTTCCTTAATTAGCCTCAAAGAGACAGAGCCGTTTTCTACAGCATTATGCACAATGGCATATTCAAGGAGTGTTGACCAGTAGCCTTTTCGAACATTGCTGTACGGGTGAAACTTTTCAATGTGGACATGATGAATAATTTTGTCACCTCGACCAATACTACCGATTTCTTCTTGCTTTTGATTTTGCAAAATATTCGGATAATCCCACTTGGCATAGAATTTTTTCAACTCGTGTTCGTGTTGTTCATTGGTATGATTTTGACTATGCGACTGTTGATTTTTTTTAGAGTCCGAACCAAAGAAATATTCTCGAATGACATTCTTTTTTCGCTTTCGTTGATTTTCATCCTCTTCATCAATAATCATTGAATCTGTTAATAACCAATCCGTTTCATAAATTAAAGTATGAGGTTTAATCTTTTCTTGCTTTCCAAAGATCGAAGGAGCCTCTTTTTCAACTTTAAGTTTTCTATAAATCTCATCGGAAAGCCAAACACCCACCACACCAAGGGCCAAATAACTTCCAGGTTTGATCATGTATTTTACAGTTCCAGATCTCCATAGGGTGAGTGTTTGATCGGTGGGTTTATATTGTCTATAGTAATATTGAATGACTTGGAAAAGTAAATTTCGAGTGGTGGGCTTGCGAGTTGGTGACGAAGGTTGTACTGAATCCGAAGATTGTTTTGAAGTAAGAGGGGAGGACGGAGGATGAGAGACCAAAGAGCTACCTTCTGTGGATGAAGATTTCGGAAAGAGAGAGGACGAAGCTTTCTTCCACCAATCACTTAAAGACATTTTTAAATTTAAATTAATGTAATATTTATGATAAATTAAATAATTTCGAGTCTCTCCCTTCAAATCTTTTAACTATTTGGAATCATTGCTCCGATGCCTATTCCACAGAATGAAAATTCATTGGGTGTCGACTTTTCAATAAATTGGACAGTGATGAACTTGTTGTTTACATTTTCCTCTATTGCGAGGAACCTTGTTCTCTTCACAAGAAAAAATTCGCATCATCATGATCCCCTCTGAATCAGAATCACCCAACAACAAGAGAAAACGAGAGAATTTTTCTGCTACTCAGCATCTCCAATCCTCATCAATAGAGCATACACCTTCCGACAATATTCTCTCCAAAGAGCTCGAAATTAAATCCTTCTTTGAGCAGAGAGAGTCTCAACAAGAAGAACTGATTGAACAGGTTAGTCGTGAGCTTTCAGAGCTCAAATTAGAGAAATCACTCGAAAACTTTATGAAAAAACTATCCTTGAATGATGATGATCGTGAGGGTGATGATCACCAAATGACTACATCGAATACCATTCCGGAAATTTCAAATTTAATCACAAACAATGAAACTGATTCTTTTGAAACCAAGAAAATGTTGCAAATTAAACGTATGCAACGTGATGAACCCGTCGTGTTGAATGTAGGAGGTCGATTTTTCAGGTCAACGATGAAAACACTTATCGGTGAGGGTCATCTTGTAGGTGATACTTTGAATGAGGGCTCAAATTCTTCCAAAAAAACACAAGATACCTCATCAGAACCTACAGATGCTTCTACTCCCACCAGCGCTGGTAGTCAGAACAAACAACACTTTGATAACTTGTTTAAAGTCATGTTCTCTTCAAACTTTTCGATTGAGTACGATTCGGCTAACAATGAAGGAACAAAGGCCATTAATTTTCTGGACAGAAATCCTGACCACTTTGAATATGTGTTGGAACATTTGCGCCAAAATGGACGTGTCAAATGTTTGGGATTGGAAAATATGAGTGTTGAAATGTTGATCGATATTAAGGCAGAATCAGAGTATTTCTTGACTGAAAAGTTGACCAATTATGTTACATCTTTAATTGAAAAGAAATTATCAAACGCTCCGTTGCAACAACCACAACAACAACAAGCACTGCAAACATCACTCACTGTAGATCAAATGCCCTCTCAAGATTTGCAAGAAAAAGCGTCACTTGTGGAAAAGAATGCTCCTCCTGAATGGTTAGAACAATTCAAAAACTATGAAAATGCAGTGAAAGAAAAACGAGAATATTACGTTTTAAAAACAAAAGATATGAAGCTTCTCACAATGAATCAAGTCAAGGAATTATCCAAATCATTGAAACATCGACTTGTTTCCTTTGTTGAGGGAACAGAACAACAATCAGATCTATATATCCAATTAGATATTTCAGGAACAGTGTTCAATATTCCATTTAGAGTATTTAAGGAACGTCCACACTTCATTGTGTACAAGTACATTAATTCGGATAATTTCATGTTAACCGAGAAGGGTACCATTTTTTTGGATCGAAATGCATCAATGTTTCAAATTATTTATAGTTATCTCATTAGTGGAACCTTTAACAACTTTCCAGTGATGGACAAAACAAAAAAGAGTCAACTCAAACATGAGCTCAAGTTCTATCAACTCTACAAAATTTTGGAAGAATATTTCAACCCATGCAGATATCCAATTGAAACGATCGGAAAAGAAAATATCAAACTCAAGGAAAAGGAAGACTTTTTAAGAGAGCTATTTGTGAAGGACAGAAATAATCCACTTCTCGATGACAAGTATTTGTTGTTGTCTCCTTTATTTTCGATGATGCATCAAGTGGTTGGAGAAGCCAAAAACAAATACGCAGTACCTGAGGCTAAAAAGCTCTTTCAATTTACAGATGAAACTTGCTATACAAGACCTGTTTCAGAACCGGTTGTCGTTGAATCATTGGAGGCATTCAAACAATCTTGGTCTGCATTTACAAAGGGCTTATTGAATGGCCTTAATTTTGACAATGTCTTTGCAGCTGGTGGCAGTGTATTAGCATGCGTATTGGATGGTAAAAGGATGCCTCCAAAGTGTAGAAATCCCTTTGTTTCCAAAAAGGACATGACTCTTCGTTCAAAGAGTGACAGCGACGATGAAGAAGAAGGTTTTGATGAACCTTCCTCTAACCTCTCTAACAACCATTCCAAAGAAAATGAAAGTGAAAAAATTGAACGAGACAAGATGATGACCTTTGAGTATTCTTGGGAACATTCTGATGGCAACTTTGCTTCCAAACGCCAAGTTGGTTCTTCGCCCTTGAAACCCATTTCAGCCAATACCACGCCACAAGGATTGCCAATGTTTCAAAAAATCTTTTCTATGCAATTTCAACAACCAACTCCACTCAGCAATATGTTGAACTCCAACACTATGAGTATGCCAACCCAGAATTCTGGATCCAACCTAACAACACTGTCCATGCCAACTCCAACTACAATTCTTGGAAGCACCAGTGGTGCTGGATCGATCATGCCCGCTAGTTCTACAACTCTAACGGATACCAGCACTTTTCCAACGTTTGGAATGCCTACCTTAATTAAGGAAGCCAATCCAATTCCCATTCCCAACACTCCAACGTCTTTTGAATCATCCGATATTGATTTATTCCTCTTTGGATTGACTCCAGAACAAGCAGAAGACAAATTAAGAGATATTTATCGAGTGATTAAGCAGAACTGTGGAGGTGATGTGTTGATTGTTCGTTCAAAGTTTGCCGTTACCTTCTACGCACAAAATTGCAGACCCATTCAAGTTGTCCTTAGAATTTACAAGTCTCCCGCAGAGATCTTGTTGGGCTTTGACATTTGTGCCGCCTGGTAAGTCTCTTGTTTATTATTATTTTCATATCTTTTACCAAGGTTGACCTTAATATCATGTAACAACATTAACAACAGTCTTGGATATGATGGCCATCAAGTTTGGTCCAATGCTCGTAGCAGAAGAGGTATGTTCTTTTGACACAGCTTTATGATCTCAAAGTTGTTTCATTTCATGCATGTAGCTCTTGCGTTGAAGACTAATTTAATTGATCCTGATCGAATGTCAACTACATACGAATACAGACTCTATAAGGTAAGTGGTAAATCAACCAGTCTATTTTTTGTTGAACACACCGTTCTATGCATGGAATGGTTTCTTGTTCATGAACAGTACGCAAAGCACGGTTTTTCTGTTACAATTCCAGGCTATGATCCATCTTTAGTAAAAAACCATCTCGTTACGTATCCCCGTCAATACAAATCCAAGTACATTCAAGTGAGGGGTTTAGCTAAGCTTATCATTGCTGATTATGCCAATAGATCCAAACATATCAATTACCTACTTTCTGAGTTTGAATCACGTCGTGATTACGAGGAAACACAAAAATTGAAATTATTGAAACAGATGGATAGCGAAAAACTTTCTGATTATGACATCTCACCGATCAAAGTAAGAAAGTACAGAGATATGCAAACAGAATATCAACGATTGAAGCATAACTCTGAATTTTTCACACAGCTCAACGCGAAGAAAAACAAAACTTGGAAACCTTACTATGTGATTGGTCTCAATGACGTTGAGAAATGCATTCATGACATTGAACATTCATCCCGTTTATCAGATAAGATTGAATTTGTGACAATAGATCCTGGATCTCAGAGAGTTGGATCTTTCAATCCCATTGTTGATAATTTCTATCGAGATGCCTATGAGTATGCGACAGAGGCTGAACCTCAAATTCTCACACGCAGAAAACATTTCCGTAATGCCTATCAAGCCAAATGGTCTTGGGAAAAGAATTTATCGACACATGCTTACGAGGCCTACTCTCCGTTTATTTGCAACAAAATTGAAGTAGCTTATCGAAAGTTTTTGAATGATCCAAGTGCATCAACAGTTCAGATTATGGACAACTACAAGATTGATTTTACTACCATGCAACAAATTAACATGTCTGATCAAACGAAACGAAGAAAAATTAATAGAAGCATTAATATTATCTGGAACAGAACCACTGAGCTTAGACCGGTTTCTAAGCTGTCCTACAAGACTTATTATTGACAAAAATGTTGGTTTGTATCATAATCATAATAATATTGTGAGGTTTGTTGGACTACAGTTTTGTCACACTGATCTTTCTATTTCCACACAACAATTTAAGAGAACTGTCCTAAATTGCTGTGCTTTTGGGATGATCAGAAGAAATGGATGTCGGACAAAATCGTGAACAAGTTCATTTTTCACTCGCACATAAACAACCTCTTCACATTGGCGCCTTTTTCTACAATCCGTTAACGAAAAAAAAAACGTGAACAGCAAAATGTCTACGGTCGTTCCGATCTCTAAAAGAACGTTGGATGACGAGCTCGAATCCATCGACGGTTCTTTGGATAAAAACATTCCAAACTCTACGGAAGGAGGGCACATTCAAACGCAACAACACAATGACCTTCAGGCTCTGAACGTAGCAGAACCAAAAAACAACAAATCATATTCGGAAAAAGGAGACGAATCTTCACAATCCAACGTAATCCATGTGGCACCTATTATGAACGACTACAAATGGTCGTTTTTTAAAAGACGTTTGGTCCAAACTTTTCTCGGAGGTTTAAGGCTGTACACTGAGTTCCGACAACCTGTTCTTGTGTATATTGTACAGCTGCTGTTATTTATTTTGCCATTGGTCGCGACTCTGCCCTTTGTGTTGACTGCACAATTTGACTTATATCCTCATATTGCTATCCCTATTGCTTCGTCTGGAATATTTTCTTTAATCATTACTTTTATTCTGAACCTTACAGGATTGATTGCACATTTCATCATTGCTAACAAGAATTCAAAAGAAGGAGGAATGCTAAGCGGAGCTGTAGAAAAAGAGGAAACAGTCGATAAGGTATTTTCTGTGCAATTTTTAACATTCATTTTTCAAAAAACAGGAGCTGTTCGACTCACAGCAAACAGTGTCGTTTCTGGATTGTTAGCAAGTGGAGTCGTTTGGACAATGAGACCGTCACAGCTTCAAAAATCTTTTGTTAATTATGAATTTTCATGGATATTTTTTGCCATACAATGGATATCATATTTACTGGTGGTTTATTCTCTTAATGTAAGGGCTCCAGCTGAACCATGTCAGCTCTATTCACAGGAAATTTTACTTGAGAATTCAAGACCGTTTTACCTAGCCCTATCGATCCTATTTGACATTCTCAGCGAGGTTGTCATTTATTATGAGCCTTCATCTCAATGGTCGAAATACGTTGCAGCAAGCTTTCTATCCCTGTATTTTATATCTCCACTTTTGCTCTCGCTTGGATTACTTCCGTCACCTTGGACTTGCTGCATGTGGTTTTTGGAGATTGTAAATGTTTATGTTCAAGGAGGCTCTGCAAGCGCATCAGATCTTAATAATTATGAGTATGGAGTCATGGATAGGTGTGCTTGGGGTATTTTTCTGCTATCTCTATGCATCATCGAGTTTTGCAACTTTCCTTGCATTAGGTCTGGGTTTCTTACTTTCTCAAGATTCTCTCGTTTCAATAGTAGAAGAGCCTTTGTTATTTTTAAAAAGAAAAGTCATGAGAGAAAAAGACAATTCCGAGGAGGTTCACACAAGAAAAATATTGAGAAAATCCAAGTTATTCTCACACATCTCGCTTCTGCTTGTTGGAATTGTGATATTATTGGGAACAAGCGGTGCTGGAGCGTCACTTTACGTTTATTTGCTTAATTTACCCTCAAGTAAGTAATGAAGTGTCTGGAAATGTTGGCAATGGTAACCTTTCTGTCATATGTCATATTATTAAAACGAACCTACATACAACATGATTAGAGCAAGACAATTACAAGACATCATGGTTCATCTATAGATTCATTGGCGAAGGCCTTTCTGCATGCTACTTTGTTATAATGGTGTTGCTAAGCTCATGGCAAAAAGTTTTTTGCTGTCACATGCTTGGGAACAGGCTTAGAAAAAAGCTCAAATATTTAGGTTTTATTACACTATTCTTTGACTACTTGCTCAGAGCAGTCCTTTCAGCACATTTAATAATATACATTGACGATTTGAGAATTGATGTTTATGTAAGTTATAGTTGCTTGTTTGTAGGTCCTTGTTACGATGAATGAACTGAAATTATAATAATCAATAGAATTTTAATTCCCTAAGCATAATTTTCATGTTGCTTGAGAGTTCACTTCAGTTACGTGCTTTTAGACAGGTGTGGCAAGCACCGCTGATTGTGTTGTCCTTTGATTTTTTTGTTGCTGGCGCCGTTTTTGGAGTTTCTCGAGCATTGCAGACTTTTACCATACCCATTTCCTATGCAGTTCTGTTAGCAATAATTGGATTTGTTTCAAGAAGAAGTGTGATAGCATGGAGGAGACTTGTATTTTCTTTGGCATTGTTTTTCAGCACACTGGCTCAAAAGAAACAACATTATCCCAAATACAAGATTTTGAGCGTTCTACTGATTCTGATAGCTCCTATTTATGCCGTAGTGCTTGCTTTTGGAACATTGTTTACCTTCTCCATAATTCCTTTGTTTGGTCTTCCATTCTTTGTGTTAAGTTTTCCAAGACCCTTCAGGACATGGGGATCTGTTGGCTCAAACAATATGAATTCGGAGGATACTATTCTTTACAAAGTTATGCTAAACAACGCAGTGAAGCAATTCAAACACCTCGTTAAATACTCAACCATGTGGCACTTTGTGGACTGTGGTCAAATGTATATGATGAGATCAGAATACTATATATTATGGATTGAAATTCTTGAGAGAGGAATCGATTCTATTCGAATTAATGTGAAAGGTTTAGAACTTCAAACAACCAGTTGCCACGCAGCAGAGGCCACTGCCTTGGACGGTTACTTGGAATCAAGCTATGACACTCCAACCACACAAAAATCATTTTTCTACGTGAACAAGAATCCAATTCATATTTTCGAGCCGCTCAGTGAATGTAAAGTCGATACATACTCAGTTTCCAATTATCAACTTACAGGAATATTTGACAGTCCTTCAACATTTTCAGATTTACCACGAGTTTTCTCTCACGTCCTTGTTTATAATATTCTCACAAGATCACAAGAAGAGATTAACTCGATGAATTTTGGAAATTACATCAATAGTGCTACTCACATGACCACACATGTTTCTACTGCACCTACCGAATGGATTACCTTCGAAAACAGTTTTAGGTTCCGTACTCTAACTGAACACATGGAAAATTTATCCAAGTTTGTCTTAATGTGTGAACAGTTGATTTCATCCAACGCTAATACGCCTAAGGAAATTCATCGAGTGTTCTTTGGTGAAATTCCACATTTCGAAAACAATCACTCAGCGTTACCACTTAATGAAGAGACTGCCAACGATGAAAACATCTTTGCCTACACCAAAAAACCAATAGAACAAATCAAAGAAGAAGAGAATGCTCAACTCTCACAAGAACGAGAGTCCCTCTTCAAACAAAACGCAGTTTTGGAAGAGGTGTTCATTTCGTCCTTTAGAACTAGTGTGATCATGTGCATGAATAGCTTGATTGAGGAAGGTGAAATTCTTGAAGCACCAGAAGGCTCCAATGCGGAAGACATGAAAAAGTTCCATGCCATGATTGAACAAACAAGCAACGAATGGACAATCTTGAGTGAAAAAGATCCGGTGGACAAGTATCTAGACTTTTCAACAGGAAATAACAAGAGTACGAATGCACCTAAACAGCCTCATCACATCTTCATTTTGGGAGAGAAGGATCGAACGCATGGTTCATATCGAGCAAGATACCTCGCCAAATCTGCTCCAATCCACTTCTACCTTGGAAGACTAAATGAAGAAGCGGTGAGAGCCTTTTGGTGCGAGTTGGCACATGAAATGTATTATGCAACAAATGACGATGAAGAACGTTATTCTATACAAGCACATACATGGCTGCTTAGAAACATGTCCATTCAAGCTGCTGAGCCACCTCTTGGCTATCCATTATTTAACTCTGGATCCGTGGTAATTTAGCTGCGTGTCAATAATCTTTTCAAGACAATACTACAAGTGCAATTTGAACAAATAAACTCATGTTAAAGCTATATTAATTCAATTATTGGAGATAAATTATTAATATTATTGCCTAAAACGAGCTAATGTTGAGCCCATTCATTTAGAGTTCCAACACAAATATATTTCATTTCGAAATGTTCAACCATTGAAGTTAAGTGATCCATTTGTTGCGGTGTTAAATCACTCAAGTCAAATTGATCCAAATGTTGTGATGATACATCATTCAAAGCCAAAGCCTTTCCAATTTCATGTCCGGCATAGATTGAATAAACTTCATTTGGACCATAGAAGCCGCTTCCTGTGACATCATAAACTTTACCCATCACACTCACATATTGCTTATGATTGGTACTAGAATGTCTGTGTAATTCTTCTAAAGTAAAATCTCTCATCTCCATTTCTTCGGACTCATCTGACTCTTCATCGGAAGAAGTATCACTATATTCATCACCGGTGATTGACCTTGTTTTAGTCTTTCTCAATGACTTGTACACAAAATAAGCCGCACCAAGAGCAGCAATAGAAACAATCACCAAGGATGTTGGCTTGATCAATGTTTGAGAAATTCTTTGTACCCATGAGGTCGTCTCTTCACCCGAAGCAGCACTAACTTGTGTGCTTGTTGCTGAAGCAGCAGGTGATGATGAGGGAGTGATGATCGAAGATGAGGTCATTTTTTTTTGTTCGGGGTTTGTGTTATTTTGTAATCTGGTGTTTATAACAGGTGAAGTAGTGAGACTAGTCGTTTTCAGTTTTTTATTATCAAATAAAGGAGGAGAATTGTTATTCTCGGAATTTCACCTCTTGTCCTCCTCTCCTGACATGATCATCATGTTCTTCGTTTCATCAATCGTCCATAGATTTCAATTTCCAAAAAAAATGTCTTTCTCGTCGTCATCGGCTGCCAATAACAACCTCTCCATTCGGAATGAAGAGCTCTGGAAGGAATTGATTCAACAATTATTTTCCATAGCGAGTGGAGAGCAATTAATTTCCGTAATTAATGTTCAACATGTACAGATGGATAAAAAGAAGGGACGAGTGTTAGAGGATCGGATCGTGTGTGTAACGACTAAAAAGAAGATGATCACTACCTCTAAAAAGAAGAATGGATTTAAAGTACATCTTTTGGTAATTAAAAGAGACAAAGAAGGAACTTTTCATATTGAGAAAACGTATAAATTGAAACGATTGGCCAAAATTGAAGGTTGCGAGGAGAGTAACACTGAATTCATTCTCCACTTTACCAATCATCAAAAACCTTTTAGAATAATTAGTGAAGGAACGGAACAAAAAAACATATTTATTTCAAAACTACTACATGTGTGCAGAGAGAATTTTGGATCAGAACCAGTTCTTGAAAATGTAAATTTGGCTGAACTATCGGAATATATTACGGAAGAGGAAGAAAATGATGATGAAAATTTATTCAAGGACGAAATTGGTGATGTGTCCCAGAAGGATTTGGTGACTGAGGAAGAAGAGAAAATTATGAGGAAAGTTCTCGAACAGTTTAATGAGGATATGAGTGACGCCAAGCTGGTATCCTCTCAATTAAACCAACGACTTGCAATCTATGAAAGGGAAAACATTCATGCCATTCTTCAAAAACAAGAACAATGGGAGCGTATTATAGGCCAATTAGATCAAGTTGAGGGTCAATTAGAGGAAATGAATGACTGGCTGGAAAGATATAACAAGAAACTCATGCTCATGCAGAAAGATATCGTTCAAATTGAATCTGAGAACAACAATATGGAAGTACAAGCAAGAAATCTCAAGTACTTGTCTGACGAGATTGACCAATTAATTGTAAGTTATAGTTTTCATTTAATTCTTTGAAAATTTCAAAATACACTTCCACACAAATAGCACACTCTTGAATTCGATGATTCCTATGTTCAAAGTATTCAAAATGATGAGTTTGATGGTAAATTAAGCAAGATTAATGACGCTGTTCAAAAATTGCAAGATTCTCTCAATGAAAAGTTTCAAGATGGTATGGATGACATGGTGGCAGTAAGGTGAGTACCAATTTTTGTCTGTAATTGGTGTATTTAATAACCTCATATTTTCAGAGAACGGATCAAATACTTCCAAATTTTGAGATTTAATTTTGTAAATCGATTTAAAATTTATATGAGGAAATACTTTAAGAAATTGGCCTCTCAAATGTTCAAGCAGACCGGGAAAAGCTTTAAATATGCCATTGATCTCAAGTCAGTCAACTACAACAGCTACCACAGAGACATCATTCAGGTGAGTTTATTCCTAAAATTCAACATGCTTACTCAATTCAAAAATTTAGCTCCACAAAGATACAATTCAAAAAGATCTAAGCAAATACTCTATTCTCATGGAATGCGTTCATTCCACTCAAGAGGCAGTTAAGGATCATCAACTTCTAGAAATGCTAAAACAAAAGATGCGAGAGTCTTACGGTAAATTTTCGCTCAGTATGATCAAAATCAAAAAAGATAAAATGATCGATAGACCTCTCGATATGCTTCTATTGAAATACACAAAGGCTGTGGCTCCTCTCTACCGAAAAGAAATTCACTTATTCATACATGATACCAAACAGGTCATTAAGTCCAATAAGGAAAATAAGGTCAGCAAAACCTTCTTATTGGGAACTAAGAGCACACAACTCAATGAAAAGATTATAAAGGATACCAAACATGCAAAAAGAGTATCTGTTAGAATGCCAGCAGCTAAAACTTCGAACAATAACACTGACTCTTCCAAAACAACTCTATCTATTGATGACGATGAGATGACAATGGCTTCTGAAATCGACTTTTCAGATGGAGAAGAGGATTTTGATGATGAGATCATTGAATATGTGAAAGAACAACAATCAGACATTTCGTCACGTGTAGACACTCTGTATGCCTATTGCCTTAATACCATTTGTAGTACCATGTTCCAAGAGCAAAATCATATTACCAAATTTTTCATTATGAACACAGCAACTGAAGAAGTTCAAATCAGCAATCCATCCTTTGAATCGACCACATCAAATGTTCAAAGTGATGGAGATAACGATGCCAATGAAGGAAAAACATCCATTGAAATTAACACCAATTCGGCTACATCCTCTCAGTCTGCTGCCCAAAATGGCGCATCCCACTCTGCTCAAAATGTACAACGATCTGAAATTTATCTCATGATGGAACGAATGTTTAAAGACATTAATGACGATCTTGTATCCATAACTAACTATGTGAAGAAAAATACTGATCGATTCTACTCATTATCCATGAGTTTAGCTGCTGAAAGACAGTTCAGAATGTACAATGGAAAGAGCACCTACATTACCGAGTTTCTGATATTTGTGAAAGGTCTCATTCAAGAAATTATTCAAAAGTTCATTACCAAGCAAATTGAATCTATTCAAGAATTTAAATGTACCATTAAGAAGATTCACGTGGTTCCCTTTATTGCCAAATTTTCCTACTTTAACGATCGATTTGAAAGTATTTTAACAAACTTTTCTGACATGAGTGTTGCTCGTTCAAGCGCTACTACAGATTACTTGAAAATTATCAGTGCCATGTTCGATTCGATCGAAAAACTAGCTCAAACCAATGAGAAACATAGTGATGCCTTTAGAATGAAGAATTATTCATACTTTTATCACTCGCTCAATAAGAGACCAAATTTGAGTCAAAATGAAGAATTGATCAAGCACAACGAAATTGCAAAGAAACGCTTTGAAGAGTGCTGTCGACGTTACATTTTGTGGATGATTAATTTTAAATTTGAATTTTTATTCCATTTCATTGATGGTTTGGAGGATTGCATCAAAACAACCTCAAAAGAAGACATTATTTATCAGACACAATATTCGAAGGCTAAGGTGAAAGAATTGATCAAGAAATACGATCATCAAGTCATGCAAAAAGGTATTGAAAGCATCTTCAAAAGAATGGACAAGCACATTGGTCAGAAGAATGTTGATGACTCCTCGTACAAAATTCCCAAAGCCATTGAGGAAAGAGGACCCAAGGTTCTTCACAAGGAAGTGTGGTCACGGTTGCGCAAGTTCTTTGTTTCTAAGTATGAACGATTTGAGAAAATTATTAACGAAGCATATCCTACCTGCAAGCCCGTTAGTACACGAGAAGTAGAAGCCATGTTTGATTCTTTTTCTTTCAATTAAAAACTTTGCAATTTAATTTAAGAGAATTTATTGAAACACATGATCTTGAACTTGGATTTATTGAATGCGTTGTCTTGTCTAAAACTTCTGGGCTTAGAACAGCTTTGGATCCATCATGATGGGTGGTAAATTGGGTGTTTCATCGTCCAAGTCTGCCTTAACTTTCTTTTGTGCATCAAAAGATCCATCCAATCTCTCTCGTTTTCGAGCATTCAATCCATCCATCTCGTCACTACCTCTATACACAATAGCGTGAGGTGAAGGATTTCGTATGCCACCATATGAATTCTCATAGAATAGTGAAGGAGAGTTTTGAGTTGGCAGTGGTGGAAATTGTGAAGTTGGTGATGGATGATAAAGACCACTTTGCTGACTCAGAGGGGAAGGACTAGTGAATGAGCTTGATAAGGGACTCGAATTGATTCTTGGAGGATGGGGTGAGTAGTGATGATGTGGAGAATTACTGGCTGGTCGCAATGGATAATTTGGTGAAAATCTGTACAAAGATGGACTAGAGGCAGACATGAAACTTGTTGGAGACGATTGAACCGTTGTCGTGTGAGGATTTCTTGTAATGTCATTGGTGCTGTAATTATTTGTTGAATAAGAAGGAGGTTTCGCCACATGCTGCAAATAATCACTTGGTTGTAACAGTGTAGAAGCAGAATGAATCTTTTGTGAAGAAGCAGAACCACCACCACCACTACTGGCTTTTTGAGAGCTTGAAGCTCCCAAAAGTTGTGAAGCCATATTGTTTGAGGATGGATTTGATAATAAGGCATAATTAGGAGAATTCATTTCAAGTTCAAGATCATGGAGTGGTGGCGATGAAGAGGACGTCATGGTTTTTGAAGACCCACTGTAAGTATTACTAGAACCATGAAGTGCCTGGCTGCCACCACCACTAAACATGTTTGTTGTTGCATTGGTTGTAGGATTCAAATTTGTCATGGGATGTGATGTTGAACGTGTGAAAGTCTTTAAGCTTGGAGGAGGACTCATCGAAGCAACAACATTTGAACCCATCGATGCAGAGGAATTCACATGACTGTCAGCAATATTTATGCCACCAAAAGAAGGAGAAATTCGTTCGTTCTTCATTGATGAAGAACTTGCATGATAAGATTGCTGTTGTTGACCATTGTTGTTAATCGTAGAAGAGTATCCACTTTGTGGTGGCATTGAGTATTGTGATATTCCTTGAGAACTGAAATTCTGAGATGGTTGTGAATAGTTTTGAGAAGGCGAATGAGTTGTCACAGTCGCAGTATTTGGTTGAGGTGTTGGTTGAGATTTGTCCTTACATGTCTTTTTTGATTCTGATGCTTTTCGTTGTGGTTGAGGTTGAGATGAGGATAATTGGGAAGAACCTTCCTGTGCTGGAGATGATGTCATTAACAGGTTGCTACTCGATGCTGCATTGCTTAGTTTTGATTTCTTCTCGAGTGGAACAGTGATACCAGAATTCATGGTAGTTGTATCCCCTAGCAGTGGATGGTTGTGAGTACCAATGCAGAGCAGCAATCTTCTATTGTCATCCTTCTCGAGTGGAACATAAAAGTGCAGTTTGAATGGACATTTACCACTCTTTGTTAGGGATGTGTTGTTATGCTTTTGGCATGTGTGAAATCGAAGTCTACAAGGTCTGACAATGCAATGTTCTTCGTCGTCAGTGGCATGAGGACAATAATAGACTCCCTGACATGTTCTTTCGTAATGCATGACTTTACAATTCAAATAAGCACAATGCACTTTTTTCTGAGTCGATGGTGTACCAAATGAATAAGCAATCTTGTCATAAAAACTATTCTTATCTGCCCAATCTGCAACATTGTAGGCATAGAGAACCCCATCGAGCGGAAACTCGACAGGTTCTGTTGGGTTTTCAACACGCTCAGCACTGATATTTCTTGTGACCTTAATACTTCCTTGGTTGGACACTGATGAGGCAGGCTTGCTATCAGTTTTGGTGACAAGTTTCTTTTGTTTTGCCGAGTTGTTGTTCTCTACGTCCTGAGACGCTTGTTGTGTTTCGGAAGTGGTTGTTTTTTGATTGCTTTTCTTTTTTTTGCTCTTCTTGGTTGTTGCTGTGCTTTGCGATATTTCTTCCGTGGTGATTGTTGCTTGATTGTTGCTAGCATTAGGCTGTTGACGCGTGTGATGAGTGGCATTCATGACACCGTTAATGTTCTCCACAGTTGGAACTTGACTGTTACCGACAGAATTAATTCTTTGGTCCATCATTGCATTCACAACAAGGCCATTATTCATCATGTCAGATGTTTGAGAAGGCCTTGGAGAGATAGTCTTTATCATGCTGTGACCACCTTGTCCTTGTGATGATGTCACATAATTATGAGACCATTGAGGTGGTGAGAAGGCATTATTACCAGAAACCGTAGAAATTGTTGGTCTCGAAGAATTCAAAATTGGTTGAAAAGAGCTTGTGGTGGCATTTGTTGTTGGAATTGGCGTTGTCATTGTTCGATCCACATTCGCATGTCTAAAGAACCGGTCAACGGAGAACAAGTCATCATCTTGAGAAGATCCAGACTCTTTCGCTAGTCTTGAAGTTGGACCAGACGTACTCGTAGTTGAAGCATGACTTGGTAAATAACTATTAGTGGCATTGGTTTGAAAACTCATCACGGAAGGAGCTCCAACAACACCTGATGAAAATTGAAACATGTTGTTGTGGTTGGAGGATGGTGCTGTTGCTGTCGTATGATGAGAATGATGCAAAGAAGGTGTCTGTTGCTGAAAATTCAAGCCAGAGCCCACAGCATAAGGATTAGTGTTGTTGCCTCTACTGGTGGTGGTAGGATATTGATGGTGGTGATTGAGATTTGAAGTCGACTGAGTAGGAGTGCTCATCATTGATCCGTTATTTGGAATTATTTGATGAAGAGGCAAAGAGGAAGATGAGGAAATCGGAAGAGATGGAGGATTCATGGTGGAAGCAGCTGCGACCATGGCAGAATGGAAAAGGTTTGTTTGGTTATTATTATATTCGTTATTCTCAATTATAATATTAGGAACACTATTGTGTTGTTGTTGTTGTTGTTGAAAAGAAGTAGTATTGGTGCTAGTGGCTGAAGCTACATGAAGCAAGGAGGAGGAATACTAGCAGTCGTTGAGGGGTGATGGTTGTTGTTCTTCTTCTTGATATTCATGCCATGACTCGGCTCGGGTCTACGCAATGATGATGAACAACGTCCCAATAATTCAATTCGAATTGGGTATTCGTTCGGACTGCTCCACTGAGTGGGGTTGGGTATATGATTGCTCACAGAAATTTCGTGTCGTGTTAGTGATGAATCAAAAGATAACAATACCGAGGTTGTGAGGCCGTTTCAAGTGTTGATGTTTTTAGTGATGATGGACGGTGGTGTAGTATGATGGTGATGATCTTGAGTGAGCCACTGTTATTATTTCATCAGCGGTATTTCGCAACAACAAAACGGATGATCTAAGCAATAAGAGAAGCTTCAGTTTTTTCAAAAAGAACTCGAGTTCTTGTGCGCAGTAACAATATTCGGGTGAGAGTTTAATGATGATGATGGGTCGTTGGACGGGTGGGAACTCTTGATGTTCAACGGATACGAACAATGAGAGAGAGACGAACAAACGGTGGTGGTGCTGAAATTAAAAGAGGAAACACACAATTTTTTCTTCTCTCCTTGGACAATTTTCCAGCTCTGTCGATATCCAAAAACAACAGGCATGAACTCCGCACACGCTTGTGATAGTTAATGACAAAGACAAATCAGCCAATAAAGAAAAGATGATGACTTTGAGCGTTATCACCGGTCCAAAGTAGTGCTCAGGAGTAGTAAACGTGGTATGATGACTAATACTTATACATCATCATTAAACTCTCCTGTGAGAATCAAGTGTTTGGCAAGCTGGTTGACTGAAACTAAGACACAAATTTTTTTGGTAAAGGCAACTGCCCGTTTGGAAAGTTTGATCTGCGATGGAAAGTGAAACGCTAAACAGTCACAAAGACAAAGTTTGTAAATTTTGTAAATAATATCGTTATCAAGGTGATGAGGATTCGATGACTTTGGTAGGAACTTCATGAGATACTACAACAGACGAATTGTTTGTTGATAAAGCATGATAAAGTTCATAATAATAAATTAATTTAAGGTTGTCTTACTTTGAGAAAAGCATGAGCCACATTCATGGTGACAGACCACAAATGTCTATTTTGTTTCTGACCTTGTTTGAGACCAAATAGATTCCAGCTCGGCAAAACATGGTACTTCTGAGGCACATCTGACAAAATTGGTGACTGAAGTCTCAGCAAGACTAAATCCAAAAGGTTGATTCTCTCGCGAAATGCAATCCAATAATTGTTTCTTGCACGCAATGGTTCCCATTAAATATCCTAATTGAAGAGTTTCAGAAGCACAATTCTTTAACACACGTTCGTGATCTGGCAAATCTTTTGCTTTGGTCATGCAATCATCGTAGTTTTTTGCTTGCTTCTTTGCAATAGTATCGACCAAATACTTGGCAATTTCTTTTTTCTTCTCCATGTCCTTATTCTCAAAGCTGTATGTTTCTATGAGATTACTTGGATCATTATCATGTTCTCGTGAGATTTGTTTCGATTTCAATAATTGACCAATTCTAGGCATGAGTTGAACGAGTGTATTTGGTTCTGTCCATTTCATTCTTGCATTTGATAAGCTGGACAATTCTTCTTTTGTCTGATCGCTCGACTCTAGACAATAATTCAAGTCATCGATCAATTCATCAATTTTTTTAGGAGATCGATGTTTTCTTAAATTCAAATTTAAATCATCATAGCAATCAATGCCTTTTCCATCACGTAGCTTTTTGAGCTCGTTAGCAGAACAGAAACTAACATAATTTTCAAGATTCATCATATCTTGCGGACCACTAAAATTCGTGCTCGCCACATCGGCACATCCAGAATAAATGTTCATAAAGGTCCACAAGTATTCTCTCTTCTTATGAAACTCCTTATCCTTCTCGAAAGTCTCCACAGGAAAGTAATCCACCAATTGTGAAGAGAGATCATGAGGTTTTACCGAATCATCTCCCTCCTCGGAATTTTCATTCAACAAATCAAAATGAACCGATGTCTTTTGATCATTGCTCTCATTCACTGTAGCAGTGGTGGAATCTTGCGAAGATGATGACTGACCCATTTTTTTGATTTGATAACTGGAATCCCTAAGAACCAGAGTTCGAAAGTTCATGTATTCCACGAATTCTGCGGAATGTCGACACTGGTGTTGGCTATAGTATGAAGGAGTTTTTACATCTAAATTGAGAAGGAGAGATTTACACCTTCATTCCAGACCAAAATTTTGTGGTTATTTCACGTAACGACAAAACGGTTCAGAGAAGTATATTACAGTTAGATGGAATTAAGAATGAACTGGCAAAGATGTGTGGTACTGATTCAGCCTTTTGTGATATTGTTTTGAATTTATTGGAACATGAACCTGAAAAGAGAAAGTTAACTAGATGGACTATTAATTCTTTGTAAAGACTTTGAAACGGTTGTGAATTACTTCTCAGAAGCGAATGCGTTCAAAAACAACCTGTTCCCACCAAAACATCGAAACCAGTATCTCTAGAGTATTTCAGATCAAAGATGAATAACTTCACCACTACAAGACTCCATTAATTGTGAAAATTATGTCTTTTGGGTGACAAATTGCCCTAAAAGAAAATTCCAATAACCCTCCAAAATGCATTCTAGGAATCGATCAAGAAACCTTTTCAGATTTAATTCTTCTTTTGGATGATAAATAATTCAATAAACAGGCTCGAGAGATTTGAAGACATTAAAGAATTATTCAGTGATATATTTCATTTCTCTCATGCCATCAGAACCGTGATTTTGAACAATCGAAAATGATTGTCTTTCTCTCCAAATAAGATGATTTCAAAGAAAAACTTACCCTACATTCATTTTCAACCTCGTTTCCAGAGTTTACAGGAAATGAACAAGATGCTACACAGTGTGTTGAGTATTTGAGAAGCAAGTTTTTGATGCAGTTTCATCCAAAGGCTTTTTTTCTCCATGTACATGTTGTAAATTTGTGTGATCTTGACCATATGAGCATTGCAAGCTTAATGCATTTATGGATCTTTTATTGAGTGAATATGCTCTTGGATCGCCTAAATATGTCAATAACGAGAGTTTAAGGGAAAAGAAAAACGTCCCAAATTTTTTTCCCGCCAAATTTCTCATCTCTAAAAGTTCCTCAAAGATTTCTTCTGACAGCAACAAATAACAACAACAACACTCGTAAATATGGTGGTGGTTTCAATTTGAAACAATAACAACAAAATGCCATCGTCCAACAACTCGGTGGTTCCGTTACCACTCTCGATGGCATCTGAACGAGACAAGGAGGCCTCAAAGGCTGTTGTTGTGAGTGGAGAGAAAATCACTCAACAAACTCTGCACGGAGTAGACCCTAAAGATGATAAGGCAACAGTTACAACAACAACGGAGCAAGAAATTGAGGCTGCTACTCATCAAATCCGATTCGGAACAATGTCAGAGGTCGTGAACAATCCAGTACGACCTCAACAACAAGAGGAATATGTTTCTTCATCTTCTTCGTCATTTTCAACAAAAAATACAAAGAATCACTTTATTGATGATGATAGCGATGACGGAGATGACTCTCCAAATGCTGGAAATTTAATTCAAATTTCAGTGCCGTCTCGAAAATCAAGTAGTTCCTCTTCTTCGCAGCAGATTGAAAGACCTCTTTCAGAGGAAGATCTTTCCTTCCTTAAATTGGACAGAGTGGTTTTTGACCCTCATGACACCAACGGTGACGATGGATTTTTGAGTTTTGTACATAAGAACCATAAGAATTATTTAAAAGTTTTCTTGATGACATGGAACATGCAGGGATTGTCTTCGCCGAATGAAGAATACATCTCATCGTTTGTGCCCATCAACAAGTATCATATTTATTGTTTTGGAACTCAAGAATGTGAGAGATCAATAGGAACCTCTGTAATCATTGATTCTAAAGCAAAATGGGAAAAAACTCTAACAAACGTTATGGGAGACTCATATGTTCCACTTGAGAGTAACACCCTAGTGGCTATCCATATCATCATTTTTGTCAGAAAGGAGTTGCTGTCACAAATATCACAGGTCACTGTGTCAAGTGTTGCGACTGGACTTTACAATCAAATAGGAAATAAGGGTGGAGTTGCCATTTCATTCAAGTTGGGCAATCGAAAGTACATATTTATTAATAACCATCTTCCTGCCCATCAGGACAATGTTAAGGAGAGAAATGAAAGTTTTGAACGAATCATCAGCGGAGTTGATTTTGATGGCAAAATTAAGCCATCAAAGACCAAAGTGAATCCATCCGCATCCACAACCTCACACACCAATTTTCATTTATTCAAGAGAAGTGAACGACCTGACATTTTTAAGAAGAACAATTTTGTATTTTACATGGGAGATTTAAATTATCGAATCAACGGGAATAGAAACGTCGTTGACAAGGTTTTAAAGATGAATGATTTACAAGTACTTTTACAAAATGATCAGCTCATTATTGAACGAAAGAAAGGATCAACCGATTTAAGGTTTTTTGCTGAGGGAGAAATTTCATTTCCACCCACATACAAGTATGAGAAAAATTCGAATCAATACGATTTGAGTAAGAAAAAGAGAATACCCGCATGGACAGATAGAATCATGTTTAAACCTTCAAAACAAGGCAAAATTGAATTAATTGACTACAACTGCTTTCCACAAGCTAAATTTTCAGATCATCGACCAGTTTATGCCACCTTTCTCGTGGACAGCCCTGGTATATCTCTTGAAAAGCAAGAACATTCCAAACTGTCAAGCTCTACATCGTCCTCTGTCTGTTCGATACAATAAATCAGAGAGCATATTAAAAGAGTTTAATTTGCATAAAATTGGGAAATTTCAAGAAAAAATGTTCGTCACTGTGGTCGTGAGAGACACAGTCATTTTACAGCCACACCGATTCGATAAGGACATTATCACTGCTGTGGAGGATGAAATTCATATGAAATATTCGAATAAGATTCTTCCCGATGTGGGGTTGTGTATTTGTTTATATGATTTTATTACCATCGGAGATCCACATATTTATCCAAATCAGCGTGGAAATTGTTTTGTGGAAACTACATTCCGATTAATAGTATTTAAACCTTTCATTGGAGAAATCATTACAGGCAGAATTATGGGTTCGGATCCAGAGCAAGGCTTGAAAATTGCTATTGGATTTTTCAATGATATTTACATTCCTCCCTATTTATTGGCTGAACCTTCTCGATTGTAAGTGAAATGATGATTATATATTACTATGATCATCATCATTTAAATAACAATTTCTGGATTACATCCTATCACCAATATTATATCTATCAAAATGCAATGGATGATTATTTCTTTTAAATATATCGAATGACAAATACTTTTTACATTCGGACTCATTCAGTGATGATGAAAGTAATCAATGGCAATGGGTCTATGAAGACAATGCTCTTCCATATGCCTATCCTCAAGAAATTCGATTCCGAGTCAATTCCATCACATTCAATACATCTCTCGATTCAAATCCTCCTCGTCATGTGGATGAGAGAAACAAACCTCCTCCAACAGCAACAACCACAGGCGAAGAGGAACCTCAACCACCCGAAGAAAAACCTCCCATGATTATCGTTGGAAGAGTGAATGAACCAGGTCTTGGTTTAACTTCATGGTGGGCCTCAAGTGAAACAGAAGACGTATCGGAGGAAACACAAAAAGATGATACTCTTCTAGGAAGTAGTAGTAGTCATGCAGTAACGAGGACAGTATCGTCGACGGAAGGATCAACATTTTCAAATATTGACGATCAAATTCTGGATACGGAAATATAGTTAGAGACACACCACAAGTATGGTACTTTATAAATTAAGAAGTTTATTTAAGTGAAACAGACATTTGTGTATGGATGGAGAGGTGGGCATATTTGTTTGAGCCTTAATTAACTATGTCATTAAGATTTGAATGTTAGACTGATGTTGATGTTACATGTATCTCTCAAGAGAGTTCATGCGTGAGATCATGATGATACACCTGTACGAACACACATTAACACAAACTGAACCATCACATTCTATCTCTGCGAAGAGACAATTTCTTTTGTTGTCAAATGCCACTCAATGTGTTGACAATTTTCTTGCTCAACAAAATATCTCACAACACATCGAGCACCTTATTATTCCAAATGCCGTTTCGTCATCCCAACGGCTCTGTCTTTGCTCCACTTGCTTCTAAATTCTCCACCACCTCATCCATGAAGGATGAACAGAAGGATGATGATCCTAATGATCCCTACACTCAGACTGCTCTCACTTCTCCTCCTTCGCAATGGTCATCGTCACACATCTTTCCCGAGCGATGGAATACCACAACGTCACTGACATCATCGAGAGGTAATACGACCTCCTCATCATCGTTGGAGCATCCACAAAGAGGCTCCTCTCCGACCAAACATTCGGTAGAAGACGATGTTTCTTCTTCTTCTTCTTCATGTGGTGGAGGTGGTTGGAGTACATCGTCCCTACTAGAAGTGAATAATATTAATTCTGAACCCTTCTTCATGAAAAAGTGCACGTTCAAGAAAGACACATTGGAATTACCCAAGAGTTCATTAGAGGATGTTTCTCAAACCTCGTTGTTGAGTCCAAACAATAATAATAATAATAACAATAACAACAACCTTAACTCTTACCACAACTTCCCTAAACGCAGAAACAAGAATGCCATGGAGAATGCCTTAAATTCCCAGAACAAGGATCATTCTCGTATGCGCCGCACTCTCGACAGTTACAACTCAATCTTGCAACAGAAACAACAAGTGAAGAAGGATCCCAAATTTGAGAGTCAATTGCATGCGTATGCTCAGCAACGACTCGGACAAGATCAGGTTGTATTTTCATATGGTAAGGACAATAACAAGATTCTGGATGTGGATGATTTATTGAATGGAATCTTTGATATTGATGAGGCAAAGAGAATACGAGCCAACAAGTCGAAAACTACGAATCGACATCACAGTCATCCGCATGGTCATCATCCTTGCTTACTGGATGCTCATCCAATTAGTTCAAGTATCAGCTCTCACAATTCCTTGTCAAATGCCTTGTTTATGAAGGAGCAAATGAAAGCAACCAACAAGACAACACCTCGCGCCATGGAAAGTGCAAACTTCAATCAGCAATATGCTCAGTTTTTGACGAGTAAAAGTGTCAAGTTGATTTCAGATGTAAGGAAAAGCACAGAACAAAATTGTAGAGCTGTTCAGGATGTGTTGTCCTATCAGCAAATGGTCGACCCAGAGCTCAAAGCAAAGGTAAAGAAAAACCTGGAGCTTATGCAAGACTCGTTAGCACAGATGGAAAAAGCACAAGAAAAGAAAACAGAGGAGAGAAAAAGATTGCTGTTGTCGAGAAGACAGCACAGACATTCCATAAAGTGACCAACAATTTTTATTGTCAAGCTTGAGGATCTCACACGGGCTTGCTTACAATTTGGAAACAAAGTCACGTCTCCCATAGAAGTCACGATTCATACGATGGAGATGATTTCCCCAATGATGATGGTGAGCTAAATTACGGGCAGGATGATAGTGAAGAGGCAAAGCAACATGTCTAGATACAAATGCCTCACTAAATGTCTGACAAACGTCATTTCTATATCTGCTGTTACTGGTTGTTGCTTCAGTGTTTCTTGGCATGGGAGCAGAGAGATGAACACTTTTGACACGGGAAACTCTCTCCAAAATAACATTGCAAACTTGGTGAAGATTTAGAGAGTGTCCTTTCATGTCCAAATCGCCAATGCAATCAACAAGACATTGTTTCACTTGTTTGAAAATATCATTGAAATCAAGATGAGATTCTCCATTTGAGTGAAGATCCTCATGTTTGAAATACTCATCCAAGTCCACATTGGAATACTTCCAGATGGCCTGAAGCGGCGTTTGTTTGCTGGTATTCATTTGCAATGATGATTGGTTGCCAGTAATCTCAAATAGTTTGATTCCACTACATAGTTGAGGTTCTTGACCTCTCATTTGAGAGAGATGGGCTTTATAAATCAAGTAGTCACATCATGATCGTCATTCCAAAGTGCGACGTGGTCAACATGTTTAAACAATTCGATAAACTCTTGCAAGAGTTTCACAATCGCAACAACCTACCAAATCGAACAGAATCAGGTTGATTCTTAAAGAAACCATTATTTTCATTGTTCTCGTCCAAATGAACCCACTCGCTCATTTCTACAGTCAAAGCGACGCTATTAATAAATTGTTCAAATTCCTTCAATAAATGTTTGGCCAAATAAATCGCAAAGGCTTCAACCGTTACGTCTTCGTTTTCGATCGGATATGATCGAGCTAACTCGTGAATAACATTCTTTACAACATCGTCTTTTGGGGTAGCACATCCATCTTCTCTCTTTCCATTGTTGTTGAAAAGAGTCTCTACACCTTCCAACTTGGCAATAATTTCATACTAGAACCACACACGGATTGTATAAAAATAACAAATAGAGTCATTCAAAATTCATCATCAACGTTTGGTTGGCAAAAGATGAAATTGAATATATCGATTTGTATTTGAATTATACAATACCAACCTCTACTAGTCCATTCTTGCTATTAATTATTCTAACAGATTGCTTTCTAAACGGAAAAACTGGAGGATTAAATACAGAGTATACAGATTCGTAATTTACGTTGCTTGTTGTGGTAATGGGACGAGAAAAATTTAGCATTCGGTTGAAATCAATTCCGAAAGTGAGGAGAGGGTTTTGTTGATGCGGTACAGAGCGGATGGATGATAACGCTAACGATGTTTTTTTTTATTGGTTTTTTAAAGCATTTTACAAAACCACAGTCAACCCTCCATCAAGGAACTTCTGTAAAAACTTTTAAAGTCTTTCGTGCTGTTTTTCATGCTCTGAGAAGTAATGGTACGCTTGAGGTGTGAAACATGATCCCAATCACTGCTGTTTCCTTGCAGTTATTATCTTTATTGTCTACATTCAGCACCCTCAGTGCAAGTTTTTCTTCACACACTGGGTGAATGATTTATCCACTCATCATTTTTAATACTAAAATCGATTACAACATATTACTTGAAAATTATTAAAAGGAATGATTGAAGGACAGAGCTCCTATAATCACAAAGTTGATGTCTACAGTTTTGCAATATTGCAGATGAAATTCGTTATTCTTGGAAGAAAACCCATATTTTAGCAGTGATTCACATGCGTGGATTTAATGTATTGTTGCATGTTTTGAGAGGTGTGCGGCCAACAATACCATCCGAAACAGACAATGAAATGAAAGAATGGATTGCCGAGTTTATGGTCAATCAAAACAAATCCATCAACCATGTGGAAGAATTATTTGAAGTGTCAAAGCAATACCTGTCTCTCATGAAACAATGTTGGGCAGCAGATTTCAATGAAAGACCAGAATTTAGTGAAATTTGTTCGAGGTTGTCAGAAATGTCTGTGTTTAAAGGATATCAAAGCAAATAAACACCATGTCACAAATTCAAATTTAATTTATGTTTCTATTGTAGAATCCTTTGAATTGGAGTTGATTATTATTCGATCATTGAATTGTTTTCTTTAGCCATAATTATCAACCTGACAAGTCACCCTATTGAATAAAACATTCATCAGCAACTTCTGCTGAATAACTTGCATGTTCAATATCAGTCAAGTCCAATTGAACTCTTTCGTATTTTCTTCTTGTTTCTTGGTCAAAATTTGCAACGGTAACGCTGAACGGTAAAATACCATCCTCAGTTCGATAGTGTGTCGCGTTTTGTCGTTCTTCTTCCTCGTCCTCTTTGAGAGTAAATCCTGGCTCGAGAGAAAATTTCAATGGATAAGCCAGTTCATTCGTGGTGGAAGTACTTGCATTGTTTGGTGTTATTTCAGGGATTTCCCAAGCTGGTTTTGTTGGGAAGGAAATATCTGACAAACCTTCATGATAGAGACGCTCAATATTCCCTGTGTCCTTATCGGCCTCAATCATTAGTGCCAGTATACGTTTTAACTCTCTTTCATCTCCAATAATATAGTGAGTGTCATATTTCGAAGCGACATGATTTGGAGTAAAATCAATCGCCCTTTGTCTTATTTGATTCTTTTCTGTGTCGGTACACATAATTCTGCGTATGTAAAAGTTGGGTTTTTTAGATACTTTCAAGACCATTAGGGCCCAATTTCGATTTCCACTTGGTACTTTTTGGATGTGAATACCACAAATATCTTCGAAACAAATCTCCATTTTTAGACAATAACTGACTTTAAATCTATCCAACTCACTAAAAATGTGTTTTTCCAGCTTTGAATATTGAGGTGGTAATGAGGACGAGCGATTTTCACCATTTTCTATCAATAATAACTCTAGCACTTGCTCAATATCCAAGAATTTAGGTACATAGGTAAAAAATCGATAGTATAGTTTTTTCAACAATGGAGCACACTTGATTCTGCATTGTCCATCATAGAACATGTTTGGAGAGAAAGACGCTGTTTTTTTGGAACAAGTTAAAGATTGTCGGATTGTCACAAAATTTGAGCAACATACCTTTTCGTGTATATCCTTCTGCATCTTCCCATGGACCAATATGTATTCTTCTTAAATAGGCTCCCTCAGTCTTCCATCTATTGAGTTTGTAGAGAGCATTTTTATATCTTCTTTCATTGTATCTAAGATCTGCTATTTGTTGGACTTCAGGATCTGAAGGATCATCGTCTGAAAACCTCATATGTCGTCCTGATGATCCAGTGTCACTATTCGTATCTGTATTTAGGATTGTTGCGGATAACATGTGCATAGTGTCTGTATGAGAGTCCAAGTTTTGGCCATTTTCGAAATTAATGCTTTTAAGACTACCGACCGAAATACCAGACATATCTCCTGTGCTCATGACGTCTATTTCTTCGCTCCATTCAATCATACAACAAGTAAAGATTTTGAACTTTCTTTTTTGTTTGGATTGGATCACAAATTGGGCAACCCGTTTCAATTCTTCGCTACTACTCAAATCTTCTGTAATTTTAAGCTTCTCTAACTCTGCCATAACACACTGTTTCTTTACAAAGTAATTCTCAACAACCTGTTTAAGAAATTTTGAGCTTGGTTGCGCCTCGGAGTATGATTTCAAATGATCAACATTTTCCATATATAACTTTGGAGAAAGTCCTAACATTAATTGAGAAAAGAGTCGTCGTTGTGAAAACTCCCAAACATTGTAAAACAAATTAGATCCAAACTCAATTTCCAATCCATGGCGCAATCTTAATTTTTGCAGCGTTGAAATGACATGTCTATTGGTCATAAATAGATTAATAATTAGAGTGTCCTTGGGTGTCTTTTCACAAATACTATGCTTTTTAACCCAATCCTCTAGATGATACTCTGTGATGAGAGTGGAAAGTGTGGTTGTTCTGTATGGAGCCATTGATTCATATTCTTCCTCTACCTCTTCGTCGTTCTCACTGTCATATTGGTTTGCAAACACCATTGGATTGCTTTCAAGAACATTTAAATTCTCTTCTTGTTGTTTTTGTTGTAAATTGTTGTAATGACTACTACGCGAAGAGCTGATAATTTTTCGGTACTTTTTAGAGGGTGCAAATGCCGGAGGTGGTCTGTGAGAGCCATCACTATCATCATGATCCTCCGAGTCAGACAAGGAGCGAAAGGATAACTCTGTTGATGAATCATCACTTTTCTTTTCTTTTGTAAATTTTCTTTTTTGTTGGGTTAAAAGTTTTCCATCCGAAGAAGAAGTAGGCTCTCCAACAAATTGTGTTATAAAAGGATTGTGGTATCTATTCTCATTTTGCAAAAATTTCAAAACTCCTTCCTCCGATACTGATTTTTCATCCGACTTTCCATCATTCTTATCATTATTTGATTTAAAAAGATTTTCTGTTACAGTTTTTTGCTGATGAATACCATCATCATCCCCACGACGATCATCACGCTGATGGCCATTATCTTGCGGTGTTGTTGGTTTTGGTGGTTGTTGGGGCAGCATCCGTCGACAATTCGGAATTTTTTTTCTTCTCAGAGGCTCAACCGTGTGGTTGCTTGGCGCCCGAATAAAGACTTTTTCGTCCAATTAAAAAAAATGTTGGATTACTTGCTGGCGGCCAACCAAAGAAGTAAACGCTATGAAAAATTGGGTTTCATCGGAGAGGGTACTTTTGGTAGAGTGTATAAGGCAAGAGGTATGGACTATGATGATGGATTTGTTGTATTTAATGATTGTTGTTGGATGTAATATTATAATTGAAAATTTGATAATCATTGATGAAATTTTGATCAACAACAATAATTTTACTAATGATTTAAAATCCTTGTTATGAATCATGAATGGTCATTTTGCTTGGCAGATCTAATTACTAATCAAATTGTAGCAATTAAGAAAATCAAGCTTGGGGTTCTCTCATCGGACTCGATACGAGGTGCTGATGAAGGAGTCTCATTTTCTGCCATTCGTGAAGTTAAATCACTCCAAGAAATCAAACACAACAACATTTTGAATTTATTGGATGTATTTGTAAACAAGAAGAATATTAATCTTGTTTTTGAATTTTGCGGTCTTGGAGATTTGGAACAAGTTATCAAAGAAAGTAGCATAATTCTGCAAGAAAGTGACATCAAACAGTACATGAAAATGATTTTGGAAGCTGTTGATCATTGTCATAGCCATTGGGTTCTGCATCGTGACTTGAAACCATCAAATTTGTTATTATGGAAAAACGAACAAACCAACGAAGTGGAACTGAAACTAGCTGACTTTGTAGGTGTCATTTTGAATTTTAGTGGTTTTATATACAAGCTCTCGGCTTACTTCAAACATTTTCAAAAATTCAAATTTGGATTTAATCAACCATTCATTATTTCGAAATTGAATTTCACAAATTACCATATCACATAGGGTCTTGCAAAAATTTATGGATCTCCTGACAAGAGGTACTCTCCACAGTGTGTGACAAGATGGTATCGAGCTCCAGAGCTTTTATTTGGAGCAGAGCTCTATGGACCAAGTGTTGATCTTTGGAGTGTTGGCTGTATATTTGCAGAATTGATGCTTCGTGTTCCTTTATTTCCAGGTGACTCTGATATAGATCAAATTGGTAAAATATTTGCATGTTTAGGAACACCTTCAGAAGAAGAATGGCCCGGAATGTCACTTCTTCCAAACTACATTGAATTTGAACCATTCCCAAAAACAGATTTTTCAGCACTTTTCACTGCAGCTAGTAGAGATGCCATCGATTTGATAAGCAAATTATTAGTATTTGATCCTAATAAGAGAATTACAGCACAACAAGCTCTCAATCATCCGTATTTCACAAGAGGCGTTCAACCAACAGTCAAAACACATATTCCAGTTCCTAAACGAAAACATGCAGCAGACTCGTATCAGCATCTCTCAATGAATCACGACGATCAAGAGAAGAGAGATTTTGAATCTCATGCCAAAATGTATGGCGATGAATTGATGCGTCCTCCAGCTAATCCCAATATTATTGGAAAAGTGTTAAACTTTGATGATAGTCCTGCAAATACAAGTGGCCTCTCCTCTTATTCTGTGATGAGTCTTGTCGGACCAAATAGTCTAATGAGAGGAAGAGACTCCTTTGGAAGTGTGAACAACAGTAGCATGTTGTCAAATGATGAAGTGATGGGAGAAGCCACCTCAACTCCCCAAGCTCACAACAAGATTTTGATATCTCCGGCTTCCAATTTGTCAAACCTCTCGAATTCTACACAAAAACGAAGTTTTAATGAATCTGGAATTGCCACTCCTGTAGCTTTACATATCGGAGACGAAGTTGAGTCGAATGAGAAAAGAGGAGTAGGTTTGTTTGACGATGAGGAAGTTGCAGATACCGCAAATGGTGAGGGTGAAGATGAGCGTTCTGTAAGAAGAAAGCTTGACTTGTAAACCGCAAGCCCTTCCTTGATGGTCAGTTACTGAACGAACAAACAATTAAGACTAAGAGTAATTTTATACATAAATAAAGTAAATTAAAGATATATCATGTCACTTAAATAGAACCATAACCACCACTTGTGATTGGTTGACTTTCTTGTCTAGATGAATTGGTTGATCCAAATCCAGAAGTATTAACTCTATCATCATCAAATCTAGTGTAGGATGAAGAACGACCACATGTGAATACCATCTTCCAGAATTCATAGTTAGGGAACATCTCAATTCCTCTGTATCCCTTCTTGTATCTGTATCCCATACCACCACCAATGTAAGCAAGAACAGCCAAAAATATGAAAATGAGGATTAAAGAAATAACAAGAGCAGGAACGTTGACTCCGCCTTCACTGATTGGTGCATAAACAACACGTCCGTTAATAATATAGGCAGCCTTATAAGGAACAGAGAGACCATTGTTATCTTGAGCAAGCACGTTGACGAGGTACTTTTGAGATCTGTCAACCTTGAATTTAGCGGTCACTTGTTGAGTGGTGTCAGTAACAGCAACCTTGGTAACCAAGTTACCGCTAGCCTTAACACCACAAACTGTTTGCATGTTCAAAACGCTTTCATCTTGATCGTGACCAATAGGAGCAGTGTAGACAGCGTAGCTCAACAAAGTTCCAGGTGATTGCTTGGATGATGGCTTGGCAGGTTGTAGAATCAAAACTGTTTCACCGTTTGATGTGAGATCAGCTCCGTCCATCTTTGTGTTGAGTACAGATGGTCTAGCATCGTCACCTGTGGTTACATAAATTGAAGAAACACTATCACTCTTGGCATTTCCAACACCAATAAAGAACTTGTCAACAGGAGCTGCATCCACAGAAGCAACTTGGACATAATCGTGTGGATAATCAGATGAGGCTGTGGAAGTAATAGTATCTGCAGTCTGATCATTTGGTCTGAAATGTCTATGAGAAACGTAAATATTTGGAGCAGGATAAACATTGCATGACTCAACATAAACTGTGAGCTTATCTGAGGCATATCTGTTCAATGTTTCAAAGTAATTGTAGGAACCTTTAGTAACAACGAGGGATTGTGGTTGATCCTGACCGAGGAATTTTGGAGCAGAAGCAGTTGCCATGCTAACCTCATAAACTGGATAGCTTCCATCACTTCCAGCTTTGCCATAGACACCAAAGTAAATTGCTCTACCGAAGGTAATCTTGTCCTTTGGTAATGTCAATGTTCTGTCTACTGATCCTGACGAGATAAAGGTAAAGTTTTGAGGAGATGGGTTGATTGTGTAATCTTGGAGAGCATAAACATCGGTGTATCCAGAAATTTGTCTAATGTGGAAAGAATAATCTTGTTTCGAGTCGTCTGCAGTGTATGGGATCCAGAAACTGTAAATAAGTGGGCTACCATCAGTTGGAGCTTTTCCAAGAACTGGCACTCCTTCAGACATCCAAGCAACATATGGGTATGCAGTCAAGCTGATATAGAAATCAGAATCAACATTACCATAAACACCAAAGAACCAATATCCACTCTTGAAGTCAGGATTGGAGTTTTGAATGAGGAATGCATTTCCTGGCCATTCAGTGTTTTGGAAAGTGAAATGAGTGTTGTTGGCAGGAGAGTTATCGTTGGCAATGTACATTTTTGTGCTACCGGAAACAAGAGTTGCAGAAGCAACAAGTGTCTTGATATGAGAGCCAATGTATGCCTTAAATTGAGTAGTCTTTCCTTGACCAACGTGAACAAGATATGATTGACCATTCACATAGATATGTTGATAGCTTGTTCTGACATTGAGTGTATAAAGAATTGGGCGTCCGGTGATACTGTTCCATCCATGAACAGAGATGTAAATGGTTCCCTTTGGTTGTTGTTCAAGAGTCAAGAAAGCATCTCCAAAAGTCAATGCCGTTCCGTCATGGTCTTGTCTGTTTGGTTTTGGATTGGTTCTACTGTAGAAGATAGTAGCACTGGAATTTGCACTGGAAATGTGAAGAGAAATAGAAATAGTTGAAGGAGCAGCAAGTTCATACGAGTAGAAAACATAATCTCTAACTGCAACAGCTCCTGGAACAGTTTCATCATCAACAAGAGCAATAGTAGTATTGGATTGCATAGCCAAAATAGTGAAGTAGTTCACCTCACGATAACCATAAACAGAAATACGGAATCTATTCTTTCCTTTAGCTTTTGGATCATTAGCAGGAATGTGAACAGTATCTTCACCCCAAGAATCACTCATCCAAGTGTAGTTTGTCTTTGTTGGGAAATTTTCGTCATCAGTTGAAACATAAATATCGACATCTCCAATCCATGGGTTAACTGTGATTGAGACATCATTTGTGGCAAAATCAGCAGCTTCAAAGATGAAATGTCTGTAGTGATATTGAGGAACAACATTCCAGAACATGTCAACACCATCTCTCAAAATGCTTGGTACTTGGGAAGAGGAGACGGTGATGGTATAGTCAGCATTAGCAGAAGCAACAACGCCAAAGTAATAGTTGGCACTCTTGGTTGGTGCAGGGAAGATCATGTTAATCAAACCTCCATCCATTTCAGCAACACGTTCATACTTGTCTTGATTGGGTCTGGCATGGAAAGCAGAATATAATTTGACAGAACCTCTCAAAACTCTGACATTGGCAACAACACTACTATCGGTGTCTCCATGAGAATATTTGTAGTAATTAGTTTCACCAGTAAGAAGGCTTGCTCCAAAAGCAACACCATCAGAAAGGATAGTATTATGTTCCTCAGTAGTTACCAAAAGTTCAAATTTGGTATCTCTTGCATAACCATAAGCTCCAATAAACATAATTCTTCCAGCTTGGCTGTCGGCCTTCTCAATTTCAACAGCATCATTTCCAGTTGTTCTTCTGACAATATCATAACTGCTTGTTGTTGGGCAATCTCCCCATCTAATGTAAAGATCTGGATCTCCACGAGATGTCAAAGGAGAGAGACTGACCAAAATACGTTGTTGAACAAGATTTTCATAGGCAAAACAAAGCATTTCACCTGCTTCAACCAAATCAGACATTGGATGGCCCTCAACCACACGAACGGCAGGAGTAAGATGATTTCTCACGAAAATTGTGTAGTGAGTGTTGGAATAAGAGTAAACACCAATGTAGTACGAGAGGACTCCTTGAGTTGCCTCTGGGTCGTGGTTAATGTTAATCAAATCAAATCCATACAAAGCAGAGCTGTACTCGTAATTATATCTGTCTGGTTTGTCAGTCTTTGTAGAAACATAAATATCTGGATCACCATCAACAGGAGTGACTGAAATAGTGATGTTTGTTTTAGCACTTCTTTGCAAGTCATATCTAAAGTAGGTATATGTTCCTCTTTCTGTGTTGGCTTGTTGTGGCTGACCTTCTGTAAGTTGGACAATGGCTGTAATGTTGTGTGAAATCGAAATCGAGTGAGATTGTTCAATCATTGAACGAATTTCGAATATTCATCATGTGCCGTAGCAAAGAGTGTGTGATCAAGAACGAATGTTGGAAGAAGGATTTGTTGTGAAAATCATCGAACGGATCACAACAATAATTGTCAAATTAAAATAATAATCATAACACATAATTATCACTACTTACATTTAGAGCTCCACACGTTGAATACAACTTCAGCCTGTGTATAACCATAAATACCAACATAGAAAGGGTTGTTTCCGGTTGGCCATTTTGATGAATCTCCCTTGCTAATTGTTTGAACCTCGCTGAATGGGGTTTCCGATGAAAAGATACAATTGGTACAATCAGGACCATTTGGAAGACCCACAATACTCACATGGAGATCGGCATCACCACTCAATGATGTAAGCATAAAGGAAACAAAATCCGTATCATTCAAATTTGAAAACAAGGATGGATTTACGCTATAATAAACCCAACCCTTATCGGTCAATGTTGCGGGCACAGAAACACCAAGATTGGTGAATGGAATGACCGTTTGGGCCAATGTATGGGTAGCAGCTACCAAGAGCAACGTCAAGGCAACCACCATCAAGACTGATGATGATGTTTGGTACCGGCGCATCATGATGAGCAACGAAGGTTGATGATACACACGATGAAGATATTTTTTAGCTTCGAAAAATTCTTTTTCAGATTTTTTAGAGCGATATTTGAAGGAGTGATTCGAAGGAGGTCGAAGGAAAAAGGTTGATCTTTAACATGACAAAAAGAGTCCTTGAAAGCCAAATGTTGAATTCAGGAGAGTGAGAAAGAAGGATCTGGTGGGACTTCAAATGAAGTTGTTTAAAGAATTTCCCGAAATGCATGAGAGTAAGAATAGTAGTACATAATTTGGTGTCAATATAATAGTTGGCAAGAATGTTGAAATTGCATCCGCAGTGATTCGTGAATCCTTGTGGAGTTGGAAATCCTCTCTCCCAAAGAACGAAGAAATTTCAACTCACACACAAAATGCAACAACTTTGCACCAATTTCGGACTAGCTGCCAAGTTGGCCGTTCTTCCGGAAGAATTACTTTCTGCCTCGATCAAGTATCCATTCATATTTGATAAATCAATGATACCTCCTGAATTTATGGAATTGCATAAAGGAAGTACGAAAACAAGGTATGCTGAGATGGTATTGTTCCGAACAAACAGTTGATTGATCATCATTTAAAATTTCATTCCAAACGAAACATTTCAAACAATTATAATACAATTATAATTGGAACGATGCTATCTTTTGAATATCTCTGAATTAACTGATTCTTCTTTCAATGATGTTGATGCGAACGGAATAACAAATTGACTCTATGAACTGATTTCATCAAAATTTTCAAATCTTTGTGCGATTGTCATTATTGAATAGCAACTGGCTTTTACCAGGTCATATTGTCATGAGCTCATATCCAGGTGATATGTTATTGGATACAGCCCGACAGAAAATTAGAAACTTTATAGAGTTGGATAAGGTCCGAACTTTTGTTTCATTACAAGAACCAGATGAAATGAAAAGATTTCGTCCATACAGAGATCTAGTCATTGAGGAAGCTCAGAAAATGGGAATTCCAACTGATCACTTTGAGTTTTTGAATTTTCCAATTCCAGATATGGGTGTACAAACAGATGATAAGGGTAGGTTGAACCATGTTGTTGCCAACAATCGAGTTGCATCATGATGATTTTATTGAGATAGTTCATGAATTTACAAATGATCTTGTGGATCGAGTTCAAAATAAGAATCAAGTGATTCTCCTTCACTGTTTTGGTGGACACGGAAGAACAGGTAAGTCAGATTTGTTCTGAAAAACACAATTTTGCATTTTGATAATGAATATACTTTTACATCATTCTCTGAAAATCTTGTTCAATATGATGATAGGAACCATTGCATCCATTGTCATGACCAAGCTTTTCCCTCATTTGAGTGTGAATGAAGTATTGTTGAGAGTTGCTTTGGCTCATGATTCTCGTGAGGATCCAAGAGGCTTCCCTGCACCACAAACTCGATATCAAGTAGAGCAAGTGTATCGTTTTGCTAAAGAATTTAGATAGACTTGAATAGGCTTGAATGTGACATGAGAGAAATTTTGTAAAGTGAAATTGACTTCATGAGTATATACATCAAGATTGAACTTAATTTATTAAACACAGTATGTACATATACAGTTAATTGACCTTAGAGATGCCATATTATTATTCTCAAGAAAGCCATCTCTTTCAAATTTCTACGACGATCTCACTACTTTTGCTTAGATTCGCCTCTAATTCTCATAGCCAATGACATGTCTTTTGGCATGATGGTAATTCGTTTACCGTGGATAGCACACAAGTTAGTATCTTCAAAAAGAGAGACCAAATAAGCTTCGCTTGCTTCTTGTAAAGCCAACACAGCATTCGATTGGAATCTCAAGTCTGATTTGTAGTCTTGTGCAATTTCTCTGACCAATCTTTGGAATGGTAATTTTCTAATGAGCAACTCGGTACTCTTTTGATACTTTCTAATTTCTCTCAATGCCACTGTACCTGGTTTGTATCGATGGGGCTTCTTGAGACCTCCAGTGGAGGGTTGTTTAGCAGCCGATGTTTTTCTGGTTTCCATGTTAATGGGAGTGTCAAGAATTGATGTCACACTGGAAAACACTCACTACTTACTTGGCAATCTTGTTGGCAATACTTTTTCTTGGCGCCTTGCCTCCTGTTGCTCCATAGAATGACTTTCTAGCAGTTGTTTTAGTTCTAGCCATGGTTGACTGTATGGAAACGGAGTATTCTGTTTGTTTGAATGTTTAATGTTTTTTTTGTTTTTGGTTATTCTTGTTGATGAATTTCGAAATTATTCGTAATTAAAGCTTTCACTCGAGAGGACAACCTGAAATTTGTTCGCTTAATATTTGGCATTGTCTTGTAAAGCAACGAATTTTTTTTGGGAGAAGTGCCAACGACCAATCAAAAACGTAAGATACAGCTCTGAATCACGACTTTACAATAAAAGAATTGCCTCAAATTCAGTGTCATCGCACACCAGTGTTCATTTTCGTAATGAATCTTGAGATGTGATGATTTCGAAAATGTCAATTTAGGAGATTGATAACTTTGCTGTTGTTCGTTGGTGTGAACCTCTAGCAAACCACAAATCCATCGATCGCAAACGTTCTTGCGCAGTGTGTGACAAGCATTTCCTCATGGTTCATCAACCTTAAGGTATCTAGCTCACTTTCTCTTTCCATGTACCTTTCAATAACTAGTTCCCTAACAATGATAACTCAAAACGTCTCTATTCAAGCTGCATGTAAGGAGACTTTAGGGATTTAGAAGAGTAAAAAGGAGCATGTTGCATGGAGTGTTGTGAAACATCATCTGTTGATTCTGTCGTTGTTGTCATATTGAGAAGATTTATGCCTGACTTTCTCGACTTGTTATTGAACATTCTAATCAGGCGATCTTCTCTTTCATTTGTAATTTTCTGCATGTCAATATAAACTCCATTTCTATCATCTTTAACAATATTCAATTCAATTCCAATTTTTAAAAAATCATCTCTATGGGAATCTATAAATTGATGTAATCGTTGCATTCGTGTCACAAGATGATGTAAATACTTGATAAACAAAATAAGTCCAATAATGAAAGCAATAATCAGAGAAAGAGTAATTGCAGGTACACAAGTTGTCCAATACGGCCTTGTTTTATCACTCGTTTGATTCAGTAAAATTCCAAATCCAACTCCTAAATTAATAATCAAAGCGATCAATGAAAGGCTCAACCAAATTCCAACAATAATCATTTTCACTTTCCAACTCAATCTCATAAAATAGATATCCGTGAGAGCTCCTATAAATTTAGAATAATCTTTTTTGGTAACTTTGGTCTCCGATAATAAATGTGAGGGATAGCTCGGATTGAAACCATTTCCTCCCAATGATGACAAGTATGTAATTTCAATTTTATGATATAAATGTAAAGAATCATCGGAATGAAATTGTCTGGAATGTCGAGTCGTGAAAGGATCTTGACTGTAGTCAATTATGGAAATTCTCGGAATTGTTGTTGCAACAGAGGCCATCCGAAGGCTCAATTGGCCAGAAGAAGAAGAAGAAGGATCCTCTTTCGTGGTAGTGGTAGTGGTTTCTTGAGAATGAAACAACAAGAAGGGATTTGTTTCTTTTTCTTTCTCAAAAGGTAAAGATATATTCATCATGAGGAGGTAAGATGATGAGAAATTGGGTTGATGATTCTCTAATGAGAGAGGGTGATGAGAAAGGACTGCTGTTTCCGATCCTAGTGATTCTTGAATTTGATAGAGAATTCGAAACGTCTTTTTTTTGAATTATTGACCGTTTCATTTTGATTGTTGTGAGACAATTGACAGGCCCAAAAAGTCACTTGTCGACATGTTTGAGGCCTAAGAAAACCGCACATGATAAGTACTCACAAATGAAGAAAGATGATGAAAAAGTATTCATTCTATCCTGAGTGACGCCAACCAGCAACCAAATCCTAATCGTGTCATTGGAGGAGTAAAAACAAATTTAACAAGAACATACAATACTCAAATTGAAACACTTCAACACGTACAAGATACGTTGCAGCAAACCCAAAAATCCGAGTCCAGTAAACAATAAAAGATGCCAAAACAGATTCTTTGAGGCTTAATAACCAAGAATGAATATTTGGAATAATAAAGTAACGCAATTTATTACATGGTCATTTCCAACATTCAGAACTATGATGCTTCAATGAAAGGCTCACGATTCTGCCTGGCCCTCCCTTGAATCAACGTTTAAAGTTGAAAAAAGGTTTTGATTCTGGTTCTTTCATATCGACCTTTCGTTTTGTTGTTGGTTTGATGACTTGATTCACAAACCCTATCTTTGTTAAAAAATAGTGACGTCGATAAACTGCTCAATATTTTCTCGTCCTTGAATCTGGTTACTCTTACTGCTGTTTACGTCATCATCGTCGTCAATAGCTCCATGTAAGATAGGAAGCGACAGAGAGAACCAGGAACAAAAAAGGCTACAGCACTGCAGGTTCCCAAGTTGTCTCCAACCTCAGTACTGATGCAGCTCGACGACGCTTAACTTCTCAAATCGGACGGGATGAGGTGCATTCATCGTGATATGGCCGTAGCCATTCACTTTCTTAAATTTCTTCTTTTCATAAGGCCATCCATGTACTTTATCACAAAAAACACTGAAGAATTGCCATCGGGAGTATGAACTGAGGAAACTAACTACATGAGGGACCGAGCGATCACCATCTCATCCTTGCTGGTCTCCATCTTTAAGCGGAAACACAGAACCCTGGATTTGCAGGCCCGGAACGATTTCAAATCATAAACAAAGAATTGAGGTCTCTTCTGCCTTTTTCGACACAAATTCATTCGTATCGACTTTGAGCAATACTGGACCTGAACGGAAAATAGCGAGCGAGACCACAAGCAACTGTTTTCGCTCAAAAAAAAATAACGCCGTTGCTCATCTCGTTTTGGGTATTCGGTTACAGTTACATCATCAGACGCATCATCATCGGGATTTAAAAATATTTTTTGATAATTTTCATCATCAATCGTTCAATTATTTGAATTTTGCAAGTCTAGTAATTATTCAAGGAAATCATGGATTTAATGTTATTGTTGATTATTGGTGCCTTTGTTGGAGCTGCCTTTTTTATCTATCGAATGTATACGAGCCAGAAAACCACTAAAAAAGCATCGGGTGAAGAGTATGACACATCATCATCGTCCGACTCAGATAGTGAACCTGAAGAAGAAATTGTGCAAAGAGAATTTACTTTGGAAGAACTTAGTAAATATGACGGAATTAATAACCCAGAGAAGAAAATTTATGTCAGTGTTTGCGGAAAGATATTTGATGTCACTGGTGCTGGTTTCTATGGACCTAATGAAACCTATGATATGTTTGCTGGACACGAAAGCTCTGTGGCATTGGCGAAAAATGAACTTAAACCATCGCTTTTGGATGATATGGACCTCTCCAAATTGAATACCTTCGAAAGAGATCAATTGAACTCGATGTTTTCTCACTTTGAATTCAAGTACCGAGTTGTTGGATGGTTGAAGGAGTTTGAAGAAGCTAACAAGAAGGATAAATAATTGGTGTACATAACATGTTATAAATTATTATTATTCAAAAGTATTTTGACTTTAGTCACATTCATGCTACAAGTTTAATGGTTTAGTAAGCTAATGCAATTACTTTTGATCGGTTGGGAATAAGAACAAAGAAGCAGCAAAGATAATGTCACGACGAATCTTTCTTGATGATTCTTCCATCTTTTGATAGAGATTAATGTCACCAATAATACGAGCAGCATTTCTAACATCTCTTAAGGCTTGGTCAAGTTGAGAAATCGTCCTAACAATGGTTCCTTCGGGTATTGATGTCAAGGCACAAATATCTTTAAACTCTTGACCCATAGCCCATTCATAAGCAACCTCCATCATGGAGAAATTGAGAGTCTTGGAGAGATAATCTGTTGGACTTGTGTCCAATCCATTTTCCATTTGAAGTTGACCCAAACTGAGTGCCAAGTTGGAGACCTTATCTTTCAATTCTTGAAGTCGTTTCGTTAAAGTGGGTTCTTCTGTCTCTCCTCTCGATTGGCAAACAAGGCATGACATGACAGCAACAGCTTCTTCACATGACATGGTAGTAAAGAAGTTTTCGAATATCATTTCAGTCACCAACAATTCATCGCAAGAATTTAACTCACAAGCAACTCTTCCTTTCAACTGAACTGTTTCATCGGCATCAACATATTTCAGTATTTTAAGAACCTTGATTCTCTTTCTCACTTCTGGCATTAATTCCAAGTTCTCATCAGAAAGTGCAAATCTCAACTTGTCAAGACCTTGTTTAATCTTGTACTGTTTGTCTGTCTTGTCAAAGTGTTCAGCAAGCTTTGGACAAATATTGCACTTATTTTCTTGTAATTTTGTAATTAATTGTTGTCTCTTTGAGAGCGCTTCAGAAAAGTCAAGTGATGTTAATTTGAGTTCTTTGATTGCATTGATGGGTGTTGGAGGGTTTTCTTTCCAAAGATTAATTAATTGATTTGCAGCTGCTCTCATCTCTGATGTTTCTTTTGAAGTTCCATTGTTAATCAATTCATCAATGGCAAGTGAGAGATTGAGTTTTTCATTACAAATAGTTAAAATATCCCAATAAGGTGCAATAATGATGGTAGAAATTTCTCCACTCTGAGGCAATAAAATTGGAGAAAATTCTGCAAGCCCAGTTTGTGTTGGTATTGGAATAATTTGCTTTCTCTTTTCAAATGATGGATTCAGTCGAACACCTAAAATTGAATAATACTTTTCGTCACGATTTGTACTCAAAGTCGACGATTCTTGTCGTAAGATGACACCCAAAGTATATCCAAGTCGATATCTCACAACGACTACTCTTCCAAAGGTTGTCAATGCATTAATCTTTGGACTGATCATAATTTCAGTAGTGATTTTTTGATTCACATCTTCGAGCTCTCGAGCCAATGCATAGAATTGATCAATGGCAGGCTCTCCGTTAATACAATCAATTTTTTCAATCTCTGCTAATTTTTCCTTACTCTTCAATAAGAGTTCCTTATTGGGAACAATTCTCAACGTCTTACTTTCAGAGAAACTTCTCTTAATCATGTCTTGAATCTTAAAGTCCTCAACTCTCATCAAATTGAGAATCATATTGTAACTCAGTTTGAACTTGCTCTCAAGTTGAGTTGCTTTTCCAAGAATAAGTCGTTGAAGAAGAGGTTCCTCAGGAATTTCTGAAGCACAATTGATAATGACATTTCCGACGGTGTCGAGACCTCTACGACCAGCTCTTCCACTCATTTGAATGTATTCACCTGGAAGTAAATCTCTCTTGTCCTTTCCGTCGAATTTCCACAAAGTATTGAAGACGACTGTTTTTGTGGGAGTGTTCACACCCATTGCAAATGTTTCTGTGGCGAAGAGAATTTTGATGAGACCCTTCGAGAAGAGAATTTCAACAATTTCTTTCACAATTGGTAACAAACCACTGTGGTGAATACCTATACCACGTTTCAATAGCTCTGAAATTCTAATAATTTGTGGCAACTCCTTGTCTGTACCTTTTAATCGAGAGATGGATTGAGAGATGAACTTGTGAATTTCATTCTTTTCACCAGGTTCATTGAGATCTGTATTTTGGAGACTGACAGCAATTTCCTCACATTGCTTTCTGCTGAAAACAAAAGTTACAGCTGGTAATAAACTCTTTTTGTTGAGTGTTTCAATAAGCTTTGCGTATGGAGTTTTCTTAAAGCCTCCCTTGTTCTTACTCTTTTCTTCCTTTTCTTCTTGTGCAGTGAGAGCGCTTCTATAACCTGCACTGAGAAATTTTGAGGTGGAATCCACAATTTTGTAAATATTTCCATTGTAATAGAGATGATGTTCAAGAGGAACAGGTCTTTTCAATGTTTGAATGACATGGATTGGCTTCTTTTTAGTTCGACCAACCCAATCAGCAAATTCATAGGTATTTGGAATGGTAGCAGAAAGTAAAATGAGATTGATATGCTTGGGAAGCATAATGATCACTTCCTCCCACACTACACCTCGTTCAGGATCGTTCACATAATGGACTTCGTCGAAAATAACAAATTCTACGTCTCTAATTAAATCAGCTCCTTTGTAGAGCATGGAGCGTAAAATTTCTGTTGTCATAATTAAGCAAGTGGCTGTAGGATTAATTTGAACGTCACCTGTCAAAATACCAACATCACCAAATGTTTTCTTGAATTCACGGAACTTTTGATTGGAAAGTGTCTTGATTGGACTTGTATAAATAACTCGTGTTAAATGTTTCTGAGCTAATGCAATGGCATATTCTGCTACCACTGTCTTACCAGCTGAAGTGTGAGCTGAAACAAACACACTTTCATTATTTTCCAAGTGATAAATGGCTTCCTTTTGAAAAATGTCTAAATCGAAAGGATATTGAATGGCCATTTCTGGAACCATCTGTTTAAAGTTGCTAACATCAATTCTAGTCATGATGGCATATTCATTGTCTTTTTGCTTTTTTCCCTGTTTTCTAATGAATGAGCTGAAGAGAACATCTTCATCAGCTTCTAAAAGATCATCAATGGTATCTTTTGCCTTTTTTTGAGAGGGGACAATGATCTTATTACCATCTTGTTTTGATTCCATATCCTGTTGTGGAGGTAGGGAGACTGGTTGTTGTTGTGATGTTGTTTCTTCAGAAACCTGTCCACTTTCCTCAGTGCTGCCAAAGACATCCTCACTCAATGTTGATGAAAAAATGTCTGTGAAATTTACAAGCTCTTGCTTTTTAGATTTCATTTCCTGTCTTCTTCTTAATTCTCTCTGCTGTTCTACCGACATGAATACTTCTCCTTCATTTGAAAGATCATAATTTGAAATGTCTTGTTTATAGGCGTCGAGAAGGCCTTGTTGGTTTTTACCGATAGTCATCGCCTCAATGTCCAATCGCTCGTCAGCATTATGATTTTCTTTTTGTTTTGTAACAGTCTGTTTGGCTGATTGGAAAAGACCATGCTTGAAACCAGGAGGACATGATTCAATTCCATAAATAGCCTCCATGTTATTTTCACTTTGCAACTTGAGTAATTCTAATTCTTCTTGAATGGATCGTTCAAAAATGTTTGAATGAGGTTTTTCTTGAGCATTGTCAACGGCTGCATCTCTGGAAAGAGCCAATTCAATGCCCTTCTCTTCTTCTCTATCAATACCACCAAACTCAAATGGCACATTGTGACTATTTCCTCTAACAAAGTCTTTACTTGCAGCTGGTTGTCTCAACAAGGATGTAGAGGTTTTTGAAGTATCGTTGACTTGTGGCATGTACACTTCTTTACATTCTTTGATTTTTCCTGTGAAAGGATCTTTAAATGTCTCGATCACATATTTTGGCTTTGAGACTGCAAAAGAGTACAATTCGTTCGGTTTAAATAATCTTGGGAAAATTCTATAATCTTCCTTGTCGTTCTCCAGCTTGGGTGTTAGATAATTTTCCTTCATAAAATTCGATGGTGATGGATTTGGTGAGAAGGGAATATGAGTGGACGAAAAGGCTTCCTTGCCTTGTTGTTCCGCTTTCGCAAAATAGACTTCGGGATGATGTTGAAATCCAACATTAAATAAAGTTACATCACCCACAATTCCTGTTCCTTTGATCTGGAACGGAATTTCGCGAGTGGTGTGTTTCGGATGTTCATACACTGTTTGGTCAATCTCACGAAGCAATTCGTCAATAGACGAAGCATCAACTTTTAACATTTTTTTTAAATATTTTTTGTTTTGCAAGAGATCCTCATTCGATTTAATCCTTAATTTGTTGTTTTTTCAATCACATTCATCCTGAATATGACGTATATCCAAATAAACATGTTCCATCACATAATCTTTTTCTGTCCATTCTCACCATTGGTCAATAAATACTTTGCCTCTGGTAACACTCGATTCTTTGAAATGCAGTCTTTCAGCCATTGAGGGGTGACATACTTGACATGAGTATTGGTAATGTGCTTCTTTTTTTCCATTCGTTCAACCTTACTATTCGGAAGATTCGAAGCAATCACATGTGTGAGGTTTCTTTTTCGTGAGGGGTTTGGTCTGTCATGATTAATCACAACCATTGAAAGCGATTTTGTCAATAATTAAACATCTTGTTGTGAACACTCTGAAAAACTTACAACACGATTGCTCCATGAATAGTTGCCAGCTTGGTCAAATGATACTGGGAATGTATTCCTTCTCCTCGAATGCTATTGAAAAAGAAGACCAAGCCTTTGAATAATTGAGCATTGATGACCACTGTTGGTTCATGTTGGTGGTTCTCCTCATTATTATTGTGTGTGTTTGCAATGTTCTCTTTCGGAGCTTGAGTGATTGAAGTAGTCTTGTTTTCCTTCTGCTGGATGTGAGTATTATTCGTATTATTATGATTGGACACTTGTTGATGCATCATAACGACTCGCCCATATATTTCAGTATTCGTTTTGTTCATTGCCTGATGTTGAGCAATTAATTTACGAGTTCTTGTTTGCCAATAACCTTCTTCAGAATGTGATTCCTCACCAGTCTTGCTTTCAATTTGTCGTGATGAAGTATCATTAATTGTCGTTGTTAAAGATGATGATGATGATTTCGAGGTGGTGGGATAGGGCCATTTCGCCAGCTCGGAAGCATAATGTCTGCTTCTTCTTCTTTCCCTTAAGATCTTTCCTGAATGAAAAAGCTTGGGAGGATTTGTATGATATTCTTCATCGTTGCTGTTGCCAGTGGTGATGTTGGTGTTGTTGTTGTTGTTGGGGAGAGAGGACATTCATGGATTTTCTTTGTGAAGAGAAAGTGTGGAAGACTCTTCGAGCAACCTCTCGAACAAAAGAATGAAGAATTCTCTCCAAACACTCTCATCACCTAAGCGGAAGGTTGTTCTTCATCATTACAAAGCTTCTCAAATCACCTTAGCTTCTCATGTTGAATGCAGAACAAAAAAATCATTCAATCCTATATTAGTACAAGTTTATCTAATTCATTCTTGTCAAGGCTTGTCAAGGACCATTTTCCGAATTCGCGAACGTACGCCCATTTAAAAAAAACAGTCAACAACAAGATTAAAGAGCTTGTACATTCAAATAACCACATCTGATCGCTCTCATTTCACGTTGTGGTGATTACGTGAATCATTTAACAACAACAAGTCTTTTGCAAAGATTATTGCTCTCATTACAATCTCTAATTTTGAAGAATCTCTTTTCAAGTGTTTCTTCTCTCTCTTTCATCAACAATCATTTTTCACACACTTCCAGAGACACACAATATTCAACCACCTTTCGAAATCTTTGATTTCAAAAAACATTGCGGATAGTAACAAGCAGCATCCAGCGATAGCTTCTTCTCATTGTTTCCAATTCAATAGTAAAATACTCATCTCACACCGACGTCGGCTGTCCTCCTCTCCAATATTAAAAATCCATTCTCACCTTTCTTTGAAGAAGAAGAAAATAAGAAAAACTTTTTTCAGCTGGCAAGCTTGCCTTGGGTTTTCATTGTTGTTTCTCTCTGAGTTACTACCGGTAGTGGCTGTTACATCATAGAGCTTCTTTCCAACATTCCTTTTTATGGACACTCACTAATATTTATATAACAAATGACTAGCCTTCCTCATCTTCAACAATTTCTTTCTGCATCAGCTCCAATAGGCTCCTCCTCTTCTCCAATTATGATGGCTCACAATCCGCATCGAATACGAGGAGTAGGTATTGAATTTGATACAGAGTTCAATATCGGAAGTATGGAAGAGGATCATCATCATCACCACTCAGAAGAGGTTGACCCCTTCCAACAACCAGAAGTAGATTCAACCTCTTGTTCATATGACTCTTCCTCATGCTCTTCCTTTTCTTCCTCTTCCTTGTATCCTTCTTCTGCTTCCATGGCCATGATGCATCAACACGGAGTCAATGTTCAAAGCTATCGACACTTTCATGGTACGAGAGGAAGTCGATTCCATTCCTCCTTTGATTCTGTGCTCTCGGATCAACAACATGACTTTTCAGATTCTCCTTCTACTGCTGGTGGTGCGTTATTCCTTATGGATGGTGACCTGGGTCAACCTGCACACGATGATCAACACAATTACAGAGAGGAGTGGATAACTACCACTTTCGAGGAAGGGACTGCAACGACCAATTCTTCCCGTCCTTCGAATTCATCATCTTCTGCACAGAATCAGAACAGAATCAGAGTAGCAGTACAGCCCATCATGAAACACCACAGTACCAATCTTGGAGCCTCCAAGAAGAAAGTTTCCTATTCTCTGAATGATTTTGAAGAAGAGAAACCAAGTGGATTGTCTGAATTGGAACAATTGTTTGCATCTCGAAAGGCTTTCAATTCTCTCTCGAAAAAGTACTCCACTGATAATTTAATCAAAGAACAACAACACAGAAAGATGAACAAGAATAAGACTAACATTAGTAGTGGACAACTCAGTAGTAGCAGTTCTGCTATCAATGGTAGACAGGGTTTGAATTCTCCCTTGCTGAGTACGGGATCTGTGTCCTCTTCATCGTTATTGGAGCCATCTTCTTCTCTGATTCGAGTATCAAGGTCAACTCCTGAGCTCTACGGTGATACATGCATTGATTCTTTTCAAGACATTAAGAAAATTATACAAGCTTATTATGAATATGAAACATTCATGGAAACAACCGATGGACGAGAAGAATTGAGGCAATATCTAACGAAAAGACATAACGAAGAGGTAAGTAGTGATTAATGGTTTAACAATATGCTTCAATGACTCGTTTCTTGTATCATGTTCATGATAATATAATAATACTATTGTGTTCGCTCTCTGTCTGTTGGTCCACAATGTAATGCATTTGTATTTTGATCTATTCCCTTTTATTGATCACCACTCTTGGATTTCAATGGCACATCCTTCACTCTTGCATTGATTCAACCTCACTTTAGCTACTGCTCATGTTGGAAACACGTATCGCGTTCCTAAGTTTTTACGACTCTGATTATTATAATGATAGGAGAGGTCTGTTAAAAGTGAAAGAATTTCAAATGATTTATAGCCAATTCATTGATACTGACTCTCAATTCTGTATGAATATTGACTCGGCCATTCGAAACAAATTTGTCAAACTAAATCCACGCGTGGCACAAGTTACTAACGAAGATGAAGCTATGGCTATTGCCAATGATATTGACGATTGTTTGGATGTTCTACACTTTTCTGTAACTCTTCAAATGAAGACTGAAATATTTTCTCAATTCAAGAAAACGGAAGAGTTCCAAACTTTCATTCTCTCCAAAATTATTGAGCTACAAGGAAAGAAAACATGGGACGATTTGGAGAGACAATCAAGCCCGTTACTGGGATCTTCTCCACAAAAGCCTTCATCGGGAGGTGGATTCTTCTCACTATTCAAAAAGAACAAACAGCCACAAAATAGTATCATCAAACGATTTGAAGAAAAATCAATTGAGGAATTTCTTATTGAAAATGAGCTGTCGGAATACTGTAGCCAATTCAAAAAGAAGAAACTCAATAACATGATTCAAATTCAAGATTTTACTTGCGAAGATTATTTAAAAGTTGGTGTTGTTAAGGGATCTCACCAGGCACGATTGGTGCGACTGGTTGGGCAGTATTTCAGAAGTTATTGTAAACTTGGGTCCTCATTATCGTAAACGACAATGTCACGTCAGATATTCGAACGGTTTATATTGCCGCATAATAATAATAATTGAATAATTTCGGCATTCCTTTTCTACCCTTCAACCCTAGCGTGATATTTCACATAGTTTTCACAATGTAAATTAATAAACCCTCCACAAACAATGCCAAGTTTGCATCTATGCATGTCATTCTTTTCATCAGCAAAGATGCGCTTTTATATCACGATTTCAAATTCCGTTCTGACATTCATTGAATTTTGCCGTCCTTTCAGAAGGTCCTTCCAAACTCATCATAATCGCTTAGTTCAGCGCATTTGACGTATTCTGAAACAGGGTTCCATCAACACTGTTTGTTTTCCTCTTTCCGCTTGTTGTTGGACAAACTTTAAGCGCCAGTTCTATAGCACGCCTCACATCTTCCATATAAGTGTTTTAACAGCGAAAGGGGTTTAACAAATTTAAAATTCGGCGTGGATACTGAATTGAGCGAGAGAAGCCTTACACAAAAACACACCCTATTCCATAATAATGCGAATTTCTGGTGATGCTGTTGTTGTTGAAGGGTCTTGGCATCCCATCTCAAAGAAAAAAGACTTCCTATTGCCACACAGCATATCCGTTATTGATTCTCTTGAATCTCATCAGACCACAACAACTAACTCTCACAAAAGAGAGGAAGAGACTCCATAACAATCCATCTCTCCTTGAAGTGCTTCATTGTGTGTTCCTGTAATAACATACTTCGGTCTTCCATTGAACAAGTCAGACTCTGGCTACAGTCCTGAATCTCCTCAACAACAAACACTCACCAACGAACGCATCATGTCTTCGAGCAATACGAGTAATACCACTTCATCCACAACAAGCTCTCCAGAGGAACCACTTTGCGCTGCCAGTACAATCAATGCTTCCATCACTACCACCACCATTTCAAAGCCTGGCTACTCAGCACCTCAACAACAACAAACCACCTCTGTAATTTCCAATAACGATGAAAGTGCCAAATTTGCCGAAAATAATAACAACGGCCAGAGTGCCCTCTCGATTCCTGTCATCTCTGAACCAGGGGAAGGCTCAAAAAAGACCTCATCAGCAGCTGCTGATCCTGCAACCTCGACGTCGTCCACTCTGAAATCGAGATCCAAAATGAACATTTTAGATGATCATCATCATCACGAAGATGAGCATGCGGAGGACTTTCATCATGAAAAACTCCCTCTCACCTCCAAACAAAGTACAAGCTGCTCTCATCATGCCTTTGACGATCATGAATTGGAACGAACGCAACAATTATTGGAGACGGCTATACTTTCCATCATTCATAAATACAACACCGATGCCACCAAACAACAACAACTTTTGCAACAACAAACCCAAGTACCACAACCCAACTTTCCTGTACCTCTTCCTGTAACTCTTCCTTCCATCACGACCATCAACTCTCCTATAACATTGCAAGAAACAATGGCTCTTTCGGGTGAAAAGAAATCTAAGGAATCCCTCGACCAAACCATTATATTGGCTCTCTTGTCTGGAGTCTTTGTTGCGTTTGGAGCCATTGCTTCTTTTAAGACAGGAGGAAACATGCCGGGATGGGATGTTGATAACCCAGGCTATGGTAAATTAATATTTTCTGCTGTGTTTACTGTTGGACTCATGCTTGTCATTGTTTCTGGAAGCGAATTATTTACTGGTAATGCGATGGTCATGATTGTGGCCATGCTTCGAAAGAAAGTGACAGCATGGCATGTGGTCAAAAATTTGTGTCTTTCGTTGGCTTTTAATGTACTGGGCGCCTTCATGACCATTTACTTTTTCATGTATCTTCCAACCACGGAAAAAGAGCTACACACTCCAGCTGGTTTTGTCACTTATGCCAAAAAGATTGGAGAATCTAAAGTCTCAAAAGGAGCAGGCGTAACCATTTTACTGGGTATTGGTTGTAATTGGCTTGTTTGTTTGGCCGTGTACATGACCTATGCCTCGAATGTGCTTGTGGACAAATTGGTTGGTTTATTCATGCCCATCTTGGCATTTGTTGCAGGAGGATACGAACATTGTGTTGCCAATGGTGCCTTCATTCCTTTAGCAATGCTTTATGGTTCTGATATTACCATGTATGACTTCTTTGTGGTCAACTTGATGCCTGCCACTCTTGGAAATTTACTTGGAGGAGCAATTTTTGTTGGAATGACATTCTGGTACACCCATGGTGTGAGAATGGAACACTTGTACTTTTTTGATGAACATTTTACATTGAGAATGAGAGCTGCCATTGCTCAACCAATTTTGAATGTGTGGGATCGACTTCAAAAATTCAATCCATTCCTGAAGAAGGAAGAAGCCATCATCTCTGCACAGAATATTGAGCTGCCTGATCATCGAGTGTAATGTGACAATGTTATAATTGTATATAAACGAAATGATCTTAATGTAAGCTACCGATCTTCATGAAAAAAATATTTTCAAAAGCACTCATCAACGCATATTCTCGTAATCAACCTTATCCTCTCCGTTCGATTTTACAGGGCTCTTCTACGACTAGTACTCAAAAATTCATTAATTTAACATCGACTCGAAATATCATGAAGCTGATTGATATCGGAGTAAATTTATGTGATGACATGTTTAAAGGAATTTACAATGGAAAAACAGCACATGAATCCGACATTGAACAAGTGATTCAGAGAGCCATTGATAAACACATCGATAAGATGATGATTACTGGCACATGTATGCAAGATATTCATGAAGCTATTGAATTGATTGAAAAATTAAAAGATAAATTTCCAAATAGATTATATGTCACTGTCGGAGTGCATCCGACGAGATGTTCAGAGTTTACAGAACAAAATGATATTCAGCATCGGAATGAATTGTTGGAAATTATTAGGAGACATAAGGAAATTGTAGTTGTAAGTGTGTGTGGTTATTTGGAGTGATCGAATGATCGATGGATACTATTCCATAATGATCAACAAAACCAGGCCGTAGGAGAATGTGGCTTAGATTATGATCGTTTGCAATTTTGCGACAAGGAACACCAAAAAAAGTATTTTGAATTTCAGCTTGAAATTGCAAAAAAAACCAAATTGCCACTCTTTTTACACAACAGAAAATCGACACATGACTTGTGTGAAATTTTAAAGAGACATATTGATGAGTTGGGTTTATTTGTTGTTCATAGTTTTGATGGTAGTGTGGAGGAGCTAAAAGAACTGCTTTCTCTTGGAGAAAGGGTTTACATTGGGATTAATGGATGCTCCTTGAAAACAGAGGAAAATCTACAAGTGGTTAAGGAAATTCCTCTCGACAGATTATGTATTGAGACCGACTGCCCTTACTGTGAAATTAGACAAAGTCATGCATGCTGGAAATTACTTCAAGACAGCAACCCTTTTACTTTTGAGGCCAAAAAGAAAGAAAAGTTTGAAAATGGCTTTCATGTCAAATCACGGAACGAACCTGACAATTTGATGTAAGTTTTAAGTATCTATATATATTCGCTTGATAAAAATAATTTCGAATGAATGGTATAGTAATGTCTTGAAGGTAATTGCAAAAATTAAGCAAATTTCAGAAGAGGATCTTGCAGAAATCACCTACAACAATACCATGAAAGTGTATTTTCCTCACCTGCTCGAGCAGTGAGTAGAATTTATAAATACAAGCTATTTCTAAATTGTGAATGTTATTTCTTGATAAATTTTGAAAGCTTTCTTGTTATTTCTCCATAAATTTGGTCATTGTTTTTAATTCTCTCGCTGTATACAGAGTTAGGGACCTTGGCAGCTGCTTGTCGTAATTTTGAAATAAATAGCTCATATTTGTCGTCAACCAATTTTGTAACCAATATGGAACAAAAGAAACTTTGGGATCCACGCTCTACAGAAAGTATTAAATAATATGATATACTATTCAAGTATCGTTTCTTACTTACAGCAATAAGCGAGATATGACACGAGTGTTCCGATGTCATTCTAATTAAAAATCCAGAATAATCGATATCCACTCTGACATGTTCAGAGTTATCATACTTGGATATTATTTCTGCGTTGTCGTGGTCCTTAGTGGCTCCTCGAATCACTACCAAAATTGATGGATCTGCTTCATAATCAGATCTATCCACAACAAAGGCATATGTAATTGAATCTCTTGAAGACAATGGCCACGGAAGTGAAAAGCTAAAATATGACAAGAATCTAAAGCGTGACAATTTCATATTGGCCTCGTCATGGCTGTCACCCAAATATTTAATGACTCCACAATTATCTAATTGTGGAACCCATTCCTTGTATAAATCAATTTCATACAAGATGCTTAATAAATTAAAAATTGGTGCGTCAATCTCTCCTTCTATTTTAATCACATGCAAGGGAGCATCATCGGTGGCACCATCTACATGACCACTATTTGTTCCTGATGTCCCAAAATATTTTTGTGAAACTTGTCCACTTCGTTTATAATATGTTTTTGCTCGATCTTTATCTACACACAAATTCCAACCATCTGAGCTATTAAATTCATGAAGAAGCATTTTCGCTAGCGCCCCATCTCTATAAATTAATTGCACAGTTTTCAGCTCATTCGGATCCAATTGGCTCTCAGCTAAATCCTGATCCGATGATGAATCATTTAATTTGCAAGTAAATGTTTTAAAATTCGGACCAAATGATGGCTCAGTAAATCATGAGCCTCCAAAACCTTTTCATTTTCAAAGAGATGAAATGCTTCTTGCAACTGTTGCTTCATTTTTTCGTCACTGCCATAACCCGTTTGTTATTCACTAAACCCATTCCTGAATTTTTTCATTGCTGCCCTCTCCCGCGAGATCGCTGTTTCTCTGAGCGCGATGCCAAGCTAGTTTCGTTGAGGAAATGGTCTTTGGTTGGACAAGAATTAAGTCGATTATCCAAGTGAATCTCAGCTCACCCAGATAAACAGGTTGAATGGTTTGGGTGGCAGATCTTGAAGTAGAAGGTGGTGGATTCTGATTATTTGGTCAGTTATTGTGTCCTGAGGTTTTGGTTTTGATGAAACGGTTAATTCCCGCTTTAAAAAAAATTGTACATTGAAAACACACCATCGTACATGAAAACCTCTACCACCACCACCACCACCATCACCACGACTGATCAAATGAAACAGTGCGTTGCTTCCACTCAGGGGATTGCTTCCTCTACGTCTGCATCAAATGGTTCGGAACAACAGGGTGAGGCAACTACTAATGCCCTTCTTGATGACTGTGGTTCAGATTTGAACAAGTCGTGTCCTTCATCGGATCAAATCGCAATCTTGAAAGGCATCAACCAACAACAAGATTATCCTATTACTCATTCAAAAGTTTTTATCGGAAGAGATCCAGTAAATTGTCAAGTATGCTTGGGGAATGATTCCAGCGTTTCGTTTATTCATGCTCAACTGGAGTTTCTGGAATTCAACCATGATGAAAAAAAACCGAAAATATGTTTGGTTAGAGATCTTTCCTCAAAAAACGGAGTTTATGTCAATTCTGTTCGTTTAAAAAAGGGATCAAGTTCAATAGTAAAATCAGGAGATGAATTACGCTTTGGACATCAAGTATTTAAATTGGAAATTGTTGAAAAGGAAGTGTCAGGTACTGTTCAAGACCAAGATGTCAACAGTACATCGACGAAAACAACGAATTCCCCATCATTATGCAAGGAAAATACAATGTTTGAAACAGATTTTGAAGTCAGTGATTGTGTTTCATTCTCAACGAAGGATGATTTCCCTCTCACTCATGATGTTTACACACATTCACTTATTGATGAGGAGATTCGACAGCATGGGAAATTTAAAGAACAACTTTTCGATCGTATTATTCAACTTTCGTACGAGCTTTCGAACAAGGTCAAGTTGTTGACTACCTGCAGTGACTCACCATATGAAAGAAACAATACACCTTTCGCAGTATTGAGCCCTCTGAATGATCTGCAAGAATGCATTGACAATGCACTGTCAGAGACAGTTTTTGAGAGGAGGAAAGATGTCGAAAGCAAAGAATTGAAAATATATGCCAACAATTTAGAGAAAAAACTAATTCATTACAAAAAAGAGGCTACAAACAACGAGAATAGATTCAAGCAACAAAAGAAACTAAATCAGCAAATTCAAAATGAAATGGAGAGAGTTGTGCAAGAGCTCACGTCTTCCTTACATTCATGTCAAGATGAACGTTACTCCCTCAAAAAACGCATTTCCAAAGATAAGGACAAGCATGAATGCATGAAAAACGAGATGGACATTTTGAAATACAAATTAACATGTGCGGAGCAAGAATTGCATCAACTTCGAAAATCTAATGCCATGCTAAGAGACCATCTTTTGAAAGGACAAGAGTACTCAGATTGCCTGCATCAGGATATGATTCAAGAGTTATCCAATCAAGTTCAAAAGACCATCAACCAAACAAGAGATATCCACAAAAGTAATAGTCTTGATGTTTTCAAAGGAACGCAAGAGGAGTGTGAATACTCTGAGCTGTTGAATCATGGACCTCTCAACCAAACCATTAATGGCACTGGGATTGTTGAACAGCATTATCACCACTGGATGTGAAAGTAATAAATCATACCTGTTATAAGTAATAAAATACTGGAGTATGCCTTTATGATGATTCAAAGAGGTGAAAATAGGATGTTCATTAGTTCACACTGTGAAACAAGACACCTATTCTAAAATCAATGAACTAGCCGACCAAGCAGCTTACAAAGGAAGACAGGGATGTACAATTGTAACTCAATTACTTATCAATTACAACACATGGTTCGTCACAATTAACAATACACTAATAACACAAGAAAACTTATCTACTCTCACTTATCGATACTCAATCAGTCACTTACAAGAAAATACACACTAAAACATCTACCCCGAATAACAGGAAATTCAACCTCATTTACCCTAATCATTTGAAAGTCCACATGTTCCAAATGTCATTGATTCTTCTTCCCCTCAAAAATAGTTCTGAAAAAACAGATAAAGTCTTTTTACCTTGGACATATAAATGTTGTTGGAAATTTATGCATAAGAAAGGTGAAAGCATCTTGTAGTGGTGGTGAAGTTATCCATCTTTGATCTGAAATCAAAATAAGAGATCCTCTAGAGATAATGGTTTACGTGTTTTTGGTGGGAAAATGATGTTTTTGAACGCATTCGCTTCTGAGAAGTAATTCACAACCGTTTCAAAGTCTTTACAAAGAATTTATAGTCCATCTAGTTAATAGTTAACTTTCTCTTTTCAGATTCATGTTCCTATAAATTCAAAACAATATCACAAAAGGCTGAATCAGTACCACACATCTTTGTCAGTCCATCCTTAATTTCATCTTTGATGGTTTTATCCTTTGTGTCATGAATAAAGCATTGTAAAATGACAAGCCCAATAGAAAACATATCGCTTTTTGGAGAGATTAAATCATGTTCCTCTCTTTCTGGAGCACGATATCCTGGAGAATGAGACTTTGATTTTAAGGGAATGCCACCATCATGTGTGCATTTCCATTGGAGGTTTGATATTCTTCTTTGTTATAATCGAATCTCCTTGAAATTCCAAAATCAATCAGAAAATAATGATCGTCATATTTCACAATATTTTCAGGTTTCACATCATTATGAATCAGTCCTTGTCTTTCGAGAAATGAAATTTGACACAAAATGTCTCAGAGGCATTTTTCTCTTAGGGCGAACGGGGGTTCGGGCGGGCAAAATATTTCTAGTTGTGGATATCCAATTTCTATTCTATATCATAAAAACATCGTTTTGCCCTTTAAGGAAAGTTACGAGATGATTGTGACTGTATTTCATTTGACCAATGATCAGATTGATTATAATGATGATGTTAAATTGTCTCAAAAAAAAGTATTTGAAATTGTGCCAAATTGGGATATGTGATTCATGAAACTTGTGGATGCAATTCTCTTTGACTCTCTCAGAGAAACAGAATAAACATTGATTCGAAGCAAAAACGAAGAACCAATTCCCAACAACACCCCTCTCAGTTGAAAACTTTCGACACTCAAGATAAAATAGTAATGTTCGTTTTACCCGCCAAAATATTACAACCGCATCTCCCGCATACAAAACTGTCCGAATTTCATATGCTGGAATACAACGTTCCCACCCATCGTAAATAACATGCCCGCCAAAAACAAACCATTTAAATGCCGCTTTTCCCACCATACAACTCTCTCTTCAACACACAAAAAAAAAGCAGCTTCTTCATTATAGAGAAAACGCTAATTGTACACTCCCATCTCCTAAACAATTTACAAATCTAACTAAGAATGAGAGAAGTTATCTCAATCCATATTGGTCAAGCTGGTGTTCAAGTCGGTAATGCTTGTTGGGAACTCTACTGTTTGGAACATGGTATCCAACCTGATGGTTTGATGCCATCCGATAAGACTATTGGTGTTGAAGACGATGCTTTCAATACCTTCTTCTCTGAGACTGGTGCTGGAAAGCACGTCCCAAGAGCTGTCTTCCTCGATTTGGAGCCAACCGTTGTTGACGAGGTCCGTACCGGAACTTACAGACAACTCTTCCACCCAGAACAATTGATTACTGGTAAGGAAGATGCTGCTAACAACTATGCCAGAGGTCACTACACCATTGGTAAGGAAATTGTTGACTTGTGCTTGGACAGAGTTAGAAAGTTGGCCGACAACTGTACTGGTTTGCAAGGCTTCTTGGTCTTCTCCTCTGTTGGTGGTGGTACTGGTTCTGGTTTGGGTGCCTTGTTGTTGGAAAGATTATCTGTTGACTATGGTAAAAAGTCCAAGTTGGGTTTCACTGTCTATCCATCTCCACAAGTTGCTACTGCCGTTGTTGAACCATACAACTCTGTCTTGTCCACTCACGCCTTGTTGGAACACACTGATGTTGCTGTCATGTTGGACAATGAAGCCATCTATGATATTTGTAGAAGATCCTTGGACATTCAAAGACCAACCTACACCAATTTGAACAGATTGATTGCTCAAGTCATTTCCTCATTGACTGCTTCATTGAGATTTGATGGTGCCTTGAACGTTGACGTTACCGAGTTCCAAACCAACTTGGTCCCTTACCCAAGAATTCACTTCATGTTGTGTTCTTATGCTCCTGTTATTTCTGCTGAGAAGGCATACCACGAACAATTGAGCGTTGCTGAAATTACCAACTCTGCCTTTGAACCTGCAAGCATGATGGCCAAGTGTGACCCAAGACATGGTAAATACATGGCTTGTTGCTTGATGTACAGAGGTGACGTTGTTCCAAAGGACGTGAATGCTGCTGTTGCAACTATTAAGACTAAGAGAACCATTCAATTTGTTGACTGGTCACCAACTGGTTTCAAGTGTGGTATCAACTACCAACCACCAACTGTTGTTCCTGGAGGTGACTTGGCTAAGGTTCAACGTGCTGTCTGCATGATTTCCAACTCGACTGCTATTGCTGAAGTCTTCTCAAGAATTGACCACAAGTTCGACTTGATGTATGCTAAGAGAGCATTCGTCCACTGGTATGTCGGTGAAGGTATGGAAGAAGGTGAATTCTCAGAAGCCAGAGAAGACTTGGCTGCCTTGGAGAAGGACTATGAGGAAGTCGGAACTGAATCCCATGAGGGTGAAGGTGAGGACGGTGAAGGTGCTGAAGATCAATAAATCTCTTAAATCTTTCAAATTAACGTAAAGTGAATGTCTGTTTGAAATTCCTGCGTCATGAACCCTAAAGGTGGACTGGTCGTGTTGTGAGACGATCCAGCCATTCTTGATCGGGTTGATAGTGCGCATTTTTTAAACATCGAACGCGCTTTCAAAAATCTCAGACCAGGGGAAACTTTTTCGGGTCCGTTTCCTCGTTATTGCGCAGGTCTGATCGCTCAACCCAACGGAAAATGCTGTTAAAATCTGACCTCTTCTCGTTTCATAACATTTCAAAACAAAAAAGAAATAACAACTTCACTGTTATTGAAAATATTCATTAGCTTTATTCTTCAGCTCTCATTAGAATGGTTCTCAAGTTATATGGTCCATATTATTCAACCTGTGTTCAACGTGTAGTCGCCACTCTCAAAGAAAAGAATCTTGATTTTGAGTTGATCCCTCTCGATTTGTTCAAGGGCGAACATAAACAAGCTGCATTCCTTGAAAAGCAACCTTTTGGAGTTGTACCAGTTCTTGAAGATGACGGCTTCTTGGTTTATGAATCTCGTGCCATTTGCAGATATTTGGAGGCCAAATTTAAGGGCCACGGCACTGAATTGATTCCATGTGGCACCTGCACCGAAGGTTTAAAGAAGCAAGCTCTCTTCGAACAAGGTGCTAGCATTGAGACCTCCTATTTTGATCCCCAAGCAAGTGGATTGACTTTTGAATTGGTCTTTAAGAATTTATTCAAATGGGGCGAAGTCGATCATGCACGTGTTCAACAACTCAAGGAAAAACTCGCCTCCGTGTTGGACGTCTATGAAAAGATTTTGGCTAAACAAGCTTACATTGGAGGAAATCAATTCACTTTGGCCGATTTGAATCACTTGCCTTATGGAAATTTCTTGTTTCATCCCAATATCAATGTTGGACATTTGATTTTGGAACGTCCTCATGTCAAAGCATGGTGGGAAAAGATTAGCAAGAGAGAATCATGGGTCCAAACGATGAAATTGGTTGGTAATTAAGAATGGAATTGGAATTGGCCAGCAGTCGAATTCATAATTGTGTATCTCTTATTATGAATTGAAGATGAATAAAATCCTAAAGAATGATACACAAATTCCTTGCTTGTGTGATTGAAAGAACAATATTATATATATTTCTACGTCATGAAATCTGAAAATGTTGAACTTGTCTCGAACATGATTGTCCTTCAAAATGATATAGCTCGCATAGGTTGCAAATTCCACAAAAAATGTCTAGTGTGCCATTCAATTATTGAAAATTTGTTGTCGAATAAAATCGGTCAAAACAGTGAAACTTGCAAAACGAGCTATCAAACGTTCTTAAAACAAAGATTACAGTGAAAACAATGATTGCCAAAAGCTCTTCTTTTGGGGTTGATAAATATCTGGTGTTTCTTTCTTTTTCTTTCTCTTACTTTCCAAGGCATGGTATTGTGTATTGAGAGAATCGGAAAACATGGGCCCAGAAGGTGGTATAGACACCATTGGTAAACTCGAGCTGTCAGACCATTTTGTGTTTATCATTTCATACTTTCGTTTCGTCTTGGGTTCAGTGACAATCGGTAAGACGCAATCGGAAGCTAATTCTTTTGAATTCATAGCTCGTAACATTTGTGGTGATAAATCATGAATTGGTTTTCTTTGAAGAGGCCTATCTTTTTTCACCATTGTTGTTGAACCATCCAGTGATGATGATTGTTGAAAGTCATATGCAATTCCGCCCGATGATGTTATAGGATCAAACATGACTTGTTTTTTACGTGTATTTTCTTCAGCTGCAACTCTTTCAAGATTGGTCGCCAACGTATTGGGACTGTGAATCAAAATAATTTCATTATCGGAATCATATTCATCGCTATCATCTTGATTATTTTGTGGTCGTTCCAAAAACATGAATGAATTACTCTTAGTGAATACTGTATTCTTTCCTGATAACATGGATGATTTTGCTCGGAGTTGCTTTCTGTGATGGGTGGATATGGTCGGCAAGTCGGCTGATCGTGAAACTCCAGCAGCAACGTGATACAAATTGGGCATTTTTATTTTATAATTCTTGAAATTAATCAACTATAATTTAAAAACAGTCTTTCTTGATGGTGTTGAAATTTCGAATATTATTGTGGGCCAAATTTTAATTGTACAGAGGTGATGCAAGCCTAGTGTACCATGCGCTGGATCCAAATTCAAAATGGCTTTGCAGTCAAAGCAGCCTCATCGCGTTTCATACTGTCATCTCTCCAAAATTGTATGTTTGGCTGAGGTGTTGCGTGCAACGTCGTCCTCATCAAACAACGTACAAGGATGGAACAATTCATCGTTCTCTTCGTCCTGGGGTTGGTGGTGTAATAGTGATCATTGTTGGAATTTCTTCCAGGTTGTTGTTATTGTTTGTTGAGCTGTTTGAGGTTGATGAACAGTTCCTTCTTGGACTCGATTGAACATCAGAGGTTTTTACCGACAAAAATCCATCCTTGCTATCGTTGTTGCTGGATGATGATGATGATGCAAGATTCGTGGATTGAGGACACCTAGTGAGACCCATTCTTGGTAGTTTCTTTTCAATAGTGATGGTAGCTGCTGTGAGCATGGAAGGTGTTGCTGTTGTTATTTGAGTCTTTGAGGTGATAGGAGTTGAGGTTTTCAAGGAGAGATATCTGAGTGTTGATGATGATAAATTGCGTGTGCACGAGTTATGTATTCTGTTGAGAGATAGTTATCACACAATGATTTGAATAAATATTACAATTTCGCGAAAGTGGTGTGTTTCAGATTCGCAAGCGAGATAAGATTCGAGCAATGTGATTGAGGAGAAGGTAATTTTGGTTCAAGTAAGGACTCTCAACACTTGGGCTTTTTTTTTGTTATGGGCGCAATTCTGGGGTTATTAGTGTCGCCGCAAAAACCAAAGCTAATTAAGGATCTGATAAATAAGGAAGTGCTTAAACACTTTTAAGGACGTGTTGTGATCAATTTTGGATCAGTCGCGGTGGGTACTCGATTGGTACAGCAACAAAAGTAGTAGTTATTAATCTGTTGTTGTTATTGAAGTGTGTTTCCTCGCTGTTAACATAAGATACATCCTGTTTCAGAAGCATTGGATGAGATATTCTTGAGCTTTTCATCACTACATGAATGTCAAACCAACCCAAATTACAACAATAACAGCAAGAATTTCTCCGCTTCAGCACCCGCACATTACAACAAAAACAATGTACTTACATTAAATTTGGATCTAAGGCCTCTCCATATTCGAGAATGACTCCATCTCGACTCTTCAAAATATTGGATTCAATTTCGCACAATTTCTTATCGGTGGGCAATCGAACACCATCAAAAGTGAATAAATGTAAGCGTTTGCTCATGTCCAACTCTGAGGAGTTATTGTTTTTCACCTTTCCCTGTTCAGCAATCTTGTCCAAGACTTTGCCTGTGTGATGCATGAGGATATCATTATTGTCAAGACATTACAGTGCGCATGTTTCGATGGATATTATTAAATGTTCTCTGATGGGAAAAAAACAAACACATACCCAATGACCAATTCTTACTGAAAAACATGTGAACAGGTGCAATGTTGGAATTCAATGGAAAATAAACATCTAAGTAATATCGATCCTGTTGTTCGATGGAAGACTGACCAATTGGTTGGAATGGCTTATTTTGAAACTTGTTAGTCAGCAATTTTCCAACCTCTTTCTTGTTGTTTTTCCACTTGTTGGCTGCAATGGATGAAGAAGCTCCACTAAATATTTTAAACGGTGTCTGCATCGTTTGTTTTGAGGAAGAAGTGTTTGTTTTTTTTAACGCTTCACAGTTATGATCAAAATCCAAGCGATGTCTGAAGTGGTACATTTTGGATGAAAAGCATTGTGGTTTTCACTGTCACTAATTTGTGACATTTTCTACTTACTGTACACAAAATGTCTTGTTGCATGATTTACAAGTCAGAATTCCATGTTGCTCGCAATTTGGAAAAGAGCAAGATCCCGATTGATTTTTGGAAATTTTTGACGAGCTTGATTTGTTATTTGACAATGATGGGCATTTACCACTCGAGATGTGGCGCTCTACAACGTCATTAGGATTCTCTCTTTCACTCGCTCTAAATGGAAGCACTTGATTGCAAAGAGGGCAAAACGGGGCAACAATTCCGAAGGAATCATCGAATGGACATTTATGGTCTTGCATTGTTCGATGCTGAGATGTTTTACATTGTAAATTGAATCATCACCGTTCAAAATTAATGATATCAAAATTATTTTCAAATAAAATATTAATAATGACAATAATAATAAATTAAAAGACCATCCAGGTGATGGCGTTCCGATTGATATTATCAATAGTTAATTTTGATATTTTTTGAATTTTAAATTCCGATAATTGTTCGTCGTTTCTTCCATATTTACCCACCTCTAAACAATAATACTTGTTACATTTATCACATTTAAATGGTAGAAAATCCTTTTGATTACAGCCATCAAATTGACAATGGGCTCCAAGATCGTAAAACTCTGTCATTTCCAATCAAAAATGATTCAATCCAATCACACCTATTTTTTTATTGTGTTCAAAAAAACGAAAATTCATCCAAACTTATCCATTCCATTCCTTTCGGAAACAAAAAATGTTTTTTCGACCAGAGATGACATTACCAGCAATAGAGGACATATCGTTTCTGTACAGAGATAGCAGAGTTGATTTAGTCTTTTCATGCGCATGATTGGCCCATAATGGTTTCGCAATAAGAGGAGAACCATCTCCCGCTCATCATTTCAGCACGAAATAATTTAATTCAATCAACTCTACGTATTTGTTGCATATTACAATAGATAGCCGTAGAACAAGTGTTTTTATTATTACACTGTTTTTATATTGAGATGATTAATGAAATTTCTATTCAAAACTTCAATCATCATCCGAATAATGACGATGATGATGAAGACAACGAAAACAAATCTAGTTCGGAACCTGGATCCCCTTTTCATCACCCGATTTTTGCAAATAGAAAGATGAAAGCTCATGCCCGTAACATGTCCTCTCCAACATTATTTACCCCTGTTTTTGATATCATCATTGATCATCCAAAAGGTTCCTTAATATTTAGAAATTTTTGCGAAGAGAATCTCGTGTTGGAAAATTGGGAGGCTTTGCAGACCATTAGACAATTCAAAATGGACGTCAGGTTTACCATTAGAAAAGCAATGGAGTTGGAAGAAGTGATTCAGTCTGGAAGCCCTGTCGGCAACTGCCCAGGCACTTCCTCCAATTCCAGCAGCAGTATGAATGGAAAGTTTAAATTGACTCAATTAATTGGAAATGTTCATCACTTACTTGCCAATAACCAGCAGCAACATGTTGGAAGTAGCAGTCATCACTGCCAGGGTGATATGATGTCCCCCATTACCTCAATGATTTCCAGCATGACTGTTTCGGCACTGAATGTTGGACATTCTACTGCTGCAGCTCATCATACGTGGCAAACCCCTCCACAAATTGTCATTGAAAAGACAGATCATGCATTACAGAGAAACCGAAATTGTAAGGCCTTAAAAGAGTCAATATTGATTGATATTTCTCGAATAGTAGCTACCTTTATCAACGAGGCGGCAGATAAACAGATTAACATTGATAGTGAAACAAGAAAGAACACCTTACAAAGACTTAAAATGATACAATTACAATTGGCAGCCACACAGGATCGCCGATTTTCAAACTTCTCTGAAAATCCTTCCACCAATGACGCCACCATGTCACTAATGCCTCCTAGTGAGTACAGCAGTATCAGCAATGACTCATCCTCCATGCTTCGCTCTTCTGACTCGTGCACTACCACCAATGAAGATTTGGCAAGCACACCCACCTCACCAATCGACGAGAATTCTCCAACCAGAAAAAAAGTGTACTCGTTTAAGAAAATTCTTCCCAAACTAACCTCACCAAAGAAGAAAAATGCAGATGAAACAGAAAAGAAAAGTTCTGAAAGTGAAAAAGGTGATCAAGACGCTTCTGATGTTTTCAATATTGATCTTATTGGAAGTTTTAGTGTCAAGACAAGCAATGCCTTAAAAGCAGCAACTCTTCTCAATGAGCAGCAACTTCAACAGTATGAACAAGAATTTAAAGACTTGATTATGTTTTTTGATCAAATAGAGGTCCAACTGTTACTCTTACTTAAAGATGATGTCTTTCCACGATTTGTGAGAAGCACAAATTGGCTCAACTTTCTCAAACAATATCCGCATGACGCGTTAGAGTGTGCCAAAACTGAAGATATTGAAGATCTAAAGAAAATGAGATTTACCAAAGATGACTTTCAGAGGGTTCGTTTACAACCGTCAGATTTTGAGAGATGTGAGCGTTTATTTGCGGATTCTATACTATTTGACTTGATTTACGAAAATTACGGACAAAGTAGCAAACGGCTCAAGATCTACAGCTCTAGAAAAAGAGGAAATTCATATAACAAGAAATACGCCCAAAACTCTCCCTTAGTTGGTGTTTACTTTTCAAATGGTGAGAACTTTATTGATGAAGACTCGTTAAAGCTTGGAAAGTTTGGAGTGCAAAAAAAGCTAGGATATTTAGACTTTCCAGCAGAAGTGGTGTTGAGTGCATTGTGTGACATTGATTTGCAAAGCAAGTTGCTCCCCAAAGTGGAAAAGAATGACAACTCAATACTAGGCTGGACAAAATGTGAAGACACTCGATATTATCCCTCTCTCATTACTCATTATACCCTTAATTTAGGCAAAATGTTTAAGAAACGAGGTGTGTATGCCTCTAATTGTGCCATTTTTGATCACAAGAAGTATAGATATCACTTTTTATCTAAATCCATTTATTCGAATTCTCATTTTCCAAACATTGATGAGAGGGGCAAGAAGACCATTGCAAGTGCCACCATTACTTATGCCTCCATCATTCCTGTTTCAAAGAGCAGATGTAAGCTCATTTATGTCATGCTGGGAAATATGGGAGGGGTTGTTTCAAAATTCTCTTCCTTTTTATTCAAGCAAGAAGTGACACTTTTTGACAACCATTTGCAAGAAGAATTAGTTAAAATGAAAGCTTACAAGTACGCCGATCTTGAAAATGGATATAACATGGTGAGAAACTGTATAGACTATCGCAATCGTTTCATGATGAATTCTGTTGAGGCACAAGAAAGCGCGACCACATGTCCATTTCCAAAAACTTTTGCCGAGTTTCAAGAATTGTTCTCTTAATGGCATACATTTTTGTTAAACAAAATACCAAATGTTGCATTAATAGGTTCGACAAGTTTTGACAAATAAACAAATTAACACAATGAAAAGGAAATGTGTGAATCTGATTGATTCCATCTTTGCAAATCCAACAACAAATTTATTTAAAAAGAACCAAACATTGAGAGGAGACATCAAGAACATTGAGCAATCCTTCATTATCATGATGATCCAAACACACAAGCTGACAAGGAGAAAAATTCTTCAGAATGCAAATTGATTCGGCTTCTTATCATTCTTACCACCATTGTAGTAATCCACAAACTGACACTGTCGAGTAAAGACCTCAATTCGGCCAATACCACCATCACAAACAAGAATGTTTCCGTTTCTTCAATCTCTAAATCTCTTGGAAAGTTCAATTCTCCACAAATTGTGTTCCTTTTGATCCAATCACATTCACTTCACCCTGTTTTGAAATGACAAAAAGCCGAGAAAGCCGATGTTCATCAATAACCATTTGCCCATCCCAATCCATGTCAATTCCATAAGGCTTTCGAAGTGGAGGTGAATTTCGAATCGTGGGTCGAATGCTTCCAATGATTGTGAGAATCTTTGGAATAAACTTTTACTCTCTCATTACTCTCGTAAGAAATGTATAAAAGACACCAATAGCAATGGATTGTAAAATTGATGCTCACCAATATCAGCAACACAAGGTGTATCCACTCTCCACAAGGTTTTCGTGTGTTCATGTCAATTTAATAGACAATGATTGCGACAAGTGACAATCACAAGATGACATTTGTTGGGAGTGGTTCATAATGTCCATGTTGAAAATTTCTCTCTGAATGGATCATGCAAAAGGTGAATTTTTATTTGACATTAGAATTTGCGAAAGTGTCATTGACACATGGATTCGCTGGAATTTGGATTTCAACTGAAGGTTGCATGCCATAAATGGAGTTGTTGTAATTCTGGAAGAGTGACTCTCTTTTAATGATACAAAAATATTTTTACGAGTTGAAAAGTGTGTGTGACAGCATGCTCGAGTCAAGAGAAATTTAAATCTCACCAATGAATTGCAACAATCACTCTGAGATGAATATATATATATATATATGGAAAACATTTCATTTGCTATTCGGATGCATTCTTTTTTGAACACAAACTCTACATGACTTGACAATTTCCCTTCTTCTTCTTTTTCACCTTATTCATAATCTGTTGAGCACAATCCATAAAACATTCTTCAACATTGGTTCGAGTTTTTGCTGATGTTTCATAAAAAGCAATCGATCCAAACTTTTTAGCAACTTCTCTTCCTTCTTCACTTGACACGACACGTTCATTCTTGAGATCGGATTTATTTCCAACAAGAACGACTGCAGTGTCATTGGCTAAATTCTTATATTCCTCTGCAGAGTCCAATTCTTTGGCTTGTGCAATTTGTTCGAGAAATGCATAGACTTCTTCGAAGGAATTTCGATTTGTCACACTGTAGACAATGACAAATCCTTCACCTTGACGAATGTATTGATCACGAAGTGTACTGTTTTTTTTGTAATGTTTGGTGTGGAATTAAGTGATGATTGTGTGTGATGGTGATGATTGTTAGGATGCAAAGGTGTTGTTGAATTAAGTTGTGGTGGTTGTGTTAATAATAAATATAATGATATTGAGTTGTTGTTGAGTTGTTGTTGAGTTGTTGTTGTTGAGATCAAATGAATGTGTGATAACGAGTGTGATGTGAGAAAGTTGTTTTGTTTGTTGTGGTCACACACAGGATGATCATTTTTCAATGAAAACATTTCAATGATTACCACATAACCAAATCATTGAATTCATGATCCAAAGAGTAAATTCATGGTTGATGCAATAATGATGAATAGTCGTGAGTGTGAAATTTGAAAAATCATCAATTGCAAATCCATATGACAAATTGAGTGAGAAAGAGAGAGAAACGAGTGGATGATCCTTACCAAAACTCTTCTTGACCGGCTGTATCGAGAATATCCAGAATGACAGGTTTCTTGTCAATGTGTGTATCTTTTCGGTATCTGTCTCACAAAATGCCACATGCCAACATCATTTTGAAAATGCAATTCACATCATAACGGCATCATGATTATAAATTTAATCGATTCACCATTGTCATCATTGTGTTTGATTTAAATGATTTTTCAAAATATGAATGTCGTTAACTACAATCAATGAAAACAATACATACGAATCTTCCAAAGTAGGATCGTATTGTTCCACAAATACATTTTGAATCAATTGTACAATGAGAGCACTTTTACCAACACCTCCACTGCAAGTGATGATTGTAATTATTATTATTTGGATGATGTTGTGAAAAGTATTAAATAGGATCCATTGGATGAAGATGATTGTTATAACAATGATGTGTGATGTTGTTGATGAAAAATAATTATTAAAAATTATTATTGATGATGATGGTTGATTCGTTAATTATGATGATGATGATAATTGATGAGAAAAGTATAAATATTAAATTAAAAATTTGAATCGGATGTGTGAGTGTGGTTGTTGGTTCCAAATAAAATTACGAAGTCTTGTGCTAGGGTTGAAAAGCTTACCTTCCAAACACCACAATTTTCAGCTCTTCTGGCTGAGCACCTGTGTTCTTCTCCTTCTTTCCTGCTGCTGGAGGCATTTATTTTAAAAAAATTTATTGACAGTTGACAGTTGACCGAAAGTTTCGTGTGTGAACCAAAACACTTGAAGGTGTTCTCGTAGTTTCTCCATTAAGGATTATCAACAGATTCACTCATAAATTCTCATATATATCTGTTGTTGAATGTTTCTCATCACTCACACATGTTGTTGAGGTTTCAATTTCAAACCCAAACGTTCGATGGTCAGTTTTTCCTTAAAGAAGAAAAAAAAAAGAATTTCATCGTTACAAAAAAAATAACCCACTCACTCACTCTTTCACTCAGTACACCACATCTCTCGGATTGATGCCACAATATTCCAAAGGTGCCGATCATAAAGAGAATTCTCTTCTCGGAACACTGGATTCGTTTCGGGAATATGATGAGTTGTATCCAGAAATAACAGGAGATGAGTATTATGAGTGTCCGTGTTGTCGTTATTTCTGGAATAATAGGTATAGTTTGCTCCCTTTGGCCACGATTCGAACAAGTGTTGGAAATGTTCAAACTGAGAAGTTTTCATTTTCTACCACACACGCATCGCATGGTGATTCACGAGGTGCAAACAAGTCAGATATTGTATCTCATGTGTTAGCAATTGCCACTGAACATCATTCAGTAGGATTGTTTGAGAGCTATACAGAGAATGATTACAAATTTGTAATTGTGAAATTAGGATCAAATAGAGATGACGAGAATTTATTGCAACATTTTCATTCAAACCATCTCATTGAAATTCAATCTGGTAATGATAAACCAAACGTTGTGCAATCGAATAGACACAGACGAGATATGGACGTGGTGAATATCTTTGAAACTTACCAATTTGAAAACTCGAAACTTGAAAAATCATTCGTGTGTATATTTTCAGAATGTCGTGCACAAGTTAAAATTGTATTGGATGAGAACAACTTGTCACAATCCAAAGTGTTCATTGATATTACCAATACAATTACTGAACTAGGCGAAGGAACTCGATTTTATCCTTCACCATCACCTTCCCTCCAAACACATACCTGCTCGATAACATCAGAGAAATGTTTGGGAGCTCAGAGCTTTTCTGGTCTGGTGATAACTAGAGTTTTATCAAACTCCCCTATGATATATTTTATTCCAAACGAGAAACAACCAGAAAATCAAATGACAAAGAGCGTGAATTTAGACCCTTCTTACATCCTAAGATTTGATTATGCACAAATCATGACTCTGAATGAATCAAAATTCTTTCTAATTGCAAGCGCGTATGGAAACAGATACGAAGAAAATTCATTCGTTCTGAGAGAGATTATCCCAACGCTTGGAGAGAACGGACAAGTAGAGACATGTAAGATGAGAAAGTTTCACGTACGCAACTTTTACAAATATTTCACCAAGCTCCATCAAGTCATAGATTACACAACAATTTCAGATGGGAAATATTTATTCTTGCTGAACCAGAGGCCAAAAGAAAAAGTTGATACCTTTGAGAAATATCAATCATCTTTATTATGGATTGTTTTAGATTTAATTTCGTGTACTGCAAAGAGAGTATTACCAGTGCATTACAAAAATAGCGATATTGATGCTTTTCCTGTTCTTAGAAAACAGAAATTATTGGACGAAGAAGGCTTTGAAAAATTTGAACGAAAGAAGAAATCTTGGATGAAACCTAACGTGAAAAAAGATTCTCTGGCCAATTCAGCCATTCCAAGAAACCTAGACTTGGAAAATAGTGTGAAGATATTTGGATACCATTCACACAGTGTCACCAATCGAGACTTATTTTCTGTCTTGCTTCTTTTTCGATCCAATTTTGAAGACAAGTCTCTCAGGTGCCACAATAGATTTGAAGATGTGGCCTACCATCAATACACCTTTAAATTCACAGATGATCACATTCCAACTATTGGTGAGTTCAACAATCGATTGCTCTCAGATGTTACCATCACTGCTCAACATTGAAACAACTGATATCAGGTACGAAGAAACAAAGAACACCCCGAGTTTCATCGTCTCAAAAAAGAAGAAGGGCATCATCTTCTCGAAAGTGTCGGATCTTTGAGGATGACCATAGAAAGACATCGATCATCAAACCACAAGAAATGAAAATAGTGACAAAACCGTTGAGTCCTTCGTACTATCACAAGAACCAAAAGGATTCTCTGGAGAATTTAAAGAAGTATTTACTCATACGCTTGCATTTACAGGATCTATCATTAATATCCATTATGAAACATTGATGGGTGTTATTTCAGCTCCGAGTAGGAATGAATTTATTTATCTTCATCAATCAGGAATTTTAATTTATGACATGAAGGCAAATTTCACGCATACCCGTTCACTCGACTATCCATGTAAGGAGTTTGTTGTCCATGGATCTATCTATTGCAAGAAAGATCATTGCTTGGTGCTCCTCGCGGTATCAAAAAGTCACGTTTGGCAAAGATCAGTTTAGACGATGGTGAGATAAAATGGAACACTTCTCTCACTGACTTTCTTAAGGCAGGCACTTACTCAAGTTTTTCGTGTCCTGTCATGGATCGTCGAGGAATTATTTACCTTGCAAAAGGTAATGGAAAACAAATTTATGTGATTTGCAGTGAGAGTGGTCAAATTTTAGACAAGATGGGATATAATTGTAGAAGACCATTTCCTACAAAGTTTAATCTGTTTTTTAGCTTGTCTCTGGATCGAAACGATAATTTAATGATTTCTTGTTATGATGAAAACCATCGTCCAGCGATCAAAGTTTTCACAAGAAATTTACACTTTGTGAAAAGTATCAGATTGCCATTATATAATAGAAATGCAATTATTTATGACTCTATTTCAGATGGATGCTTGTTACAAACAGAAGATGCATGGTTTTATTTGTCCAAAGACTTTGATGTCATTTCACAAAAGACAATTTGGGACAAGCATGGCTCATTTTCAAATGGCGTTCTTTATTGTGTGGAAAATGCAACGATCACTTGCTACAAATAATTATCAAGATGCATGAGGAGTAGTAAATTTAAATATACAAGTCACTTTATTTCTGACATGAGATTATTACAACTATTTTCAAACAAGAAATCACAAATACATGATATGGAGAAGCAATCCTAAAGTTGATCAAACGCATTGAGAGGTGCTTTCTTGTCATCATTATTGTTGGTCTTAAAGTTTACAAAGAGAGATCCTGGTTTTCTATAAATGGCGCCCATTGTGGTGTTTCTTCTTCTCATCTTTTCAGTTTGCTCTTCTTGATAAGTTTTTCCAATGTAATCATCATAATCTTCGTCACTCTCTTCTTGTTGTTGTTGGAGATCCTTCTCTTTGAGTGAATCAACGGCATTGGATTCATCCAAAGCAAGAGTGTTAGGATCGTGATCGAAGGCATGATTTGGATTTCTGTTCAACGTGTCATTCACATAGAAATAGTCGTTATGATGATGATGATGGCCGGGATGATGATGCTTTGGAATGTGTTGTGCTTTGGCTAGATAGTAAGAGACGCTGTGACCTATATTTTCAATTAAATTCGAACAATTTTGTTGTGAGACGAAAGAATTCATGTTCATCCAACATCGCAGATTTGTCCGCATTATTACAGGTATTGTGAGGCGAATTCATTGCCATATATTGTGAGAACATTCAAGACATCATCGAAATGTAATAATCATTGAATTTTTGTTTCAATTCCAATCATTGAATTAATTCCACACACAAGTAAAACATTTTCCAACTTACTGGCATGAATAAAGTGAGTTCCCTTATCCACAATAATATAAATATGCACAAAAACTTCTAAAATTTCCACAGCCAATTGTTCCTCCAAAGTAAACGTTTTTTTCGCAAACATTTCTGGATGCAAAATTCTCTCTTCACTTTCCGCATTGTACTCTCTCACAATATACACGACATGTGTCACTGAAGTCGCAATCGAATAAATAAAGAAAATTAAATACACTATCGATTCCATCCAATTAATCCAAATAGTGAGAGGTTTTTTACGAGCAATGGCTGTCAACTCTCGAATGTATCTTTCCGTAAATAAAACCATCAACACTCCCATAAAGGTATACGATACAATTTTAAACACTGATTGCAACAATTGTTCTCCTTCTGTTAACACCAATGCATCACTCTTTCCAAATAAATTATTTGCCTGCACATACGTAATGGTTAAGAATTTGAGACATGAATAAATGTACATTTTCAATCGACGATTTCCAAACGTGCTGCTTGAAAATTTCTTCCAATACTTTTTGAATGTGTCAATTCGAGTATATCGATCATTCATTGTTGAATGATGATGATGATTTAATGGATCTTTTAAAAGAGAGACATCAAGATAAGGAGTGGATTCAGAACCTGCGTTGACTCGATGAGATGAAGAATCGAGGGAGGTTCGAGAGGCCAAGACTTGTGGCATTTCTGAGAGAGTGACTTTGCGATTGTTGTTGTGAAAGGACATTTTTTGTGTGAAATTTATCGCAGTTGAGACTTGTCATTCTTGAAAATTTACGAAATCTTGCAAGTTCATGGATGCGAAATATCATTCAATATTGAATTGGTGTTACATGATTGATGAATGTTCCGAAAAAATCTTTGATTTCAGACTGAGGATAATGGCCTTTCGTAACAAGTGTTGAGTTTGGCTCCGGACCCTGATGGAACACTACATGAATTGACTTTTAAGAACAGTTCCGCTTCTGTTCCGTTCCGTTCGAGAATCGAGTACTTGATAAGGATGCTCACAATAAATTAGGACAAAATGGTTTTTTCTCCGTTGGCAAAAATTGTGAAACGTGTGCGAGAATCGAAGGTAGAATTGAATCTCAGCAGAAACTATTTTTTCAACGCCCCAGCCTGTTAATTTGTAGAGACTCCACAAAAATGCTTAACTTTTGCTGCGTTACATGCTTGCTCCAATATGGTGATATTATGAAGACAGATAAATGGAATAAGTGGGTCAAAGAGAACGATAAGAAACCAAAAAAAAGATACTGTTGCTGAAGAATTATCACAAGCTCTTGGCGAAGATGACAATTCAGATGGCGAGTGAGATTATTACGCTTATCAATAAATGACAACATCTAACATTACATAACTTTTCATGAACGCATATTTGATTATCCTGAATTGTTTAAATCATTACTTGGAGTATCAATAGAAAATTACATTGAGTTTGACCATCCAATTGATTTTACAAAAAGTTCTCATGATTACTTTTCTTTGGATACATCTTGTTGTGGAAATGGGTTGAATTGTTTGAAATGGAAAGTGGTGAATAAGTACTAACGATCGGATCAATTGTCACGTAATATCTTTCCTTTTGCTTCATCTATTGTTGGCATCTGACATGTGGTTGGTTTGTGAAATGCATTCTTTCACGTGGAATATATTTCACACCAACCTCACTTACAATGAGGCATAGTTGCTGTTTAAACACAAATTCAATATTAATGTTGCGTTTTCAGCAACCACTTCTCAGAAATTATCTTCTCCAACAAGCTCAAGGTCGAAGGTTCTGTCAATTCATGTCCATCCTCCACCACATGTAATTCAATCGCATCACCACTTCCAGGAACTGCCTCGTTGCATCTTTTTATAAATTCTTCCGTCGTTTCTAATGGTACACTTGCATCATGTTTTCCATGAACAATGGCCAGCGTGGGAGAATTTGTTTTCAAATCTTTCTGATTTGTATTCTTGCACAGTTGTATTAATAGCTTGTGAGGGATTGGAAATCCTGGATGATTCTCGTTCAAATCTTGATAAAAGATATACTTGACATTTTTCATACATTTTTCCTTGTAATTGTAAAAAGAAAGAATTCCATTCGATTTCCATTCTTGTAAAGCAAATCGATTTTTCCATCGTTCTGCAAGATCATACGCTGGAGCCAATAATAATAAAGCATCAACTCGTTCCGGATACAACTCTGTAAATCGAGTAGCAATAAAACCTCCTAAAGAGCTCGCAATAATTCTCCATTTCACTTTTACGTTTGAAATGTGATTTTCATCAATTTTTTCTTGTACATTTGAAACCAATCTATTTTCCAAGAATTTAAGAATAAGTGAAACTTGTAATTCTTCAAAAGATGGAATATTCAAATCGGGAATCAATAATTCAATCGCTATGGGTGATTGATGAGCAAAAAATTGTTTTAAATGTTGACCCTTCCGAGTGCTTGGAGCAGAGGCAAACCCATGAAGAAAGGCATATCTGTAGTGAATTTGTTGTTGTTGTTCGTGAATGATGCTCATCGTGTTGTTGTTATTGATGATCTGTTCCGATAAGGAAGAAATGAACATTTTTTTTAATGTCAATTTCTTTTTCCTATTTTTCGAATCTTAATATTCAAATGGAATTAAAAAACACCCAAATAAGAAATCAATGATAAGATCAGGTTAACATTAATAAAACCCTTCTCCCCTTTGTTTTTTGAAATTTCAATCATTATGATCCATTGAATGTTGACCTGTCAAAAAAATACCTCCAGGCAATGACATCTATCCACACACACACACGGTGCATCTTCATACGAAACAACAGACCTATGAATAATAACCACCCTCATCATGGCTATTGCAACATTGGACGACCATTATTAATCGATGATATTCTTTATGAAATTCTTCATTTTCTCGATTCCATCACCATCCTTCGAATTTGTATGAAAGTTTCAAAACAATGGAGACAAGTCTCATTAAACATTCCTTTGAGTTTGTCCTTTCAAGCCCGAGCAAACAAGATACGACGGAATTTGTCAAAGTTACCTGATGAAATGGATGGAATTAAATTTGCTGAATCTATTGCAAATTCGAGTGAATATTTGAAGAATTTAACACAGTTGGATATTTCTGCCAATCGTATTGGTCCTGAAGGAATATCTATTCTTCTGCAGAGTGAAAATGGTTTAAAGAATTTAATTTCACTCAATGTGGCATCGAATGACATTGGTTTGAAAGGAGTGATTTGCATTGCACATTGTGAACATTTAACATTTTTGGATATACATGAAAATCAAATCGGTACAGAAGGCACTAGAGTGATTGCAAACAGTCCCAACTTGCAACATTTAACATCTTTGAATTTGTATTGCAATCAAATTGGTCCAATGGGTGCTCAATATATTGCAAGTAGTCCATACTTGAAAAATTTAACAAATCTCGATCTAGCTTCGAATGATCTTGATTCAGAAAGTATTTCCTTTATTGCTACAAGTGAGAATTTGAAAAAGTTATCTTGGTTATGTTTGCATGATAATCCTATTGGCTCCGAAGGAGCTCAATTTATTGCAAACAGTGACCATTTGACAAGTTTAACATGTTTGGAAATGTATGGTTGCAATATTGGCTCCGAAGGTGTCACATTTCTTGCAAATAGTCCAACTTTGAAGAATTTACTAACTTTGGATTTGTCTGGCAATCAAGTGACCTCCGAAGGTGCCATTTCCATTGCAAATAGTCCAACCTTGAAAAATTTAACAGACCTTGTCATGTATGCCAATCAAATTGATTCGAAAGGTGCTGAATCTATTGGAAATAGTCCAACATTGAAGAATTTAACTTCGCTAATTTTATCAGACAACCATCTCGGTTCAGAAGGAGCTCATTTCATTGTGAACAGCTCACACTTGGACAAGTTAACCTTATTGGATATGTCTTTGAATGAAATAGGCCCTGAAGGTGTGACACTTATTGCAAGTAATGAAAATTTAAAGAGATTAAGGACTTTGGATTTGTCTGACAATTGTATGGGATTACACACGACTGTATTTATTTCACATCTGGAAAATTTGAAGAATTTAACTTCATTTGTCAAACAATGACATTGATTCCTCACACGCATCCGAAATCATTACAAAGAATTTAGAGGCTCTGAATTTCACCTCGAACTATTGTCTTTGTGAGAAAGATGTGAATCATTTAGGCCTGAAAGAGTTGTGTAAGAAGAAAACACCACTCTCAAAGGAATGTCATCAAGGAATATGATCAAATATGCATCGAATGAATATGATGCAATTTGTGTCATCTTGCAATATTATTATGTTTAATGGAAGAAATAAGTTGCTCACAAACATAGTCTCTAGATCACTTGCAGACCTTGGTCAAGTGAACTAACTGCCTTTAAGGCTTCTTTTGATTGCAATTCTTCATGTTGCATGTTGGCTCTTGTGTCTTTAAAGAGTTGTTTAAATTGTTGTACAACACTCGACGTTATTGTAAACGTTCAAGACTTTTAAAAATTACAATTAAAAAAACATGAGCGATTCTGGATACTCTGCCAGTGAAGAATTCGACATCCCCGTATTTTGTGGAGAACATGTGTTGCGCCTGATCAAGAGCCGATCATAGTTGACTATGAGGTTGTGAATCAAGTTTTCGGAAAACTGCCCCAAAAAAAGTAAGGTTTTCATTGAATAAGGTACCATTAACTCATCACAGCATAATTGGGCCGCAATTACTCTTTGGAACCAATAATCCTATTGTTCCAAATAATACTAATGATCTTGTTGCTCCTCAAACAAGCTATTATTATTATAAATAATACCCAATCTGAACTTGAGAACTCATCAACCAAACATTGAAAGTGTTTGTTTTCTTTTTTGACAAGTATGACTTGGTAGGCACCAAATGGAAGTCAGCAAAAGTATTTGGAAGAATGTCCGAGTGAACTTGCAATGTCTTTTTGAGAGCACTTCCACCATGGTTTGGATTATTAATTTCTAAAAAGACCTTCTTTCCACGTGGAATGTTGTCAAAGGTAAATAAACCAATGGCATTCGTGGGAACAGTCATTTCCACCCAAGGATCATTCTCATCCACGTCTTTGTAGTCATGAACTGGATATTTCAACTTGACTTGTAGGTTGGATAGACCTGTGAAGGTTCGAGAGCTCTCGTTCTTGACAAATCCTTTAATGCTCACTGTGGATGGAGAAGTAATGGCTGTAGGTGGAGGTGGACATGAATGAGTCTTCCAAACTTCAAACCAAGTGTCTTTGGTCTCAGACAAGGGTTGAATGTTTGAGAATTCCCATTTGGCATTCAAAGAGGCATGTACAGTAGAAGTGAACATGAAACGATCTAATGTGAAGATGGTTTTTTGATCATTGCTTTCAGAGGTGGCATTGGAAATCCAATATTCCATATTACCATTCTTTAAACCACTTCGAATTCCATACAAGTAGGTTCTTCTTCCTTCCTCGCCAATTCTGTCTTTTCCAATGTATTTAGCGATTGGATATGGAACGAGAGGATAAAAAGGATGATCAGCATGTGGTTGCATGAGGCAACTAGCTTTAGAGGTGAAGAGTTTGATGGAAGCTCTTTTACGGCCATTCCATTCGTAGTCTCTGATCTGGTTCTGGTCTTGAAGGTATCATAGATGAAGGTGCCTTGGGTTTCTACTTGTTGTTGTTTTGGGTTTTTCTCATTCATTGGAAGTATTTTGATCGTGGATGTGAAAACAAAAGGAACACTTGGAAGAAATTGAGAGGATGAAGCAGAATCTTTGGATGCATGCAATGATTGAAGCATGCAACTCACAACCAACACAAAGAAGGCAATTCTAGAGATTGACATCTTTTAATGTTTTTTTTGATTTACAAAATCAATAATTGGGTCAAACCAAAGATTATGAGCTTGTCATGAAGGTTACCAGGTGGCCACAAATGTCCTTTTGCGAATATTCCTCCAAATTGATTGGACATTTTATCAAGATACCTTCCAGCACGTGAAATTTCTTCTTGGAGTTGACCCAAATAGATCTTTTATTAAATGATACTTTATTTTAACAGGAATTCCCCCATAGCTCAGTCGGTAGAGCGTCAGACTGTTAATCTGCAGGTCAGTGGTTCGAGCCCACTTGGGGGAGTAACATTTTTATGTTTTTGTGTCCTTTCTCCCCCATTTTCGATCTTCGCAGACACAGAAATATGCCTTGAAAATCACTGTTATGAATTTATTTATTTGAATTAATGCAACAAATTGTCATAAGTTTCTTGCATTGAGAGTTTCTCCCTGAACCCCTTTGTAATTTGTTTTTTGTTTTGCGTTCTTCTGAAAAAATTCCTTTGATTTTTTGTCTTCATGTAAGGTAAAAACAATTAACATTAATGATCCAATCAATAAAGATTTCTCTTCTGGAGTCAAATTTGGTGGAATATCGAGGAAAAATTCTTGACTCTTCTTTGAAATAATTTTTCCAATTTTTTCTTTCTTAGTCGCGTTATGAATCGAATAAAAGTGAAGTGTTTCACTTTTTGTCTTTTCGTGAAGAATTTTAAATAGAAGTGTGTTTTTGCTTGATTTGACTTTAAAGTTGGAAACGATAAAATCTTTTGAAATAGTTCCAATGAATTGATTTTGCGTTCCTTCCTTGACTATTGCATTGGTGCTAAACACACTGTACGGCTAGTAACAACGAATATAGAACAAGTTATTAACACTATTCAAAAATCAACCTGTTTAACCACAAACCTTTACAATTGTCAACAGGGTCATTGAATCTACCAGGTCTGTGTAAATTCCTTTTGGAAGTTTCTGGCTCAATGCACTAATTCTAACTCTTATTTTGAAAGGTCGACAAAAGCTGTCACTATAAAACGACTGCAAATATTCGCCATCTTCATGCACACTCATCGGAAGAGTTCCAGGATAGTCATCAGAATCATTCTCTACCAAATTTGTCGCCACAAAATTGAAACAGTTTTGCAGAGGGGATAATGTCGTAATACGTGTCTGATCCATTGATATTCTTGTTTGTTGTTGATTGAAGCTCTCTTCATCTTCATCATAATATAATTCTCCAACACTTGACACAGATGCATCCGATGAAAGGGATTCCATGTCGGAGCAACAATTCGTTGTTGAAGAAGAGGAAGCAACAGGCAAATGAACGGATTCAGGCACTTCTGCAGAACGATCATGATGCAACATCATGTTTTGTGCAGTAGATACAAAGAGTGAAGCAGAAGAATTCAATACAATACTTCTATTGGTGAAGATGGCATTTGTTTGTGTGGTGGACGCTAATGCATCTAATGAAACTCGTCCAGTGGCTGAATCCACACTACTACGACCGATCATCAGGCTTGTATCTGGAAAGAACGGAGTTTCGTGTCGTCGTTTCAAGACAAAGGTTGAGTATGGAGCACACATCACCCGATGGAAGATTTCTTTTTTCAGACGGTGCAAGAACTCGTTGTTGAAAGGTGGTGGAGTGTTCGGAGTGGTTTGAAGTGGTGGTGGTGGTTCGGAAACACTCGATGATGGTCGGGTTTGCTGAGCTTGGTTGGTGGATTCTGTCAGTTTCAAAGAAGGAGTTAGGATTGGCGGTATTTTTTTTGCTGATGAATCTAAAAGCTCCTCTCTCGCAACATCCTCTTCCCAAATTTGGATTTGAAATTCAACACAAAGTTGCTCTCTTCCACAGGGCAATCATGTTAATGGAGTTACGAGAATAAGAATTTGTCCGCGTCCTGAATGATTTTCAGCAGAAAATTTATTGAAGATTTCTCAAAGTGTTTTGTAATTGTGTTAAGGTAGTTATGGCACTATCAATGTTTCCTGTTGCAATCAAATTGGAAACTTCAGTTAGTGTTGAAGCTGCAGAGGTAAATGCAGCAAGCATTGGCTCACTCATGCATTGCTTAAAGTAGTAGAGTGAAAAGTTGACCACTCGCAAAGCACTCAAAACGTAATAATTGGCAATCACATTGTTTGGATTCACAACATCATCTGGGAATTTGAATCGATCTCCGTGTGAAACAGCACCAGGTTTCAATTGTGTAGGAACGTAGGGTAATGGAGCTTTAGCAAGTCGAGCCCAACAAGAGTTGACAAAAACAACACCTGACGTGCTGCTTGTTCCTCCCTTCGTAAATCTGGAAAACACTGGTGATAAATCAGCTGTACAAGCAGCATTTGTGGAAGGGGTTGTCACTGCAGGTCCATATCCATCGTCTGCTAAACGTCCAGCAAGATTCTCCAATGTGGACCATAATATATTAACTTCGTCTTTTGGATTGAGAGAAAGTTGAATAATGTTGGATGCACTTGATGCACTTAGAGCGTTCAGTCCGTATTGAATATAATTGATGGTGTAATTAAGCATGCAATTCATCACAGACGTGCATACAGAAGATGTGCCACTAATGGCCAAGCTTGTTAAAGATTTGAGTTGATTAATGCATTTGGAGTTGGTCTGGGCATACACATCAACGTTCTTTGCATACACATCAACTGGAGGTGTTGCATATACGTCAACTGGAGGTTTTGCATAAATATCAACAGGAGGTTTTGCATAAACATCCACGCCTGGTCCTGGGACTGGCACTGTCACTGGTTGAGAGGCAGATTGAGGAACAACTACATTACCTATGGAGGAGTCTCCTTTATGACAGGTTCCTGAAGCCTTACATGGAGGTGTGTCATCCACCAACACGACAGGTTGTACTGGTTGTACAGGTTGTGGAATGACAGCAGCACCTGGGACAGGTTGTGGAATTGGTTGTGGAAGTGGTTGTGCGTACGTGATCACAGTGGCCGCACCATCAATGGTAAACGGTTGTTGGGCTGGCAATACTACTCCGCCTCCTCCATAGACAGGCACAAGAGGTTGTGCAGCATAGCCACCGTAGCCACCATAAATTGGAACAGGCTGAGGCATGGGTTGTGCCACTGGTATTGGTTGAGGCAATGGTTGTCCAACAATCACTCCTCCACCACCTACAGGAACAGGCTGAGGTACAGGTTGTGGTAATGGCATTGGTTGAGGTACAGGTTGAGATACAGGTTGACCAATAGGCATTGGCTGTGCAATAGGTTGTACAGGTTGTGGAATGACAGCAGCACCTGGGACTGGTTGTGGTATCGGTTGAGGTAAGGGCTGTGCATAACCATATGGATAAGGTTGTCCTCCCATTATTGGCATTGGTTGAGGATACGCTTGAACCAGTGGAGCAGTGGTCGAATAAGGATAGGCTTGTGGAACCATTGTGGACCCTCCTGGACCTGCGATAGGTTGAGGAAGAGGTTGAGGATTGATCGTCAAGTATTGTGATTGCAAGATGGGTTGTGGTGTTGCGAGTGGTATTGCAGCAGTAGGCGTCGGTGGGTACGAAGAAGTGGAAGAAGAAAAATAGGTGGAATAACTCGATTTTCCAACCACTCCATTTCCTCCACCTGTACTGGTTGTTGAGGTATAGACGGTCGTTGGAATGTATGAAGTCTTGTCCATGGAATAGTTTTCAGATGAAGCTCCTGCTCCAAAGACTTGAAAGGTCACATCATTGTTCGCAATAAATATCACCAAGAGGAAAAGTGTAACAATGAGCACGTAGGGAGAAATGGTTTTGGATGGTGATGACATTATGGCTTTGTAGAGTCTTTTTTTTAATCTATCTAAAAACAGGTCATGCAACAATGTATGGATTTAAATTGGATTATAATTGATGAAATCCAAGTCATCCTCGAAATTGTCAGTTTGTCTTAACATGGTGTGAATAGAAATTATTATGGAAATTATCGTGAGAATAACAATTCTATTGTTTCAGTAATTGGATATGTTTGTTGTGATCTGTATCGCACCACAACCGAAATAATTCCTTACATACATAATTCCTCTGAATCTATATTGTCTATTTTAAGAGAGTTCTGGAAAGTTTACTCAGAGAGAGGAATTATGAATGTAAGGAATATAAGAAAATTTCCTTTTTGGTCAATCATACACACGGACTCAAATTTTTGACAACGTGTTTTTGTTCTTCGTAGTAGGGAAGTGCTGTTGGAAAGGAACGCCTTCTAGTATGATGGAAATACTGATAATATATCTTTTTAAAAGAAATTTTTAAAAGAATTGGAGGTGGATGAAACTGGAATAAGGTTGCAGCTTTAAGAGTAGATTATCCACTGTAACATTGCATAAACCACATACGCCAAAGTCAATACACCAACCATGGAGAGCTTTACTGAGATTTCTCCACAATTTCTTGTTGATGCAGCATTAAGCGAAAGACCATCATCGAAATGTCATGAATACCGAAGATGATCTGAAAATTGTGGTGTTTGTTATTCGTGCCGAATGAACATGAAGGTTCAGATAAGGTTTGTGACAATGAGAAATGTAGCATCGCCTTTCATACAGAATGCTTGGTCGAGTGGCTTCGATCTATTCCAGGAACGTATCAGTCGTTCGATACCATGTTTGGTTCATGCCCTTATTGCTCTTCGTCCATTAGTGTCCATCACCAAGAAGAGTTCGAACATATTGCATTCATTCGAAATGAATATCTAAATGACAAAATCCTTAACAGAATCTAATTCTGATTCTAGTCATGATTTACCAAGAAGATGTGTAACTTGGTAATAATATAATGATATATCATGCTAGATGAAAAACTACTTCCGGATCAGTTCCACACCAAAATCTCCCAAAAGCTTAAAAAAACGAGCGACCCAAAGAGTAGCATTATAGGTAGTTGTACCAAATAATTTGCTATATTCCCATGCCAATTCTAGTCCGATCTGAGCTTGCTCGGTCCATCCTCCAGAAATAATATTGTGATGATCACGGTTTTCTTCTTCTTCATTTAACTTTCCTATATATCCTACATAAAACCTCAACAATACTTGCAATACCATCATCAACACCATTCCGAATATGAATGAATAAAAAGCAATCTTTATGGTTGATCGCAAAAGACCGTAGAAACATCGGAACGGAAAGCAAAGACATGACGCTAATCCAGATTCCTCTTTTTGTGGGCGATTCCTTCTCATCATTTTTTTTCAATTATGAGAAACCAATCTTTTCGAAGCAGCTCAATTCCAAATGCATTAGTCAATAGGTCAATCTGTCAAAATCATGACAACAACCATTCGATTGAGAATGCTGTTTTGCACTGTGGATTCCTTTTAAATCATGCACCTACCCATCTCGTAGTTATCAATTTTTTTTCATCTGTCAGTTTTCAACTCAACACGATTCTCTTACCCAATGTTCATCCTATCTCCCCAAAAACATGCAAGATACAGTTGGGGCTGAAAACCAACAAACAACAACGAAAAACAATAACCACAACACTCAACTGCCTCTTCGCTCTCTCTTTTGTCATCTTGTCGGTTTTTCGATAAATTGCTCTTTGTTCTTCTTGGAACAACTTTTTGGTTCTTCGGGAAGAACAGAAAACACGTCCCACACACACTCTTTTGAATTGTGTGTCTTTCCATTCATCTTTTCTCAGTTCCTTTCTAGCTCTCTCTAAAAACAAAGAAGAGGAGCTCTCAAAATTGCCGATTCGATGGCTACCACAAGCACCATCCACATGATGAATCATTCGCTCTCTCATCATCAAACTCAACATTTAAATTCATCTCCCAATAAGTTGATACACTTGACCGATGAATCATCCTCATCCTCATTGAACCATAACAAGAACAACAACAACACTAATTTGGATCATCACTCAAGCACTTCGTCTTTGGCGCATCTCCTCCATTCATCACCACCACCACCTCACGAAAACAGCAATCAATGTTCAAAGGACAACTGCGAATCCCACCACAAGGCTTCTATTAGAAGTAACTCGATCAACTCTTCCAATCTTCATCAACAACAGGACATGATTACCAATAGTAACCACAACAACAAGAACAACGTTTCATCCTCACAACAACAACAACAACAACCTCAGAATCATCAACACCCTAACGAAAACAGCACTACCACTTCAGCCCCAACTGGTCTTCTTCCTTCAAAGAGTACAAGTCGGTGGACCAAACTGAAACAAGCCTTCAAAAGGGAACATCAAGGATCTGCTGCTGGAGCTCACAATGATAAGAAATCAACAACACTAACGACAAGTTCAACAACAACAACAACAACAACCAATAGTGTGAATCCATCCTCCTCTCAATCTCATACTCTTCTCAACTCTTCAAACAAACAACAACAACACAATGGTTGGACAGGAATGTCTGCGGATCCTTCCAGTCAGTCCGATCCATCCTTTAATATTACTTCCTCACAACAACAGAATCTCTCCATTCATCAAAAGAATGTACATCTTTCATCCTCTTCATCCAATGGTGTTGGATCATTAAAACCAACAACTCATGCGGATCATTCGAGTGATGACAGCCAACAACAAAACATCATCTCGGACGATCCAACCATGATGTCCTTTGAAACCTTTCTCTCTGTCAATACATTAAGTGCATCACCAAAATCAACTGGACAATCTTCTTATCATACTTCCCCTTCTTCGTCCATCATGAATCATTCCTATCAAACAAGAATGACTTCACCAACAACGGCACATTTGAAAGTTTCTAATGCTTACTTGTTTAATGAGGATGATAGAAATTGTGTCACAAGTCCTTCTGGGCTCTCTGTTTCTTCAATGAATAGTGAGCCACCTCCTGTAGCATCTTTTGTCATTCAATCACAATCTTCACCAAGTTTAACCAACAATTTAACAAAGAAAAAGAAAACATTTACTCCAACAAATGACATGAATGAAGAAATGGTGGATCCATTACCAGCCAGTAAGAAAGCAAAAGGAAATATTAAGAGACTAATTGCAATGCTAACTCCTAGGAGAAGAAGAAACTCAAAACATGAAGATCCAAAATTAGACAATGGAAAGTCAAAACTTTCAATCAAATCTTCCAATGTTGATAACATTAATGATCCAGCTCTTTTAGATGTTGCTCACAAGAGGCAACTATTTGAGAAAAAAACTGCAGAAATAGGATCTAAACCTGTAAATAGTGATGAACATTTGAAATTTTTGCAAAAAGAAAGAATTGTGACAGCACAAATTCAACATTTCAAACAAAGTCAAGAAGAACATGTCGAGTTGCAACTCATTCAAAAACGAAAATACAGTGTTTCTGGAAAATTAGCGACTTGGTTAAGGGCAGGAAGAGATAACAGTGACAAACCAAAATCTCAGTCGTTTGGTGATGACAAAAAGGAGAAAAGGAAATCACTTTCTGAAGTTCTGAAAAGTTATAATTTTTCGAGCAGCAATGGTTCAGATAATTCTGACAGGGTGACTACACTTTCGAAAATTCACAGATTGGTGGCATCCAATAACAACCATCATAATAACACTAAGAGCAATACAGATCCCACTCATACTGTAAAATCAAGTGATATTACATCCGATGATAGCCTTACGGATGTTCCAATGACAATTGATCCACCAAAGTCTTCACCTCGATCTAATGTTCCACTTTTGGCTTTGCAATCTGAAGAGTTTAGAAAGACAACCGAACAGATTGCTCTCGAATTGGATGAAATTGGAGATGAATTATCACGCGAGAGCGATATCATTGAAGAACCAGAAAAACCAAGCAACCAAAATGCTTCAACATCTCCACCTTCTTTGAATGTGACACTCCCAGAACATTTTCCAAAAAGTGTTTCAAGTCCAATCCTTGACATTGATCAGGAGGACTACAATGTCATGTCTCCTGTTCGTCTTCCAAGTACAATCAATGAGAATGAACCTTCAATGCGACGTTCTACCCTCTCCATAGTTCCTGATTTTTCATTGCTAAAACCAAACCAAGTGTATTACTACATCTTGGATAATTATGTGAATAATTCAGATTTTGATGATCACACGTGTGCCGAGAAAGTTGAAGAGTTTTTAAATGCATACATTGAATATTTTCAAAATGTTGAACATTCCCAGAGCGACGATAATAGTGGTCTCTCTCCTTCTACATTCACTGAGGCAGATGTTCGAAACTTGAGAGACAAGGAACGACCAAAATGTTACTTGATGCATCAAGCAGCAAAGAAAAATAGATATTCTTTGATTTATTTACTTTCTACCAAGTACAATTGTGATGTAGAAGCTCAAGACGATTTAGAATCATCTCCACTGCATTGGGCATGTTCACATAGAGCTATCGATTCCATCATGGTTTTATGTCAACTCAAAGCAAAAGTTAACATTAGAGACAAGTATGGAAAAGCTCCTCTTCACTTGTTGTTAACGAAGGCCATTGCAGATGAGGCTAATTGCAATTTATCAAGTGCTAAACAATGCTTTAAAGGAGCACAAATTTTATGTAACATGTTTGATGGAGATTACAATTTCAAGACCTCTGATGGTTCAACAATTTTACATATTGCATGTGAATTGGGAAGAATGGAAGTGGTTAAATTTTTAGTGGGAGAATCGAACGATGTGATGCAAGGAACAGGAACACAAGGTTCGAATCGAGTTTTGCTGAATTCCAAAGATAAGATTGGAAAGACGCCTCTAATGAGAGCTGCAACCAGAGGCCATCTCGACATTGTAGAATATATTATTGTTAATTCCAAGCCTAGTGTTGTTTTCGGACCCATGTCAAGAGATGACAAGAAACAAAATATTCTTCATCAAGCGGCTCTTCAAGGTCTTGACGCTCTCGTTAACAGAATTGCATTTCATAATCCAAATGCATGTGCAAACATGATGCAAGAACAAGATATATCTGGCAATTCACCTCTTCATTTAGCTGTTAGTAAGGGAAACGTCAAAACAGTGAATTTATTTTTGACACTACTCAACAAGGATGTTGTCAACGTGACAAACGAGAAGGGAGAAACGCCTCTACATTTGGCATGCAAAGTGAAAGACAAGAAGGCAGCAGAAAAGATTTGTAGATATTTACTTCAAAATGGTGCAAATCCAGATGTTAAAGACAACAAACAACAAACTCCAAGACAGTTAGCATTGGAAAATGAGTTGCAAGTTGAATTTGCGGGTAGCAAGAATAAAAAGAAGTAGCACAAGATTTTGATTTCCTGAAACAATTACATCTCAATAGGATATGATTTTGTGATCCGTACACTTTTCATGTTTGAGGATTTGACCGAGGTATAATTGTTGTTTCAATTTTCCTTTCCCTATCGATTTTTTTTTGCATTTTCTCAAACCAAATTTTGAAGCGCCAAATGAAAAAGCCCGCTTTCGCTCTTGAAAGGAAGAATGTTGTCCTTCATACTAACGGACGAAGTGCTATGCTGAAGTCGATTCGAAAAAGATTTGTCTTCTTATTCACACACTTCCAAAGCAACTCTAGGAATGAATTCACAATGTTGTGGCTTCCACTTCAAGAATGGATACTGCAATAGAAAGGGTCAATCACAGCTAAGATTTGTTTACTTTTATTTTTTTGTACCTTTAGCAAAAGATGAAAAGTTGAAAGGAAGGGCATTATTAGATTTATAGGCCTTTCCAAGAGGTTTTTTTCTTTGATTTCAAATCCTCAATCATCATCTTAAACTCATTAGAAATTGTGAATCGAAGGAACATATCTGGCATGATGGTACTCATAATCTCATGTACAATGGAGTCAAATAATTCATAAGCTTCTAGTGATGTAAAAAATCCATTTGTGGACATCTTTTGAGCCACAATCTCCTTCAACTTGCCTGTCGTATTGAGTAAATTCACACTGTCTTCATCGAATAAAAATTCATGAGCAATGGTTCTTGCTTTGTGTTCCAATGTGATACGAGAAAAGCTTAATTGTCGAGAATTTGTGCATTCCAATGATTTCTGATAGATTTCTTTGTAAGTTTTTACATGCTCATAAAACAAGATATTTTCTGCATTGAATTCTCTCAGAGCGAATAGTTTGAAATACCTTCTTTTGTTGTCACAATCTAACACAGATCGAAGAGTAAAGTCTTCTTTTTTTGCTTTAATCTCTTCTTGAGAGAGAGTAGCAGAGTTCAAACAAGTTCTCGATTTTTTCTTTCTCTTTCGTAACTCTTTTTTAGCGAATGCGGTTTGTTTGTTTTCTTCAGAAATTTTTCTTTCCTTAGAGATGACTTGGAATTCAAATTTCTTATGCACTTTCTTTACAGGTTGAATGTTTTTTGTCATAATGGAAGGATCAAATACCATTGTGGTGGATTGGATGGTTTTGTTGACACTTGTCAGTGCTAGTGCCTCTCTCTGAGTTGTTTCATCCACACGAAAAGATGATCGCAATTCTGTCACATTAGGGTTGTCACAAGGAGAACAAGTTAATTGTTGCGAGAGTTTTGTCTCTTTCTGTTGTTCTTGATGTTGTTGATGTAATAGTTCCTCAGTGTGGTAAATTCTCGATCGTTGATGATGAACTTCCTCTTGTTTGTCTTGTTGTTCGACACCTTCTTCATTCATAGGAAAGACAGGATCTTTATGTTCGCTGATGACATCCACTCTCTGGTGATTGTTTTCCTTCTTGAATGTATCCAAATGAAGATAAGGATCATCATTGCTACCTGCATGAACACGAGTCTGTAATTGAGCATTCATTTGTTGTTGTATCTCTCGCAAGTGCTCTTCCTGTAAAGACGGTGATGAGTGAGTGGAGGTGACCGAAGATCTTCTCATCTCCGAGTTGGAACAACTTTCTCTTCGACCATCATGACAACTACTACTACCAGTATCACTGGAAGAGTCTCTGAATTCAAGGTTTGAATCTTGTCCACCACCACTAATACCACCACTCGAATTTGCTAACCAAGGCAAGGACAAGACCACAGTGACCAACACATCGGGAGCTCTCTCTTGCAATTCATGATCAAACACATGTTCCACTCTCCCTTTTCGAATTAAAACCATTTTCGGAAGGAGTGTATTCGTACCATGACCAATGCCAAGTGCTTCATGTTGTGAAGGATTTACAAATGAAAAGCCTTCCCCTCTCGCACGAATGTATTCCTTAAAGACATTCAAACCTTTAATGCATTTGGGATCTTGAAAGGAGAGAGGCTTGTTGCATTTGGGATCATGGAATAATTGTTGAGCGAGAAGATAGTTTGGATCCGACACTCTCAACATGTCCCGAAGGATGGAAACATTCTGAAATTTCAATGAGTAGAAGAATTCATCTGCTTCGTGTTCATACTCTCCATGAAGGATCACAGGTACCACTCCGAGTTGCAACAAGGATTTGTACCACTCGATGATCTGGGATAGACGTCTATTGCAAAAACCACATCCATTGCCTTTGAGGTAACGACGAAGGACGAGAAGGACCGTGCATCGTTCGGAGAGAGCAGCCACATTGATTTTGGGTTGGAATTCCAATGAAGAGTGAGGTGGTGCTGAGGAGGAGGAGGAGGAGGATGGAGAAGATGGGGAGGTATTATCCTGTACAGTAGTGTTGTTGTTATTGTTGTTATTGTTGTTGTTATTATTACTATCAGTGTGGATCGAGGCTTTCTCTGGATTCATCGATGAAGGAGGTTGTTCGTGGGCTGTCGTCTTCAAGACACTTGTTGTTGGGTCATCTTGTTGTTGTTTCGGCCGAAACAAACGTTCCGAATTGTAAATGATCATCTTGGAGAGGATGAGCCGAGTCGTTAGATCATGCTGACCACCTTGTTCATCATGACAAGTCGTAGTGCCATCATGATGATGAGGTGAGAGGTTGTGTTCGGTTTGAACATGTTCTTGTTTTGGTTGGTGTTGAGAAGGATGATAATGAGAGATCATGGTGATGATGATGATAGGATGAAGAGCCTCCGTTAATGGATAAAGCTGCCACGAATCGTTGAGAGGAGTTATCGGGGTGATGGTGGTCTATGATTGCTCTCCTTGACGTCACGTGCGTGTGTGATTGACAGAAAGTGGTGCAATGATGAGATGTTTCTTCTTCTAATTGAAAATAATTGGAGAGACAAGCTGTAGATGATCATGATCCTTAATCGATCTTTGAACAAATGTTGAGATGTTTTAACTGCGGTAAATTCATTGACAGCCTGTCAAAGGTTGTGATGTCTTGGTCAGAGACCTCTCCCTAAAACAAATGAATTCGCAAGTCAATTATTGCAACTCTAATAGAATGGTGCACGAGGAGGAACATTTCAAATTTGTGTTTGAATGCTAAATATCTTTCCGAAAGTTGCTTTCGCTTTCAGAAATTTAATACTTAATTTCCCATTTCAAACTAGTTTTTCCAATACATATTATCAATTTTAGTCCAGCAAAGAAAGAGGAATGAAAAGAGAAAGAAGAGAAGGAATATCTTGATGAATTTGTCAAACTGGAAGGTCTTTTCGCTGCCAAATGTCACTTCGAAAAAATATGAGCAACTCCTTGGGATTGAGAAAGGTCGGGAGCTTTCACTACCGATCACGAACAATGAATTACCACAAACCTCTTCCCCAACCACCCTCCTTTTCATCATCAAACAAACCTCTTCCTGTTCCTTCTTCCACTTTCCAACCCATCACTGAAGACGAAGAAGAGCTTCTTTCTTTGATGCGAATGGACGGAGCAAACATGTTTGTGATTGGACTGTGGAATGATGTGGAGGTGGTTTCATCAAGAAGGCTAAGCAAGATTAAATTTGATACCATGTGTTATATTTCCGAGGATGGAAAGGCACTTGTTTGTGAGAGTGATATGGTTCCTTCCTCATCGGGCTCTTTGACTTGTGCTCAACGAAGAAGTAACAGTAAGTACCTGCCAATTTTCTGCAAGTTGTTGTTATATAAAATAATTGAATTTTATTGTTGAACAAATCATCATCTATGAATTCTATGAATGTTATGAATTTTGTGGTGTTGAATGAATTCTCATATCACTTCATTTGGAAAAACGTCATCTTGTTTCCATGGATGATGCTATCGTCCTCTTTCAAAGTCATTCTATTCTCCGAAGTCGAAAAGATTCTACCCTATTATCAATGCTTTGATTTACTTGAGAATGGTGATAACCAATCCACATTCATCACTGCTCTTACAACCTCATCCTCTCTCTCCATCTCTTCTAAGATTCCCATCACTCCACAAGAAGCTCAAGAATGTATTTCCTTCTTCCAACGTTATTTCATTTCTGGCTATGAAAATAAGGATCAAAACTATGAACGAGCTCTCATTCCCTACATGTATCAAATGTTTATGGTGAAACGAAAGAATTTCAAGAAAAACCTCGGATTCATTCTGTCAGGTATGTAACGAACATTGAGACTCAATTGAATTTTTTGAAAAGAAACAAGAAATATCTTTCCGAATTGGATTGAATGGATCGATGATGCTGATGGATGAATTCAAATCACCTCTTTGGTCCCTTATAACGCGTTGCTCTTTCTTTCTCGGGAACAACCGCTCTAAATATGTCTTGGTATTTTTACATTATGGTGACATGATTAATTTTGCAATGATGGTGATTAATTCGACACAACCACTCACGACGACAACAACTTTTCATCTTTTACAACAACACCTGATCTTATATGGACACACATCTTCCACAACACGATGATGAAAAATGCATTCACCAAACAATACTCAAACCATGTCGTTGGAACGGCAAAACAACTTTTTGATGAATCGCTCTCCATTCTCCTCCTCCTCCTCAACACTGCTGTCATCATCATCAACCACAACATCACTTCCCTTAATTGCTACGACCTCTCTTTGCCGTTCCTCTTCTCAAATTTTTGATAATTATTTTGGAAATTCTTCATCGTCGGATTCATCTCCGATCACATCCAATGATGGTGATGATCGTGATGATGAATCAACAATACCAATCACAACTTCATCCATAATTATTTCAAACAATCATGACGCTATTCCTCCACCTCCTCCTCCACGTGTTGCCAAACCTCTTCCTTCAATTCCAAAATTCCAAAATCATCAACAACATCATCTTACACCAACAAATTCTCCTACTCTTCAACAACAACAACAAATTTCACTAACATCTCCTGCTACACATTCACCTCCTTCAATTATTGTTTCATGTTCTCATCATAATCGCCACATAACAGACCCGATGCAAGCCTCCACTTGGATTAAGGGTCTTCAGATGTTTATGGATGATTCACGAGGCGTATTATCAGCATCAAGTGTAGCACGAACTACCAACAGGAATGCTCTACCGGAGTCTCAAACAGCCAATGTCGTTGAAGAGAATGGATCTTCAGTGAACAAAAAGATGCACAAGAAGCATTCATCTTTCGGAGAGTCTATCAGGCAAAAACTGAAAGTTTCTTCAAAGGCTTCAACAGGAACTGAAGTTGCAGATGCTCTTGGAAATGACGAATACATGTCATCACCGAATTCGGGTTTTTCTCCAAAAAGTCCAGGAAATGCAAAACCTCTTCCTTTTCCAATTAAGAAAGAATCACACAGTCCTCTTTTACTGACACCAACTATTTCTACTGAAACGTCATCATCGTCCAATGAAATTGCAAAACAGTTACAAAAGTTAAAGAAAACACCAGCCACTCCAACATCAAATTCTAACAATACAAATTTGGAAGTGAAAAACGACTCCAATGCTCAAACAAATGAGGACAAGCAATTATTTGAAGTAGTTGTTGTGGTTAAATTAAGGAAAAAGGACGACAAGTTAGAGCCATTTATTCATTATGAATTTCCACCCCAAACAGGTCGAAGTAGTAAGAGTCAGCAAATTATTAACAGTGTTCCTTTATTTTGCTGTAAGTTATCATTATTTATCATTGTAGATATCAACATTGTGATATCAAACAGTTCCTGACATTGACATTGTTAAAGAACAAGAATCCCTTTCAGGCGGAAATAAGAAGACTTATAGCTTTGTATTAACAGATATTGATGGTACACGAAAATATGGATATTGTCGACGAATGTTACCGACTGGAACCGGAAAGCGGTTACCAGAAACATTCTGTATAATCTCTGCACACTCATGTTTTGGATTATTCTCAACAATATTAGATAATATTGAAATTAGAAACGAGATTAACAACGTATCGTGTTACCAATTTTTAAAGACTGTACTTGCTAATCCTTTCCCTTCTCCTGGAACTTGTACAATAATTCGAACAGTGAATCCGAAAAGTGGTCAACAAGAAGAGGTTAAATTATCTCGACCCAATGTGGCAGACCCCATGTTGGAATATGTAAGTGTTGTGACATGTATGCATGTACAAGGTTCATTCTTTCATTGAAAAATTTCAGATTAATTTTAATGTATTATTTGAATGCCTTTCTGCTGAAAACCTTCTAACAGTATTTTCATTTCTACTAACCGAAAGACGAATAATTTGCTTTGCCAAAGACATCACCAGGCTCTCTTCTTTTTGCCAGGCCATTATTTCTCTATTGTATCCTTTTACATGGCAGCATATATTCATACCTGTACTCCCTCAAAGTCTCATTGATTATGTATGCAGTCCGGTTCCATTCGTCATAGGAGTGTTGAGCAATCATAAACAATATGTTGACGAGCTTAGAAAGGAAGGACAAATGGAGTCTGAGGTATTACTTGTTGATTTAAACTCTGGAAAAGTAGTGGAACCAGCTAGTTTGAAAGATAACAAGAGTATAATTCCTGATGTAAAAGAATTTATCAAAAAATTATCCAAAGTATCAAAGGAAATTACAAGCTCAAAGTCAGGTTCTAACCAAATAGCTATGGCAAAGGATACATTTTTACTATTTTTCGTAAATCTTTTTGGAGATTACAAAGCATATGTAAAACCAAATCAAGAGTTCTATTCTGTAACAGATCCCAAGAAAAAGAAGGACATACCTGAGTGGATCTTTGATATTCCTCTATTTATTGAAACCAAAACCAAACAGTTCAAGAAAAACGGAAAGTTTTTCACAGTTTTCACACAATGCCAAATGTTTGAACGGTGGTCCTCTGAAATAGCGAATGAAACATTGAACCAGAAAAAAGGAAATACCAGCGAGTATGGATTATTCGAACAATTATCTGGCACATTTCAGCAACAGATCACAAATGAGCTGTACAAGAAGAAGTAAATTGTTATTTCTTCTCAATGTTCAGGCTTGTTGGAATAATTCCTGATTTGTGTTTCGACATGAAGGTATCAAAACTTCGTCGAGTGAGCAATTCGTGACCACCTACAACAGGTGATACTTCTTCTGGAATATTAATAACGCTACTGAATGTCGAGACTGCAGCAGGAATGACAAAGGCTGCAGAGGCAGAGCGCCAAGGTGTCTTTGGATGAAAACTTTTGATGAATTCAATATATTGACTCTTTCTTCCGCACAAAAACATAATATCCCCTTTCTGCAGCACTGTATTCGGTCTCGGATGTGTATAGACATAGTAGAAATCTTCATCAACTGTTTTACTAGAATCTTGATCACTAAGAAAGTATTTTGGTCGGTAAAGAGCCAACAAAATCTACCATTCAAGAACGTTTGGGTCGAGGATCACAATTAAGATGTGAAGGATTAATTAAGGAAAAGGTAAAAACTAAAGATACATACCAAGCCAGCTTTTCTGCATAACTCAACAAAAAGAGTACCCACCGACATTCCGAAACTCAATTCGGGACATGATTCTTGAAATATTGAACTTCTACTCGAGGAACAAACTCCGTCAATACACATTTGTTCCACCAAATCATTCAACTTTTCCGTATAGAACGATTGAGCTAGCAATTTGGAAATGAAACTAACTGGAATAATTCGACCACTAGAGTATAATTCTGATAGCAAACAAAATTCATTATACTCATCCAAAATCTCTCCAATTCTATATAAGGGATCTTCAAATGCTGACATGGATGTCACACTTTGAAAAATCTTGAGCATCACATCCAAATCATTTCCATAGCGTGCTGTGAAAATTCCACCAATTTGTTTGAGAAATTTAATATTCTTCGTGTTGTTCAACTCCAAAACAAAGAACTTTCTAGGATCAATGTAACTCATGGCAACCACAATCTTGACTGCCTCAGCATCTCGAAAGTAATCTTTAGAATTTAGAAAATCATCTGAGAATCGTGACATGTTTGAAGAAACAAGATTAGAAGTGTTTGTATCAGCTAAAACCATCTCACTATAAGCAGCACTAGAACCTCCGCTGGAAGGTCGTGATAAATACACAATTGTTTCACAATTGGTAATACCCGCTCGTTGTAAATCAAACAAATCTGTTGGACTTCCTCTCATTAGAAAAACTTTGTCAAAAAACTTGAGTCTTTCATATAAGAAATCCACATAAGGACTATCGATCATGCTTGTTCCTTGTACTTTTTTAGAGACGACAATTAATATTGGAATAAAGTGTCGTCTTCTCAAGGAACGAACAGTTGCAACAATGACCAATGGGTATTTGATTTCACCAGTTACAATAATGTGTTTTCTAAGGTGAACCGATTCGGCTGAATCCACAATGAAATCCTCTTTTGGCCTCGCACTTAATAGCAAGTTATAATTTCGCATCATGTTTTTGCAAAAATCGTCAAAAGATTTCTTATCCTCTCTTGAATCTCGTGTCATAAAGTAGGAACTTGGTGCAACACTTCTAAACAATCGATGAATGAATGTTAAGTTCAATTCAAGCTCAGAATAGTTTTTCAAATTTTCAAAATCAAGAGGAGGTTTTGTTAACATGGAATCAAGAGATCGAACCGATTCTGTTTCATCTTCTTCATTGCCTGAGGAATCACTTTCTTCACCATGAATGGAAGTGTCAACTCTCGTCTTTTTTCGTTTTCCTCTTTTTTTAAGGTTCGCGGTCATGACTTCATTCGGTTGATCAATATTTTCAAAATCATTCTCTTCATTCACATAGAAAGATTCATACGATCCAAGCATATCCAACGTGGGTTTGTCAAGTCCATTCATTGCTATTGATTGTCCACTTAAAATACTCTGATCATTGTCTTCAGATTCTGCTGTCTCAACAAAATGATCATGTTCATGTGGTTGTTGTCGATTCAAAGTCACAAGTTGATGTGGTAGTGTCTCTGAATGAAGTGGAGGTGTCACACCCATCTCCCCTGTTGTTGCTTCTCTTTCTGTCTTTTCTGAGGTGGTTGAACTTTCATCATTCGCATTGGCATTTTCAAATAAATACACCAAATTGGCATGAAAGGCACTTTGTGCAATGACAAATGCCTTACATACATTCACATCAATGACATGATCACTTGGATTCAATTCCACAGTAGCTTTAGAAACAAATGACGAAGAGGATGACGAAGAAGGAGGTTGTCCTCTCATTGCATTCTGTCCAGAATTTCCATTACTCTCTGCAGGGATAAATTCCAACGCAAAAAGTGTGATATCAAATTGTTCTCTGAGAAAGATTGCCACGTCAATAAATTTCATTCCATTGAAATATGGAGAGAATGAGACTGAGTAAATTTCATGTCCATAACCATCAAAATATTCATAGAGCCATTCAGAATCGATGTGTTTCTTCTCCTCCTCGGAAAGTTCTTCACCACCGCCATTGCTGCCACTGCCAGATTGATGTCTTCGTTTCCAATATTTTGAAAATCCAAAACCTTTGGCATGTTTTTGCACATGTTCCTTAAATACTTCCAACGATTGTTGAATGTACAAAGTGCTCACCAAGTTAATGACCATGGTACTGAAACCATGATACAAGACATTCATTCCAGCAAGCTTACTGGAGAGCATTTCCGTACAGACCACTACTTTAGCTCCTGAATTGTAGAGATAATATCTGGATTCTGGGAGAGTGACTTGAGCATAAACTTCAATATTACGATTAATATTCTTGATGGCAATGGTGGACATCATGATTGAAGTGTCATTCAATCTTGGATTTGGACTTGCGGTACAATTGAGAAAAAACACAGAATGTGCTTGATGAACTCGAAGTAATTTTGAAGTGTCATAATCTAACAAATCTCCAGTATAGCAAAGAACACGTTGTGAAAGGAAATGTCTTCGAGAAATATCATCTTTGATTGCTTGAATTAACTCCTTATTTCGAGAAACAACTGTTTTGTGAAAAACAATAGTTACATAAAAAGTCAGTAGTTGGTGACACTTACTGAGTGCTTTCTTATTGTTTTTTCCATGCATGGAATGATAAAATTCTCTGAGAAAATCAATGATATTCTCTTTTTCGAAATAACCACTCACAATGATGTGATTCTTTAAATTTCCATGCTTGGCTCTGAAAAGGGCTGTTTCACTTGTTCCTAATTTTAACAATGCCGACAAGTGATAGGGAATGACTGTGACACCCACAAGAAAGCAAAAGATGGACCAATATTTTCCAACCATTGAGGTTGGTGTAATATCTCCATATCCTATGGTTGCCATGGTGATGACCATGAAATAAATACTATCCACTGAGATTTTTAAATGATCAATGATGAACAGAGTAATCCAAGTAATGATGGTTCATCAAAAGAGCGTAAATTTCAAAGTTCATTCTCAACATCAAAACAACTTACACATTCCAAGAACTGCCGTTCCAAAAAGAAATTCAATCAAATGAAAGGTTCCAGAAAAGAATAGCAAGAGTATAATTACAATAAGAATCAAAGTCACAACTTGCACCTGTAGGGAAGGACCAAATCCAAACGAATTTTCAAACATGTAGTTGAGAATATTCTTCTTCCAGGTCAACACAAATAATATTCGAATCAACCTTAATAATCGAAAGAATCCAATGACAATCGAAATACTAAACATGTTAACGTCCAACCCATCATTTCGGTAAAATATCTGTGAATTAAAACCTCCAATCAAAAATAATTTCACAATGGCATACACGAGTAAGGGAATCAATGGAACAATGGTAAAAATGTCAATGAGAGAAGAGAGTTGAAGGATGAAACGCTTTTTGTGTTTGGCCACTAATAATCCAATCAATAACATGACCAAAACACCTAAACACAATGCCAAGTCCACAAAATAAAATCCAGAGATCATGATTCGTCCTCGATTGGTTGGGTTTTGTGTTAATTTCATATTACAAATCAATTCAGCAATGAATACAAAGAAAAACAATATGGAAGAGACAACCTGAAATATTTCCATGTCCACAAAATAGCCATTTTGTTTCAAGTACGCTTTTGCTCGAGATCGATACGTCAATCGGAGAGAGTGTGGAATCTTTGAAGTGTTAAAATGATAAGTGTACAAATGTTTGGATGTGTTGGAGTGAGAATGGCGATGTGAAGTGTCCTGAGATACGTGTGGTGGTGTTGTTTGTGTTGTTGTTGTGGTTTCATCGGGTACGTGTGGGTGGGAGGAAGGATTCGAGAGGTGATTGGTGGGCCTCATGGTGGATGATGGCAGAGGTTCCCTTGTGAGGGTTGTCGCTCTCGAGAAGGACGAATTCGACATTTGTTTGGTTGTTGAATAAAGCATTAATACATTTCAACACTTATATAGGATCGTCACGTTCTTTGCAAACTTTTTTTCTTTTACCAGTTCCAATTTTTGAAATTTTCCAAAGTATGCTTATAAGCTTACAGACCATCAGCATCCGTCCATCAGCAATTCGAAACGACTCGTTGAAAATGTGTTGTTTTACCTTCGAATAACACCCTTTCCTCATAGTCGTCACCTCACTGCTCGAAAGGGGAATATTAAAGTCATTTGGAAATCTCGTGCAATTTCTCACTACGACAGTAAATTCTTGGACGAATCGTCGTCACTGGAATCATTGAATTTTACAAAAGATGTTTAAAGGATAATATTCTTCAAGGGAGTAGGTAAGAGGAGAAGGAGAAAGGCCAAACCCACCATCACCACCACTTTCTCAACTTTTCAGAGAAATCACAAAACCCTCACCTGCTGCAGAACATTCGCACATTCATTGGACTGGTAATTGCAGCAATTCATTGAATTCATGAATCTGAGTATAGTGCCGCATCGTGACCCACCATCCTTTTATCGTAGTTTCAACACGCTGCCGTTTTCATATTCGAATACCACCAGGGACCCATCGTCCTTTTATCGTAATTTCCAGAAATCACCTACGTCAACACTCTGAAGAGTATTATTCAACTCAACTGTCGAATTACTCGATACCTATCCCCCGAAACAAAATGTCTCAACAAAAGTACGACCAGCTGTTGCTATCATTCCTTTCTCCTTTCCTAATGGGCACGCCGAATGGAGCTCTTTCAAATTTTACACCACAACTTCCTCCTCAACATCTACAACAACAAGAAGAAGGCATGAATCTATTCGCCTTACTATATCCCGTCATTTCTTCTGTATATTTTAACACCATCTCTATGGGATTGTGTGCGAGTGGTATATCATTAGCAATCACTTTGATGATTGAAAAGTGGGGTTCTAGGGTTGGAGGAGTGATTGGAAGCATTCCAACAGCGGTGGTGCCGTCGACCATGGGTTTTGCTTTGAATGCTTTTGTGAAATTCAACGACCAGCCAAATGAAAGGAAGCATGTCATGATTCGTTCATTCTATTCCATACCCATTGGTACATTAATGACTGCTTTGTTTTTGTTGTCATGGAAGGTATTGCCCTCATTCATTGATAAGTATGTGATGAAGAGAATGTGTCGGGACACTCAAGAACAGAATCAAGTTGAAGACCATTCACAATCCCCACCACAGGCTCTTGTGGTTGAACCTGTTCTCTATACATCCAAAGTTTTGGAGTTGGTACCAACTAACGAGTACTCGAACACTACGACGGGCATGAAATCGTTGTTGAAACGTTTACGACTTTCCATCTCGAAAAACAGCATACTGCGAAAAATTGTCATGGCAAGCTTGGTGTGTTTAAGTGGAGTTGGAATTTGGTCTCTTTTGGCTGTGTCCTACATGACCAGCATCACCTTAGTGAATTGGAATGACACCATTCACATCATGATCAGCTGTGTGTGTTTCATATTGCATGTAGGATTAGCTCTTACAACGAGCTGGTCCTATAAACCATACACATCATCGACACTCTCTTCTTCCATCGAAGAAGCACCACAAGAAGAAATGATACCATCACAAAAGTCTTCGTCAAGAAGAAAGAGAATTACCATTCTTGCGCTGAGAGTTGCTTTGCCATTTTGTCTTGTCTCTTTCAGCGTATTACTGAATGCCATGAAGTTGACCTTGTTAGCTGGTCTTGCCGCTTCATTTCCCACGCTGTATATGACCACTTTGTTTACGCTTTGGATTGGTCACCAGGATGAACGATTGGCTGTGGAATCTGTTGGACCAATGGTATTAGGATCAGCCTCTGTAAGCTTGTATGCTATTGCCGCTTGCCCCATGATGCTATCGAAATCGTTAGTGGCAGGATCTGTACTCGCATATTCAGTTGCAGTGGGTGTCATCAACGTTCCTGCATTCTTCTATTTGAATTGGAGAAAGAATGTTCATGACGAGAAAATAGAACGAGAAAAAGAAATACAAGCATCACTGTCTAGGAATACCTTAATATTCGAAGAAGCACCTCATTTGGATACAAATCTATCCAATACATCCTCTCCAAGTCAAATCGAAAGTGAGTACACTCATGAAGACAGGGAATACTTGTCATCAGTAATACTACCAACTTGCACAAACTTGAAATCTGTCGAAAGTATGGGTAGCTTGTGTGATACTGCATCAGAGATTCGTAGAAGCACTAGTTCTGAAAGTTTAGTTTCATCATTATCACAAGAAAGTTCGTAGAATAAATGAATGTTATTGTTTTTCGCTAATAAATAAGGTTGTCATGATTTAACTAGTGTCATTATTCACTCTTTGACTTTTTCTTACTACTTTTATCACCAGATGAAGATGTTGATGCTGACTGACTAGAAATTTGTGCATTCAGTCCTCCTAATAAATTTTTAAATTCCGCTTCACTTTGACCCATTGATTTTTGAGCCTCCTTCATTGCTTCAGGATCTATGAGCTTGGGGAAAACAACAGAAATTAGAACACCAACAACAAGCATAATAACCATTGGATTCTTCAAAATTCCAAGATAATCAAATCCAGGAACAACTTCAAAGTAATTCAACATATTCAACGGTTTAACTCGAAGAACAGGTTCAACCTGAATTCCTTGTTTAACATAGCCAAATCCATCCAAAGTTTGAGCAGCACCAGATTTCTTTTCTTCCTCGGTTAATAATGATGGATGATTCGATGGAATCATTGCAACTCCTCTCATCTTTCCACTCTTTGAAACATCAATTCGGATTTTTGGAAATTCAAATCTATGACTCACCAAGTGCAAAATATGTGAACCTGGTGTTAATCCTTCAATCGTAAATGAGCCATCTGCTCTCACAAAATATACTTCTTCCCGTGATGGTGAGTCTTGTCGGAGCAAGAGAATTTTAATTTGATCCTGTTGGTCATCCTTTTTCATGTTTTTAGGTATATCCACCACTTGACCCAATAATATTGTTGGTGCTGTTGTTTCTGATGGTGATTGTTGGAAGCTTTCCGAGACTAAAACACCAACCATCATCAAGACAAACACAGCAAGTAAAATAAATCTTTTCGTTTCTTTTGGATTCATTTTTTGTTTGTGAAGTGAACCAAAGGATGATCCAAGCCAAAACGACAACAAAAGTCAGGTCGTTTGAAAAAGATATCATTCTGAAGGTTGGAGGCGTCTTTTCAATAAAATCCAATAATAATGGTATTCCAATTACTAACCCTCATATTTGCGATCAATATGAGCAAAAGAATCAACATTAAAAGACTTTTTCTCTCAAAATTCTTTTATTTCTTCTACGAAATAATTCTGACTGCAGGGTTCCGACGGCTGAAACAACGATCGCCAAATCTTTGTCTTTGATAATCCGTTCATTTTGCCAACATTTCTTCTTCAGAATCGTATTCTTGTTTTAAGAGATTTTAAATTTTTTAGATGATAAGGAATAGATAAAAACTTACTGATATCAACATCAACTGGTGTTTCACCCTGCACTTTGACTTTTTGTGCTGGGGATACATTAGATGAGGCTTCACTGGAAGATAATTCTTCACTGGCAGAGTATCCAGAATTGCTCATGTTTTTTTAATTGTAATTTTTAAAAATCCACTACAACTTCGAGTGTTTTACAATTTAAACAAGCCTTTAAAGACACAAGAGCCAACATGCAACATGAAGAATTGCAATCAAAAGAAGCCTTATAGTCAGTTCACTTGAGCAATTTCTGCCCGTGCGAGTGATCCAGACTATGTGAGCAACTTGCTATTTCTTCCATTAAACATATTGCATTCCAGACGATAGAATTTCATTTTCATCAGAGATGCAGATCCGACGGATTTTCCACAAACAACCAACATCAACAATCTACCAAATATTTGATTTTGATCCAAATTTGTAAAAATTCTAAACCAACCCGTCAAGTCATTTCTGGAGAGACTTGGATCACATGTTGCAACCACCTCTATCATACCAACTACTTCGCGACATTAAAAAATGTTACAATCATTCTCTCGTTGTTTACGTGGTCGATTTCTAAACTTTCAAAAACCAGTGGTGTTATGGTACTGCATTGGAGAGGGAATTATGCTATTGAATTTGTTGCTGTTAAGCATTTCAACTTTCCAATTCGTGTACACGAGTGTGAATCCTGATGAGCCATTTTCATTGAGAGAAGAGAGAAGAGAAGATTTGTATGCATTGTGGCCAGTGTTGTTGATCATGTTCTTAATCATTGCCTTTGTTTCCATCTTCAAGGTTGGATTGAATGTTTTGTTTTTCATGAAAGCTCGAAGAGAGCAAAAGAAAGCACATGAAGCTCTCAGAGTCTCAGCTGAGGAGGAAGATCGTGAAGAGAGCTCTTCTTCCACCAGTCAATTGAATTATCAAAGCTCTAGAGATGATTCTGTAGGTATTTCTCATCCAGAGACCTCTTTGGAGAATAATACGAGTGGTGAGGGTGAGGGTGGGGGATTCGACGATTCCACTCATGAACATCAGTACTATGTAGTGGTCCATAACATGTTCTCAGAGTCATTCTCATCCTCCTTTTTCTTTGCCTCACTGCTGAGCGTCGCTTCTGAAACAATTGCTGTTCTGATGGGAGTTATTTTGATGTGGAGGTGTCATCATCAAGTTTCAGTAATTACTTGTGTTTCTTTTGTTTTTGTGATTGCATTTCTTCATTGCCTTATTGCTTGTGGAATTATTATGTTTTGTGCATCTTCCAAGTCTTCCATGGTTGGAAAGGAACGCCTTATGGTGACTTCTCCTCCGATTAATGACAGATCACACAATAGAACAACTGTCACTCTTTATGAAACTCTCTAATAAGGTTACAGTGGTAGACCTCACAGAGTAAAATATAAATTTGTAAAATAAATTAATCTTGTTTTTGTTTAGATTTGTCACGAATAATGTTTCGCTCTCTCTTTAAGCCAACTAAAATCGTAACAAGAATTGGAAGAATTAGTGGAAGATAGACAGCAAGTTTTTGAGCATCAGGAAAATGCAACATTGATAACATGGATTCATGGCTGAATGCTTTTAGGGCATTGTAAATTGCACTCTTGGAAAGATGAATCAGTTTTGTCATATCCTTCTCGTGGTTAATGCCTGTACTTAACAGCGAAATGGCATCTTCGATAGCGTGAATAGATTGTCTTGTTAATTCAGCCACTACATCCATGACATAGACATTTGGCATGTTATGCACAACTCTCGACATTGCTTGTAAAGTCTCAGTTGCTTGCAATAAGTTATTCTGAACTCTATGTCGTGATAGTTGATCTATTTCCCATTGAGAAATTCCGTAGATTGCTGATGGAATCTGCATCACATGAATTTTAGATTCTGTTTTTCCTTGTCCTGGCTCATTAATAAAAACAACTGAAGGCACTGGAGCTGGTATGGAGAGTAATCTTCGAAGCTGAGATGAAAATAGTTTCATGATGTACTGCATGTCTTGGTCCTTAAGGTATCTAATGTCAGTAGAGTTTCCTCTGTAAACGAACTTGGATGGGTTGAAAACCAATACTCCTCCCCATCTTGGAATAATATATGAATTGTGCTCGCTAAGAGATCCATCATACTTCTTTATCATTAATGGGGTATATTCGCGAGGTGGAACGAGAAGAAGTAATTGAATAGATGTTTCGTTCGCGTCTTGTGACACAAATTTCCAATCGTTGTTTTCATTAAGTAAAAATTGCATACTCCTTGCTTCAATTTCATGGTATTCTTGGTTATTGTTTTTTGGATCAGATACAGTCAGGTCTGTAATGTTTTGCATTGTTGTAGAATCTGTCCTTTCGAACGTTCTGAATGAATGATAATTTCTAAGCCTTGATAAGTCAGCTTGTTTTGTAGAAAGGCCTCCACTCTTGGTTGGTAATTCACCATATAAAATTGTTTTCCAATCAACAATAAAATCAGCCAAATCGGAGAGCCTATCAGTAAAACCTCTAATATATTTTTCGTATTCACCTGGTGAATTCCATTGAAAGACATAGTTTTTGTATGGTTTCATATTTACAAGAGTCAAAGTAATTCTGTACTTGGTTGCGATCTTATTGACAGTAATGTCGGTGTCATCATAAATAAAGTCTTCGTTTTTCTTTTCAAAAGTATTTTCTATTACATAAGACTTTGGGTTTGAAGAGGTATGTCTGTTTGTTAAAATATTGTAAAATAATTTGGAGGTGGTCGATAGAAAATTTTCGGTAATTGGACCGTTAGTAACAATCCAAGCATGTCTGTGTTGTCCAAGATAAAGTATATGATTGGATGGTTTTTCATCACTCAAAATGATAAATAAATTATAAGTATTTGGTTTGTAGTGTCTATTTGTTTGAGACCATTTGAGCAAAAGATCATCAACAGGTTGAAGCTGCTCAGAATTGTTTCTTTCGACATGAATGTTCAAAACTGATGAGTATTCATAAAACTCAACGCCTTCAATGTGGTCCGATTTCCAAGTTCTAAATTTCTCTTTCAGCGTTTCCACATTTAGATCTTTCTTGTGAAGGACATGAATTTTCAATCGGATTGGTACCAGTAATGAATTCAAGGAAGAAATATCATACTCTAATAATTTCCGAATATCATCATGAGGAAATAATGATTGATAGGCTCCTGTTGAAAACCACCAAATCGTAAATCCCACAACCACAGAAATTAGAAATGAAATGATGATGAGAAATCGCTTGCTATGAATAAGTGATTTCGAGTGATTGCTCATTTTTAATAAATTATATAATTATTTATTAAAAATGAGCAATAAATTATATAATTATTATTTATTATATAAATAATTTTGCAATCAAACAAAAATGATAAACGACAGTGTGATTACAACGGCTCACTCACCTCGTGCACACAGGCTTGAAGTGGAGTTTGAACGAAAGATGGAAGCAACTTCACTTCCTGCTTCCGATTCAGATATTCCTCACAAAAAGATCAAAACACAAATGGATATGATCAAGTTTAAGAAATCAAAAGCCTTCTTGATTTATGATAATTTTATGAAGGAATTGAATGAAGCGACCAAATCAAAACCTAATCCGCAAGACTTTTCCAATGCCTCACCACTTGTTTTTGTTATATTATCATTCTTTGATGAATTAGAAGAATTTATTAATTTATATCCGCCTGTACAAATTAAAGATGGACAAACATCGAGATTCGGAAACTTAGCCTATCGCGATTGGTTCGATAAGATGTGCTCGGAGGCTGATAGAATGATGGACACACTTCTTAACAAGGCTTTGGAATGCTCTAAGTCATCCAAAAATTTATCGAGTAGCCGCGATGGTACTACAACTAGTGAGAACGAAATCACACCATCCTCTTCTTCCTCTTCGTCACCTTCATCCACTTCTTGTGAAAATGCAACATCATATTACTTTACAAAGGAAGATTGGCACCGAAAAGAGTTGAGTGCATATTGGAAAGATAGCTTTGGAAATAGAACACGTATTGATTATGGAACAGGACATGAAGCTACTTTTTGCGCTTGGATGTGTTGTTTGGCTCGATTGAATATTTTCTCAAGAAAAGATTCTTATCACATGGTTGCTGTTATATTTCCTCGCTATGTCGAAGTGATGCGTAAAATATTATTAGTGTACAAATTAGAACCTGCAGGATCTCATGGAGTATGGGGTCTTGATGATCATCAATTTTTAACTTATTTATGGGGAAGTGCTCAATTAATTAATAACCCAGAAGATATTAAGCCATCTTCCATTCATGATCCACAAATAATAGAAAGATATTCTGACAAGTATATGTACCTAGCAGGTATCAAATTCATCAATCAAGTGAAAAAAGGGCCATTTGGCGAACATTCTCCTCTATTGAATGACATTAGTGGTGTTCCAAGATGGATGAAAATCAATTCTGGACTTATTAAGATGTATTATGATGAAGTACTTTTCAAATATGTCGTCATTCAACACTTTTTATTTGGACGATTATTGCCATTCGAACTTGCTGAAGAAAAGTATCCAAATTCCCAGACGAGTCATGGCACGACCTCGAGCACTGTGGTACCAACCTTATCCATGCCAAATCTGTCAGAAATTCATGACATGCATAGTCATCAACGTCATCCTCATGCATCTTCTCCTTACACTCCAACAGTGTTACCATCTTCCTCGTCATCATCACATCCCCACATGTCAACAGTCCCTTCCCTCACACTTGCCCCTCAATCACAGTTTACAACCACTACATTGCGTCCTCCTCCACTCAAATCAACTACAACCTCATTGAGACAGTCAGAGAATAAGGCACAACAGGAACAGTAACCTCTCTGTTTCACAAGTAAGGATCTTGTCAAGATGGAATTGATTTGGAGGAAATCACGGAGTCGGGAAAAAGGAAATCACAATAAAAAAGAAATTCCATCATCCTCGAATGATTGATCACCACCAGCGGAATTCTTCACTGTCAACCACCACAGCTGCATCCAAACATGATGACCAAATCAAGACTGAAGAAGAGGAGAAAATGATCGACTCCATCCCGAGCATGCTCAACCATCCACACCACGACCACCACCATCACAATCCTTCCTCATCGTCATTCGAACACAAATTTAAAACATTTCTCAAAGAATCCCTAGTGGATAATCTGATCGTGCTTCGAAAGTTCATAAAAACGCATGCCAATACTCGGAGCATATTGCTGCTACTTGCGAATATAATCATCACGTGGATTTTTCAATTTGTTTGGTCTCGATTATTTATTTCAAACGTTTACACCATGCTTTCGAATTCGATCAAAGGATTCGATTCATCGCTAGGAGTTGAATTTTTGCAACACATCGGAACACGAGGCCGATACCTTCATCTTCTCTATGAATTAATTGATTTACTGTACTTTATACCGAGTGTGGCTATTTTTCTCTCATGCGTGGTGGAAAAACTGTTTTCTCCTAATAATACATCACAACAATCACTCAACAATTACAACAATCATTCATTCAACAACAATAATAATCACTACAACAACAACAACAACATGTTGACACCCTCAACTACCAATGATAATCATCCTCCAATTCATTTAATGAACAAAATTCACAACATTGCACGAAATTCAGCATGTTGGATGCCCAGTATTTACATGTTATTTGGAGTGTTGGAACATTTGAGTAGTATTTCTGCAATGTTTCATTATGAATTTCACAGTCCGATGACAACTACTTTGTTTTATTTGAGTAGAGCTAGTGTGTGGTGTCAGTACAAGTGGATTTCATTGGCTGTGTTGGTTGTACTTATTATTGGAGGAAGAATTCTGTATTTGGCTTGCTGTTGTTGCTGTAGCTGTGATGATTTTGAATTATCAGGTGGAACTACTCATTATTATCATGATATTCGAGTGGTTGATGAAGACGAAGATGACGAAGAAGTGTTTAGAAGTAATGAGGATGATGATGACGATGTGTAAAATCATTCTTGTCACTCTAATTGTGACCATTGGCGTTTTTGAAATGGAAATAGATCTCTAAGGAGAGAGTTTGTCTGGAGGACCTGTCTCCAACGCGTCTATACCTGTGAATGTTTTTGAAGCAATCCATGAACAGCATTTGCAAATTCGAAGAGGTTGTAAAGTTTATTGAAATATTAAAAAAATGTCCCAAACATCATCCTCATCATCACTCTCGACACATCATTCCTCACTACAGGCGAGCAACAACAAGGAACCTCTGAGCTCTTCTTCACTCTATACGCAAGAGTACATTGAAAACTTGCGGAATGAATTGAAACGAGTCAATAATTCTCTCGCAGTAAATTTCTCAATTCCGAAATTTCAGACTTGTAAATTCTTTGAAAAATTAATTCAAGGATTTGATGAACAACAAGCATATGAAAGTATATTGCTTGCAAAATCGAATGCTCCGAACAAAGACTATATGGTTAATATATTCCGAGAAATTACGAGATGGATATTCATGGTATCTGATCAACCTTCATCATTCAAACAAGCACAGACGCTCAACACAGAACAGCAAGGAAAAAATTCCCTTCGCCTCGATGCATGCACTCTTCCAAACACTATTTCTGAGGATTTGTTAGAGGAGTACAGAAAATTAATTTTATATGATGTCGAGATATTTGGACAAATTATAAGATGGGTTATTTCATTGTTATTCATCAACGAGTCCAAGCATGTTCATAAATACGTGCAATGGGGTCTTCAACAGGCTCAAAATCATATCAAACAAGGGTTAAACGTAGAGTTAAACAAGGAAATTATAAGAGTCACCCAAATAGTTTTCAAACAAGAGATGATAAAGTTTTGCAGTGCATTATTTGAACTTCGTCCTAACCCAACAAGTAACAACTTTGTAATAGAGGAAGAGACACTGTCATACCAATGTAGACAATTAGAACACATCATTGAGCTTGATGCCGTTCATTTTGGTGAAATTATAGAACAATTTTTGTTTATTATTTTGTACAAAATGGCCAAGGTCATTGACCACACAGCCTCTCAAACTGCCTTGACGGGAGAGTTACTTTTTGACATCATTTTTGGTGCTACAAAGCTGTCATTGACCTATATTAACAGACATGTTTCAGTAGTGGAGCAAACTTTAAGATTTTTTCAAAAGAACGCCATTGAGGTTACCATTCCACTATCCCAAGACAAACAAATGGAACTTCTTACTTTAGATAATGAACAGAATTTAGTATCAAAATATGGAGTAATTTTTGAATCGCTTATGATTCTTTCTTGTGTCAGCTTTAAGTTCGTTTTTACCAACTCCTTTCCAAGAGACTGTAAGAGGGTTGGGGCGCTCTTAATTCTAAGGCTATTGGACTTATCATTTGAAAATAAGGATTATCTCAAGCAGTTGTTATTTGAGGTATTTATCCGGGATTTTATCAGAACTGACACAGGAGAGACCAATTTTTCTTTTCTTTCCGAAAAGTTACAACAACACACCCTTACAAAGGAACAGATTGAAAATATGTCTCGAAAAACCCTCCTAGGAATTGATTCTCAAAGCTTTAAGGACATTTTGTTCAAAAGCAACCATGTAACCAAAATGGCTTGGTTCTCTGGTGTCATTAGTGCCATGACTGTACCAAAGCTTGATGTTGAAGTGATCCACAATGGTCACACCTACAATTTGCTTTTTGATGGATTTTTTTCGCTTCTAAACTACTACTGCATAGAGTCTAAAGATTCTGATCTCAAGCTATTCTCAATTTTGAGCTATGGGAATAGCCTTGTTTTTGTACAACAATATGCCAAAATGCAAAAATCAGCGGAAATGGATGCTGATACCAGGCTTTTATTTGAGACAAGAATGTGCAATCTTCTTAAACAAGCAATTCAAATAGTGTTCAGAAATATTGAGAATCCAATTTATGATATCTTTGCTAAAATGAGACAGTTGTTTATGGACGTTTTGGATTTGAGAGATGATCTAACACTAGACGAAATTAAGACACAAATTGATTTGATTGCAATGACTAAAAAACTTCTCGAAACCGAATGGACTAGAAAAGGAAAATACATTTCTTTGATTGCTCTTTTATCACGAGTTGGAGCTGGGAAAATGTATCAATTTTGTCCAGAAGTATTCTCAAGAACTCTCTCAGTATTGGGATATTTAAATGGAAGCGTGAATGGAAACGCCAGTTTATTTTATGAAAGAATGGTTAGCGAGATGTTCAAGGATTGTAAGAAGGACCAAACTCTAATTTCCAAATGGGAAGAAAATTGTTTGTCTCCTATTATCAATTTTCTAGCCAGCTGCGAAAAGAAACAGCGTTCAGCAGTTTTCATTCATCTGTTACCAAAATTATTGAAAGCTAATCCTCATTGTCTTGGATTCCTCGTGAACGGTTGTAAAAACAAATTACAAACATCGAGTACTGCTGCAGAGCATTCTGCATTGTTGCATTCTATCATGTTCACACTTAAAACAGCTAAGAGTTTGACTTTATATGAACTAGATTTTGAACGAGATTTACCTTTCATTGAGAAGGCATTCATCCACAACGATCACGATATTCGATTGGATGCATTCGATTTGGTGGTCACATCAACAAAAAAGACAGCCATGCCTTCCAAACTTGAGTTAGGATTGGTAATCAAATTTGTGAGGCTTAATTTACGAGGATGCAAGAGCTCTTTTAGATATGGTTTTGGAGACGTCATTGAACGTTTTATTAAGAGAGTCAATGAGATTTCGATGAGAATATTCCTATTGTACCAAAAAAATCAATCCTTGGATCTACTCATGGACACGTCACTTCCCACCTCTTTATCAACAAAGAAACTCGAGGAATTGAACAAGGACAGAGACTCTTATGCGTTATTGATGAACTTCTTGTATGAATATGCATTAGAGGTGTTTAATTCACTATATCCTGGTTGTCCTCATGAACGATTACTTGTTGCACTTGATTGCTGCAAGAGCTTGTTGAAAACTTTTTCCAACAATTATACCATTGACGTGTTTTATCCTACCAATGCAGAAAAACAAGTTCCATGGAAAAGAATGAACTTGTTTTCTTCTAAGGTTGTTCTAACATTACTCAATGCCTTAGGAAGCTGCTGGGATAAAGTAAGAGTGGTGATTTATGAATTATTATTAATGTTTCCAGCGCCTTTGAGCGGATTTGAAACACCTGAAAAAGTCAAAATACTTATCACGAATGCATCTGAGCTTATCCAAAGTGCCAGACTTCGAGAATCCGATGCTGGGGCGCTTCTATTCCGATTGCTTTTCAATAAGTACACTGCAGAATTGAACTGGGAGCTCCAACTAGATGATCAACCTGTCATTTACCAGAATGACAAGAGAGAAAACAATGTTTCCACTCAATTAACCTTCTGTAGAAAGCTTACAAGATTACTGAAGGAAAGAACAGAATCATGTTCACAAAACATGTTCAACATCACCAAAGGTTCATCTCTGATAGGAATTTTACAAACATTGATTTACATTATTTCTGACTTGAAATTTTCAAAAGAGAAACAATATGCTGCTGAGTGGAGAGAATGGATGGAAGAACTTGTTGGTACCTTAGAAAAAATATGTGCCATGTCTGTAAAGATTATAGCAGGCATCTCTACAGGAGAAGATTCTGAAGATGGTATTGGAGTTGATTGTCGTGGGCATATTTATTTTGATAACGATGAGCAAGTTACTGAGGACAGTCATTCACTAACTGTGAACTGTTGGCTTGCTGTGAAAGGAGCAGCAATGCTTATTGCTACTATTGTTCAACATGTGGAATTGTATCCGGATCCACAATGTAGGGATGAATTATCACCAGAATGTATTCTCACGTTTTCTCAAATTGAAAAATTAGGAGACATTTTGCTGAACGTGTTGTTGATGACAAAACACAATGGTGCGATTGAAAAATCTGCAGTTGGGTTTAACATGTTGTGTAAAAGGTTAATCACATGTGGAGTTGAAAAGTTGGCCAATATTCCAACAAAATGGATAAGATATCTTCTCGATGGAATTGGTAAAGAAGATTTATTTAGCATATTGAGACGATCTGCAGGATTGCCTTGGACATTTGCTGCAATTATGAAAGCAGAACCAACAGCTCTCCCTAAAAAACTTCTCCCAGAAACAATGGAATATTTACTTCACGTCGCTCTCAATAAGAATAATTATAGCACCAACCAAATAGTCAATGCATTGAATGTTTTGAGATTCTTGTTCCATGACGCAAGTTTAGGTACCTATGTGCAACAATTTGTAGAAGATGGATTTATTGTGTCACTCAAAGGTTTTAGTTCCACGGTTTGGACCATCAAGAACTCTTCATTGATGATGTATACTGCTCTCCTTCATAGATCATTTGGAGACAATGATTCCAACAAGACTGCTATCGAGTTCTTTACAAGATATCCTCGATTAAGGTCCTTCTTACTTGAACAATTAGATTTAGTAACAAATGAAAATCGCGAACAAAAGAGAGTGCTCCATCCCAGCCTTTATCCAATGTTCCTGCTTTTGTCACGTTTAAGACCATCTTTGGAAGAGAGCACTGAGAATAACTCTGTTTCCGCTTTTGTTCCTTATGTCAAGAAATGTTTCACAATGATTCATCATATGGCAAGATCCATTGGTGCAAGAGCTTTGGAGCCGTTGATTCCATCTCATTTGGTGAAAGAGTGTGTTTTAGAATTGATTGCATCGCTTCCATCTCAAATTTCTCAAATTGAAAGCCAAAATCAATTACACGGCCTTCTATGCCAAATTAATAGATTTGTTACCACAAGCTTTAAAGAATTAGAAAATGTACAAGAATTCTCAGTTCAGTGTCTTTCACAGTTAAGTACGAGTTGTGTAGGAACTTTGGAAAATAGATGTTTTGGAACGAGAGCTGTTTTCTTTGAAATTGTCTATCATTTGATACGCTTTACTTATTCAAATTTACCTCAACACGTCATTGATGCATTGTGGAATGCTTCTGTATTTACACTCTTCACTGAAAATGGTTCTACAAATGGACATCCTTGGAAACAAGAAATGTTTGGAAATGCGGCCACTTTGACTTGTATGCTTTATTTCTATTGTCGAGAGGATGTCGATTCAAACCTAATTTTGAATTTAGTTAAACACCCAGTAATGGATGTAAGAAGGGCCACAGTGAAATTCCTATCTAAAAAAGAGCACTATTCTCATATTAAGAATAATTCAACACTTGAACAAATTCGTCCGTTCTTGTTAGAACATGTATTATTTTCAGAAACAGATGTTGAGTGTGCTCGTTTTGGATTGGCTGCACTTGTCACACTTTACACACAACTTGAAACAAACATTTACCAAGATGTGTTAAATATGGAAAACGAATTTCCAGGAATCATCAATAGAGTACCTGAAAGACTTATTTATTTATACAGAAAGGATGCAAATACTGTCATTCATCAACATGTAGTGGAGTTACTTGGTCTATTTATTCCATCTCTTCTCTCCACAGATCCAAACAGCAAATTTGTCAAAATGTGGCTTAAAATTATTGATCATGCTTCAGATCCAGTTCGACAGAGCCACGTACGAGCAGCATGTATTGAAAGTATTGTAAATTCTAGAATTTTATACTCTGTGAGGGACGATTTGTGCAAAACGAGATTTGTTGCTTGGACTTGTCTCATCACTCTGCTTCAAGATGAAGATGATGAAATCCGAGAAAGAGCATCACTAGTTCTATCTCCCTTAATTTCTTCCTTTGATGGAAAAGAAACACCAGATCGTGTTCATTGTTCTGAACTTCAGAGAGAATTTGTGATTGAGAGAACCTTTGCCTTGATTGCCGAAAAGTTTTCACATCTTGATGAATGCAAAAACTTTTTGTTCTCTTGCATTTCTCTTTCTGAAGAATTTAATGAAAAGACAAAAACTTATGAAATCATTCTTCCATTTAAGAACGCATGTGAAGAAACGATGCTCTTTGAAAAGGAAGAAGATAATGTATTCACTGAAGAGTTGGCGATTTCACAATTGGCATCTTTCCACTTGTCAAGAATGTCTCTCTATGAAACAACGAAACAAGAAATGATTAACAAGTTGGAAAAACAAGTAACAACCGTTTTAGAAATTTTGTCAACCCAAAGAAAACAACAACTAGGATTGTTTTGGCTTGGAAATTATACCTATCAACCTACTATATTTATTACATTGGCTAAATTGATACTCTCCTTGAATGCGCTTGGACATTTGAGATTTAACACCCAACAGCTTACGTCTTATTTGAAGAATCAAGAAATTTTGGAGTTGCACTATTTGCTGGAATCACAATTTAACTTTTTCCTTTTGTCTCAGCAGTAGTTGATAAAGCCGTTTCAGACAATGTTGCTCATAGACCAAATATGATACGACGATTGATAGTAGGATGTTTTGTGACACACACGGATGGTTAGGTCAAAATGTCGTTTGTCAGGAAAAAAAATGCATTCGAGACGAACTCTTAGCATTAGGTTTGTATTCGTCAGATTGTGTTCCAAGATCTTGTCGCTATGAACCCATATATGCTTTTATTTTCATGCAGTATCACTGGAATAGTAGGAATTCTAACATGCCTTGTTTTTGCAGGCATGGCATCATGGGGAGGTATGTGCTGTTGAGAAAGTGGCGCGTTTCGTTCAAGTATCGCATGAACACACAGTTTATATTTATTCTTCCTTTCACAAATATACCTTTTCAACTTTGAGATGTGATCGAATATCCATTAACATCGATATGTTTTGTTTAAGTGATGAAGAAAAGGAACGCACCACACTGTACACACTCGTGCAAATGACATCAGGATTTCTTATTTTGACAATGATAGGTGTTATGATTGCGATGGCTTCCATGCTCTATACATCAGTGCAGCTAGAAGTCTATTCACCTCTTTAAATCCATTCATTATGACACAATTTGCCATTTTGTGCAGTTCGTGCTGTTTGGTGTGTTTGTGCTGGAGTGTACCTTTGTGTCTTTCAAGCTTCATGGCGAAAAGAAGAATAGATCACCAAGGATATCAGGCCTTGGAAAATTAATTTGGTTGTTTCAAATAATGAAATTTAATGTTCAATGTTGTTGACAAATAAATGGGAGAATTAAAGTGAAAAATATGATCGTTCGTTCGGAATGTTACACAACACGCCATATTGAAATCAATCATATGAATTACTCAAATTGAGGTTTGTTCAAGGTTTTGTTTTCTTTTTTTTGGTTTCTTAATGGCCTTAAACCATGATACAAGAGGTGAATGATAAGAAATGGATTGGTCGATAGGAAGTATTGTTGAATTAATAATCATGTATCGTGCATGATCTTGTTCTCGCACTGACATGGAAATATAATCCACAGTTGTGAAATTTGAGCTTGCATTGGTTTGAACAATGGGATTGCTAATGACTTGAGTTAAATGACTCTCATTGAAAAATTTGTCACTGCTCGCTAAATTCAAATCTCCAACGAGGAAAAATGTTTCAAAGGTTCTATCTCGAATGCCATAATTTGACCAAACAGACTCCAGAATACGAGATGCATGTTGAGCTTGTTCATACTGTTCATGCTTATTTCTCACTGAAAAGCTACTACTAAAAAAGTAAAAATCTGTCAAGGAAGTATTGGTGGAATCGTTGTCTTCAATGCTATCAAAATCTTTTGTCCTTATGTAAGCTTTGACCATGACTGCTTGCTCTGATTCGTTAGATGGGAGTAAATAAAAAGCACGATCTTCTAGAGGATATGCTGATAATATTGAACAACCAAACGATCCCTCTCGTAAAGAAGGTCCATAATATTCATACATGTTTAAATAAAAGCTCAAATATTCCAAAAGGTCGTTGTTAGAGGCAGAGATTCTATTGGTATCGCTTTGCTGTAGTCCAATGACGGTGGCTTGGCCTTGTTTTAGAATTTCTAGTACTCGTTTAAAGTTATTTCTTCCATAAAGGTCATATCCATTGTGAACATTAAAAGTCATCAATGCAATCTCATCCTTGTATTGATTGATTGGAGCTTTGGCATAAAAAAATCGATATCCCAAGCTTGGAAACAGAGTCGCACAACACACAATAATTACGACGGTCAGTACTCTCTTGTCAATGTGCATGAAAGGAGATTGACGGACTTTCTTTTTACCATCGTCTCGAATGAACCATTTGAAAAAAGAGGAAACGATACCATCATTTGGATTTTGAAATGGATTACTTGAGAGAGGGTCTTGTTTTCTTCCCAAAACAGGTCGTCTAATAATATTTCCCAAACCAATGCCAAATGTGGCAATGATAACACAGCTAAAAATTAGTAAAGCATGAGCTTCTTTTCTAATAAACCTCATCCATGTGACACTTGAATCTTGATTGCTCGATGGTGTAGAAAATTCCAAAAGTACTACTTGGAAAATATAAATGAACAGTCCAGTAACACAGCAAAGAGCAGCAGATAAATTTGATGCAGCATATGAGTATCCAGTATGCTTTCTGATTAAAACGTGAATCCAAATAGATGGCAACACCAGGGAAGCAACAATTGAAGCCATCAAAATAAGAATAGAGTATGTGGTATCATTGGTTGGGATGTAGGAAAGCATGAAGGCAAAACTCAACATGACAATAAATCCGATAATAGATCTCAAAATTAATGTCACATTTGCCAGAATTAAGCCCAAATTTAAGGCAATGACTATGAATAAATTACAAGGAAAGCCAGGAAATCCACTCCATCTAACACCACGAGATTAATAAATATTAGATTCAAAAGTTCATTACTTACCTCACTAATGTAGTTCCAGAGGTAAAAAGCCAGTGAGTAATAAAAAGTAGACAGCCAAAAGAAACACCTCTCGACAGAGCGGAATATAAAATTTGAAATCTAGAGTTTCTTTTTTCAGTCACCTCTGTCACATGTTCATTCTCGTCAATTTCATACCGTTCTTGGTCCTGATTATCCTCTGATTCTTCCTGCTCTTGTTGTAATATCCATCGCCTCCATAAAAACACAATTACTTCTTCAGTGAGAGACACCAGAGCAAATGCCAAACAAAATATAAGGGACAACAATGAGATTTTCCATGTCCTCTCTCCAATAAATAGTGGATTTAGAGAACAATAGCCCAACCTAATATTAACAATAAGTATCCAGCCAATCACAAATGACCATAATCCTCTTTCGTACTGTTTCTTGTGGGCATCTCTAATGCAGTATGTTAAATGTCCAATTAAAAATATTAAGGAAACACCCAAGCAAATGACTCTATTCTGAATCTCTGGACCACTAAATGCTGGTAAATTTGTGACAAGTCCAATACAACTGCACAAATAAAAAAAGGGTCTTCTGCAAATATGTAAGGTAATATCTAATCGCTCGCTCCATGACTGTTTCTTCTCTTCCAAATATTCAAAGTTAAATTCAAGTAATTTTTCTTCTACAGGAGGAAGTTTTGAAGTACTTGTAATTAGCAAAGGAGTTGATGGGCTATTATCTGCAGTGAGGTGATGGTGCATTCTCAATCTTCGTCCCCTAATCACAGTATCGTCTGATTCTTCCAGTACTCTCATTAATGATTCGCTCCTTCCTCCCAAAATATGTGACGACGGTGAAGGGTGTTGATAATAGTAATCCTGTAAAGACCCTCCACTAAGTCCAACATGAGAAGATTCCCTGGATCCAGGTATCGGAAGAAATGATGGCGTTTTACTCGTCGATACTTTCCTATTGTTGGAGGTGTTGTTGTTATTGTTAATGCTGGTAGAGCTATTATTGTTTGGGAAATCGAATGCAGTGGATAGATGGGTAGTTTCTTTACCGGTAGGATGGTGGTGCGTGATGGTGGACGAGCTCGATGCTGCCAATTTGCTCTCTCTGTAACTCATGATCAAAGATTTACATTTGGAAGCAATCGAAATGAATACAAATATAGTACAAGGGATGAAGAAGGTAGAAACAAGTGGAATGATGGGTGGAACGCTTGCAAGTTCAAGCTTAACGTAACCTTGAAATAATAATGAAAAGAACTCGATGAGAAATGACCACGTGAGAAAGCCTTTTTACGAATATATATTATTGATGATATTGGATGATGAATATCAGTGTTGTTTTTCATCCAGATGATCATGAGGTGAATATAGGATGATGATCACAATTGTACCGGCCGATATTGATGGTCAAGTAGGGTTTAGCAGTTTTGAAAAAACACTTCCAATCTATCGTTAAGAGATAAAACAACAAAACCTACCAAAATAAATATCCGAACTAAAACCAAACCAATACAAACAATTCATCAATATTCGGTATTTGTTTTGCTCGCTTTCCTTCTTGTTGGTGTAATATGAAAAGTAATTGTCATAGAATTCATCTTGGTGACTGTCTCGTTTATTTTCCACTTGCGGAGATGTCAATGATGATGAGAATTTAGAAGAGGAGGAACGCTGCATCCGTGGTGGGTTCGTGGGTTCGTGGGTTCGCTTGAGAGAGTGATGACGGTAATCGAAAATGATTCGCAGTTTTGCAGCACACAACGCTTTAATGATGATGGCACAACCTCATCGGAGTGGTGAAGTGATATATTTTTATGGTGAGGAATGAATTTCAAGGAGTTACTTCACAAAATCCCGGTATTCAAAAACACACGTTCGCCGAATCAGGTTTCATTCAAAACTGATGGAACCCAAATACATCCTGTCAAAATTGTGTGATACAAGTTTATTATCGTTGTTTTTTCGTGGAAAGAGCAGGGAATTCAACCAATTTAGGAGAAGTGGTGGTTGCTGCCACTGTTTGTGTAGGAGGGTTTTGCTTCTTATTGTCGAGAAGAATGGCTGCTTTGGAGACATCTCTGTAGGACGGTATTGAGGAAGCAGTTGAGGTCGTAGCTGTTGTAGGTGTCGTTGTGGTTGTGAAGGTGTTAACATTTTGATTCTTTTGGTTGTCACGCGCAACAACACGTTGAGGCTGAGATCCTGGGTTAGATGTGGTGCTTGGTGAGCCGTTACTCTGAGCCGTGTTGATGGTACTAGATGAAGTGGCAGAGGAGTTATTTCCATCAGTTTTGAATGAAACCTTCAAATGCTTCTTTCCAATCTGGTAGCCATTCATCTGTGATACTGCTTCAATAGCAGATTCAATGCTAAAGTATTTGACAAATCCATAACCCTTACTCAAATTGGTCTTGCTATCTCTTATTACTTTCACAGATTCAATGTCTCCAAATTTACTAAAGAGATCATGGAGCTTATTATCGTCAACATCTCCTGGAAGGTGGAAGATGAACAAGTTAGCTGGTTCAGATTTTCCTTCTTTTTCTTCTGCTTTTTCTAAATTTGTTTGTGTGGAAATTGCTTTACGTTTTGCGTAATTGTTGTTGTTGTTAGAATCATTATTATTGGCTGATGGTAAAGATTCATCATAAATAGGCAAAGTAGAGGGATAAAATTGGTGAGGTGGTAGAGTGTAAGGATTGAAGTAAGGGTTGTAATAAGGGATGTTTCCAAAGCCATGATGCATGTAATTATGGGATGTCCTAACATCTGTCAGAGTTTCTCTATTTTGATTATCAGTAGTGTTTGTTGCTTCGGTTCCAATGCTCTTTGGTTGAGCCTTACTTCCAACAACTGCACTACGATCAGAAGGAGGTAGATGAGGCATAGGAAGATGTTGTTGGATGTGTGGAGGAACATGGCCATAGTAGGCCATAGGATGAAAATGGGAAAGCATATCTGCATGATATGGGTTAGATGGGATTTCTGTGTTTTGTATATCATCCGATAAGCTTCGTCTTCTGTCAATCAATGACGAAGAAGGATTGATTAACATTTGATGTGGATGCTGATACATTGGATAGGAAAACATGGCTGGATTGACATTAGTAGAATTGTTTGCTAGAACGTTTGCAACTGTGTTCATGTGAAGCAAAGCATTGGGAGGAATGTGAGCTTGTACATGTTGAGTTTGTCTCTTTTTTTGTTTTCTTTTTTGCTTTTCTTGTTCGGTGTCAGCAAATTTAACAACTAGTGGGAGAATATCTTTTGAAGAATCGTCTTCGAGCTTAGATCCATTCATTTGTTGAATGGCTGTGAGTGCATCACTTCTTTTTTCGAATCTTTTGAAACAAGAATATGTACCGAAATATTTCAAAATCAAATACTTACTCGCAAAAGCCATAGCACTTGCTCTTTTGAGTGGTTTGGTCTCTCATAATTTTAACCTTGGTGATAGGCCCAAACACCTCAAATGCGCGCTTGAGCTTTTCTTCATCGTAATGGGGAGGAATGTTTCTGATGAAAAGATTACTTTGTTGATCTTTTTCTTTGTTGTCAACTTTGTTGGACAATTTGCAAAGTAATCGCTTGTTCTCAATAGGTTTTTCATTTAGTCCGTTAATGGCTGCTTGTGCTTCTGACTCAGATGAAAATCTAACAAAGCCAAATCCTAAGGATACATTGTCTCTTTGTTTGTCTGTCATCACATGACAAGTAACAATTTCTCCATAGGGTTTGAACAACTCTCTTAAATCTTGGTCAGTAAAATGTTGAGGTAAATATTTGACAAACACGTTACAAAGATCAGGTTCTTGAGAATCTTCATATTCTTGGTCGCTCTCCTCTTCCTCATTATTTTGATCCTTTCGTTGAGAAATTTCGTGATGAATTTTGTCTGTAGAAATTATTCCAACAGATTTTGGTTGATTATCCTCATTGATTGAAGCTGTATTGGCATAACTCAAAACGTTTTCTTGACCATCAGTTAACTTTGATAGTGCATCACTTGTACTGAAGGTGTTAGTTCCATTAGACACTCGCGAGGCAGATGTTGCTGATTCTTTGCGTTGTCTACTTCCGATTCCGACTCCAAGATTGATCTTGATGTTGTTATTTGTTGCTGACTTATCATCCTTGCCCAATTGCAAAATAACAGGAGGCTTTTCTTTTTGGAGAAGCTCAATGGTATTTGAAGATTTGTTCTTTTTCATTGAACTTTCAAGAGAGGTATTTTCTGATAGCGCTGTTGTTGGTTCTGGCATAATATTGATGTTCAATGTCCACATTGAAAATTATGATGTCTTTTGATTATAGTAAGATGGATGAAAAGGTGGTTGTGAATAAAAATGTAATGATGAACTAATTGAGTAGGAATATCGTACGATATATATATTTACGATCCGTGATATACAATACGTTTAGCGGATAGAATTGATGAAGATATAACAATAATAAAAGATGAATAAAGAAATATAAATGATGATGGGTCAAAGCACACAGAACGGAAACTTCAAGTTCTTATAATTCAACGTTCGAACAGTTGTAACTTTCGGTGTTGTGATATAATGATCAGAGATGAATGTGGATGATGGGTTTGCCCGTAAACAAGAGTCAAACTCCTTGTTGTAACTTGTTGGGTGTTTCGTTTTCTTCAACTATTATCCACAGCAATAACAACAATGGAAGCCTTTGCAAGAAAACAGCACAAAGAACAAGGCGCGAATTTTTTTTGAACAAAAGCTTTTGACCATTTCCTTTCTGTTACCCACCAACAAGCTCCCGTATAATTGTTCCGGTCAGGTCTGGACACCACTACGAATCGTTTCAAATGGAGCAAGACTGAAAAATAGGATCCGAGTGCAGCATGGATTTCCAATCATCTCCATTGAAATTTCCCATTTGATAATCAGTATAAATCAAAATTAACTTCTTCTTTGTCTCTGGCTGATCATCATCACCCAAAAAATGTCTTGTTCAGCATCCTTGTCATTACAAGCACCACTTTTGGCTCCATCAGCCATGTTAGTCTTTGATTTTGATAGCACTTTGGTGAGAGAGGAGAGTTTAGTTACCTTGTTGGAGTATGCTCTGAGAGAGGACTTGAGAAATAATTCATCTATTTCCGATGATGAAAAAGAAAAACAATTACAAGATGCTCTTTCAAAAGTTATGGATATCACGAACCAAGGAATTAAAGGAGAAATTCCGATGACTGAATCCTATGCAAGAAGATTGTCAATCGCTTCACCAACAATGAAACATGTTAAAAAGTATTTAGAAAGATCTGTGGATAGTGTCATGACACCCAAAATGGACTCTGTTAGTAAGTAACTGATTGTTTTTGAAACAAAATGAGAAAGAATTAATGTATTTAGTCAATACTGTGAGAGAGAATTATCCAATCCCGATTCATGTCATTTCACAAGGCCCAAGAATTATTGTAGAATATTATTCTAAATTACTTTTCGGAATTCCAAGCAAAAATATCCATGCAGTCGATGTTAATTTTCCGGAAGAAGGAGTTGACACCAATGCTCATCAGTATATATCTTTGGATGACGAAATGCTTTCGAAAGGAAAGAGTGGAGTACTGCAACGTATTATTGATAATATTAACATTGACCACTCTGGTATTGGCAGCAAAGTTGAAAACATTATTGTGGTTGGTGATGGCGTTTCCGACATGAATATGAAACATAATGGGCCTGCAACAATTACTATTGGATTTGGGGCTAATTTACTTTTCCAAAAAACCAAAGAATTGGCGGACTACTTTGTTATAGATTGTGACCAACTCAATCAAATATTGGTGCAACATGTTTTAAGAGACTGTGTCACATTCAATTTTTATCCAGGACCGGCAACAATTCCTACTGATGTTATGCTAAAAGCTAGGGATAATTTATTATGTTTTGATAGAGGTATCTCAATTATGGAATATTCTCATCGTGCTCCTAAGTTTATGAATCTTATGGACAGTGCTGAGAAGAAATTGAGAGAATTGGTGAATATACCAGATGATTATGCAGTTCTTTTCTTGCAGTAAGTCTTCATTTCCCAATTCTATTCTATTTCTTTTTAACAATAATAGAGGAGGAGCCTTTACACAATTTTCTGCAATTCCATTAAATCTTTGCGAAAACACAGAAACAACAGCGATTTATGTTGTTTCAGGAACTTGGTCTAAAAAAGCTTATCAAGAGGCTAAGGCTTTCATGGGAGGCAATGCTGTACAGTTTGGCTTGGATGAAATCAATGATATCAAGAACAATGAGTCGTATCCTAAATGTTCATATGTGTACTATTGTGAAAATGAAACTGTACAAGGAGTGGAAAAACCATCTACTTTCTTGGATGACATAGTCAATGATGGAAAAATATTAGTGTGTGACATGAGTTCAAACTTTCTTTCCAGGCCTTTTGATATTAGAAAATATGGACTTGTTTATGCATGTGCTCAAAAGAATTTTGGAATTGCAGGTCTTACCATTGTGATTCTAAGAAAAGATTTAATTAAGGAAAAGGAGAATTATGTACCTTCCATGCTTGATTTCCAAGCTCTTTATCAAGAAAGATCCCTTCTCAATACTCCTGTCACTACCGCCATTTACATGGCCGACCTCATATTTGACTGGATCAAGAGACATGGTGGACTATCTGCTATGGATGAACTTGCTCAAAAGCGTGCCAGTCTTTTATATAACTGTATTGAACAGTCATCTTTCTTTGATTTGCCTATCAAAAAAGAGTTTCGCTCACGAATGAATGTTGTTTTCAAAATTAAGGACGTAACTCTTGAAAAGACATTCATTAAGGAGGCCGAAAGAGTTGGTCTTATAGGTTTGGCAGGGCATAGAAGTGTTGGTGGATTTAGAGCCAGCATTTACAACGGAATGCCACTGAAAGGAGTGGAACGACTTGTTCAGTTTATAAGAGTTTTCGAGAATAGATATAATAACTAAGTGTTATAATTACTGGAAGATATTAAATTTACTGAGCTTCATCCCACTCACTCAAAAAGTGAAATGAGTGACATCACTTTTCAAAAACAAGGCCAATAATTTACAATCAGAGATCATCACCTTTCCATCGTTTGGAATCTAATTCATCAAGCAACATCTCCTTACCCACTCTCCATTCTTGGATATTTATGAAGAACGCCTCTCTCTTTTGGTCTCCACACAATCTGCAAGTGGGTGTCGAATTTTAGCTTCATTTATGTTCACATTAGGTGATAGTCCTGATATTCAGAGAGTATGGAACCATTACCCAACTTACTGTATCATCATCCTCTTTCTATTAAATATCACATGTTTACAACACATTGTAGTGAGTGGTGGTTTTCTCTGGTCACCACGAACGAGGACTCTTTGGCGACACCTGCCAAAAAAAACCTCTCAAACCCTTCCACTCAACTACTTTTCGAACTCCTAACCGGCTCATTCAGAGTGACTTGTTAAGGTGCATCTTGCGCGATAAGAGAATCTACTAACAACAATTCACAATCATCATCATCTTTCTGCCAAAATCAAATAGTTGGCACAAGAGTCGAAACATTCTATTCCGCATCATCATTTGTATAGATGCATTCCTTCCTCTTGTATTTTTATTTGTAATTCTATTTTATTGTATCATAATTCAAGTCCGTTTCTTTACGTTGTAAACCACTGTTGACATCATTGCTGCAGTTCAATACTCTATTGTCATCATTGGTAAATTAAAACGAGACTTTGTATTCATTTCGGAGAGTTGTCTAATCACCACTTCCACTGTAATCATCCAACACCGACATCACCGTTCTATCTGAACATTGGCACCACTTTATTTGAAACCAATTTTGAGCGTTACAAAAAGCTTACTGTCAGACATCAACTCGTTAAAATTAGCTACCCACAGAATCCGCATCGAACAACATGTTGACTCAATCCCTTTCCTTCTCCTCAGATCAGTTTTCTTTAGCTTCCTCTGGTGGTGTGGTTGTATCTGCGCAGAGTACTACAAAAGCATCGTCGTCACCCAAAATGATGTCCTCAACCACCACTTCTAGTGCTTCATCTTCAACGTTACAACAACCACAACTTGAACAACAGTTGAGGCCTCAAGAACATGTTTGTACCTCAAACTCCATTGCAGAGAGTTCTCTTTCTTCATCGTTGGCTGTTTCTTCACCAAATTCAGGAATTTTGTATGATCCCTTGGCTGAGAGATGTTTTCAACCTCAACCTCCACCACCAATGATGACACATCATCATCAGCTTCCAACCCTGAATAAGGCACCCAAAGGATCTCTTCAATCGTTTCATCTCTTGTTGGGTGCATTGGATTATATCAATCAAGAACATGGTCAGGATTATCCAAGATTTAGCAACACCTTGTGGTCGAGTGGAGGCTCCGAAGAAGAGGAAGAACCAGAACTCAAATATTCCACTACCACCCCCACACCACTCAGAGAGAGCCATCCTTCTTCATCCCCTCATTCATTGAACAATTCAATGACCAGTAGTCATCATCATTGGAAGAGTAGCAACATCAACGATGAAAATACCACTCGAGCCATTCCGAAAAGAGAGAGACATGAGGAAGAGAATGAGAATGAGGAAGAGTTCAATGAGGAAAAGCAAACATTTTCAAAATCGAATCCTTCTTCTCACTCTTCCACTCGAAGATCTACCTCTTCAGCAAAAAACCGAGGTCTTCATTCTTCTCCACCTCCTCAACAACACCTCAATAGTGAAGGTTTGCAAATCTGTGCCTGTTGTAAAAGAGACTCCAACACTGTGAGTTTCCTAAAGAATTATTCCATTCATCAAGGAAACATTCATAATTATCGGAATTGCTTCCCAGAGTATGAGGTCGTTCCTGGAATCTCGTGCATGACTTGTTATCATAAACAATGGCGCTACACGAAAGGACTCTATGACCCTAACAAGGCCAAATCGACTGGAGTTAACAAGAGGGAAGGTAAATCCAACAAATCTTCCTCGTCGACTCCGACGAATAGCATGACCAACACTCACTCCCAGGAACTGACGAGCAGTGCTGAAGAAGGGAATTCAAAGAGGAAAAAGTCGTCTTCCTCAAGCTCTTCATCTTCCTCCACCAGCTCTTCCACCTCCGATCCAAACAAGAGAAAGAAAGTTGAGAATGAAGAAGAAAATAGTGAAAGAATGAACAATAGTATGGAAGGAATGAAGGAGGAAGTCAAGAAGCCTCGTAAACTATCAAAGAGAAGACACACCCAATTGGCAGAATCTTCATCCTCTGCCAATCTAGTATTTAGTGCTGCTCCTCCAATGAGTGAGCCATTCACAACGTCAGATGCACCACACATGTCATCACCCTCCTCCTCCTCCTTTATTCATCCTTCAACTTCTACTTCTATTGAGGGCTCTGAAGCTTCAGAATCAAGAACAAACCTTCATCATGACCATGCCATTCGATTACTCCTAAAGTTCCAATATTCAACCTCAAATAATTCAGTTGAAGAAGTTTATACTTGTAACATGTATTGCGATTTTGTTCCAACTACACTGGCAAGCATCAAGTCGTTGGTGATGAGCAAGTTGAGAAACAAAACCACTGGATTTTCAAATTGTGAAGCTATTTTGTGGTCCTCTTCTTCATCGGAGCAGACAACCCCAAGCAGTGAACGAGTTGTATTGACCGATGAAGAATTGAAGAGGAGATCTCTTAGGAATGATGATATCTTGTACGTGTATGTGAGGTAATAATGACTATTGTTGTTCCAACTAATAAAAAAGCTTTTATTTAGATTTGAGGGGAAGTCTATTATATGAACACCGATGTAGCCTCAATGATATGAATTCGACTACACTTACAACAACCTCCAACTTACAATCACCTTACAAAAAAAAATCAAACAAAATGTCTTCGGTAAGTTGTTGGGACTGTGGTCAACTCAGTGGGTACAAGCCTTGATAAGACTGCTCAACAATCTAGAACTCAATCTGTTACCTTCGAGGAATCACTCACCTTGATGAGGAATTTGATGCGGACTGCAATTTCGTCGGTGTGCTATTTGAGAAATATATTCCCTGAAGATTGCTTCCAAGATAAAAGCCTTAGCGGGATCAATATCAAGTCTCTTCAACCTGCCAACGATGAAGCTCGAACACTGATTGATTGGCTCGAAAAGGGTGTCTTCGAAGCACTCAAGAAAAAGTATTTGAGAGTAATAATATTTGGAGTGTGCTCTGATCCATCCAACGAAATGGAAAGCATGATTGAGAGTTATGAGTGTAAGTGCTTGAATTTATATTGGTGTGTCTCAATTAATTGCTGTTGACAGTCAAGATCACTTACCCTGACCGAGAAGGAGCTCAAGTGAATGTTTCACGAGTAGAAAACAATCAAACCAATAAGAAGGTTGGCATTAAATGTGGGCAAACAAAGCAGGAAATCACCCAGTCAATGATTATGATGTTGAGAACTTTGATTACTCTCGCTCAGACCCTTCAACCAATCCCGGAAACCAGGTACATCACCATGAAGTTATTGTACTATGAAGATGTTACTCCTGTTGATTACGAGCCAGCGTTTTTCAGAGCTTTGCGAGAAGATGAATCGAAGCAGTTCAATAAGGAATTTGTAAAGCTCAAAATCGGCCAGGTGGAAACACAATATCACAGTTTGCATATTAGAGTAAGAACAAAGTCTGATAATTTTGAATGTGATGCTGAAGGAAAGAGAGAGATGGTTGGAAATGATGAAGCACCAAGTGATGCATCATTTCCTCTTGCCAAGAATAATAATGAGGCAACCCCTCCCTCCTCTCAATGGGCAGTTCGAGTACAAGATCAGGATCTACCAAAGGAAAAAGAAACCAATAAGGAGTCAAAGAGTGAAACCTCTCATAATGACAGTGAAAGTGATGCAACTCAGCTCTCCCAAGAAGAGACAGTCACCAACACCGACGATGAATTGAAAAATTTCAAAAAAGAAATTGAGAAGGTGGGCCTTTTTTCCTTTACCATGAAAGAAGCCAAAACCATGATATTCAAGAGCTACTCAATTAAGGAAGAAGACCTTATCGCTTACATTGAAAAGAAAAGAAATGACGAGATTGAAGAAATGGACGATCAAGAGAAATCCTACCTAAAGGCGTTGGCCTTCGTTCTATCTGAAGAATATGTCACTGCTAGTGCATTAGGTTCAGAAGTTGGTATTAGCACCTACCTTGCCTCCAAGTTCTTGACACGGATGGAAAAAGAAAATTTTGTAAAAGTGGCTAGCAATAAGAGGAAGGGAAAGAAAGTTATTCCCAACGAAAGAAAGTTGAAGGAGGTCATGGAAATGCTAATCTATATAAACAAGGAAGGTACATCCAAAAAAACCAAGACCAACACCAAGAAGGATGATAAACAGCCAGCTCAGAAAGATGAAAACGTGTCAGACAGTGAGCACGAGGTGGATCCTGATGTCACACCACGGAAAGGCAGCAAAGAAAAAACCTTAGCAAGATCGGAACAGACAACCAAAAAACAAGTTGCGGAAGCAAAAAAGAATTCCGAAGACGTTTCGAACCGAATCACCGGAATGAAAAGAAAGACCATTTCTCAGTTTGAGGTGAGTTACAGTCAGGATGGTCTTTCCCAACATCCCCAAGCCTCTTTCAACATGGACGAGTTTAGTCCAAGAGCTCTCCCTCCAAATCATAACAAAGTCAGCACCGTGGTTGAGCCAATTCAACAAAAGAAGAGAAAGTTCTATAGAGATCCAAAGAAACTTTCATGCATGTAGAGAGGCATGTGCTGTAGAATGTTGTTACTGTGAGACAATGTGGCTCTCTCACAGTAAAGAACCTCTTTTTTCCTAAAAAGTAAAACGTCTTCCGTCTTTTCGATTCTATCTCTTCTCTTCAATCAGGTCACAACTAGGAAACATTGTCTTTCATCATACATAAATCCTTTCAACACATGTACAAGCAAACGTTGTTTTCACCTTGTCCTTTGCTTGATTTTTTGTTGCCGCCAATTCCGAATCGGCCTCTCTTCAAAAATATTGTCGTGTTGAAAAAAATATTCTTTTCAAATCCTCTTCTCTGCCTCTCACTGCTCTTCTCTTTGAAGAACGCACAAACAGCAACCGTTGAAATCGCTGAATCATTTTGTTGTGGTTGAGCGCACCAACTGAAGGACCCATATCATTGAGAGAGTTATAGTTACTGTAAACAACAACAGCAACATTGTAGAGTAAAACTACAAGTTTAGAGCAGCCAAATTGATTATAATTGATTCAGTGATTGAATTTTTAAAATCATAGAGATGAGTACTACTAGCAGCAACAACGCTAAACTAATGCCTGGTTTTCCATCAAAATCAGCAACCATCAACATTGATAACAAGAATGTGTTAATCAGTGATCTATCCGAGACTCCAGGTGGTACAATTTACGGAACAACTCCAGGTGGTACTCGTCGTGTTTATACCAGAAATGCTTTGTTGTTTTACCGCAACTCACCAATGGCAAAAAGTCCACCAGTGAATTTGCCAAATATTCCTGGCATTACCTCTGAAGAGGATCAATCTGAGATGTACACGAAAAAGAAGGAAGAGGATGAAGATGAAGAGGAAATTGTTCCAAGCGATGACGAAGAACAATTCCAAATGGATTAGCTCTAATTCTCCACCTAACCTTCTTTACAATTTTCTGTACATCCCAAGTCACCACAACAACGTTTGGACCTTTTCATCATCATGAGGTGCGGTTGGTTCTCTAACAAGTTTGGAGTTTTTGAGTTTTGCAACTGAACTGTTTGTGGAAATTGGATTGACTGTTTTCTCCCTTTAATGTTAGTTAAACGTTGTTGATGACACTCACTATTTATTCCTTCCCTATCTCACACGCTGCATGAAATTGTAAATAAAGAAAATATTGATGATGAAATTGTGTGTGGGATAATTGAGAGGAATATCGATTTTTATAAAAAAAGAATAGTTGTGGCTTGAAATTTTGTCAGTTTTTGGATTTCGAATGTGCATCTTGATGTTCCACCTTACCTTCTGCTAGACCTGTTTGATTGATTCCTGTTCTACTGTGCCTAACGTTTCATCTCTGATTCACACAAAAACTTCTCGCACAGAATGAGAACCAGACATTGCTAGTGCCATCAATTCCATCAAAGCATCGACACCACTACTGCTTTTCACTCGATTCGATCGAACACTCAAAGTTACCAGTGAGTCATTATTCTTAACGACGTCGATTAGAGTACGTATTCCTTCTTCTCCAATTCTATTTCCTGTCAAATCCAAATGTTTCAGAGTGGTATTTACATGTTGCTGAGACTGGTCATTCAGCTCCGATGATGACGATGGTTGGCGCGGTAGTAATAGAGATGATGTTTCTGATTTGTTTTTTATGTTGTAAAACACTTTTACCAGTTCAGTCAATCCTTCTACTCCCATATCGTTGAGAGACAAGTTTAAATATTGAATTGTGGAATTTTGAGTTAAAATTTCAGCAAGTAAACTGCAACAGGTAGCATTTCCAAGTCGGTTTCCAGTCAAATCTAAATACATGATATGACACTTAAACATAGGGTTGTTATTTACATTTAATCCTGGATTCAATATCACACTATTTTCATACATGTAAATCAAGTCATCACAATCTATTAATTTAAATGTCAATTTTACAAATGTTGCATTTCTTTCCAATTCTCTATTAAAGATTTTCAAAATAGTTTCCGATCGTTTTTGTTTTGATTTTTCATCTTGATGATCCACAACAAGAGAATTCGCAGACGATGTAGGTGTTTTGAGAGGAGTGTACGAAGAAGAACTACCTTGATGATGTAGATCTCTTCTCGGAGTGATAATTCTTGGTGATCGTCCTGGAGTAGAAGGTGGTGATGATGAAGCTAAGCCTTCTTCCACTGACGTCGGTGTTTCGGAATTGGGTGTGGTACTGTTATTCATTTTTTGTTTTGTTGTTAACGTTTCATTCTCTGATTCTCTATGATGAAAGGAATGAAGAAGAAGCAACAGACCTAAATGTTAGATTGATCTATGGAATGTTCTTGATCAAGGTTGTTGCTCCATCTTGACTTTGCTTTGTAATGCAAGGTTCTTCCTTTCAATTAAATTGAATAAAAAAAATGTCTTCAAAAAAGTTGACCAAACTGATCAAGGAATTGAATTCCACTCTGGACAAAGCCATCACAAAGCAATCTTCTAAATCTTCAAAGAAAATAACTTCTTCCACAACCTCCAAAGAAAAGATAAAACCTGTGATACCACCCACACGAGAACAATTAATTGATAAAATCAACGTCTCCGATAAATTAAAACATTGCATCTTTCATCCGAGAAAAATTCAAGAAATTACCTATGATATTTTGCAACACACTTCTTATCCTGATTATTCATTATCGATTATATTTTGCGGAAATAAGTTTATTACGAAATTGAATGAAAAGGATCGGAGAAAGAAGGGACCTACAGATATTCTTTCATATCCCACTTATTCACCGGATCTGGAACATAATTTTCCATTGATGGATACTGAAGATGGTCCAATTCCAAAAGAACTTGCTGCTGTTTTGGCAAACGAACACAAATTAATTTTGGAGCAAGAAAAGTATTTGGGTGAAATGGTCATCTCTCAGCCCTATATTGTCGATTATTGTAAACAGAAGAACCTTTCATTGAACCATCATATGGCACTCCTTCTCACACATGGAGTTCTGCATTTGATGGGATATGACCATGAAGTGAAAAAAGATTACCTTGTCATGAGGGCAAAAGAAAAAGAAATTTTGGCTGCCTTAGAAGAGGAAAGAGGTCCTGAGGAGTGGGCAAATCTCAATCTTTTAAAGGATGAGGCCGTTAAAGAAGAAGACCCTTTACCTGAATAATCTCTCTGCAGAGTTTTTGGCCCCTTTTGCAAAATTGAGAGGATAAAAGTTTTGTGCAAACGAGTTTCTCTGAATTAATGCTAATTAATACACACACCTCTACACGCCCAACACATGCGAGTAAAGGCGTTGAACATCAGCTTTTGTACACACCAGGAGTTGTTTATCGACATTTGTGATTCAGTCCGCCTGTCGCTCAAAGTTTATCATCATTGAGAACCTTGTGTGGAACACTTCGCTTCATCCGCAAGCGTTTTGGATTTCTCTCCATCGAGTTATGGTTTGTGCAATTTTATTTTCTTTCAATTCAACACAATAAAATTTCTTTGCTGTTGTTTCTTGTTGCAAGCAATTCCATCAGACAAGACCGAAACTTTACATTTTAAATGTTGTTTAATTTCACATTGGAATCAAATACATTTCGTCATCATTTGAAATCTTGATGAAGTGAGACGCAAGAATAACGGCCATTCATCCACTGCTGAGTTTCAGAAGAACCGATTTTGGCATTGCACAAATTGGTTTTCACAAATTTCGAGTATTCAAAGAAGAAGATTTGCAAAAAAACTTTGAACAGCCTATCAATGCACGAAGAGGAAGCAGCAGCGATTTCTTCTTCTTCATCTTCTCACTGTGGTGCTTCTTCGGGTCGATCCGTCCTCATCATCACGAGCAACCACAGTCATTCATCAACTACCACTACCACTCAAGGAGAACTTGTCAATAATAATTGCAATACTCATGGAGAGGATGATTTTATGAGGGAGTTGAATGAAATGTTTCATAACCAACAACAATCAACACAAGAGCATTCGGAAATGAAAAACCTATTGATTCAAGAATTGGAACCAACTATGCGTAACAACTGTAATATCAATCAACATCATCATCATGACGATACCATTAATTCCGATCCGACAAGCAGAACCAACAACAACAACAATACTCCACAACGAAAGTCTCACCGGAATTCCTTTGAATGTGTTCTATGCAGCAGCACGTTTCATAAGAAGTCTCAATTAAGAGCCCACATTCTTGAAAAACACTCTGCAGTGCTTGAACAGGAGAATCAAGAAGAACTGGAAAAAGGAGAAGATACTTTAGCTGATGAGATGCATCTTCGGGAAATTAATCCTGATGTTCCTCAACAACATCATTCTTATCACTTGTTGGAGGAAGAAGGCTTTACTATTGATTCACCTTTTTTGGAATTATCGGATTTGGACGAATTCAATTCTATATTTTCAGAATTTTCGAATGGTGATGAATTAAATCAAGAAAAAGTTGAAAATGAAGAAAAACTAGTCCAGGAAGAGTCACCATCTCTCTCAGAAGAACCAGTGGTCATCTCACTCTATAAGTGCACACATCCATCATGTGGAAAGGAATTTACATCTAAGGGAAAACTTGACAAACATTTAAAGAAACATGAAGAAAAGAGACACTTGTGTGGATTCCCATCGTGTAGAAAAACATTTTCATTCAGACATGAATTATTGGAACATATCAAACTGAAACATTCTCCAAAACAAAGTGTTTGCATCATATGTAATAAGGAGTTTAAAGATTTGCAAGCATTACAAGTGCATTTGAGAACTATTCACAAGAACGAGAAGAAAGTATTTCGGTGCCACCATGAAGATTGCAACAAGTGCTATACTAACAAGCGAAATTTAGACGATCACATCAAGACAACACATTTGAAAACGAAACAATTTAAATGTGACATTTGTCAACGAGTGTTAAAACACAAAGCTAGTTTAAGAAGACATTACAAGAATGTACACAATCAGGTGTATGTGGATCCCGTATCTACTCCACTCACTTCTGAAGGAGAAGTTTCAGATACCATCTTTACAGATGTGACAAGTCATTCAACGAATGAAAATGACACCAGTGAATTTTCCATTCCCCACAACACTAAAGAAACAAACAAAAAGAAGAGAAAGAAGAAAACAATTCAACAACAAGAAGAACCCAAAAAATCTTCCTTCTCTGGTACCAGTGCCACTGCCACCACCACAAGCTCCTTTGAAAGCAGTGAAGAATTCTTTAACGATGACGAGAGCCAATCGAATTCAAGAAAAAAGATTAAGGTTGGAACTGTGTATTTGGACCGAATTATTGGAACTGAAGCAAATGTGTAGCTGGCTGTCAAAAGCCCAATCAACACCATTGAAATACTCCACTGCTGAATTCTAAGGTGTTGAACTGTTTTTTATTTCTTAATGAGTAATTCATCTAATGATTTACGGAGGGATCGAGCTTTGGGCTTTTCTGCATGTCCCACTCTTCCTGCGAATGCAATCTGCTCATGTAGAGGGGTACCATCAAGTGAAAGATGTTTAGCCTCTGGATGACCATTCACAATATCACGAAGCATCCTTTCAATGTTTTTTGCCTTTCTCAAACTTTCTTCTGATTTTGAAAATTTGATTCTATGACGAACGTAATTTGAGAAAATGATTGGAGTTGTCTCTGGCTGTAATCTCAAATCCAATTGTGTTGCAGTTAACCAGAAACGTTGAAGAGCTCTTCCGACTTGAATATAGTCTTGTGTTGAAACAGGAGAATGAGGACGTTGAGAAATGAACACAAAGTGAGCTCCACAAGCAATTCCTGGAAGAAAATCCAATTGAAAACCTGGAAGTAGAGAACCTCCCAAATATTTGTTCAAGAAATTAACACGAGACCAGCTCTGGAGAGCCCATTTCATCAACTTGGTTGAGATGGGGTCTAATCCGACGGCCATGTCTGGAATTTTATCCGAACTAAATTGTGAATTCCATTCAATAATTGAACTATGAGTTGGAAAACCTTCTTCACATGTTAATCTCAATTGACCATTCATGAACATTAATTTGGCCATTTCTAACCTTTCCGAGAACGATTCAAACCACAATACTTTGAAGCCCAACTTGGCCACACTTTCTTCCAATTTTTGTTTTTCATGACCAGTCAAAGGGGTTGTTTTGAACATTCTTCGATGGACACATCTTTCTTTGAGATATTGGAAGAGAGGATCTTTTTCTTCAGAACTGTTGAACATTGGACTTAATGACACTCTAATTTTCATTTCATCTTCTTGAGATGCTGCATGAAAATGAGCTCTCATGGAAAACTCCTTCGAAGCAATGTCTATGCATTCCAATAATGCTCCTAATCCCATATGAGAGCCATGACCATCCAAATCATAGACACAGTGGTCTCGAGTGTCATTAGCGTGTACTATAAATTCCTTTTCACTTTTAATTTCAAATTTCCATGTTTGCATATTGTCTCCGGATGGAGCCCATCGTGCAATATCGAGAATGTTTTTCACAGTGTGGTTTGCATCATCGAGATGGGTTGCAACAATATGAAAGGATTGGTGTGAATTTCGTCGTGTTGCGGAGGAGGTGATGATGGAGTGAAAGGCATGTTGTTGTTGTTTGTTGATCAACAGATGCAAGAGAGGGCGTTTAACCATCTTTTCTTTTGATTCATTCGTTGGTGTTGATGCTCCTTCTTGGACAGTTTTGATCTTGAAAGGAATGGATCCAAGTGGAATGTTAGATCTATCATCAGGCGCAGAACGTTTTGAGGATAATAATACTGCAGTACTGCAATAAACTCTTTGAGAACATCTCCAAAACTTCTGGTCCACCAACCATGTGAAAATATGGACCTGTTAGCTGTTTCCCAATACCAGCAATTTATTCCATTGTGAACGGGAACGCAACGTCCTGCACACACGACGATTCGAATCAATAAAAACAGAATCCACAAAAATGGCTTTGGCGAGTACCGAAATTTCCTCGCTGGTTGTTTTTGTCATTTGTGCTTTGGTCCTTATGGCGTTTATTGTGTAAGTTTCATTCAACGTGATATGACGATTGATACAAATTTTGTTCGGATATCATGATTCCTGCCATGTATAACCAACACATGATGATGGTATTATCATCATTCTCGGAAATATATCTACAGAATTTATGTACTATTTTCTAGTCGGATATTTGCATGGTCTATTTGTAAATTAGCATGGTATTGGAAATTAAAGACGTTGAATGAATATTTATCGATTGGATCTCTCACATTTTCACCACTTGGAGGAAAAATACTTTTCCGTAATGTACAATATACCACCAAGAATGGATCACTTCACATTATCGATGGATACATAGAGATTTATTGGTGGTTTATTATAAAATCGACTTGGCAAAAATCTAAAAAGGAGTCAAGATTTAGATGTTATCTGAATGGAGTGGAATGGTTGATTTATAATAATGTGTCACGATACGACCAAATTAATTCCAAAAAATTAAATTATAATTTAAGCGACAGTGATGGAGAGGACGGAGCCCGTCTACATAATGATGATAGGATTCATGATACAGAAGATGAAGGTCACCGGGATATTATGGAAGAGGACAATATCCAGAAATTTTTCACTTGGGCTAAAGCTGTCGGTGTTGACATTAGAAGAGGTTGTGTCGCAATTGGAAACAGTGAGCTGCCTACTTCTGTGAGAATAGCCTTTAGAAGAGCAATTTCAACAATTTATCTAGACAAACCAGCTTGCAATTTGGACAAGTATAAATTAGTGGCTGACATCAATTTTGAATATATCAAGGTCATGTTCATAGAAAACACAAGTATTCCCCAATACAACACACCCCATTTTGAACTTTCGAGAAAAAAAGTAGAGGAAGAGTAAGTTGACATGAGGTCAATTTTCTGACCTGAGTTTTCTTTTAGTATTATCAAGGAAGTACAGAAACAATTTAAGAGTATATTTAAAAACTCCAATTTTGATTTTATGAATGAGCTCAAAACAATGGCTTCCGAAAAGATTGAAAAACAACCAGAATACGTATTTAATTTAAAAGAAATAGAAAAAGACAAGTCAGCAAATGTGGATGAAACCAAAGTTTGTCTCTGCACAAAATTAAGGGTTTCTTATTATTATGAAGAAGGAGGTATCATACCTGAAGAAGCAAATTCTCCATTACCTCCTCAAACGGAATATAATGAAGATAGAGATCACCAATCAGAGCTTGCTCCTCCTTCTCATGGCGTTGAATTACATTTTGATCGGTTTGTAGATGGTATGTACTAATTGTCAAGTTTCTATTCGTTCATGTAAAACATCGTTCAATGTGAATAGGAGCCATTGTATATGGACCGTGGGGAGATCATCAGCGTGCCCTTCTTCAAGCATTCTTCTTTCCTCCACTTTACGAAAATGCTAAATACTACCGCAAAACCTCTGGTAGGCAAAGAAGAGCTGAAAAGTTTGATGTCGAATTTTACTTTATGGAAAAAACGACATGGATGTTCCCTTTCATAAGAACTCCCAAAACTTTAAGGGAAAAGAAAGAAAATAGAGGAAACCAAGAAGTCTTGACAATGATTTTTGAAAAGAATTCATTTCTTCATTGGAGTGGAGATATGTTTGCATCTCTTACAACAAATGAAACTGTCATCAACATTGACTTCAACTTTCCTGGCATGACTCTCATTACTAGCAACACCAAAGTAGCGTTTGGAGAGGCAGAAATTGGAAAGGGACATTTTATTCTGAAAAACTCTGCCGAATGGAATGGAAAGAGAGAATGGATTTTCAATTTTGAAGCTAACAAATCAATGGTCTACTATACAGCAGGTAAGTATTGAATTGACATGGTATTTATTGTCTTAATTGTATGTTAGAGCATATTGGATTTATAATGGACATTATTAGAGATTGGAGAAATTATCCAAATCAAAAACCATCGACATTGTTAGATTTTATTCCTTCTGTATATACCTATAACTTTTATTTATATAACTCATCACTCAAAATGCATACAAACGAGTTGAACATTGTTGAGCATCCAAACGATCCAGTTCATAATCATTTCTTTTGCATTACCTATCCTCTCATGACGATATCTTTCACAGCTCCTGGAGAAATTTTTTCTCCTTCTGCAGTGGAATACACATTTAGCGTGGAAATTAAAGGAGATCCTACCAAAGATCCAGGAGTTCACATGGAATATCCTGCAAACCATCCTATATTTGAAAATAGTAATGATCCATCCAGAAAGTTTTTGTGGGGAGAAAGAGCAGTTGTACATGGCTCATACACAGTTCATGAGAAAATTCATGCAGATAATGTAGACTGTTGCATGATTAATATAGATCTATTTAATGTGAACTTGCTGGTTAATGGATATTATATTAATTATTTAATAACCATGTGGTTTGATCATTTCACGTCTGAAAGATTTTGGATGACCACCGCAGAGTTTAATTCTAATGGATTCAAAAACGACAAATCCAAACAGATTAATAATCTACAATCTACTGACTTGAACTCAATACCCTACAGCTCCAATATTACTGAATATGTTGTAAATATTAACATCAAACGAGGAAAAGTATACTTACCTCATTCTTTATACTCTAGCGATGAATGTACTCAACTAATGGGAGAAGAATTCAGTATGGACATTAGATACGTCCCTACTAGTGTTGACCTTTGTTTTTCGTTGGGTCAAATGATGGCAGAAATACCAATGGTATTTGATGAGAGAACGAGACAAAGCAAGAAATTTGTTGGTTGTGAAGGCATTCGATTTAACGCACAAATTCCCATGGGACCAAACCCTGATGGCTTAACCTGGAGAAGAAAACTTCATTTCGACATTGGTGCTCTTTCAGGAGAGATCACCCCAAGCCAAATTGGAAATGTTGTCAACTTTTTGCTCAATTTTGCCTATCAATGGAAGTTAGCATATTATCCAAAGCCAGACATTGCGTTTAAAAAAGCAGATTTTTCTAAAAGACAGTACTCTGAAGAAGAGTTTGATGAATATGTAGTTTGGGATATCAGAGTTACATTCGTCTCTATATTTGCCACAATATCTATGGCTAATGGTCTTGTTCAAATAGACCTTGACAAAGGGTTGGAGATTACCTATGATACATTGAACAACGGCTCATCTAATTCTAGATTTAATCTTGTCGTCCCAACCATCCATGCTCGAGCAATGCATGCAAGAGAAATGGGAATGAAAATGGATGGCGATTGGATCCAGGTTGGCGAATTATTGACTGGATTGAGCGTTGGTATGGCCAAAAAGACTCATGACCTCAGAGAACACTATTTTAGACAGCAAAAGTTCATTCAAAATATGAATGGAGATGGATTTGACCTGCAATATAACATGGAAAGACAACATACCTTGTTAAACAGAAGTGCTGGAGAAAGCGGCTCAAGCAAAAAGCGCTCAAAGAGGAAAAACTTATCCAAACGCTCTATCGTGAAAAGTTCAACAGAAATCAGCGAAACGGAAGCCAGTGAAACAGATACAGATGAATTTTATGATATTGCCGATGAAGATGAAGAAGAACTAGAAGAAGAACATGAAAGAATATTTGTGGCTCCAAAAAGTATCCAAGAAGAAATGATTCATTACGAAAATGACAACAGAAAGGAAATAAGCACAGACTATATCGATCATCTTATCTGTGAAGACACTAGTCAGACTTTTGAGAAAGAATCTTTGGATACTCGATCTCAATGGAATTTAATCTCAAAATCCTTTCCAAGTATGTCAACTTATTCAGCATATCTGAACAGCTACAATTGTGAGGTTGAGAGAGAGAGCTTAGTACCGATTAGTTATACAGCTAAAAATTTTCTTGATGACAAATATCCTCACCACAGGATGGGAATGTACTCTCCTTTTCCTGAAATTCGATTGTTACGTCACAAACAGCTGGATAATTCGGAGCATAGAGATTATCTACCACTAACTAGCAAATATTCAAGGTTAAATACGAAAGATTTCAGCGGACAATTTTATTCATTCACAACTGGAAAGGATCGAGAAAATATTCAACGAATTTTACAAATTGAGTCTCAGTTAAATGCTCAAGAGAATGTTGACATTCAACATGTCAATATTGAATTTTTGAAAAATATTGACATTAACCTTACTCCCAACGTAGTTCCATTGCTTCACAATCTGGTGAAATATATCATTTTACCAGATTCCACCCTTCATGCTACTGCAGATCACATTGAGAAATCACAGAAAATATTTAAACAAGAAGTACCAGAAGAGTTATTGAACGAAAAGAAGGTCAAGCCAAACTGGGACAAGAAACGTATTCTTTTCTCTGGTGGAGTGAAATGTGTGAACGTGAATATTATTCAAACAATCTCTGTTCCTAATATTATTCCAGAGTCTCCGCTTCAAGGGATGGTCGGTACTTATTCATTGAAACTGTTTGCAACTGATGCCCTCGCGGGTTGCTCGGTGACTCTCAAATATAATGACAAGAAAAAATCATCAGAGCTGTATTCAATCGAAGGTTTTGGAAAATGTTTGGAATTGGGTGGTGTGGCCCAATGCTTGGATATGAAGAAAAAGTTTTACAAAGGGGTTGATACCAGTGAATTGTCTCACCATTTTCTTCAAAGATGTAATCTATCTTCTGATGCTCCAGTCATTGCATTTGTTTCAATACAGGACATCCATTTTCAAGGTAAAAACAATATTAAGGAAGAAAATTCACAAGGAAGATTTACTTGTACTGTAGGAAGACAAGGTTCATTCAATTCTGGAGTGACAATTCTAGTCACTCACGACATTGTTGTAATAGGGTATTCAACTGTCGAAGTTTGGAGAAAAGTCATTACCGACATGGTTCTCAACATCAAAAATTATGTGAGACTACGCCACGTGTATGATTTGTTGCTATTGAGTCAAATATCTAAGACTAGCAACAATATCAATTCAATGAATGATGATATTGGCTCAATTCCAGTTCACGGTGTATTAGAGAAAAAACAAGCGATCAAGCACTTGCATAAGGCCATTTGTGCCCTATCACTTTCTGAAGCAAAAATGATGCACCGCCACATAGCTAATCACATTCACATCAAAGTTGATCCAAAAAAGGAAATGAGGGATATTAGAAACGAATATTCAGAGCTCATAGAAGAAGAAAGTTCTATAGCACCGAAACAAACAACATCAGCCTCAATTGAGCTAAGAACCGACATTTCCTTCCATCTACAAAGACTATCCATCACTGTACATTCCACAGATTACAAGACAAAAATTTCCACAAACAGTATTGCAAAGGTAGAAGACATTTTGGTGAGAGGAAAAGTTGAACATGGAGTTTATTCTCTGTTTGAATCTGACTACAAGCATTTTGAAGAATCAAAACAGAAAATTCGTGAGGTTTCTCTCATTCTATCTATCAACTGCAAAGAATTTAGTATTGATGTGCATTCTCAGACTCTTATACTTCTTACGTCTGCATTAGGAGTGTTTCTTATTGTTAAAAACAAACCATTCATCAAAAATCTTCGAGAAAAGGAAAGGAAAAAGGCGACTGACATCAAACACAAATCTCAACCAATGCTTGAAGTTCCATCCAAAGAGGATGTGAGCATGTCTCATTCAGAAATGGAACACGTGGAAAAAGATTTGCCAGTTTCCAAGGTTTCAATCATCCTAAAGCTGCATGTCTTTACAAATGTTCATGTTGAAAAAGCTGCAGCAAGAGCATGGATGGACAAGGGAAGTTACGCAGAGCTCAGTATTGACAAATTTTCTTTTTCTTTCAATCAGCCAAAACAAACAGAAGAGCAAATGTTATCAATCACCTCTGAGTCAGTGGATGAAAGTGCAAGGTCTACTATGAAAGCTAGCGAAATTGCCAGTGTCATGCAACATTCAGGAAACATCTCTGTGAACAAGATTTTATTTCAATTCAACTATTCAACTCCAGAAAAAACTAGTACTCCAAAGAAGGAGTTTATCTCTTTGTTTGACGTGACAGTTAGTGATATTCGACTGAATGAATTCATGTCAAAGTACCAAGAGACCCTACAACTTCATGTTTATTTCACTTTTGACAAGCTACTAATTAATTTCCCATTTGCTGATGTTTGGTCTGCCTCTTCAGTACAGTTTCGAAACTTTGTGAAAACATGGTATGAAGCTGTGACTCGTAAACCCACTTTACCTCCTTTTAATATGGAGAAAGAAAAATCTGGTACAGAACCAACAAAAGACAAGGATGCAAAAACACTATCCAATTTTGCAATTCCATCAATTAGCGTTGTGGCTGACCTTAATGATGTTTCAGCATATTTTAAACTTGTCAATGCCTTCCAAATGAGATATGCATTAAGCAAACTCACTCTTAACTTTAATCAAACACCCAAGTTGGAAAATAATTTTATGGTTCATTTATTTCCAAATTCATTTACTTTAAAGTCAAATAATGATGAGGAGTTTCCTCCCTCTAACAAATGGGAAGGTCCAAACAAATCCTCATCCGGAATGAATGAGTTCAAGAAACAATTCCTTCTTCCTGAGCTTATTGTTTCTGGAAGTCTTAAGAATCAACAAGAAGATGACGGATCTACTAAGAGAATACTGTCAATGCTTATTGCTATTGACTACATGGAAAACGTTGTTACCAGTGATTTATTGAATCATGTGATTGTTATTCAATCAGCTGTTGCAAAGGAAGTGAATAAGATTGTTGACAGCCTTAATATTAATGTCGAAAAAGAAGACCTTGAAAAAATCAAAACGGAATTACCAAAGGCCAAAAAGAATGTGAGTTCCTTAAACCTTTCACTTGATGTCAATGTCTTGTTCGATGGCATTCGAATTACTGCACTTGGTCCTTCAACTGCTTTGGTTGTAGATTCTGGTTCTATTTTCGTGAATGCTAATACTTTGGAGAACATGAAGCTTAAAGCAACGTTGAAAGGACTCAATATCAATATGATTGATACACACAATATTAAGTGGGCAAACACAAGGAAATTCAAGGATCGTTACTCTGACATTAACGAATGCTATCAATGGGCACAATTCAGAACAAATTTACAAATTCAAAACTTCCTTGATACACCACTGACTGGCCAGTCCAAGAATCAGGAATCAACATCACGTAACTTTACAGTGGACGTCTTTGATACACATTTATACTTACGACCAGGTTGTATTGAACAAGGACTATTCCTTTTCAAAGATTACAAACAATCCATGAAAACTCTTTTTGAAAAGTTGAAAGAATCTCGACAAAAGTATAGATCTGAAGCTCTGACATCATTAATCAAGACAGGAGAGCAATACTACTCGATTTATTCTCATCAAATCAAAGAAAAGGTCACCAATGATGCTGACACCTTTATTAACTCGGGAGTTGTTCGTATCACCAATACGACACTTTCAATGCCATTTGGAGATAATCCATATTATGGATTTTTAACAAATTCTGGTCCTACTTATCGTCCACCATGTTGCTTGCAAGTAATAATTCCTGCCATAGGTTTTTCAACCATGTCAGAATCAGAGGATGATGTTAGTGCTACATTGGACACGATTATTTCAACAGGAAAAGATAGTGTTTCCAGCCAACGTGTAGCAACAGGAAAAGTGCTTTCAGTGAACATTTATTTAGATGAAAAACCACCTCGCAAATCAAAGCAATCATTTAATATGCCTTCTCTTGCTGAGTATGAAGTTGCCAAAACGAAGGCGAAAGTAGAAAAAATCATTATGAGTTTGAAACTAAAAGTGTCAAAGAATGAAATTAATGGTTCTGGAATTCTTCACATTCCAGGACCGGAGTTGAGAATTTCACCCTCTTTAATAAGAAGAGCTTTAGAACTTGGTTATGATTGGTTCAATCCAAAACGAAAGCTCTTTGCCACAGATGTGACTAATGAGCTTCCATCTCAAAAACCACCTGAAACTCCGCGACAAGGAGAAGGTATTAAGATACGAGATTTAACACGTAGAAAGTTGAATTTTCTATTCACTGCAAATATCCAACCAGGTGTTTTTACACTTGCTCACAACTTGACTCCTTCAACTATTATGCGAAGAAAGGTCACAGATGATAGTGCAGCATCTGTTGAAGAAAAATTACCTTCCATCTCTGTAACTGCACTTCACAAAAATCCAGGAACAAGTGCCAACCGATCTACAACTCATGTTCATGTAGAAGTGAATTGGGATGGTATGAAGCTCATGCCTAAATCAATGTTTTTCATTTTGGAGACACTTCATGAATTTAAACTTTGGATCAAAGAAGAAAGAAAGAGAAGGAGCAATTCTTGTGTCGTGTCACTTGAAGAGTTACTCTCTGAAAGTGACACCTCTAAACCTGTTGCTTGGATGAAAATGATTAAGGCACTTTTGTTAATTCAACGAGTTTACAGAGGATATCGAGCAAGAAAATTATACAAAAAGCTAAAAGCTAACAAAACAGAAAGAGACAATTATCTCAAGAAATCAGTCAAAAAGGAATCCAAAAAACGTGAAGCAGTTACCTTACAATCTGATTCATTCAGTTTGCAATGTCGAATTAATCCCTTCAAGCTTGAACTTTCATGTTTTCCACTTGCGGAAACTGCAACATGTCTCGAGTTTGTAGCTCCATTCGACATTATGATGAGTCGAACTTTGAGATCTGTTCAAACAGGGTCTACCAAAGGAAATGCCATGTACATGAATCTCTTCCTTTCATGTCCTTCAACCATTATACGATGCTATCATCCACTCACACCAACACCATTCATTATCGTCACAGTGAAAGGCATCATTGGAAACTTGGGAAGTGGATTTGGTAGTTATTTAAGGTCTGATGATACTCCCGTCTACTCGGGTACTATTCATGTGAAAAAAATATCACTGGAAGTGAGTTTACCTCAAATGAATCACTTTTTCATCATGTACACGATTTGGATGGATAAATATGAAGAAGCGAGAAATGCGTTGAAAATGGTGCGAGGAGAAATTGTAGCATCACCCAAGCCAACCACACTACCAGTGACGTTAACAAGTGAGGAACAAGAAGAAAAGGAACAAAAGCGAAAGAAAATTAGTATGGATGAAATTTCACTCAATTCCACTTCTTCAAAATTTGGACAGTTACTCATTTCTTCATTTGAAATTGTTAGTGATATGGGCCCAACATTAGGAAAACAAAAATTTGTTGCAGATGAGGTTTCTCTATTCTGTAAAGATAAGGGTCGTATCCAAAATGAAACTGTGAGAGATCCACTTCACATTGGAGGATATATTGGAAAGTTAGAAGGAAAACTTGTAGGAAGACTTCAAGGAACTATTGTTATGAATGGACTTGTCGCAGGAGTTAATCGTTCATTTAAAGTAGGAGGTCCAAATCCAACCTACAAAGGAGTTACTGAACTTTCACTTATTGCTCTTCCAAGTTTAATTGATATTGAACTTAACTCTGCAAAAATTCTGAACATTTCTTTGAAAACACTTTCTCTGCATTTTTGTGACGTATTTGATTCTAATGATGGTAGAATGTATCATGTGGAAACAGAAATTAACTTACCAGGAGCGGTTGTGAGGTTATCAAAAATATCTGCATCTGCATTTATTTATGTATTTTACAAGATCAAAGAATTGGCATCTGAAAAGAAGCGAGCAGCACTTGACACACTGCAAGGATCTGTTTCATTTTTCAATTTTGAATCCAAAACGTCAGATAATGATGAAACGGATGACGAAGAGGAACAACCTTATCAAATCAAATCTCTCACAATTCAATCTCCAACCAAACAATTCCTTTCTCTTGTTCCAATGGGTGACATTGTTTTTAAAGGAGCTAATTTAAGAGTTTATCTTTATGAAAAGTTTTCTGTGGAAAATGATAAATTTGTACCCAATGGAGATTGGTTAGAGTTTGGAATGGATGATTACCAACTCAAATTCAAAAGAAAAGCACATGTGGAGGATAAATCAGTGGAGAGAAGTTTAACACTATTCTTGGCAAAAGTCGTTCTGGATAGAATGGCTCCTCTAACGAAGAGATCATTCATTTTGGAAGTACCTGGTGCTCATTTAACCATGAACTCGGTTCAAACAAGAGCATTACCTGATGTTATTAGTTACACATTTAAAACAAAATTTCCAAAAGCAATTACAGTCACTACCAATTTGAACGAATACACATTCTTGCAAGGAATAGTCAAGCTCTATAAGAATGAAGCGAAAAATGAACTGGACGAGCATCAAAAGTCTTCCAACCAAAGCAATGCAGGAACTATTATTTCTTTGACCTCACCAACACTAGACGAGCAGACATCCTCTCAAAAGAAGAGTTCCAATATTTTTGGTATTTCAAAGAGACATTTCGAAGGAACTGTTCAACTAAATCCAAAAGTTTCTGTTCTTGGTGACTTGACGCCTGAAGTACAAACTGTGTTGGGATGGCTTGGAATTTCTGAAAGTATCATTCCACAAGTAACACATGAAGGTGTGACAGATACTCTGGAGACCATTCTAATTACATGCTACAGAACAAGTGAGTTGATGGACAAAATTTTCATAGAGCAAGAAAAGTAAACGATTTGAAGATTTTATTCTGACAAATGATCAAAGGTACTTTGTGATTCATTTCTTTTCTGCCTTATTTTGTCTCTTGCTTTGCTGGCCTTCTTGCTAAACCTGTTTTTCAGCTTTGAAAGCAACACCATTCTGTCCATGACCTTCATCTCTCGACCAAGTGTAATAGCTGTTGCAATTTCTTGTTCAGTTGATTGCACAATCTTGTCCACTTGAGTCTCCAATGGCCATGTTCCATCCATAGTGATCCAAGGATGTTCCTTAATTTCCTTAATAGTTATTCTTTTTTGCCACTCTTTACAAAACAGTCTTGTCAATAGGTGTTTTAGATTTGGGCTTGCCTCTTCTGGAATATCTGGCTCGTCGTTCATAATGGAATTATACATTCCAACTATATTACATCCAATAAACGGTAGCTTTCCGAACGCAAGAACAAACAGTGTCACGCCAGAAGCCCAAATATCTGATGCATAGCCATTGTATGATCCAACATTACATGCCTCGGGAGAAAGAAACGCAGGTGTTCCGGGTGCTGTGTTAAACATTACGTTGTCTCCTTCAAGGATTGTGCTTACTCCAAAATCTGTAATTTTAAGTCTATCTTCATTTGTAATCAAAATATTTTCTGGCTTGATGTCTCTATGTACAATCTTATTTTCATGCAAGTATTCAAGCCCGCAGATTAAGTCTCTGAAATACTTTCTGCAAGCATTTTCAGAAAATGGTTCTCTATCTGTTTTTTCAAACGAAAGAAGTTTCATCAGACACCCTCGTTCAATATATTCGAAAACAAGGAAAAGCTTATCTGTTTTTGGATCGTCAATAACTTCATACAGTTCTACCACATTAGGATGAGACACTTTTTTCAAAATGGCAACCTCTTTCATGAGAGAAATTAAATCGTCTCCGCTTTTCATTGGTCGTCCTAGCCGGTCCTTTTTTTTGGCATCTTTGAAACATGACTTGTTGATTATTTTCATGGCAACAAGCTCGTTGTTGTCACTTCTTCTACAAAGCTTGACCTTTCCGTGCATGCCTTTTCCAATCTTCTTTATGACGATATATTCGTTGACAAACTTTTTTCCATCCTTGTCATAACCTGTAGAAACAGTCTTTGTGAAGTGAACCTCTCTTGTTTTGGGCGAGCCAGAAGATCCTTCGGAGCTTCCAGATCTTCCAGAGCCGTCTGAATCAGATGTTGGACTTAGTGCACCATTGTGTCCTAGATTCAACGACTTTTCTAATTCTTGTTTTGCAACATCCTTTTCCGCCTCTTTTTCAGATTCGTTCTTATCTTCGTCGTCAGAAACTTCTTTCGTTTCCAGCAACGTTTTTTCTGAAAGCAACGATCGTTTTGACTCGGCCATAATAAGTGATCTTTTTGAAGCTTTGTGTGCATCCTTAACGTCCTCTTTCGGTTCATTAATTTCCGAGTCTAAACTTCGAACCATTTTCGCTTCGTTTGATCTTTTTCGACGAAGTTTTCTAGAGCCGGAGTGATTTATCGATCTTGACGAAGAACGGACCTGAATATTGTAATCTTCCTCATTAGAAGAGGAATCATCTCCCTCAATTCTTTTTCCTATTGCAAGATCATCTTTCGTTAGAGAGAATGAGCTTGCTTGCTGTATAGTGTTTTGTGACCAAAATCGTCTGAGCTCTGTCGTTTCTGTTTGAACACCGATTTCCATTGGCAATCCTCGTTGTTGAAGAAGCTGCAGAAATCTCAATTGCTCCGACGTGATTAATACAAGTATGTTGTCCAGATCCTTGTTTGATGGGCGTTCATTAAGATATTGTTGTAAATTGATGATGGTGGCATTCTTCCACCGATCTGGAATTGCAGAATTTGAGAAGGATTGTAAATACCTAGTATTAAACGATGGTGTTGTACTTGTTAGACCTAGCATATTCGGTGGTATGGAGGATGTATTTGTACTGTTCAGTTTTGAGGTATCACTAACCTCGGAAAAGCTTTCATCATCGGCATGGTAGGCATCCTGATGATGAACATCAGGTGCAACCTTATGAGAAGAGTTTGGCGAGCAGATCTGTCCCATGATGATGGCCCTACCTCTATCCTCGTGTTTGATGTTATGTTATTGAATTCTCAAAGGAATCTATACCCTCCTCCTCCTCAATAATGTTTTCAGGTTCGGTTGAAGTTGCTGTACAGAGTTCAAAGGCGGGCAAGGATGATTTTTTTAAGGCCTTAGTTCGCTGTTTTTCGCTGTTGTTGGAGCGCAACAAATTTCATCAGAAAAGATCTTCAAGATTCTTTAAGAAAGCCCTAAAAAGAAAAACAAGTTTTCAATTGATTGATTTCAATTCAACTTTGTGAGTTTTATCAACAATCTTAAATGTACATGGTTTGACAAATCGTGTTAAAAGTATTATAAATATATTTTGTGATGATGACGACATACGCATTATTCAACTTCTCCCAAATAATCTTTCACTTCAGCAGGTGTTAATACACGGAAGAGCTTGTCTTTACCAACAACTCCAATCTCAATATTCTTGTTATTGATTTGTCCATCGAATCCTTCTTTAAGTGTTAAAATGGCGGTGTGAATAGCATCTTCAAGTTCAATATCACTTGAATAACGCTTTTCCAAAAATGTGTTTGCATTGACCATGTTCTTGCCAATTGCTGATGCTTTCCAAGCCCAGTATGATCCACTAGGATCTACTTGATATAAATGTGGTCCTGTGTCGTCATAACCTGCAATTAATAAGCTTACACCAAATGGTCTAACACCACCGGTTTGGGTGTATTCTTGCATTACAGAGGCGAGATGTTTCACCAATTGAGAGACAGGAATACGTTCCTTGTAAATTCTATAATATTCTTCAGCATGTTTTCTGCCTTGTTTTGCAAGAACACGTGAATCAGGACCCATTCCACTGTACACCATTCCGATATGATCAGTCAAAGGAATGACCTTTTGAAGAGAAGTATGATCCACCAAAGGCGATGGTAGCTTCTTTTCCGTAGCGACCACCACACCATTGGTAGCTTTTATTGCGAGTGATGTACTTCCGGCCAATACAGCGTTAAGGGCATACTCGATCTGCACAAGTTTTCCGGAAGGTGAGAATGTTGTCAATGAGAAGGATGTATCGGTGGACATTTTTTTTAAAAAATAAAACTTCCTATTAATAGCTTGATTTTGCGATTGGAAACAACAATCAATGATACTGAGGATACCTTTGAATACAAAGAATCAGAACAAGAATTAGAGTTGCAGCAAATTTTCTCAGTTGATGGAAAGCCAGAATTACTTTTCACAATTCTGCCTTATTGCGATTAAATTATATAACGAAAAGCTTATTTCTTCTTCAGTTCGTATCCATTTTCAAGTTTGAGGACAATGAGATTCAGAGATAAAAAATTCAACCGAAATGAGCAACATCGTCGTTTCTTCTAAACCAAGCTCCACCACTTCGACAGCTGATGCCGCTATCTCTTCTGATTCAAATTCTCGGAGCAAACACGATCATCAACATAGCCCCAGTATGGAGCATGGAGGAATCATAGACTTGCTGTGTACGAATACAAGTAATGATTATCGTCATGAAGAGGAAAACGAAGATGTTGATTTGTTGTTGGGAGAAAACATTAAACATAATAACGGAAGAAATAGCTCGGTAAAGAGAAAGAAAACTCGTCTAACCGATGCAGAAACAAAAAAGAGAAAAATACAATCAACGGAAAACAATTATGAAAGTGCTGATGATACTAGTAGTGAGCATCAGGAAGAGTTTGAAAGAGGAAATGCTACGAGTCCGAGTGAGCTGGACCTAAGCGAAAAAAAGAAGTCTCGTAGTGCGGCAAATTCACCATGTTTAAAAGACCACAAATATGTTCGAACCACGAAAACATCTCCCAAAAACAAAACAGACTCTCTCAAACTAATACATTTATCACTACCAGTATATAACGGCCATCATCACAAAAATAGTAATAATTATTCTAGCGACAAAACAAAAACATACTCATTAGAATCAACAGGAACAAGCCAGTCCCATGACGTGGTTGCTCCTAAATCTAAGAATCCTGAAGAGGATACCCCCTCTTCAAGCAAAATGGTTGTCATTTCAATTATTTTTATTTTCACAGCTCTTGTGTATATTATGTTCAAGTACAATCAAATGCATACGCAAATTGAATCCATGGGCACTACTACAGCTCCATTACCAGAAGATCAAAGAAAAGTTTTTGAAAATATTCTTCAAAACCAAATTTCAGACTCCCAAAAGCAATTCTTAGATTTGATGAACATCAAATTATCAGATCTAGAAAAGAGAGTTAACATTGAATTTGAGAAAAATATGAACAATAATATTTTGTCAATTAATATGAAGAATCAAAAGGATTTGGAAAACATTAAGGATCTAGTACTGAACAAAATATTTTCAGAGATCGACAAAGTGTTAGAAAACAGACTTGGCCCAATCATAGAAAGTCATAGAGAAGATGTTGTTAAACTTAAGGAGGAGATAGACAATATTTTTCCTTCTGTGAAATCATTGATCGATGATTCACTTTCCAAATACGCTGCAGATAAGATTGGACTTGCTGATTATGCATTGAGCTCGTTGGGTAGCAAAGTTGTCGAGCACTCTCCCACTTACAACCCCTCATCAGGATTTTGGCCTCTGTTTTCTTCTATCAAACGGCCTGATATTATTTTGACAACGGATACAACGATTGGAAATTGCTGGCCCATGAAAGGTATGTATTTCTCTAATTAAACTCTCGCTAACATGATCGTGAAACCATTTAGGAGGTTCTGGATTCGTAGTAATTGAACTAGCTAGTCCTATAATACCAACAGCGTTTTCCATCGACCATGTTCCACGATCATTGACTCCTAATTTCTCATCAGCTCCTAGACAATTTACTGTGTTTGCCTATGAAAGTAGCACTTCTCTCGCAAAGTTGCACACGTTCGAGTATGACATTAAGGGTCCAGCGACACAAACATTCTACATTGTAGAAAAAGTTACGAGAAAGTATCAGAGATTTAGATTCCAAATTAGCTCTAACTATGGAAACCATCTCTATACATGTTTGTACAGATTACGAATTCACGGTGAGTCAGGAAATTATTTGCTCAATTAATGAGCAGAGTAAAGTGAAGGATTAGTTTTCGTTCTCCAGTTGATCCTAAACAAAAAATGACAGAGACAACTTCTGCTGACAAGACATTTGCTGCCGGCCTGATGCGTATTCTAGAGGTTTGTGTTGATCATCAGTCTGTAGGAAAGAATGTGGACTAAATACACATTCGTATTCGACTTTATTTCAACGTCATCATCGTGAATTTAATTTGTTATCGGAACCGTCATTTTCTGTTTTGGTTGTCATCAGCCAATCACAACCGAATACGACCATCAAATACGAGAAATTCAACTCAGTCAAACCAAACTTGCAGAACAGATTGACAATCTTTCTAAGAAACTTGATCAATGCAAAGAAGATGCACAATTTATAAACGTTACTCCCTACTTGCAGAAATTAGCAAACTCACGGAAGAAAGTCATTAACATTTCCACCACTCTTGGACACATTTCGGATCGCTTGAATAGACTCAACAAGCTTGCCAAACAAAAGTATGTTGATATTCTCTGTTGTTAATCGTGAGATGAATTATTATTTCATCAATGAATTCACCAATCACACAATAACAAACCAAAAGGTATCCAGAGCTCGAACAACTCAGACAACAACGAGAGCGAATGAAGCAACAAACAACACCCACCACTCCTAAATTATCATCCCAACCACAAACAGAGATTTTCAATCCTTCCTCATCGATCACAACACCATCATCAGAAAACACAGAACCTTCATCGGCATCATCATCAGCTTCCAGTCTTCAGCAAAATCCACCAACAACTACTGTTCCTTCAAGCCGTAATGAACAGCAAGTGGAGGCATGGTCTCTGACCGAACAAGATAGTAGTAATCCAAGAAACGAATCACCACAAGAAGAGCAACAACAAGAAACATCTTCATCACAACAACAAGAACAACACGAGGTGGAACAAACACCATCACCAACCAATAATGATACCCAAGGTGGTGATGATCATCAATAAAAATCCTACGCGCCAAAACTCGATTACAATTCATATTGACAATTCTGCAGTTGATAAAACTCTTTAAAAAATTATGCAAAACAACACTCAAAAGCTCAAGTCCGTACAACAACTTCGTGAAAATCAACCCTACAATGGAGTATTGCTGGAGTGTATCCCCAGTCCTGTTGTATTTGAAAATTATGATGAGTTTGGACAATATGAAATGATTGTAGAGGTGTTGAATCGGTCTGCAATTCCGACTGCTATTAGATTGAAAAATCATTCAAATAAGTTTTTCAAAGTGAAACGGGTCGATGCAAGTGAGGGAAAAATAGCTCCGGGTTTATCAGCCAAGATCTTGGTTACATTTCATCCGGATTCTTTGTTGGATTATACTGAACAAATATCAATAATTAGTGCTTCAAAGGATGAGATAATACTTCCGTTACTGGGACGAAGAAAACGCCCTCTTTTAACGCTCCCAAGAATAATTAATATAGGACACTGTTTTATTGGGACCGAAATTAGTAAGGAAATCAAATGTAAAAACGCGGGAGGAAAAGGAAAATTCTTATTTCAAAAATGCTTTGATCCAACAACAAACATTCGATTTTTATTTTCTTCCCTTAACGAAGTTGATCATTCACAAATAATTGAACTCTCACCGTTTCTAATATCTCCAAAATACTTCTCTCTGGAAGGAAATGAAGAAATACCTATAACGATAACATTTAGGCCAGAAGCGGTTGGAGATCATGATCAATCTCTATTCGTTATTTTTGATAACGAACAAATTTTCGAAATTAAGATCCGTGGAATTGGACAATATCCAAATATTGAGCTATGTGCAATTTCAAATATTGCGAATTTTGATAGAAAAAGCCATCCGTCGTTGTTATGCTTTGATAATATCTATCCTTTTCAGAAATCTCCTCCCCAATATCTAACTCATTATAATGACAGCGATATTGAAGTTGAGTTTGAATGGAGATATATCAATGAGTACACAGATGTTCCTGTACAAACACAGAGCTTGAACTTGCCCTTTTCAGTTAAGCCTAGCAGTGGTAAAATTGGCCCAAGGCAGCACATCAATTTTGAGGTTAGATTTACTCCTAGAGAATTAGGAATATATTCTGGTTACTTTATCCTTTTCTTGAACAATGTTCCAATTCCAGCTTCTTGCGATCACCCTTTCTTTTATTATTACAAAGCAGGGTTCTCTTGGTTCAAAAATAGTATTTTGAATTCATTAACGACGTCAGACCCTTTGAAATATTTCACAAGCTACGAAGTTGATGTTAACTCAATCGAGGAGGAGCAGAGACAAACAGTATTTGGGGCTGAAAAAATTGATGTTATTGGAAGTATTCCTGTATTTCATTGCCGAGTTCATGGCGACACCTCAAAGCTTGATGTGACAGTGAGTCCGCCCATTGTTGATTTCAGTAACAGTTTAGAAGTGGGTGCGGTCGTTGAAAAGGATCTTATCCTCACAAATAATTCGGAGTTTGAGGCAAGGTTTAAATGGCTGATTGACGTTAACGAGGACGATGGCCTTATCATTGACTTTGTTCCACCATCTGGTTCCTTACTTCCAAAACAAAGGAATTCTGTTAAATTACTGCTCAAGTGTGATAGATATCAATCATTCGAGAAAAGTTGTCTATGTGAAATTGAGAATTCAGACAGTATTGAATTTTGTATTAGAGGAGGTGTAAGTAATTTGTCATATAGTTGTTTACGATATATTCTTCAACCCCAAATAGACAAAGCCACAAACCCTAAGAGTTGACACTCCATGTATTGACTTTGGAATTGTGGAAACGAACAAAATTGTAACGGATTGTATTCAGCTTACAAACACTTCTCAACAAGATTTGTTTTGGGAGCTAGCCACAGTGGAAAATGATGCTATAACCTGCTCTCCAAAGCTTGGACTGTTGAGAGTTGGAGAGTCTGTTCTAGTGAATGTTTCTATTGAATCCTTACATCCTCAAATCATCAAACATTCTTTAGCGTTTAAGGTTAGAGATGGGCCCCCTCAATTTGTCGACGTGCATGCTGATGTGCAAGAGCCGAAAGTAATTTTGGAGAAATATTACTTTGATTTGGGAAATAGCATCAAGGTGGGAGAGTAAGTATTAATGTTGTATTAACATTCGAGTTTGAGCTTTATATTACAGTGAGGTTGAGATAAAAATTCATATGAAGAACATTTCACAGATAAGAGTAGAGTATTGTTGGTACGATTTGGGTCAAATTGCTGCAGATTCAAGAGGATATGAAATACGACTGGAAAATGAAAAGGGAGAATTGCTACCAGAAGCGGAAGGTTATACAACCGTGATTTTGAAAGCATTATCACCAACACCAAATCTGGAAGAAGTGTTTCCTTGCTTTCTACAGGATGATAAAACAAAATTCATGGGAATTAAGGTAATAGGAAGTATAATTGAATAACATAAATGAGTGAAAAGGATACAATCATGTATCCTAATCAATTGTTATAACTCATTAGGCCTTGGTAAGACTTCAAATGGGAACGGTGAAATATATTGGCCTTGAATGATAAGACTGTCCTCATGATTATACCAATAACTGTTAGAAGACTTAGTAGGTGGATGAAGGGAAGTAGAAATGGAGAAGGAGATGATATAATCACTAGTTTCTAGAGTTTTTTCATCCTTTGTAAGTGAAACTCCAATGAAATCAATTAATGGATGAAGAGCAATGGTAAACAAATCAATACAACAAAATCCCACAAGTATATCATTCCTAGAACTTGGTTCTTTTTCAAAAACTTTGATACTGATATAATTCTTGGTCAAGTCATCGACCATTTGTTTGCTTGGAATAATCAAGTTGTCAAAATGATCAGTTCGGTTCGCTGGCGAATTTTCCAACTCGGACAGATCTCGAATTGAATAACTTGATCTCATCAATGATTTCTTGTTTGTCATGTTGTAAATAAATTCTAAATTGAAATCTTTCCATTCCAAAAATTCATGTTTGGTCATTAACGGTAATTTGTAGGTAAATTCTGTTAATGTAAAGTCTTGAACCATTTCAGCCACAATATACAGTTCCGACTTATTTGATGGTGTGTTGGAGCCTTCTTTGATATTTAGTAATTTAATCTCTCCGATTGAAATATATTTGAAGGGTTTGATTGCCTTCATCGATGTATGCTCTGTTGTTTCTACTGAATATGACGAGTAATAGATAGGGCCATTATTTGCGCTTTGTAATTGTGATTCTATTATATTATTCAATTCATTATCACTATCATCACTATCATCCTTCTGTTCCTGAATTTGTACTTTTTTGTGGTCCTTGTTGTTTTTCTTGTTGGGAGTAGCGTCTAGTGATTTTTTGGGTTCATCCGAATTGCTTGATGATACAGTCTTGTTGTTGTGCTCTGGGGTCTTGTCGATGGATCTTCTAAAACTAAGAAACGATTTTCTCTTCGGAGAGGTACTTTGAGAAATAGGATCTAATGAAGGTCTTGATCCTTCATCATTACTAAGTCTAGTATCGGGTGAGGAAGTTGGAAAGTCTAAACTTGCTCTACCCTGCAGCGTTGCAGCATCTTGGTCCTGTTCTGAAGATGTGTTACTCTTTGATCTCTTCTTCAAACCTAAAAATCCTCGGATCATGTGATGAAATGGTGGTTCTTTCCAAGTTGAACGTTCGTTGCAAAATATGATGAAAATACAAGAGCTCAATGTGATGCTCTTTGATATTCAAACACACACTCTGAAAATAGCTATTTTCAATGATCAGAACAATAGCAATAGTTGAACAACAACAACAACAACAACAACCAATAATAATAATGAAAACGTTATTTTACAACCACTCGCACACTCAAATCTTCTCTGGTGAAAGTGGGATCGTGGTGATGGTTGTTTCCGAACAAGTACTACTACAGTGAAATACAAGTGAGTGAGTGCGTGGGCGAGGTGAGAGAGTTTTTTTTAGGTACTCACAACGGAAAAGGAGCACCTTCGGACTACATTCAGGACCTTCCCAAATTGTTCATTCAAAACCAAACTTCATGGCTCAGGATTTTGATTGGGTTGTCTTCCAAGCAAACCGTGAGCGGATGGAAATAAACAATTCTCTCATCATCATCATAGGAATACCGTATAGGAGGACTGGAGGCTGCAGTTCAATAACGACACATGTGTCACTTCAGACAATCGACCAAGGAACACTCTCGGAAAAGGAGGGGCGAATCCGACGCGGGAATTGAAACGTTTCCCGCCAATTCATGCATGCCAATTACATTTCATCAATTTTCAATTCAGAAAAAACACACTCCTGGCGAATCATCATCATCATTTGAGTCTTCTCGAGAGTATTGTTGCTTTCGCATTGCTACATGTCCGTACACTATAAAAATCGACAAGGAACTACAATGGATGGTTCCGAGGAGATGGATTCCTCTTCGTTCAATCTCAATCACAAAACTCTAAAGAAATTACTTTTAAATTATGGAGAATATCCATCCAAATATCGAATGCTAATATGGAGGTACATGTTGCAACTTCCCGAAAATAAGGAACATTTCGAAGTATTGTATTCGAAAGGAATTCATTTTACTCAATACAGTCTACACCAAAGATATCCAATTAGTAACTCTTCGATCTTTAGAAAAATACAACGAATTATTTCTGCTCTTGCAAACTTATCACCAATTTTTGGAACAGTAGATTACTTACCAGAGGTCTTGTTTCCCTTTCTGAAAGTTTTTAATCAAAGTAGTTGTTCGATTTTTGAGATTATTGCCACATTTTTTGGTAAGTATGAATACTAAATTGTTGGATTGAATGGTCATTATTTTGAGAAACAGTGAATTGGGGAAAAGAGTGGTTTGAATTCTTTCCAAATGCGCCTGTCACAGTTATGAATTATGCCGCTTCTCTTTTACAAATTAGTGACAATCAATTGCTTGAGCATTTTGTTTCGATTGGATTGTCTCCTGAGATTTATGTTTGGTCATTGTTCAAGAGTGTATTTACAGAAGTATTTTCAACAGACATGTGGTTAAAAGCTTTTGATCACATTTTCTCAATGCCTCCTTCTTTCCTTTTTTACTTTATTTGTGCATATTTGAGTTATTTTCGAAAAACATTCTTTCAACTCAAAACGTTGCAAGATTTAGAGGATTTTTTCCATACCATTCATGCTTGTGACTTGGATAAGATTTTACATTCTGCCTATGACATGCATAACTCAACCATTCAGTCTTCCATTCAAAGAGCAATAACCTCTTCCTATGGAGTGTTTACTCCTCTTCAAAAAGGTCAATACGTTCTTGGGTTACGATTCCCAAAACATTCTGTTGATTTTCAAATGAAACAGAGAGAAAAAATTGCAAGAAGTGAAGAAGAAATTGACATTGCAAGAACGAATTATGAATCTCTAAAGAAACACAACACAGAGTTTGAAATAGAACACAGAAATTGGCTCATTCGTCAACGAGCAATTTTAGAAGCAAGCAGAGATCGACAACAACTTGCAGATCAGATCGAAAGAGAACTTTTGGAAGAGAAAGAACGAATAAGACAATTGGAATTACAAGAACGTCTGAAAAATATTGAATTCCTTCAAGAACGAAGGAAAATGTTAGGAGAGATTCAAGAAGCAGAAGCAAATCTATTGTCACAAACTGATCAACGATTAAGCTCTGTTCGTAACGATATTTACAGTGACATCAAACACATGACCACCAACATGCATCTCAATCAAGTCGAGAAGATGGAAGAAAGTAAACGAATGGACTACCAAATGTTTGTCGAGAGATGTCCTCCTGCACATTACACTCCACAACCCACTGCTGCAGGTATTGGAGAAATGATTCATCCTCGACCATCCATTACCTCCTCGGAATGGTATCAAACAACAACTACTGTTCCTCCTCCTCCTCCACAAACAATGTTGAATTCTCCTCCAAATCTTTTAAGTGATGCAACAACAACAGAACCAGTGGTGGTTCCAAATGCATCATCTGCCTCGAACGAGAATGCATCCACTCTTCCTCATTCGAATTTGATTCCATCATCTTCCTCTCCTTCTCAACAACCACAACAACGCTCTCCACAAGCATCAGCAACACTCAGTCATGAGAATCAAACGAATCATTCCGTGAATCGTGTGGAAGCGAATCTTTCAGTGTCACAACCTCCACAACAACCGTCACAACGATTAGAAAGTTCACAAAAAGTTGAAGATTCACAATTAAGCTTTGCTGAAGGTCTTAATGTTCACATGTTAGGAAAAGAAATTTCGAATTTACAAAAAGAACTTGATTCTCTCCATAAAGTAGTGGAAGAGACACATTCAAAGGAACCTCAAAAGAAAGAGTGTAAAGAAAAGAATGAACATTTAAAGAAAAAGAAACCAAAGAAGGAAAAGAAGGACAAATCTTCATCTTCCAAAGAGACAACTAATGATCCAAGTACAGAACAGAAACAACGAATCTCTGAATCTGTTCCACTCTCAAAATCAACATCCAAACATGCGACAGACTCTTCTTCTAAAAAGAAGACGAAAAAGAAGGATATTGTTCGATCAGAAAAGAACTCAGCAGCCACATTGACCCCTACATCTACCTGTGAAATGAGTGTTCAAACGGATACAACGAACACCATCAACAAGAAGAAGAAGAATTCCTCCTCTTCAACAACTAGTGTGACCATGAGAAAAGACAAGAGCAAACCATTGAATGATCTTTCAGAATTGAACATCTCCAGCAGTAGTAGTAGTAGTGGTGGTGGTGGTGACTCTTCAAAAACACATTCCTCTCATCACGAAGAAGAAGACGATTCTAAAATTTCTGAACTTCGAAAATCTCTCTCTCAACAAAAAGCTCATTTGGAAAAATCAGAAGGTGCTTTACAACATATTGAAAATTTAGCTTCATACATTTCACAACAAACTTCAGCAGCAAAAAATAGTGATTCCAATATATCGAGAAGTGTTTCTTCCATTTCAACATTGGATACTTCAAGAACAAGTCAAGTCTATTCAAGATTTGATTATTTGGAAAAAGTCGATCATCGTGTGAATGATTTAATTCAAAAGAAATTTAAAGAATTCATGTCAAAGAGAGGACAAGAAGAAAAGAAAGTCACACCTGGTTCATCTCCATCTTCGATCATGTCTTCTAGTGGTGGTATTGGAAAACAACACTCCCCTCAAAACACCTCTTCTATTCCCTCCAACGCATCAAAGAAAAACTCTTTCGAATCAATGAATGACAAGTCGCTGTCAGGTCATCACATGACTGCTAACAACAACTTGTATGAAGTGGAAGAGAGAAATTTGAGTTATCCAACGACCACAAATACCACAGCTACTACAGCCACCACCATGAACACTACGGCTATGGATCACTCTTCATTTCAAAGGAATGATTCAGGTGTGAAAGGAGCTCTTGAAGAATCCTCAACAAATCGATCTTCCTTCTTGTTAAATGAAACGACAGAGAAAGTTTATTCTTCGGATACATCTTTGTCGGTTCTTTCGAATAAGAGAGTGAGCGGAGGAGTGAGAAATCGAGGAAGTATTTCATCTACTTTTAATCCTAAATTTGAGAGCAAGTACTTGAATTCACCCGAATCTCAGAAATCAGACAATGACACTTCTTCTGATGTGAATTCTCTGTTAAGACACAGCAGTGATTTTGAAACCATTGGTTCCAATCGAGTGAATGTCTCCTCACAACCTTCTTCAGAGAGCAGCAATTCCCTCAATGATTCCTCAATCAATCACACTCTCAAGCCAGCAAACATGCATGGTTACTCTTCGGCGGTCCTCTTGCTGAATGATTCAAGACAAAGCGAGGAAAAACCAAAAACTTCCTCGAGTGTCCTTACGACCATTACATCCTATCCCTCCTTGTCAAGTAGTGTAGAGTCCATTCAATTGAAACCTCAGGACTACTCCTCGTTAGATTTAAGCTTTTTTAGCACCACAAGCAGCAACGATGAGGAGAATGTGACCATTTCCACCTCTTGCTTGATTAGTGATGAATAAAACCGTTTTTATCGCAATAACCAAACACACAATTTATTCTTTAGGCTCTAGTTCAACAGCAGTTGAAGAGGCTGCAACCTCTTGTTTTGGCTCGCGAGGAGAGACAACAATGGACTTGGTCATTGCAACCTTCAAGTCACCACCGCCACCACCATCATTCAGTGTGGGTACTGGAACAGTAATTTCCAATCGTTTGTGATTCTCTTTTTCTCTTGCACTTAATAAAACTTCCTCTTCGGATGGAATTGGAGAGGTATGATGATGAGCTTTTAACACATAGGTCGTCAATGTACCTTTTCCTTTCACCTCAACACCTTTTCTTTCATCAAACTCGAACAAATCATACACTCTTTCATAGGTTTGTCTTGTCACTTGAATTCGTCCAGGAATTCCAGTTGATTCCATCTTGGAGGCAAGAGTCACTGTTTCACCCCATAAATCATAGGCAAATTTCAGAGTACCAATACTGTTACAAGGATTGTGTTAATCGATATGGACTAAAGATGTTGTTGTGTTCACTTACCATCCTGCAATCACTGGACCAGTGTGCATTCCCACTCTAATATTCAGAGTTGATTTCTTCTCCACATTGTAGTCATGAATGACAGAGTACATGTCCATGGCAAATCTGATAACTTTTTCAGGATGGTCTGATTGTTGATTGTGAAGACCTCCAACAGCAAAATAGGCGTCACCACTGCAAATATGTGTTCATATGTATTTCTTCAAATATTCAATAACAACTTACATTGTTTTGATCTTTTCTAAACCATACTTGTTAATACCTTGGTCAAATCCATTAATTAAAGTGTTCAATAGTTGAATCAGATCAATAGCAGACATGCCAGAGGACATTTTGGTAAAGTTGACCATGTCGCTAAAGAGACAGGTTGTGTCGTCCACTTTTTCACTGATATAGGTTTCTCCAGCTTTTAACTATTAATAAGTGTAAAAAATAATTAGTTGCATCAATCTTTGATAATGAAATTACTTACTCTTGCAGCAACTTGTTCAGGAAGAATGTTAAGTAGCAAAGCGTCGCTCTTTTTCTTTTCCTCTTCAATAAGCATGTTGTGCTTTTTCTCAGAAGTAATATCCTTAATAAAAACACTAATAAGGTTATTTTTTTCAAATGAAGAGACACTCATAGAAACTTGTGCAGGGAAAGTAGTTCCATTCTTTCTCTTTGCCTCCAACTCAAACGATTCACCATAACTTCTTGTAGCACTTGCCATGTTACCAATGACGCTTCTTATTTTGTCTGCACTGGCCTCACTAAACAAAAGTAATAAGGATGTTCCCATTAATTCTTCATGCTTATATCCAAGCATGTTCAATGCACTTGGATTTATAATGTCAATAAATCCAGTTCTACTGTTTAGAACGATAGCACCATCAACAGCAGCATCTTTTCAGAAAAATAGGTTACCAATTATTGTTGCAGAACAAAATTATGACCTACCCAAAATGGCTTTTGTTTTTGAAAACTTCTCTCCCTTTGCTTTTTTCTTTAAATCTGTGAGTGAGTAATATAAAATGTAAGCTCTAATCTCATCAAATTGTTCCAGTACGTCATAAGGTATAAAGTTGAACATTCTTCGCAGTTGGTGGTTTTCATTATCAAACCTTCTGGCTTCTAAATATTTAACGTAAGCCAACACTAACAGTAGTATAACGGAAATGCTAGTTGCGAGAGGGCTAAGGATTCGGTTGGGGGTTTTGAATGCATACACATATTGAGTCAAGATTGAGTACATCTTAGAAGAAAAAAGGTCGGAGGTTTCGAATAGCTGATCGTATCTTGCCATTAACTGCTGTTTCGGATAAGTGCCTCTAAAAGCATCTTCATTAAATCTGTCAGCAGCCAAGCTATACGCATCCATAAGTTCGTCCACTCCAATGCATGAAGCTGTATCGTTGGAGGTGCAATTAACCGTTGAAATGATCATGCTGTCAATTGATGATGATACCCCACTGATTCCAGCAAAGTTATTTTGAATTGTTCCATATCTGTAATTTAACCAGTACGCCATGAGGTCTTGAGAGTGTTTGATGATCTCTTTGTGAAATTGGTTCATGTTTGTTCCTAAAATTGATGATTCACCAAATAGATATTCACCCAGTTTGAATTTTTCTCTCTCACATGATTGAAGCACTTTGACACCATCATCAATCTTTATCATGGTGTTATATGACGATTGCATCAAATCTAGGCTCTCATAAAAAAGCAAAGCACTTGCCACAACTGTCACAACAAATAATCCGCCAATTAAAGCAGAAATGGTTCTCTTGGGAGATAGTAAAGACCTTTCTATTTTGACAATTTTGTCCTCTGATCTTTGTTCAAGGTTATGGAAAACTGTTCCAACAATATCTTTTGGAAGTTTAGAAAACAACTTCGTAAGCTTGGAAAGCTGACCCAAATGAATGTATGAGAACACAACAAACACAAAAATAAATAACACGTAAACCACAAGAACTCCTACTAATGTGAAAATAAAGATTTGTTTCTCGTTATTAAGGTAAGAATCGCTTCTTGCAATCAGTGATGAACAAAATTTTTCAAAGGATTCAGTAAGAACAATTCTGTTCATCCAAATATAGAGAAATTCGTAATTCTGGAACATGTTCGTGTAATCTGCAACCTTCCAATTGTAGATTTTGGACACGATTGTCATCAGTTCTCCTGACATGTCAGATATTGAGGCGTTTTTCTTGGTTGATAAAAGTGAAGTTATGTTTCCTGTTTGTAATATTGGAATCTACAAAGAGAATTTACCAAACAACTTGATGACTTAACACTTACGTCAATTGTAAAGACAGGAGCTACAAAATCTTTCATGCTTTCTACAGCAAATTTTTGCTCGTTTACAATGGTTTTAACTTTCTCGGTAATTGACTTGGCAATACTGATTGTTTCCTTGTGTTTCTTGTATTCATCCTGAAAGTAGGCTGTTCCATTTTGATCTGAAATCAGTTGAATCCATCTGACTCCAGACAATGCAAGATAAGTAACTGGTGATATTTGGCAAAAATCATTCACTGTTGCTATTCTCTCTCCATCATTAGAAAGACCTATAGCCATTCCAAGAATTATACATATAACCAAAATTGAAACTACTCCTAGTGATTGAAGAAACAAAAATCTTGCTTTGCTGTTATAAGGCTTGTTAATGGCTGATCTGTAAATAGTTTGTTTGTCTTTCTTTATATCCCCGTACTGGCTCGCAGATTCCAGATTATCAACATCATTTTCATTGGATTCTGTAAATGCATTTAACTTCATATCTTCATCATTTAAACTGACAGGAACAACTTTGTTGGAGTATAATCCTTTCTTTTTGAAATCTTGCCTATCAACAGAAAATCGACGTTTCTTTGAATCTTCTTCTTCCAGTATGTTAGCCTCTTGATAAAATTCTTCAGCAAGCTCGGATTCAAACAAGAACTCTTCAAGGAACTGAGCATAGCTTCTCAGTACCTGAGCGTTGTTATTATAATTAACTAGCAGATTGTTATAGGTAGTAGTGGAATTTTCAATTAATGTGCGCATCATCCTCACAAGATTATACACCTTCTCATTATTTTCTTCATTCGAAACGAAATGTTTCCAAAAGAGCTTTTGATATTGTCTCAATTGTTCTTGCATGTTGGATACTGTATTCAAAATGTGTCTTAGTTCGAGAGAGTTTTTTCCGAGAGATGAATCTGCCTCAATTTCTTTCGTTCTCTGATAGACCAAATATCTTTGAATAATGTTGGTGTTCTTTTTGGCGGCCTTTGCCAATAAATGCAAAGCCAAACTTGAGATATGACCTTCCTCTAATTTGTAAAAAATATACAGTGCTGATATTATCAAATTTGTAGTGTCTAATTCCAATCTTTGGTTGGTTGCTACCTTAATAAAGTTAGATATCAATTCATTGTCGTGCTTCTTTTTGATACAAAATTTCATGTAGTGAAACAAGGCTCTTGGATGAACCAGCTCTTTGACGTTTGAAGAAATAGAAAGCGAATCATTTTTCAATCCGCGAAGTCGCTTCTCGACATATCTATAAATCACTTGAGAGTAAATTTCCACAGCCACAAAACCAACAATAAAGAACACCATAAAAGATCCGAATCCAAGACCAAACAAAAATCCAAGCCCAAGATCGTCTGAATTGGTTGGGTTTGCTTCTATTGAAACAATGCTTGATATTGCAACTCCAACTCTACTGAAAAAAAATCCACCAAATACTGAATTCACAATTCTGTGATGAAATGGAAGATCATAAACTAAATAAGCCAACAAAAAAATGGAAAACGTTAAATACAGAATAGGTCTTGCCAAAAATGCCTGAGGAGGAAGAGCTTGAGAGATAATTAAGTAAATTTGATTAAGTGATACCCATGTTGCCATTAAAAAGGGATTGTCCATGCTTAGCCATGTGTGCTTGTTTACCCAAGTGTCACTCAACAAAATCAATCCTAAAAATGTGAGAGGAACTTGAATTATCATGAACACCAACGATATCACTGCAAATGATCCATTTAGTGGGTTCCTGTTCAAAACAACAGTTTTCAAGTGATATATTGCCTAACGGATTGTACTTACCAACATGCTACTTCTGGAAATCTTCTGAGAGCATACTTGGCCACGCCATCCTCTATTAATCCTTGTTTCGAGTAATCACAGGCCCAAAATGACGTGAGTGAGAAAATGAAAGCTAACCCAAACACGCCAAACAAAATGCATATGGCTCTGACAGTGTTCTTAATTTTTTCCGAATGTTTGCTTCCTCTATGTAAAGCCTTATATGCGAAATATATTGATAACAAGGAAATAATTTCTAAAACAGCCAATATGATGGAAATAGCCAAAAATAATTGATACGGATACCAGTTTGCTCCTAATGTTCGTGGAACTCCAATCACTTTTGCAGCTAATTTACCACTTTCACCCCAATTAAATTCTGTATTATTGTTTAGAATATCAACACAAATACATGTCGTGTCGACATACCTGATTCCCATCCTAGACTTGTTGACTGCCATAGCAGCATTATATTGAAAACGACTACAATCCAATTCGGAACCGGTTTGGGTAGTTTTATGGAAACGAGAAAGAAGAAGGCTACGCTTTCAAACTGGGCCAGCAATGTATTTCCGCCCAAAGCAACCGAGCTTGTTTTTGACTGGTTTGAGCCTTTTGAATACACTGATTCTCCATCGTAGTCAAAGTTGCTAGTGTTGTTGTTGTTGTTCGTTGCGTTTTCTCTGAGAGAGGATATTCTCTCCATGCTTAAGTTCTTTTTGTTGTTTTTTTTAAAGTTGTACGTGATGGGCGGTTAAAAACCGTTTTTGTAAGTCAAGTAGGCGCGGAGCTGGCAGCAAGCGAGTTGAGGTTGGCATAAATTTGGAATGTCAAACAGGATAAGGATCATCTCTCTTACAAAGAAGAGAGTCATCGACAAAGATGAAAATGTTGTATGACCTCTCAAACCTTTGATATTCTCTTTCCATTGACATCCAAACACCTTCCAGCAATGATGAAAATCTTCAATCGTTCATTCCGTTTCGATCTCTCAACGTCAATTCCTTCTCGACACGTTCTTCGTTCATGAATCATGTGTACGGTTGGTGTGTGTGGTAACCTCCTCTCGTCGATGTTTCTAATCGATCCTCCTTCCAATTCAAAATCTATTTCTTCGAATTGGAATTTACCAAAAATAAAACTCAAAAACAAGAAAAAAACTCAACATTGAGGCCTTCAATATTGACTTTTAGATTTTTTTTGTTGAGAACATCAAAATCATTTCATCGATCAACTATAACCACCACCACCATTGATTGACTGGTCAATATAGTCCTAACCACCAAACAAACACTACGTCCTCCTCCTCCAAAATGAGTTACTCTTCAACTAACGAGCAACAAGAAAACTTGATCATCAAGTTGTACCTTTCAAAGGATCATATCCGAAGATTCACTGCAAGTCCATCATCAACGTTGGAAGAAGTGAAAGCCAAAGTGGTTGAATTTTACCGTGAATTAGGACAACAAGAAATCTCCACCGACAAGTTGGATTTACAATATTGTGATAGTGATAATGAATGGGCTATACTCAGAAATGAAGACGATTGGTATTGTTGCAAGGCTATTTGTTCTCCGAATATCAAGATTAGACAAGCCAATATGTGGATGAAGGCTATTTACAATTACAAGACTCACCAACAAGCTTTGGTTCAAAAATTCAACAAGGAAAAGAAGCAACTCATGACAAAAGGACAAGAATTATGTTCTCAAATCAATCAAGAATTGAAAAAGCTTGGATCTAACGAAGAAGTTAAGAAGTTTGAGAAGGCCATTGAAGACTTTTGCACAAATGTTGTTGATTCCATCACTCCTTTGCTTAATAACGCTGCTGAAGCCACCAGTGATTTATTTGAAAGTGCATTCAGAGGAAGACCATCATCAGCAAGTGCATCTTCTTCAACGGATGAACAACAGCCATCGAATGACTTGATCCGAGTGACTGAACACGAAGATCAGGAAGAAGAGAAGGCTTTCGAACAAGCACAACAGCCAGTTCAACCATCCAATCAACAACAGCCAACTCAAACAGAAGAAAACATTATCGAACGATCAGGTTTTATTTGGGTGAACCCAACAAATAGCTCACCAGTTCCAGTGGTTCAACCAAAAGTTGAAGAAGTTCAGCAACCACAAGAGCCTGTAGTCTCTCAACCAACAGTGGTGCAACAAGAAGAACCAGTTGCTGAAGAATCAGTACCAGTTGTTGCTCAACAAGAAGAGGAGCAACCTGCTGTTGACGTGCCCTATGCTGAGCAGCTCAAAATGCTTGAAGTCATGGGCTTCACGGATACCAACAAGAATTTACAATTACTAGACAAGCATAAGGGGAACCTTGCTTTGGTTGTCGATGAATTGTTGTAACTTGTAGAAGAGTCTCAAAATTTGTGAAAATAAATATTGTGTTTAATCAAGATGAAAGACACTTTGTACGACTTGGGCGTGTTTGTCTGAGAAGGTATCCAAAAAGAAAGAAACCAATCTTTGTTTGAGCTCTTCAGTAGCAGCTGAGCTCTTTCCAGAATTTTCCTTTTGCAATTCGTAGAGAATTGTTTCACGAATAAGCTTTTCCTCATCCACAATATTCTTCGCATTGACCATGGCCAATAATTGATACGAAACATAGAATGCAGCTGTATAAATATTGAGCAAAATGTCCAATCTTGTCTGCTCATCTATTCCGCCCTCTCTTTCTCTCCACATACAGTAAATGTCACAAGCGACTCTAAGCCTTTCCAAAAGCTTTTCTTGATGTTCTCTAATAACGTTTGTATCTGAAGGAATGCCACTGTAAACAGATATCATTAATTCTACAGCACCTTGGAACGATTCTTTTGACCAGTTGGGGTTTGGATTTTCTAGAGCAAGATCTGTTGCAAGCTTTTCTTGATAGAATACTAACTTCAGAAAATAGGATGGATCTTGAGCACTGCTTGTATCATCGGATGCCAAAGAAGCGAGCTTTAAAAGTGACAATCTATTTCTCATGGCAATCAAAGCGTCACGCTTTAAAATATTTTTTGAGGGCTCATCTGTAAGTTCAGTCAATGCTTGCTTCACACTTTCCAATTTACCCACTTGAATACCATGAAGCCATCTCAAGTTAGCATCAGATTCAACAACTGCTCCAATCTGTTGTGGATATTTGATGCTCCATTGATATCCAAGTAATTCATGATATCTTTTAGAATCTTTCAAATAGGAAAATAGATAGGTTGAAAAATCATTAAATCTACGAATATAAATCGAGTATTGAGCAATTCTTTCAGATTCTTTCGGATATCTCTCTTCTGTGAGTTGAATCAAATGTTTAAAGTCTTTGTACTTTTCTGCTAAGGTCAAGGCAAATTTTTTAGGAGAAACATCGCCAACATCGTTCTTGTTTTTAAAGGTTGCAATTATAGCATCTCTCTTTTGTTCAAATTGAAGGCTATGGAATTTGGTCTTGTCTTGTTGAGTTAAATCGCGTAAAATAGAAAACAAAAAGTCAGCAATATCAAACATTTGGTTCAGAATATGCGTAGAATTCTGATATTCTCCACTCAGAGAGTCTGCTGACTTTTTGAACTGTTCATAAAAATGATTAACAATTAGATCAGATTTTTCTGAAGTCCATGTACTTGATACATTGCCTAGTCCGAGAGTGGTACGGGCCATTTCTCTAAAACTTCGTATTCCATCGATAAAGCATTGATATACTCTATTCACAAGAGTCACATTACTGGTTTTCTTTGAGACTGTTTGTATCGTGTCAATGAATTCATGTACCTTAGATACCTCAATGTAAAAGTTCTCAACATTTGAGTGTAATTTGCGTTGTTTACAAAGGTTCATTGCTGCGATCAGTATATCAAAATCTTTCTTTTGATAACCCCCAAGTTCATTTTGAAGGTCTCTCAGTTTCATACAAACAACGATTTTCTCTCCATACTCGAATACTTGAAGTAATTCTTGGTTTGATAATTTTTGGAAAATGTTGCAATCCTGTAAGTAAATGATAAATTGCAAATAATCTTCAAGCTTTTTCTGCAAAGTTTTTGAAATTAGAATAGACAGCTTTTCTGAAAAAGCTGAATGATCAATGCTATCAATTGGTATGACCAAGCTACCAGATAGAGGTATACTATCCACCAAAAGCTCACAGGCCTTGACAATAGAGGATGCAATAATATTGAGTGATTCTATTTGAGTATTTCTCTTTCTAAATAATCCTAGGACAATGTTTGCATAACTGATCTCAGGGTCATATTGAGTATTATCCATATCCTTTTGTTCATAGAGTTGTGACTCGTTTGTATTTTTGTCAGACTCTGAGTCACTCATTGGAGAGACTTGTAATAGCGTTAATTCTCCATTTCTACTAATGGTACATATATCAGCTATTGCTATTGATCCTTCACACAATATTTCTGATACTTCAATTTGTTGAATTATTCTGTTTCTCTCTAACACGGACAAGTTTTCAAGAATTGAAACAAATAATTTTTCTTTTTCGAAAACCATCTGACTATTGTTATAGATATACTCATTATTTTCATTATAGTCAACAGAGAGCAGAGTTATAGGGGACTCTACAACAAACTTGTCCATAAACCTGTCATGAATTTGAAGTGGCCATAACAGATAGTTTACAAGGGGAACATGGTTAGAGTCAAAAACTTCTGGAGTACACCAAGACAAAAGATAAATTTTTCCCTGTGGCTCATCATAAGCAAAGTTGATGAGCCGTAACGAGTATTTTTTCATAAAGGACAACTTTTTCAGCTCGCTAAGAATCTCACGTCTCCAGCAAATCTGTCAAATATTTCGTCATTAGTAATGTAAAATGTTTCAAATGTTAAGCTTACCTCTTTGCCTTGTTCTGTGTATTTTGAAAGACATTTTTCTGTTAACATAAAGAAATAATTATCTGAGGACTGAATAGAAATAACAGCTTCGGGTTCGCTGTAAGTTGTAGTAGTTTTGTTCCAGGATGTGAGCCAACTAAATAGACCCTCTGAAGTGTTAGTTGTTGCGTTTTGGGACCCATAAGCTTTTTGTTGAGTTGTAACATCAATCTCTCCATTTGGTAAGCAATGTAACTCGAAGAAATATCCACTTTTTGTTCCAAAATATAAGTGATTATCTTTCGATTGATTTGGAGCAATGCATGTTAAGCAAAGCGAATCATAACAGAAGTTTAGCTTTCTTAACAGATTTCCAATTTCGAATTTAAACTGAGATTCTTCATCTTCCAAACTAATGTCATACCAATATTTGTATTTGCCTTCAGGTGTGCAAAAAAATAGAGAGAAATTTGAAGAATTTGATTGTGATGATGGAACCATCAGCGATACAAAACATTTTCCAGGCACGCTTTCTGATATTGGTACATTCTCCAAACAAAGAGCTTGGCTGGAAGCAGTCAATGCTTTTTTGATTTCCCAGACAAATAATTTATCATTGTCTAAGACCCAAGCCATCCCGTGTTGAATTCCGGCTTTAGAAAAATTCTTCACGTTAGCAGGCAAACCAAATTTTCTTTGTTTTATCTCATACAAAACACTTGAATCATCTTCAGTCATTGATGATGAATCATTGAATTTCGTCTTCTTTGTGCTATTAAACATGACTGCATCATCATCGGAAGATGGAGTTTGATTGCCGTGCAGTCGTTTCATTTTTTCATTCAACAAAAAATTAATTTATTTACGTTGAACAAGAACACAACATTGCATGCAACCCTACTAATTAAACAATACATTAAATTAAACAATTCATTAATCATGTACCGAAATTTAACAAAAGGAGATGTTTTAAGCCTGTACCGAAGGATGCTCAAGCAATCCTCGTTGATACCTTCGCCTCAAAAGAGAGAAAATTTAATACAGGAAATTCGTTCTAATTTTCGGAAGTACAAGCCTCTCAATAATGAAGAGATGATAGAAGAGCTTTGGAAGAAGGCTCTCGATAAATACGGATATATTTGTATGATAACACCCAAGAGAGTACACACGGAAGCACAAAACATTTCTGCCAAAACACAATACGTTAAAGTGGGCGGTGAATGGAAAGATTTAAATCAAGTTACAGCAGATGTCATTCAAAAGCAGGACAAAGCAGTGCATAGTAATTGGGGAAGAGGCAATTTAGATCCGGACCAAGTCAAACGACATGAGTACCTGGTGAGAAGACAACACTTTATGGAAGGGCCACTGGCAGGCTATAAGCCAATCTATGAAAGAAATTGGCTTGCAGACGATTGAAACAAGCACCAACCAAGGACAATTTTGCTCCGAATGTTTTGAAGTAAATTGGCTTGCCAGCAATATGTAGTTTTCGCCATCCTGATGATAAACAACTACAAATAAAGACAACAACAATAAAAATGCAAAACCAACGAGAACGTTTTAAATTGAATCTTGATCCTGCAGAGATTGATGCACTGAGTCCAGAGGAATTGAAACAAAAAGTTCCTAATCAAGCGGATGAGGCTCTCAAACTCAGGCTGAAGAAATACGGAATGAAGCAATGTAAAGTGGAATCCAAGAATTTTGCCGATTGCTCCAAAGACAAATTATTATCAATTGCTGTAAAGTGCAAAGATGAGCTACAAGCACTAACAGATTGTATTACCATTTAGTATGTTTTATTTAGAAATTATTATTGTAGAGTGAATGATGAGTTGCTTACCGAATGTTATTTGATGTTCCTTCATCATCGGAAAATACAACTCCAGTTTAAATGAAGAAAATATGAACAAGATGAGGAGAGCATATCTAAAAGGAGAGCTTGTTAAAAAGCATAACATAACGGACCTGAGAAGTGAGCTAAATCGAAGGTTGGAGGAAAGATCAAAGACAACATCAACAAAGGAAAATATTTAAACACATTCTTCTTCTAGTGGTATTTGTTGATTTAGATGACTCAAAACGTTTCTTGATTGGATGAAAATACAGTGATAAAAGTAAAATAATTTCTGATACTTTTTAGGTGTGTCATAGCTGTGTGTGCAATTTCTTCAATTAAAATCGAAAACAAAAATGAAGAAATTGTTGTTGCATTGCGAAACGACGACCATTCCGAGCCAAGCGCTGGCTATGATGACACTCGCAACGAATCCATCATCTCATACCACTAAGATTTTAAAGAGCAACTTGGTGATGTCAAGAAGAATCAATGTTCACAATTACGAAAATAGTATTATTCGGAGTTTCCGAAGCAACTCTTCAAATTTTCTACTCACCACTTCGTTAGCTGATTTAAAGCAAAACCAAAACATCAATCATTCATTCGCAAATTCACTTCCAAAACTATATTATTTGTTTCTTATTGGAGGAGGAATTGTGTTAGTTGCCAATTTTATTGGAATAATTTATTACAAGAAACAATTTAATGAATTGATAAAAGAAAAAATTCCAGTTTTAAACGATGAAGAAGTGCATCAATCCTCTCAAATATTGGACAATGAACAACTAAAAAAGCTTAAAGAATTAATTACAGCTGTTCGCTCTTTGATTAGAGTGGGCTATTATCCAAAAGAATTTTATGAAACTACAATTTTACATGATATCCAATCTTTGAAGGGAAAACAGTTGAGTAATGATCCACAAGACCAAGAAACACTACAACAAATGATTGACATGTTTTTGGGAGATTTGAAAAATTGCTCCTCTCAACCACTTCGATCCAAAGTTGCACAAACTCCTCAAGAAGAGAAAGATGAATTAACTCAGTGGATAGAAAAACAAAAAGAACCAAGTGGTGGGAACAATAATTCTCTCACTGATTTATATACATCAAAAGTAATGTCACTTCCGACCTTATATAAGGTTTTATGTTTTACAACGATTGGCTCCTTGGCCTTCATGAGACTTAATAGAATTCCTACAATAAGCCAAAAAGGCAGAATCGCCATAGCGTCCATTGTCATGATGTATAGTGCATGGGCTGGCCTTTTCAGACATTCTTCCATCACAAAACTTTCAAACATGTTCACTTCTTGGTTTGAAACAAGTAATTCTGAGGGTCAACCCACAATCAGATTACCCATCGTCCATTTAATATTCCAACAATACCTGAACGTTTTTGCCTTCATTATTTGGCTCTCCATGTACAAATTAGTTCGATATGTAGTATTGCCAGAAGTTCTATTTGCACTCGATCGAGAACTCATTCCGCTGCTTGATGCTCCATCCACAAAGGAGAAAAAATCCATAGAGACAACCTCAGAAAAACTTAAAACTGATCAAAAGGAAGATTAAGGTCAATCTTCTTTCAATTTGTATGGGTTTAGTGGTTTTGCGTATTTGGGCATGAATACAAATAATTTGATGTAGATTGGAATAAAGCAAATCACCCCAATAATTGCAATTGTAATGAATGCATATCGAGCAAAATAATAACTGTCCACTTTTTGTTGTGATGAGGTTTCAATCACGTTATTGGCTGAAGAGTTGTCCAATGGAATCTTGGGAGATAATAAAAAGAATAAGAAAATAAATATCGGAATGAACAAGGCAAAAAACCCAACCACACTTAAAGTTGCAATAACATCATCATGGTTTGAATTCTTGACTTCAAATTTCAACATACGTTTTTGATTTCTTCTTCTTTACCACACAACAACAGCAACATAAAGAAAAGCCACATATCAATGAAATGACAAAAACAAGAACCCCATATCCAATCCCGAGACCAGGTATAATTGCCGAGGTAACCATTGGAGAGTTAAGGAATGCAATGTTGTATTTTTTTCTCTTGTTTCAGATGTTGTATGTGAAAGGCGGCAATTTATTTGGACAAATAGACCACCCTCACATCACTGGCTTCATAATTATCAGCCCAAGGAGAGAAGCAGAGATTAGGTTGCAGAATTCATCATCCTCAAGTCGTTCTTAATGCCGCCCGAACTCATTAAATGCTTATTAGGATAGCTTTTTGTTAAAGGGAGATTATCAACTTGAAGTTCTTTTTGAAAAGAAAGGAACGTGGAGGTATTCATAATTCTCTTCTGTTGCTATTTGAAACTGTTCTTTTTGTTCTTGTCAGAACTCCTCGATACGCTGTCTTAGCCAGTTTCCTTTTTGCGAATGAGATAGTGGCAACCAAAGATTTGAGAAAAACGTTGAGAACCGAGTGAATGTGATAGCTTTCCTTAAAAAAAATGTCAGCACCCTCCACCGAATCCATTCAAACATCATCATCATCAATGAATAACAACAATACCTCGTCATCCTCTGTGATTGCTGTTCGAAAGATAGCTTGCGTGGGTGCTGGTTATGTGGGTGGACCAACCATGGCCGTTATTGCCAACAAATGCCATCATATTCAAGTGGTTATCTTTGATGTAAACAAGAAGAGAATTGAACAATGGAATAGCGATAAATTACCAATCTATGAACCAGGCTTGGATGAGCTTGTTTTCAACAGAAGAGGAAAGAATTTACATTTCACCACCGATTATGACTCCGTTCTTGATGCCGATATCATCTTCTTCTCTGTTAATACTCCAACAAAACATTACGGTGTCGGAAAGGGTAGAGCAGCTGATTTGAAATATATTGAATTATGTGCTCGACAACTGAGAAGCTCCATTCAACACGGACGAAAAATCATTGTTGAGAAGAGTACTGTACCCATCAGAACTTCAATGGCATTGAAGAAAATTCTCACTTCCGTAGAGAGTCAGGCTCACTTTGATATCTTGTCTAATCCAGAGTTTTTGGCTGAAGGAACAGCGATTAACGATTTGAATAATCCTGATCGAGTACTTATCGGAGGTGAAAGTGAGGAAGCCATTGCAACTCTTTCATCGGTCTATGAGCACTGGGTTCCAAAGGAAAGAATTATTACTACCAACTTGTGGTCGAGTGAGTTGAGCAAATTAGTTGCTAATTGCATGTTGGCACAGAGAATTTCATCTATTAATGCCATCTCTGCTCTCTGTGAAAAAACAGGAGCTGATGTTACTCAAGTAGCTCATGCTGTTGGCAAGGATTCTAGAATTGGACCAAAGTTTTTACAAGCAAGTGTTGGTTTTGGTGGTAGTTGCTTCCAGAAAGATATTTTGAATTTGGTTTATCTTGCTGAACATTACAATCTCCCAGAAGTAGCAGACTATTTCTATGGAATTGTAAGAATTAATGATTATCAAAGAGAAAGATTTGCCAAAAAGGTCATTCACAAATTATTCAACACTGTATCTAACAAAAAAATCACCGTACTAGGTTTTGCATTTAAGAAAGACACTGCAGATACTCGCGAATCAAGCAGCATTTATATTTGTAAGGCATTATTGGAAGAACATGCCAATATTCACATTTACGATCCAAAAGTTCCTGAAGAGCAGATTCACTATGACATGAAGAGTATTATGAACGGATGTTACGAAGGTGACTTTAGTGCAAGATTTGAGGAATCACCAGAGAGTGAGCTTGTGAAAACTCACATTCATTGTGCCAAAGATCCATATGAAGCTGTTAAAGACTCTCATGCTGTCCTTGTCATGACTGAATGGGATGAATTTAAGACCTACGATTACAAGAAAATCTTTGAATTGATGAAAAAGCCAGCTTACATATTTGATGGAAGAAACATTCTGAATGGTAAACAATTAGAAAGTATTGGATTTGATGTGTATCAAATCGGAAAACAAGAATCAAACCCAGCAGATTGGTAGATGAGTCCTTCATGCATGAGACTTTTCGACTTTTTTTATTTATTAAAAAATCTTCACGAATTTTAAAAAAATATTCTCTAAGAGAATTAGCCGACTTGCTCTAAATTATTATTCGACACACATATTCTTGTTCGGTTAGGAGCTTCATCATCATCACCTCCTAATAATTCCTCCTCTAATATTATTTATTGGACAGAACCTTCAAATTTATCATCAATTATTACATCATGAAAATATTCAATACATTTCGGAATAACTGCTTCATCACTGGCACAACAACAACACTAGGTTTGCTGCTTCAAAACAATGTCCATGCTTCTCCGTTTTCTCATTCTGCCATTAGAGAAGAGCCACAAGAGGATTTAGGCTATACCTATGATCGGATAGTTCTAGGAATTATGACTTCACTAGTTTGCCTTTATATTTTACTTCAAATTGGACTTACATTTTACCATAAACATCGAGTGCCTTCGTTCCATTTTGGTTTTCTTGTGCTGTGTTGCATATGGATGATTTTGAGGACCGTTTACTACTTTTCTGTCATTGATAATTGTGGCGTGTTCTTTTTATACTATATACCAATTTGTGTGGAATTTGCAGTGTTCTCTTTGCTTGGAGTATTTTTCTTCAAGCTGCTGAATTATGGAGGAAAATGGGAAAAATCCTTATTGCAATCAGTGGAAGAGCCTTTGCGAGTTCAAACTCCAACACCATCATCTCCTTCTCAAACAACGGGAATTTTATCAGGATCAGGAGTACAAAACCCTGTTCATTCTTATAGACGAAGGTCTTATCGACCATCCTCTTCTACTTTTAGTGACAACTATGGAGCTGTTTCCAATGTTGGAGTTGGTTCTCTCAATAACGACGATCAAGACGATGATACGAAAACTGACACTTCCTTTGTGAGTCAAAATATTGATGCTTACGAGGAAGAATCGAAAATTTCATATTACCATGCTCAATCCAACAATTTTTATCACAGATTCATCAAATTTTTATGCACAAGAAAGGTCTTGTATATGATATTGTGGCTTGTGACAAACTTGGGATTTTTCTTCATGGTTCTTTCTTTTTGCATTGCCTCATGTACTACTGCATTTGATAGTGAACAAACAAATTCAGTGATTGGTTTGACAAGCGCATGCTCATTTGCTGTACTAATGGTAATGCTGTTGGCCATTGGTCTCCGAATGGTTTACATATTTAGAAGACGTAATGACATACCTGTAAGCTTAAAAGTTAGCAGAATCACAGGGCCTGGGATGGTTGTGGTAATTATCGTGAACTGTTTCGTTTTCACTAGCAGAGCAATTTTTGATTGCTTAATTTTAATTCCAAATTTTCCAAAAGATTATTTGAAAATTCAATTTTTGAGATCCACAGATTATGGTAGAATGTTCATTATCTTCACCAATTTCTTTTGGGAGATTATGCCAATTCTAAGCATTCTGATTTTCTTCAGCAAATGGTCCTTTAGCAGAAATGCTGTGAATATTAATTTGAGACGTCATCAACATGAAGAGAGCCAAGAATCTGAAACTACAAATACAAATGCCAACGCCAGTGATCATGTTTTTGATACAAATACACCGCTAGTCATTGGAGCTCAGACAAGTAGTAGAGCTATTGGAAGGCGGACTCAAAGTTCTGGACAATTACAAAACACTGGATACAATGCTGGACAGGATGGTGAAACAACAGAGTCATCTCTTTATGATGATATTGAAACTGACAGTTCCTATAGCGCCAATGACTAATTTTAGTTATTATTCAACGTCTTGAAATAGCTTGGAATAGGTTTGTTTTTCTTTTTTCTCATACCTTTCAAGTTCAACTTTTGCTTTTAAAAGCCACGATTCAATTTCCTTGTTACTTGGATTTTTTTCTATCAAATCTGAAAAGTCCACATAACTGTTCAGCCAGTCACCTCTGTTGAAATATGAAACACCTCTTCTGAATTTGGCCTTGGTCTCAATAACATGAATGCCTTCCATGTCCGTATGATATTCCACCAGCTGAAGAATTTTGCAACAGAGTTCAATCACTGCAGCATGCTCTTCTTGTTTAATCTTGACTGCTGCAATGTTACCAAGTAAAATTATTTCCTTTTCCTCTAAAAGTTTACGCTCACTATCGTCTCTCAATCCAGGAGCAAGATATCTAAATGCTTTTTCGTACTTCTCTAAAGCTTTTTTCAAATCGTTTTGTTTGAAAAAGTTGTTGCCCAAATTTTTCAATTTTTCAGCAATTTCCAGCTTTTTTTGAAGGGATTCACTTTCTTCTTCGTCAGTTGGGTACTGAGGGTAAATATCGCCTTCTTCCACGCATGATTTGTCAAGCACACCATCATCCTCACCTTCCTGCAAAGCACCACAATCAGTGAAAACAACATCCATGGTTGGTTGTCCAGTAGAATCCACTGTTGGAACTCCTCTCTCTATCCTATTAAGGATCGATTTTCCTTTGACGATCTCCCCAACCACAATAAATTTTTCTTTCATATAAGACAAATTAGAGGTTGTGAAGAGGAATTGCGATGAGTTTTTTCGTGAACATTCTTTTTCGATACACATCAAATAGGATGTGTCACAAGGATGACTATGATATTCCGTTGCTACGTCAAAGTCAAACAATTGCTTCCCTCCCTCTCCAGTGTTGAATTCGTAGTCACCAGCTTGTATCATCATCTTTTTTATGATTCGGAATACTTTTGTATTTTTGTATGAAGGTTCTGGAACTAATTTACTGCTGTCATGTACATTATTTCATTCTTCAGCACATACCAGTATTTGCACATAACGTGATCAAGTTTTTACAAATATTTGGGCACTTGTCCGTAAAGAGCTTCACGACCATTCTTCCGAGAGGTTTATCTTTCACGGAAACATCAAAAAACACGCGGTCAATGTGTTGCATTTTTTCGTATTAAGGAACAAGTCGGAAGGAGTTGCCACCAAATCATTGTTGTTTCAAATCGATATCGATACCAATCATCTCCTTCTATTTGTGGAATTTCCTTGCAGTGGAGTTGTATTTCGAAAAAGACCCAAGCAGATCATTCTTTTCTCTTGTGGTTCCGTTGAACATTAAATCTTCATAAATACTCGATTGATTGGTTGGTGGTCGTTTTGGAGTGATGGGTGTTTGGACATGCATGGGTTTCGGTTGCTTCTTTTTTCGGTTCTTCTTTTTAGGTTTGGAGCTACTTTTGGGGTCATGGAGCTCTGGAAGAAACTGTGTTGGTGATTGTGACTATTCAAAGAGTGAAAAACTCAAAAACCATTCATATGAATCACTTACTCTTGGGGGTGTCTCTTCTTCAGGGTTTGTCACATCTTTTTTACAATCTGATAAGTAAGGGAGACCAACGAGACCTCTTGCTTTTAGACCTGTTATATCAGGAAGTTGTTCATGATGATCTTGAAGTTCAATCCCGTCCTCTTTTTTCAGAGTTTTCTTTGTTTTGATAATCCTAATCAGGGAGAATGATAAACCCCAACTGAGTTTCAATAATTATTGTTGTGTACTTACTTTTCGTCATCAACTGCAACCACAGAGGGTTTTCTTTCCATTCTTTCCTTTTTCGATTTCTTCCAGGAGCTTAATGAAATATTATCATGGTCAAGTAGTTTTGGAAATTCATTTTCATACCATTCCTGATAACCCTTTAAATATACATGGTTCAGTAAATCCTCATATGTTCCTCTTTTGCTTGGATCTACGTTGAGACACGCTTTGATGAAGGAAAGAGCTTCTTTTGAAATGTTTGTTTTGTATCTACCATCTAATGAAACAATACCATCAGAGGATGGTTTTGGCAATTCCACATCTCTGTACAACGGGTTATTATTATAAACCTCAATCTGGTGTTCCGATAATTTTCCAAAGCAATTAATTATCCTTGAAAGTTGATCAATGTCAGAATCTCCTGGAAACAAAGGTTGACCTTCGAGAAGTTCCCAAAGCATGCATCCTATGGCCCAAATATCCACTGCTTTTCCATACTCTCGATCACCCACAACTAACTCTGGTGCGCGGTACCACCGAGTGGAAACATAATCTGTATATTTGGCTCCCGTTCCTTCCAAAGTTCTTGCAAAACCGAAATCTGCAATTTTTAAAACTCCACTTTTTGAAACAAGTAAATTCTCTGGTTTTAAGTCTCTATGAATGATCTAGTTGGTGGCAAGGTCATTAAGAAATTTCAAATGCAAAGTTGACGTACATTTTGAGAGTGACAATATTCCACCCCTTTCAAAATTTGATACAAATACTTTTTTGTCATATCCTCGTCAAGTCCGTATGGATATTTTTCTTCTAGTTTTCCAAGTATTGTTGATTCAATATATTCAAATACAAGATATAATTTGCCTTTCCTCCGAAATACATCCAGTAAATTTACAATATTTTCATGTCTCAATTGCTTCATTAAATAATACATGTTGATACATTTCCATACTTTTCCATCACCTACCTTCAATATTCGAATTTCTCTGAGGGCCGTCTTTTTTACTTGTTCATCTTCGTCCGATTCCTTAAACTTTTTTATAGCAACGATCTGACCCGTTTCTTTATGTCTACACTTCATCACGACACCATAGGCACTTTAAAATAAAAATTCATTAAGTGATCTGATGGCATCCAACACTTTGATCAATCCCATCGACATATGACTTACCCCTCGCCAAGGACACCAAGATTTTCGTAGTTTTCCATTTTTTTGGTGGGAATCTTTTGTAACGAACAACAACCGCCAAAAAAAACTCAATGCTCTTGCTGGCTCATTCTCACCACCATGAATGAAGGTCTATGGTTGTTGGTACCACCTGCTGCTGCTTTTCTATTGGGAGTGGTGATGACCTATGTGGTTCTTCTTCAACGTGTTGTTGGACCATGGGTGAGGAAAGATCTTCGGAATGAAAAAGAGGAAATGATTCATCGTGAGGAGACCGAAGAAGGAGAACAACACGACGAAAAGGAGATCACCAATGATGTGGATCCAAGATTTAAAATCAGTCGGAAACCTACTAAACAGGAAAAGAAAGAAGCCAAACAATTATACCAAAATAGAAAACCAAAGACAGTTCAGCAAGTTCTTTCGGAAGAGAAAATGGAAATGATCAACCATGCCTCAACTGCTCAGAAATATGGACATGATCTGTCTTTAATGATGAATGAAAGAAAATATTTAGATCTAAAGCAATGGCATTGCATGTCAAGACCTCAATACAAATATTCATGTGGTGTCTCTTCGTTGACATCCATTTGGAATTATTTATTCAGTACATTGGGTCATGGTCATTTGCCTGTTCTGAGCCAAGAGGAAGTGTTAACCATTTTAGGTTTTTCGGAACCATTCAACGAAATTCGATTTGGACCTTTTTGTGGAAACGAGACCCTCCTTCAGTGGTTTAAGGAATTGCTGAAAGCTTTTAATCTTGAAGGAGAAGCTTCCATCTTTTGGAAATGCAAAGGTCTTCACAAAACAAAGCCTTCAGGAGGCTCTGTTTTAGAAGAATTGAAAAAAGGCATACGGTGCAGCCAAACAGCCTTTATTTATCATTGTTACAATCATTATATGGTCATCATGGGCTATGATGAAAGTCCATCCCATCAGCATCAGATTTATGAGAAAATTCGGTCTGATAGCCAATCACATGAGGAAACAAGTTCGCCCAACGCATGGATTCTCTTTGGAGACAATTCTAAATTACAAGGTATGTTTTTCATTCAAAAACGGTGATGCTAAACAACAACAACAAAACTATAATGGACCATTCAGAACCTGTGGAGTGTGCCAAATTCTCGGATATTTAAAAAGATCTGAATTGTGAGGCTCCATATTTCTTTAACATTAGACATCCCGAGAAGGGAGTTCAGAAACGAGAAGGAAAATACAAATCAGGAAATGTCGATTGTATTCTAATGTTTACATCCAAGCAACCCACCCGACAGTTGTCCAAAGGATTATCAATCAAGAGAACGACTCTATTCGACAAGACTCGTAAGAAAGACCCCTTTCATGATATTTGGAATTGAGGAAGGTTGCAAGAGAATAAAAAAGCTTTTTTTTTCAAAAAAAATATCATCACGAAGAGACACCCGAATTTTTTTCGCTCCTTCTTTCTTCAAGGCTTTGCGCAAGCCTCATCATCTCACAGAGACAAACCTTAACTTTTTCCTAACTGCTAAGTTCATCATGTCCAATAGTTCGACGACTCCTCCGCATCGCAAACGTTTTTCATTTTCCCCAACAACAAGTACAGCCCCGTCAGCTAATGCGGTCCTCCGAAACAACAAACAACAGTCCACTAACTCTCATCCTTCATTTCTTTCGTATCGAACACCAGAAAGCTCGAATAAGCAAAACAAAGCATGTTCTCCATCACGCTCTAACAACACTCCTCTTTGCGATCGGTAGGTATCGAAGATCGATCTACATTCGAAATTTACTTTTTTTTAACAACTTGTCTGCCTTTACTGTTAATAATTGGCGGTTTGTCTGTGGCGGTCATCACGGCATATTATTTAAAATTATTAATTCGTGATGGCTCTCGAATTCCATATTGAATTTACTTGCACTACTTCATACGACCAGATTCATTTCGAATCGAAGCTCATCGAACTTGAGGTATGGCCTCTCATCTCCATCAATTTTCGATGCTCTCTCCTCCAGCAGCACTCGTCGTTCGATAGCAACGCCCTTTCTTCGTAGAAGTAGTTTCAGCTATGGACGTCCACGAGAAGTCGACGAACGCTCCATCACCAACTCCTCTCCTAACTCTTCCTTGTACCAGTACTATCAATACAATCACCTCTCCACTTCACCCACAACAAGTCGACCACTAAGCAGAGCTGGATCAGGTTACTCTTCACCACGTGGTGGGTTCTCCACAAGTAACAATAACCACTCACCACTCAGCACTACTCCTCCTTCAACACTCTCTGACTCTTCAGGAAGAAGCTTGAACAACTCTCTCAATAATAGCTTGGGCTCATCGACCTCTACCAACAGTAGCAGTGGCAGCAGCAGTTATGGACATTTGGACGTGTCCAGCTTGACTCTTGAAGATGTAAATTCAGGAAGTGGGTTGTCATATCCTCAAACTTTAGCAGTCACTGACTTGGATATGTCATCATCTTTTAATCCTTTTGGTCCTCAACAACAACCTCTTGTAAATCCTCTCAATCAGAGCTTTTCACTGAATGATCCCGAATCGGTGGATTACTTTTTACAAATGCCTTTTCCACAAACATCCTTGTTTTCGTCCTATCAAGAGGAAGATGGCGAAGATCACAACAACGAAGAAGAAGAAGATTCCAATCTCTCTCTTTCCACAGGTAAAGGCACCACTGCACCAAATGGATTTAACATGGATGGTGTGAGTGTTGGTGGAAAAGGTCATGTGTTTAATAATCTCTTAATTTCAGAACTCCTTCCTAACAGCCAATCTGTCGTGAATACTCCATATCTTTCTCCCTCATCATCGTCATGTACCAATTACAATTCTCTCTTTCCCACATTCTTAGATTCCCAAAGTCATGCAGCATCGAAAAGCATTTCAATTCACAGCATGACCCATCCACAACCCAAACACCGATCCTTATTACAATCACGAAGTGTCACATCCTCTCCTCTCAAAAGATCATCCTCTCCTAACTCCACAAATTCCAACATTTTAAAGTTTAGACCAAACTCTACGAACGGTATTGATGTTAGCAGAAGACAAGCATATAATAGCAACAAGGGAATTCCTGAACCAACTCTAAGTATGCTTATTCATCCGAATAACACAATCCTAGCTAGAAATGGTATTAACTTTAAAACCAACCAACAAATTGTACTATCGAAAGGGAATCGAAAAATTCCTGAAGTGCCGTTGCGAGTGTTAGATGCTCCAGGAATTCGAGATGATTTTTATTTGAACTTGATCGATTGGGGAGATTGCAATCAAATTGCTGTTGCCTTAAACACAAGTGTGTTTTTGTGGAATGCAACCAATTATACCGTTTCGAACTTGGTTTCTATGGACGAGGGTAATCTTGTTTGCTCTGTTTCATGGATGAGACATGATCCAAATGTTTTATCGATAGGAACAGAGGATGGATTTGTATCGATCTATGATGTACAAAAACAAATCAAGATTAGAGATGTTCACAGACATGCAGAACGGGTGGGAAGTATTTCATGGAATGGATATCAAATCGCTACTGGGTCAAGGGATAATAATATATTCATCAGTGACATTCGAAGCAAGAATTCCATGATTAAGCTAAGCAGTCATTCTCAAGAAATTTGTGGTTTACAATGGAATCCTCAAGGTAATCAAATTGCCAGTGGTGGAAATGATAATAACTTGTTTGTGTGGGAACCAGGCTATAATTTTAGACACCCACTATGGAAATTTAATGATCACAATGCAGCAGTGAAAGCTTTGGCATGGTCTCCAAATCACAGCAATCTTCTAGTGTCTGGAGGTGGAGTTAAGGATCGATGCCTTCGATTTTGGAATACATCTACAGGAGAAATGCTATCCTCACGGAAAACGAGTAGTCAGATTTGTAATGTCTATTGGAACAAACAAACAAACGAACTGGTAACAACTCATGGTTTCAGTCAAAACAATATTACCGTGTGGAGCAGTTTTCCTTTTGTAGAGCCGATAACACACTTGTATGGACATACAGAAAGAGTGTTATTTCTCACATCATCACCTGACGGATCGCAAATTGTCACTGGCTCTGGGGATGAAACATTAAGGTTTTGGTCTCTTTTTGAACCTGAAAGATCTTCAACTAATATTTTGGGAGAGTCCTATGAAATACGATAGAAATAAATTTCAAAATTGCAGATTTTATTCTTGCAAAACCACTTGGAAACTTTGAGTATGTTCAGGGTATCCGGAAATCAGTTTCGTAACAACATTCACAATCTTGGAGGATGTTTCTTTTTGAGCGTTCAATTCTTGATTCACTTCAGGTGTCTTCTTGAAAGAACCTTTCAAAATGGCTTGACATTTTTCAATCAGCTTTTTCAGCCGTTCTCGGTCATATCCAATCTTTGTCTTTTGCGTTGAAAGAGTTTGTATTTCCTCCTGAAGCAGCGTCATTTCATCTTTAATGGCAGCAATTCTGTCTTTGGCCTCCTCAATAGCTCGACCACATTGTTCAGCAGCATTTTGATGGTGTTTGATAGCCTGAAAGGCCTCAGCTGCTTTCTTCTTTTTCTTTGCAAGCTCAGATTGATGGAAAGAAATTTCTCGTTGAATGTTTGCCTTGGTATTTGTTGTGTTTTTAGATTGAATGACTCTTCCTTTTGTTAAAATCAAATCTCTCTTTTCAATTGCTTTCTCCATTTCCATAATTTTTCTTTTTTGTTCTCGCTTAAGATCAGCCAGTCGTTGCTCCATGAGATGTATTTCTTTCTTCATTCTGGTGATCTCTTCTTGTCCAACAGTTGGATCCAAAGCATCTTGAATTTCTTTTTGAATTTCAATTTTCTTTTCCCAAAACAAAATTTGTCGTCTAATAATTTGTCAAGTGAACTCACATCCCAAAATAAACACTTACTCCACATCCACCATTTCATTCAGAATTGCTTGCTTTTGATTTTTAGTTTCTTCAATCTTACTCTCTAACTCATATGCTTCTCTTTCGCTTGCCTTGAGCCTATCCAAAATTTTGTTTTCAAGGTCGTAATTGACATCAGCCAAAGTATTCTGAATGAGATAGTTCGACGAAATCTTCTTATTTAACCTTTCCAATAATTTATGCATTGACTGCATCTCAGAAGTTAATTCCTTAATTTGATTTCTTTCTCGAATTGCTGCTCCATCAATTCTTCCCTTTCGTTGTGACAAAATTGTTTGCTTGCTCTTGATGGACTTAATTTCGTCAGACAACTCTTCAGATCTGTTCATGAGCTTTACAAGTTCACTCTGGTATCGTATCCAATCCTTTTTTAGCTGCTCACTTTCTTTTTCTTTTGCCTCAATAGCTTTTGTGATATTCTTGATTGTTGCTTCGAGTGGGCCCTGGTTTTCGTCTTGCTGAGTGCAGAGAATTTTCTCCATCAGTCTGTTCAACTTATCGAGATCATTCTGTTTCTTTTCAATTTCATCATTCTTTCTTCTAATCTCTATTTCATATTTCTCAATGAGACCATCTTTCTGTTTCAACTCTGACTCAAGCTCCTTCAAGACTTGCTCTAATTGTTTATTCTGCTCTTGAGTTTGCAGTTTGTCAATGGTTATTCTTGCCAATTCGTTCTCAATCTGTGAGATTTCTACTTCTTTTTCTAGGACCTCATTCTTCTTTTTTTCGATATCTTTGAGAGTATTTTGACAATCTTTCTTGATAGTTGTATTTTCACTGAAGAGGTTCAAAAGATTTTCTTCAAGAACCCTTATTTCGTTGCTCATACTTGCCATCTTTTTATCAACAACATCAATGTCCTTTCTTATTTTTTGGATGTTCAACTCTTCTTTGGCAATTTCTTCATCCGTTTTGTCAAGTGTATTTTTGAGTTGCATATATTGCGTTTGCTTGCTTTCCAAGCTTGAGTTATTATCCAAAATTTGTTTTTCGAGATACACTTGCTCATTTTCTTGTTTGATCAAAACTGATGTCAGCTGTTCGTGTCTCTCCTTCTGTTCGTTAATAGAATTTTTGTAACCTTCAATTTCATTCAAAATCTCTATCACTTGTTCCTTCTGTTTTCTTAGGCCTTCTTCCGTGGCTTTCAGAGCCTCATCTCTCCGTTGCATTCCGATAATGCTGCTCTTCCATTGCTGTACAAGTCTCTTCTTTTCAAATTCAAGAGCCTCCATTTCAGAGGTAGCTTCTGCAAGTGTCTCACTTGCGATTTTGTATTCCTCTTTTTGAGCCTTGTGCAGTTCTTCATATTCGTGATATTGATCTTTCAACTTTCTTATTCTATCGATCATTTGATCAATTCTTAAGTCTTGATGCTTTTTTTGTTTCTCTACATCCTCCATTTCTTTTTCAATTTTATGCGTCTTCCTTTTTTTAATAGCAATGTCACGCTTTGTTTTCTCATGAGCGTTTTGCAACATTTTTAAAGTTTGCTGCGACTTTTCCAGCTCCTCTTGGAATTTGTATACTTGTGGCATGTAAGGAGATGCAGTAGCCCAACAACTAATACTTACACTTTTTTCGTTTTTCTTCAACTTCTTGTCTTCTCAAAACAGCAATTTGCAACTGTTCTGTTCTCTTTCGTTCCATTTCTTCTCTTATTTGAGTAGTCATGATGAGAGTGTCATGTCCCTTATCTACTTGTTCTTGTAATTTTACCAGTTTTTGCTGAGTGTTGTACAGGTTGACTCCCAACAGCTCCCTTTCTTCGGTTATCTTTTTTGTCCGTTCATCCTATTATTTTCAATGATCAACAACTTCTTTCATCATCAATACTTACAATTTCCTTGTGTTGCAGGGTCAATTCATTAAGTTGTTTAGTATATTGCTCAGTGATTCTGGCTTGAATTACCGCTAAAAGTGGCTATTATTATGAGTTATCTCCGAATGATGTTGTAACATCACCAAACAATACTTACACTGTTCGGATCGAGGCCACCAAAATCGGCGAGTTGGTTGGGATCCATTTTTTTTAGCTTTAAAATGTATTTTAAAAGGCGGGATATGAGCGCGGCTTGTGTTCATCAAAATGAGTTCACTTTAATCAATACAATTTTTGTAGTAAATACAAAAACAGTAAAACTAGACCAATGTCCCGCCTTTAAAATTACACTGAAGCTAAAAAAATCCGATATTGAAAAAAGTGGTCGTGTCAATATCGGGTTCGATTGTTTAAAAGAACATCGGAATTTGTGCAATTTAAATTTTATGTGTTATCCTTCCTTCCATTGATAACCACATTTACAGCATTTGAAGAATTGAGTCATAGGCTCATCAGCTGACCTAGTTTGAAACATTTGAAAGTAAGCCTTGTTATGATCACACTTGCCACATTTCGTTTCTACAGTCTCAGACCAATTTGCATCATCACCAATGACATCGTCCACCTCCTTCTTTTCTAATTTCATGTCGAAATGCATTTCACTTTTTATATTGCAAACGTAGGGACACGTCTTACACACCCAACGATAGACCGAGTCGGTACTTGTTGAACGGCCTGATGCCTTCTCTATCAGCAAGGTGTTACCGCAATAGGGACAAAAAAACATTTTTTTTGAATGTTTGTTTATTGTGGTTGAGAGTGAGCAAACAAATTTGATCATGAATATTGTTCGGAAATAGAATTAATATTGTGATGATCATAGGATTCAATTTAAATACATCTTAATAATCCACCAAAACCTAAGATTGCTCCGAAAGCACCTCCTCCTTGCAAAACAGCTTTCACTCCAACAGTTTTCAAGAAATTTACTCGGTTACCTCTCATCGATGGCAGTAATGAATATCCGAGAATTGTCTGAAAAGGTAAAATTTGTGTTTAACTCACTCGAAATGATGATTGCTCCATACTTACAATTCCAGCCATTCCACCTCCAACTAAAAAACCGGAAAGAGCACCCATTCCGATAGAAGGAATACAATCATTAAAAGTCTTTTTCTTAGCCATTTTTTTTGACTGTTGTTGTTGACTCAATCAAAATACTGCTCTTGCACCTGACTTGACTTGGCAAAAAAAGCCTCAAACAAATAAGCTTAGAACCAATACTACTACTAGTAGTAGATTCATCATGATGGGAATGCATGATGCAAGTAAGTAAGATCGATAGGGCACCATACTTGTGTTGTTTATTCTTTAATGCTTGCAAGACTTGTGCATAGATCGGCTGCTGTTGGGCGTTGTTCATGATCAACCGAGAGTGTTTGAAGGACCAACTCGACCACTTTGTTTGGATACAAACCATTTCTTGAAATGTTTTGCTTGATTGTTTCGATTGCTGAGGAGCCTTTTGTGAGCAATAAGGCACACACATTTGTTTCCTGCAACAAGTGAGTTCGTCATTGGATGCAATGTCATTCAATTATAATTGAAATGAATCACACTTACCAAGTCTTTGGACATGATTTGATACATGACCACACTGATACCATTGAGAGATGTAACAAATCATCATCATGATCATGCTCAATAATATTATGACTTACCCTAAACTCCAGACATCTGTCTTGAAACCATACGCTTGGTTACACAAAATTTCACTGATGGAACGTTAGAGCTCAACAAGTTTTCAAACGAGTGGTGTGTGTGTGTACTTACGGACTCTGAACATATGTTCCATAAGAATATTGTCTTTAAAAATGCTGAAATCATACAAAACTTACCATAAACAACCAAGTTCCTGCCTTGGTTTGATTTTGTGTATTTTCGATCGTTTTGCTGAGACCAAAGTCTCCAAGAACCACATTGATTACTTTGCCATCCAAATTCTTAATGAAAATATTTTGTGGTTTCAAATCTCTAAAAAGTTTTGAAACGACGAACGATGATCGCCATGTCATGACACATCATGGATGTGCGCAACATACCTGTGAATTAATTTACGTTCATGTAAATATGCCAGAGCTTTTGACATTTGGTAAAATACTGAAATAACAATTTCTGGAGGGATTGGGTCCTTTTGTTTTCTAAAAGATCATGATGGGATTCGATCAATGTACAAAGTTACAATTACATTACTACAAAAACCTACCGTATGTACGAGTCCAAATCTCCATATGCATAATATTCCATACAAAAGCATAAACCCTTACTGGAGTCATCATGCTCATACTTAAATATTTCATAAGTTTTCAAAACATTTGGATTATCTAGTTGCAACATGGCTGCAGCTTCTCTATTTGCATTTTCAATTTCCAGTTCGTCCTCAAATGTCACAACCTTAATGGCTCTAGGGGCTGGCTCCGATCCTGGTATAATCATGCTGCATTTGTAAACTATGTTTAAGAATAATGATAAATGAATTCAATAAAACAAATGAATTCAACATGTAACAATTCAAGGTGTTCATTAATTCTACGCACCTACTCCAAATCCTCCTTTTCCAATTCTCTCCTCTATGCTGTACTTGTTGTTCAGTATTTGTTTTTTTGAATCCGTACTCGACATAGAATCACTAGATTTATCGTTAATATGATGATTAAGAATAAAGGATTTGATTTCTGGGTTTTTTGTCCACTTCTCTGGGGTACTTCCAAATCGATCTGTCAGAGACTTGTTTGCTCCATTATCCAGAAGACATTTCACAATTTCCAAAGATGATAAATGAGCAGCCTTATTGAATTAATTAATTTTAACATGTTCAATAATTAACCTACCAAATGCAGTGGAGTTTGTTTCAATTCATCTCTTGTTGTAATGTTCAATTCTGCCTTATTTTCAACCAACAATTTGACCATTTCCACTGAGTTTTTCTTGCATGCCAAATGCAATGCCGTCCAACCATTCTAAATGTAACAACATTAAAAGAGTGAAATAGTAATTGCGTTCAGAGCTAGCACACACTTACATTCTGATCCTGTGCATTCACATTAGCTCCGTGTTTTAAAAGAAGTTTTGCTGCTTCCACTTGATTCCAACAAGCAGCTTCATAGAGCGGAGTCTGAAAGGCGAAGTAGTAGTAATAGTTCACTCGTATTCATATACTCCTTTCGTTCAAGAATCAACTTACATACTTATCACCACATGAATAACACAATTCATCAATGATGAATGATAATGATTGAGATACTTACACCATTCTATTCCGATATAAAAACATTAAATTCCAAATCGGTAATTAGATGAAATTCCGATTTCGTGATGTCTACTACGTACTGGTCCGAACGAATTCACCAAAGTCGATCCCATAGGATCACTCAAAATCTGTTGAAGCACCTCTATGTTCCGATGTCATGATAGTCCATCTCTTATTTCGGTGAGAGAAATAATTACCTACCCAAGTCTCCTTCCTTTGCGGCTTTGCAAAGCCGTTTTTTGGTTTCGCGTTCCACCGAGTTATTGGCACCCATTCGATTCGGTGGTTCCGAGATTTTTTTGTGTTGTCTCGATCTCAGAAACAATCTCAACGCTCTCTTTAAAAGTTCAAATTGAACATCGATGTGGTGGAGGACACGCTTGAAATGATGATGAAGCTTGAAAATATTAAGGTCTCTTGAGGCTCAGAGTAATAACTCTTTGAAAAGTAGAAGAAAAAGAATAATACCGAGCTGTTTTGGGAAGTTGTCTTTTTTACTTTAGTAATGTTTAATTGGGGTAATTTGTGATTGAGTTAGCTTTTTAGATGAAATGTCATTTGGCATTGCACACACTTGAAAATTTCCACAATTATGACCATGAATTCATACAAGTCCTCCAGGCTCCAGCACCTGAGTCAAATTGGATGCAACAGAATCTTGGTATTCTACATCGCAAGAACCCTTTTAGTAAAAAGTCAGACCACAAAGGAAATAAAAGGATTCATTCTCCATAATCAAACAATTTTGTTAAAATGTTGTGATGGTCTTCCTTTTTTGTATAACATGAAAGAATACAACCTGTCCCTGTCGAGGTCTCATTGCACATTAAACACGAGCATCCTCACTCATCAAACACACCTGCAAGAGAAAAACCTTCGCGATGTATGAACACTTTGTGTGATGCTTGGTGATTGTCCTTAACGAGTTAAAGTTCGTCAAACACGAAGGGCACTCACTACTCTTCACCATCACCACCAGCAAACGTCCGCTTGACGAGAGTGAGCGAATGTTGTTCGCTTACATGCTTTTGAGCTTGTTTGATTCGAAGGATGTTTCAAGTCTTTCAGAAAAAAACAACTCAATTTCAGCGAGAGAAAACAAGAGTTAGCTCTCTCTGGACAACAATTTGTATTCTCGAGAGATACAGTGGCGAATTTCATCGAACTTCATACCTTTGTATCATCATCTAAACGCTTTTTCTAGAATAGCAGCCTCTTGAAGGAAACAACAACGTTCCAACGCACACACAAACTCCTATCCTTTCGTCGTCTTCTTTCAAACAACACATTCCCGCTAACTCTTCATCATCATGACAGTCACCATTGTACTTAAGGTCAAATACGTCAGCGAGGATGTTTCGTTTGATTGTGGTTCGCTCCCTATTGAATTTTTAGATCAACAAGCCTTTCAAAACAAGATGACTTCATCACCAAGTTCATCAGGTGGTGGAAGTAGTAATAATCAATCAACACCACAACGAAAGGCTGGTCCATGCAAGAGAAAACAACAAGTCAAATGGTCCGAAGAAGACGATCGTATTCTCAGAATGTATGCTGAAAAGGAATATTCATGGAAGGTAAGAATCAAAACTCTTTGAAATACAACATTTGCTCAATTTGAGTGTCAATTCAAATATGATGGAACACTTTTTGGAAATCAATCAATTAATTGCCTCACCACACGTTTGCGAATGCGAACAGGAAATTGCCACCCTCTTCCTTCATGATAAATTCACCCCTCAACAACTTCACCAACGTTGGAAGAGAGTACTCAATGATAACATCAATAGAGAACCATGGACTGAAGAAGAAGATCGAGCGATCATTGAGTACGTGAAGAAGAATGGTTGCTCTTGGTCCAAACTAAGAACCTTGTTGGGAACGAGAAGAACTGATACCATGGTCAGACAACGTTGGCTCAAGATTACCAACGGCCAAGGGGAAGTAGGAACACCTGCCAACAAGCAAAAGCATTCCTCTCCATCCTCTTCAAACTCTTCTTCCAATACGACACCTTGGGCAAATGGAACGATCAACCTTGTAAATAATGAACAAGTGGCCACTCTCGCCAATACTACTACTACTACTACCACCACCACCACCACTAGTACAACCACTACTTCGGTACCATTCATGACTGCCCTCTTGAACGGTACCTCAACCTCTACGACCGATATGGATGTCTTCCAATTCATCAAGACTCATCAATCGATGATTCCAACCGAAATGAACCAAACTCATCAACCTGTAACGGTGGTACCTCCTGTACTTCATAAACCTTCTCCTGCTGTACTCTCTGCTGATGCCCTTACTTGCGATGAAGAACTCACGTTTGATCATCGTCCAGCTCCTTCTGAACCACTTCGAAGAAGAGATTCTTTGAATTTGGATGATAAGGCATTCTCCTCAAGTTTGGGAACCATGCTCGAAAACAACATTGATTTGGTGGACTTCCACTCTTCTCTCCAAATCAATATGGAGAAGGAATGGTTGAACCAAATCTTCTCTGGAGACTTTTAAACAGAGAACATCTTGGGTTGCCTCCTTGTTCATTAGGGCTTCTGTTTTGATTCAGTCTTGTCGTCTATCATGATTATATACTCATAACATGGAAGATTTCAGTTTTGAGAGGATCTTCCAAGTTGAGGGATCGTCTCTCTCTTCACAACGTCGATCTCTCCAAATAAGTCCAATCTAAATAAACCTTTAGACATTTGTATAATTTCTACTTCTACCTTAATATTACAGGTGTACCCCATTCTAATGGCTACGGCCATATCACGATGAATGCACCTCATCCCGTCCGATTTGAGAAGTTAAGCATCGTCGAGCTGCATCAGTACTGAGGTTGGAGACAACTTGGGAACCTGCAGTGCTGTAGCCTTTTTTCATTTATTTTAGACAAAGAAAACAGACGCTTTAGAGCTCGTTCACTTTTCGTCTTTCTTGATATTGTAACACTTTTCGCGACTTGAAATGACCATGCAATGTGAATGTTGATTATGGACATGTCTCAAATTTAACTGGAATGGATTACAGCCGACTCGGCTGTTTAAAGATCCAACAAAGCCTTCTGCTTTTATCACTCACAGTTCATACAGTCAAAGACTGTAGCGGGAGTGTCGCCATATTCCTGGCAGGTATCCCGTCCAAAACAAATCAAGAGAATTAAAACTAATCATCCCTAGAAATGATTCAATAATTCTTGAAATACAGTATTTGAATTCGAAAAGTTTGTTGACAGAAACTGAAGTCTATTCCGAGTGAATCTGAATTTGTTCAGTCTACTTTGAAAACTCGTCCACTTGATCATCCTTTTCTTGCATCTGAATCAACATTGTCATTTCCTTTGATTCATTAAAATCTTGCAGTGCTGTAGCCTTTTTTTTGTTGAACTTCCTTCTTTTCTTTAATTAAAATCCTTCCCAATCGTTTTGGAATCATGTCCTATGGGCACCTTTTGAATGGGTTGGTTTGTCAGCTGTGATGGTCAGGAATCTTGTTTAAAGATCTGACTATCTCGATTTACGAACAAAAAACCCACACTTCACAGAAAGCAATTCAGACACATAAGCATGCGCATTCACAAATGAAAGAAAAGGAATGATCCAAATCAAACAGGAATTTGTTCCCGCCAAACGATGGTGTTCAAGTTACAGTTCAAAAAAAATGAAAGCATCCCGACTCTCGCAAGAAGACCGAAGGAAGAAATCAAACAACTCTTTATTTCAAGAGAAGGTGAGTTGCGAATGATGATCATCACCTAATCCTTCTCGTCATTATATTCCGATTGACAGTTCAAAGAAAAAATTAGCATTGTAAATAAGGATGGAACGACTACAAAAGTAACAACAGGAGAAATTGAGAAGATTAATACAACAAAACAAAACACAGCAAATTCATCAAACTCATCAAAATATTCTTCACGAGTTTCAAGTTCAAAAACGTCTCTAACTGAAAAATTAGAAAACATAACCTCTCCCTTTAAACCCTTGTACAAAATACCAAATTCACCCACAGTTCAACAACCAAAAATTGCAACAGGATCTGTTGAAGAGACACATGTTCTGGTTTTAAGTCACTCTCAGGATGATATGTCGAATCCTCCATCAACCGGCGAACTATCTGACTACAGAAAAGATCAAGATAATAATAATAGAACAGAAACCCCTTCGTCATATTATTCTTCAAGAGAGAGCACAGCATCTTCAAGTCGAAGAAGGAAAAAACCAATTATCACAGCCAAACAATTTCAATCAATGATTGGAGAGATGAAAAAACAAAATATTACATTAGATAGTAGCAATAACGAAATTACTCTCACAGGGTTGAAGAAAGTTCAACCATTACCAATTGAAAATTTGTGTACCTTTGAAAACAATAGTTGTGACATCTCTGATATTGGAAGTCCTATTTCTTCCCATCCTTCGTTGAGAAATAATTCATACTCAGCAATTCATGGAATATCTACAAAGAAAGACGACGACGATTTTGAAGAACAAAACCATCACCAATCTAACGGTTATGCAACAAAGCAAAAAAGAGAAATTACCTACAAACCCTATAGCTTAGAAGATTACAACAAAATCCAAAAACAGGGTTATATCAAACTTGGAGGCCTGGGAGCAGATTTACATAATGAAAAGCTTATTGAAAAAAAAGAAAAGATCAATAAGATCAAAGAATATGCAAAAGAGATTGCTCAAATTAACAACAGCAAAATTTCCAAACAAAAAGCAGAGGGAAAACCCCCATTTAAGTCAAAAACTCCCGAAGAACCCTCCTCCAGAGAAAAAGCAAAAGAATTCGCGTCGAAAATTCCAAAACCAAAGTCAAAGCGTCAATCGCAGAGAGCTGAGAAGGAAAATGACGAGCCTCAACCTCTTACAGAGCTCGAAATGCTCGAACTGCAACATGAAAAAGACAGAGAATGGCTTAAAAAAGAGTTTTCAATTCGATAAATGTGTATTAAAACCGGAGAAGCAAGCATAAATGAAGGTTGAAGAATTTGCTGGAGGTGGCCAATTCGAATCTATGAAATATGGTCAAGTCTCTATCAGTATAATGTGCTACAACCAAGCAAGTAAAAAAACGATCAGATTCAGATCCTCTTGATGATTGATTTAGTAATTTCAACATTACATTGGAACTGCAATAGTCTCTTCAAAAGTAGTGGCCGACAGGTGTCTCTAGGAATACCATACTTTCGATCACCACCTTTCTAGCATACGACTGCATTCCCATCGATGAAACATCATGTTGAAATTACAAAATCATTCAGCAAATGGTATCAATGGATCCAAATAGGTAAAAAGTTTCGTTTTGAATCTACTTGTTTGAGAGAGAGCTAAGTGGGTTGTAATATAAATAATCAGGAACCACCTCTTTTAAAAGCCCTTTTTCATTCAACACTCGACATGTTTCGATAGCTGCATATCGTTTTGCGTCCTTTTTAGAAGAAGCTATTCCTTCAACAGTAAAATTATGATGCTCTACATGGATTAAACATTTAAACGTCATTGAATGAGGTGGTCCTTCAGACTCTTCGATGTAAGATGGTTTTTGGAAATAAACTTTTGTAAAAAAGTATTCCAAAATTTGAACTCCTCTTGATAAATCAAAGTCTAGATATTGATCATTCGTATTTATACCAATGACTCTATAGAATTCTTCATCCTGTTGCTGATGAGTATGAAGAGAAGCTGGAGTTTGTAATTTCATGCTCTTTTCCCTTAGCTCCAAAGCAGCAGCATTTTTCATATTTTTTAAATGTTTTTTTCCACTAATATGATCTTTAAGCGCATCAAGACTATTGCAAAATGTTTCACATATAGCACAATAAAAACCTTCTTCGCTTCCTCCATCTCTTTTAATCAATTTACCTGAGTTAATCATTTCTGTTATGGATTCCAAACTTGTATCAGTATTGCTGCTTATACCATCATCACTACTCCTAACACCACTCTGTTGAGTACCAACATTGTTTTTAGTATTTTCTGTTTCCAATAATTTAGTTTTTAGCTCATATCTTTCACGATTTTTCTTGTGCTGCTTTCCGCCCAAGTGATTCATCAAGACGTCCGGTCCATTACATTCAACGTCACATATTTTGCACTTAAACCAATCTCCAGTTTCTCGTTTTTGGAGTTCTATAACATCTTTTAAATCACTTAGAGAAGGAAGTGGTGATGTTGAAGCTGAAGAGGGCGGTCTTTCGTTATTGACATTTTGGGGAGAGACCTGCTCTGAAAGTAAGTGATGATTTTTTAACTTTTTCAAATGTGTTTTTCCTTGCTTGTGCTCATTCAATTTTTGCTGACTGTTGCATTCAACATTACAAATAGGACAATACCATATGCTCCTCATTGGTTCTGAGATGCTCGCCTGAGGTTTAGAATATGATCCTAAATTCGCACTATTTGCAAAATTATCAGAAAGCTGTTCAATTTCTTGATTTTGGAAATGGTGAGCATGATGATGATATGACGGTATTGGTGGGTTGTTCTGCTTGTAATGTTGATGATACAATGGAACCGATGGATAGCTGGGTAAATAAGCACCAGGATAGGGTAATTGAACATTTTGAAAGACTGGTGGATGAAACTGCTGATAAAAAGGAGGATCATTTGAATACATTCTGTTATCATGTGGAAATGAGTGTTGGGAGGGAGGTGATGCTGAACTTGGTCTACCAAAACTACTAATATTTCCGGAGCCTCCACTCAAAACACTCTTGGTGCTTTCCGAATGATATGACTCAGCATGTGATGGGGAAGTTCTGGTTGTTGAAGAATGGATTGATGTCGAAGAGATCGGAGAAGAAGAGGTTCGATCGACACCTGCTTGATGATGGTGTTGTGAGTGCAGGATAGGAGAAGTGCTGGATTTTGTAGGGTTTCGGGGTTGAAAAGAAGAAGAGGCAAAATTAATGTTGGTAGAAGTATTCGGTGTTGATGTTGTTTTGGACGCCGATGAGGACAATGTATTTGATGATTGCTCCGAGGAATGAGTGGAGATGTGTTTCTTGTATTCAAAAATATCCGCAAACCCTTGATTACATTTTTTGCATAAGAACGGTGATACTGATGAAGAGGTGTTGTTTGTATTGCTGATTTCAGCATTCGGTGCTAATGTTGTTTTGGATGCCAATGAGGACAATGTATTTGATGATTGCTCCGAGGAATGACCGACGATGTGTTTCTTGTAGTCAAAAATATTCGTAAACGTTTGATTACATTTTTTGCATAAGAACACCATGATGAGTGATGGTGCTGATGAAGAGGTGTTTGTTGTTTGTGATACAGCTTGGGAACTCTCAGCCACGTTTTTGGATGATGAACAAAAACAGGTTGGGAATTCTGAGGTATTTTTTTGTTGATGATTGTTCAGTGTGGTTGAGGTTCATCATCTACGAGTTAGCACAGAGAGCAGAATTCACAAATCATAGAAGCAACAAGAGCAAGTAATAATAGATTTCTTCTCCAATTTGACCAAAGCATTCTATCGTGAAAGTTACACATGTAGGCGAACGGGAAATGCTCTTAGTTTTCATTGTAAACTATTATTTTGAGTTGACTAAAAAATTTTTGAAAATTTCGTTGAAAAAAAATACGCCACAACTTCATCACATTTTCTGATACATCAAAATGGGTAGAATGCACGGTGCCGGTCACGGCAAGTCTCAATCTGTTATTCCATACAGAAGATCACCACCAAGCTGGTTGAAGGTTACCCCTGATGAAGTCGAGGATAAGATTGTTAAACTCGCTAGAAAGGGTTACACTCCATCACAAATTGGTGCTATTTTGAGAGATAGCGATGGTATTGGTAGAGTCAAGTCTGTTACCGGAAAGAAGATTTTGAGAATGCTCAAGTCAAACGGTCTCGCTCCAGAAATCCCAGAGGATTTGTACCAATTGATTAAGAAGGCTGTTGGTATCAGAAAGCACTTGGAAAAGACCAGAAAGGACAAGAAGGCCAAGTACCAATTGATTCTCTGTGAATCCAAGATCCACCGTCTTTCTAGATACTACAAGAGCACAAAGGTTTTGGCTCCAAACTGGAAGTATGAATCCGCCACTGCTGATGCTTTGGTTGCTTAAATAATTTTACACATAAACATAAAAAACTTTATTCAATGCGATAGATGTTGAAGTTGTCATTCGGGTTGTAATTGCAAAGTCGATACAATGCTTTTCGGGTGGTGGCGACAAATTGTTGGTTCTTGAAAATGACAAACTCGGCTTGTTTGCCTTCTTCGTGATTCCATGAAATGTTTGCCTCGTGGGAGGGTTGCTGATGACCAAGCAAAGCCATTTGGTCCAAATGAACACTTGTGACTATGGTATGCTCCACTGAGGCTTTGAGGCCAATGGATCGATTTTCCAAAAATTCACTCCTGCAATTATGAGATGTCGTGTGAATCTCCAATAGTCCTAACATTAATGAATAGAGAGGATTATCCTCTCTCGAATCTCTGAAGCATTCAATGTCCATTCCAATAATTTCGCATGATGTTGGAAAGTGCAATATAAAATCAGCCATTCTCCACATGTTCGAGAAGCAGCGTGTCTCAACAGATGATGGCTGTATGAAATGGTCCTTATTAGAGTTAAGGCTAAACCTGGGAGAGGATATTGTATTCAATGTCGAGAAAACATATTCTCGGTCAATACTTTTCAATATTAAATTAAAAGTACTGGATTCACAGATTGGTTTGTATCCAACTCTTAGGTGTAACCATTCCTTTTCTTCAATGTCCATGTTCGTTTTGAATAACTTGAATCGTGTCATTTGTTCTTTTTTGGATTGTTGGTTAAACTTTCCTTCAAAATGCAAACATGATCCTCCAATCCATGCATCATCATAGTTCACATAGAATCTCAATGCATGGGGTTGTCCACGATCCAAATACTTGACATTTCTAAAAGTAGGCATTAATTCTTGATGAGACATGTTATTCCAGGAATGATCACTCACTTTCTCTCCATGAATAAAGTAGTATTGTCCAACTCCAGTGTTAAATCGTGTTTTTAAATGTTGTTGACGTTTGTTTTCCACACTCACAACATTCTTGTCATGTTTCATATCATCATTCTTTTGTAACAAATGGATGGTGGTATTGTTCACAACATTCTTGTCATGTTTCATATCATGATTGTTTTTTAAAAAGGAATGAATATTACAATCTTCCTTCTGAATGAGATCTTCACAACAACAATAGGAAGGAATACTTCTCTCTTCAATATAATTTCTAATAAATTTTGGAGATATTTCTTCAGAACAGTTGTAATTCACAAACTCCAAACATGTCAATGAGCATTGTGCAACACGAGGTCCATAATTTCCACTCCATCCTTCAACATCTTTTCCTCCATGTTCCCAATAAATATATCGAATATCTGTTGAGTATTCCATAAAACAATGATGAATACACTTCCACTTGTCATTGCAAATCATTTCACCAGAATGAAAGGAATCAATCACTTGATGATGTTCATCTCTTAATTCAACGATTAGATAGAATAAATCATCACATTTTGGAGGTGTTCCTTTGTACCAACATGAAGCTCTAATGACAAGAGGTTCACTTGAATCATTCTTTTCCTTATTTAGTGTAAAGTGAGAAGTCAAATCAATGAGTTGACTCATTCGACACCATTGATGAGATGCAATAAATGATTTTGAATCATTGAATTCACAACTCGATGATAAACTCCAGTGATATCCATCATACAAAGATGATGATTCATTATTGTAATCCTTATTAGGAAGGAGAATGGTCCATCCTTTAAAATTATTTTCCTGACCATTTCCATTCTGAAGTAATTCCTTGACATTTTTCACATCATTTCCATGAACATGATTGCTCCAAAATAAATCTTCTCTCTCTTCGTATTGTCTTCTCAACATGGATGGATCATTCATTTCTGATTTCAAATCTTCTGAAGAAATGGATCTTAAAGTTTCATAGACAAATCCAGGAGCAAATAGAGCCACCGATGTCCTTGCCTTAATAATTTCTGCAAGAGCCACTGTTGTGTTAAATTGTCCACCTCCGTATTGACCTCTTCCAAAGATATCAATTCCAGTGTAAATATCGAATGAATTTTTAGAGCGTTCTTCATGGAGAGGATTGAGATTGGTTGTGGTCATTGGATGTTCATTGACTGATGTTGTTGGACATTGTTCATTCATGACGACGATAGTGCTATCTGTATTGTTGTTGTTGTTGGAATTTTGGGAATGATGATTACACAAAGAAACACTCTTTGAAAGCATTTCTGGCTTCCAACAATAATTTAAGAATATTCCATCACAACTGTTAAAAAATTCAATATTCTTCTCATTGAGCTCATTTTGCCATTTCAATTCTCCATTGGTTGAGAGAACAGAGTCATACCAAATCACCAACGAGTCTTTTCCAATTCTTCGATGACATTCTCTTGTTAAATATTTCAATAGTTTGATCATTCTTTCACATGCATCTCTTCCCTTCTTGAGAGGTGATTCAATATTGAGAAACCATCCATCAAAACCATAGTAGAGAGCTAAATCCACTAATTTGTCTGCTAATTCATAAGAGAGAGTTGAATTTTCTTGATGATTGTTGCTCGTAATAGAATGACATGAATCATTATTGACATGATGTTTTGTATAGAGTAATTGTTCAATTTCAGAAATTCCTTCATCCCATTCTACAATAAAGTTTCCAAGAACTTGAACACCATTTCTATGAGCTGCCTCACACCAACCACAAGGTGGAATTGAAATTCGAAAATGACTAAAATAAATAAATATATCTACATATTGCCAATAATTAAAATTATAACTGAGAAATGACCTTCCTCCTTGAATGTATTTATCTTCTAAATATCCTCCTTTCATATCATGACAGAGAATAACTTTAGAATTTTCATGTGATTTTTTTCTTTTGTGTAATTTCACATGACAGACATTCATTGGATCACTTCCAATTTTGAAATGTTTCAATTGTTCCATAGAATAGATGGGTTGAGAGATTATTTTGTGAGGTTTGTTGCAATGGATGAAAGGAGGATAATCATAATTAAATTTCTCATGTTCTGAATGAGTTGAATTCTTTTGATTTGAACATTCAAAAAATAAATCCTTGATCAAACCTTTCACACCATCACATTTGTCCAATTTTGGAGGAATAATGATTGGACAAAATTCATTGGCGATCTCTTTAATGTTCAAGGGAGATGGATACTGACTTTGAAATTCAAATATCATTTCATTGTATTCCCATACAATGATTTTGATTTCTTCTTCTTTGATCATAAATTTCAAATGATACCAACAATAAGTTTCTAATTCGAATCCATTGACATGTATTTGGAAAGGCTCTAATAATTGATTTGAAAATAATTTCACAATCAATGAGAGATTTCTAAATTTGGATAAGGCAATTAAAATTGATTTTCCTTTTTGAAGAATATTTAATTGATCCGTAGCATTGTATTCTTGTTCGAGTAAAAAGATGGAAAATGAGCAAGAAATTGAAGTGAGTGTGTGAAGTGTCTCTGAATTTTGAAAGAGTGATGGTGGAAAGAGTGTTAGTGAATGATGATGATGATCCGATCTAGTAGTTGAATCATTATGAATCAAGCAACAACTTGCAGGCAATAAATTCATTTTTTTGTTTGCGATGATGTCGCAATTAAATGATGATCATGACGACTCTCATACATCTTTGATTCAATTTCTCAACACGATGTTTAGCAACACGATCGAGTGTGAATATTCACACTAATACCTCTTTTCAAATATATTCTTGTTCCTGCAAAATAAAATCGACTTGTTCTTGCAAGGATTGTGAGTTCGAGGAGTGGATTTAAAATCATCACCATCGTCATCATGTGAGGAATTGTCTTTTGCTGGACTATTTCTTTCAAACCAAACAATGAACTTCGAAGAGAACCAAAAGAACCATTCTGGCTGAATATTTATTTACAATTATAATGGATCATGAGTGACAAGAAGTAGTGTGGTCAAAGTCCTCTTTCATATTGGCAATCCTTGCCCTTCTCCTGAGATGCTAATAATAATTGATCAGCTTCCAAGGCCACTTTTGACCCAACTTTCAAAAAGTCGAAAATGAACTTGAAAAAAACGAGGCTTCACTCAAGAGTCTTGACAAGTCATTCATAATTTCTTCCTTAATAATTCGAAGTATTGAGACCTTGTGTTGAACGATTTCCAATACATAATAATAATATTAATACATAATTGTGGATCATTCTCCACTTGTGTGATCGATACTTGGAACACTGGGAAAACCCTTTCACGCCCACGATATTTCTTCACTAATTTTCCAAGATAGGTCTGAAACAACAGTTTCAATTCTGGACTAAAAGGAAATACACCCATTTCATCTTTGGCAAACATTGAATAAATAATACAAAATGTTTTGGATTGTGTCACTTGCAAGTTGGATGAAATTCCAAACTCAAAGCTCTCAATGTACTTTTTGGTTTTTTCAACGTCGAGAACAAGCAAGAAATGAAAAATCGGAGAGAACTGGTCGTTCTGAGATTAGTGTTTCTCTTTCAATGGAGGAAAACAAGAACCATATTTTCAAATGAACGGATGGGTCATACACCTCCCTTAAAGTTAGCATTACACCTGTCAACACTTTCCAGTACGAATTTTTTCCATATTTTGAAGCGTGAATGTATTGATTCGGATCAACTCCTTTCCATTCATCATCATCACCCCTATCAACAACAGGGTATTCCTTCAGAGAGGAATTTCCAGATTCAAAGGCAAGTCTCTTCTCAGAGAAGAAGCTACTCAGCAGTGAACTCAGCCAACCCTCAATCACCATTTATATTAAAGAGAGAGCGCGAGTGAGGAATCTCTTCAACATTGCCTATGAAAGCTGTGGTTGAAATTTGAAAAGGATCTCATGCTTTACCTTGTCGTATCACGATTGTACGACTCTTCATCAATTAATTGTGGCTTCAACTTTTTCCAACCTATTCCAAAGGAGGACTGGTATTTTGCTTTGCCTTCTTTGGAAGAATATTTAGAGAAATTAAGCTTTAAGCAAAACAGTACTCAAGAAAGATTAAAAAATGTCAAAGAATTGTTCAATGGTATTAATTAATATATAAAGATTTTTATTTATCGTTCGATCCTTCCAAAACACTACAACAAAACTATAAACTGTTTTGGTTTTTATTGAGGAAGAAGTGAACTCTACTTGACATGTTTGTTTGGAACACACACTTAATGAGAGCTTTCACTTGATCTTCTGTTTGAGGAGAAATACATTCCATTGGATCATTACGTTTGAGGCATTGGACATGCACAATTCATATTTTAATGACAACAAGAGTCACTGTTGGACATGTACAACTTTTTCCATATCCTTAGAGGAATTGACTACACACTGAAGAAAGAACGCGCCCAGCCAACTACAAAAAAATTATTTATTGATCAAACAAGTCGCGCATGAATGGACGTTCATAGTGCACCTACATCATCAGCCTTTAATACATCTGTTACAGCATCGACTGAAGTCAGTAAATTGAAGGATGCATTCCGATTATTTGAAAGTGAAGGAGTTGTGGAAGTGGAAGACTTTGGAGTGATTTTGAGACATCTCGGTCTCAATCCAACTCAAAAACAATTGGCAGCTTTAAAAACAGAAATGGCCGAACCTTTTGTCACTTTTGAAAAGTTTGAGGCAGTCATGAGCAAAATTATTCTCACCTCAACCTATGATGGTGTTGCTATGATAGTAGACTCGGAGGATCAGTTGCTGAAGGCATTTGAAACCTTGGATCCCGAAAAAAAGGGATACATCCCTACGGACAGAATGGTGAACTGGCTGAAAACACAGGGCGAGCCCATGAGCGACGAAGAGATTAATGAATTCTTGAGAGTTGCCCAAGCAAAAGACGGGCCAATCATTCGATATGAGGAATATATCAGCCTACTGTGTGGAAATAAGTAAAATGCAGTTGTACACAGTTCGTTCCGATATCATCACCAAGTCTCTTGGTATTATTTAATATTTTCAAATAGATTTATTGGGTTTCTCTCAAACGTCTGATTGTACTTCTGACAGTGGCAGCAGCAATTGTGTTCAAAGTCCAAGCACCACCAGCTTGAGTCTTGTTACACTTCTTACAATGCCAAATACCCACAGCGACTCTCTTGAATCCGTATTTACCACAGAATTGGCAGAAGTGCTTTTGCTTCTTGGAGATTTCGTACTTCTTTGCACGCTTTCTCAAGTTGGCACCATATCTAGTACCGAATTTACCAGTGATACCTGCTTTCTTTGTTCTCTTGGCCTGTTGTTGTCAACGAAGAATTTGATGAGCTGGTGCGAATGAAAAAATATGAAAGGATACGAACCATTGTTTTTGACGTATTTTTTTCAACAAAATTTTTTCAGAATAACTGGTCAACCTAGTCTTTGAGTTTACAACGAGCTGGCATTTTGTGTTTGTCTTCCAGCTGGCGAAGAAAATTGCTCGATCAATGTACAAGAGGAAAACATTTATTTCTTCTTAAAGAACGCTCCAATACTGGTTTGCTTTGGTCCAGAGTGAGGATTCGCAGATACAACACTCTTGTTCGATTTTGAAGTCGAAGTGGATTCCTTCTTTGTCTTCTTCTTCTTTGACTCTGTTTCATCTCGCATGACATTGTCATCCTCATCGCTTGAGAGCTCCTTCTTTATATTGCTAGCAGCCTGTTGTTTCTTTTCCATTTGCTTAATTTCTTCTTCTGAGAGAGGTACCTCAGTCCAAATTTCCTTACTCACGAGATAACCCTTTTCATTCTTGACTTGAACTGTTTTTTTGACTTTCTTTGTTAATTTCTTTTCAGAAGATGAGACTTCAGTGGTTGAAGGAGAGGAATTTGATGATTTTGGACTCTGTGAAGTGAACTTGTCCAAAGTGTTAGTTTGAGTTTTAGAAGGTGTGGTCTTTTTTGATTTCTTGGAGGTTGATTTCTTTGTTTTGTTGTTGAGAAGATCTTCCTCATCTTCAGAAATTTCATTTGAAGAGGATTTTCTTGTTGTAGGATGAGAATAATGATCATCCTCATCACTTTCTTCATCAAGAATGAGAGAAGAATTCTTTTTTGAATGAACAGTAGCATCTGTCATTTCTTCATCAGAGAGTTCCTCCTGAACATGTTTTGTGGTTATTTTCGGACTTGCAGTCTTTTTGTTGGCAGTGATGGACTTTTTAGTTGTTGATTTCTTTGAAGAACTTGACTCCACTTGTTCCTTTTCATCATTCATCAATTTTTCTTTCTTTGGTTGTAGACCTTTCATGACTGGTTCTGCAATTTCCAAATTTGTTGATTGATTCTTAATTTTACTTTTCATTTCAATACTTCCTCCTCCATATTCAATGACACCACATTCATGATATGGAAAATGAGTATTAGAATCTAATCGATATAAATCTGAAACTGTGGATGGTCTAGTTCTTGAAATGGAATAAATGTGAATGGAATTAATTGTTTCAAAAGTATTCTTCACTTGTTCTAATTGATTCATGTTCACAAGTGCAATTTGAAAAGGAAGAGAATGATCTTTGGGTTGTCCAGCTAATAAATAAGTGACATGAAGAGAAGAGTTGTTGGTTGCATGTTCAGAGTAGTATTCATAAAGCATTCTATTTTGGGAGAGTGTGTGTCATGAATAGTGTGTTCGAGGGAAAATCATTTCCGAAATTTTTGAATGATCATCGTGTGTATGAATTGGACAATTATTTCACACGGAGTGTCATGAGAAAATAATAATATTATAATTAATAATATCATGAGAATATAATAATATCATAAATAATAATATTTTTTCAAATTTTTCAAGCAATGTCGTTGTTGAATCACAACAACAACAACAACAACCATTTAAAATTGTGATCAAATTGTTACGCATCATAACAACACTTATCACTTACTGCTTGGCTTGATTCACATCAACAGAGCATTTCATACTCAGCCACTTGTAATCCACCACTCTCATGGTTCGGGTTCCTTCTTCCAACTCCTCATCCAAAATTTTGAAATATTTATCTTTGCTCATCACTGCTGTGATGCTTTTCGTCATTTTTTGTTGTTCGAGTGTTTGGTGTAACGTTTTTGGGTCGATTTTTGGCGGGAAGATTTTCTTTCAAAAAAAATGATAAAATATCCTTCAGAGATCCTTATGTTGAAGAAATTCGTAATTATTTAAAAGTGAAGGATCAGATCAAAATTATGCATGTTAATAGTCATACAGGTAAACAAGATATCTATAGCCGCATAAATGAATTAGCAGATAGGGCTGCTAAGAAAGGTGCTGATTGTAACAATATTCTTACTAATATTCCATCCAATAATTGGTATATTATTATCAACAATGTATTATACACTCAAAACACTGGACAAACAATGTACAAACTTCTATTTCAACGCCTCCACAAAAGAACATATACGCCAAAGAACCTTCCTCCCAAGAACAGAAAGTTCACCAACATTTACCCCTCAATAGGAATCGGTTTCAGAACCTTAAATCTAATATTTAAAATTAGAGTGAACGTGATGAAGACTTTGGAAAATTTAAACAAGATATCCAAGACGAACTTGCTATGTCCTTGCTGTAGTAGAGAGACAATGCAACACATTATTTTTGAATGTAAATACTATAGTGATATAAGAAAAGAAATGTTTAGGAATTTATATAATATCTCAATATATGCAAAGAATAACAAGAAATTCTCCAAACGACTATTGTACCTCATCAAGACTAAACAAGATATCCATAGCCTAACAGGTGCTAAAGTTGGATTGGGTAAGAAATGGGACAAAGTATTTACTAAGGAAGCTTATCGATCTATTACTAAAATGTGGATGAAACGAAATCATTTTTTCATGGAAGAATTGAAACTCACCTGGAATGAATTTGAACAACAATACGATTTTAATCCCAATTTCATTGATTTGAACAAGTTTAAACTATACATGAAATACCCACGACCATGAATAATAATTGAAATTTACAACAATATTTGAAATTTACACTAACCTTGATGACAAACAATAATTGAAATTTACAACAATAATTACACTAACTTTGATGACATGAACCACCTTTAACTGTACTAATTGCACACACAGCCATGAATAACGTTTGAATTTTCGAACAAATAAACGCATGGACAATGATAAAAAAAAATGATAAAATATCCTTCTCGTGAAGTTACGGCCGGAATAGGCTCTTCTTCGGAACAACATCCAACATCTCTTTCATTGGAAGAAGACCAACACTTTGATGCATCCTCTCAACCACTTCCTTGCAGAGAAAAAGAACTTGCTCAAATTAAAGGAAACATTTTGAACAGAATTGAATTATCATGTCCCTATTCCATGTATGTTTCGGGTGAGCCTGGATCTGGAAAGACGGTACGTAATTGTCATCACGATATTTCTTCCAAATTTTTATTCAACATTTTCAAACCACAGGCGAGTGTCAAACAAGTGGTTAATGAACTATGTAATGAAAAACGCAATGTCATCTCCATATTTATTAATGCAATGAAATTATCTCAACCCTCAAAAGCTCTTGAAATTATTTTTGATCGAGTTATTAAACAAAATAATCGAACTTTGAAATCTAAAACAAAAACTAGTGTTAAAACAAAAATTGAAAGTTATTTCAAAAACCCAAAAACATTTGAAAAACGACCCTATGTGATCGTAATTGTTGATGAAATGGACTTTTTTGTAATGAATACGACGAACAATACCAAGAATATTCATTTACTCTATGAATTGGTAGATATTACAAGAGACAAAAATAGCAAATTATGTATTATTGGAATTTCGAATACAGTTTCATTACTTGACAAGTTACACACCAAGATTAAGAGTAGATTTGATGACACTCTTACTTTCTTTCCATATGAAAATGAACAAATTAGGACCATTGTAGAAAGTAAAATTTTAAATAATTATGGAGATTATTTTGACAAGAGCGCTATTAAGATGATTGGATCGGTGATTGCTAGAAAAGCAGGAGATATTCGTAGAGCTATTGATATTATTAAGAGATGTATTGAGGTCTATCAATGCTCTCCTCAAGCGTTAGGTGAAAAGAAGAAGAAAATTGATTCCATTTTTGTCAAGAATATTGCATCGGATTATGCAAATAATTATCCTTTGGAATCACTAAGCATTTATCACAAATTATTTTTGCATTGTGTGCTACAAGAGTTCCAAATGAAAACAAAAGCACTCAAAGAAAATCCAAATTCAGCAATTACTGGATCCTTTGATGCCAATCCTGATAATATTCTATTTGAGAGAGTGGTGATGAGATTTCAAAATTTATTGGCCATGTCTGAGAATATCAAACCCTCCACCTCATCTTCGTCCTTCTCCTCCTCGACTCATCTTTTACATTTATCGATGGATCAATTGGAACATGTGATGGGAACATGGGTCGAGTTGGGTGTCATTTCCGTTGAATACGACAATCGAGAACGTTTACCATTAATTCATTTGCATGACGCTCAAGAAACACTTTGTGCATTGCAATCAGATCAAGAGATTAAGAGTTTTTGTTTGTGAAGTGTGTTACAATTCATTATTATTATTGAATCAAAATAAATTCTCAGTCCTTCAACCCTATATATCTCGTCCAAAAAGGGAAACACAAATTCTGCTGCAGTCTGACCTTGAATGTTCTGGCAATTTAGAATGAAACACATTTTGGCAAAACAAATATGACAATCTAGAGTTTATAAAACTAGTGAATGTAAAACAAAACGAATGCTCATTCCATCGTTCTTTGAGATTTTCTTGTAAATTTACATTTCATCCTTAATGAGCGGTTTGTCACTTAAATTACTACTTGTTGTTGAAGTGAATGACTCTGTGTCTGGAGTGATTGTCGTCGTTTGGGTAGTAGTGGTCATAGTAGTGAGTGAAAGTTCTCCATCTTTAGATTGTTTCCATAGAGCAGTATTTAACATTTCCTTTTCGAAATTCACTTTGAAAGGAATATCCACACATAAATATTCATACTTTTCTGTTCTGGATGGATCACTCTCAAGTACTCTATGTTTATAAATCTTAACACTCGCTTCATAGGTTCCTTTTTCAGTGACATAGAGTGGTCTTTCAATTTGAGCATGATAAGTTTTGTTTAAATTCAGAATTGGACAATTCGATTCTTCCAAAGAACATCCATATTCCAAATCACTCTTCTTTATGTCAACATGATCAATTGAATCATTATGAATAAAAGATCCACAACACACATCATATGGTCCCTTATATTTGATGGTTTGACCTGTCTCTTCATGCCACAATTCCAATTGATAAAACAACACATTGGTATCCGATACGTGCATGTTGAATTTCATATTCATATCCACACGTACACCTGGAACATTGTATCGAGTGGGAATGATGGTTAAATGGGCAGTCACGAGAGAAATGCCATCATCTTCTTCATCATCGGCCGTACTGTAACAATGATGCCATTGAATGAATTTCGAGTAAGGTTGTGTATAGGAAGAAGATTTGCCTTTTCGTTGTTGTTGTTGATGAGGATGATGAGGATGATGAGGATGATGGTATTGTTGATGCATACGTTCGTGGTGTTCTTCTTTCGTTCTCAAAATGACCTTCGGAATGGTTCTTTTCTGTGGTGCCGACATCGTGGTAGTGGTAGTAGAATGGTTGGATGGTTCGATCGATGGTTCGGAAAGGCTGTTGTTGTTGTTCTCTTCCCACGTTGCGTGGATGGTAGTGATGCCCAACATCATCATGAGAAGAAGAAGAATGGTCATCATCACCACGTCAAGCTTGATGTTCTTCTTCTTTATAGAGGTACAAAATCCAAGAGATATATACGAATGATGAGAATGTGGTGGTGGTGGCTGTTGATGATGATTCATACTGATGATCTTGATGATGAAGAATTTTTTGATCTCTCTTCGGAAGCAACAAGGTTCAACGAAATCGCGATTTCAATGATTCGCAATTCAATTATTATTGGCAGTACTTCTCCTTTCAAACACTGTTCAAACTTCAATGACATTGTGTTTCCCTACGTGTACACTGTTGAAATAATAGCAGCAGAAGCGGAAGAATTTGATGATGGAATTGCAACAAACTTTTTTCTCAACAACAACAACAACGCGTAAGGCAATTCAAAAACCATGCATTTCAATTAATTAATTTATTTGATTCAACAATCATGACAACAACATGTATGAATCTAGGTGAGTACTCACGTGTAGAGATAGGTATGTCAATACATGTGTATAGAGAGGTATCATGACGTACTTGTTGTTGTCAAATTTCTTCATCAATGAATTAAGACATTGACAAAAACGACAACAATCACCACCAATGTGCACATCAACCACATGGCATGGAATTGAGGAGTTGTTGTTGTTGTTCTCAAACTCACTCCATCATTGGTGGAATCTCCATTACACAAATCTGTATTACAACAATAGGTATCAATGTAGATGGTTGGTGATGATTTCATGGCATCACATGTGGATTGAGTAACACCAGTGTAGACTTTCTTGATGGTTCCTTGAGCAATTTCAGAGGGAGTACAAGAAGTGTCATTTTGTTGACATTTGAATCCATATCTGACACAAACAATTCCAGTGTCAGTGAATGTGTATTGAATCACACCACTACCAGCTGGAGAATTGATATAACAGCGACGATCAGCAGAGACCATGACTGATCCAAAACAAGCGAGAACAATCAACACTCCAAGCAAAAGTGTGATTACTGTTTGAAGAGAGTGTTGTTGTTGTGGTGGAAAAGATTGATGACGTGTGGAGTGAAAAAACTTCATGGTCAAAAGAGCTAGCTCTAAAGTGAGAAAGGTTTTTTTTGATATGAAATGGTGGTCTGATGCCGACACATCGTTTGTGGCGTTTCTAGGCATCAATGATGGGTTGACAAGTTCTTCTAGAGTCCTTTTGTTGTTTGGTGAGCTTAAGATCTTATTTTGACGTAATTTATCTGATTGAGAGCAACATCAACTACCGATATATTGTGGAAATTCGACTGTGGTGGAAAAGTAAATGTTCATCACATATTCCAAAGGACTAGAACATGTAGGTTAAGGTTCCTTACAACCTGCATTAATTCCTTTTATCTTCTTTTTGAATCGAGTTCAGCTGAAACACTTTTGTACTCGTGAGTGGATCGTGGGGAAAAAGGAAGTCCTCATCAAACTCTCAATTTTCCCCCGAACGAACAACACCGAGTTCACCACAAGTGTTGTTCCATTTCCAGTTGAACCTCTGAAATTCTCGCACAAATAAAAAATGCTCAAAGCCTCCATTGAAGTGAATAGTTCAGGCAGTCCGGGAATCAATGGAATCTCAGGATTCAGGTCCGTTAAATTTTTTGAATAAACAGGCTATTCCAATCTATGGTCTCCAATCTTTTTCTAACCTATGCTAATTCATGATGATGATGATGATGATGAAAACCATGATGCTAACTCATCGACAAAAACACCCGCCAATATTCAACAATGCCACTACGACCACTATATGGTGGAACAATTGATTCTATGACTTTGATCTTTTCTACTCGTTGAAATCTACAGCGGGTCCAGTGGCCATTCTGGATCTGTAAGTTTTTGTTTTCTAGCGTCGTTTTGGTTTCGGAAATGATGACTTAATGGAACTCTGAACTCTTTCACAACGATTGGTTTCGGAAATGATGACTCAATGGAACTCTTTCACGACAACTCTCTCATCCTTCAACTAACCACCACTTTCAATGACACCTTCATTTGTGTGAACAACAATAACACTCAGAGTGGTTCAAGTGGTTCTCATGGTGGATATGGAGGTGGTCGTGGTGGAAATGGTTCCAATGGTCATCGTGGTGGTAATGGTACTCATGGTACCAATGGTTCACGTGGTACTCATGGTGGACATGCAAGTGATATCCGAGTATTAATTGATGGAATGGATCATCATTCAGTAGTCATTAGTGGAACTGTGAATGAAACATTATGTATTCCAGATGGATCTGTGAAAGCAATGAGATTTTATGCAAATGGTGGAAATGGTGGACATGGAGGTGATGGTGGAAGGTAAGTCATGACGTGGTGTCATGATGAAATTTATTGTTTCTCATTTTGTTGAATTCTCAATGGAATGCACTCAATGTTCATTTCAAAAGAGGTGGAGATGGTGGTTCAGGAGGTTGGGGTGGTAGTGGTGGTTCAGGAGGAAGTGGTCGTTCAGGAAGTAGTGGACAAGATGGAGGAGAGTAAGTCTATTCGAATATGAGTGTGTATGAAAATGTATGATTAATTGGATATGTTCATATATGATGATGTTTTGAATGGATTATATTGAATAGTGGTGGAGAGTAAGTGTTTCTAGTAATGAATTTAAAATTCTCATCAACACACCATTGAATGACACAAACATTTTTCAGTGGTGGAGAGTAAGTAATGAGTGTTCTGAAAAAGAGTTAATTATGATGAACCTACATTTTGCAGTGGTGGAAAGTAAGTAATGGAGAGAATTTTAAATATTCATTTTGAACATTTAAAGTGGTGGAGAGTAAGTGCATTTCTTATTTGAAGAGAGATATGAATTACATGTTACTCATTCTAGTGGAGGAGATGGTGGAGAGTAAGTGCATTTCAATGTTTAACAATTCATGTTTGTGTGAACTTTGATAGTGGTGGAGATGGAGCAGAGTATGTTATTTTTGTGTTTCATGTGTTGTAATCCTTGTATAATGATAAATGCATTGAATCATGTGATGAATTGCATGTAATTACTTGTTTTCATGTCTATCACATAGTGCTGGAGATGGAGGAAATGGTGGTCATATTATTATTGAAACTCATAATCCAGCTCTATTGAAATTTGTTCATGCTGAATGCTATGCTGGAAGAGCTGGAAGTGGTGGTTCAGCTGGAAGGTGAGTGAATGTTCTCAGAGAGAATAATGATTTTTAATGTTGTTGTTGTTATTCTACTAACACACACACATTTGGAATGTAGTGGTGGATGTGGTGGTTCTGGAGGAAGGTAAGATTGTTATGATTTCATATATTATTGATTCATATAATACCTTATTATTCATTCATTGATGATGATTCATAATTGCATTCTAATGCATTGATTCCTCTTCCTTCACAACACATGGCAGTGGTGGAAGTGGTGGTTCAGGTGGAAGTGGTGGTAATGCTGGATCTAAATTAGAACATCAATCTCATTCACCTCATAGTGGTAAATCAGGAAAATGTGGACATTCAGGACATCGAGGTAATAGTGGTAATTGTGGACGTGATGGTCGAAGAGGTAAGTATAAAGATGTACCTGATTTGAATTTATCTTTAAATTTCAATCCTTAAATTTCAATCCAATTTAAATCTGACCATTCCAACCTTTAAATTTCAATCTCACCAAATCTCAAACTACATAGGTATGGATGGTCGATCAGGACAACCAGGTTCACTTCTCTTTCGAGTATTAGATCCAATCACCAACATGATCATTGATCAAGGTTCTTCTCTCTTTGATTTGGCTGTCACTTCCTTTCAATTATTTGCTGTTGAAGATGATGGTATTTTTGAACCAGGTGAAAGTGTCTTTATTTCCAATGTGACTGTTACTAATACAGGTGGAATGATTTTACCACCTGGTACAATGATACAATTTCCAACTCTGAACAATTCTTCAAAACATCCCTTTTTCTCTTCAAATATGATCTATGCCATTCCACAACCCATTCTACCAGGTGGAATCTTTCAAATACCTTTTCAATTTTATGGAACTATTGGAGATGTAGCACCACCCAATGTCAATGGACCATTCAGTGCAGTGATGGCCATTCAATCAAGTGCTTCACTTTTAACTTCACCTTTTGATCAAGGATTTCTTTTAAATAATTACAACGTGACCTATCCAATCAAAATTGCACCTCTTACTCAACCTTCTCAATTAGGAAGATGTGAAAAGGGTACAGTGACTGTTCATTTTCATAACATTTCAACCATCATTTATGGAAGTCAATCCATGAATTCAGAAAGACAACATTTGAGTTTTGTAATTTCATTTGATCCAAGATTTACTGTTCATAATGAACCTAATTTGAATGGAGTGAATGCCATTGAAGAAGATATTCCATTGATTCATCCTAGTATGACCTATTCGAGAAGTTTCCAAATTGAGTTAAATGATTTGGCACAATTCTTTGAAACAGTTCCATTTAAAGTGAGTTTGAAATTGAGAGGAAAGATTATTGAAAATATGGAAAGTTCAATTCGATTGACTCCAAATTATTATCCAACCAGTCCAACACAAAATCATTATGATGTCTTGTTATTTACAGGTGAGTGAATGTTTATTCTTTTCTAAATTATTATTTGTCTGTACCACTACTCACACTACTACTCATTAATTCTATTTTTATCATAGACAAACAAATTGTAAGACAAGAATTCTTGTCATATATGAAAATTTTAGAAGGATTAGGTCTCAGTGTGAACATTTGGGATTGTGAACGATATGGTGGACTTTCATTTATTAAAAATCCACCACCCATGATGCCATTGGCCATTGATCCAGCTCTCACTGTTCCTGTGATTGGTTCAATGAATCCCAATATGAATGCACCTTCCATGATGATGACTACCACTCATACTGGTGGTGATGTTACTATGAATACGATCACTAGCACTAATATCAGCACTCATATTACCACCACCCATCCAAATTCAATCCAAAGACATGCTATTTCATGGATTCATGGAGGATATGAAGGTAAAATTCTCATCTATCCCATGTTAAATCAAGGTGATGAAAATAATCTTCTCTCTGAAGACTTGTTTCAAATATTGAGAGGAGTGTCATGGAATAGTTCCATTGATTCAAATCCCAATGCAAATAGCACTGCACTTCCTCCTTCTACATTGGGTGCATTTATATTCATTGGAAATGTCGATGGAAGTAAATTTAGAAGTCGACTTTTCAAACCAGTTCCATCCAAACCAATTCCAGAACAAGAATTAAGAGAAGTATTTCTCATAAGTACACCCAATGAGAGAGATTTAGAAAGAAAATGTAATGAATATTTTGAAAAGGTACTTCATAAGGTGACACCTTCAAGACATTATTCATCATGTGCTTTGAAATTTAATCCTAAAAAGAGTGGAGTATTTTCAAAGACTAGTCTTGGAAGTGCAAAATATAAGGAATTGCCAGTGACAGCCACAGATTGTTGTTTTTCATTGAATACTTCTTCTGGAAATTCACAAAATTTCATGGTTGCTGATTCTCAAAACAATTTAGCAACAAATCAATTTTTAGTGAGTTCTAATTTTGGAAGATTATTGAATACTGTCATATTTTCTCTTCCACTTGAAAGGAGATTACTTTTATTGAAGAAACCAACGGAATGGCTCTCACAAGTGAAGCTTGTTGAAGAGAATGGAGAAGTATCCAATTATGTAAAAGCAATTTTATGGTCTCTCTATTATAATATTTATGAAGAAATTTTATTTAGAGATGAAATTGGAAGATTTACCTCAATCATTAAGAATGATTTTGAAAATCATGTGGCTGAATATCAAGCTCATCCTGAACGTGTCAAATTGAGTGAGAATTTGTATCTCATGTTGGCATCACTTCGTAAAATGCTAAAATGGAAGGGAATGTTGTTATCCAAGACGAAGGAGAACAAACGAAATTTTGAACAATTTGCAGATGCAATGGAAAAGATTATATTCACCAAACTCATTACGGATACCACTCATGTGGAGAATCTCAAAAAGGAAACCAAACAAAAATTGAAAGTATTGCCAGAAACATATTTTTCATTCCATATGAAATTCATGCAACGATTGCTAATGTCTCATTACCAGAATGAATTAGAAAAGGATTTGTCGAGTGGATTATTTGGAAGTGTTGCAAAGAATTTCCATTCTGTATCCGATGGTAATTCGAACTTTTTGGATTATTGGTAAAAGGTAACTTGAATTTCAACCATTCATAAAAAACCTCAGGACTTGTCCTTCATCTGATCTTGTGTTGAACTAATTGTGGCATTTGATGTTTTGTTCAATTTAGGTATTCAATTCAAAATATATTGATTATAGAATGACTGCGAATGAGTCGTTTTGATAGTCAATTTCACACACCAACCAACTCCTTCACATCCATCATTAAAAAGCGAGCCGTGTTCTCTGTCAATTGTTTTTCCAATTCTTGCTTATTTTCTTCCATATTCCAACACTTGGCAATAGTATTCACAACATGTGGTAATAAACATGGTTCATTTCTTCTGCCACCATTCACCACAAATTTCCAAACGTTTTGACCATTATTTCCACTCAATGGAGGTAACATGAATGGTGAGTCTGTTTCAATTAACAATTTATCACGTGGAATGATTCCCTCTTTCAAAATGTCACGCAATTCCTTTCCTCTTTCATCCATACAGACACATCCTGTTAAACCAATATAGAAACCCATATCGATGTATTTCTTTGCTTCATTTCTAGTTCCAGTGAAACAATGAACGACGAGTGGAGGAAGAGTCCGATGACTTTCCTTCATAACACTTTGAATACATTCAACAAAATCATGATGAGCATCTCTTTCATGACAGAATATTGGTTTTTGCAATCGGGTGGCCATTCTCAATTGTTCTTTAAAACAATGAATTTGAACATCCTTTGGAGAAAACATTCGATTGTAATCCAATCCACATTCACCAATCATGCAAATAGATTCTTTTTGTGGATGTGTGGTAATGACTTGTTCCAACTCTGAAATGTTCTTAAATGACTTGGCATCATGTGGATGAATACCAACTGTACATAAGAATTGAACAAAATTAGTATTATTACTACTACTATTGACACCACCATTACTATTAGTACTATTGCTACCACCACTACCATTACTATTAGTACTACCACTCTGATATTTGGACACCAAAGAGAGAGATTCCATCGAATTACGAAGAGAAGTACCAGTGAGAATGACACACTTGACATTGACCAATTGACATCTCTTTAAAACTTGAGAGATGGTCTCTTGATGATCTTTAAATTGATGATTTGTTAAATTAATTCCAATATCTATAATGGGATAGGAAGAGGCGATGGATAAAAGATATTCTTGAACTTGATCGGAATGAGAGAGTTTTTTACGAGAGGAAGAGGAGGGATGATCATGAGAATGAACAACATGACGACGAGTCATGGTTGTAGTGGTAGTTGTAGAAGAGGAGGAGGAGGAAGAGGTAGTAGATGGCAATGTCATTTGCTTCTTGCCATTACTATGAGTAGTACTATTATGATTACCACTATGACCACCACTATGACTCTGAACGTGTTCGGATCTGAAATTGAAGGATCGTTGTTGACTCATTTTTCTTGTTGTTGATGGTGGTAGAGTAGATGCATTATGGAACAATGAGTGGTGGTGGTGTTGTTGTTGTTGTTGTTGTTGTAGGTTTCGAAATTGAACAACCGTTCTTCATGTTTGAATATATTTGGAAAATGCACCTCCTCACCGATCCACTTGAACTTAATTGAGAGGAATTGGCCTGAAATCCAAGTACTGTTAGATTTCCTCTTCGTTGGCAGATGCCACAAATATTACTAGTACTCTGACAAGATTGAAGACTAAGGACCCGGTCCCCAGTTAGAATCCCAACTAGATTCGGTGTGCACAAACCTCAATAAATTTTTTATCAATCATGACTCAAATTGAGATCACCACGAATTCTCATGTTCATTCATCATGTACGAACACACTCACACACACACTCACACACACACACACGAGAACATGTCTCTGAAACTAGTTTCTTCTATTTTTAATAATTCTCATCATTTACATGGATTCTATTAATTGTTGAGCAATATCATCAAAAACTTCCTTAATACCATCATTGGTCTTTGCACTCACTAATAACCATTTAGAGAGAGATCAAGAACAACCAATTCAACAACAACCATGGATTTCAACCATTCAGAGAGATCAAAAATGCATCATATATCGTCAGTAGAAATATATTAGGAAAAAAAGATAAACAACTTACCTTCAAAATATTTAATTCCCAATTCTCTTGCCAATTCTTCTGCCTCTTCTCTTGTAACATTTCTCATGTGGTCAACATCTTTCTTGTTACCAACGAGTACTGTTTTTGTATGTTGATGAGCATGCTTATTGACATCTAATAACCAACGCCTTATATTATCATAAGATTCACGTCTAGTGAGATCAAACGTTAATAATATACCATGTGCACCTCGATAGTATGCTGTAATGATGGATCGATATCGTTCTTGACCAGCTGTATCCCACTGTGGTGTGTTGGTTATTAATATTATTATTCATAATATCCATATTTGAAAAAGACCACATATTTCCATATTTAGAGTAATTGATAAATTTGAATTCAAATTCGACAACATTCAATAGTACTCACCACTTGAAGTTGAACAGGTCGATTCAAAACTGTTAAATGTACTGTTTTAAAATCTACTCCAACTGTACTGACATGATTTACATTGAATTTACTTTCACTGAACATGGATAATATTGTTGATTTACCAACACCACTATCACCCTTTTAAAGTCATTTCAAAATGTTTGCATGAAATACATTGTGTGACACATTCATGCGCATGAAATAATTAGTAAAAAAAATATATTATTCAAGAATACATAGATTCAAGAAATCATTGAATGTTAAATGTAAAATAATTTATCACATCACCAATGGTTACCATTATTGGTGAAACATGTAATTCCTCATTCATTGAAATGATCATTATTCTCCAATGTACATACCAGTAATAAAATTTTGAAGAATAATTCACTTTTAATATATGAATTTGAGAGTATATGAATTTAAATTGAATATATGAATTTAAATATAGTAGAGTAAAATTGAATACATGAATTTACATATAGTAGAGTAAAATTGAATTCATTGAATAATTGTAGTGAAACACAAGAATAAATGATCCAAATTCGTAGTGTATACTACTCGAAACATACCCATCATTATCAAGTTGTGCATATCCTTCTTCTTTTTGACCTCCAATGGTAATCATATCGGAAGGAGGATGATTTGTTTTTTGTTCGGATCGTGACCCACAAGCTCCCATTCTTTCTTGTTGTTGTTATTATTATATTGATGAAGTTGTTGATGAAGTTGTTATTCTATTATAACAAGTTGATGATATTGTTATTCTATAATATTGTTATTATTATAAAATTGATGATAAAATTGGTAACAATGATGAGAGTATTGTTGTTCTTGTTGAATGAATCACACCACTACTACCACTACTACTACCACTACTACCACTCTATTCTTGAAATATTTAAATATATATTGGAATAATAGGAGTGATGTCAGCAAGGCCCACACACTGTGAGTGACAGACTCAACAGAGTCTCTCTACTAAGTGTCTATATACTCTCTGACTCAGACAACTAGAGATGTAGATGCAACACGAGTGGTGTTGGTGTTATGAAATGATATATTTCTTCAATGATGATGGTCTCACGAATGGAGAGTAATTGTGATGATAATGTATGGAAGGGATGATGACCTCGAATTCCCGACAGTCTGCCAGATATCAGTGTTGTTGGTGATGAAGATGACGACGACTGTTGTTGATATTTTTATAAATAGAGCGAGCGAGAGTAGAAGGTGGTGTGATTATCATGATGACTTGACACTCAGCAAAAGGATCCTCCTCTCTCTTGAGGTCAATGGATAGTAATTAAGTTGCTTTTATTCAGAGTGTCCATACCAACACCATAAATTATTACAATTATTCTAACGCACAATAATTATCACCCTCTGGATGAATAATATTCAAATTCAATGGATATTTAGCCTTATGATTGTTACGTTTGTGAATCAATTTAGCCTCAGCACTCAATTCCTCAAATTGTTTCAAAGCTTGAGGATCTGAAAAGGATTGTTTGAAACGAGCTTGTTCTTCTTCACTCTTAGTCATGAATTCAGTCAATAATTCCACAAAATCATAGGGAAATCCCAATTCATTTTCATCGGTTTGACCTGTCGTAGTGAATCAAAGTGTGTGTGCCAATCAAAGTGAGTGAGAACCATGTGTGTGAGAACCATGTGTGAATCAAAGTGTGTGTCATCAAAGTGTGAATCAAAGTCAATGTTTCCAATAATTGATCTTTTGCAAAAAATTCCTTACCTGCCCACAAATCCGCAGAAGGTGGTGCCCCAAGGATGGAACTTGGAACATTCAATTCTTTTCCAACCTTGAATACTTCTGATTTGTGTAAATCAGCAATTAATTGAACATCAGCAACACCATCACCTGCCTTACAAAAGTAATACAAATAACCATCTTCATCATAATTACCAGTTCCTAATACAATACATGGATATCCAGATTGACTCAATAATTGAGCTGAAAAGAATCCAACAGGTGTTCTCATATAGGATTTGAGTTGTCCACTACTGAAATCTCCACTCTTAATTCCCATCGCTTGTTCAGTACGTTCTTGAATGAGAGTATGAATATCACTTTGATCGACAGTGACAATATGAACAGATCGATCCATATGGATCTGACCACCACCACCACCAGCGTACACTTGTTCAAGTTCCAATGCTCGTTTCCAAATCTTTTCAGTCGATTTGATGGGTTGAGCAATTCCATAGACTTTTCTGATTGGTGAATTGGGGTGTTGCATGGCTCTCTATGTGTGTTTGGGGTGATGTGTGGGGGTGTCAAATGTATTCACCATTCATTAATGGATAACAACAACATGATGAGAACTAGGTATAGGTTGAACATTACTTACCACTGCCAAAGCAAAGGTGACAGCACTATCAATACCTCCCGAAATTGATACCACACAAGCTGTGTGATGGTATGAAATGTGGTTCATTGTGGATCATTGCCATTATTATACAGAGAGAGAGTTATACACGTGATTCCACACAGTATCCATTGACCATGACCATCGTGATCCAAAAATAGAGAGTCATGTGTTGTTGTTGTTGTTGTTGTTGTTGAGTGTAGGTAACACAATTGTGGTCGACACCACAGCGAGTGTGTGTGTGTGTGTGTTTGAAACACGACTAGTCGTTTTCTCTGAAATAAACACAAACCTTTCAATCCACATTTTCTCATATATCCATTGAACATTTCAGTTTTCTTTTCAATCCATTCCGATGCATTGAATGCTCTTTCTTCTCTTACTTTCTGGAGAGCTTGTTTTAATTCATCGTGTAATACAGCAACTTGTTTCATCATTTTTGAAAGATATCTATTGTGAATATATATACGATGGGATGATGATCATCAAATGTGTGTCTGTCTGTATGGGTGTGGTGATTGGATGATGACAATCTTTACAAGTGTCAAGGATCGCGTTGCCCAAATGTTATATATTTTTTTTTGAGATGATGAACTTGTGAATTTCCACTTTCTCAGAGAACGCGCAAGAGAAAATCAAATTCTCAGAACCGAAATTGCACTAATAACTGGCACAATATTCACACGTAATTTGTGTTGCACAAATGCTGATCGATTAGTATGTCATGTCATTCACCTCTCAAATTAGAGGCATTTATTCCAATACCTCAACGAGTGTGTGTTTGTTGTGAAAAGATTAATTGTTGTTGTGAATTAGCTTTCTTTCTAATTTGATATAAACATCCAATAATGAGTGCTTTTTGTTTCTCATCTTTCAAATCATGATAAGTGAAGAGTGATTCTTCTCTGATATTCAAATGTGTTTTACATGCTTTTAAAAATTGTTCGATATTATTGGATTCTTTCCAGAGAGATTTAGAAGGTTGTTGTCTTGTGAATGTCGTACAAGTGGTGGTGGTGGTGGTGGTCATACTGTTGGTGGTGGTGTTATTATTATGACCAGTAGTAGTAGTAGAAGCAGTAGTAGAAGTAGCACCAGAACCACCACCAACACCACCACTTGTCGTCGTGCTACTCTCATTGTTACCAATGCCACCAACACGACCACCAACATGACCACCACCACTTGTTGTTGTCGTGACCACCTCTGAAGATAATACTTTCACATGAAATAATATATCCATGAGAATACACAATATAATACCATTCTTTAAATTTTGATAAAAAGAAATGGAAGGATTGAATGGTATTTTAGTGATGGATTCAATCCATTTCTGTAATTCATTTTCTGCATCTCTAAAATCACTTTCATAAATTCCAGCAATTTCTACATCAGTAATATTTTGATAATTCATAGTAGTAGTAGTAGTAGTAGGAGTATTACTAGTAGTAGGAGTGTTGGTTAATGATGATGAATGCATCATGACACGTGGAGTACTATTACTACTATTACTTCGATTCATCATCATTGAAGATTGATTGGTATGGATCAGAGATGAGAAATGTTTTGATTTACTGCGTGGAGTGGTGGTGGTGGTGGTGGTGGTGGTGGTGGTTTGAGAATTTGTGGTGTTGATGTTGTTGGTGATGGAACCAGTAATAGTACTACTACTACTACTACTACTATTACTACTACTACTCGATGAACTAGTTGCAAGAGTAGTAGTAGTATTAGTATCAGGAGCAGTTGTTGTTGTTGTTGTCAATGATGATGATGATGATTTACAAGATAGGTCAGCAACAACACTTTCCTTTTGCATCATCATGGAAGAACTCTTGGGAGGTTCATGTGGATCCATGATGATCATCATATTTGTACGATCATTCGTGTGTGTCGACACATCATCATCATCATCATGAGGGGATGTTGAGGTTGTTACCAATGATGATGATGATTGTGAATGACAAGTTGTTGTCAGATCAGTACTACTATTACCACTACTTGTTGTTGATGGTAGAAGTGATAATGTTGGTGTATTGACTTGTTCCGATAATCTATTTTGTAATTCTTCAATGAGTTGATTCTTTGCTTTCAACATGTTAATAAAATATTCTTTTTGTTTCTCAATATCATGTGACAATTTTTGTATCAATAATAAAATGTTATCAAAATCATCCATATTGCTACTATTATTTAATATTTGATTGGTATGCAATAATTGTTTCTTTAACATTTCATTTTCATCTTTTAATTTTTGAATTTCATTTTCAAAGAAAAGAATGGTATTGACATGAGTCAATTGAATTTCCTTGACACAATGTTGAAGAGTTGAATTCATGAGATCCAAATGATGGAGATTGGATGATGGAGAAGATTGTTCATTGGTTGTTGTACTCGTGGTTGTTGTTGTTGTGATTGCAGTAGTAGTGGGAGTAGTGGTGGTTGTTGTTGTGATCGATGGTAATGACATTTCTTTATAAAGGAGAGGATGATGGTTATCGTGGTGTTGGTGACGATGATGAGAGGATGAATGGTCCCATGGGAGCTGTTGGTGTTGTGGAGGGTCATCATTGATCATTTTGACCTGATCAACTTGATCCAAAGAGTTTGACATTTTTTTAAAGGTTCAACCTTTGATTTTTGGAAGTCATCAAACAGAATCATCATCGTCTTGATAGGCATCTATAGAACAATTTAGGAATTGCTTCAATGATTGAACCTCCAAATAATGTTATTATATCCAATTTTCTGTGGACAGCCATGACGTGATTAGAATAATTGTATTTAATAATTGCAAAATTCATCTTGTTCCAAACCTCCAGAGGTAGTACTACTAACCTCTTCATCAATTCTCTCTTCCACATGGAATTTGTTTGGAGAATTGGTTAATGACGTGGGAGATGAGGCAGCATGGTTCAACGCTTTCACCTTATTTAATAGTCCATCAATTTGAGAGAGTACTCGAGTACAGTCTGACTTAAAGTTTTGTGATTTGTCTCTAATGTCTTTTCTCAAATCTTTAGGAATGGTTAATTTCATATTTTCGTGTACCGATTGCAAAATATTGAGTGCCTTGTGGCCATTTTCAAATAATTTCGAAATGTCTTGTTTTTTTGATGGCTTGACATCAGAATCTGAGCTACTCGTACTTGAATCTTTCAAATCTTTAACTGAGAGCCTGGATGAATTCAATTTGCTGTTGGATAGGGTTGACAATGGTAGACGTGATAAGGATGAAGTGGTTTTCGGAGAGATCACACTCACTTTCTTCTTAAACGAGGAAGAAGAAGAATAGGAATGTTCTTCCCCTTCGCTTGAACTAGTTGCAGAACTAAATTCATCATATAAATTTCGATTGGCTTTCTTTGAGAAGGAACTTTTAAGTGGCAATGAAGGTTGTTGAGAGGATGATGAGTGTTGTACAACAAAGTGAGTTTCAGAAGGAACAATGGACTGTTGATGATGATGACTAGGAGAAGTTTTGAGGGTGGCTGTAGTGGTGGATGGTGCTTTCAAATGAGTGGTGACACTAGGAATAGTCCTGGAGGACAGTTTATGAGGTGAAGAGTAGGTGGTGGTGGTGGTGGTGGTGACTGGCGATGTGGTTGAAAGTACGGCACTTGAGGTTAATCGATGGTTCGGAGATAAGTTGGTAATTTTACTTCTTGATCCGGAACGTACTGGTGATGAAACATCTAACTTGTTCTTCTTGGTTGATTTCAGCACAAGTGAAGTGTTGATGTTTTCCTCAATGGCGGAATCGATGGATTTCAGCAACTCATTCAAATTGAGGTCTGGTTGAGCAATATTGAGCTTGGAGTTCTTTCGTATTTGACTGGTCGTCATGATGAGTTCGGAATGGGAGTGCTGCGTGTGTTTGTTTCAATGATTGATGATGAAAGGTCTGAATACCCTTAAAGCCTTTTTTTTAAATTCTGTAGTGTAACGGCCATAACGACTACTTTTGGCGTGACGGTAAATTTTTTAATGACCTCTCTATCAATTAGTTGTAATTTTATTCAAATAATTATTCAAATTACTTTGATCATTCAATTTTATTCAAATAATGATTATATACTACTTTGATTATTCGGATGGAGGAGAAGTGAATGGAGGTTTTTGAAGAATAAACAAAGGATATCCAAAACCAATTTCATCCACATGAATAGACTTGTAAGACCAGTCCAATAAATTAGTTTCACCATCTTCTTTCTTTGGATTGAGGAACTATCAATGTAGATGCAAGAGTTGAAACATCATTTATGAATCAAAACATGAAAGCGAATAGAAATGTTGTGAGCACCAATATATAAATTCAAATCATTGTCAAGAAAAAATTGAATATATAAATCATTGTCAAGAAAAATTGAATTAAAATCATTGAATTGGAATGATCATTCACACCGATTTGGTACACTCCTCAACACGATCACTTACAATTTTGCGAAAATGAGGTTGAGAAAAACTAATTTGTAAAAATCTTCCACTCGGTTTTAAAACTCGATATACTTCACAACACATTTTCCTGGTCTGTTCTCGAACATGTGGTTCAGGATCCCATGGATCTCCAGCATCTACTACTAATGCATCCATTGTACCTTTATCTAATACAATATCAAAAGTACAATCTGCAAAGCCTTTCATATCCATCATATCCATTTCAATCCATTCCATATTTGGATGTTTTAATTTCATCTTTTCAATCACAGTATGACTATAATCCATATTAGTAATGGAATGATATCCATCCTTGTACATATCTTCACTCAATGTACTATTACCACATCCGACAATTAATATTTTGACTTGTTGTTTTGAATGATGAGCAGTGAGATAAGGCTCTAAATAGGGTTTCCATTGTTGAAATGTTCCTAACCAATCGTAATGGTCTTCTTTTTCAAATCGTTGATCCCAATACCATTTATGTTTGTAGTCGTGAGTATTTTCAGGTTCAAAGTTTTGATCCGATGATGATGACGCAGATCCAGGAATTTGGCTCATTTTTTTTTCGTATCCAAGATCAGGATGGAAGAATTCACCGACGAAGGAAGACACGACAACTTTGTTTCGTTCAAAAAAAAATGTCTCCCTCTGCAACTATCTTCAACAAAAATCTAGAGCACGAAAAAGTCAAACCCTCAAATGCCTATCGGAATACAGTCACCTCACGAGTTCTTTCCATTAAATTTGATAAACAATCACGTGAAGATTATATTAAAAATTTAAAGAAAAGAAAAGACATTAATCGACTCATTGGAAGAGAGCAACAAAAACGACATGAAGAAAAATTAAAAAAAGAAAGAAAATTAGAAAAGAGATTACGAGATGAAGAAATGTTGAGATCTCTCAATATAGATCCTGATCAATTTAAAGGAAAGAATAAAAGAAATGAATATGAACAATTATTAAAGAAACAAAAAAAGAAAGAAGAAGAAGAAGAAGGATTTGCATGGAGTCATTCGAAATTTGTGGTTGATTTAGATGAATTAAAACATAATCAAGATGAAAAGAAATTGATTGAAGAGAATTCAACAAGTGATAAAGAAGAAGATGATAAAGAAGAAGAATATGATAGTGAAGAAGAATCTGATGATGAAAATAGTAATGATGAAGAAGAGAATACTTATTCTGCAAAATCTAAAAGTTATTCTCTAAAAAAAGAGAATGAAACATCAAATCAAGACAATGACTCTGAATTCGATCACAACAGTGTTACAGTTTCTGTTCAACCATTTAATTTCAATTCAGGTAATTTTGATAGTGACTCCACAAGTGAAGAGGATTCTGATGATGATCATGATGATGAACAAGATGCTCAACAACAACCAGTCAAATCCATTCGTCAACAAATTCTTTCTCTCAAACCTCATGAGCTTAATAAGAAAATTATTGAAATGCAAAGAGAACGGAAAAAAGAAAAGAAAAAGAAAACTCCTGCAAAACTGAAATCAGAGTTGAAAAAGAAAAAGAAAATTATGAAAGAAAAGAGAGAAAAGAAGGTATTGAAAAGAAAGAGAAAATAAAGAACATGTTTGAGTGGAGAATGAGATCATTCCAATGAACCTTATGTTCAAGTGGGAAAGTACTATATTAGTATACTAACTATTATTATTTTAAAACTATTATACTACTTGAATTAGATAATTAAATACTAATTATTTTAATACTACTCCTACAATAATAATTGCATTATATTTTAATACTATTATTGCAAGTTTCCTGAGACTGGTTTGGCAGTGTATGGCTCTTCTAAATATTTCACCTCTTCCAATGTCAATTCAATATGAATAGCTGCCACATTGAGTTCAATATTCTCAATGGTACTTGATCCAATCACAGGTGATGAAACAAAATCTTTTTTCAACATCCAAGCAAGAGAGAGTTGTGCTGGAGTGCAATTCTTCTTTTTGGACAATTCTGAAACTCTTTTCAATATCTCTCGATCACTCTCCAACAAATTGGCTTGAAAAGTCTTGACAAAAAAATCAGTAGTGGATCGTGTGGTTGAAGTTTTGGGGTTGTCATCACTTTGACCATTTTCATTGCCAACAGCACCACCATTCACACTTCTCATTCCACCTTCAGCATAATCATGAGCTCTTGCTAATATTCCTCTCGCAAGAGGAGACCATGGAGTCATAGTCACTCCAAGATCCTTACACAATGGAATCATATCACGTTCTTCTTCACGATACAACAGATTGTAGAGATTTTGCATGGAGATGAATTTAGTAAATCCTCTCTTATCAGCAATGTGTTGAGCCTTTGCAAATTGCCAAGCCCACATGGAAGAAGCGCCAATGTAACGGACTTTACCTGATTTTACTAAATCATGTAAGGCTTCCATGGTTTCCTCAATAGGAGTATTGTTGTCCCATCGATGAATAATGTACAAATCAATGTCTTTACCAATAAATTTGGTGGTAGAGAGTTGTCGTAGTTGTGGTTGAAGGATTGAGAGGAGACCATCGTTGAATCTGAAACACTTGTGAAAAATAAACTTACAATCTGTGCCCAACCTTTGTAAAGACTCTTCAACAGCATGCATAATGTGCTTTCTTGATAATCCAAAGGTATTTGGAACTAGTTGATCTCTTGGGAGTTGAATCATAAATTTTTGTTGATCCGACTTGTCAACTGGAGCAAATACTTTGGTAGCAATGACCACTTGTTCTCTTGGGATTTGGTTCAATTTGAGGAATTTGCCTAAAATTCTCTCACTCTCTCCATTACTGTATGTGTTGGCAGTATCAAAAAAGTTAATTCCCAATTCATAGGCTCTTTTCAACATCTTTAAAGATTCATCTTCATCAAGAACCCATGGTTGCCATTTGGAAGATCCAAAGGTCATACATCCAAAACACAATGGTGAAACTTTTAATCCAGTATTACCAAATCGAACATATTTGGAGAAAGGAATTTTGATTGGAGTGGAAGTGGCAGAATCAGAGGAAGACATTTTCTGTGTGAAAGGGAAGACAAACGAGTGAGTAAAGTTGAATGTTTTTTATTTCCTAATATTCGTATCTTTTATGTGTTTTAGAAAAGACCGGCGGGATTTGAGCACATTAAAAAAATGCTGCGGTGCGCATCATTAATTAACACCACTACTCCTTATTAATTATGAGACATCATTAATTAATTGTGAGACAGCAGATTTCTACCAAAAGTTATGAGAATCACTTATCTGTTTTTCACAATTCTCTTTCAGCACCACTCCTTTTTTAAATAAATTAAGATTGTTTCAATTTGCCAAAGTGATGGATTTTGATCAAATGACTCGAAGGTTATTTTCAAAAAAAGAACTATTACTTTAGATAAGACCTATCAAAAGAAAGGGGATGTGACTTCAGCAAGTGTTGCCTCCAATACTCATTCTAAATCCTTCTTTCTGTAATTATTGATGATTTACACAACATATTCAATTAGAAATACTTTTCAACCTTTATTTTCAATTCATTTGTTACTCGTATAATCTGTGTTTTTGAACTATCTTTGTTAATAAACCTTTCATATTTTTAATGATAGTCCACATTTCAATTTGAATAAAATTTATATGATATAAAGAAACAATCATCTTTATCGCTTAATAATAGATATCTTGTTTTAAATATTATAGGTATAATATTTACAATATGTATTTAAGCACGTTGAAAGTAGTAGCACGATTTGTAGGTTCATGTTATTATAACAATAAAAAAGGCTTTTGTAGTATTCAAGGTGATTATAATCGTTGCTTCTTAATCTATCAGTACACAGATGTCTGATATTCTTGGTTACAAATTCTATAAGCTGTATAGTAAATACGAATCGTATGATAATATTATATGTTAAATATGTTTAGTAATCAAGATATTGGATTAATAAATATATTTTCAGTGTAATGTATGGTATTAGTTTTTGATATAAAAATATTCTAATTATATCATGATAGATAACCGCACATGAAACAGATATTAATTCTGGAACAATAATATTTTTGATTTTGTTGAACAAATAGGTGATAATCTCAAATGCAAGAACAAATTTTGAAATTATCTTGAGTGATATTTGTCGCATGGTCAATTTGTTAATTTTACTGAACCTTTATTGAGTGTCCATAGAGTCTAATCAAATCCAGCAGCAAAGTGTTTGGTAGTTTCAAAAAAGTACAAATTCTTCTCAATGGTTTGATTTCGTTTCCACTCACTGTAAATACCAAACAAGGATACATAAAGAGCCACGATGGTAGATTTGACATAGGTCAACCAAAAGAGTCTCATTTCAAAGTTCAATCGACTGGCAAAGGATGACACACGTTGAGAGAATTCTTTCATTTTAGATTCTGAATTCAAAGAATCAGATTCACTACCATGTTTGATTTTACATCCTTTTGCAGCTGCTCTTGCCATAATTGCAAATCGATTCACTTTAGCACCTAAATCTCTATTCAATGCTCTCAAAATATTATCTGTTCTCAAAATAAATACCATTTCATCAGGCATATTTCTATAAATATTTACAAAATCATCTTTTTGGACTTTCATGGCTTCAAAAAACTCTTCCCAATCTTTTTCTGTCAATTGTTTTTCTTTTTGAGTTGATACCACAGAATCAAAGCCTTGCATCATGATGATTGAAGCATACAATTTGTAATCAGAAATTCCAAGTAATTTACAATACTTTTTCATGTGTCGAATATCTCCTAAAATGATACTCATCCAAAAATTGGCATAGGCAATTCTAAAATCATCACCAATGGATTTGTAGAGACCATGATCGAGAATGACAATTTGAGGTTCACGTGGATTCTTTAATAGTTGATTTGAAGTTGTTGAATATAGTTGATTTGAATATATATAGTTGTTGAATAGATTATATTTAAAATGAATATAAAACATGAGTAAAAAACATGACAGAAAATAAATTATATATATAGAAATAATAATAAAACATGATGCACACACTCACCTTTGGATTTCTTCTCACCATAATATTCGATGGATGTGGATCACAATGAATAAATCCTTGTACCATAATTTGATCAGCAAATGATGAAAGAATTCTCTTTGAAATATCACTCTCAGAGAAACCCATCTTTCGAATTGCTTCAACATTATCAGCCTTGACAGCATTTTCAATAAATTCCATAGTCAATACACGTGATGAAGTAAACTCTGAATATACTTTTGGAATATAAACATCTCTTCGTTTTCTCATATTCTTTGCTGCTTTTTTAGCATTATTAGCTTCATGTAAGAAATTTAATTCTGTAAATAGACCTTCTCTTAATTCATCATTGAATTTGTTATTGAGTGTAACTAGAGCATCAATATTCTCTGCATCATCTTGCATGTAATAGAGTTTAATACAAAATTTGTTAGCAATGTCGTTGGTATCCATATCATTATGGAAATATCTTCTTAAATAGGGCATTTGAATTTTTACAGCGACTAATTGACCATCTTTGGTACGAGCGCGATGGACTGTGGTGAATATGCGAGTGGTAATGAGTAGATGCGAGTGTGGTAGTGATGATGATGATGATGCGAGTGGAAATGAGTTTTTGAGATTAAGGAGATTCATAGAGTGTTGTTGTCGTTGTTCTTGTTCTTTATACGATCGAAGAATAAATGACTTACCTTGTGCAATCGATGCAGCTGCAATGGGTTCTTTTTCAAATTCAGAGAATAATTCTTCTAAATGTTTTCCAAAGTCTTGATAAATCACTTTACGAACTTCATCGTAACTAATCTTGGGAGCTGTGTGTGTTGAATATCATAATGAGTGTGGATATGATAATATGATGAGTGTGTTAAATATTATTGTAATGAATATCCATCCATTCAGTATACTGAAATTTAGACTCACCTTGATCTCTCATAACACTCATCACTTCAACATATTCATCTGGAATCCATCCTCCCAAGGATGCAAAGAATTGACCATACTAGAGAATATTTTCATCATCAATAATAGCATTCCAATAATATTCAATATGATATTCAATAATATTCAATGATGATATTCAATAATCATAGCATTCCAATAATAATATTCAACCAATGTATACAATATTCAATAATAAATATTCAATTATTCAATAATAATAATATTCAATAATAAATATTCAACATGATTCACTCACCTTAATATAAATTCCCTTAAATGAACAAAATAAATTCTTCAATCGAATAGCATTCAATCGATGATGAGCTGATTTCAATTCTTTAAAACTCTCAGAATTCTTATCTGGTTTCTCTCTAAACCAATAAGCTGGATTTTTTGGAGAAGTATCCAAAACAAGAAAGTAATCAGCTGCAATGACAAATAAGGTATAAAATGCCCTAATAAATCTCTCTGCACTTTCCATCTTGTACATCCATTGAATAAATGGTTCATAATAAAAGAGAGTATGTTCTTCAGGATCATCCAATTTGAGTGTATAGAATAATTCTAAACAACCTTTCATGAGAGCATAGATGGAAAAGAGAGTAACAGCAAGACCTAAAGGAACATAGAGAAGAATTTTGAAAAGTTTTTTTAAAAGTGACATGAATAGACGTGTGGAGGAGAGGAGGAATTGTTTCCAAGTCTTTGTGTGGTCAGCAGGAGCAGAAGGAGCATTCCCATCATTGCCAGCAGGAGCAGCATTCTCAGTAGCATCTTTGAGAAGACTCTGATTGTTGCTGCTGAGAGTGGAAAATGTTCGGTGATGATGATGATGGTGGTGCTGGTGATCGGACTTGTTGGATCGATTCCAACAAGATGAATTGAATATTGTTCGACTTTGAGTGGATGAACATGATGATGAGTGGTTGGAGAACCAATGATGATGATGATTTAAAGAATAATGACAATTGTCATCGATGGTCAGTAATGATGATGATGATGAGGAGGAGGAGGAGGATGGAGAATCTCGAGCTTGTTGGTAGTGATCATGTTGTTGATGGTTGAATTTCAATGATGATGGTGTTGTTGAGAAAAGTTGACTTCGATACTTGCTGTTGGTGGTGGTGGTGGTGGTGGTAGTACGTGTTGTTGCAATCATCACAGTACTACTACTACTACTACTGAGTTTGTGTGATGATTTTGAGAGTGTTTTCCACATGATGATGATGATTTCTCACTATTCTCTCTATTTTTTGATTCGCTGAAAACGGTGGCTTGTTTTGGTTGTGGTGACTCGTGTGTGATGTACGACGACTGACCAGAACACCACCACCACCATCACCACCATCACTGTCAGCAGCAAGCATCACTCTCGTGTACACACGCAGGTTGTTGAATTGCTGAGAATAGGAAGGTTCAATAATGATGAATGATGACGTGAGAGAATAGGAAGAATCCTCATCATCTTTTCAATACTATTTACTGTTCATCAACAATACTATTCAATACTATTCATTGTTCATTGCTTCTTCTTTAATAATAGACATTCACACTCACATGATAGTCATCCACCACGACAGTATTATTGGTAGTGCTGCTGGTGTTAGTGGTGTTGGTGGTAGTGCTGCTGCTCACACGACGTCGAGGATAATCTCCAACATTGGAATTCCAATGTGCTCCATTCAAAGACAATCCACCACCACCACCATTCGAATGACTACTACTACTATGAATGGCATTTGTCTTGTTGTTTTCTTCTCTTGAGAGGATAATTCTCTTTGGTAGAGTCATTCCACTCGTAATGACACCCAATTCACTCTTGACCAATGACAATTGTTTCAATTCACGAACATGTTCATTCAATCTTGATTGAATCTCTTGAACTAGATCCAAACATTCCTTTTTTCGTAGAAAATCACCAAAATGGGAATGAATTAATACTTGAGTCCATACCACACAGGCTTCAATAGTGGTGGTGGTGGTATTGCCAGTGGTGGTACTGGTGGTGGATGGAGTGTACTTTTTTGAATCACAATGATCTTCCAATACACCACATTCTCTTCCACTCAATATTCTCAAAATCATTTCAATAATATCAAATGATAATACCTTCATGTGTTTCATCATGCTCAATACTTGTACATTTCTATATTGAGTATTGAGTACTAATTGAATACCATATTCATACTTGTCATTTCCATAAACATTCAAATAGGATATTATTTGTTCATCATTTAACATGTTCAATTGCAATATTAAATCTAAACATGGTCTATGAGATGGAGTATAATTCTCTAACAAGAATTGAATCAAGGAATTCATGATGGAAATGTTTGATTTTTGAATTGGAATAGAATTAGAAAGTAAATAAAAGAGTGCATCTAAGAGTGAAGAAGTGCTAGTGCCAGTGTTGTTGTTGTTGTTCATAGTAGTCATACTAGCACTAGTAGTAGTAGTACCACTACTGAAGAAAGGACTAGTACTATTATTCATCAATTGTTGATAAATATATTCCAACAAAATATGATAATATTCAATTAATGGCAATTGTTTGATACATTCACACAAGGATTGATTTGAAATGAGTCTCAGCAAGTTATTCTTTTTCATTATCATTTCTTGTTCTACTTGATTCCATTGAGTGGAGTCATGAATGGAATAAACAAATCCGGAATGTTCTTGTTTTGGTATTTCAATAAATTGATTTGTTAAATGTCTATTTCTTAATTGTATAGGTTTAGTAAATGGAATGGGTGTGAATTTGAATAATTTAAATAGACCTTGTGAGGTTGCTAGATATGGATGTTGATATGAGAGAATCATTGAATCTTGTTGAGTCAAGATTGAATATTTCATCACACTATTAAAGGTAGAATTCCAAATTTGTATATAATAATTGGAATGATCATCATGCATGGATACCACATAATAGATTTCAGTGTTGTGAGTCATTAAAGTATTATTCATCACATCATTGTTGGATGGATGATTATTGACATGTCCATATTCAAATATTGAAATATTCTTAAATTCCTTCTTGAATGTAACAAGTGGTGAGTGTATATTTTGAATATAATTCAATGAATAGAGAGTATTACTACTTGTATCTAAATATAGCAATGTTTGAGAATTACTATATTTGTATTCTATGGTATCAAGAGATGAGGAATATTTCAAAATATACTTCTTTAAAGAAATGGTCAATGATGTTCCTTTCAATGTATGCAACACATGATCTTGATTGATATCAATATATTCATTTTGAAATTGAATCGTCGATGATTTTGAAATTTTCATCTTGTTTGGAATTTTCACAAGAGAAAAAGAATCTTTTTTCAAATCTTGTGGAGTGAAAGTAAGAGTATAGAATTCATCACTCGAACCACTATTTCTCTTACAAAGAGTCAGAATATATTCAGAATCATGTTGTTGAGAGGATTTTAAATCAATAATTTCATCCACACTTTCCAAGAGTTTGAATTTACTATCAATGTTGTGTGTGGTTGAAAAGATACATTTGAGAGGTGTAGAATTTGTTAAAGTAGTAGTAGTATCAGGTGTGGAATTGGAATTTGTTAAAGTAGTACCAGTGGTAGAGGTGGTGGTGGTGGTAGGATTGGTGGTGAGAGATTGTCGAAGGTCTTCTTCATTCATTGGGTTCCGATGAGAAGAAGAAGAACCATCATGATGGTTGTTCTCAATGGTGAGTGTTGAAACTTGATTGTTGTTTTTGGATGGTGTTTGAGTCATGGTCTTGTTGTTGGATGATGGAGAGTTCGGAAGAGATTGGCTCTTCTTTTGTTTGGGAGTGCTTGGCATTGGGATGACAACGATCTGTGTGATGATAAAATTTTTTTCAAAACTTTTTTTGAATTTGACAATTTTCTCTGTTGTGTTGTTTTGTTTGTATTTCAATGGAGATGTGTTAGAGTATAAAGATCAACAGTGTTGGACGGAGTGGCATATTAAAATAAAAATCACAATTAATAATTTATTTAAGAATCAAGATTGTCCATTATCATAATAAATTTCATCTGAACTTGTCAAAAATTCGCTAAAAGAAGGACAAGTTTTTTCATCAATTGATAACATCAAATCCATTGGGATTTAAAGAATAATGAGCACCTCCATTTCTCTCCTCCTAGATCGTGTCTTAAAGATGAATTAGCATCAATGCGATCAATTAAGGAATTGAATTATGGCATTAAGGATGTGGTTTCTTGTTGTCAATGGATTGAGATTGGAGAATTTGAGTTGTCTCAGTTCCTTTCATGTATTCATCCTTCTCACCACCATCACTAGCAACCACAGGAACAATGCGATTGTTGAAGTGATGATGCTGATTTGAAGGTGTAGAAGAAGGAGTGAACGTGTTTTCACCACCACCACCACCACCACTGATACCACCTTCAGCAGCATTCTCTTGATTTTCACCAGTGTGGTTGTTTCCAAATTGCTCTTTGGACCATGAAGGCTCCTTTTCGAGATTTCTTAACAAGAGTGAGAAGGATCTTTTTTGAATTCTCTCAGATCTCACATCAAAGAGTCTCACCTTTTGTTGCAATCCTTTGAGTCTAAATTCACCAAGATCAATAAAGAGAAATCTCTGTCTTGCAATATATCTTTTCCTTGTTGTTGTTGTAAAAGTATTCATTGCTGTGGTGGTCGTACTAGTCATGACTGTGAGGGTCGTATTAGAGGAATTGGAACATGTACTGCCTTGTCGCACCATTCGATGAGGTGGTGGATGAGGAGAAGGAGGAACATTTAAGGTCGCTGTCGCAGAAGAGGAAGATTGTTCTTGAGATTGTCGATGATGAAGTGGTGTCATGTGTGCTGCTGTTGCTGCACCTCCTCCTGTGGTATCGGACCATGTATCATTGACAAAACATCGATTACGAATCTCTTCTACATAACTCTGCTCATTATGACTGTGGAATTTCACGTCCTTGACAATAAAGGTTCCCAATTTCTTCCACAATTCCAAAAACATGTCTTCAGAGATTAATATTTGACCTCCAAAAGCAGAACTTTCAATTCGAGAGGCAGTATTCACAACAGTTCCAAAGTAATCAGGACGTTTCATTGTCTTATCAAATACTCGATCAGCTGTTCCAAAATGAAGTCCAATTCGAACACGAAGACCATTCCATACTTTTTGTTGAGTTTCAGAGTCCCATTCAGTTCGACAATCCCACAGTTGAGTGAGACTGGAGGGCCATTCTGCATCCAATAAGGCATGTTGAACAGCGATGGACCAATCCAAGGCATCGACGACATCTGAAAAAGCAACATAAAAACTATCTCCATTGGTTTTCTATGATGATGTGTTTCAATGTTTAAAATGGAATGGTTATATTTGTGAGGAATGGTTATGTTTATGTTGAAAGGTTGTGATTCAACAAAGGAACATATACATGAGGAGGAAAATAAAGAGAAAGTTAGTGATATTCAAAGATCAACATCATTGAGAGATTAAAAAACTATATCTACTTACCACTTCATAACCTCGATAGGCTTCCAATGCATTTCGCATCACCGTGTTGTGAATCCTTAATGCTTCTCTCATTCCTTTTTCATTCTTCTCCCAAAGCACTGTTGAATTTTGAACATCTGTGAAACCGATTGCCACTGGTCCAGATTTGGGAGCATATTTGACATGACTCAATCTTGAACCACATCGATAATACAGGAATATGCAAAAAGCAGCACTGCAAATTAAGTTAAGGATCACTCCAATGGCAATACCTGCAATTTGACCTTTGGTGAGAAGAGGATAAACAATTTGAACACCACAGGAGGATGGACTGAATGAAAATTCAAAATTTTGAACATCTTTAAAAGTCAACACACGAGACACACCAGTGTTGTTTGATGGTAGTGTTGAGGATGATTTTGATGTTCTTAGAGACACTTGTGTGAGAAGAATCTTTCTTGGACCTTGATTACAATTACAATAGTCTCCTTTTTGAACAGTGGTGGGTGTTGTTGCGACATTACATTCAGACAAGTTGTTGAGAGTGGATAAAGTGGAAAAGGGAATTCTATTGTCTCTAAGGAGGGATGATGGTTGGTCTTTCTTATTGGAACACTCCAATCCAAATGGACCAACATCCAACAATCCCATTAAATTAAATATACTATTACTAAAAACAGTATTCAATAAATCACTTCGTGTTGCTTTGGTTGTTAATTTCTCTTGGTAAATTCTACCCAATAAAGTTTCAATAAAATAACCTGTCAAATATCCTTCAACAGTGTGGTGATTAGGTTCAGACAATTTATAAGAATCAAGAAAGGTTTTCATGAATTGTTGAATGGAACTCAATGGTATCGAATCACATTGATTTTCAATCGATGGACCATAAGTGAGAGTTGGAACATGAATGTTGTTGTGGTTCACCTTGTCCCATGAATTCAATAACCATTGTTGTAGTGTTGGTGAATAGGAACTTGATAAAATACCAATTTGAAATCTCACCGAAGAGAGCCCAACCGTTGTCGACAATGCAGAAGAGAGGTATTGTAAGGCATTGAAAATCTCAGTGTCATTTCCAAAAAGAATGATCGAGGGATATGATGAAAGTGAGGAAAGAGAATAATATTCTTGAAGAGAATTCTGATAAGAGAATTGATGAACATTCTCCAATTCATTGGCTTCACAATATTGACTAATGAAGGGAATGACATTTCTTGTCCATTCCTCTCGTTGTGGATAAACAATGGCAAGTGGAGATCCAATGACTTGTTTGAAATAACCAATCATGGCTGCTGTTTCATCTAAAATAGATGGTCTCAAACGAATCAAATATTTGGAATACAATTGTCTCAACTGCATGCTTTGTGAAAGAGTGAACATGGGAACATTGTAATGTGCTAATAATTGAGTGAGATTTGAGTAAAAATCCAATGATTCAGGAAAGATGGTTCCAATAAAGGCAAATACACCTTGTTTTTCGATCATTGCTTTCACTTTCCTAAGGATGGAGTATTTGCCTTGATCTCTCGTAGAGTAGTATTCAGTATGGAAACGAATGTATTGTTTAGTGCTAGATTTGTTATTGTAGAGTTGAAAATAATAGTTCAAACCTTTCATATATTCATCCTTTGATTCTGTTAATTCATCATTTCTCACCTCTGAAAGCAATGAAAGAATATGATCATATTCAGACAACTCTTCCTCAAATGGGATCAAACGAACCATAATGATTGGTTGTTGAATTTCAGAGAGAGAAATGGATGGAATTGTGAGAGTGGTTGTGGTTAGAGTGGTTGTAAGAGTGGTTGTTGTTGATGGAGTTGTTGTTGACAAAGTTGATCGTTGAGTGTTTCTTGTGTGTTGATAATCGAATAAGGCACACTTGGAGGAATCAAATGTTTTGACAAACGTCTCTTCAAAGCGACCACTGGAACTGTTGAAGGAATATAAAAAATTTTCACGATAACCCAAATTACAAGAACCCTCTCGAAACATTCCAAACATTACATCATTACCACTTGAAAAACTACCTAAGGAATAAATAGAATTTAAAAGATCGAGTGATGAAAATGAATTTGTTTTGGAATTGGTATCTATCAAAGTCGACACCATTCGTCCAATAAAATAACCTTCCAATACTTTTTGATGGAACAATTCATCCTCGGTATGGTGTGGAATATTTTCTGGAAGATTTTGAATGGCCATACGAAATTCATTCATGAATAGTTTGGAATTGGAAGTAAAGGACGGTATATGAGAGACATAATGCAGAGAGAATCGATTTTCGTTTTTCATAATGGATTCTAATGACAATTCCTGTTCGACATGATATTCAAATAAGGAATTGATTAAGTATATTCTTAAACCTTTTCGAAACATTGGTTTAGAGTTGTATGTATTCTGAATGGAAGACAATAAGGATTCAATAAGTTTGGATGAATTTCTTAAAGCAATCATTAATACTTGAGGATTTGCATCATCACTGGTTAAACAATTTAAAAGAGAATCCATCTGTTGATTTGATGAAGTATTTGAATAAAGATCAATATTACACTTGCTATCCATAGAACGACCAAAAGAGTGCGTGATTGTCTCAAACATTTGAGAAATTTCAAAAGATATCAAATCCTCTTGACTGTAAATAATACTACATCGACTACTTCCAATTTTCATATTGTAATCGATTAATGTACCTAATTGTTCTAAAACAGAAGTAAAAACATGAATGAGAGGTTTGATAAATCGTGTCCTCAATGAGAGCGAGTTAATGTTCGAAACTCCAATCATGGCAATATTTGAAAATTCAGAAACATTCACAAATGATTGACTATTACTGCTATTACCAGATGGTTGATCGATTAATAATGAGGAAGAATAAGCTACCAATGCCACAGCTTCATGTAATGTCATCAATTCTCGAGTATTGTTTCTCATGGTCTCTGCATTGGTGTGATAGAGCGTTTTAAGAACGATTTGATTTTTTGAATTCTTGTCATTTCTTTGATGGAGGGCAACCAAAATTCCTATTCGTAACAGTTCATCTTGAATGGATCCTATTTCAATCGATTGTCCAATTACAATTGGTTTCACAAGTACAGAATTGACATCTGAAATACATGATCCTGAAGAATACCATGAGAAACTTCTGAAAATATCAAAACTTATATTTCCAGTGTTCATATTGATGGAACTCAAATAAATAATCTTGAGACCTTGATTACAATCGGAGTTGCAGATTCCATTAGTCGTGTTGTTGTTGAAGGTGTTATTTTGAGATTTTTCAAGATAATATTGATACATGTTTAAAGACTGACACCACTTGTATCTTCCAAATTGAATGCCATCAAAGACAAATAATCCACCATTTTTGCTTTCATCTGCATAATCGGATGTAAAATCAAAATAGCTGGATGCAATAAAATTGGAACGAGTTAAATTTTGTCCAACCATGTTTTTGAATACATTGTAAATGAATTTGCCAACCATATATCCTTCTAGCTCAATAAATGTATAGCTTGATCTTATTTGATTTGAATATTGAGAGATGGCTCTTTGATAAGAGCGAACAATTGGGAAAGAAGTGTCCATAGGACTAGGAACTACTTGAGTAATAATGACATTGTCAGTATAGTAGTTGGAACCAAATTGAAGAGAAGGTAAAGGTGTTTTGATTAAATCTTCTGTGAGTGCTGCACTGCCAACAAAGCTCACTGTTAAAAAGATGATACGATCAGCATTTCTATATCCATACGTTTGATTTGAATTATCATCATTAGTGTGATTCAAAAAGGCAATATTCTTGACCAATTTAATAAATTTGGCAAGAGGTGCATAAGTACCAACCAAAACAATTGCCTCTGGATTGCATGACCCTATAGAGTAAAATGCATTCTCGACATTTAAAGTGTTTCTTGTGAAGGTACCACTGGAACAAAGTGGAATTTTCAAGCGATCCACTAAACTTCGTTTGATCCCATTCAATCCACTCAATCCAAAAGCATCATTTTGATAGAGAATAGATATTCTTCGAATGAGCTTGATATTAATCAACCAATCCACCATTGCTGCTGTTTCATCATCATAGGATGATCTCAAGTTAATGACATTGGGATAAAATGGTTTTCGAAGCCATCCCACCCCAGTAAATGATCCAATGAGTGGAATTCCTGTGGAAACGACATCTGGAAAAACAGCCTTAAAGAGAGTGGTATTTCAATAGTGAGATTTTGATCATCAACCAAGTTATATTGAATGGTGATGGTCAACACGTAGATTCAATAGAAAAAATTTGAATAAATCATCAAGTGATTGAGACATTAAAGAATTGAATAACCTCAAGAGAGGCATGATAGGCTATTTGAACTTACTTGAACTGTCGGCGTTCCCACATAACCGATCAAACCAAAGAAAACCTTCTTTTGAATGTCTTCATTCCCTCCAACACTCTGATTGAAGATGGCACTGTTGAGTGATCCTGCTGGAGGTGTCGTATTGAACAGAAAGAAATCTGTGTTGACTTTTGTGTAGGTGGGTTCATAGGCATCGTCCAAAGTCAACAATCGTAATTTTTTACTTCCCCATACACCTCCAAGGTGATTGATTTCCTGAAAAGCGGCTTCAATACCTCTTTTCATTTCAATTCCGAGTCTTATCACCATCATCCATGATCATTTACCATTGGTCAGTCGGTCAATCGTTCATTAGGATTCATTTTGTTCAGTTTCATTCATTCACAAGATTTCATTCATTGGACGACCACAAAGACGTTTTCTCTTTCTCCAAAACAAGAACAATTCCTTCATGGACTTACCTTTGAGAAACACCCGATAAGGCTGCCGATTGAGCAAACCATACCTTTCCCCATATAAATCATTCATAACAATATCATTCAATGAATATATTATAATAGTATATTATAAATCATCATTAGGCATTAAAGCACAACTGCTCATCCATCAGCATCATCAAAAGGCTACTTACCTCATCCTTATCGTTCCAATGATAGGCATCCAGGGAGGGAGCAGAAGGATATATAGGGGTGGATGTGCTGCTTGTCTTTCCCAAGCACTTATTACAGCCAAGAAAACAAATTAAAAGAAATATAATTACAAAAAGGCGATCATTCATCCTGGTGGTTGTAGTAGTGTTTGTAGATCGATGTGGATCACTTTACTAAGAGAGTGTGTCCAATATTTTTAACCTCGCTGGATCGCGCTCCTGTAAAATCTACTTTTGGTAAGTTCTGATGGTTGTGAGTTTTGATGTTGTTATCTTCGCTGATAGGAAAAGGGGCGAACTATGGAAGTTCTTCTCATCATCATTATTGGGAATAATGGATGGAATAACAAAGAGAAAAATAATTTGAGAGGAATGAGCATCGTTTGGGATGTAATGACGGTCATCATGAATTAATGGATCACTCATTCAGTTAAATCAACATCTTTTGCATTGAGAAAACACAATAATTCTCTTTGAAGGGTGAAATTTTATCCGATCTAACAGAATTCCACTTGCGAAGGGAAATAGTGGAGATATCGTTGACTGTCAGTCGTACAAAAAATTACCTCGACAAGATTTCTTTCATCAACACCACGTCTATGGCACGAACAACCCAATCGGCGCGCGGTTGCACACTCGGACGCATTCCAAGACCACCACAATCCCCTCCTAAAACAGACTCCAAATTTCGAAAGCAAGTGATTAAAAACTATCTTCCAAATGAGGGTTCTAACACCGCGCCGACTTCATCCTCCAATAAGAAGAAACAAGACCTCGAAAACACAAAATCTTCTCTTGTACCTACAAACAACGACGACGCTCAAGAAGATGTTAACCAACAGCAGCAACCACCTGCACAGTCGTCAGGAAATGAATTTGACTCTCCACAAAAGAGGTGCCATCTGATGTCGTCTTGAGTGATGATGATGGTGAAACATCTGTTTCTGCGAGCTCTAAAAAATCTGCTGTCAACAACGACGACAACATTAATTGAACCCAGGAGAATCCTTCTTTAGGACAATTACAATTCAGACATTTAAAAAATTATGAATCCTTGTTAGAGAATATAAACTTTTTATTCTACGAGTTAAAAAATAACAGTGTTCAACATCATACCGAGGGTTTGATTGACATTAGATCCCATCAATGCTTCAACACTACTCTCCAAGTGTCTCTTTGGATCTAATTTACCCACATTGGCCAATTGATATTGCTCTCTTGATGTCTTTCCTTCCTCTTGAATCATCTTATTATAAGTTTTAGCCAATTCAACCATACTCTTCAATACTTTTTCAGTCTCTTTCTCGTGTTCATTAAAATCTACTAATTTCAGACCTTCAGTCCAAGTCTTTTTATGGACATGCAATAACATTTCTTGTTCCAATTCATTCTTACGATACGAAATTGGCATTGAATAATAGTGACGATTTAAACCATGAATTAAAGCTTGAATGGTTGGCTTATTCAAATGTCCCTGTACACTTGTGGATTGACGAGGTTCTTGACCAAACATGGCCAGTTGAGGATTAATCGTACGGAATGCATCAATCACAACTTTACCCTTCACAGATTGAATTGGATCCACCACTACTGCAACTGATCGTTTAGTTAAAGATTCAAATGATTGTTGTGTATTAATATCTACACTACTCAACCAACATCCAAACCCAGGGTGAGAGTGATACCATCCAACCACCATTTCAGGTCTACCCGTTTGTTTCAATAATTCTAACATTTTAGTTTGAAATACAGGATCAACAGCTTCTACACTGACACCTGTACCACTTTGAGGCATGGCAAAGACATCGATACAACGAACTGTATATTCATCAATAAATTCTCCAAGCATGAGACCCATGACTTCCATAGGAACTCCCGCTCGACCATGCTTTAACATTTTCAAAAGAGCTAAACTACTGATGGTTACGGTTTCAGCGGTATCGGGAAGAGGCTGATCACCAACATTGGGCATACCACCTCCCATTTGTTGCATTAATAAACGTTGTAAACGTGGATCCATGTTGTTGTTGAAGTTGTTGTTATCGGGTTAATGATTAAAAGCTTGATGACGATCGGTGTATGGATTGATGATGATATTTGATGGTGTTGTTGTACAGGCAGGAAGAGAAAAGTTTGAACAAACCAATTCCTGAATTTTTTTCTTCTATTTTTAAATAAAATTTTCCAGCAGAGACCATCCATCTTGTCCATAAAACTAGAGTTGGAGTCCCAAATCTCTGTTGTTTCATCTGATGATACGAATTGTGTGTGGCTGACAATTATTATGATGTGTATTCGAACAAACACAATTAAATTACTTTCAAGAACATGACGTCATTGCAAAATAGCCTCCGACTCACCCAAAGCGTTTACAAGTTAAAAAATGAGCCAACAAGAACAACAACATCAATCATCATCGCTGTCCACAAGAACAACCAACAGCGAGGAACAACAGACTGCTGCTTCTGTCGTCCCTGAAGACAATGGCCCTCCACCAAAGATTCAAATGAAACTCCACATTCTCCAACTCATCAAACAAAAACAAAATGAGAATGGATTGAAACACTTGGATTATGATTCATACCGAAGATATTGTACCAAGAGATTGCGCAAGCTTCGAACCTTGTTGGATATGAAACACAAAAAGGAGTCTAAATTCACCCAAACCCCAAAGAAAAAAAAGAAGAATTTAAAGTCTACCACGATCAATGCTCCCTCAACCGCAACGAGTGCTGTTGAGTCAACAAGTTCAACCACTCAGCCATCATCATCAACGACTACTCCTGCGACCAACGCTGTTGTTGTTGATGGTATTAAAAACTCTTCTCTCTACTCTCAAAAGAAAATGAGCGAAAAGATTGTTGAACGCTACAAGGAAAAGAGAGAAATTCAAATCAAAAAATTAAGAGAACAAGCATTGAGAAATCTCATTCGTGAAAATGTTGAAAAGCAAATTCATGAACAAAAGGAAAAATTATTGGCTACATTTGTGAAAAAGAAGAAAAAGGAATCTAAAAAGACTGATAAGAATCTTCAATACGATCCTGAATTCCTCAGTGAGCTCTATACTCGCATCAATACTAATCCTACAATTACTGACGAAGAGATTGAAGAACATGTCAAGAAATTGTTGAACTCTGAGACCAACACTACGTCTGATGAAAGCAATTTCATTGTCAAGGGAGATGAAAGATTCCTTCATTTACTTCTTGTTCAAGCGGAGAGAGCGTGGAGTCATTCCAGACATTTGAGAAATGAAATGAAACAATATCCTGATAACTCTCGTATCAAATTCCATCAATTGAATCGATTGAAAAAGGCAGTCAAATGGTCTAAACTCTTATTAGACTATTGTAATGTCTTTTCTGATGATCAACATTCTATTTTAGAAGCTGAAGCCTATCACTCGTACATGTTAGGTTTATATTATTTAGAAAAGGAAGAATGGGCTGAAGCATTGAAATTATTTAAACAATCTCAAACCGTCTATGATCAACTGTATAAGGTATTAACTTCCATTCCACAACAAGTGAGAGAAGAATATAAAAAGCAAGTGAATGAAATTGCTGTGAATTATATGAGATTGTGTGAATACAATTTGAAGAAGATTCAAGGTGGTGATTTGTTACTTCAACAATTAGAATCAAATTCACAACAATTAGATTTGATTCAACTCAAATTGAGTCAAGTCAAAGATGCTGAAGATAAGAGTTTACCATCCACTCAACAAAAAGTGGAATGGGAAGGTGTCATGTCCATTATCATTCCAAATGAAAAGATTAGAGTCAATTTGGCAAATGGTAAAGCACTCTTAGACGCAGACTATAAAACTGTGGAGAGCAAATTGAGAGCCTTTGACAAATTGTTTGGAATTTATAATGATACCATGAGAATGATTCGAGAAGAGATGAAGATTCTCTCGAGTGGTGGTAGTGCCACCACTTCTCAAAAACGTGGCAGTGGACATTCTTCTTCTCACTTCAATAGTAGCTTTACAAGTTTGAATGCCACTGAACAATTGAATCAATTGAGATTCCTTCATAGTTATGTGAGTTATGTGTTAGGAAGCAAGACCATTGAAAGAAATGTCATCATGTTGCAATCATTACTCGATCGATTGGATACCATTCAACAACAAGTACAAAAAGAAAGAATTGAAAAGAAACAAAAAACCAATCCAGTGGATGTCATTCGATTGTTTGATGGTTTACTTCAAAATGTGAATGATCTCTCTGATTTGTTGCAATCAATTAATATTAATCCTGAGAGTGCTAAAAAGTTACAAACAGATTTGGATGAAAAGAAGAATGTATTTACTTCCTATCGATGTTATTATATGGCTCATGCATATGCTTTACAACACAAATGGGCTGAATGTTATTTATTATTAGAAAGATCGGAACAATTATTGAATCAATTAATGTTGAAGAATTCTTCAACTTTTTCTCTTCCAAATCCAAAAGATATTTTATCTGAAATTAGAAAGGCAAAGATTACAGCAAAATCACAACAAATACTCTCCACTAAGAAACGTCAAGGAACTTCAATTTTATCTGCCTATGATAGTGATGATGAAAAGGAGAAGAAACAACAACAACAAGAGGTGATTAAATTGATTAGTGAGAAACCACTCACCTCTCGAATGGATCAATTCATTATTCCTTCCAAGACTGTTGTTGAGAATTTGCAGAGCTATAGTTTGGTTGAATTACCACCCAAGTATCAATTAATTCCTAACAAACCAGTGTTCTTTGATATTGCCAATAGTTTGGTTTGTGAATATCCAACCGACTTTATTGATGAACAAGTGAAGGAATTATCCAAGAGTGTTGTAGTTGTTGTGGAAAAACCACCAGAAGAGCCAAAGAAGAAGGGTTGGTTTGGATTGTGGTGATTTAATAAAGACACACTTCCATCAATGTTTTGGATGTACACAATTTCCTTTCTCAATCTGAGTGTGAAAGAACAGAGAGAGGGATTCATGCGCGTCACAAATGAAGAGGCATTTGGCTACTCTCGCGCGAATAGCATCATCGATCTGTGATTAAACCCACGTTCCCAATACCGCGAAATCAATTTGCAGACAATGAATCAGCAGGTTAGCTGACTTCGACCTTTCTTAATCCTCAGTTCAACACTGCGGATTCTTCCAAGTTTGGTAGGTTGAGCAAAGAGGTAAGTTTGATGCTGTGCTTGAGAGTTGGGTACAACCTGTTTGAGGTAAAGCAGTCAGTCGGGTTTATATACCAAAGACACCAAGTGGTTTCTTTTCAGACAATTATTCCCCCGCGCTATCCAACGAATGCATCTGTTTTAGAGTTGCATCTGAATTTGAGTCAAAGATACCTTGAATGTTGCATGCGGACCATTCAAATGATGAATGATGATTCTCATCTTGTTTCACTCGTTTAAGAAATTAAAAACACCACTGCACCACAATAACAACAAGCTTCACTGAACAAGTTTACCTCCACAATAGTTTGCACAACAAACATGACTACTCGTCTATCATTTTCTGCGTTCATGATTGCTGCAGGTCTACTTGTCTCAACACTCATTGTGGTGTTTGGACATGCTCACAGATTGTGCATGCCAGAAGTGATGACCTTGTTTATGAAACGCACTCTGTTCCAGTCTCTCAAGATTATACGGATGCAATGCTTTTGATGCCGCTCTTCAAAATATCATCACAGATCGTTCATTGATGCATTCTCTCGTTTAACAATATTTCCAGTGCCAGCTTGTGTAAAGGATTTAGTTCCTTTCCAATGAACAATCCATTCGCTAACAGGAAAGCTTTGGTCATGTGCATGGAAATAGGTGTTATTTCACCCTATTATGAAGTAAAACATTTAATTGGCAATACCATTGTCAAGAAGATGAGCTCCTTTTATGGAATGAATTTGAAAACTCAATTCAGATATTATAATACGAGTGAGAAGGGGTTTTTCCAGACCATGAAAGATGCTGTCGATGCAGGTGAATGTGATGTCATAGCCTCCAATGCCACTCCTACCGATGAGAGAAGTGCTGTTGCACATTTTCAATGCAATTATGGAATGGCTTCACAAGTAAGTGTAACCAATATTTGTAACCAATATGTGTTGAATGGTTGAATAGTTGAATAACATGTGTGAGATTAACATGGAATGGTGTTGAATGGTTGCATGATTGAACATTCATGTGATGAATATTAACGTTCACGTACCACACTGTGTCCTAACCTTCTCTATGATGAACACATAAGGCAATTCTTCGAACCGAAAGAGACAGTCACTTCATTCTTCAAACTTTGCAAGATTTGAATCAATCCAACATTATTGTTGGAGCACATAATGGAACCACTTATGAGAAAACAGTGAAAACTCAACTCTCTGCTGCACAATTCTTTCCACTCGGAGAAGGAGATTCACAATATCAAGCCATTTTGAACAATCAAGTGCTTGCAGTGATTGGAGATGGTCTCACTTTTCGAGTGTGGCAAAAACAAAATGAACAGACCTGCAGGAACTGATGTGTGATTTTGATTGGACATCCTTATGGATATTGTATATAATGTGAAAACCTTTACAACGAGTCGAATGATTCCAACAACTTCACAAAGTGTTTCTCACAGGTTTGATCTTGTTCACTTGTACATGACTGCAATGGTCGTTGTGATCACGACCTCCTTGTTCTTCCGACTGTGGTAACGATATTGGTAGAGAGCTCGATCGCGAAGAGGTCCAAGGAAGAGATCTTTTATTGCTTTGCACGAATGAAAAAGGGAAAAAATTTTACCCGCCATCATTACAAATTTTACTGATCTCAAAAATTTTATATATAAAAAATAAATTCATGATTCTGAACCGACACCATCAAAGAAAATAATTATTATTGGAAATTTTGATAGAGTATTACAATCATCAACATTTGAAGATCTATTCAAATATAGGAGCTCTGTAAATATTCAAACCGATGAATTCAGGAAGCAATTCTACTGCTTCCGTTGGCAGCAACAGAGCTGCTACCGCTTCTGTCAGTTGTAGAGATAGTTTAATTTCCGTCACTAGAAAAAAACCAACTTCTTCTTCGTCAGGAAGAAGAACACAATCCCGAGAAGGCTTTTATGGTTCCAATAGTAATGGTTCGAGTGTGTCAAGTAATATAATTGGACCAACTAGTGCAGTTGATTCTTGGGCACTTGGCAACTCTGATTTGGAACCTGTTGGAGCCATTCCAAGAAATTCATCGACATTATCCATACGATCAAAAACATCTGTGGATTGTGATAGTGGAACAACAACTAATCATATTTCTTTACCTGACATTGGAATGAGTCGTTCAAAATCTGAAAAAGAGAGAACAAAACAATTACTATTAAAAGACGATCAAGAATTTATTGAAAAATTAAAACTTAAAGTTGAGGAACAACAACTTGAACTTGAAAAGAGTAATGGATCATTGGAACAAATTCAACGAAATTTTGAACAATTATCAGCAATGTACAAGAGTAAGTTTTACAAATCTCTCAAAAGAGAAAAGTGACACACTTGAATTTCAAAGATGAAAAAGCAAAATCAGAAAGTATTCGATTAGAAAACGAGAGATTAAAAGACGAGAGTGCATCTCTAAGAGCAAATATCAATTCGTCGTTCGTTTCTAAGGTTGCCTATCAAGAAGTGGAACAACAATTAAATCATTTATTTACTAAATTGTAAGTATATATCTGTGGCATAATTTCAATACTCATCTTACACGTGAATGAATAGGAAAGAAAAAGAAGAATTCAATTCAGAACTGGAAAAAGAAAATGCCACTCTAAAAGCGAACCTTTTTGATTTGAATGTAAAGATAAAAAATATGATTCAAGAATTAGACACTTCAAGAAGAGAAATCGATCATCAAGGTGTTGAATTTAAGAAGCAATCAGATCTATTGAAATTAGAAACCAAGTATGTTTTCTTTTTTTTTCAATATTCACACACAATTTGTAAAAGAGTATTGAATGATCATTTATCGAGTCACAAGACTGAACTGGAAGATAAAAAGATGGAAATCATTCGACTTGAAGCAAGACTCAAGTAAGTTTCACATCTTATTTGAACATGATTTATGTATTGAATGGAGGTTTAGGGACAAAGAAAGAAATATTGTTGCTCTTCAACAAGTCTTGTCTCAAAAAGATAGCCAAGCTCAAGAATACAAAGAAAAATTATTGACTTTAGAAAAGAATCAAGAAGCTGCAAACTCTCGCTTGAAAGAAAAATTAAATGAAGATTATGAAAACAATGTCAAGCAATTGGAGTCTAAGAATAAGGAGAATATTCGATACATTAATGATTTGAAAAATCAAATTTCAGAAATGAAAACACAACTACGGGATAAGGATCACTCTGAGAAAGAGTCACAACAACAAGTCAGAAATTTACTCGATGAAATTGAAAATTATGTTTCCATCGTTAAAAAATTAGAAGAAGAGGTTTCCATTCTGAAAAATGATCGAAAGGAAATGGCACTTGAAAAACAAGTGAAGGATCTCGCCATACAAAATTCTGATTTGTTAAAACAGATCGAAATGATGTCATTGCACAAGAAAAAGTTAGAAGGTGTATCCAATGAGAAAGAGTAAGTGTTGTTTCAAAATGATGGATTGTTGTTGAAAATAGGTGCACCTAATTATTGTGTATTATTATTGATCCATCCATTACTAATTACACTATGAATGTAATCATCTCTCAATCAGAAAACTTGTTCAATTAGTCACAACATTACAACATGAAAATGCTGAACTTGCATTACAGGTTGAAACACTCTCTCGAAAAGATCAAGATGAAGCTCATATCTATTCCGAATTAATGAAAGTAAGAGAAGACAATGAAGAACTCACTCAGAAACTAGAGGAAACGACTCACAAACTTTTCGAACTTGAATCCTCAATGAAACTCTTTGAACACAAAGTACTCGATTTGGAGAGTTTACTCAAAACGAAGGAAGAGTCTATTGAAATTCTAAATCTAAAAACAAATCAAAAGGAAAAAGAATTACGTGAAAAAGAACAAGCACATAAGAAGGATATTGAAAAAGAAAGGGCCATTTGGAAAGAAGTGACTCTCACAAACACACAACTTGAATCAACCATTTCCAATTTAAGAGCTGATCTTGAAAAATTGCAAAAAGAAATGAATGACAATAAGGAACACTATGAAAAACAGATCAAAAAAGAACAAGTCATGATGGATCATGTTCATAAGAATCAAAAGTATCTTCAGGCAACCATTGAAAAGTTAATCAAAGCAGAAGAAACGACGGTGAGCTCTCTGACGTGTACACATTGCTTTCAATTGTTTGAAGATCCATGTCTGTTAGTCCCATGCAGTCATACCTATTGTTCACACTGCTGGGAGGCTTTACAAGAAGAAAATGAGTATTCATGTTGTTCTTGTCCAGAGTGCAATGAAATGGTGCAGGCAGCGGTGCGAGTGGGTGTGCTGGATGGATTGGCAAAGAAGTCAGCGTATCGAAAAGAGCAACTTCAAAGTGTCTTCGAGTCGGTTAAGAAGTTCTTTTCCATTCAGTAATATATATGTACCATAGGTGCCTATGGTCTGGTGATGCATCACTCCATTCAGCTGAATGAAGACGTTCAGGAGAAGCCATGAGATCCTACTCCATCATGATGGCGAACGACAATATTTAACGGCAACCCACTCAGTGTGATTTGTTGGCGCCAATGGAAGCCTTATGCCTTATTTTAAAAAATGGGGAAAAACAAATCTGTAATTTCAACAGGCTCCAAAGACAGTGGTGGAGCCAGTATAGCATCGATAACTTCAAATCGATCAACCTTCTCGACCATGGCATCATCAAAGAATACGGCTGCGAAAAAGAATTCCGCTCAGCAACTAAAGAAAACATCGGCCTCGGTCATTGACTCAAAGAAGGCTCCTTCCGTGTATGATGAGATTTTGAAAACCGCTTTCAAGAAGAAGCCTGTGCCATCAACGAGCTCTAAAGGTCATACCACTGATAACATCAAGCAAGAAAAGAAGAAAAAGGACAATATATTAATACCTACTCAGGGAAATAATGATCCATATATTGAGGTGCCTGATGAACCGCCTTCAGTAGTAACCTCACAAGATCGGAATGAGGGTTCTCAACAAATTATTCATCATGAATTACATCAAGAGGCAATGTCTACCCAAGAGAGTCAATTGAAAGAAGCGGTCGATCAGACGATGGAACATCCTCGACCACTCTCTACTCAGGACATCCTCTATTCATCCTCATCTGCTCTCCAAGTCGCACCAGTAATGACGACACAACCAACATCTCACCAATCTGTTAAACAACAGAATCAACTCTCTCAATCATCGACACTGATGATACCAACATACCAGCCTGTTGATCATGACAAACCTGCGTCTAATAAGCACGAAAGAAATGATGATATGCAAGCACCAAGGTCAATCTTTAATGATCCAAAGCAAACTCATGTACATTCAGCATCGCATTCAGTTCAACTGGAACCCTCAACAAGCAAGCCAAACGAAAATGCTCTTTCTCCACCAGAAACCAATATAAAGGAATCCATCGATATTCCACCTATGACTCATCCAACAACTGTAGAAACGTTGAATGAACGACTGACTTCAAAAGATGATACATTCCTGTCAAATAACAATTCTGTTAATGTATCGCGAGTGTTACCAACAGAGACACCAGTCGAGCGAATTTCAAAAATAACTGAGGAAGAAAAGCTCAAAGTCAAGACCTTTGCATCAAGAAATTTAAGGTACAACGATCCAGATGAGCTATTTAATTTTAAGACAGAGGATATTGTTGCAAGTGGTACCTCTTCCTCAGCCGTAGTAGAAAATGTATTTGTGGTGCCACAACTAAGTATAGAAGATGTTCATGAGATTATTGAAGAGCATGAGGAATGTAAAAAAAGTGATGGATATCCAAGCGAGGAAGAAGGTGAGGTTATTCCTCATAAATCACAAGAACTAATATTCAATGATGACGTTGTTGTTTTCGAATCGCCTGAAGAAGATGCTAAGACACTTTCTAGTACTGGTATTGACGGGTCAAGCGATTTTGATTTACAAGAGGCTGCAGAATTAGCGGTTTCAACGGAACGTTTAGACGAGCATCTCCAAAAAACATTAAATCTTGAGAGAGAGAATCAACTATTGGAGAGGGAAATTAAACATTTAGAGCAAGAAATTAAAACGAAATACAGCAATGACGCGTTTGAGAAAGCGTTTCCTGTCGTTGAAATACTTTCAAAGCCAAGAGGATCAAAATCCATTGAACGATATTCTGAAACGGTCAATATGACAGCCGAAGCAGAAGCTCTCAAGCCACCAATTGAATCAAATGAAAACGATGAAGATTTAAAGTTTGAATTGGAGTTGCTGAAAATAGTTGGAGAAGATTTCAAGAACCGTAAAAACAATGCCAAAGACACCGCCAGTCCACCAGAAGTAGTGACTGCCACAATAACAACAACAATGGTATCAACCACACAGTTACCAAATCAAACGCTTGCACCACCAGTGGAGCCACCCACTTTGACGGAACCTAAACAAGATAGTTTACCTGCAGTTTCAGCCATTTCTTCTCAGAGCCAACGATTGGCAGAATATAAGGCGAGGAGAAATGCACGTATGAAGCAGGCGCAAAATATAATTCCCAGCATTCCAGTACTACACCCAGAACCGACAAAGTCACGAGAGGTTGTTAAAGAAAGCAAAGTTGAAAGTAAAGCTGCTCCATCCATAACAGATGCTATGATCTCCACCACTAACAACCCTCCAACGTTACCAAACGACACGAACAACACAGAAGAAAAAATTGCAGCTGCTATCATCGACAAGAAGGAATCTACAACGCTGAACGAAACAACTACCAACTTTAAACCAACACACTCTCAAGTTCAGCTCGTTGATACCACACAAGAGCTCAACATTCAACATATTTCACCAATCAAAACTCGTTCAGACAAAGCGTTCTCCCCAATTAAGGCTTCCCCCAATCGAAAAAATATTAGCAGGTCTATGGACAAATCGTCCACCTTCATTGCAAAGGAAGATGTTGACCACCCCTCATTTAGTAAGCATGAAACGTTGTCGAGAGTGACCTACTTGGAAAAATTTATGAAAGATTTAAAACGTAAAAAACAAGAAGAATTTGATGCTTTTGAAACAAAGTTCGCTGAACTTAGGGCATATTTTGAAAAGCAATTAGAAGCTCGAGACAATGCAGTACATCACTTAACTCATCAAAACCGAATGCTGAAAGAAAAGTTAACTCTCACTCAATCTCAAATTGATGACTTATCAATGGTCATTGAACATATTTTAGAGTCTCAAGAAAAGATGGAAGAAGCCATTTCGGTGAACAATAGTAAGGTGATAACTCCAAAAAAGGGAAGTAATGAAATGGAAGATGAACCTGTGTCTCCTGTCTCTGGAGGTGGAATAGGCCCATTTCCATCTACGAGTGGTGAAATTCATCATCAAGAAGATTCAACCACTGTACAACAAGGACCAATCACGAGTGACTCTCTCCCTCTTCTTTCACCAAGCACGATAAAGAAGCGTTTTAATAGAGATTTCGAGGATGAAAGAGATACCTTACTCGAAACACCAAAACTTTTAAATATCCAAGAGGGTATTAGTGTTGGGCTCAGTAATGATGGAGATGTGTATTTATCAATTGGAAAATCGAGTGTTCCTTTAGGCGAATATATTAAGACACTGTAATTAAATACATTCCCGCTCAAAGTCAAGACATTTCAAACGTCAAATTTCAACTCAAACAAAAATCCCAACGTTATCATCGTTGACAACGGATCTTTCAGCACCGTTTTATATCGCAGGATATCAAATTGGTTTTCTTCTAATCGAACTTGCATTTTTCATCATCCGAACCACATCATCACATATTATTTGCCAAATCACAATGTTCAACAAGTTAAGAAAGAAAACCGTCATCGGATTTACTTCCAATAACAACCTCGATAACATTCCAAGTGCCAGTGGTGTGATCAAAGATTTAGGAAATGTTGAACCATCCGTAGGTGTTTGGAAAGATGTGAGTGGAGCACAATTAAATTCCGTGTAAGTGTAGTAATTAAAATTCTATCATTGTTCACCATTTATGATGTTGACACACCATTCACACACCATTCACACTGTACCTACAAATGGCGCATCCCACTCCATCCTACTCGATCCAACCTATCATACCAATATGATAATTATTGTCATCAATAGACAACGATCCAAATCCATTCATCGAATACAAGCTCTCACCGATAAAGAATCCGAACGTTACTACATCAATCAACTCAATACTGCACCCTCCGTTGAAATTGTTGAAGAACTACTCAATTGTATCAAAAGAAAACCCTCTCAATTTTCCTCTAATTTTTGTCAACAATATGGACTCTTTTCATTGAATACTTTCCTTTTAAAGAATTTAATGAGTGTCTTTCAAAAAAAAACAACAAGACTTTCATTGGAAAGAAACAAACAACAACAAGAAAATACTCGACTCATAGAACACCAAGAATCTGTTTATGATGTTATTTACAAATGTATTGAATGTATGAAAGAATTAAGTGAGAGAGTGAGTTCAAATTTATTTAAAGATAATTTGGATGTTGTGAAATCCATTTCACTCGTGTTGGGAAGTTCATTTTTCACACGTGAGAATCGAGTGCATATTCCCATATTGAAATGTCAATTATTAGTATTGAATATATTTACCTCTCATTTACAAAGAGGTGAGTGTTATTATTATCATCAAATGACCATTACTGATCAGTTCTTTGACCCTAATTTGAAAAAATCAAATTAATTTCTTTGAATTTCGGCAACCCTTTTTTTTTCATCATGGTGATTCTTGGTATCATTGTGGTTCAAATGACATTGCATGTTTTTCAATTATTGTTGATACGGAATCATGATGAATGTGAAAAATGTCTTAAAAATAATAATAATATTGAATGATTGAACTCTGTGACTGATATCAGAAATGAATGACATTATCAATCAAGTGATCCTTCGAGGCATGAATCACGTGTGTAGTGTCTATCAAGAAAGTACTCGATTTTCACATTTAATGACAGCCTTTCGAAAATGTTGCATTCTTTTACGATCTGCCTCTCTGAATACCTTTTCATATTCTTCATTGACAGCATCTTCAACAACACTCAAACAAGACATTCCCTATTGTGAAAGTTTTATTATTCAATTTTTACAATTTATCAAAGCATTGATCGATTCAACATCTGCTCAAAGACCACCACCAACACCACCAACACTACATGAAAAGGATCAATCAATGAATGACAAGACAAGAGATTCTTTTGATGATGACAATGATGATGATGATGACAACAAGGACGACTCGATACACTCATCCTATTCATCCTCTTTATCCTATTCATCCTATTCATCCTCTTTATCCTATTCATCACCAAACAAGAAGAATGAAATGTCTCGTCAACTTTCACAAGAATTGATTCATTTAGGACTTTTGGATGCCTTAAAAATTATTCAACAAATTGAACACTTGTTGAGTCAAGAGGTGAAAATGGCCATTCAATCACTTCTCTCATCGGATGTTATTGAAAAAGAAGATCGAGAAGATTTGACAAAATATGAATATTTGAGTCGACTCACCAACAAACTTTATTCGAAATTACAACAAAATGATACCTTCTCTCACATGATTCATATTTTGGAGAATTTATTGGCCATTTCCACTTTCAATCAAAGCTCAACAATGAGTCATGATTCTGGACGATCCTCTTCGAGTAGTCGCTCAACAACAACAACAACTTCTTCTTCGTCGTCCATCATTCAAAAAAATTGGCAACTTTTAGAGAAAATTATTGAAGCAAGTTTAACATCGTATCAAGAAGTTGGAGGAACAATGAATGGCAATCGTAGAGGAGGTGGTCATGGCCATGGTGGTGATCATGGTGGTAGTTCTCTCATGGTTCAATGGACGACTCAACGTCGTGTCGAAGATAAATTTCTCACACAACAAGAACAAATTAGTTCACTTCAAAATATTATTCGAAAATTAGAGAAACAAATTGAACGTTTGGAGGAAGAAAAGAATCAATGGAGTAGTAGTAGTGGTGGTGGTGGTGGAATGATGAGTGGTCAACAACAACAAGTCACACTCAACAACAACCATAACCAATTATTAACAAACAATTCCTCCTCTCCTCGAATAATAACAACAAGTGATAACAAACGAGAAGTGGTGGAACTTGTTGGAGGAGAAGAAGATGGTGGAACAAATAATTCCACATGGAAATGCTCCTCAGAGGTGACGTGCACGAATATGAATTCAACTGAAATTTCAAAACTCGATCGTCACCATTCCAGTACCAGTACTACTGCTATTACCACAACAAGTGCCACTACTACTGCCACTACTACTACTACTCCTAATGATACCACTAGTGGTACTACTGCCACTACTGCTACTACTACTACTGCCTCTGATACAACTATATCCATCATGAATGAGACTCCCAGAAAGTCATCCTCCTCATCTCAGAGCATCCTATTCAACAACAACAACTCTTCCACAACATTGAATGAGACTCCTCCCAGAAAGTCATCCTCCTCTTCTTCATTCCTCCTATTCAATGATTCATGTGCAATGGTGAGAAAATTACACTTTATTCGATTAGACATGGATGTCTCAACCTTTCAAAAAACCATCTTTTATGAAATTCCTAAAAATTCAATTCCACTCAATACCAAAGAAATTATCTATCTCTTTTCGGGAAGACAAATTCCACTAAAAGCTAGAACTCATGTATTTGATTTCTCCGATAATACCGACAGTGCACATGTCTCTTTCATTCAACCCAAACGCATGCAATATGTGTTATTTCATTTAGAAAGTATCAAATTATCAGTACAAGAAATCAAACAAGGAATTCTCCATTTGGATCGTTCCATTCTCAATGATCGAACATTAAGAATTTTGGAATTAATTTCACCCAAACAAGAAGAAGTTGATGTCATTCGAACATTTGAAGGAGATGTCTTGAATTTGTCACCTGTCGATCAATTTTATTATCATCTCAAAGATATTCCTTATTTGAAAGAGAGATTACAATGTTGGATATTCAAGAATGAATATGAACAATTATTGAATGATTTATTGAGTCAAATTGAAACATGTACCAAAGCAGCCAAAGAACTCACCACTTCCCAAAAATGGAAAGCCGTGTTAGGAGTCATTTTGAGTGTTGGAAATTTATTGAATCGAGCTGCTGGAGATTCTTTGGAATGTCAAGGATTTAAAATTCATTCTCTATTGAAATTGAAAGATTTAAAATCTTACAACAACAAAACTCTCTTGGAATATATTTCTGAATATTTTTTGATGAAGAATTTGGAATTGATGAATTTCGATAGTGATTTATTACATGTTCCATTGGCCACTCAGATACGAACCATTCAAATTCGAGATCGAATTCATGAATTTGTTTTAATGTTGAATCAAATTCGATGTTTATTGAGTAGTAGTGGTAATAGTGGTGGTAGTGGTAGTGGTAGTAGTGGTAATAGTGGTGAAAGGTATGTCCATCATGAATTGTATTCTTTTGAATTCTCTCATGCTAAATAATTCTAATCTTCTAATGTACATTGTAATGCGAATTCTACTCGTGTCAATTCTTCTAATGTACATTGTAATGCGAATTCTAATGTGATCGATTAAATCAACAGATTGTCAACTAGTAGTACCAGTCATGAAGAGAATTTACCAAATATGGATAAATTTTCAATGGAATTTTCACCTTTTTTAGAAACTCTAAAAGGAGATTTAGATCATGTCAATGGTAAAATGGATATCATGACGTCACAACTTGAGCATTTAGCAACTCTCTATGGTGAAGATGTTGAAATGATGAAATTGAGACCCTATCTCTTTTTCACTACTGTGAATCAATTTACAAAAATGTTTAAACATCCAAATCTAATCAAACAAGTGGAAGATGAAATTGAGAAACGAGATTCCTATAGTTCGACTAAAAACGAGAATAGTGAAAATTCAGATGCAATGTTGAATTCAACAAACAACCATTCACAATCTTCTCCACGAACAGATTCTTCTCATTCAATCACACGAAAAGGTTCTCGATTGGTCATGAATTCAAAAATGTTTGATTTAAATGCTCCATTAAGTGAATGGTCTTCACAACAACAACAACAACACAAAAGTATGAACAATATGAAAAAACAACAACACAAAAGTATGAACAATATGAAAAAACAACAACACAAAAGTATGAACAACATGTTGAATCATCATCCTACAACTTTTACATTGGATTCATCTCCAAATTTCATCAATCCTCATTTGGAAACGATGAGGAGTAATAGTACTACGAATAGTTCAGAAACTTTAAATTCTTCTTCATGGAATTCCACTGCTCGAAAAACCAAATCTCTCAAATCACTCTTAAAAGATCGAAAATTTTCACATCTCTTTCAAGATTCCTTCAAGAGCAATAATAATACTAACAACAACAACAATATGGATGATCATTCATCTCCTCTTTCAGATGGAACTAGTAGTACTACTAGTGGTGTCTCGGGTGGTGGTAGTTTAATGAGCTCTTCCTTTTACGAACAAGATGTCAAGACAGAGAAAGCTCTCAATACCATTCTTGATGAGTATGGAGTCACACGTGAAATGATTTCTCTCAAACAAGATTTGAAATTGGAATTTGGACCACAAATTCTTTACATGATGAATACTACAACTAGTACTACAACTAGTACTACTTCTATTAATAATGATAATAATAATAATACTACTACTACTACTACTACTTCAACTAGTAATACTAATAATAATAATAATACTAGTTCAAATCACAATGGTACCACAAATATCACAAATACCACAAATACTACCACTCACTATGAAAAGTATTCAGAATATCATGCTTATTTATTTAATCATGCTTTATTTTTAGGATTAACCAAATCACAAAAAATGTGCTTGTTTAGTAAGAATGGTAGTAGTAGTAGTAGTAGTAATGGAACAATAAGTAATGGTATTACGAGTGGTAGCATTGGTGGTGCAAGTAGTAGTAGTGGTGTTGGTGGTGTTGGTAGTGGAATGCATTCACCCAAAAAAGGATTTACTTCTCCTCGTCATCATCATCAGGTATCACTTTCACCACAACCACCCTCTTCCTCTTCTTCCTCCACTGCTACTGCTGCTGTTCATTCGAATACAACCTTTGTGGATCCAATTGATTTGACCACCACCACCACCACCACCACCACCTCATCATCAATGACGACAATGACTGATCTCATCCCTCCATTATCTCCAAAACAATCCAATATTATCATTGGCAAGATGACTCCACCATCACCATTCGTATTGAATCCATTCGTATCCTCCTCTTCACCTTCACTTCCACCACTTTACAAAATTATTCAATTCAATGAAATGACCATTCGAGCCATGATTCATTCACAAGACTATCCACATGCATTTTGTATTCAAAACTTTAAGGGAGATGTTGGTGAAATATTTATTGCTCCTGATAAATATTCACGTGAAATTTGGATGGACCGAATTCGAAAATTGATTGAACCACCTTTCTTTTCAGAGATTTGGACCAAACGAATTAATGAAAATATTCAACAACATTTAGAAGCATCAGTTACTAATACTTCTACTACTCATACTTCTACTACTCATACTAATACTACTCATAGTACGACTGATCATTCTCATGATTCTACGACTGATCATTCTAGTGATTCTACTTCTCATACTACTACGACTGATCATTCAAATTCTCGTGATGAACATCATATTGAATCGTATTATACAATTCCCATCTCTGAATTGAAACCTTTCAAAGAAATTCCAAATACAGAAGAATTTGTGGAATTTAAAGGAAGTACTCAGGAAATTTATTTTGCAACTCTTGAAAAGTTATTCCAATATTTAACAGATCCAATTGAACATGATAATAATTTTTTATTTACATTCATGTTGACGTATAAATCATTTACAACTTCAGAACATTTATTGGAGTATTTAATAGAGAGATACAATACACCACCACCACCAATGACTCCTTTGAATGAAAACAATCTTCAAACGACAAGTAAGGAAACGATGAATGAAAAAGCATCGAATCAGGATGATGGAACAAGGAACTTGCCTGTCAATAATAGTATCGAATGGAAGAAACAATTATTTGCCATTCGATTAAGAATTTGTCAAATCATCATGTATTGGATCGAAAAACATTTCTATAATTTCAGGAGAGATCCTGCACTCCAAAAACGAATGGATTACTTTATTAGGGAAGTGTTGCCAAGAACAAAAATGGAAAAGGCAGGAGAACGCATTTTGAATACATGGGAAGTGAGAAAGGCTCAACGAGAAACATTTTCATTACAACAAATTCAAAGACAACAATTACAAATTGAATTACTGAGAAAACAAATTGATCGAACACTCTTGGAGAATAATGTAACATTGAGAGATTCTTCATCACCTCGAAAGACTTCTAAATTTCAAAAAATTATTTCGAAATTTAACAATGAAGGAGGTAGTGATTCTGATTCACCAAGTGCTGCTGGTAATAGTGGTGGTGGTGGTAGTAATAGTGTTGGTTCTTCCTCTCCCAACTTGTTCATTGGTCACTCACGGAATTCTGTGAGTATCATTGGTATTGCAAATCCTCCTGATAATCCACTTTTAGAAACTGCTACAGAAATTGCACGACAATTGACCATGATTGATATGGAGCTTTTTATGAGAATTCAACCAAAAGAATGTTTGAATCAATCTTGGTCAAAAGAAAACCAAAAGAAAATGGCACCAAATATATTTGCCATGATTGAGAGAACGAATAATTTAGTGACCTATGTTGCATTTCATGTTTTAAAACATGAGACAGCTAAGGAACGTGCCAAATATATTCATAGGTTCATCAAAATTGCTAAAGAATTGAGAAACTTAAATAACTTTAACAGTTTGAAAGGTGTCATTGCAGGTCTCAACTCAAACAGTGTTTTCAGATTGAAAAAGACATGGGCTCTGGTTTCAGAAAACAAGAAGGAACAATTTAAAGAGTTGGCTAAATTAGTCAGTCACGAAACCAATTACAAGCGATTGAGAGAGGCCATGAAAAATGTCGAACCTCCAACCATTCCTTATATTGGCGTCTATTTATCAGATTTAACATTTATCGATGATGGAAATGTCGATTACAAAGACTCAAAAATTAACTTTTACAAACAACGACAACTTGCCAATATCATTAGAACCATCCAAAAATTACAAAAAACTCCTTATTCATTCCCATTTCACATTATTAGAACCAAATTGAACAATATTTATTTCAGTAGTATGTTTGATGATGGAAAGTTGTACGACATGTCTCTTGAGAGAGAACCAAGACAATAAACTTGTAATGCATTCATGAAGAGTTCCATTTAATTATGACAAATATTTCTATATTGAATATCGAATATCGAATTGAATTTTTAAAAAATATCGATCGTCATTATTTAATATATATTTCAATTAAGGAATTGGATTGGTGAGATTAAAGGTAGTACCAACAGAAGCCAACAAGCGAGTATGAGGTCTGGAAGCACCACATTCTCCCTCGCAGGCATTAATGACCACCTTGTATTGGCCTGGAAACCAGAGCAATCCTTCTGCATCGTCATCCTTGGTTGAAATGGTGAACTTAATTTCATAGGCACCTGGTTGGAAACCATTCGATTGGTAAAATCGTTGAGTCATATCATCGATGGAGAAAGGTCCAGTCAACATCATGGTCACTTGACCTGGGCCTGATTCGTTGAAAACATTCAATCTCGAATAAGCCGTCACGGTAGAGCCAAGCTTACTCACTTGAGGAATCACACCAGTGGCAGTGAAAGCAGCACAAGTCTTGGCAGTGCAATCATGTACAGGACACAACTTTCCTAATTGACATGCATAAATTGGATCCAAATCTCCCTTCTTAATAATATCAATGAAGGCATTCACTCCAATTGCTGTTTTCGCAACAATCATATAATGATGAGAAAAATTGAAAGATCCTAAACATGTCGTGCCAATGACTTACCAGTACAAACCACATCACAGAGCTCAACCGCATAGGGACCTAAATTGGCAACAGAATTACAAAGCCTCAAGCAAGAGAAAACCACACCTGAATCCAAGGCAGCCAACAAATCAGCAAGAGCAAAATCCAACAAATCCACACATGATGAGCAGAGAGCACCCGATACTGGCATCTTGTTCATAATAATTTCTGGCTTTTTAGGGAGAGGAACCTTCTTTAAGGAAAGTTCAATGAGCTTGCTGGCGAGTTTTGGATCTTTCAAGGCTTCCTTCTTGATTTGTTCCTTCAAAGAAGCGACCTTGTCGTTGTTCTTTGTGATCTCAATGGCAGCATGGACATGGAGCACACAGAGGAACGAGGCTAAAACACCGATCAAAAGGGCGGTTGAGACGACTTTCATATTTTTTTTTGGAGTTGGGCCAATCGCTCTGAGACATTTTTGGAAATAAAACACACAGGTTATTGCCGCAATATATTGTGTGTGTTCTTTGTGGCCACTGTGAACGTGCATTGATCAATAGAATAATACGATATCGTGTGATGATTCCACTCTCCTCTTTGAATGGTTGTTGTTGCAATTGTTGCGTGTCGAAATAGACAAACAACCATTCACACTCGCTTCTCGTAGTTTCAAAAGGATCGACTCGACTCTGAGAATTATTCGAAAAACAACAAAAAATTCTCACCAAACACCACACACATGCTGGAAACAACAACAACAACAACAACAAATACAACCATGAAAACGATCGTGATGGGTGATGAGAAGAATTTCAACATTGCATTCACATTACCCGTAAAGACCTACACACGGGTCAAGTTATTAGGAAGTGGTGGACAAGGAAATGTGACTTTGGTGAAAATTGAAAAACGAAAGAAGAAGAAATCATCAAAATTGTATCATCATCAACACCACCACTCCATCGATGAATGTGTTCCGAATTGTACACCAACAACTACATCAGCAACATCGACCACTGGTTCATCATCCACCACTACAACCACTGATTCATCATCTTCATCACCATCGAATCACTCTCAAGAACATGTTATTCATCAACAATCATCACCACCACACGAAGAAGAAGAAATGGTGATCATTGAAAAATTTCGAGCTCTCAAGAGAATATTTTGTGTAGGATTGGATCAATTAAATTTAGCTCTTCGAGAAGCACAATCGGTATTACAAATTGGTTCTCATCCAAATATTGTGAAATGTTATAATTTTTTCATTGAACGATCGGAACATGTCACAAATAGAGGATTGGAAAATATTACAACCATTGAAAATGAATGTGTTTGTATCATGTATGAATATTGTGAAAAAGGATCTCTTGCAGATGTCATTCGGTCTAAAAGAACTTGTAACAAAATAATACCTTGGAATACTGTACTCGATTTTTTCAAACAAATTTTAAGGGGAATTCAATTTATTCATCAAAATAATATTTGTCATCGAGATATGGTATGTTTTTAGAGGAGTAGTCATATCATGTTATAACAAAATGATTTGAAATGATCATTTAACACTTTTGTGGATATTCTCAATGAAATCGAACTTTGGTGCATTTCAATAATTAACAATTTAACACTTTTTTGAAATATTCTCAAATCTGGATTAGAAACCTGCAAATGTCTTTCTGAGTTCATTGACAACATCAAAGGATCATTCCTGGGTGTTAAAAATTGGAGACTTTGGTTTTGCAAAAGCAGTGACAGAAACCTCACAAAGTATGGACACTGTGTTAGGGACACAATCTTTTGTTGCACCAGAAATTAGACAATTTCATCCGTAGGTTTCATTCTAATGGATTTTATGAAATTAATAGCTCTAATTTGTCTTGTACTATTTATTACATGTCTATCCTAATATTTATGGATGGATCTATTAATATATTTTTTTATGGATCTAATAATATTGATCTCAAATAATATTTATATTTTTTAAATTAAATTTTTAATAATTTTTTTTAAATTAAATTTTTAATAATATTTATTTATAATAATTGATCGATATCATTTTATCATTTATATTTTTTTTATAAATTTATATAAATTAATGAATCACAAAAGTTATACAAAAGCTGTGGATATTTGGGGACTTGGGTGTATTCTTCTAGAAATGCTTCTTCCAAAAACTTTTGATTACTCTTACGAATGGGCTTTTAATTCTGGAAAAACCATTTTGGATCTCATCAAGAAACGCTATCAAGAGCAAGAAATTATTGAACTCGTTCATTTCATTATGAAAATGGATCCAAATGAAAGACCTAATGCCTCTCAAGTTTTGAATTATTTGAAAAGGTAAGTTTTAAAAGATTGGTGATTCATCATTGTCAATCAATGAAATGTCATTATAGTTCAGTTGTGGTTGAAAATGAATTGAATGAACAGGAAACAATGATCAAGGATGACTTTTTTGACAGAAATCTGAAGGATCAAGAAATTCTTTTTCTCAAGTCACAAATACAATCCTTGAAAGGACGAATTCATGAATGTAAGTCATTTTCTCACAGAACATTTCTTCAATTCCATCTTTGATTATTACTATTATTACTATTACTATTATTATTACTATTATTATTACTATTAACATTTTAATCAACCTCATCTTTGACTATTAATACTACTATTATCTAATTCTATTCCAGTACAACATCAAGTGGAACAACAGGAAGAAGAAATATTTTACCTAAATCATCCAGAACATCTTCCAAATCGATCCAATAATCTCGTTAATCCTTCAATACCTGTCATTTCCTCATCTTCAAACTCGTCTTCATCAAACTCCAACAATATGAAAACCCTCATGGTGATGGAAAATACTTTACGGAACTTTTTGAGTACCAAAACATCCAATGTTGAAAATCCTCTCAAAATAATTCCTTTTAAAGATTTCAAACTCGATCCTTCTATACCAACTGTCAAAGGTTCATTATTTGTCATTTCATTTGGTACTATTAAATCGAAAGACATTAATAATGGAGAGGAAACAAAAGTTGCTTTAAAAACACTCTTAACTCGTTACAAGACAGATTTCGATCAAGTTGTGAAACTTTTAGGATTGGAATTTCATTCAAAAATTTCACATCCAGCCATTGAGAAGATCTATGGATTGACTAAAAATGGAAAAGAATATTGTATTCTTGGAGAGCCATGCACGGGTGGAAATTTGAGACAGGTATTATTGAACCGAAATATTAGAATTAGTTTTTCGATGAAAGTTGATTATTGTTATCATATTTCAAGTGCATTACTCTATTTGTATGAACAGAATCGTTCTATTGGAGCTCTTTCACTTTATCATATTGCTGTAAGTCATCGATGAATAATAATACTATTATGAATTGTTTCGATTAACCATGGAGATGATGTGATCAAAATGTATGAATCAAAACAACTTCAACGTGGTGAACAACTTGTCTCACAACAATCATTTTTGTAATCTTTTTTTTCATACCAACCTTATAATTGTTCACTACCTCTCTATATACACACCCTTACAACAACTTTTTGTTGACTACCTCTAAATATACAACCTTATGAAAAGCTCACTGAAAATTTAACACTTCCAAAAATTACCACATGGCACACCTGTTCCGAATTGTTCAATGACAAACGTGTGGGTGCCATGAAATCACTACTCAAACAATTAGGAGGAATTTGTTGGTGCATTTTAATACGTGAAAATTCAGAGATCATTCGAAACTTTTTCAAGAGTGATCAATTTTGTCCCAACTCGGAACAAGTCATTCTCACCTATTTATCCTCACCAACAACACCAACCTCTCAACAAATGGTTTGGATTCATGAATATATTGAAATTGTCAATACATGCTTTTCTCTTGTCAATAAGATGAATAAGGAAGATGCTTCAGATCATGAACTCTTGAATGGAATGTTTAGAAAAATAGTGTTTCGATGGGGAAAGTTGAGAGAAACGATGATGAGTGTGGTGGATAATACGACGAATGGTTTTTAATAATAATAATAGTAGTAGTAGTAGTAGTAGTAGTAGTAGTAGTAGATCTGATGTGGTAATTACACACACGGATTGAGGAGTGGAGGAGTAGGTGATGATGTTTGAAGAACGCGTGTGTTCTTTTGATCAATGCAATATCATGTGTCATTTCGAGAGAGTTCGAATGGTTGTGGCCATTAAGGTCTCATGCAATATCCCGAGAGAGAGTCTCAGAGTTGACTTTCTTTTCCAATAGCTTGGATCTTCTTTTGGGATCTTCTTTTCGGAACAATAAATAAAACAACAGGAGAAAAAAAAATGTTGCAAGCGAGTCAAAGCCTTGCGAGCAATCGTCGTCTGAATGTATTGGCCAACCACTTGTCTTTGAATGTTGGTCGTGCTGATCAAACCGACAATGCTTCATCGGATCCTCATCACGATGTTGATCAACAACAACAACAACAACAATTATGGCTTGCCATGAATGAAACTGCTGCCATTGGAAAAGGAATGTTCTCCAATGACAATCCTCATCCGAGTGGTAGTCAAAGCCTCAACTCGACTCCATTGACCCTCACAGACTCGGACACGGAACAACTGGCCAACTCCATCATACGTGGTGATTATAGAGAATTACGTCAGACTCTCTTCACCTACTTTCAACAACATGCCGATTATTACAAAATATTTTCAGGCTATGATATGACTTTGGAGGATGCTCGACAAAAGAGTCATGATCGGGCCATTCGTATTTTGAAAGAAAAATTCGTGTCTCCATACGACATCCTTAAAGATCCACTCAAAATCTCAGTGTTTATAAATTCTATACCAACCGATGCAAGTACACTGGTCAAGTTGTCTGTTCATTTCAATTTGTTTGGTGCCTGTATTGCACACTTGGGAACGAGTGAACAGTTGGAAAGATGGTTAGGACCAAAAAGTGATTTTTCTGAAAGGCTTGGATGTTTCTTAATGTCTGAATTGACACATGCAAGTAATGTTCGAAAACTTGGTGTCACTGCTACCTACGACAGAGCAAGAAATGAATTTGTTATCAATACACCTGATGAGGGAGCACAAAAGTATTGGATTGGTAATGCCTACAAGTCTGCAACTAAAGGTGTTCTATTTGCTCAGTGCATTGTTGATGGTGTGAATCATGGTGTTCATGCCTTTGTGGTTCCCATGAGAGACCCATCTACTATGAAAGTCTATGATGGTATTCTGGTGAGAGATGTTGGAATTAAGATGGGTCTAAATGGTATTGACAATGGAATGGTTGCTTTCAACAATTACAGAATTCCAGTCGATCACTTACTCTCCAGATATGCACAAATTAAGGATGGTAAATATGAAACATCTATTAAGAATGATAATGTAAGATTTGCCAAGCAAATTGGAGCTCTTTTACAAGCTCGTCTTGGTGTTGGAACTGGATGCTGTAATGCTCTTCAAATGGCCTTAATTACTGCAATTCGATATGCTCACCGAAGAGTTCAATTTGGTCCACCATCCAAAGATAAGACAAAATCCAAAAGTGAAGAAGAATGGCCACTCATCAAATATAAGACTCATCAAGTGAGATTAATACCATTGATAGCCGAAGCTTATGCTTATCATTTCTTTGCTTCTTTCTGTATGAAGAAGTATGAAGAGTACATGATTGGTGGCAATAGAGATGATCTCTTGAAAACCGTTCACTTACTTGCTTCAGCTTCTAAAGTTATGATCAGTTGGAGAAATCTTGCAATTATTCAAGAATGTCGAGAGGCTTGTGGTGGTCAAGGTTTCCTCACCAGAAATCTTCTCCCAATCTTGAGAATAGATAGTGAGGCAAACGTCACTTTGGTATGTTTTTTTATATTCTGTGATGAAATCGAGTCGAATGTATTATTTTACATAGGATGGTGACAATCATTTACTTCTTTATCAAATCTCAGGTGTCTTGCTGTCTGAATATGCAAAACAATTTGCTCCTTCAAAAGACAAGAGTTTGTTGACTACTGTCTTGGGACCTGGATTGAATGCAGCTAATGCATTGTACATTCTTGGAAAAGATAAGATTAATGATTTTTGGAGAGATGGATTATTGAAACATTATGCAAATACCAATGAGGAACATTTAATGTCAAAAGAATTCTTGTTAGGTGCTTTGCAGTTTAGAGAAAATAGACTTGTCCATACTTTGGCCGCTAAAATGCACAAGACCTCTCAAAAATTCAAGATTGAACAACACATGTCCAATGGAGAGGCACAATTTGCAGCCCATAATCTTTGCTCAACGCATAGTATTCAATGTGGAAAAGCGTATTGCGACAAGATCATTGCCAAGATTTTCTTTGAAAAAGTTGAATACTTGAGGTCAACATTGGGTGTTCATAGCAATATTTACAAAACAATGCATACTTTGAGCTGCATATTCGCCATGAGTATTATTATCAATGATCCTTTCTTCCTTGAAAAGAAAGTCATTGGTGCCACTAAATCCAAGGCATTGAAGAGATTGAGAGAACAATTAGTGTCAAACGTGACCCATTGCTGTTTGTCCTTGGTTGACGGCTTTGGTATTCCAGATTTTGTATTGGACGGTACCATAGGCTCTCGCAATGAGAATAATGTTGCTTTGAATGGATATAACCACAAAATTGTTGATGTTTAAATAAAATTAATTTATCTCTTTATATTTCTGAAAAACTAATAATTATCAGCAATAAGAATACATTTTTAGTTGAAGAAAGGAAAATCGTTTAGGCCTGACACAGTGTACTTAATCCATCGAACATATTGAGCTGGTACATAATAGAACCAAAGCTTATTGTTGGTTGATTGACCTATTTGAAATCCCATAATATGATAATCTGCATTTGAGTGAATTGGCTCAGTGTCGATGTATCTAATGGCAGCATAGGGGATCTTTTCAGTGCTCGACTTGGATTGAATCCACAATTCACGTAAATCTTGTTTAAATGTGAATCTAATTTCTTCACCCCTGTTATTTAAAATACCATTAATTGGTTGTGTGACTGCAAGCTGCATTTATGCAATGTGAAAACAATTTCAAGGTTTGAAAAATAATAATTTCAAAAAAATTGAAACATACATCCTTGGTTTTGTCTCCTTTTTCAGCATGTTCTGGAACTCCCTTGTCAATGTATTTTTTGTGTTCCTTTTAAAGTAAAATTAAACACAAACAAGAAACGAGTAAATATCCTCATTCAATGCGAAAGCTCATCACAGGAACACAAACTTACTGGTAATTGAGAAATTTTCAAAGTGACTGGAGATGATGGTTCATTTGATTGTGAGGAAGAAGTCGCTCTCTTTGGCTTACTTGAAGAAGCTTCAATAATTTGTTCCAATGTTGATCCCATCAATAAAATTTTAAATTTTGGAGCATGAATCAATCCTAAATCTTTGATCATTGTTCCATCATCTTTTAAATTCGGCTTCTCCTTGGTTCTAAATAATAATTTCTGAAGACCGATCGGAACTTGAGTCTTTTTTTGAATTTCCTCCTTTAATTGTTTTAAAGTAGTATCTCCACTTAGGTCCACTGTAAACACATTCTTTCCGTGCGTTACTTCAAAGGAATAGATTGGCGTTGATGATGTTGCATACGAAGTAGTTTTGTCTTCTGAAGACATCTTGTTCACTTAGATTAAATTTCGTAATAATTATTCAATAAGTATGATAATAATAGTACAAAGAGTAATTATGATGATCACTTTTCTCTTGAATCCAACCAATCACAAACAAATCAGCAGAGCGGCAACTGGACAGTTGATCCACTTTAGAGGAATTGTAAATTTTTTTTTAGATTTGAAAAAAAAAGAGTTCATTCTCTTGTTCCAAATCTGTACCAAAGTTTCCAAACTAGTTCAAGTAAGGATGATTCAAAAAAGAATTTAATACATCCATATTAATATTCGTATTGGAATAAATCATGAGTAAGGGAATCTTATTTCAACAAGATGGATACAATTGTTCCTAGTTGTATTCCAGCTTGTTTGTAGTCCTTAGAATGAAAACTCTCCGAAGCACTTTTCAAATCATGTGCCAAATCAAATCCATGATGCAACACATTCACCAATTCATGAGAAGTAATTTTAAGAATTCCTTTTGGAGATTGTAATGCTTGTGCAATTTCTTTCATGCGATCCACTGTTTCTTTCACGTAACAATTTTTCATCACGTCTGCCAACAAAGACTACTATTTGCCCATTTACACAAAGCAGAAATTCTTAGAGACTTTGGTAAGAAAGATTATCCAAATTGCCACATATGCAATTCCAAGGTCAATTGGGACCGTGTTTTCATCTCTTGTGACATGTGTGGTCCTGAAATCAAATTATTATACTCCAAATGGGACGATAGTTCTCTCAAATTCAATGCCCCTTTAATTAGACTTCCCTCAGAACACTCTACCTCCTTCATCCCAATGGAATAGAATGGTAGTATTCAAGAGAAATCATTACAACAAATTAATTTACCTTTCCCAGCTTTGACTGATTGGATTAACGAAATATATCTCTCATTCGCTGCCTATGTTGGTAGTTGTTACAAAAACGCTACTTGGAACAGTTCTACTGTACTTAAGAAAGCTAGAGGGTATATTATTAAACCCAAGACTGCAAAATTTGCAACCGCTTGGGAATATATGACCAATCAGCCTAGCAAGCTCAACTCCGACAACGCTTATTCAACATCCTCAAACACCCAAACAGACATTCTTTAGTCGGTCAATTGAGCACACATAAACGTTTATTATTCAATAAACTCATTCCTGAATTTTTCATCACGTCTACCATTTGAGAAATTCCCTTTCCGAGAGATTGAAGACCTTTCTCAATGGATGAGACTTCCACTTTTGAAAAACCAACTCGAAGATTGGAAAAGATGCAACAGTGGAAGTTTGAATTTGCTGCTTCGAATTCATCTAGAGTTAGATGGATGGATCTCTCACATGCTCCGTTGGGACCTTGAGCAGCTGTCGAATGTCAAACATGTCTCAGAAGTATTAGAAGAATCATTGAAAAACTCAAGATTTTACAACACAAACCTGCTACTCCAGCACTGGATAACAAGAATACCTTGTGATCAGAGATGAACTTGGATGCGGAGCATTTTTAATCGCATCAATTAATTATTTTTTAATTTTTTTTTAAATTTTTTTTTTAAAAATATTGTAACGGTCAAATGCTCAACAAGACCAAAACTCTTCTCTATGGTCATCAGGATTGGGTGAGATCGCTCGCTGTCTGTCCGAATAAACACACCACCATCTCGGGTTCCAATGATCACACCATTAGGACATGGGATCATGTGAGAGGTTTTTGTGATCGGGTTCTGCTGGGACATGATTCCACTGTGAATGCACTGAGTGTGATGAGTAATAATAATTTAATAATATCTGGAGGTGCAGATCATACTGTAAGGTGAGTGAATATTGAATGTTAAAATTTAATATTAATATTTAAATAATATTATTAACTTTGAAATAATATCATTAAATTTTACTAATATTTAAATAATTATATATTTTATTAATTCTATTCAAATTTTTATTCATATATTCGAATTTGTCAATCATTTCAGAATTTGGGATACTCGTAACCCGATCGGAAGTGAATGTGTTCATATGGTGAGCCATGTGAGTGATGTGAATGATGTTACTTGTTGGAATGATTTGAATACCACCACAAGTGGTGAGAATTACACATTCGGAAATGATCATTTGATTTACAGCGTTGGACAAGATATGAAATTAAATGTTTGGGATTTAAGAAAAATGTCCTCATCGTCATCTATGACAACTTTGGGATCACAACACCAATCGAATATTAATAGTTTTGGATTTTCAAATAATTTTTCAACAAGTATTTCGTCTGGTCAATATAATCATTCTTTTGGAAATGTGAACTTGAATTTTGGATCATCGTTTGGTGTCATGACGAATGACAGTCGTGAACAATCCTTACTGAGCTCAATATCAACAAATTTTGGAACACCATTTTGTTGCCAAGTTGGAATGATCCATAACGAACAAGTAATCTTTGTAGGATCAAAGAATGGCATGTTGAAAGCTCTCTCCTTAAATGAAGAAAACAATTCCTATCAAATCGTCAAAAGTTATCATGGTCATTATGGGGATGTGAATTGTTTGAGTTTTAACGCTGAAAATTCGACCCTAGTCAGTGGTGATAGTGGCAACATGGTCCATGTGTACAATATTCATCAAGAAACACCCTTACAAACATTGAGAGATCATGGCGATAGTGTGACTTGTTGTCAAATTCTTGGAAATTCAATTTATACGGGTTCCAAGGATGGCACCATTCGTGAATATGAATTCTCAAGTTCCGAACTTTCTCCGAAAAGATGCTTGGAAAGGCTATCCATGCAAGTGTTTTCAATTGCAGTCGGAAGAAATCGATTACTATTTTGTGGAAGTGATGAAGAGCCTGTTCGATGTTGGGATGTTTCAGGATCCTGAAAAATTTGGTTCCAATATGACGCGATGATGATCCTCTTATTGAATCGGAATTGATGAGAGAAGAATCAAAGCCTCAACACAAAAATTCTCCCACTCTATGAACCATTATATATATTGAGTTGTGCACATAGGATGTTCCTAACAAAATTTGGTATTCCTCCTTATTCTCTAAACGAGTTTGATTGAGAAAGGAATGAAATTTCGTTTCATCAGATGGTTGATCCATAAAGCCTGGTTTGTCTTCATTCGAATTTAATGTCGGAAAGCCATGCAGGAAATTCTCATCATTTGTTGTTCCAAAGAAACTTCTTTCCACCACCACTACGAGGGACAGCGAGAAGACTGGTGTGCAGATTCCTCTCAAAAAAAAATTCAAAAATTATGGGTCAAAATTGAGGAAGAGTTTTTTTTTCGCTCGGAGAAAGGCTAATTAGCGAACGAATATGAATCATCAAAGCGTTTTTAATAAAGAAATGAATAATCATGATGAGCAAAGGATGGTTTGGAATGAACAGAGTGGGGACCATGATGTTTATCAAATTCATCATCATCATCATCATGAGGATATTAATCGTGTAGAGGCATCTATATCGGACCGGTCTAATTGGATTCCTTGGTCTAAAGTGTTATACGATGAAGATGATCATCATGACTCACATCATCATCACGCATCAGAAGAGGATGACGACTTTGAAAGTGAAGATTTTGTTTTTTCAAAAGTATTAATCGCTTTCTCCAGATATGAAAGACATTACTTTAGCTTTCTCGACAAGAAGATTGAATACTTTCATAGAGTATGGAACCAAAGTTTAGGTGACATCAAAAAACATATTACTGTTTCGGAAGCATTACCAGACCAATTCGATAAATTTATGGCTATGAAGATGGCCATTAGAAATAATTATGAAAACTTAATATTGAAAATTATTGAGTCACATACCTCACAGTTTTTGGAGAGCGAAGTTAATGATGATCTTCAACAATTTTCGGATCTTAGCGGGCGTCAAGATGCACAATTTTATCGAGTTTATAGTTTAAAACCCCGAATAATGGAAGTCAACGTTCCTTCATACATGTATAGGACTGAAGACATCGCCATGTTGTTGAACTCCGAAGATTACGACAAGGTGACATCAACTATTAAACAGTTTGTAAGAGATTGGAGCAAGGAAGGACAAACTGAGCGACAAAATAGCTATCATCTCATTCTAAATGAGATAGAAAGACTTTTACCTCTTCATGGGTGCGTCAACAAGTACAAAGTCCTAACACCAGGCGCAGGACTTGGAAGATTAACGTGGGAGATTGCTCGTGCTGGCTACTATAGCCAGGGAAATGAATTTTCATTCCACATGCTTCTTGCGAGTGCCTTTATTTTGAATCATCCCTATAGGGAGGTTGTTTCAGAGGAGAATGAAGGAAGTGTAAATTTTGAACAGTTTGAGATTTTCCCATTTGTCACGCATATGAGTGACTTGTTCTCAAGAACCGATCAACTATGCTCATTTAAGGTACCAGATGTGAACCCAGGAAAGTTACTTCCGGATAGCGTTGAATTTTCTATGGTTGCTGGTGATTTTGTAGATGTTTACAAAAAAGAGAGTGAGAGAGAATTTTGGGATTGTATTGCTACTTGCTTTTTTATTGACACGGCAGCCAATATTTTTGATTACTTAAATACTATTTATCACTCTTTAAAAGATGGGGGATACTGGATCAATTTAGGGCCATTGTTGTGGCATTATAATGAAATGGGAGAAAATAGATTTTCCATAGAGATTACTTATGAAGAGTTGAAACAAGTTGCACAAAAGATGGGATTTGAGTTTATTTATGAAAACACTAATGTGGAAAATACTTACATTTCTTCGTTTGGAAATGAGAGACACTCTTCTATGAGGAGAACAATATATCATTGCGTGCTTTTTTCTGCCAGAAAAATTCCACGATAATTGTTGTTGTCTGATAATGGGCTATGACCACTTGTGGTTGGATTCATTGCCTTCCATGGACAACTCTTGTTTTTCTTTTGTGGTCCATACCTCACCTTTAAGACAAAGTGAGCTTTATGCATGACCTCAAAAAGATTGAGTGCATAGGGAAATAAACACGTACCTGTCGAAGGAACTTCATTTTGACAAAAAAATTATGGAACCAAAAAATTCAACCAGTTGAGTGATTGAGGTTTATTGGATTGGCTGCTCTGCTTTCAGACAAGCAGGTATGACTGTTTCAAAGCCGTCACATTGAGATCGTGCATAATCATAAGGTGTGTTGCCATTGGCATCTTTAGCATTGATATCTTCATGATATTCATTAACCAAAAGCGGGATCAAATTCCATCTCTTGCAATCGCTACACGCCAAATGCAATGCAGTGAGATTACTTCCTTTCGCTTTTTGGTTCAGTATAAGTGGTTGCTTCTTGATCATTTTCACAATGCACTCATCAGAAATACTTGTCGAAGTCATAGCCAACAGCAACACTGGAACTGATGTAATTTCCAATAAATCTTCAGGTAGTATATAATCCATTAAATAATCAACGACAAAGGTTGGCATTTGCAAAAACAATAGGTGATGAAATAAATTAAATTGTTGAATACGATGATATTTTTTGACCTCAAAGTTCTTGAATAACTGATCAATGTCTTTCACAAATCCTCTTAAGGAAGAAAATGCAGGTAGAAATGTTCCAATCATCAAGTTTCCAAGAATATTTAACAGCAATTCTCTAAATTTTTCGACTGTGAGGATAAGTTGTCCAGTCATTAATCTCTCTTTGAGAAAAATATTAATAACTTGTTCTGCAAGCTCCGAAGGTAACAGTGGAATGGTATCAAATATATTGTTCATAATATCATGCCCGTATTGAATACAAGACAATGCAAAATCTGACGGACATAGCTTTCCAAAGCTACAATTCGAATATCGATTATTCAGGTAGAGAGCATATTGTACAAGTGGTAAATAGGTGGAATTTGTTTGTATATCATTATTTAGGGCCCAATTAAAGTGTTCCAATGAATGTCTCTTCAAAACAACGTGTAACATATCTTTCTTTTCCAATAATGATCTTTCACTTTCAATAAATATTGCTCTCAACAAACTGGATCCATCGACCTGACAAGGTTCAATATTAGCATATGTTTGCATCATCCTCTCCAATGAAGAAGCGTTGATGTTGTCAATATGTAGTTCAAAGGCGCGCTCTGGTTGTTTTAGAATAGTGAAGCGAGAGGTATCAAAACCCTCAATATATAGCTTTCTTAATCTTTCACACACAAGGAGCATTTTCTCTAAACCATCATGACTGATGTAGCCTCTATTAAGATTAACAATTTTCAAAGTTTCAATGTTTGGCAAACGGCATTTCTGTTCCCATAATTGTGCGAAAATTGTGTGAATACTTCTTGGATAGTACACCAATAATGTCAAATTCTTTAGACCTTTCAAATCTTGTAACAGAATTTCAACGAATTGTATGTTGTGACCTGTTAAGGGAACAATTAACGTGTGAATAAAATGATTCTCTCGATGATGATGTCTTTGAAATACATCTCCAAAATAATTAGGAGAATAAACATTTCTATACAGGTCGATTGTGTTGCGAAATATCGATAACATCTTGGTGATATTTGCATGGATACGATTTTCATGTTTTCTTAAAATAGGCTTTTCAACAGTTCCGATTTCAAAATGAGTGGTCAAAGTGACAAACTCTTTTTCAAATTCACGATTCTCACATTGTAAAATATCAAACATCAACTCATCTTCATTGAGCTTGTTTTCTGAGGATTCTTCATATTCTTCTTCATATTCTTCATCACTTTGAAAGGAAGAGGCATATTCAATGGCTGTTGTGTCTGCTTCTTTTAATGCACTGGCCACTGATTCGTAAGAAATAAATCCTTTTTCAATACTTCCAAGAGTCATTAATTCTTGATGTGCTCCTATCAAGCTTAATATCATGAAATGCTTGTTGAAAGTCACGAAATCTGAAAGATCCAATCCTTCACTTGAAATTCGTGTGGCAATAATATTTTCTAAAACTTGTTTGACATCTTGACAAATGATACGATGTTTAAAATAACTGAGCCACCATGGATCGATGACTTCCAGTTGTTTGGGATCCAAAATGGATGAATAAATATTGTAAGATTTTGTAACCATGCTCTTGGTAGATACAAAGCAAATAATGTAGGCTTTTGCATCCATAGGAAGTTCTCGTAGTTTTTGAGAGCCCTCTTCTGGCCATTCCGTTGCGTTCTGTCCATTCGGATCACTTTGAATATGTTTTATCGGTTTTTCCGGGTCGGTCGTGTTTTTTATATCTTTCAAAATCCACAATCTTGCAAGTCGAGAACAATAACTGTAAGGCACATATCTTGAGAGTAAATCAAAATGTTTTGATTGATCATTTCTTTCAATCCATCGATTAAATTTTTGAAAATTATTCGGATGCTCATAGATGCGAGGTCTCCAAGTTAGAGAATATCTTCCACCACGAGATCGTACCATTTTTTTGTAAGAACAAGAATTTCTAGAGTTGGTTCAACACTGACCGATTGTAGCCTAAAGGTGAAACAGAGTTCCTTATTTGAAAATCTTTCATCAACTGTTTCATTCATCACTCACAATCTTGAGAAAAAATGAAAGAGAACAAGCAAGAGGAGGAAGTTTCAAGACCATCAGGCGTGGAGATTTTGGAGGAGGATCAGAGCTTGCCTGTTGCTGTCGATCCACAAACCACAAAATCATCATCATGGCGTCGGAAAAAAGACACGAATGCACTACTGGCACTTCTGGATTGGTACAAATACTTGTTGGATCGTTACCCTCCCGTGTTGGTCAAATCATTAACTGGAGCGCTTATTTCATTCCTAGCGACAGTTTCAAGTCAAAAAGCAATCAAGAGAATGCCAAAAGTAGACTGGACGAATGTTATCAATTTTACCATCACGGGTGGTGTCTGTGCAGGCTTCTCTCATTATTGGTACATTCTGTTGGATAAGATCATGGTACAACTCAAGTCCATGAAGAGTTTACGACCTATTGTTTACAATAGAACACTCGAAAGGTTTGCAATCATTCCAACCCTCATTGATCAAGCCTTCTATGCTCCCTTCATCAATGTTGTATTCATCTCAGTGTTAGCCTTTCTTGAAACCCGATCATTCTCAGTGGACAAAGCCTTAATGAACGTTAAGAGAGATTTCTGGACCACTCTCACTCGTGGATATATGCTGTGGCCAATTGCGACCATTGTTGTCTTGTCTGTGGTGCCTTCGGAACTGAGAGTCTTGTTCTTTAATATTGTTGGATTCTTTTGGAGTTTATATTTGGCCTATGCTTTGTAATTTAATCATTATTGAATCTATACTGGTGTCGTGTGTATGACAGTATGGTCATGTAAATAGATGTAAATAACGCTTTCTACGTACCTTTATTTCAACAACCCTTGATGATTCTTAATCAATCACAACAAGACAAGGATCAAACTCCCTCTCATGGCAAACTCTTGTTCATTTTACTATCTATCGAGTATTCATGAACACTCGAATCGTATCATCCCTAATATGAAGAGTTGAACAATTTTCTCAAAATTTTTTGATTCAAAAAAAATGAGCAACTTTCAACAAGGCACAAAATTACTCAACAAGTCGCAACATTTGATAAAAAGTTTTCATGTTTCTCCGTTCATATCACTCGTGTATAAGAATGAATCGGGAGAGGTGCAACAGAACAAAGTGGCCTTCTCGAATATTTCTCAACAATTTTATGTCTGCTGTGCTGATGATAAAATTAATATTATTGAGTATGCCACCGGAGAACGATTATACACCATACAAGCAGATTCAAATGTCAATTGCATCTCATTGAGCTCTGATGATAGATTTCTGGCTGTGAGTTGTAAAAGTGGTCAAGTTACAATTTATAGCATGAAACAATTGAAAGCTTTGAGAACACTTCGTGTGGGTGTTTCATCTCCGGTGATCCATTTAGCATATTCACCAGATGATACTTTCTTGGCAATGGCTCATGGAGATGGTAGTATTGATATTTACTTGACCACAGGTGATCAAGAAGAAGAGACAACAACATCTCAGCAACAAAACTTTACTAAATTATTGTTCACTATTAGAAAACATCATCAAGCTCAAATACATTTAATGAAATGGATTGATAATTTGTGGTTAGCTTCCTGTGGTTTGGATGGTGTGAAAATTGTGCAAATTGGCAATGAAGAGGACGAGAGTCGACCTTTCAAAATTATTGCCAAACTTCATGACAATAGAAATGACATCCGAGAAGTGATTTTGTTGAAAGAAGAAGAAAGCGAGTCTGAAAGTAGGCCTGTCTACCTTTTTACAGCAGGTTATGGATCTCTCTATCAATTCACTTGGACCTCAAACGCGTTTACTCTTTCAAAGACAATTCCAATCAAACACTACGTGACAAGTTTAACTGAAATCAAGACAATAGAAAAGTCATTCACACTCGTTGGTTGCACACCAGTGAAGAAAAAGAACAATTTAATTCGAGTCAAAGTGAAAAAGCCAACTGCACAAGAAAAACAATCCAACAAGAAAAAGTCAGATAATTCTGATTTAGTAGACGAAGGAGTTAAAGTTGAATATATTCCAGAAAAGTCGATCATTGGTCTTTCTCAGCTGTTCAAAATATCTGACTCTGAAATTTTTGCAGTTACCGTAGATTCTAATTTTGCAATTTTCAAACAGGTGACAAAAGATGACAACAATAACTCTAAAGTTAATTTAAAGAAAAAACTTGGCAAAAAAGAAGATGTGACAGAAATTGCCTCCTCAGGATTATTATTTGAAAAGACAGGACAACGACTAGGTTTCAACGACGATATCCTTGACATGGCACTTTTTACCTCACGAAACATGTTAGCGGTTGCCACTAACTCTGAAAACATTATTCTGATGAATGTGAAGGATGCGAACCAAGATCCATTCGAAATTGTTGGTCACACTGAAATGGTTCTTTCTATGGACCGCTCCAAAGACAAAGAACAACGGTACTTGGTGACAGGTTCTAAGGACAAAACAGTTCGAGTTTGGGATGTTTCCAAGTATGGAAATACCAATGGTGATGATTTTGTCACTCCTGTCGCTGTAGGTACAAGTCACTTGAGTGGTGTGACAGCTGTTTGTGTATCAAATCACAAACGAAAAGTGAATGACTCTGATGTGGAGGACTTTTCTATATTCTCTGCTTCTGATGATGGTGTTGTCAAAAAGTGGCAACTCTCCAATTGCAATTTGTTAGGAACCACTGCAGAATGTCACAAGAAAACAGTCAGTGAAATTGCAATTTCTCCAGATGATTCTTTAATTGCCACAGCAAGTGCCGACAAGACTGCCAAAGTTTTGGATGCTAATGATTTAAAGGTTGTTTTTGAATTTCCGCACAAGAGAGCAGTTTGGTGTGTTAAATTTTCTCCTGTTGACAAAGTATTAGCCACTGGCTGTAGCGATAATAATATCAGAATTTGGTCCTTAAAAACAGGAAATTGTGTTAAAGTTTTGGAAGGACATGACACTTCAGTGTTGAAAATGCAATTTTTGAATAATGGTTCACAATTGATTTCTGCAGATGCCAATGGCGTTGTTCGACTTTGGGTCATTAAGACTGGAGAGTGTATCAAAGTGTTTGGTGATGCTCACAAAGATAGAATTTGGGCGATTGCAGTGGATCACAAAACCAATCAACTCATCACTGGTGGTGAAGACTCGATCATTAATATTTGGGAAGATAATACAGAAGAAATTAAGGAAGAGCAACGAAAAGAAGTGGATTTATCAGTCATTCAAGATCAAGAACTTCGAAATTTAGAAAGACAAGGAAAGATGAAAGATGTTTTGAAAAAGGCAATTGAATTGGATCGACCAAAACTCACGTACAGCACCATTGAGAAACTCATCAAGACCGATGAGAAGAAAGTTCTTGATGCTCTCATTTTGGAATTACCTAAACTTCATTTAATGCATCTATTCCAATATTGTATTGATTGGAATTCTAATTCAAAATTCTCTCAAATTGCACAACTTGTTCTCAAAACAATGTTTGATTTACTAGATCCATCCTTTGTAGATATTGCCTATGAAAAATCAGTGGATGCACTAACACTCTACAGTCAAAGACATTTGAAACGAATTTCATATTTGGAACAAAAAAGTTTCATTTTGGAACATGCCCTGAATCAAATGAATGCTCTCACGCCTCTTCACTCCACGAGTAGTAGAAACAACAACAATATTGAAACTCTTAAAGAATTATCCAAGAAGAGAAAAGAAATGAGTAATATTCACGATGGAGAACAATCAAAGAAAGTCACCAAACAACCTTTACAAATCAAGACAGTTGAAGTGGTGGATGAAGATGTGGAATTTTCTGATTATGGTGAAATGGATGATGATGCAGAGGAGGGTGATGATGAACAACAGGCAATCTCTCACGAACCATCTCTGAAAAAGGTCAAACAATAAATTGTTTATTTCTTGTCACAAGATATTACAAGGTGGTGGTGTTTAACAGGTCATCAATGATTGGCTCGAGTTTAAGAATGGCTTCTTTACCCATTGCTTCAACGGTGTAAACTTTCCAATCTTGATCGATCGATTGACTTTCTGAAATAATTTCCTTAATTTTTTGACAGATGCGTTCATTTTCTACAATGAGACATTTTTCTTGACCTGTGTGTTCATTCATGACAGAAATTTCCATTAGTTGTTGTTCTGACTTGGAATGATCACTCTCGCGAACTTGTTGGGATGGATGCTGATTCAAAGTATTATTAGGACTACTCCTTCCAATTTCTCCAATAAAAAGATATTCATGTTTTGTGAGTTTCGGAACCTGAACATTGGAATGCAATTTAAAAAGGTCCTCGTATTTCCTTCCTGTGAAAATATCAAATCCAACCAAATACTTTTTCATGACATTCTTTCCTGGTTTCGATGTTCTGAACTCGGTAATGATACATGGATGTTGTTCACGAAGGATGACAAAATCTCCAACTTGGATTTGTGTGCAACTGATTTCTTCAACAAGGACATTTGGAGACATTTTTTTAATGGTGTTGAAATGGTTCTGCAATTTGGAAAATGCATTTTCATTTAAGAAGGAGTTTTAAAAGATGTTTCCTCTAGCTCCTGAAGAACACTCCAAGAAGTCAAGAAATTGGAGGAAATTCCAAAAAAAATAAAGAGGGAGTGTCACCACTTCCCATCAATTCACACAAACAAAAAAATGTCTCAACCACCAAGAACTATTTCTCCCACACTCCGATTGGGTGTAACCTTCACCGCTCAAGTCTCCGATGGAATCATCACCTCTCTCACATCGGAAGGTGATTTTCTGTGGGGAAGAAACGGACGCTATCCCGTCAGTTATTTCCTCATGGAAGCTGCTTTGGTGAATAATGTCATTGGAAAGAGTTTTGATTCGGCACTGAGACAAGTCTTGTCTTTCATGGACAATATGATTGAACGAAGAAGAAAGTATGAGAGTAGTTTCGGTGGTGGAGATGCTCTTTATGAAACTCTTACTCAAGAATTGGAATTGGATATTAAGGAATACTTGCAGTTGAATTATCCGAGTGATTGGATTCAAAAAGCAATCATTGAGGAGATTGCAGTGCGATATATGGATATTGTAGTACATGGTCCTTTGGCGTTCATCCCTGGAGAGAATGCTCCTGAGGAAGTCATTCAAAAGCAAAAGGAATCGCTTCAATTTCTTGCTGCCATGGAAAAGATGTTATCCAATAAATAAACTGTCAACCAACGATGGGTTTATATTTAACAACATTCAATAGCCAATTAATTGGTTCTATTTTTCTGTGTCCTTGTAAGCATAAAAAGAGAACAATTAGAAATAAGCAAAGAAAAAGGTCACGACCAACAAAATGTAAACAATGACCAACGCTGATCCTTGAAAGTAATTTGTCTTTCCTTCCAAACAAACATAGTTCAGAACCAAAATGGAAAAGAAAATTGCAATCAAATTGAGTTGTGGAAACATCAAGTTGAATACACGTGACTCATTGGATCCAAATAGAATGGCACTGACTACCACGAGTACGGGCATTTGAATGAGAGCAATTTGAATGGAGGCTGTATTTCCAATCTCAAGAGCGAGAGAAATGTTATTTTGTAAGGCGAATTGGATGGCATTCACAAATTCAGCACAACTATTTTACAGAAAGTTATTGTATGATTCATCATTAATAGGGCTCTTGATCTCATCGACAATACCTACCTTGGTACAATACTTAAAAAGGTAAGTCCTGCAAACATTGGATTAATGTGAAGATAATCAAACGCAGGTTCTAAACTCGAAGTCATCACTTCGGCAACTAGTGAATAAATAATTGTGCTCACCACAAGAACGACGACACAAAACCAAATTGGCCAAACTGCACCAATTTCATTTTCTTCTTCATGATTCACAACATCTTCCTTGTTGTCTGGAACAGGTGGTCTTTCAATCAAAAATCGATGAGTCTGTTAGTTCATATGAATGATTCAGATCAACAATTGTCAGAGAAATTTAACACTTGTCATTATTCACTCAACTCTCGTTGAGAAACATACCTTGAGTGAAAAAATTAATCCAATGAGGTACGCGATAGGAAGAATGGCAGCAACGGCGTATGCAAGTGGGAGCGCTCGACCTGTATAGACCTCATCTTGCATTGGATCCTTCTCTACATAGGTACAACCTTCACAAATTAAGCCATACGTTCCATTCATTGGAGTACCATTCACACTGGTGACAATTGGAAGTTTGGCAGTTGCTAAGAGTTGAGTTTGATTTACAACCGTATTCACACAAGTTCCACATTTCAGTTCATAGTGAGTACTGAACATTTGATAAAATAATGAAGGGAGAAGAGCTGCCACAACACTAATGAGCAATAAAGCACTTGAAACACTAGCTGCATGTCTGTTGAAAAATTGTTGCTTGTACCGTATACCTCCAATGACCATTGCAAGACCAGGCACTAACAAAGCGGCCGCCAGTAAAGCGCCCGTGACAGCAGTCACAACCACGTCATGCATATTCTTCCAAAGTGCTAAAATGTAAAAAATTAATTCAATAATACTTCCACAAAATGCATTCAATACTGCTCCTATCAAAAAGTTAGTTTGGGCTGATATTGCAGCAACAGCCTTTCCAATCAAATATGCTAATGGAACTGTTGAAATTAAACAAAAAGGGAAAATCAGTAGTGAATAATTTTTCACAAATTCTTCGCCAAAAGCAAAACCAAGGACGATCGAAACTGCAGAGAAAGGTAGCATATTAAACAATATCACATTAAGTCCAAAAACGCTATGTTTGTAGTAATAAATATTGGTTGCTTGAAATGTGCAAAGTATAATCTCTGAAGACACATGAGGTGGATATTCATCATTTACATTTAACACTAAAATGTTCCTGAAAAGAATTTTGATTGCTTCCATATGAATTTTGCTTGAGGGAATTCCAACAATAGAAATCCATGTCACAACAATGCAAATAGTGTGAAACACAGTTAAAATAGGAGCAAGAAAAATTATCCAAATAATAAATGAAATAACTCCCAAACAAGTGATATCCCTCTTTTTTTTCCTAGCTTTGTTTTTTGGTGAGTTAGTGGTTTTGCTTAGTAGTGATTGACTGGTCATCAATTGTTGTTGAAATTCGTTGGTGCCTTCTCCATGACTTGGAAAAGTTGAATAATAATTCGTGTCACTCTTAATAATTTCAGTAGCTGCATTTTCCACGTCTACAGTTGTTGGTATGATCGATTGTTGCTCTCCTTCCTCTTCTGGCATTGGAGATTGATTTTCGCTATGATAAATCTTTCTATAATTTCTCATAACCTCAATATATTTACCAAAAGGATATAAATAATAAAAAGCAAAACTGAAACACTTCTTTCCATATGGTATCGTAACAATTAATACACAGCTCAATACTCCCACAAGCATGTAAATTAAAAACATCCACCAACCAATCCATAACAAGTACAAGACATTTCCAACACTCAAAAACCGACTCTTTTGCACTCCTCTCAAATTACTCTTAGAATTCCACATATACAATTGTTTCACCTTCTCACTCCGATCCTCTAATTTACGTTCTCCCAACATTCCCTTCCAAGGTTTAAATCCAAACAAGTAGTTTCCAACATTCTTATGAGAATCAATCGGGTTTGAAGCAGGCTCTAGAACAATGGTAGAATTTTGATTTTCCGTAGCGCCAGTGGTGATCATCAAGGCATCCTCTCCGTAATTGATGATTCCTTCCTCCTCCTCTTCATGATGTTCAATGAGTTTTCTCGTCGTCGTCTGAGAGAATGGAGAATGACTTTTTCGCTTCCGAACGATTGAAGCAGTAGTGGTTGGTTGAACGTGAGCATTTGAAGTTTGGATTCTTTCATCAGGATGTTCTTGTGTTGGTAGTGATGGAGATAGGAATGAACTTGTGGTTACAATGAAAGGCTCATCCACAACTTCATTCCCGACGGCATCTTTCATGGTGTAATGTTATAGTAAATTATTCAATGGAAATGCACGAATAAGAAGAAGAAGACCTGTAGAATGGGTGAGAAGAATGTGTTGTTCAAAGATGTTACCGAGATCTCTAACACTCGTTGTTGTTGCTCGCAGTAGTAGAAGCGGAATTCTGAAAACGAGAAAATGCGCGCCAATTTTGAAAATTTTTTTTCTTCAATTTTCAAGAGTTGAAACGCGTGTGTTCAAAGAAATTATAATGACGATATGCCATTCTTGGGTATTTCATTGTTTTTGTGACTATTGTCCAGGAAGTGGTTCGTACATCACTTACAATGCTGGTTGGTTAATATCATTGGTCATTCAGTAATGAATCCATTCGAATTGGATCGATAGTATTTTTTCTCCATGACAGAAGAATGTGAAAATTATTCGTAATCACCTTATTAATAATCGCACTTGGGGTAGATACCTCGCAATTAATCTCTCTTCATCGGAACACTCATTAAGGAATTCTTTTCTCTTCAATTTCAAAAATTGAGTCATTGTCTTGACTTGATTTCAACTCTTCTTCCTTAATGACAACCAACGTGTGACCATCTGCAAAAATTCCTCTCTTGAAACAGTTGGGATAGGTCCAATTCATACCAGGAACGACTTTCTTCATCCAATGCTTGAATTTTGACCTTTCAGGATCTGAGGATGTAACAGAAGAACCACTCGCCGTCGAAATGCAATCATCGTCGACCACAGCATGATTCTGCGGTGAGGAATGGTTACTCATGAGTTCCGAGTTCTCTTGATGGTGGTGCTCGAGTTCTTTCTTTTCGGTACTCGTTTTGGCAACTCCAGCAACAATGGGTGCTGTGGCCACAGTGGAAACACCTCCAAACGCTGCGGCAGCACCCATTCCTACAAGTCCAATTCCTGCCAATGCTCCAGCTGCAAGACCAAGTCCAGCAGCAACACCAGCACAAACACTCCCTACAATGGGTAATGCCTTATCCCAATTTGAAATTAAATTGTCTCTTGAAATGTCAAAAGGTCCAACTTCTATTGTGAAATGAACTCGTCCTATTCCTTCAAATATTCCTAATCTTCCAGGTGGAATGATTAACTGATGTAATGGTCCTACTTGAGATAGAATGACATTTATGGTGTGTGACGTTTTGTTGTCAATGAGAAGTGAGCCATTGAGAGTTCCGTTATGGTACAATTTTCGAACAATCAAAGGTGTGTGAATCAAGTTACAAAAATGTGGATATTTCTTTAACAAATTCGTCCAATAAATAAAATCTTGTTGATTGAAAGCGAGTAATTCTTCTTCTTCATCTGTTAAATTGTTCACATCCAAGTTATTGGAATCCGAAGAAATAAATAATTGATGATGCTCAAATGTGTCCTCTTTGTTAATCTTTTTTGATGAAAGTATTTCAATTTCATTTTCTTCTAGAAATTGATTCTCTGTAATGACATGATTTTTTGTGGTTGCATCGTTGCGATGTTTGTTTAAATGATTTTCGCACATGACTAACTGACATTCTTTACAACAATGTGACGCCAAAACCACTTGATTATTTTCATAGAGACACATATCACAAGGTGATTGAATATTTACAGCCTTCTTCCGAGAATTCAAATCGGAATATTGCAATTCTTCTTCTTCCGCACTGCTGCTCGTCATTTCGGTCGTCATGGGAACAAATTCCATCGATACCTTCTCCGTGGAGGGTGAATTTGATGTATTGATCATGGGTTCGCCGTTACTATGGTTGGTGGTGCTATTATTACTCGACGACATTCCAACCAACGGAGTGTTTGATAATAAATTGGATGAAGCTTGACCGAGAGTGGCGAAAAAATTGTTGACTGGTTTGAAAATGGACATTTTTTTACAATAATGAATGTTGTCACCGCGGCGTGTGTTGGAATGAATGGAGCTTGGAAATACACCATGTTCTAAGAACTGAAAAAAATTGGATGGTGAATTTGGATGATTCGATGATGCATTACAAATGGAGAGCTCTGCTTATTTAGAATTTTCATCTTGCTTCCTGTTCTTGGTTTTGATTTGTTTAGACTTCTTTTTTAGTTGATAAACGTACTTGTCATGGATTTCAGTTTTGATAGGTTCAGACAATCCATGAAAGTGAGACAGTTTGGAAAATTCGTCATAATGATCGACCACTTTCTTAATACAGTGATTCTTGATACCATGTTCATTGTACATATCCGCAATAATTGCTATATCCAACGCATTGTCAATAGTGATGTTCTCAATAACGATACGTTTTGCATGTTGTGAAATTTCGTTCAATTGAAATAAATGTGAACAAATGAATACTTCAATGGCAATTTCAATGGGAATATCAATTTTGTTTGTGTACAAGTATCTCAATACGCACAGGATGCCTTTCAGTGAAACTTCATTGAATTTCATTACTCCAGTGGTTGACTCTTCCATATTGGGCGCAAAAACTGCTTCAATATATGTCGATCGTGCAATAAAAAGCTTGTGAACTCGTAGTTGGTGCATAATATCGTTGGTGTGAGGGTCTAAAATTTGAATAGTGACGTCGGCGTAAAAGTTATTGTGGCACAGTTCTTCAATAATATTATCCACAGAATGTTCTACACTTTGATACAATTCAATCAAATCTTCCTCAATTTCATAAATAACAGAAGCAGAAGAATCCATATATAATTTTTTACGATTATAAATATCTGCAAATATTTCATGCTTGCGATGATCCATTCCACAAATTTCAACTATTTCTTGTAAGTAATGTTCGTACATATTGTCTGGAAAAGATATATTGTCTGTGTAGAGGAACGAAATCAATATTTGAATAGACTCTAGGTGGTAGTTGCTAATTTCAATGAGTAGTTTTCCGTCTTCTTGTGTGTTGCTTTCCTTGAAAATATTTGAAAAATAAGCGCTTCTTGCCGCTAGAACACATCGATGAACATAAAGCACCCTATTGTCTGTGAACTTTAGAACTGTGTCATAACCTTGAATGTCTCCTAGGGCTTGCTTCTCTAGTTGTACCTTTAAAAAATTGTTCATTCCGTTTGCAGTTCCAACGTCTAAGGGATGTTTAAGAGAAATGGCATAATCATTGTGTTAAACACGTGAAGGTCATTCAATAATTGATGTGGTTTCATATAATTTCCTCCGTAAATATAAACATCATTTCCAATTTGGCATTGAGCATGGTTCTCTCGTGGTAAAGGTGGATCTGAGCCATAAATTCTCTCTCTTTTTACACATGAAGGTGATACGGCAATTGTGCACTCAACAAGCTGATTTGTTAATACACCGGAATGGACATTTCTTCCTCCAAAAATCCAAACTCGATTACCATAGTAACTGTATGAATGGTTTGTCGTTTCCACTACCTCTTTTGTTTTTAGAGAAAGAGAGGTCTTTCTCCAATGTGACAACTCATTATGTGGCTCTTTAACTAGAAATTTGTCTGGATCACATAAGATAAAAGATGTGTGAAAATCGAAACAGAATAATGCATCCCCTAAAGATACTAGAATAGTGTCCTTGTTGACGGCTGGTATAAAGTTGAAAAATCGGCGGCCAAAACGCTCTTGCATTCCGTAATAGATTTCTGTAAAATTAGACCATTTCTTTACCTTTGAATCGTACGCAATAAATGTGGGATATTCTTTTCCATCCTTGACACCACTTGCATAAAATATATAGGGCATCATCGGGCAGGCTATTAAAATTGAACTATCAATACGGGCTGCATTAGCAGAGACTGTCGTTTGAGATTTCTCTTTCATAATGTCATGATTTTGAAAATCATCTGAAACATAACTAACTTTTTCAAAAGACATCTTTTCCAATTCCACATATTGCAGAGGTAATTTCCGAATCATGGTGCCACGGTTTTGAAAATTTTCAAAATGATTTTCATAAATACTATTCCACTTTCTATCCATTATTGGAGCTAGATCGTCCTTCTCTTCTACTTGCTCCTGGACTTCAATGATGATTTTTGATTCAGAAGAATGTCTCTTTCTTGATTTGGATCTTTTCAACTGGTTTTTGAAAGAGGCTTTCTTGGGAGCTGAACACCCAGAAGAAATTAATTCTTCCACATTGGTTGCTGATAAAGAAGGTCGTGATGGATCATCATCAACATCTTCATTCTCACTTTCTTCCACTGCTTCTTCTGATAAACTTCGGTACAAGGCTCTTTGCTCTTCCATACTCATAAACTCATCATTGGAACTGGCATATTCTTCATCATCGGAAGAAGAGGGTGATCCGTATAGTTCAGCCAGGAACTTGGACATTTTTCTCGTGAGTGATTGATGTTTCTTTGTTGATTGCCCATCATGAACATGACAATTCAAGGTTGAATCTCAGCAGATTGCTTCATCCAAATTTTCATGAAACCACAATGATCAGGAGATACTGAATTTCGTTAGGAACCAATCATCCAACCATCCGAAAGGATATACAAGCAACCCAACTGCAAAAAACAAAACAATCTTTCAAAAAAAGGAATGTCCAACGCTGGTTGCTGATCCTACAATGTTATTCTCTTTTTCCTTCATCTTCAATTTTTTTTAAATAAAAAAATGGCTCGAAATCAAGAGAAGGCTCAGTCCATGCTCAATCGATGGACTAATTTCCGAATCGGAAATGAATATGTAGAAAAGAAGCGACCTCCACATCCATCATTTTCTAAAACGGTGAAGGCTTGTGAGCATTGGAGAAGAAAAAGTGTTGAAGGAAATTGCTGAAAAAGTTACGATCATACAGAATGCCTCACTAGGAGAACATCGGATTCGGGATTTGAACGATGAGATTAATCGATTAATTAAAGAAAAAGCGGAATGGGAAAAACGGATTGTAGAATTAGGAGGAATTGATTACTCAAAACAAGATATTAAATTACTTGATGATAATGGTCAATTAATAGAAGTGGGAGGAGGATATAAATACTTTGGAGCGGCACGGGAGCTGCCTGGAGTCAAAGAACTATTGTTTGAAAGACAAGAAGCAGCCGAAAAACAACAGAAAACAAAGATATCTGATTTGTACAAAGATGTTGATTCTTTTTATTATGGATATGATGAGGATATTGATGATCCAAATTTGAGGATTGCTGAAGAAAAAGCGGAAGAAGAATTAAGAAAAGATTTCTACAATCGTTACTTGGAATCGACTGAATTCAAAAAGAAAAAATTTTCTGGTGAAGGAGTTCAAAATGTAACCAGAGAATTATCACAAGCAAAACCTTTTGGCGTGCTAGGAGAAGAGGATAAGAAAACGTTCATTTACAATGTTGTGGTTCCGTCACAAAAGGAAATTGAAAAGCTACTCGTTGAAAAAAGGAAAGCAGAAGTGCTCAAAGAGCTTGGAGATATTTGAAAGGTCGTATTATATGATTGCGATACCAACAAGCTCAATAAAAATCTTCTTATGAACTGTACAATTCCAGTTAGTAAGCGCTGATGTTGGAATGTGGAGGCATCGAAGAGATTAGTACGAACATATGGAAAAATAAAACGAAGGAAAAAGGTTTCAACATTATATTGAGCTCAACCTCTATATTCTAGTTATCAAATAAATATAATATAATTTCACAAGTTTAGCCACCTCCACAAGGACATTTGCTTCCGCCATTGTTTCCTCCAGTATTATTCGAAGTGTTTGAGTTACCAGTATTGCCTGTGTTAGTGTTATTATTTGTATTCGTTGGATTTCCAACATTGACAGATCCTAAATCATCATCTTTGACAATTCGTGATTGTTGTTGTTTTGATAAATATGCCTTTCCAAGACGTTGGAAAATGTCAGTGATTCCACTCGAGTTCTTCGCGCTTGTTTCGTTGAAAATTGCTCCAATACTATTTGCATATTTCTCTCCTTGAATTCGTTCAATTTCTCGAAGATTGTCCAGGTCGCTCTTGTTTCCTGTTATTGCTATTATTACGTCTTCTGGTGAATGTGGAATGAGTTCCTAAATTATTGTTGTTTTTTTTGAAAATGTGATTTTGTAACTAGCTATCAAATGACGGACTAAATACGTACTTTGTACCAATTTTTGGCATCCTCAAAAGTTTTTTGTCTCGTAATGTCATATACAATAATTACTGCATTTGCTTTACGGAAGTATAAGGGTACGAGTGCTAGTATTGTGTGAAAAGCCACAGGTGATGATGATCATCGGAAAGTTTCATTTCACAGGTCATATCGATAATTGTGTTTCAAATAATTTATCTTCTTGCTCGTCGATGAAGAAAACAGAGACTAGTTCACTTACATTTATATTGTTCTTGTCCTGCTCTATTTGGTGAAAATATTGTTGGTGAAGATAAATTAAAATCCAAACTTACGTGTCCCAAACATTGAATTTAATTTGTGTATCATTAATAGTGAGAACTTTTGATAAATAGGAGGCTCTATGTGAATTGAACCATTAAAGAAATATAAAATTTGATGATGATGATCATCGTTTCAAGTAGCAAAAGTCCATAATTTGGTCATCCGATGATGATTTGAAAATTACAAAAATGTAAGATCTTGTTCTCAATGATTCAACTTACCCGATGGTAGTTTCAATGTATTCTTGAAAATTGTCTTTCACAAATCGCATCACGGTACTTGTTTTTCCAACTCCCACTGACCCAACCAGCACAACCTTCATCTCGTGTGTTTTACCACTCAGCGACGTTGTTGATGAATCGATCATTTTTACTTTTTTGAAAGTTTTAATGCAATTCCTCACAGGGTTCTCCACATTCTTTTGGGAAGGTTAAAACATCGGCTTCTATTTGAGTGTTCTTTATAAAGTAACTGTTTATTAATTAATAGGATGCTATTAACCTTCATCACAACTTGGTAGATTAAATTTTCAAATTCCTTAAATTTCAACCATTGCAGAGTAACTATCTCTGACAGGAGAACGAGACAACGACTCGAACGATCTCTTTCGGTTCTTCCACGAGGTTATGTGAAATGATCCAAACTGTCCATCGTAAAAGTCTCGTGAAGGTAAATTCGTTGCAGAGGTAGGAGGATATTCATGTGACAACAAATCTTTCAAATCACTGGCTGAAATGCTGACATTCTTTTTTGGACGTGTCATTATTTCCACGACGACGAGGTTTCTTTGCAACAACTCCTCCATACGCTTAAATCAAACGTTGTTCCTTGAGTGTTGAGCTCATATTCCAGTTTGTCTTCTAAACATAAGCTTATCCAACGTTGTACATTATCCCATGGTCAGGGTTTTTGTGCACACAGGTGCAAGGCCTTGCATTTGTAACAGAGGTGTCTGTGTTCCACAAGCGTTGCTTTGGACCGTTCGAATTCTCGTTTGGAAAATTCTGTGGTTCTTCATAATGGGATCACATACTAAAACACATTCTAACGTTGTTATTTTACACTAGAAATAGTTTACAAGAAGAGGTGTATGATGACTTTGGTTTCCTCCTTGATGCTTGAATTTAAATAATAATTAATAATAAATTACAAAGCTTTGGTCGAGTTGTCTCAAATCACTTTCGCACCACCATCACTCTTGAAATTTTCCTCAAGTTCAACTAAAAGGATCTCGTATCGTGCAGTTCGGGTAATGGAAAATTAATATTATTCAAAAAAATCAAAAAACAACCTCTTGTGCTTTCTCTCTGGTGGTTGCCATTATTATTATTAAATTGTAAACTTGGATTCGTTAGTTACGGCAAGAAAGTAGTAGACAAGATCAAGCATTGGTTTCTTTTTCTCGTATTGAAATATAATAATATACAACCCTAATTGTGTGTTGCTGGATCCCTCCGAACCCCTCAGTATGACCTCTTCTTCCGAGAAAACCTTCCTCTTGGATGGTTTAATTTCCATCGAATACAACACAACCGATCATTATGCCATCATCTCATTTTGTAGTAAGCCTGTAAATTCTTTGACTCAACCCATGATGCAAGGTATCATTGATGCTATTGAGTTGGTGGAGAAAAATAAGGCCATGAATGCAATTATATTCACCTCGGGTGTTCCTAAAATATTCACAGCAGGTTTGGATCTCAAATCCATGTACCAAGTTCCTAAAGTCAAGTTTGAGGAGTTTTGGTCGACTTTGCAAAAATTCTTCTTGAAAGTTTATATTTGCCCATTATTCACTATTTCATTGATTAATGGACAATGTTTTGCAGGTGGATGCTTGTTTAGTTTGGCATGTGATTATCGAATTATTCATAATGATTATTCGATTGGTTTGAATGAAACAAAATTTGGTTTGGTTCCACCAAATTGGTTTTGTGATGCCTACGAAACAGTGATTGGAAAACGTCAATGTGAAATGCATATTCAATTGGGAACGTTGCATACTGCTCAGGAAGCACTCAAAATTGGACTTGTCGATGAAGTTCACACAGACTTGGAGATTATGAAAAATTCTGCTATTAATCAAGTGAAAAAGTGGAATAAGGTTCACCAAGTGGCAAGACGTGCATCCAAGTATGTGCTTAGAAAACCCCTTTACGATAAGATGACAGAAATTTCCAAATCTGATATTGAGTTTGCATCAAATTGGGTTGGATCTCCTGAAGTACAAAAAGCACTTGGAACATATTTGCAAAGTTTACAAAGAAAACCTGAGAGCTCCCAAAGATCATCCAAATTGTAAGGCAGAAATAAATAATGTTTTAAAACAACAAAAATCAATTACAATAAAAAAATGGCTCAGTGTAAAGTGCCGACCTCCAAATCTTCGCTGATTTCACTCATGTCAACCATGTGTGCTGTTTCATCCTCGTGGTCATCACTCTCTTGAATTGGAACTCCTTCATCAACATGTCCAATTTCTTGTGGTAATGGTAAATTAGCAACTTCTTCAAGCCACTTGTGGTTGTACAGGAAGTACCTCTTGCGTTTGATAATATCCGTCCATTGCTCATCCCATTCCGAAATAATGTCTAACATTGTTTCGGCTGTTGATGCGATCTTTTCATTTTCATCTTGGTATAATTCAATAATCACCTTGATGATGTGGTGTTGACTCATTAAACCTTCTCTAGTTGCATTGAACAGCAACATTTTGTAAAAGGCATACATAGTTTGCAGAACAATTTCATCATCTTCTTGCTTTTCAATGAAAATGTTGCATAGAGTGAGAATAATCGGAGATTTGGCAATTAGAGCAGCAGTTTCCTCATCCGATATGGCATTTCCCAACAATATGATTGCTTCCAACAAAATGTCATCGTCTTTTTCGCCTTGTACATTGGTCAAGGTATTGACAATGGTTGTTTTTGTTTTTGTCCCTTTCTTTAGCAAATTGAACAGAAATGTGATAATATCGTATTGCCTAAAGCTCTGTGAAAATGAAAAGGATTTTGAATTACTCATATTTCCAAGTATTCCCAACAATTCTACCAACAGATCATCAGTTTCAGCAATTGAACACATTCCTAAAATATCGTTCACATATGGTTTAAATTGAGGTCCCAATTGAGGATGTTGTGAAATATTTCTCACCATTTTGGCAAGGTTTTGATCTCTCGTTCGTACAAGTCGATCCATAAGGCGAGAAAGGCCTTTGTTATGGAGACACATTTTTGTTGCAACACCCTCTATGCATGAAAGATTGATTGCCAGTGCAATTAACTCTTTTCCCACCCTAGTTCCAGGATATTCTATGACAAACTCCAGTATGATGAATGGAAGCGTCTCTGTTGCGCAGCTATAGCTTGAAAACTCTTCCTCTTGGCTGAATTGATACAGCAGTTTGATGCAAAAGTCAAAGTGGTCAGGAAATCTTAATAGCTCTACTAATTTTGGTGTGACAGCCAGAACGGCTTTTCTGGAATTGGAGTCAAACGTCATGTTTATCAGCAATCGGATCGTCTCATTCAATAGAATTGCGTTTTCAAATTGAAAGAGGTATGAAATTTTTTGCAACAAGCCAGCTTCAAGCATTTCAGACCTACTTTCCTGGAAGACACTCAATTTTCGTAAGAAAGTGACCAAGACACACAACAATTCTGGACTTTCAGCATCTAATGCATTTACCAGGTGAGAAATGAGACCTCTTTTTTTCATTTTGCTTTCAATCCCAATATTTTCCGCCAAGTTCAACAAAATCCTAAAACAAACATAGAGTAGGTTTTCTTGCTTTGTAATTGTCTCTCCAACTTTTCGTTGCTCCTCTATTTTTTTCTCTTTCTTTTGGATTAATTTTTCTCTTCGTTTTTCTTCGTATGCAATGGCTTCCATAACCACAACACCAACTTTGAATTTTGTAATTATTTCATGAAATTGGGAGAAGTGAGAAAAACTGTAAAACACATAGAGAATATTTATCATTAGGTCCATGCTCTTCTTTCCTTCTTCTCGGAGAGTTCGTGCTAAAAGATTTAATAATTGTTCTGCCCATGAATGATAATCATTTGATATTTGTTTTTACATGTCCTTCAGTACGGCACTTACCATGCGAAACCAAATACTGCAAATTGACTGGATTTTTCGAAAGCATCATGATGTAGTACGATGCCTTGACCTTCGGAGTCAAGTCGCCATGCTCATAGAACATTTCAAGATAGCTATCGAGTTGATCGATGGAAATGGATTCCTCCCCTGAGGTCATTGCGGATGATCGCGATATTTTTTTTTTATTTGAAGAGAAAAACTGTACTTGCTTTTGGCGGTCCAACACTCTCTCGAGTTGTATTTTACAAATTTCAAAAACCTTAAAAATGAATCATGTGCTGGACCCGTTGACTCCTAAGGATCAAACAACAACAGGAACGGGAGGGTCGTATTTATCCTCTTCATCGGGCGGCACTTCGCCAACGGCTCTGATGGAGAATGATCTCATCCAGATGATGGATGAAGATGAAGAGGCCATGAGAAGAGTGAGGAATAAGTGGGAGGTCAAAAGAAATACTGGCGGGTTTACTATTCCTTCGTTGAATGATGTAGGTTGAATCATGAATAGTCGTGTTGTTGTTCCGAGACATGATTTACTATGATGTATTTTAATGGTGTAATTTTGTATGATTATATCGAATAATGCATTGGATCGCGTCAATGATGATCCACATCATTATTGTTGTATACTTAATTGTTTCAAACATCATTGGATATGCAGTCAACAACAAGCATACAATCTATTCAAACTCTTTCTTCATCAAACGCTGTCAGCAATAACACGAATAACTTTAACACAAACATCAACAACAACATTAATATGTATTCAACAGCAGGACTAAATAAGAACACAATTAGTACTTATTCTACACCTGCCATGGGTGTCTTCAAAATTCCATCTAATAACAACCTCCCTCTTTCAACAACAAAAGCTCCATCAAATAAGGAATATAGCGAATATCTAGCGAAATTGCAATTACGGAATAGAGAAAAAAAGAGATTGGAGGAGGACCCTCAAAAGAAAGAGCTTGAGGAGCGAGAGAAGGGATTTAGTTTAAATTGGAGTGGAGCCAATAGTCAAAAGAAAAAAGAAGCAAAGAGTTTTAAGCCGACACCCTCTGACGATATTCCAGAACCCACAGCAAAAATTAGAATTAGGAAAAATAGACCCTCTGGGTACGCGGAGAGAAATCAAAGCAGAATGGATGAAAATGCAAGAAGAGGGTGGAAACAAGGAACGGTTAAAATCAAGAAAGAAAATGGTGACATTGAGAGAATTGCTCCTTCCAGAGCTAAATCCATCCGACCTCAAATGTTCGAAGGTGATGATGATAGAGATGAAGAATTTAATGTACACTCTCATGAATCCAACGAGGCACAGGAAAAGGACAGAGAGGAGGAAAATCATGATGGTGATGATATTGAAGATGATATACTTTTCAGAAAGAAAACAAGAGTGACTCTTAACAAAAATGACATAGAAGTAATTCGACGAAGCTTAAGTTCAATGAGCAATACAGAGTTAGCCTCGAAATCGGATTCAACAATATCTACAATGGACACATTAATAGAGAAGCTGAAAAAATTGGATCAACAAAAACAAAAATACCTATTGAAGGTTCTTGAGAAATTAGAGAAGACAGACAAAAAGTTAGAAATTGATGTGTCTGACGATGAAAATGACCAACCTCCTATTCAGTTACTAAAAGAAGCAAAAATCAAATCTGATTCTCTTAAAACAGACAATATAAGTTCAACCTTAGAAATGGATCAATATTGTATAAGAGTTATTAGCACTTGGGGTCACTCTAGTACTGTAGGATTGACAGAAATTGAACTTTATTCTTTCGATTCTACAAAAATTGAGGTTTCAGAAGAACATGTAAATGTAAAGGGAGGATTGGGAGGGAAAGGAAATATTATGAGACTTTTTAATGGAAAGAAAAAAGTATGTATTGCAGTTTTTTGTGAACCACTTGTATTTAATATTATCCTACCTAGACTACAAACGATCAGTACATGTGGCAAACATCTTTACCAACCTTAAGTTATCTAGAAATTGTCATAGACGTTCCAGTCACACTTCCTGTCGTCTCTATGACCTTTTGGAATTTCAACAAAAGTATCAACGTACGTAATTGTTTGTGTGGTTTTATTATCTCTAACAAAGAGTTAAGGAAAGCGTAAAAGGAGTACGAGAAATAGAAATTTTGCGAAACAATGAGCAGTTGTGGAGGGGAACCATTCAACGAGGATGTGGGAACAACATTTTTGACTACTCCACTGCTGTACAATTGTTGTCACCTGAAGAAATGCAAGCCAAGAGATCGTTATTTGCTCCTCCCAAACCTAAACCACCAACGAAAATACCTCAACCAATGATGGATGAACCATTAACCAAAGCTGCCGATATTCAATCTGCAATAACGCAAGAGTTAAATACCAACGATTCTATTTCAGATAGTGAAAGTTCGGAAACTACATCATACACATTGGAAGTGGAAGATGACGACACCGTGGTACAATTTAATGATTCAATCGAAAATGATAGCACTATCGAAGCTGTTACCAAAAATGCCTCTCCTGTAATTCCTCCCCTAAATATTCTCCCTAAAGAAAGCAACTTAACTCAAATCGTAGAACAGAAAGAACATTCATTTCCCTCAATTACAAGTGCTAGTGATCAAAAAGAACCTATTTGGCTCTCTTTGTCGCGGGATACATCTTCGACAGAAAAGAAAGTACCGAAAGGAAATGTACTTGCTGACGCTCTTAAGATGACAAACCCTGAAAAAGTTCCTGTGTGGTTTAGAGAGCTCGATACAAAGGAGAAAACCAGAAAAAAGGAAGATATTGTACTGCCAGAAAAATCTGAAGAAGTTGAGGTTAAGGAACCATCACCTAAAGAAGTTCCTCAACCAATACGTACTTCTAGATCAAGAGGATCGATAGATAATCCAAAAGCTGTAAATACCGAAACCAACAGTCCAAAGTTAGCTCCTGAAAAATCATTAGAACCACTTAAAAAGATTGAAATTCCAACTCAGGCGAAAAGGTATCAATCAAGATCAAAAAGCAGGCCAAAGAGGCCTCAAGTTGTTTACAATTCAGGTTGCAATGTAACGGAGAAATCTTCAATTTCAAACGAAACTTATGATTCCTTGATGAGATTTAAGTATTCTCACCTAGGAAGACTGAAGCCACGAGATGAAGAGTCCAACTTAATTTCAGAACCAACAGAAATTCAACCACCAATTTGGAAGATTGAAAAACGGAGAAGTTCATCGAATATTTTGGAAGATAAGGATTTATTTTATTTGCCTTCTCTTAACCTTACCACACAATCCAAAGAGGATTTCGATGTTGTTGAAGAAGTGGACGAAGACTTTATTATCCCAATTTATCCTTCAGGTCAAAAAATTACAATCAATATTCTTGAAAGTTGGGGCGATCCTCACTACCTGGGATTGTCAGGCATTGAAATTTTCGACAAGAATGGAAATCTTGTTACTCTTAATGACGTGTTTTCTCAAGTGAAAGCAAACCCTTCTGATATTAATTCTCTTCCAGAATATTCTAATGATCCAAGAACTGTTGACAAACTTTTTGATGGTGTAAATATGACTTGTGACGATCTTCATCAATGGTTAACCCCCTTTACTCCAGGAGGGGATCATTTTATATATATAACCCTTAATGAAAAAACTACTCTTTCCATGATAAGATTTTGGAATTATAACAAATCTAGAATTCATTCTTACAGAGGAGCCAGATACCTTGAAATGTATTTGGATGATAAAATGATTTTCAAGGGAGAAATTAAGAGAGCTGCAGGTACCTTATCATCAGTAGAATCATGCTCGGAATGCATTCTGTTCACAACAGAAACTGAAGTTTTAGAAAAGATTGAAAAGTATGACCAAGAAGTGTACGGCAATTTCCTATTGGATCCTGAACCTAATGTTACTAACAATGAAAGACCCAAAACAGCCAGCAAAGATTCAGAGGATTCCACCACGTTTAACCCAATTGAACACTTTTCTAATTTAGATCCATCAGAACGACCTCTCACAAGCGCCATCCAAACAAATTCAAGAGTTGATAAAACAAGTTCAAACGGTCTTTTAAGAGGTCAAAAAATTAGAATCACTCTTGAGACTTCTTGGGGAGATTTGTTTTATATTGGTCTGACAGGTATTGAGGTATTAGGGAAGGATGGAAAGTTGATCAAGCTTTCAACAGAGCAGCTCTCTGCCAAACCTAGAGACATGAATGAGGTATCTGGGCATTCTGGAGACTACAGAACCTTGGACAAACTAATTGATGGATGCAACATTACAACAGATGATAGACACATGTGGATGGTTCCTGTCACAATTTACAAAGAACGACCATATATCGAAATCGATTTAAGGCAACCAACTGAGATTTCAGGAATCCGATTTTTTAATTACAACAAGAATTTGGAAGACACGTTTAGAGGAGTGAAAAAGATATCTCTGGCTATTGATGGAAAACCTTTACTAGATGGTGAAGATAGCTGCTTTATTTTGAAAAAAGCGCCAGGAAATACAAGTTTTGATTTTGGTCACACAATAATATTTGCTGACGTGTTAGATGGTGGAAGAACCAGTCCAGCAGAAATACAGAAACCAAAAGATAACAGCGCTCGAGGAAATCCATTGAGGAACAGCTCTCTTTTGAATGAAGGCATTCAACAAGCTATCTTAAAGGCTCAAGCAATGGCTCAGACTCAAGGTGTACAAGCACCACGACAAGATTATCAAACTGCATTGTTACCATGCGCTTACACGTTCAAGTTTCATTTGATCTCTTCTCATGGAGATCCATATTATATTGGACTTAATGGAATTGAATTGTATGATGCTAGACACGAAAAAATTCCACTAGCACCGAGCAATGTTCATGCCAGTCCGTACAGTGTCTCAATTTTGGAAAAATCCAAAGACGATGTTAGAACTCCGGACAAGCTCATTGATGGTGTCAATAACACATGGAATGATCGACATATGTGGTTAGCTCCTATTGAGCCAGGGCAAGAAAATTACTTGTATATAATATTTGAGGAACCAATAGCAGTGTCATATATCAAGATTTGGAACTATAGCAAAACACCCTCACGAGGTGTTGAGGAAGTCATTATTTATGCAGATGATGTTCTTATTTACAAAGGTTTCCTAAGACAAGCTCCGGCCATCAATGAACCCAACATTGATCTGAAGAAAGATTTCGCTCAATCCATACTTTTTACAAATGATCCTGTTGTTTGCAACAAAGAAAAGAAGCATATTTACTCTAAAACTTTAGAAGATCAAGAAGTGAAATATTTCAATGAGAAACAGCTTTTGAAATTGTCGTCGACTCAATCCCAAATTGTTCCAAGCAACTCCAAAAACACCCCTGTCCAAAGAGAAAATTATCCATCCACCCGACCCACCACCTCTGTAATCAACACCAAGTAAGAGAAGCTTCAATGATTGCCATTTAAATAAATTATTGAATGATGAAGCATTGAGATTTTCAAGTTTAGGATATTTTTCAAATTATTTACAATAATATGATACATTTCAGATACGAGTTAATCTTCTTCCATCTCATCTGACAAGGAGTCCTCTTGGGAGGATAGATTCTGACTATTAGATGCTGATTCTGTTTGTTCAAACTCTGATTTCAAAATGTCAACAATTTTTGGATAGGACACCTTTTCTTGTAACCTATTTTGTCCAAATATTAATTTTCGTAAAAGTTTTTGTAGTTGTGGTTCAGTCTCTTCATGCTGTGCGCTTAATATTGCCGAGTTGAGCTCTGAAGCCGTCTTTTGCCGTTGTCCATTCGTCAACAAGTTTGCAAATGGGCTATGTTCATTATTTTCAAACGCCAACAAACTCATTGTCTTTTCAATTTCTTGCAAAAATTCTGTGTTCTCTCCAACCAATGGCGCTAGCTCTTCTTGAGCAAAGAGAAGAGCCTCATCAATTTTTCCATCTCTTATCAATTCTATTAATTGTTGCTGTTGAAGTTTAAAGTACAATTTAGGATTAGAATCTAGTATATTTGGATTTAAATCATTGACTTGCTCAATGGCTCCTGCTACATCTCCGTTGATCATCTTTTTACGAATTCCGACTCGTTCATTAATACTACACAGAGTAGAAGGCTTGTCTATATGGAGGAGAAGGAGTCGTTACAATAATCAATAATTTAATGATCATGAATATGTGCACTGCAAACTTACTGTCGAGATTGGATTCTTGTTGAAATATCTGTGCAGCTTCTTCATATCCCTCTACAATTAAATAATTTAACACAATTTCGTTTAATTCACTTTTTGTAGAACATCATCATCATCATCGGAATCAACCGTTTGAAATTTATTAACGATTGTTAACAATTATAGAGTACACATGTCTACATCTTTGGACTTACCTTCTACTGATTTTTACTTCCTTCAATTTCTGATCCCATTCTTGTTTGTTGAAGGACGATCTTCTAAAAAAGGAGGAGGATGCAGCTTTGGACATTTTTTTGTTTTAAAAATAAAAAAAAATTTGAATGTGATGAAATTTAATTCTTTGCCCATTAATGCGAATCATAATGTTCTTTTCAGAATAAGGATTGAGAGAAGCATGTCGAGAGATCTTTGTGAACAGTATCATCCAATGATTCCCATTGAATTCACGTGTTTGAGACCAATCTCTGTGGTGACAAAGCAGAACTTACTCCCATTTGGCCATTCATTTTCAAATGTACCTAGAAATAATTCAAAATAGCAATGTTGTTGTAATGAAAAGTGAATGATATCAAGTTTCATGACAAGTAAATTTTCCATGTCTTGACTCTCATTTCTATTGAATATCTCAAGCCAACACAAATTGACCATGATGATGAACTTTTCCACAGAAATTCACTAAACTTTTAGTGTACACATATTACGGTACTTGTAGTGACGATTTCAAGTTCAAATCATATTTCCTCCCAACTCATAATACATGTTATTTGACAAAGCTTGAAAGAAAAGTGTTCGATTTGATTTGTTGATTTTGGTCAAAGTGTGCTGGTTGATTTAAAGGTATTTAAAAATCAGTCTTAATTGAAATATCATGCAAAATTAAATCAAAGTCTTTGTCTTTCACCAATTTCTTTAAATTCATTGAAAAGAATTCATTATCCAATTTCCTAAAAAACAAGAAAAGTGACTCAAGTCCAACAAAGGTTATTATGGTCGCCCAAACTTCTTCCACCATGGTTATGTTATCATTTAACTCATATCCAAATACTTCTTCTAGAATGGTCTGAACGAATTTGATGCTTGGATGTGTCCAGTCTCGTTTTTCAATTTCAATATGCATTCCATATGAATAAGTTCTAAATGCAGCACATTCAGACGACGATGGAAAGATACATTTGAAAATGACTGGATATCATTGAATAATAGTTCACTGGTGTGAATATAAATTGGTTTGGATGGGGAGGATGAAAGAAATTTCATAAAAGATGTGATTTTTCTTTTGTTGTGTGCCTTATTATCAGTTTTCTCCATTGCTCATTCAATATATTCCAATTTTTCCCCTTATACTCCAAAATAGCTCGATAAGGACGAGGAGATTCTTTACCACCATTGATATCATGTGAGTGAATTAAGAATTGTGATTCCCATGACTTTCAACGCCTTCATATTTAATGTCCTTTGTTTGGTTTTTGTATGATCGTATGATTTAAATTCACAATCGTACAAAGCATCAGAATTCATTGCACTCGACATTCCAATGTGCTTGGGGAGGAAACAGAAATTACACTTTTTCGCTCCAACCCCCCTCTATTACGTTCCATGAAGCAAAATGCTTAACAATCATTACCATTATACGCTCACAAAAATCTCAAGACCCCCTTGTTCTGTAATTAGTGCAATTCCATTCAATTTATTGTGAATTAGTGAAACGGTGGAAAGTCAAGGAACCTTTGCACATATGAATGAACATGGAACACATTTTCCAACGGTCATCTTGTGTGAGATTGGTTTGCTGAAGATTTTTCATTTGAATGTGAATGGAGAAATTAAATGGTGAATGTCGCAAAATCGGAAGCCAAGTCCACATTAGGGAAAATAGCCTGCGCTTGCTGTTTGAGAAGAGAAACAGAAACCTCATTTTCATGCAAATCAGTTTTTCCTTCTTCGACGTATCGAGCAGAGAAATGAGTAAGAATCAATCTTCGAGCATTAAGGGATAACGCAAATTTGGCTGCCATGCTCGGTGTGGAATGACCTCTATCGATACACATTTCTTGCATTCCATCCTCCAAAGTACTCTCATGAACAATGACGTCACAATTCATGGCAATTTGTGAAATTCCTTTTGGATCATGAGTATCTCCAAGCATGACAAGTTTTTTACCCTTAATGGTTGGTCCAACTACGTCTTCTGGTTTCACAGTGACACCATTTTCTAATGTAACTTCTTTTCCATTCTTGAGTTGTCCAAGAAGGGGCCCTTTTGGAACTCCTAGTTGTTTGCATTTCTCCATGTCCAAAGTTCCAGGTTTATCATTCTCTGTGAAAACATAGCCTACACAAAATACTCGATGCAAAATGGGGGCTGCCTGTATTGTTAATCGAGCGTCGGTTTTGGATAGATCAAAAACAGGATAGGAATTAGTTTCCTTGTTCAAATAAATAAAGGTACCTGCTGTTCTTGGAACATTATCAGTCGTCGATTCGCTCGACTCGTATTCACAAGAAAGAGGAGGAGGACATTGCTCCTCATCATAAATTTTCACACCCTCTTCATCTGTATCAGGAGGTACTAACTCGTGAATATCGAGTCTAAAGTTCAAATGGGCATCACTCAACGAAAGTGTTTGTCTCAAAAAGTTCTTGAGCCCTAACGGACCCACGATTAGCAAGACAGTTCTAGTGACCGGATTATTGCCTGACAAGGTGCATAACAAGCCAGGTAAACCATAGCAGTGGTCTCCATGCAAGTGAGTGACGAAAATTCTTGAAATTTTACCAGATTTCAAAATACTTTTCTAATTATCAAATTTAGAAAAATACCATCCAATCCATAGATGAGAAACAAAGATTTCAAACATTGAAGTAAATCATCCGATCAATTAGATCATCATCTTGTTCCTCCACCCCACTCAATAGAAACTACCAACATACCTGCAATTGATGTTGTGTTCCTTCTCCACAATCCATCAAATAAACCTCTCCATTCTCCAACTGCACTCCACAAGAGCTCACATTCCGCAATGGCGTTGGCACACCTGAACTCGTTCCGAGAAAGGTCAAGGCTTTGCTCATATTTTTTTTGTTGTAATGTTTTACAAGAAGTGGTATTGATGAAGGAATTTAAAGGGAAAACAATGATAATGATGATGAAATTAGATAACCCAAGCGGATGATGAACTTTCGTTCATTTTCAGACATGATCCTATCATTTCATCCTTGAATCATCAAGTTCATCAGGAATGTATTAAAATAGTATTTTTGAAATTCTTTACAAAAATATTGAAATTATTGTATTCGGAAATTCTGAATTGTGCATTTCTGAAAAAGAAGATTGTGAGAGAGACTCTCTTCAGATTAGATGAATTCTCAACAAGAAGCGGAGAGGGTTTTCAAGAACTCTCATGATGATGAAAACAGCTTGACTTGTCGGCATAGAGAATTGGAAGCCTTTACAACGAAATTGGATCAAAGACAAGTCATTAAAATCGCAATTGTTGGATCTGGAGTGGCAGGATTATCGTTGTAGGTTGATTTGAAAATTTAGATCGGAATGATGATGGAAATAATACTGATTTCAATAATATTAATCAATAATATCATTATGGAAATAATATCATGATTTGAATTCATTCACACACAATTATTATAATTATTGCAATTATTTGATGAATAGAGGATTGGCATTGAGAAGATTAAATCAAAATCCAAAAATTAATTCCAAATATATCATTGAAGAATGTATTTATGAAAAAGATCCTTCCTTTGATTCACGAGCTCAAGGATATGCCTTGACCATTCAAGGAAATGGTTTAACCGTTTTGGAAAAATTACGACTTGATGACAAGATGAAACAACGAGCAGAGTGTATGATCAAATCAAACAAAACATATTCCATGACTTTAGAGAATGGAATGCAACTCATGTCAGGAATTGTAAAGAAAATTCGAAAAGATATGAATTTTCCTCTTCCTAGACAAGAAGTAAGAAAAATCATGTTAGAAGCCTATGAAGAAGAAAAAGGTCAAGTTTATTGGAATATGGGTCTACAGACGTTTAAAGAAGATTATGAAAAGAATAAGGTTCTAGTGACATTTGAGAATAATACAACAACAAGTGAATTTGATGTATTAATCGGTTGTGATGGACTCATGTCTGCAGTGAGAAGGTAAGATGTTCATTTACCTCAATTTACATTTCTCATCTTGTTCCTACAGGGAAATGTATCTAGATGAAGATCAAAATTGTTCACGTAATGCATACGGAGAAGGATTTGGATATGGACAAGCTGAATATCTTGGTGTGGCCATGATTAACGGAATAGCCGATGTCACGAACAGTGACAGCTTACGAAAGTTAACAAAAGATGCAGTATTTCAAGTGTTGGATGGCCACTCAAGATTATTCGTCAAACCCTTCAACAAAAATCAATCCATGTGGTTACTGACCTATCCATTGAAAATTGGAACTGCAGAAATGGAAGAATATCAAAATGTTATTTTGACTTGTAAGGAGAAACTGAAAGAACAAGCACTTGCCAAAGTCACAAAATGGTCCCACCCACTCCCTCTGTTCATTAGCAATACTCCTGTAGAGCTTATTAGAGGAGGTTTGTTGCACCAATCGAAGCAACTTGCACATCTTCCTTCCAACAAATTCAAAATGACCACAATATGCGGAGATGCCATGCATGCTATGGCTCCATTTAAAGGCCAAGGATTCAACAATGCTTTATGCGATGTTGACGAACTAGTTACACTTTTTGAAAATCATTTAATTAATGATTCGACATTTAGTTTCGCATCCTTCAATGCTAAATTTGAGAAGGAAATGGTGACAAGATCCTACAAAGTTCAAACCAAATCCAAAAGACTTGTAGAGTTCCTCCATACAGCAGACGCCACTGACAAAACAAAACATGATCACTTCTACCATGTGGAGCAGCATCAAAATTTGTAAATGTATTTGAACATTAATGAATCACACTTTTCAACTATTTCTTCTTCTTTTGAGAAGTTGAACTACTAGATTGTCTCTTTCTCTTTTTCTTTGTCTCCACCTCACCACTGAGATACTTTACAATTCGTTTACAGCGGTCCCTACTGTTTCCTGCTTGTTTCAGCTTGAAGAATTTGCACATGTCATGAATTTCTTTGGCTGTGTAGTTGACGTAAATATCATGGGCACTGACACCAAATTCAATTTTGGGTCTCCCTTCACTAGATGGAAATTCAATTCCTTCTTCCTCTTCTTCTTCGTCAATGTCGTCACCCACTGCATCATGCTCCGTATGTGTAGCATTTGAATCTTGCTCCGTCCTAGCTGGTTTCGTTGATTCGTCGTTGTTCTTGTTGTCTTTCTCATTTGTTTCATTATTTTCAACAGACTTTTCATTATTTTTATGACTCTCTTCCGTTGCAGTGATCGTTCCATTGGTGCTGCTACTAATAGGAATTGTTGTTGTGGATTTTTCTATAGATGCTGAACCGTTCTCTAGTGCAGATTTGTTTTCTTTTGAAGAATCAGTCTCTTCAACTTCTGGGATTTTAAGAGACTCTGCTGTCTTAGTAGCTCGAGAATTTGTCAGAACTTTACATGATGCATTATTAGGATTTAAAATGTATTCTTTTAACTTAGGCCTCAAATGAGGAAAACTCAATGACAGTATGAGAAGTGCAAATGCACAAGAATCAAAATATGAACAAATGCAATATGCGTCCTCAAAGAATGAATAATTAGAAAATATTTCGTTAAACTTGTCTCTGATTGCTGTAAGCGCGTTTTTAAGGTCACTACTTCTTTGATTCTGAAGCAACCATAAACACCCATCAATAAGCAATTCCTCTTTCAAAGCATTGATGATAGTGACTCGATCGTTTGTGTCCTCTCTAAAATTCAAACATTCACAAAATCGATGTAAAACCTCCACAGGCGAACTTTGAAGAAAAACATCAAGTCCTTTTTTTGACCACAATTCCATCACTCGTTCTCTTTTTATACCTGTGAAATGAGCAGAATGAGCGTTTTCAATTTTTGAAGCAAACACAATAAATAAATCATTCAATAGAGAAGTATCCATAGAATCTCTCAGAATGTTCAAACCTGAACGATTGTATCATCAAGAAGCAAATAAATGATCAACAAAACGTTTTTCCAAAATTATGAAATCATGAAATACCATTCCGATTTGGAAGTATGATACAATGGAAAAGATACAATAATGATTCTCACCATTCGTTATCATTCTCACAATTTGAATACTTACCTGCTCGAAGGCAATGTTTTATAAACTGATTCACCACTTCATCATCATCGGCAGCATAAGGATCAAATTTTGACTTTGGTTGTAATGTGTTTTCAACGATTCCTCGCATTAAACTCCCAGGAATGGCTTTTAGTACCTCATCAAAGAATAAGAGTGATGGGCTAGGCTTTACAGGAGTTGCAACATTTCTGGATGGATTTGTTTCTTCTTGTTGTTGTTTCGTATTCGTTGAAGAAGATTTACTTTTGGTAGAAGCCTTTGATGAGGATTGTTTGTTTTTATGTTGTGTTGTGTTGTTGTTATTACTCGAATGATCATCCAAAGTGGCGTTCGCCGTTGTGATTTCGGAAGCAGCAGAAACATTTGATGATGAGGCTGAAGAGGATGCCACAGGCTCAAAAAGGGACATTTTTTGTGAGAGTTCTGGCGCTTTGGGGAAGTTGTGAAAATTCAAATCTATCCCGAGATTACAACAGATAGATTTGACAGTGCGGATTAAAGTTTATTGTCTTGATGACTTGGACAATGAGTGGTGATCCATGTATGAATCAATAATTCTGGGAGAGTCATTCGTTGAAGAGTGTCTTTCACTAACAATTTGCTGACGAAATCCTGCGCATCCATGGACACAAAAGGAGGGAATTTCAGATCGACATGTTTGATACGTTTGAAGGTTTCTTCTTGTGTGGGTGCCATAAAGGGTGGTTCTCCAACAAGAAATTCATAACATAAAACTCCCAGGCACCACAAATCAACAGTAGAATCATGTTCTTTGCCTTCTACCATCTCTGGTGGAAGATAATCCAATGTTCCACATAAGGTTGTTCTTCTCGTTGTTGGAGCATGAACACTCCAACCAAAATCAGCAATTTTCACTTCATGATTTGAGTCAATGAGTAAATTTTCAGGTTTGACTATTTGTGTGGATTATTTTCGAATAAGTCAAATGTCAAAAGCGTGTGTTGCAAAACTTACTGTCTCTATGGATGACATTTCTATCGTGACAATATTTCAAAGCTTTGGCTAAACCCAAAATGTATCGAGCAGCTTCAGGTTCTGAAAATCGTTTACATTCTTGCAATTGTTTATACAATTCTCCACCAGCTGCATATTCCAAAATTAAATACACCTTCTGTCTGTCATAAAAGTATCCATAAAGTCTCAGAATATTTCTATGTCTGAGATGAGATTGAATTTCAATCTCTCTTCGCAACTGATGCTCCACTCCTTCCTTCTTTAATTGTTCTTTATCGAGTACCTTGAGGGCAACAATGTATTTAGTTCTCTTCTCACGAGCCAGATACACCTGACCAAACTTTCCCTTACCCAAATAATTTCCAATTTCAAAGTCTTGTAATTTCCAGGACTTTTTGGTTTCTTGTGGTATCGAGGTCATGTTGGTTAAAGGCATTGTAGAAGGACTAGCCATGGCATTATCATCATCGGTGGTCTTGTCCTCAATAGGAACCTGTGTGGGTGCTTGAGATGGATTCACGGAAGAGTTGGTTGAATTTTGATGTTCTTCTTGATCATCCTCCATCATCATCATGTCTGGATTACATGACGATGGTCGAGAAGATGTGGGAGGAATTACTTGAATAGAGTAAGAAGAGGACGGAATGATGTTGATGATCTTTGAATTGGATATTGAATTGGATGAAGCTTGAAGGAGGTTTGGTTGATTGCTGATATTGTTGAGAGCTTTTCGTTCGGGTTGAGAAGGCTGTTGATCCAACAATAGGGTCTTCTTGACTCTCGGAATGGCACTGGGTTTGTGGAGTGAGGAGGAGGATGTAGTTGTTGTTGTCTTGTTGGAAGGAAGCGTTGGAAAATGGAAATGTTGTGGTTCGGTATTCTCTTTGGAGTTATATTCATAGGGGTTCATGATGGGATTGTGTTTATGGGTGTGATCGATAGGAGGTGGTGTGTGTTCTTGCTTTTTTCTTGATGGAGAGTGATTTTAAAAAAATTAAACACAATTTCGTAACGAATTTTGATGGCGGGAGTTGTTGGGCGGGAAATGATTGATTTCAAAGTTCTTGATTTATTGTCCTTTCCAGAGTTCTGGGAATTCATCACAATGAACAGAAACTGCAGTTGCGGTGTGAAAAAACGGCAGAAGAGTGAGAAAAAATCAATAAACTGGTTGGACATTAGGAATCTATGTGACACAAAGATTTAATTACAAAAACATTGGATTATATGGCTCTTTGGTCTCTCTTTGTTTTTCCAAAACTTCGTTCAACTTGTTTCTAATAGCGGCTCCAGTTTTTTCAAGTTTATCTGTCTTGATGAACAATTCCTCACCCACAAGTTTGTCAATAGCATGAATAATTGTAATAATTGGTCGTGTTGACAACAATTCATGTCTTAGCGAGACTGGAGCAAATAATCCTGTAACAGTCAAAGAAGTGTAGGGAGCTCTGGACAGTACTAACGCACTAATACCAGTCAGCACAATATTTTCCTTGATAGGGAAATGGCCAAATTTTACAAGGGTATCAGCAAGCTCTTGATTATTGGTCACAAAGTAAATACTGTCATCTTCTTTTGTAGGCTCTTCAACTGAGGTCAATAACTTTAAAAGTTCTTCACGACTTGGTGGATGAATGGGAGTTTCGATGTCATCCACATCTTCTCCAGAGATTAATCTCTTCTTTTTTTCATCCATTGGAATAGCCTCCAAGCTCACAACACTCTTACATCCGTTCCTTTCCGCAAACTCAAAAACAGCATTGACCATTTGATGAGAAAGTCCAGGGTCTTTCAATTCATATTCGCTTGAAAAAACTACAATCTTATTGTTTCCATAAATTCTGATTCCGCTTTGTGGAGTGTAATCTATTCAAAAAAGAAATTTTTAAATTATGGGCACCAATCAAAAAGAATAGTGGTGTAAATAGAGAAATTGAATCTCACTAACCATAAAAAAGTGGTTTTTACAATACTTACTCTCGATCAAACAAACAGGAGGGAACGCATCAGAGATCACATCACCGATCAAAGGCAATTCCAGTTGTTCTACAATATATCCTGCAGCTGTTGCGATCGAAGTTTGACCAGAAGGGAAGCCTTCAACCAAAACAGCTCCCTATTGTTTCATAATTCATTCATTGTATGATCATTCAAACAAATCAAAGAAACCGCAAATCATCACAAGACATTAACAAAACATCCAACATTGTGATATTTACCTTTACATCAAAAGAGCCAAATTCTCGTAGTTCAATACTCTTATTCTCTGCCGACGTGTATTTGAAAGTGTGAGAGATGGTGGTAGGAAGGGCAGAGATTCTCTTTCCAAGGCCTGCTTTGATCATTTTTTTTGTTTTTAATTCGATTCCGACATCCAATAGTTTCTTAAATGGAAATTTTCAAGAGCACCATTTATATCGATCCTAGTAACAAACAAAGAGATGTCAAGAATTCTTCTTTATGGTTACATCCATTAATTCGATTACAAAACATTCGAGACAACATTTTCTCGTTTTCTTGTTTTGCATTTGGAAAGAAATTAAAATTTTTATAGAATGTTTGAATAAAAAATATTGAAAAGCGATGGACAAGGGTGTGATTGAATTGCTCGGAGGTGGTTTTCTAGGTTATTTTGTGATGTTCCTGATTGCTCTGCATGTGGGAGCCTTTTTATTTTGGATTGCAAAGGTATTGATCGGTGAATCAACGGCTGCGGCTGAAGAACGAAAGAATAGATAAAAATTTAATTCCAAGAGAACCGTTGTTCCGATGATGACAACAACATTATTTTTATGCTATTCGAATTGAAGCATCACAGATTTCACGTGAGAAAATAAATTATTATTATGACAGCATTTTCATATCCTTGATGAATCATCTCGGATGCATCTAACTTTGAATATCGAAACGCAAGCTTAATTTTTAAATTTTTACATTTTTGTCTTGTTAAATTTGTAATTCTTCTGGGTTTAAATACTGCTCTCGCAGAACCTCAAGATCTTTCTTCTTGGGTAGATTCATGGTCACAAGTTGTCCATTATTGAGCTTGTAATGGGAGGTGTCACTTTGTGATCGTTGGTGTTTGTTCACTGTCTTTGGAAAGTGTTTCATTATTTGCGATTCAATTTCATTATAAGAAGCAAAGGTAACCTTAGTTGCTTGAACCAGCAATTTACCTTGCTTGTTCACTCTGTAACATTTGGTTGGATCAATATTTACACTCACATAAGAAATACAATCAGTTGGCCTATTTCCAAAGCCGCTATAAAAAGGAAAGTCTGTTGGGAATAAACTTGCGATGGTAGTCAGACAGTTGATTTTAAAGGTTTCTGGTCTCCTGATAATAACTTCTCTTGCAAGGGCATTGAAAGCCTTATTTGGGGAGGTTATAGTGGGACCAAGTGGCATTTTGTATCCATCTTGATAGATGGACTGTATATATTCTCGTGTTAATTGCGCCATCGTTATTGGTCTAGCGCTCAGATAAATAAATTTGTAATTATTTTCAGCAATAGATTGAAAAAGTTTTGCAATTCCTGGGTGTGTGTAATCTTTTCCCATTCGACTATAAACTTGACCCATCAAATCTGATTTGGTGATGGTTCCATCTACATCACTAACAACAATTTTGTCATGGGGAGAAAATTCAAAGATATATCCCTTAATAGGCTCTGGATTGAGTCCAGAGACGTCTGTGAAAGTTATGGTCGATCGAAAATCAGACATATATGAGTGAATTGTATCTAAAAACTCTTTGGATGGCCTTAATCGATGTTCAGGATGTGTTTCATTATCAATGGATTTGAGCCATTTATCCATATATCCAGTTTTTGATGGGGAGCCGGTTGGGCTTGATGTATAATAGGTGGCGGATTCGTCAGACCCACTAGAGCTGGTAATATGCAATTTTGGACTTCTCGAAAGGTTCTTTGCTCCGCTACTTGCTCGTGGACGAGTAATGATGGCTTTCGATCGAGATCGTGACGAAACGGATGTTTCTTCTTCGAAGAGTTTAAACATTTCTTTCTCTTCGTCATCGGGGTCTTCGTGATTTTCCAAATCATTCAATATCATTTCTCGTTCCTCCTGACGCAGTTCTTCGTTCTCCTCTGGTGAGTTCAAAGTTTCTGGAGGTACTAAATTATTCTTAATAAGTAAATTTTGTGCTATTGTTTTTTTGGGTAGTGGAGGTAATAATTTTGGAGGACTTCCAGTTGGACTAACTGTTGTTGTTGTGGCCACATTGTTTTGTCGTTCTCTATTATTATTATTCTGTATGGGAATACCAATATTTCCGCTTGTATTATTCGAATTAATTTGTGACATATTTTCGGTATTTTTCGTTGGAGAGTTTTGAGTGTTGTTCGATTTTTCGAATACAAGTTCGCTGGGTGGTTTCATGTCATTCTTTTTCAATGAGGTTGGTAAAGGAGGCAATGATTTCTTTCGGTATTGAGCAAGAGCAAGTTGAGCTTCTTCAGTAGGAACCAAATTTGCTAATGTCTTGTTCTCTCCGACAATAACAGGTGATGATGACATCTGAGGACTTGATATTTCTGACTGATTATTATTGTCCACAATAATACTGAAGTATGCATAGTTGTGATCAGGATCTACAACAAGCTCACAATTTGGACATTCAATTTTCTTGCCATTCACCTTTACCGTGATGACCCTACGGAATTTTGTTCGTTGAGGAAAACGAACAAAGAATGGAGATGATTGATAGGAACCATCTTCTTGTTTTACAATGATGATGCTATTGATGATGAATGAAAAGGAGTGAAGAAAATTATAGAGATTTCGCAGTGTTGTTCCAACCGAGATATCAGTTTTTGAAAATAATATCATCGGATTTGTTCAAAGATTTTCACGGCATCATAACGGCCACTTACTCGACGCAAGCCATCTATTCCGATGATGGTATTAATACTATGAATAATAATAATTTTACAATCAGAAAGAATAATTGGGATGATGATGAACGTTCTTGTTTGGCGCTTTCAACAACAACCCTCCACAAGATTGTCGTTCAAATTTACAATTTTTTTGGATGTTTTGCGATGGTTTTTGGTGATGATCCAATTTATTCTTTCCAATAAAAAAGGAAATGAGTTGACGAAAAGATTCTGAGATTTGATATGACAAGGAAGAACACACTTAATGAGGAGAATGGTTGCCACGATAGAGCCAAAAACATGTGAATATTGGACAGAACCAGATAGGCGACCATTCAAGATGAGGTGATTAGTGATGGTGATGGTTAGGAGGAATGAAGGTAACAGAAGGAGCCCCTTTCGTTTTGGAAGGAATTGTGGTGATGTGTTGAATTGGAACATAAGTTTGACCAAGTGGTTCAATAGATCTTGCTCTATTTCTTCTTCGAATGCCCAGTAGTGCTGGAAGAAGGGTTCCAAAGAATGTGTGACTAAACCTCCAAGTGAAGACCATGAAAAGGAAATACTTGAAAATCCTTCTAAAATCAATATTATCAAAATCTAGCGAATGAACCACAATAACTTCTCCAGTGGCAAGTACAGGACTGGACGCTAAACGTTCAAGGGGATCTTTTAAAGCGTTCGATGCGGCCTTTCCAGCATCAGCTCCAAATCGTTCAATCCATTTTAAAGGTGAACCAGATGTTTTTCGTTTTGATTCTTTTTTGGATTCATCTCTTTTAGGTTCTGTTTTTTCGTCCTGTTTCTTGTTTCCTGATGAGGAAAATAAGCTTGTAGAGAATATTGTTGAAAGAATTGACGAGGAGCTGTCACCTGTTCTTTCTGGTTTTTTAGAGGGAAATACAGCCGTAGGTTTTTCTTTCTCTCCGGTTGTTAGTTCACCTGATGTTTCTTTTGATTCCTGTGTTTGTGGCTTTTCGGTGGCATTTGCATTTTGTAGTTTTTGTTTTTTGTCATTATTTACATTTTGATTACTTCCAATTATCCAATAAAAAGGTGAAAATATAGTGTCAATCAATGTTTGTGTTTGACTAGAGTCTTTGGTTGATTTTTCTTGACCCTTTTTCTGTTCGATATTGTTTTTTTTGCTTGCCATATTTTTTGTTGATTCAACACTAAATCTGTCAAATCCGACTTCTCTTTTTGGCTCTGTATAAGATTCTATTGTTTCTTGTGTTGTTGAATGAGTTGTGGATGGTTCTATTGCTTTTACTTCGGAAAATCCTTGTTGGTATTGCCCATTTTTTATCGATTTCATTAATTGTTGAGATTTTTCAATGATGTCTTCCTCTCCTCCAACTACATTGGAATTCAAATTGTCATTATTAAATAAATTCCTGGAAAATTCCTTTTCATTGTTCGGATGATCCTCCATATTCAATTCATCCATCTCTTGTGATGGTTGCTGTTTCCGATCATCCTCCTCCGAATTCGTATTCCCTCCTTCTCCATAATATTTATTAATTATATTAACAGATGATGGATGCTGTTTTTGTTCCCTCATTGTTGATGATGAATGATTATGATGATAGAAACGAGGCTCCTCATTTATCGATGAAGAAACAGAAGAAGGAAGAATTTCAGACATTTTTTCAAAAAAATGTTGAAAATCCGATTGTTTGATTTGATAGAGTTTCAACTTGAAAGCCAACAATTCGTTGATCAAAGGAATGAGCAAGACGATGAAAGTAGCTTGATTTACATGGATGAAATAATGAGAAAATTTAAACTGAAAATGATGAACACTCGGTGTGTTAGAAAGGAAAAGCCTTTTTTAATGAACTCGGAATTCAGAAGATGAAGACGTCTTTACGCCGACTGATGTCAAGATATCGTATGAGAATCGTTGTATTCTCATTACAGATTACTGGTATCACCAGATTCATGTCTTTGATTTGGATACAAAACAATACAAGTACAATGTGCCTCTTGAAGTGCCGTATCCTTTATATATGTGTATCGAAGAGGATTATGATGGATGTTATAATGACGCTTTGCTTGTAAACTTTGATGATCAAAGACTGGTTAACAAATATGATTTAAGAAAATTATTGAGTTTGACCAAAAACAATGATGATATGTATACTCTTTGGAAATGCAATGAATGTGCTTAACCAAAGGGAATGGCAATTCTTTACTCGAATGATTCTAATTTCCTGAAAGAGGAATTTACAAATAATAGAAATATTATTTTCATATGTGATTATATTCAGCAAGGAATACAAGCTTTACAACCCTCATCCGGAAAATTGTTAAAATTTATCGCCACACAAGGCATTTCATTTGTGAGACCTTTGGGTATTAATATCTTGAGTGGTTGCATTATTTTCACCAATGGTGACCCAACATGCTGTGTTCACGCATTGAGAAACTTTGATCCATTTGGTGCAACCTTAGACTACCAATGTGTAGCATCAGTTGGTCGTAATGGCAAAAAAGAATGTAATTTTTCTGAACCTTGTAATCTTGTTTGTGAGCAATCAACGGGAAGAGTGATTGTGGTTGACAGCTGGAATGACCGTATCCAATTCTTCCAATACTCACAAAACGGGAATGAAACAACATTGCAATTTCTAACATCTTTTGGAAAATCTCGTTTGGAAAAAGTTTTCAGAAATCCTCAAGGCCTGTGCCTCAATCGCTTAAATGGAGAGCTTTTTATTTGTGACTCTGGAAATTCTTGTGTGAGCATTTACACTTGAGAGGTTTGTAGAGATTTTGGAAAAAGTCCGTTTACAAAAAAATGGATTCGTATTTTCCAAATGCGATTGTCGCCATTCTGCAGATAATGCATGCTCACTAGGATTCTTGTGAGTGTGCATGAGTTGTTGTTGGGACCTCTTGGGATGTTCACATGCAATACTACGGCCCTGTTTTATCGAATATAGACAAATTCATGAGGTACGGAAAAGCTTTTTCACCAAATTTATTGCAAAATCATGCATTTCTTTTGAGATCTTTAGATCTAATGCTCCTATCATTATTATATCATTATTGCAGTAGTGGTGAACCATGCCAACCATGCATGTCCGTGATAGCCAAAAGTTTTCCAACTGACAAATAAGGAGAAATTCTGCTTGACGCACAATTTATGGATGCATTCTCATCGTTTAGCAGTACAAATAGCGAGAGATTAATTCCATCCACCGATCGTCTCACCCAAAACAAAATAACTCCACGACGTGCTCGCTCAACAATTCGCAAACGAAATGCCAGCAGTCAGTCGATTGAAAAGAAAATCCACACATTCACATGCAAATGTGGAGATGAATGGCGACTCAAAAGAAGCATCTACTTCTCCTCAAGAATCGTCAAATGCTGCCACTCTCAAAGACCACAGAGAACCCAAAATTACCTTCTTTTCTCATTTGAAAGTTTTCAAAGTGATTGGACTTTGGAATTTAACCTTGCTCGTTTTAGGAGTCATTGGCTCCATGTCGTATGGTGTGTTGCCAATTATTTGTCAATACATTCTTGGAGATTTGATTGACGAATTTCTTGCTGCCAATTCAAACGCTGCTTATCGGGCAGAAGCTATCAATCAAGTGTGTATCAAATTGACCATTATTACATTCTGTGGTATGGCTGCTTTTGCAATTTATCACTTTTTCCTTCAACTTTCCAATCACAGAATTGGAACTGCGTTAAGACATGAATATATGGATGCATTGACCAAGCAAGAAATGACTTTTTTTGACATTAAGAAAGTTGGAGCATTGACTGTTGTATTGAGTGAAGATATTCCAAAGATTCAGGATGTCTACACAAACGAATTTTACATCTTCATGCAAGAAATTATTCAATTCATTGTTGGATTTATTTTGGCCATCACTACCAATTGGAAGATGACACTCATTCTCGTTTCAACCACTCCATTGACCTATGTTTCACACACCATCATGTCACTTTTATCGACCAAGATTACAAGACAGGTGAATCGTCTCACTGAACATTCGGCAGGAGTTGCTAATGAAATTACTTCATGCATTCGAACCATTCGATCGATGGCAGGAGAGAGCAAGGAAATGGAAAGATTTAATGAAGATTTATACAAAATTAATGCAAAGGGTGTATTTAAGGGAACTGTTCATGCGATGGGATTTTCATTTGGTAAGTTTTTGAAGCAAATTTGTTTCAATTGATAATATCGACACGCCATGGCACGGCATTTGCGACCTTAATTGGTATTATTATTGAAATGTTTTCACAATTCCATAATATTTTCACAACAGCTGCCATGTTTGTCTGGGGAACCATTGCTTTGAGTTTTTGGTATTCTGGACATGAGGCTGCCGATGGAAGTACCACACTCGGCTCCATCTTTAAAGTATTCGGAATGATGTTTGTTGGAGTTGTTGCCATGATTCGTGCAGCAACATTTTTCCCTCACTATGGAAAGGCCTATGCCAGTGAGACGACACTGTTGAAAGTCTTGTTGAGAGAACCTGCCATTCCTTTGAGTGGAGGTAAAACGATTGAATCTATTGAAGGAAATATTCGTTTCGAAAATGTGGAATTTTCATATCCTTCTCGATCGAATGTCATTGTCATGAAAGATTTCAGTTTGGAAATTAAGAAGGGACAAACTGTTGCTCTTGTTGGACCAAGGTAAGTGTCAAACAGCATTCCAAATACTTTTAATGAACCATCGATTGTAATAATATGAACAACATGGTTATTAACAAACACAATAGTGGTTCTGGTAAATCAACTCTTGTTGGTCTTTTAGGTAAGTTTTTAGAAAGTGAATGCGTTTTCAATGTTGTTTACAACAATTATCTTGTCAATATTAATTCACAATAGAACGTTTCTACACTCCAAATAAGGGAAGAGTCTTTCTTGACAATGTTGACATTCAAGAACTCGATCCAACATGGCTCCACAAAAACATTGGAATTGTCAGTCAGGAACCTGTCCTCTTCTCTGGATCCATCAAGTATAACATTGCCTACGCTTTAGGATTAGAAAATGTGACACAAGAACAAATTGAAAATGCTTCCAAACAAGCCAACGCACATAATTTCATCATGGATTTACCGAATGGTTATGATACCATATTAGGTGAAAAGGGTGTGTCGCTGTCAGGTGGTCAGAAACAACGTATTGCAATTGCGAGAGCATTACTTCAAAATCCTAAAATTTTATTATTGGATGAAGCAACTTCTGCATTGGATTCTGAGTCTGAACGATTGGTTCAAGTAAGTTTCAAATTTAATGTTAGAAATTGTAAATTTAAAATGTGAATGCTAATGTCACACACAGGCTGCTTTGGATGTGTTAATGAAAGGAAGAACCACCATTTGTATTGCTCATCGTTTGACAACTGTGATTAATTCAGATTTAATCTGTGTCATGGTGAAGGGAGTGTTGAGAGAAAAGGGAACTCATGCTGAATTGATTCAAATTAAGGACGGTATCTATAGAAATTTGGCAGCCAAACAAATGATGTTGGCGGAGGAACAGGTGTCCAATGGATTGGATATTGAGGTAACCATGGATTTGGTTGTGGATGACCAGCAAACGCATCAAGCAGTCTTGTCAGACAATTCGAGTCAGGAAAAACTTGCCGATCAAAATGAATAATTCACACAAATTTGATTTGAATTTTGTGCCAAATGTTTTATTGGACAATAAATCCAACAATAAATCAGCAATGATGAATGCTGCTTTCAAGACACACTACTTAAAGGTCTCTTGTCTCTAATTCTCATGCTGACTGAGTTGAAACTGAACATCATTAGAAGCAAACTGAATTGCATTTAGATTTTGTGTCATGGCCAAAACAACCATCGATAGATCATTTCTCAACACATTGGAAGCAAATGCCAATGTGAGTCCATCCCGTTGAACAGCTTGACGAACAATTTCTCGATCATTCCTGAACGCATCAGGAGCATTTTCGAGTGCCTTTGGATTGCATTGAATGGCTTCTACAATAAAAGAACGATCTTGTCTCAATAATTCTGAGGCATATTTGAGAGCTTTTGCGTCACATTCAATGGCTTGCAGTACCACATGTCTATTTTGTCGAATGTTTCTCGATGCATACTGTAAGATACATCCTCTCTTTTTCACAGCTTGTAAAGTCACCTCTGGATCATTCCTTAATTCTTCAGAAGCGTATTTAAACGCCATGTCACAAATATTCACAACTTTTAACATGTATTGCTTATCTGCTTTCAATGCCTCTCCTGCAAATCGAATCGAATTTTCTAAAGTGTCTTTACAATGAGCGGTTGCTGTCAAAACTACCTCATGATTGTTTTTTGGAACATCTCCAGCATATTTCAGAAGATCGGCACTTTTTCGAACGGTTTCTAATACCACTCTCACATTATTTTTCATCCTCTCTGAACAAAATTTGAAAGCATTTGGATTTTGTTTTACGGCACACAACACAACTTGTTCATCTTCCATTAATTCTGGAGATACAAATTCCAATAATAAACCTTTCTGACTCAGAATGGATTTGACAATATTTTTCTTCGCTTTGCAACAATTTGGAATGGTTGTGAAATGTGTGAAAGAATAAGGAAGAAGTGTTGAATTGGTGGCACCTCGCTTATTCACAGCTTCAATGTTGTAATGAATATATTCAAAACTAAAATTCTTTCGTTGAATCCAATCCTTAAACTTTAACCGTTCCAATGAATTTTCCTTGACTTTCCTCAAAAAGAATAAATTTTTAGAATTGACAAGTAATTGAATATTGGAATCGAGTGTTTTTCCAATGAGTAAAACGTTTCTTGTCAATAGTTTCCACTCACTAATGGGACTAATGACATTCGAAAAATGAATAAATGTGTTATGCCATGGCTCTCTTCCATCAGTTAAGCTTAAAAAAGTTTTCAAAAGGTATGGCAGTTTCATGCCAAACTTTTTCTGGAGATTCTCAATGTCACTCGCACTCACAGGACCTTGGGAAAGTGGAAGAATGAGAGAATTATTTTCTTGATGAAAATTAAAAGTAAATTCACGAACCAACACATTTTCACATGCTTTGTGAAATTTAGAACACGTTAACTCACGAAATTTTCTTTGCCTTTTTGGTTGACAGCTGGCAGGTTCATGTTGTATGTGTGTGTGAACTTGAGCACGTTGTTCTTATTCATAATCTCCACCAATCACTTCATGTCTGCTATCTGACAGCAACAAGTACTCATTCTTCGAGTCAGAGTTTGCCTTATAATGATTGTTGTTTCCATTCCTCACATGATCAGAGCAACAACACTGAGCACAACACGATACACACATTGCCAACACAAGCACCACTGGAATGGTTACCAATTGTGTAATTAGAAAAACATGAAGCATGGAATACAGATCTCGTGCTTCTGTTTTACACTTTTTAGAATAGGTCATCACTGCAATGGCAATCAAGAGACCAATCATGGGCCATCCAAGTATTGCCACACAAATCTTGGAAATGGTAAAACAAGGTCGAATGTTGTTGTTGTTGCCACTACTACTCGTGGCAGAACCTTCTTTTCCATTTTGGGAAATTTGGAAAGCACAAGCATCAAAAATTGAAAGAATGACAGCGAAAATGCAACACAATGCTCCAACACAAGTCACAACACAGAAGGAGAGAAGTAGATTGAGTATGGTTTGGGCCATGCAGGTGTCTGTATCGATCATTTTGTTGATATTCTTTCCATAAATGTAAACTTTTTTGAAGGTTGTTGTTTCGATCGATGTTCTTCACTTGTCTACTTACATCCCCATGCAGCCATTCCGAATGAAAAGGATGCAACAATGAAAGATGTCACAACTCCCACTCTGTTGTATCAACAAGTTCCAAATGCATAGATTGTGATCGTTTGCGATGATGATCTATTGCTAATCAACACCTACCCATATGTACGACACCAAGAAGGAGATGATCTGGTGACTGATCCATATGAATTCTCAGAGGAGGTCTTTCCTGACATTTTGTTTTTTTTTTGAAACTTTGTACTATTGTTCATACAAAATGTCAGGACATCTCAGTCTTGTAGGAGCGACATGGCATGAACATATTCACATGATCAAACAACTACTACCACGGCCGTCACTAGTGACGGTGGGATCGATACTGTCTTTTGTTCTATCAACTTTGGATCTCTTTTCCATAAAAGGTAATTGAATGAAACAATTTTTCTTTTCAAAAAATGCTGGAATAATTTTAACCAGTAAGCATGGACAATGTAATTCATGCAAAATAACAGCATCTTCTATGCCACTATTTGACAAAGAGTAAAACATTTCGTCGCGTTCAATGATCAATCGTAGTAACTTGGGAGCAGTTAAATATTTGAGATGAATGTGTGAGGCGCATTGAAATACCATGGATCGAATATACATGTGTGTGAAAGGTGTTGTGGATTCAAAATGAATATTTGAATGTAACACATTAATCTCACAAAGAAGAGGCATGTCACGCAATGACAAGTGTTGGTGTTCTGTGCTTACGAAATGTGAAATTGTTAAATATTTCAAAGTTTCAAAAGTTTTCTTAGAAATTGAAAATTTTTGACATCGTACCAAGCACAGTAAATTGATATTCTCACAATTGATATTGCATGATACTCTCTGGAACGTTACGTTACGAATAGTTTCATTTTCAAGGCTCTCCAAACATGTAAGTTGTTGAAGACATGTCGGAGTTGTTTCCACTGATTCTATTTCATAGCCATTTTTCGATTTAAGCTTTCTTTCCACACATACAGAAGCAAGACCTGAGACTAATGAAAGCGTGAATCTCTCGGTCGAGGTTAATGAATTATGACTTGATAATTGAATGAATCTGGTAATCGTGTGTTTGGTGAGTAGATCATCAAATTGGTGACAGCTGAGTAAGTGCATTTCCTTGACTATGAGATGATCTATTGTTGTCCTTTGATGAAACATAAATGTTCTCTTGTAGTTGGTGCTCACGATGAACGTGGCACAGTGTTCGAGGTCCATTTCTAACATGCATTGATCTGACATGGCCTCAATGTCGTCATGAAGCACAAAACTTGATAAATGACCGTGTGGAAGCAACAGTTTCACATCTCTACAATTCTCAATCTGGATGTTTCGAAGAGAATTGCAATCCATGATTTCCACTTTCTCAGATCCTTGAACACGGATCGACTCAATTTTAGGATGATCTCTAAAAGAAAATTCTGCACTGCGTTCATGAACCATATTGGAGGTAATAATTTTGAAAGTACGTAAACCCTCGTGCTGTGCAAACCAACTTTCAGGATCTGAACCTTTGCAGTTATCAAGAGTTAAATGAGCGAGCGAATAAAATGTGTCACGTTCAGGAATACAAAACATTCGAAGATGAAGACAGTGAAGAACAGGAGCTCGCATGCCCTTCAACACTAAATCCTGCATACATCCTTTCAAATTAAGAATTCTTAAACTTGGAAATGAGGAAGAACTCAAATCAAGTACATCAGCGCTTTGGTATTGAACCAATGTCAGATCTACCAAATTAGAGATTAAACTCGTAAAATGTGTGTTGGTAATTTCATGGGAAGGACTAAGCTGCAAAACATTGAACGATCTAAACTTGGAAATATACTTGGAATAATTCTGTTCACCGTAGAAATTTTTGAACATGGTGTGGAGAGTGTGGAAGTATTTTGAATCTATGGAGCCCATTAATTCGACTGAAACCAATTTGTCAGATGTGAAAACTCCTTGTTCAATTAATTGTCGACAAACATCTACAAAAATTCCAAAATTGCTTTGATGATTTACCAATGTGATTCGCTCCAATGATGACAGGTGTGCGACTAACAATTGTACACAATTTTCAAAAACAATATCCACTGCAATATGTTTCATATTCTTCCAACTTTTTTTCACAGAAATATTTAACGAGCTCGATATGTTTGGTCTTGCTCCAAGCTTACCCGCTCGTTGGAAAAGCAACAATTCTTGAATATTAGGAAATGTTTCTGCGAAAAACTCTAATAACAATTTACAATCAAATATTGGCAAATTATTACTACGCGTGTCAGTTGAAGGATAATTCAAGTATTGAAACTTCTTTTCCAAAACATTCGGAAAATTCAGCACCTCTGCCGAATAATTCAAACACAATCTTTTCACAACTTTTTTACAATCACACAAAACATGAATTAGTTCCAAAGCATTGAACATGTCATCATGCATATTGGAAATAACCGTTTCATTCCTATTCTCAAAGTGTTCCGATAATGATGATTCTTCCTCTTGATGCATCATCAGATGACTCATAAATCGAGATCTCTCAACCCGACTCTGATAATTGAAAATTCCTGGAAATTCAAAAACAATGGAAAACCACAAGGCTTCATTCTCATGTACAAATTGAAACATCTTTTTACATGTAAATTTCAATGAGAAAAGGCTTAACATTTCATTCAATGAAAATCGGGATGTTCCAATAATTTCTCCCAAAACATCATTTTGATGATCACTCAATAATTGATGACTCTTCCGATGTGAGATTCGTTTCAATTTGGCTTGTTCCCGATCACGGTCATTGTCAAATAACTCTCCGATGAGAAATGAACAAATACTGCACAGCGACTCTGTGGGCAGTTGAAGAAGAGACATTTTTTAAGGTGATGATGAATTTGACTCGATATGGAAATAAACTCGGAACATGCAAGTCGACATGAGGTTAGGTTTTTGGATATAAGGTTCAAAGTTTGATCAGTCGATAAGAACCGAAGCGAGCATAACTCCTTCTTTGTTAATTAAACATTGTGATTTCAATGAATTGTTTTAAACTTTATTAAAGAGGAGAATTTATTAAAAGTTGAAGAGGGCAACAATCAGTTTAAAACTTCCATATAACCAGAAAACAAGAAGATGGTAAATATTTAAGACGAAAGTCGGCATCCTCTTGATAGATATAAAACAATCCCCTAAATTACGAAAAGGATAATACACGCTCCCCCTTTTCTATTGGAACCATCACTCATTGTAAACCATAACAATGTGTTTTGTGGGTTTGATTGATCTGGTAGAACTTTGGGATCAGATACTTCATCGGTTTCATACACATCAGTCACATCACAATCGATCACGCTCCGGTTTTGAATGGCCCTAGTAATATCGATAGGGTATTGATACCGAGGTATTGGTCCATTATGCATGATTTGGTAGTAAATACATTCAATATTTGTTCCCCTTATTTGTTTTACCCGTGGTGGGTCAAAGTAAGTTAATGGTTGTGGTTGAAGAAAATCCTTCCCAGCAACTAATTTCACTGGTTTCAAGTTTTGACATGCCGTGATTTTGGGTGCTGTTTCTGGTTCCCCTTTCTTGTCTGTCATTAGGTTTTGAGGATTCAGAGTGACTTGTTGGTCCATTTTTCGCTGCTGATTATTTCTTGTTGCTTCTCTAACTCTCCAATTTATTGATTGGAGAATTAAGGTACGAATTGAGAAGATAATTGTTGGTCTAACCACACTTTATACTGATGATTTTATTAGGAGCATTTACAATTCAGACCTTTGCTAATGCAAGGTTTTTGTCAAATGAGAAAGATTGTAATGATGTAGCGTTTTTATTGGAGCTAATGGAAATTCATTGATGTAAATTACTCATTTTAGTAACACCTTTTTTAAACGAATGCTCTCTGTGGAGAAAGATATTAAATGTTTAAATTAATTGGAGAACAATTTGAGAAAATAATCTCAAGGACAATTGGAGAAGATTACCCCAAGGGGTAATTTCAGTAATTTGTAAATGCAAGAACGGATATTTTCCAAAATACAAAGTTCTGGAAGTCAGCAGCCATCCTTTTTTTGGCTTCTGCAGGTCACATCTTTGGATTCATATCAGCCAGTTAATATGGGAAGTTAACTTATATTTCCTTCTTATATTTCTTCTCTTTAGAAAAACGAATCGCCAAGCATAATAGTAACCATTATGAAGGAAAGGTCATTTTAGAAATAATCAAATGATCTGTGTTAGCTGACATCTCGGGTAGGTTATCTTTTTTTCGAATCTACAGCTGCGAATCACATCGAATCACTGCGAATCTTCCTGCAAAAGATTCAATAAAAAATATTGTGATGACAACAGTACTGAGATGATGCAACAACAATTCTAATCATCGACATTTCAACACCCATGCCCACAAATGTGCCGAGCCAGGATGTACAGGCTCACTTTCACGATATTGCTTTGAACATCAGAAATGGTTTTCCGAAAGCACTTTTGCACGAAATCACTCACTGTGCAACCAACAACACAACAAACACCCAACAACACTCCAATCACTTTTGTTCAACAAAACTTCAACGATCAAAATCAATTGACTGAAAATCATCATAATTACTCTATCAAAGACAGCAAATACTCGATTAATATTATTGAAGGATGGCCTATTCAGAAATTGTGGAAAATTACATCGGGTGATCATGATGTCAAAAATTATAGTGATAAAGGCAAGCATGATGTCGTCACTAAATTATGGAATTTCATTAAAGAAAAAGATTTGCATCATCAATTCATTTCGGAATTGCAATCTCAAGATTATGTAATAATGACAACAGATGAATTCAACAATGTCAAGCAAGAAGAGCGAGTTAAAGGACCAAAACAACACCATACTGATCTTCGGGAAATTTCTGAAAATTACAGTCTAAGAGAAAAAGGCTTATATTTGTCACAAAATGGATTGGATAAAAAGAGGAAGGGAGAAACACTTGAATCAGTTCAAGAAATGAATGATCGTCTCAATTCACAGCCAAGTAAACCACAAGGTTTACCAAATTATTTCACAGATGAAGTCAAAGATATGGTTTTTAAAGCTATTGAGGAAGCAATGCGAGAGCACAAAGATTTCTTTAAGGTTAACAAATCAAAAATTGCAGACGACATTAAAAAACAATTACCTGATACATATGAATATCGCAAAATCAAATCAAGCCTTACACATCCTAAAAAAGGATACTATGTTTCCTTAATATATCGTGAAAAGACAGGAATTTCTCTCTCCCAATTGTTTGAAAAAAGTAAGAAACGACGAGCATACAAGCGGTCTTCTCTTGGCTTGCCTATCCATTTCATGACACAAAAAACAAAAGCAAAATTAATTCATGATGCCATGATCTATGGATTAAACCATTCAGATGAAGATATCAAAGATATGGTCCATCATCGTTTAACCTACATTGGTGATATTATTGAAGACATTAATGGAAATCATACCTTAATACGCGACATACGTACCGTGATGTGTATTATCTTGGCTAAAATATACGAAAGTAACGGTTTTAAGGTGAAAGAAGGAACTTATATCGTTGAGATTGTTCATTTGTGCAGAATGTGTTTTAGGGTGTTGTAATACGTGTTGTGAAGATCCTACGTGCACATTCCACATCAAGATTGTTAGCTACAAAGAGTCTCAATCATGCTCAAACAATTGTTGAATCAATGACCATGAAAAACCAAAAGAATTCACAACCGATGAGAAATGAACAAACACTGGACAGCTGTTCAGTTCTCGATGGGCAGTTGAAGAAGAGACATTTATTAAGGTGATGATGAATTTGACCAGAAATGGAAATGAATAATATCGTTTTCAAAAAGATCAATGTTGTTTACATGAGGTTATTTACAGACAAGTTTGATTTATTTCTTCTTTGAGTTGATCAATCACTCGCAAAATGCATTGAATTTTCACAATTTGAGCTTTTCGTTGCTTCTTCACCCAAGAATTCTCTTGAAATTCCAAATTATCCAACTCAATGGTCAAATTCATCAATTCACCATCCAATCGTTGTAGCGTTCGCAAATCTTGATTTTTCATCGATTCTGAATAGTCATTGATGTGAGAATGTTCAGATTCCTGTGGTCGTCTTGATCGATATTCCGTCACAAAGGCATCGACCTTATTCAACACATTTTCAATCTTGTTTGAAATTTCAAATACTTTACAACCATGTTCACCTCCAAATCGATCTTTCATGATTTTCACACGAGCAGCTTCTCGTTCGGGATCCTCCGTCGCAAGTTCATAGCGACACGTTGGACACGAGTTGTGATCCTTAATCCATGGCATAATGCAATCTTTATGAAAGACGTGTCCACATGGCATTCGAGTGAGAAGATCATTTTCTTCAAATTCACAAAGACACACAGCACAGGATTGACACATTTCATTTGAGTCTTCTCCTCCACCATTACAACAAGTATTGCAATCGCTCATAATTTGTTTTCGTAAGGGACTTAATTTGAAATTTGGTAATTCCTCAATGGCTCGTTGTTGAGTGGGAGTTTTCTTATTGATTTGATCTTGTTGATATTGTTGAAAGGATTGATTGGCCATATTGGAGAAGAATTGTTGAGGATCCATCATGAAGAATGGAGAATGCGTGTGTTGTGATTGTTGAGAGGAGGAGGCATTGGATGGTGGTTGTTGTTGAAATGGTTGTTGTGAAGGAACAGTAAAGAATGGAACAAAGAAGGGAATGAAAAAGGAAGGTGTGGGAGAGTGTGGTTGCTGTTCCGTTCGGCTCAAGACAGGATCAGGAATGTAAACGTTAAAGTTGATTGTGAACATTTTAGAAGTTGTTGTCGAATGGAACACTCAGTGTCAGTCGTCAGTCAAGTGGTTTCTTTTTTTTTTCGATTTGTGCTCTTATTGCGGGTGCTGGAACGCACAAAAACGTTTCCGCTCGAAAAATTCTAAAAAAAATTCATGGAAGTGAAGTCTGATGATGCACTCTGAAATTCCGATGAGCATTCCTTCAATCGGAAAAGGAATAGGAAGGATCGGAATTGAGGATGATGAATGCATGAAGAGAATGAAGGGATGTTTAGAGACGAGATTGAGATTACTTTTTTGGACAATTTGAAGAGAGTGTCGTGGCGATGGCAATTCCGAAAGTTCAAGTGTGGCCTTGAGATTCGAAACATCTTTAATGGTTCGTCTCTAACAATTCCTCAATTTCTTCAGTGGTCAACACGGCTCTCTCATGTGCCTTTTCACTCAACAGATACGATTGCATGACACCTTTTCCTTTCACTTCTATTTTTCGTTCTTCAAATTGCAAATCCAAATCATGAACTCTTTCATAGGTGGAACGTGAAATTTGAATTCTTCCAGGCAATGAAGTGGATTCCATTCTGGAAGCAACATTAATTGTGTCTCCCCACAAATCATAAGCAAATTTTTTAGTGCCAATCACACCTGCAACCACAGCACCAGTATTGAGTCCAACTCGAATATCCACTTGATGAATCTGATCAATATTGAGGGAAACAATGGATGATGAGGATATGGATGAGGGTATTAAATTGTTTGTACTATTGGATGGTGTCATGAATGTAGTATTCATATTATTCGTTGGCAATGTGGTTGAATCATTTCCTGTTGTTGAAAATTTTTCCAAAATCATTTTTTGATTGTAATTTCTCACCACTCTGAAGGTTTCTATTGCAAATCTCAAAACACGTTCTGCATGATCACTTGCTTGATGTAATCCTCCAACACAGAAATAAGCATCTCCAATGGTTTTGATTTTTTCCAATTCATACTTGTCAGTCAATGAATCAAATCCATTCACAATATCACCCAACATTTTCACCACTTGATGTGCATTCATGCTGCTTGAAAGTTTTGTGAATCCAACCATATCAGAAAAGAAGCAAGTAATATCAGGAAGTTTTTCTGCAATAAATGTCTCTCCCTATTTTTGAATCATTCAACATTTGAAATCCATTCAAAATTAAAATGAAATCATGACAACAATATATCAATCAATTCAAAATTTGAATGAAATCATGATAAAAAGAAATGAATAAAAATCATGAAATATGTATCTCTTTTGATGTGACTTCAAAAAAACACTTACATTTTTCAATTTTTTCGCCACTGATTCAGGTAAAATATTTCTCAATAAATTTTCTGAAGTCTTCTTTTCTTCAGCAAGAAGAGAATTTTGTTTCTTCTCTGTTGTGATATCTTTGATGAAACATACAAAGACTGCCTTTCCATCAAAAGTGGTCCATGAAATGTTCAATTTCGCTGGGAATCGAGTTCCATTCTTTCTCACACAATCAATCTCCAGCGTTTCACCACTTGCAATACTTCCTGTGTTTGTTTTCAAATGTTGCAATGATGTTTGAATTCTTTCCTTATTCTCTTGTCCAAATAAATTCCAGAGAGGAAGACCCACCACTTCATTCATATTCTTTCCAAACATTCTCTGTGCAGATGGATTGTAAATATCCACTTCAAATTCTTGATTGCACAAAAGAGCTCCATCCACAGTCGCATTGAGAACATTTCGAACCTTGTCGTCATCTTCTCTCCTTGATGACTTTCTCTGTTTGATCCATTCAAGCTGATGGAAGAGAATATAATTCCGGAGTGGTTCTTTTGCATCAATGTTTTCAACCTTGACGTAATTCAACATCATTCTCAAACATTGCATTTCTGAAAAATGTTTTGAGGTTCCTCTCACATACATGTTAATAATAATTGGAAGAAACACCAGCCCAATAACACCAATAATAATTGTCCAAGTTTGACTATCATCCCTCTGTACACTTGCAACATAAACCTCCATAAAATTCAGCATTCCATCTGTCAGCTTATTACAAGCTTGATATACTCCTGTAAAAAATTGATCGAATACTTTGGTAACATCTTTTTGAACGGCGGCATAGATTTCATTAATTTCAATGGATTTCAAGAGAAAGCTGTGAACCAAGTCATTCAGGCCAGAGCAGGTCGTAGTTGACGTAATATTGAGCTGAGTACAATTTCGACCTTTGAGAAGAGCATCTATTTCCAAATATTTTCCAACAAGAGAAGGGCTGCCCGCACTACCAAAAATTAAGCGATCCCAATTACTTTCTAGAGTTTTTGTTAAAGTATCAATACCTTCATGATAGCTTTGAGTTTCTTCCTGACTCAGTAACAGATCAGAATTCATAGCATATGTATTGGGTCTTAAAATTCCAAAAGCATAAATCTCTCCAATATGTAGTGATGTTATTTGGGCTGATGCGGCCACCCTTACCGAACCCTGCATGTTTTCGATAATGTTGTTTGCATTATTTGTTGTGGAGATGGTAATGTATAAAATAGGAATGGAACAACACAAAAATATAGCTGTAAGCAGAATCACTAAAACTGCGTTTCTCAACATGGGATTTTGCCACATTCCATTGTTAACATTTGATTCTTGCTCATTTGCTTTGATTGCATGATAAATCTTTCCAATGGCTTCTTTTGGAATCGATTTTTCGAAAAGTTTAACAATTTTTCTTAGTTTGAATGAAAAATAAACTTGAAGCGAAGCAATACCAAGGCAAAGGATGCAACCTGTAATGAGAGATGCAATACAGTAATAGACAAAACTTCTTTGATAAGTGGTCACAGTATCATTCACAACCTCGGATATTTGGTCACAAAATGTAGCAAAGTTCTTCGATAAAGTATCTCGATTGTGCCACATATACATCAAAAGAAAGTCTGTGAGTAAAGTCCTATTAAAATCATCTCCTTTCAGAGACTTCAGTGTCACTGCGTGTTGTAAAAAGGAATTAGTAAGAGTAGAAATACTGACATTCCTTGGGCGAGGATGGAGATATTGGCCATAAAAGTTTTGATGTGGAATTTCTGGATAATATACCAGGAATGAGTCATTAGAATACTGAATTGACATGTGAGAGTCTAATTTTCCATCCATGGCTATTGACTGAAGATTATTAAAGGTTGTTAAAGCTAAAGAAATTCTTTCTTGATAAATCTTATCGTAGTCACTCATATTGTTAATTCCCTGCGATGATAGGGATACAGGAAATGTGGTATATGTTCCAAAGAGGGATGTCACAATTTGATGGACCCTCAAGTCAGAAATAATGGCAAGAGATCGAGCTGATGGAGCGCATGCTTTTTGAATTGTGTTCAAATCTCTCGTGGCTGTATTCAGTGTCACAAGGGCCAACACAACCTTAGCTAGAAATAACACGCCAAGTATTGTACCAAATGTCAGAATGATAAAAAAAGGAAGAAGATTGCCTTCAGCTGTTGCAATCGTTGACTTATACATTGCCTCCTTTTTCATCTCAGGGCTCTCTCCAGCTTCGGTCAAATCAAGCTGATTGGAATCCTCAACAAGTTCTTTAGACCCACCTTTGAGGCTGGACAGGTGAATGTTATTGCTAACGCTACCAGCATTGTTAGCTGTTTGAGATAGGGGCGTTATTCTATTGCCAATATTTCGTGTAATGCTTTCCAATAACATAGAACCAGCACTAGCTCGCAACAGCCCTGTTGAGTGCTTAACCAAGGATACAATACTTGGTTTGTCATGACTTCTTTTGGAGTCTTCCTCCTCAATACTTTGAGCATCTTGATAGAGTTCAGAAGCTTTCTCAGTGTTGAAGAGAACCTCTTCATTGAATCTGGCATACAATCTCAACACACTCTTATCTTCAGAGAAGAGTTTCATTAAATTTTCAAAAGTTTCTTCACATTCAATGATGAGAGTGGATGCAGCTCTATTAATTTCTAACACTCGATTTTCATTCACAGTGTCATTCATCAACTCTTTCCAAACCAATTTTCTACATTGAACAATGGTTTGAGTATCTTTTTCAAGTCGATTCAACATTTCAGACATGTCCAATAAAGTTGAAAAATCTTTTGAGTCACCTTTCTCTCTTCGAAGAGAATCTTGAATTTGTTTCAATTTTTCTTTCAACATGAAACTCAATAATAATGCCATCTTTTCATTCTTCACTCTTTTCAAAAGTGTTTGAGAATATTCAAGAGAGGAAATGCAATAAGATTTTGGTGGTTTTTGAAAAGTCACTTGACGATCCATATCCCAAAAGTAAGCACATAATAAACTTGATGAAACGAGAAGATTTTTGTGTTGAAATCTTTTGTGTTGAGAGACTGATTTGATCATACAAATAGCCATATCCTTATCTGAAAATCCAAATGTATCATCATTTCCTTCATTTCCTGAAAGCATGCAAAATTTAAGAAATAATTCCAAATTTCTAATTTGTTTTCTCTCTTCCATATCTTTGAAAAGTGCAATGGCTTCTTTTTTCAAACAAGTTTTTAATTGCTTGAAATCGTTCTTCAGGTGAAAAACCATCATCAATAATTAACACTGCACATTCAACCACACCTTGCATGATTGTGAATCTGTGTCATGTTGTTGATTTGGATCATGTATTGAATAAATACAAGTATGTGGTTAAAGAAGAAGGAATTGTTTAAAGCATGCATGGTTTCAAAAAATATATTCAAATAATCGGTTAAGAATAATATATTGTGGTTAAAAAAGAAGGAATTGTTTAGGGTTTGCAGAGCATTGATATTCACTTACCTTGTCAACTTGTAAACAACTCTTGTATAAATTTCAACAATTAAAAATCCAATCAAGAAACCAATAAAGAACATTCCAAAGGATGAAGTTGCAAATGCTAAGCCCATTTCCCATTCATTCTTTGAATTGACAAGAAATGAAATTAAAGGAAATACACAAATGAAAGTCTTTCCCAAACATAAACCACCAATCATTGAATTTTCAAATCTTCTATAATATGGAAGTAAATACAAGAGCATGATAAAGAGAGTGAATGAGAGAAGAATATGAATAATACTCTTCACAAACATGAGAGAATTTGGAATGATTGCATTCAATGTGATTTGAATCTCTGAAATGACCAAAACACTTCCAATGAATAATGAATTGTCAACAATGAAAGGTGTCTCACTTCGAATATGACTATTTCCCAACACAAAACTACACAATATAGTGCTCAGAATTAAACAAATAATTCCCAAAAAATTCAAAACAATTAATGCAATATTGCTCGAAGAGAAGCACATGTAATAAGGAAATCGATTCAAAACTTTTTGAGGATCACTGAAACCATCAAAAGTGACTGAACTTGAATAATTACAATCAATGAAGGAAGTCATCAAATAAGTCATCACTAAATGTCCAAAATAAATGATAATTCCCAATACTCTCATCAATGATTGAACACTCTTGATGGAACGATCTGCCTTATGATAAACTCTCAAAGTATAGAGAAATAGACATAACACTGAAAGGGAAAGCAAGATACATATCGATGATAATGCAATGGCTGCTTCATATGGAATTGAATACATTGAAAAGTTCACCAAATAATTGAATACTCTCCATATCCATGCACCATAGAGTCCAAAATTATATTCTCCTTCAAGTCCAATCACAAGAGAACCAATCCAAGCATAAATATACAAGCTCAATATCAGCAAGTAACTTTTCCATCCCTGTTTGCTTTTAGAATCGACCAATACGATCAGCGTGGAAGCAACCACTTCTTGTATTTTGGAAAGGACTTTCTTTCCGAAGGAATTCAGGCCAGTACCACCAGCGTGTATTGAGGAAGCAGCACTGAAAGAGTACGCAGATAAGGGTCCAGCAGGATTATAATTGTTGGTTGTTTGGTGAACAGGCTTAAAGAACGTTGGATTTCCAAGACTGATGTCCTCTCGTTCCTTATTCGAGCTTGCTTCCGAGTCTGACATGATGATGATGATGAATTAATGTACAACAATATATTTGAAGTTTGTTGGGAGGAATCAAAACGACGAGAATAATAGGCTCCAATCAATTCCAGAAGTTCGTTTGTTCAATTCTAACGTTTGATATCAAACGAGAACTCTAAAATAATGATTCAAAACGCAGGCGAGTTTGGGGGTTTTCTCTCTCTCTCGAATGGAATCCGAACACGACAATTTTTAGGACTTGCAAGCTCATATTGCCCGCCTTAGTAAGATGAGCCTAATTGGGAGTTATAGTGCACCAGAGAGGGTATGGTGATGGGAAAAAGGAGTGCATGGGATGAAAGGAAGCACACTCCACTTTGGACCTCTCTCTGCTTGGGATGGTCAAATCCTCATAAGAGGGATGACCGAAATTTTGTGATCTCCATCATTGAGTGTCAATAATGCTTGAAAAACAATCCTAAGAGTCAATCTTTGTCCAAAGAAATATTTACATCAAAGACATGATGATGATGGTCAATGATAACGGAATACAATTTCCTAATGGCTGATTTGACACAATGACATTTTATGCGAATGGGCTGAATTTTTGTTTGGGTGTGAAAATGAACCACACGAATGGTTTTGTTGTTGTCGACCTAGGTTGACAAGATGGATTGTATTGAACCACTACTACTTGAAAATGTGGACAGCATTGGCACTACAGTCACAAACATACAATTCTCCCTCGAGCTCATTGCAACAAATGCCACACGGATATTTGAATTGGTTGACGGAAGCGGAGCCATAGGTTCCGTAGGAGGTCACAAAAGTGCCATCACGTCGAAAAATCTGTACGCGATGGTTCCAACCATCCGAAACAATAATGTTTTTCGAAACCTCATCAAACAACAATTTCAATGAGTTATTCAATTCTCCAAATGATTTTCCATATTTTCCAAATGTTGTCACTCGAGTCCATTCTTCATTTGGTGTCTTTTTCAAAATTTCAATTCGATTCAATGGATGCTTTTGACTCACCAATAATAACTCTCCGTAACTGTTGATGGCAACACCTCTTGGACTATCCACGTCGATTCTCTTGATAAATTCTCCAGATTTTAAATTCAAAATTATTATACAATTACTCTCACAATCACAAACAAAAACTTCTTTTCTGTTATTACAAACAGCAATTCCTTGAGCAGACAAAAATGTATGTGTTGTTTTCCAGATGTAATCGAATGGTTCCTCTCCTCTCTGTTCTTCAAAAGAATTTTCTATCAATCTTCTCAAATCATATTTATATACAGCATCGCCATCATCACAATCAAACAATAATGCATCATTCTTATTTTCATCAAATGACTCCTCAATGCACAAATATTTAGGCATTGGAGAAATAGATTGGATGGAAGTTTTATATTCTTTCGTTTTCAAATCAAACACTTTGATCCTATCATTATTGATATCAGAAATTAGTACGCAATGATGGTTGTAAGAAATGGCCACATCAAATGGTCCATCAAATAGATCATTTCCAAATCCAGAAATCTCAACTCTACCCAGAGTCGCCACATGTTTAAAATCCGTAGAAAATGATTTCCGAGCACTGGATGATCTCATCTTTTCTTTAAATTTGCCAAACAAATCATCTTGGTGGTGATGAATAGAAAGGTATTCCCAATCCGTGATGGTCATGATCACATGTGTTGTGATTTGTTGTTGTTGATTGTCATCATGATGATCTTCATTCATTTTTGTTTTGTGTGTTCAGTATAGCAAACAACAATAACAACAGGTTTTACTCATGAGGAAGAACTATTGGCCATGTGTTGCTAAATTCAGCCTTTACTTGGTGTATTCGTTTTGAAAATCATCATCACCCAATTTCCGAAATTGGATAAACATTCAATATTTCTAGAAATATATTCGAAAATTTCAGATGAATCAAATTGGTCACTCATCATCATCATCCAACTCTCATTTTTCTTTGGAGCTGTTTTTTGATATGGCCAGACAGTCACACTTATCACAACTCTAAAATCACACTGTTTATTATACACATTAAGTGATAACTGTTGGTTCATTTCTTCCAGTAAACTCATTCAATTTGCTGACCGTGAGAGCAACATGAGCAAGTGGCTTCACTTCCTCCAATGGATTTCCATCTAAATGGTCAGAGCTATACTTTTCCATGTAAACTCTGATGGTAGCTCCTGCACTTCCAGTTCCAGATAATCTGAAAACGATTCTACTTTGATCGACCAATTTGAAAATCATTCCTTGCTTTCCTGTAAAACTGTTATCAATTGGATCCTTATAAGAGAATTCTTCACATGAAGCAATATTGAGAGTTTGGAACAAATTCTTGGCTTCCTCAGAAAGTTGATTATTTTGGAATGGAACAATGTATGTGTCCCTCATGTGTGACATCATTTTGTTTGCTCCATCGGCACTCACTTCCTCATAATCATATCTGGTATAGTAGCTTCTACCGTACTTCTTCCAATGATTTTTAACAATGTCAGCCACAGAAACCTTCTTGTTTTGAGAGAAAGCTTGTTCATTCTCATAGGCTAAAATTGAAAGCCAGCTCAATACAGCCCACATGCCATCTAATTTGTTTGAAAAAGCAATCGTTTCATATACCAGATGAAGGACATTAAGACAAAGGTATCAATTACAAGATGATAACCTACCCTTTTCTCTAATGTGGTCACTTCCAGTTCCAAATGATTCTTCGCCACAAATAGACAATTTTCCTGCATCAAATAAATTACCAAAGTATTTCCATCCAGTTGGGACCTCATACATGGAGACACCTAATTCTTTTGCGACTCGGTCAAGAGCAGTGCTTGTTGGCATGGATCGAGCCAATCCAGCAATACCCTTCTTTTGGAAGTAAGGAATGCATTTCTGAGCATAATCAGCAATGATAGCCACTGAATCAGAAGGTGTCACAAAGAAATGCTTTCCCAAGATCATGTTACGATCTCCGTCTCCATCGGAGGCAGCTCCAAAGTCAATGTTACTCTTCTCATCCTTTAGTACTCTCTTAACCAAATGTTCAGCATAGGTAAGATTTGGATCTGGATGGCCTCCTCCGAAATCTTCACTGGGAGTGTAATTCATGAGAGCATTGTGTAAATCTGATCCCAATTTCTCATGCAAAATTCTCTTTGCATAAGATCCTGTCACGCCATGCATGGCATCAAATAATAAATTAAATTCACCAAATTGCTTTCCGATGAGCTTTCTAATTTTTTCCATGTCAAATATTGAGCTTAACAACTCAAAGTAATCGTTCACAGAATCGACCACAGTGACACGGAAATGTTCATCCGAAAATACATAATCCACAAATCCCTTTCCATTCTCTGCGTTCACCTGAGACAAGTCAATCTGTGGGAATTCATCACAAGTGTAATATTCATGAATACTTGTTGTTTGTTCATAAATTCGATCGGTGATTTTCTCTGGTGCTGGACCTCCATTAACAGCATTGTACTTGATTCCCCAATCATTGTTAGGACCTCCAGGATTGTGTGAAGCAGTTAAAATCAATCCTCCCAATTCTGCTTTTCTCTTTCTGATGAGGCACGAAACAGCAGGAGTGGACATGATTCCATTCTGCCCAATCAACGCATGAATTTTAATTCCGAGATGAGCAGCATTCGAGTACAAGATTCTGAGAATGGTTTGAATGGCTGTCTTGTTGTAGTAACGACCATCTCCTCCAATGACCATTTGTAAATATGAATCCTCGTGAGCAGCAGCCTGAGGAAGAGAATCCTTGGCCAAAATAATATTGAGAACCGACTGAGTGAAATTCTCAAGGAAATTTGGTGTGTTTTCAACAAGCTTAACCTTCACTCGGAGGCCGGAAGTACCCATCTTTTGTCCCGGAATGGGTTGAGTGGATTGGGAACGAATTTTGAGAGGCATATTGGTCAAGGACGTATCTGATGATGGAATGATGATGTAAGAATAACCAGAAATGATTGGTTAAGATCGCAAGATGGAAGAAGATGATGAAAACAATATAGAAAGGTTGTTGGTTGTTTTTCACGATCAAAAAACACAAACGATGGGCCCGAAGAGAATGTGTTTTTTTTTATGATGATTTGATCAAGAGGCTATTTTTGGGTTTTTGAAGATTTCCTAATGAGCTTCCTTTCAAAAAAAGAAGCCTTAATTTTGGAGTGAATAGCAAGATTCCAATGCATCCGGAGTGTGATTCGTTGAGTCTTCTGATGGGTAGATCGGAAAGACCTCTCCGAGTCCGAGTGAGACATTTATTATTAATTTTATTGATATTTATTATGAATAATATTAAAAAAATGATCAAACCAGAGAATGTTGTGGATGAGAAGAACCTATTCAAAACGATGAGGATTGATCACGATACAACAGTTGTTAGAATGATTGATTTTTCAAATTCTTTTTTTCATCATGGATGGCAGGATGATGATGAAATTTTTGCTCACCATATTCGGAGATTGGAATTATTATTGAAACAGAAATTTTCAGTTCAACAACTCGGAAAGAAGAAATGGTTGTTGAACAGGGAGATGGAATATAAAAATTTCTTTCCGATCGAGTTTATGGATGACAAACAATTTATATTGAATCAAATCAGAAAGGATGGTCATTTATTCCAATATGCATCACCTAGGCTCCAAGAAGACCGAGAGTTTGTGTTGCAAGTGGTTCAATTGAATGGATATGCGTTACATTATGCCAATGAAAATATTCGCAGTGATAAAGAAGTGGTATTGGGAGCTATAAAGAACGAAGCACATGTATTGCGTTATGCCATCGATTACCTTGGATTTGACAAGGAATTTTTCTTCGAGGCTGCTCGACTGAATGAAAATTGTTTCTCTCATGTTCCCTTCTCAATTACTAGCGACAAGGAATTCATGCTTGAAGCAATTCAACAAAGTAAGAAGGTACTTTCATCAATATCGTGGAATTTACGCAACGATGAAGAGTTTAGGTTAAAAGTTATCAAATTATTTTTTCCAGAACATGAAAGTTCAGCCTCTATTGACTATTCAAATAAGGAAATCATGATGAAAATTATTCAAGAATATGGACATATGTTGAAATATGCATCTGATGAACTCAAGAATGATAGAGACATTGTTTTGGCTGCAGTTAGAAATGATGGTTGGTCCTTTGAATATGCCTCTGATGATTTGAAAAATGATTTCGAAATTGCATTTCTAGCAGTTAAACATGATCCTTTGTTATTACAGTTCGTCTCTGATGAATTAAAGGGAACTAAATCTCTAGTATTGGCTGCAGTGACTCAAGATGGATTTGCACTTGAATATGCATCGAAAGACTTGAAAAATGATAGAGAAGTAGTATTAGCAGCTGTTAGAAAAAACGGGTTTTCTCTCGTCTTTGTTGATGAAAGGATGAAACGAGATCGAGAAATTGTATTCGAGGCGACCAAAAAAAATAATACTTCTTTAAAACATGTTTGTAAGGAACTCTTGTGTGACAAAGAGTTCTTATTGAAACTTATATCGTTTGGATGTCGATATATTTTCGATTATGCCTCACAAGAGATTGTTAACGACAGAGACTTTGTTTTAAATGCCACCAAACTTAATGGTCTGGCTGTTATTGGGTCACGTTTTAGATCAGACAAGGAAATCATGTTGGCGGCGGTAAAGAATGATGGATATGCCTTGAGGTTTGCAAGTGAAGAATTGAAGAAAGATCCCGAACTCTTAATAGAAGCTCTGAAATGTAATGGCTATGTGTCGGAGTTTAGTGATGAATTTTATAAGGAAAGAATTGAACAATGTTATTTTGGTGCTTATTTAGGACAAAAAGATGAGTAAACATTTGTCAAACTTGAACCCTCTGACTGCTTGGTGGCGATTGTATGATGATGTGTAAAGTGTGTATGTAGATCAAGTTTTGTGAACATATTTGCCGTTCATTTCTCATGTCAAGGCCTTCGTGAAAAATCAGTGTATTTCCGTGTTCTAGGCTTTATGAGGTAGCAAGCATGAGGTTGATCATTGATACTCGTCATCGCTTGCAATACCTCTAAATTCATGATAGGCATTCTTGAGAGAATCATTTTCTGCAAAAGCATTATGAACTTTCTGGATTAAGGAATGTGAAGGGGATGGAACGGAAGGTTTGTGAGAAGAATGTGTGTGTGACGATGAAATGTTTGAACTTGTGCCTTTTCTTTTTGCATTGTTGTGGACTGTTGTTGTTCTACAGTGTGGATGTTCACGTAGATGTTGTGAAGGAAATTTTTGAATTTCGCTCACACTTCCGTAATTCTTTCTCGAGTTCGTGACTGAAGGAGAATCACTGGCTGATGTTTCTCCCTCCATGTCTTTTTCAGTGGCATTATCATCGTCGTATCTGTAATGAATGTGTGGTTGTTGTGGATCGTGTTGCTGTTGAAAATCGACTTCCTCTGTACTCTCATCCCAATGTGAATAATATTTCTGAGCTTTTTCTGACATGTATGATACAACTTTTGAAGTTTTTGTTTGAGATGTCTTCTTGGAAGTTGTTTTTCCTGTGTCTTGAGATTGTTTTTCTTCAACTTCTGCATGATGAGAAGAGTGCAATATGGATAAAGTTCCCATCTTGTATAGAGCATAATTCAAGATTAATAATGGGATAATTTCACCAAGTGAATAGTAACAAAGAATGGTTTGCCATTTTGTTTCGAGCCATGACAGAAACATTTGTGCAATTAGTAATCCTGCTCTTCCTAGTAAAACAACAAAATCTGTTAAGGTCACAACTGATACATATATAATTGTATAGAGTGACACAATGTTTCTCGATGAACTAGCTCTATAATTTTTCAAATGTCTCCTAAACAAGGTAATTCCCAATATAATGACAAGTATAGCACAAATAATAAATAAAACAGTTGGTACGGCAACTGCCACAATTTCTATAGTAGAATATGGCGTTGGATTGGTGTAGTCATTGTTGTCAGACCCTCTTGGTTCATCTCCTGCAAATTGAAATAATAAAAGCGAATCATTCACTAGCATGGTCATGTACATGATAAAATTCACAACAAAGAATAATGTCTTGAGAAAAGAACTCGCTGTTAAATAATTCATAATTTTTGGGACTGTTTTCCTTCGAATAAATCCTTGTGATTGATATTCCGAAGAAGAATGTTCAGATGTTAATAATCCAATATCCTCTTGATTTGTTTCCGATATTTCCGAAATGGACTGTTTTCGAATGGACAAAATTGTCATTTCTGTCCAAAAGAAAACCAGCATGAGCATGAGTGATGAATAGACATATCCAGGAAATGAGCTTACTAAAATTAAGAGCTCTCTATATTCCGAAAAATCTGGTAATGAAGCTTGAACTGCTAATTGTGTGCATCGAACGAGTGACAAAATCACAATAAGCGCAAACATTAATCTCTTATCAGAAAATGTGCTTTCTGGTTTTTTGAAAGATGAAGATGAGGCAAGAGATGGGTTAGTGTTGAAATTATTGGCGAATTGTTGATCGTTATGATTAGTTGTTGTGGTTTGTGATTCAATTTCTTCTTTATCTTCATGATGATGTGAAGTGGAATGATGAGGATTCATGTCGTGTTGTTGTCGTTGTTGATCACCCTGAGTGATCCTCATTGAATCTTTTAAAGAATCATTATTGAACTCCATCCCATGATCATGATTTGAAATCAAATTGGAAGGATGGATATCTTCTGTTAGCTGTTGTGTATTTTCCTTCCGACTGCTACTACTACTACTCGTCGTCAAGTGAGAATTCAAGTGAGAGGATGAAGTGGATGATAATTTCTGATGAGTCTTCCTTATGGAATCATCCTTTCGGTCATGATGAGAAGATAAATTCCCTGTATAACGAACTCTTCCAAATCGTTGAGAGATGAATTTTGAAAATTTCCTTCGTTGTTGAAATTCCACGTAAATAATTCTCAGCAACAACGAAAGGCTTGAAAGTCCAATAAATCCGTAAATTCCTGATAAGGTGGAATAAACAATGACATTGGGGATCGGAATGGTCATGATGTTATTATGGTGTGTCTAGGTAATACTTGAATAGGAGGAGAAGAAGAAGGAGAAGGAGGAGGATGGTCTTTTTTCCGCACAGTTGGAGTGTTTTGTTGGTTTTTAAATGTGGTAAGCAATCGGGTTAGTAATATTACTGGGAGAGTTGGAATCAATGATGAATGAACGGCATGATCCAACAACAACAACAGCTCGTTTAGACCTAGCTTTCAAGAGTTGTGTATTTCAAAAGGAATTTTAGTCAAAGAGTCTCTCGGAAAAGGACAATCTCAGACAGTGATGTTGTTCGAGTTTTGATATTTTTTGGGTTTTGATTCCCTGTCTCAGAAACGGAGTTTACAAAAAGATGCACTGTAAGGGAAAAAGACTTGACACGATCTACAGATTCGATGAGATTATGTCTGTTAAAAACGACAGTTGCATCGATGCATGTATAACCTCTCTTAACTTTGTGAGGTCGTGAAAATGGAATTCAAGTTTTGAAATAATTTTGTAAAATGGATTTTTTTCTCCGAGAATTTTGATTGGTTTGCCGAGCTTTGTTCAAGTTCATAAAAAATTCTCAATCTCAACGTGATGAGAATTTTTTCAGCTTCAGAGCCCACACAACTTTTCTTCGGGCACCACCACGTACATTATTCTACAAGAAATCATCACGGTATGATATTAATTCTTCTCCATCATCAAACAAATTAATTTTTAATGATGATTAATAGTACTTGATGGAAATAATGTCCAAATATTTAGCGATTGTCCAATTCAAAACATTCGGAAAATGGAGGCCTTTGTACGTATGAGTTCATATTGTTGCTCATACGTATAAAGGCTTCATTTTCCCAATATATTGTTGCCCAAAATGTTGTGTTTTGGTGCTAAACGACAACATGAGCAAGTGCGTTCACGAAAGGACAAGGAATTCGATTTTTTGATGCCCTCTCAGAAACACATTCTCTGCAACATGGAACAACTGTTACCATATGTACGTGCAAATAGACATTCTGGTTTGATCATGGTAATTCTGTTGGATCAGAAATGAAACTCCAAGTGTTTCTTCAGTGCCAGCATTAGTTGGTATATGAGTAGGAGGTGATAGTAGTCAATAATTGATTGCAATAGGGAGGTTATTTATTCCAGAGTGGTGAGGATGGTCCTCCTACTTTTAGTGCTTGTTGAATGGCCAAATATAAACCTGCCCAAGTGGAGATCACTTCATTTCTGTTTGTAATGCCCTCTTGACATTCATCCAGTTGTGGTTGCTCTTTCTGAACAACATGGTTTATGACAGTGGAAGACAAGTTGCAGGAACTGACGCCTTCATTCGAGGAGGATGATGTGATTGGATACAAGTTGGAAGTGAGACTTTGACTATTATGAATGGACTCCAACTTGGATACAGTTGAGTTGTAAAGATCACAAGATTCAATAATGGATCCATAGTGCATTACTTGTTGGACATGTCCACTCCTTTCGGCCGAGTTTTCCTTTAACCACCTTTGCCATGCCTCTTGTAAGGCACAAGATTCAACTTCTTCCTTATTTGGTGGGATTCCATATGTGGAAGGAACAAAGTGTGTGCCCATCGATGGACACAACTGAATTCGATTTTCATTTCTGGTGGAAGCTGATTCAATAGCAGTATACATCGTCTTCTGGTGGAAGCTGTTCGGTGGTGTTGTCGTCTTTTGCAAAAGATATTCATATCCAAACAATGTTCCATAATTATTAGGATCAACCATTCCAACTGAATGATTCTGATGAGGAATGAATGAATCGATTTGGAAATTTTGAACATGACTGGTTGCAACCAAGTGTTGATCTGAAGCCTGAAAACCTCTTTCGTCATGCTGTTGTTGTTGCATTTGTTGCATTTCCTTTAACCATTGCAACACCTGTGGAAGAGACATGTCGACAGGTTGCAGAAGAGGTTTTTCAGAAGGGGACACATGCGCAATGTTTACAACTTCATTCATGGAATGATGTGGTTGGTACAGTTGTGGTTGTGGTTGTTGATGAACTTGTTGTTGTGGTGGTAGAGTGGGCGTCATGGTCGTTGTCGACTTGAAGTGTTTCTTCTTTGGTGGTTCTACTTGAAGATGGTCATCCTCTTTTCCTTTTCTGCTGCTTTCTGAAGGAATGAGCACTTGTGTTGCATCTTGTGGTTGTTGATTGATACCATGCTGCCATGGTCTGCTGTCAGCTTGAGAGTATGTTAAAAGACTACTTGGTTGAGGTTGAAACCATGTTGTTGTTGTTGTTGTGGCTGTCGATGGTTCCATCAACAACTCTAATGAATCATCATCATCACCATTGGAAACAGAGGGTTGAATCTTTTTTCTCTTCTTCTTCAAGCTCTTCTTTGGCACCTCCAAGGAGAGATCACTGGAACGAAACCTTTGTTGAAAACGTTTGCAAATCTTACTACTGGAAAGATTGGATGATGATGATTGGGAGGATGTCGGTGATGTGGTGGAAGATGTTTGAAAGCGCAACACTTCCACCTGACCTCCGACACCTCCGACACCATCTCCCGAATGAAGATCCAACTCAAAATAATTTTGTTTAAATGCGTGGGTATTGATTTCTTGTCGAAGCTTTTTGGGTTGTTTGATTGTGGTTGGTGGTGGTGTTAGTTGTGGTGTTGGTGGTGTTGGATGGTTGCAACTGTTATGGTTGTTGTTATTGTTGGTGGTCATGATGGACGGGTTGGTAATCTTCTTCTTCGAGTGGAGGTGGAATGTTGGCGTCAGTGAATGGCGGTGGTTATTATTGTGTTCTGTCATGACGATGATGATGGAAGGTTGTCAACTGTGTTGGAATCTTTTTTTTGACCTTTTTTACAACAATTCGATCTTTTGAATATTCAACAGAATGAACAAATCAAATAACCAGTGACAACATGATGAACACGCTCCTCATGGAGTTTGTTGTCTAATAGAGAGAATAGTTTCATTTTGAAAGAGTCGCCACAAAAGAACCTCAACATTCGAATTTCATCTCAACAAGCGAGATGCAAAAGGAAGAACATTCACTCGAGTTGTTGTTGTAATTTTCCTTTTGGAGTGATGGACGGGTATCTTTGAATGATTCATGAAGAGAACTAAAACCTCGAATATTCAAGAGCCAATCTCTTTGAATATTTGGACCCCATGGAGTACTATGGAAAGAAGACTTCCCGTTTTTTCGAGACTTTGATTTGTTCGTTTCATAGCACGGATGGACTTGACATTTCTTCCAAACGCTTTGAGACGTACCACGCCAGAGAGAACTGTTTCATTATCATTTGGAATGACATTTTGTCGATTTGGGACTCCTAAAGTAGTTTCATACACATAACCAGGCTTAGACTTTCATTAGGAAATAATCCCTTTTTTACATAAAAAAGCTCAAACATCGATCGATGAATTACCCTCTAAATTGTTTTTATCCTCATCAATGAAGAAATTAAGAAATTGGGAAATGTATCCTGTGAATGTTTTTTTATTGAATCAAAAGAAGGAGAATGGAGCTCCTCCATTTGAAAAAGCTTGTTGAAGAGCCAAATACAAACATGCCCACTGCAAGCTTGAATGCTCATTCTCTGTTGAACTCTCCACTGACCTTTCAAAGGCCACATGGCCTTTATTTTGTGGTGGTACAAGTGGAATGTGTTGTTTCTCAAGGTGTCCATGAGGAGGGTCACAAGAAAGGACGAATGGGTTCGGATCGAATTGTTGATTCCTGAAAGGATCACAAGAGTCATAGGATGGAACGACTACTTGTTGGACATGGCTCCTTTCAGCCAAGTTTGCATTTAACCATCTTTGCAATGCCTCCAATAAAGCGAACGACGTAACTTCTTCCTTATTTGGTGACTGACCAAAAGTAGAAAGTCCCGACTGGAAACTATGGTTGTTGTCACTCCTGGCGCAAGTCATATCAGAAGATGTAGGACATATATCGTGTAACTTGTTTGGTGATGATGTTGAATTCTGAAGTGATTCATATCCAAACAAATTTCCGTAATACATACCCGCTTGAAGACTGAGTGGAACATTTTGGAGATTATTTTGAGGCGAAACAACACACATGTTTTGCTCTTGAAAGAAACCTTCACCATCGTGAGGATTCTGTTGCATTGGTTGCATTTGTTGTTGCCATTGCTGTTGCATTTGCTTCATTTCATTGAACCATTGTGGAGCAACCTGAAGATATGGAAGTTCATGACGATGGATCGAGGGAGAATAGCTCCATTCATTCATCATTTGGAATGGAGTGAATGTTTGTATAGTTTGTTGTTGTTGTGGAGTGTTAGACTTGAAATGCATCGTTGGAGGTTCCACTTGATTTTCTTGATCCTCTTTTCTGTTTTTGGAGGGAACTGTTGTGATCATTTGAGAGGATGGAGATGAATCTGGTTGAGATTGTTGTTTGGTTGCATGAAAAGCAATGGACGGAGCTGGTGGTGGTGGTGGTGGTGGCGGATGGATGGTTGCGGTCGATGACAAAGTCGAACTGCTTTGATTGGATTCCACAGTGGATGGTTTTCTCTTCTTTGTCTTTTTTGGAACTTCGATCGACAAATCACTTGCACGAAATGTTTGTTGATAACGTTGAAACAACTTGCTGTTGGAAAGATTGGACGGAGTAGTGAAATTGGTTGACAACGAAGAGGGAGAATGAAAGCGCAATACTTCCACTTGATCGCCAACACCTCCGTCACCACCTCCGTCACCTGCATGAAGATTTAATTCGAAATAGAATTGTTTGAATTCATGAGTATTGATTTCTTGTCGAAGCCTTTTCGGTTGTTTGATCTTGGTTCGAAGTGGCGGTGTAGACGGTGTTGATCTTGGTAATGATGGATTCATTTGGAGTTGGCTTTGTTGGTGTTCGGGGATTTCTTTTTTGTTAAAAATTGATCCTTGTTACTCTCCCAAACGCGTGTTGACTTTGGCCAAGCCACACAACTTGAACATGCCTCCAGACTTTTCTTGTTTTGAGCCTATCAGGACCAATAAAGAACCTCAACACGAAAAAGAACCGTTGACTTTCTTTGTTTTATCTTTCCTTTTTTGAATCTGATCAGATTCTTGAAAGACCAAAGAAGGCAATTTAAAAAGGATCCGATTGAATAATCCGATCGAATTCCATCATTTTCCCATAAAGATTCTATCCAAAAGACAAGTTGATCGAAATGCTTTTATTTGGAAAATGGAATTCAGAGTGTAAAATCTTTGAATCTCGACGGCTCTTCAAATTTACCCTAATGTGAAAGGTTACGCGAACTCGACTACAGTAACTTTATTCTGAATAGTTGTTGTTGGAGTTTGTCTTTTTTCTTAACCTCAATATTTAAATGCCGAATAAGGAAAATAATTTCGATTCTTGTTGAATCAGAAATTCCTTTAATTAAATTCCTTTTGTTGAAACACAATCATTCTCTACACACCTTAATAAGAGTTATCACTCTGAGGGTGATGGTTGGATTTCAAGTAAAGATACAACAACTGAATCCACAATTATTGTTTTTCATCTTCAGCAGATAACGGAGTTGAATTTTGAAGGACATTTTCATCATGATGATGATTGGACATGATCTACTCCTTGGAATTTGTTTCTGTAGGTTGTTTTGAATTCTCCTCGGACAAGAAATTCCATTCCTCACGATTGTTGTTATTTTCTAAAAAAGGTTCCTCGACCAGACATGTTGTCCTTGTTGTTGAATCAGTATTCATTTGATCTTGAATGAAAATGCAAGTATCTTGTAAGAGTTGATCCACCTTGTTGTGAATTTCTTGATAAGGATCATCTGAAATCCACTGAAATGTCAGGAACAGCTGTCAGCTGTTGGTGTGAAAGTTGAAGCTTATTATTACATGCAACATTCATCTCCTCATTCTGATGTTGAGACGGACGATAATCCTTGCTTATCATGTGCACTTGTGATTCTCTCACAACAATCTCTTCTGAAAGATGGTTCCAAGAGGAGGAGGAGGATGATGTTGAAGCAGTGCTAGATTCATCTTTTCTTCTCTCGTGCTTTCTCTTTTTAGAATTTGACAGATTTCTGTCATGAGTCATGTCGACCAATGTTTTTGACATTTTCTCTTCCTTGTTGTTTCTGTTGTGTTTTGGATGGGCTTTTGGTGATTGATCGCTCACAACAGATGTCTCTGATTTCTTTCTATTCTTTTCAGAAAGTCCAGATTTGAAGTTATACACTCGTTGTTGATTCATCATGAATTGAGGTTGAATATTCATTTCAAAGTAAAATTGTTTGAATTCCTTGTTGTTTAACTGTTTGGGGAGTTTTTTGAACAGGTTGTTGTCATTGTGTACTATTGTGCTGGAACTCTTGTGTAGAGAGGTTGTGCTTTGGTTATTTGAGATCATTTTCGAAGAGGATGAATGATGAAAAACGGAACACACGAATTCACTTGGACAATGCGAGAGGGAATTTTTAATGGCGTGCGATCAGAGAGTACTGTGTTGTGATGGATCCATACAAGTGATGGAATCTCGTTACCAAAAGATCACCTTAGCAGGAGATTAGCAGTCTCAAAAAGTAGTCATGCACAAAAATATATACAGCATTCTTTTAGGAAAAAATGAAATTCCTTAAATGGCATTAGTAGTTGTACGTGAGAGTGGATTATTGGGGGATTGTGTCACATGGAGGCGAAAACCGAGATCATGATTCGATCATAATTGTGACATCCTCACTAAGTATGGCCATTTTGAGGGTTGGTTATTTATTACTCGACATTGGAAGCAAATTGAAGTGCCAATCCAAATTGGTTGACAGATGCAAGTGATAACTCTAGGTCGTCTTTCAGCTCTGAAGAAACAATTTGTAAAGCAAAGTCTTTTTGTTGAACGGCTAAACAAGCCAAAGTTTTTATCGTTCTTCAATTTTTATTCTGATGAGAAATCAAGTAACTTGAAATCAGTTCGAACATCATGGAATAGTACATCTCAATCGTTCTTAAGTATATATTATATTCAGAAGAGAATATACCAAATTCGGGAATGACCAATTGGAGCTCTTTCAATCTAAACAATGGATTCTTAGCTCAGTAAATCCTTGGAAATCCGTTGAAGGGCCATCCTGTTTTCTTGATTAGTTCAATCTTCATCATTGCTTCACCAACATTGAATGGGATTTCATATCAATTGTCTTCCAAAGACCAAGAAGTCATGCCAATTCTCAAGCCATTTCTTCTTGCATCGTGGTTGAAAGGAGAACTGAATCCTTTCCGAGAGTTGCTGGATTTTCGCCGAGGTTGTCAACGTCAACAGTCAATAGCATTGAGCCTCTCATGCTGCCATTAGCTCAACATTTGAGAAATAATTGAAGTCATTATTCTTGCAAGATTCCAGGGTTCCTCAATAATCTAGTTTTCCACTTGTAGATGACAGTGCCTCAAAAACCATTTCAAGATTTCAAACATTTTCAGAGAGCACAAATTATTATCTTTATCAATTTTCCATATTTGTTAAGAAACTCGATCAAGTCAGATCGGCAGAGAGCATATCCATTGAGAGTGCATAGTACATGCACATTCGCTGCACTATCTTACCAAAGGATCAAAAAAGAACATTTCCATATCCAAACGTCACTCGTGCACACAATAAAAAGACATCCAAAGACTCGAAATCTTTCAACATTAAAAAACAACAACAAGAACATTCAATATCATTCAATGAAATCCACACTTTGCATTCTTGCCGCCGTTTTGGTGCTTTGCCTTGTATCCTTTGCTTGCGCTCAATATGGCAATGCTTACAATGGTGCCTATGGTTATCAGGGAGGACTTGGTTCGAATTATGGAGTGGCAGGTGGTAACTACAATTCCTACGCTCAGAATACTCAAGCTTATAGCAATCAAGTTGCAGCTGTGAATTATCAACCTTATGCTGCTTATGCCTCTGCCTATCGAGGACCTTATTATTATGGACAAAATTATGGAAATTATTATTCCATGCCATTCTGGGGAGGATATGGTGGTTTCCCATGTTATGGAGGATATGGTGGATATGGATGGTATTAAATTTGAAAAGTGTGTGAATTGAACAATCTTCATCGAAAGAACTGCAGTTGTGACTTTGGTGTGCGTTGATTACATCTCGATTTTGTGACTCGAGTCCATGAGTGAGAGTGGTATGTGATTTTCATTTTGAAGGAGACGAGTGGACACCTTCGTGTGAGTGAGTATTATTAGTGAATATCGAATTCAATAAATTATTCAATGCAAAGAATCCATGTTTCGGCGATCACTACGGCCAATCATACTCCGACTCGGGTCGGCCCCATCATGATTCGCCAACATTCTTTACTCTTCTCCCTTAATGGATGAAAGAAAAAAGAAAACCCCTTCTCCTCAAAGAACCATGTTTGTTGTTAAAGGTTTATTCTAACACAAAGTGAATATAATTTTTGAATGGTTGTACCTCTCGATGATGAATTAATCCCTCTTCAACCATGATGAATGGAACGATGGTGCAAAATCAATTTGCATGCACACGTCCTTATTTTCTCCTGGACGAGCCAAGTGGATTCTCTCAAATTCCAAAGTGGCAGCGGATGGACGAGCGTCTTGATACTTTTTACCTTGTTGGGCTTCTTGGCTCTTCAAGTTGAGGAAAGAGCCGACGCTCAAGAGAGCAGTTCCAACGATCCAAACTTGTGGCTTGTAGACTAACCGATGAAAATACCATCAACGAAAGTTGATCAAAGACTTTAGATTCATCATGATGCCAATGGATACTTACAGAAATATTGGAAGCAAGTCTTGTATTGGGACATGTATGTTCGGATGAGAGAGAGTGAATGTATCGTACGAAGGAGTATGATTATTTTTTTATTAATGATGGAAGCTGTAAAATTGTCCTAATAAGGCAAACCTTAGAGGCACCCTCCAAGTACAAATTGGCTCACTCGTTCGCTCGCATGAGATCGTGCTGAATATCCGCACAGTTCCACGCATTGAAGGAATTTCAAAAATACCAGAAACGTGAAGAATAATAACTCTCGACATTGATGTGAAAATATTCAAAGTGACGTGGATTATCACAGAAAGAGTACTTTGATTCAATTCTGATCCTTTTATTCTTCTTTCCTTTTCTGATCTGAGGATGTTTGATTTTTGGCCACACTCCAAATCATCTTGATCAAGGCAACCACTTCATTACTCTCGTCACGACACTCAGCCACAACTCGAAACGAAGGTCTTTCTCTGTATAGCTCCATTTGACTCAATTCCAATGGAACCACATCCCTACATATGGCTCGAATTACTCCACGTGATTTTTTGTAATATTCAGCACATATTTCAACAGGAATGGCTCTCAACTTTCGAGGAGCAATTTGATTCGTAACTTGTAAACCACATGCCAAATCTCCCAAATTGACCAAAGCAGCAGCGTGTATGGAATTGAAAGGATTCTTCATGGAAGCCTTCTCAGTGATTCGAACAATCGTTTCCTTTTCATCCATTCGTTCAATAATGGGACGAATATTGTCGGCATAGGGAGCGATAAATCCGATCAATCGACTCATGTAATAATCGGCGAGAAATGTGTGGCCAATGAATGGCAAGGAATGAATGGTTTCATAAATTTTGAGAGGTCTCTCTTTCATGACTCGGAGAATGGGAAACACGTAAAGGAAGGCCAGCACCGTGAGAAGAAGAAATGCTACGAGAAGCAGCACGAGAAGAGTTTGAATCATTTTTTCTTGTTGATTGTAAACTTGAAATCAGGTGAAATTAATAATTTTTTTTAAACTCCAAGGAGAATTTAATATTTTCCTTCGTTTGGATTCTTTTTGATTCTGGCAAGCTTATCATTGCTAGTAAAATGTCTTTTTGATTCTAGATCAAGCTTATTCTGTCATTGTTAGTAAAACTGTTTTGCTTTTCTGTTTTTTGCATCTAGAAGCTCAATTTGTGTCATCTCAGAAGCTATTTTGCCATCCTTATTTTTGATGGATGTGTCCGTTAAGGGAGTCAATGCATCAATCAAAAATTGGGTACGGTAAGCATTGAATAGTGCAGTTTCTCCATTCTTGTTGGTGACATTATATATGTTATTTCTTTTAACTGATTGCAAGTATTGCATTAAGTCAGTGGCTAAATATTCCTTATTTTCATGTTGCTGTTTCACTGTAGCCTTAGTGTTTTCAGTGTTTGTGCAAAGTAAATGGAAGAGAGTGTTGCCTGTATTCTCATTCTGGTAGGTGGCCCAAGGCAGCAATACTTCTTTTTCTAACTCACTTTTCATAAAGATCTTCTTGGGTCTTCGATTCACTGAAGTTTCTCCATACACAAAATAAGCTGTCAAAAATACAAATCCATGCAAGAAGCACAATTCCAAAAGAGAGGTCTTGTGTTCTACTGTTGAAGTCTCAGTGGGTTTAGAGAATAGCTTTTTGTTTGTTCTGAGAGTATGTTGTACATATTGGAACCAATCACTGTGTTGGGTGGATATTGGGAGGACATGACGAGTGCGCAATGATGATGGCTGTTTCTCGCCTCGAATCGTGAAGACCTTATTAAAAATATTGCACTTTTCTTCTAAAGTCGTTTCATGGGCTAAAAAATAATCCTCAAATAGGCCAATATAAGTATCCTCGAAAGATTTTTCATCATAAATTTCCTCAGTTTGAATATATCCACACAAAACATGCGCAATTTCATCTAAAGTTGGTTTCACATCAGCGCTTTTGCTCTGTATGAGAGAATTACAAAAATCATATTGGTGTTTTGCGAGTGCTTCCTCAAAATGAGATCGTTTAAATGTTAAAGAGCATTCTGAACTAATGAAAGATGCTAAATTCATGTTAAAACTCTTGCAAACAATATCCAATAAATCGTTTCCGTTCTTTGTTTTTGCATTTTTCATTTGTTGGAATTCATTATTTGTAATTATTCCAGATTTTAAATTTGGAAACAATGTATACTGTAACCAATCACTGCACCCAAGCTTACATCCAAGTTGAAGAATATTGAGAGGTCCCATCTCAGGGTCGTTAAAGGAATATTTGACAAGCAAAGGTAAAATTTGTGCCATATCCGGGGTTCTGTACCATGTGTAATGATATGAACGAGGAATATTGAACATTACTTCGAAGAAGAGCAGAAGTTGAGTCCTATCAGTTGGAGACAACAGAGCGTAGTACAAAAAATCAATCGTAGATCCATCCTCAAGAGTGAATACCTTATCCAACACACTCTTATCAACCAATGGGCACATATTGTCAAAAAATACAGTAGCGGCAGAGGGTTGATCAGGTCTAGAAAGCCAAAGGTTCAATAAACATGAGAGAGCGTTTGCTTCGATTCCAAGCAAACTTTGGTCTTCAAATTCGTTATCTTGAAATTGAAATGGTTCAGTCAAGAGCTCTTTGATATCTTTGCCTTGACATATTACGGTCAGTAATCGATAAACAGAATGTTTCGTATCATCAGTTACAGAAATGAGTAAGTAGACTAGGAATAGAGAAATGTTACGGGGGAGATTGCCTTGTTTCATGAGTTCAGAGTTCATACTTTGAATGGCTTCACACAAATCACAACCAGCATCAATCATAGCTAGAATAACTGAAAAGAGTGCTGAAATATCTGTTCCATCTCTTGGATGATAATGGTATTGTCTTCGTGTAAAAGAAATACTTGGCTTCAAATCTTCCAGCCAATATGTAAGTGCAGTTTTTCCTGTATTGTTTTTATGATTCAACATTGATGAATCCATGGCTTGCATTAATTTACGGAGAGTCTGTATTTGAATATTCTTGCAAAAAATTGAGTGCATGTAGAAAAGTGGTGTTTTACCAAACGTATCCACAGCATTTGCATCGATACCATAACCAATAAGAGTCTCAATGACAGGTTGATTTTTCTTCTCAGCAAACATGTGTAACAAGTTTTGGTTGTTATCATACGTGTCATTTAGAGGTATTCCTTTAGTGTTAAATATCTTGCTTACTTCTTCAATGAAATCAGCAGACAATTCTCCTCTCGAGGTGACTAGAGACTGAAGAGGAGTTTGACCTGCATTATTTTTCATGATTAAATACTCTTTAGGCATGACTTCAAATAAGTCTTTCACAATGTTAATTCAAATAAATATTCAAAATTATAACTTACATGAAGAAGGTATTAAGTGCAAGAAGTTATTGTCTGATTCTGGGAAAATGTAGTTCAAATCACAACCACACTCATGCAGGCGTTGTATTAGATTGTAAATATTGATAGTTGGATATCTATTTCGTTTTAGATAAGCAGCAAGTATGTTCATGTTGTGAACATAGTTACCATTTTCATCTTTAACAACTATTCCGTCACTATCTCCTAATGTAATCAACTTTGGAACAAGTTGACATAAATATGAAACTAGTTGTGGAACGAAAGGATTAGTATGAAGGAGTTCGAGAAGCGGGTTCAGCTTTCCCTCAAATAGAAGTGGAAACTTCGCTTGTTCAAAGAGAGCTTGACCCATTTTCACATCAGATATATTTCGTAAAATCTTTTTAGTTATGGCGTAATCCACGGCCTCTGCATTAGGAAATGCTACTTTAAATAGCTGATTCTCAATTATAAAGTTACATAATTCATGAGCAGAAAGTATTCCATTCCTCTCGAAATATTCTTCAAATGGAATGAGAGGCTTGTAGTTTAGTTCAAGTTGTTGCTTGTATTTGTCTAAAAAGAACTCAAGCATTCCCTTCGAATACTTGGATGCAGATAGAGTAAAGAAATCTATTGCTTCAAATGAAAACCTCTCCTCTTGCACTAGATACTTGATTTCCCTGAATATTACCTCGTTATTATCTCCATACGAGATACTATGGTTGATTTTGAGATGCTTGTGATGACTACTATACATGTTGCTAAGTACATAGGGAAAAGAAGTTCGTCCTCCTCTTCTTCTACGGTATGGATATCCAATTTCTATAGATCGCACGTCAACCAAATCCATGGAGAGTAAGAAATCATTACGACTAGATAAAACGCTCAGGTAAAAAGGAGTAAATGGACTATAATTGAACAACGTCATTCTCTCTAAGTTTGAGAAGTATTGTAAAAATCTTGTTGGAACTCTTAATTGATGTGGATCAAAGATTGGAAAACACATTGATGTCACATTTGGAAAAATCAAAGCGATGTATCGAAGAGAATCGCTATACTTTCTTTTCGCGTTTGGATTATACCATGGGTACTTGTAGACAATGCTATCAGAAAACTCGTTTCTCCGAACCAAATCAATGGACTGAACATTTGGGCAGATATTGTGGTATAAATCATCAAGCCATTGTTGACACACTCCTCTCAAAGTCAAATAAAAGGGATAAGGAGGAATATACTGTAGAATCATGTGAAAAACAGGTCTGGGTAGATAGCAATCAAATTTGGGTAAATAGAAAAAACCTTGCTCCCAATCCAAACGTTTTGATTTTACGCTGTGTGATTGAAATAAGGAATGAATTTAAAGGTCAAGTTTGTTCATATTTTCAAAGCAATATCGGGAGATCATGAAATTGTGTTAATATTGATTGAGTCCTTCACATACCTTCTATTATCAATGATCGATTTCATTGAACTTTTCATGGAGGATCCTTCATTTGCACCATCCTCATCATCCTCATCGACACCCTGATCATCTTTCATTTTGTCTGCAGATTTATCCTCATGATCTACCATCATGGCATCTCCATCATCACGAGAATTTTTGACCTCTTCATCATCTTCGCCGATGGCCTCTCGTATTCTTTCTTCCGTCGATTTAATTTCAAGTTTTTTGGGTATTCCAGTGACATTCTTTTGGGTTTTCTTCTTTTTCTTTCTTCCTCCCTTCTTTTTGGGTGGAGCCTTTCTCTTCTTGGAGGCTTCTTCTTGATCATCAATTTCATTTTGTTCCTCCTCTGGTGTGAGGTTGTTGTTATTCTCGTCTTGAATTGCTGTTTGTTCTTCTTCTTCTTTTTGAGCATCGTTTGTCGGAGCTTCGTATGTGCTTGAGGCAGCAGGTGGTTCGTAGGTCTTGCGGCGTGTGTTGACCATTTTTTTTTGTAACTGGGAATTGTTTCAATTCCTCCATCTTCTTGAAATTCAGAACTCGTCTTGCTTTCCATCCTTTTCATGCAGAATTTTATCTAACTTATCGTTCCAAAATTTATTTAAATTAATGTTCTTATTGTTCAAAAAGTGTTGGCTCTTCGAAGAACTGTGGAATCATTTGTTGAATCTTGCAACGCCGAATTCCAAAAGAAACTTTGCAGAAAAAAAATATGTTGAAACTCTTTTCTTGTCGAGAGATGAAGTTTAAATTCTTTTTAATTTTGATTTTCTCATTTCGGAGATGAAAACTGATACTTTTCAATAGTTCATCAAAGAGATGAAATCAGCACTACAATTAGAAGACTCCGAGAGATAGAGAAAACTAAATTCAGCGACTTTTCATATTCTAGAGTTGTACACGTCAATAACTTGACAATCCAAATTTTGAAACCTAATCCATTTCTTTTGCGCTAATTTATGACCCTCACTTGTGTCATCTCTCCCAACCATCAAGTCCAATCAGATCCAATTTTTTGACAATGTCCGCTGAATGATGATGAAAGACTGTTGTACAACATGAATGATGGAGCTCTAACTTGTATGTTGTGTGATGAGAGAGAACTCAATTCCACCATTTTGACACACCAAATCATGAATACCATTTTAGAGATTTTGGAGAGAGATGGTTTGTAATTCATGTTGTACCCACAATTTCCTAATTTCTCCTTTAAAAGAAAAAAACCAACAAACCTCCCATGTCATCCAACAGACATCACTTGGATGGAACTACAGAGAGAAAACAACATCCTGAACCAATGATTGATAACGTTGTTTTGTCTGATGATCGTACCACTCCAACAGGACCTGTCATACTCCATCAAAATGTCTTTCCAAAACAACCCTCTGTCTTCTCTCAATCTTCGAATTCATCATCCCATAGCTCCATAAATTCGTTAGGACAGAAAATGATTTCCAAAATACAAGAAGTGGTTGCTTCCACGCTGATCGTATTGGTCGATTCTAAAAGCAAACAGGGATGGAAAAGTTACTTGCTGATATTGAGCTTGTATATTTATGCTTGGATTGGTTCTCTTGTGATTGGACTTGAAGGAGAATATAATTTTGGACTCTACGGTGCATGGATATGGAGAGTATTCAATTATTTGGTGAACTTTTCAATGTATTCAATTCCATATGAAGCAGCCATTGCATTATCATCGATATGTATCTTGCTTTCCCTTTCAGTGTTATGTCTATTTCTCTATACTTTGAGAGTTTATCATAAGGCAGATCGTTCCATCAAGAGTGTTCAATCATTGATGAGAGTATTGGGAATTATCATTTATTTTGGACATTTAGTGATGACTTATTTGATGACTTCCTTCATTGATTGTAATTATTCAAGTTCAGTCACTTTTGATGGTTTCAGTGATCCTCAAAAAGTTTTGAATCGATTTCCTTATTACATGTGCTTCTCTTCGAGCAATATTGCATTAATTGTTTTGAATTTTTTGGGAATTATTTGTTTAATTCTGAGCACTATATTGTGTAGTTTTGTGTTGGGAAATAGTCATATTCGAAGTGAGACACCTTTCATTGTTGACAATTCATTATTCATTGGAAGTGTTTTGGTCATTTCAGAGATTCAAATCACATTGAATGCAATCATTCCAAATTCTCTCATGTTTGTGAAGAGTATTATTCATATTCTTCTCTCATTCACTCTCTTTATCATGCTCTTGTATTTACTTCCATAATATAGAAGATTTGAAAATTCAATGATTGGTGGTTTATGTTTGGGAAAGACTTTCATTTGTGTATTTCCTTTAATTTCATTTCTTGTCAATTCAAAGAATGAATGGGAAATGGGCTTAGCATTTGCAACTTCATCCTTTGGAATGTTCTTTATTGGTTTCTTGATTGGATTTTTAATTGTTGAAATTTATACAAGAGTTGTTTACAAGTTGACAAGGTAAGTGAATATCAATGCTCTGCAAACCCTAAACAATTCCTTCTTTTTTAACCACAATATATTATTCTTAACCGATTATTTGAATATATTTTTTGAAACCATGCATGCTTTAAACAATTCCTTCTTCTTTAACCACATACTTGTATTTATTCAATACATGATCCAAATCAACAACATGACACAGATTCACAATCATGCAAGGTGTGGTTGAATGTGCAGTGTTAATTATTGATGATGGTTTTTCACCTGAAGAACGATTTCAAGCAATTAAAAACTTGTTTGAAAAAGAAGCCATTGCACTTTTCAAAGATATGGAAGAGAGAAAACAAATTAGAAATTTGGAATTATTTCTTAAATTTTGCATGCTTTCAGGAAATGAAGGAAATGATGATACATTTGGATTTTCAGATAAGGATATGGCTATTTGTATGATCAAATCAGTCTCTCAACACAAAAGATTTCAACACAAAAATCTTCTCGTTTCATCAAGTTTATTATGTGCTTACTTTTGGGATATGGATCGTCAAGTGACTTTTCAAAAACCACCAAAATCTTATTGCATTTCCTCTCTTGAATATTCTCAAACACTTTTGAAAAGAGTGAAGAATGAAAAGATGGCATTATTATTGAGTTTCATGTTGAAAGAAAAATTGAAACAAATTCAAGATTCTCTTCGAAGAGAGAAAGGTGACTCAAAAGATTTTTCAACTTTATTGGACATGTCTGAAATGTTGAATCGACTTGAAAAAGATACTCAAACCATTGTTCAATGTAGAAAATTGGTTTGGAAAGAGTTGATGAATGACACTGTGAATGAAAATCGAGTGTTAGAAATTAATAGAGCTGCATCCACTCTCATCATTGAATGTGAAGAAACTTTTGAAAATTTAATGAAACTCTTCTCTGAAGATAAGAGTGTGTTGAGATTGTATGCCAGATTCAATGAAGAGGTTCTCTTCAACACTGAGAAAGCTTCTGAACTCTATCAAGATGCTCAAAGTATTGAGGAGGAAGACTCGAGGAGGGGACATGAAAAACACACAAGTCATTTATCCAACAGTATAAGCTTTAAAATTGGTTCCAAAAATCGTGTGTTACCATCTACAACTTCATTCAAACAGACATCTCCATTTCACTATAGAAGCTCAATGAATATTAGACACTCCTTATCCAAAACGAACATGCATGTGACATCTAATCTCAATGGGCTCCAAGGAATCTCCAAAGAATTAGTTGAGGATACATCCATCTTTGACATTTCTGAAGCAGCCGACTCACCCGAAGTGAAAAAGGAAATCATTTACAAGAACTCGATTGCTACATCCGAGAATCATTTTCTTTGGTATGCAGCCATGATCTCAATGAATATCATTGTTGTTGCTCTTTTCCTTGCAAATGTCATTTTGGCATGCATAGCAGTTAGTGCCTCTACAAAAGATCTGAATACGATTCAACGTGCATGTACTCCTTCTGCACGATCTCTCACTGTCATTTCAGATTTGAGAGTGCACCAAATAGTGTCTGAATTATTTGGCAACAAGTCGTTTCCAACATCATTGACATCGGCTGGACTTGTGAATATGAGTGAGTTTGACAATGAGTTCTCAGAAAGAGTATCGATAGCCCTAAAAGATTTTTATCAGATTCAATATTTGGCTCTTTCAGGTCATTTATCAGATCAAATTTACAAAGAGTATTCTGCAGATTCACATCTAGTTTATTATCCAGAAATTCCACATGGCAATCTATATGGTCAATATCTCAACCCAAGACCAAGAAATGTGAGCATTTCCACTCTCACTAACTCTTTCTTGCAATATTCTGAGACAATGGAAAACTGGAAGGGGAATGATTTTAACAAAACGGTTCTTACTGATTTTATTGCCATGTATTTTTGGCACAATAGAGACACACTCGCTCAAAATTATGGAACTTTTTGTGAAAACATTTCAAACGAGGTGTTCAGTAGTATCACACTCATTAGAAATGAGTTTATGTACTATTGTATCGTATCTGTTATCATTTCATTGATTTTATGTTTGCTAACTGGTAGTATTCAAATGATATTTGCCATGAAAATACGAAAAGTAGTGAAACTGTTTGAAAAATATATTCCAAAAGAAGCAATCGGTAAAATTTTCCATGAAATCAAAGTCAATGAGGTAGAAACGAAAGCTACAAATAGAATGTGGCATCACCCAATCCTTAGAACCCTTACGTTTGTAGTATTATTGGGTGCATTATTCTTTCTCTGCTCTGCGCTTTTATTATATTTTGCCTTGTCGTCTACGGACCATTCACGTAGTATTATAGCAAATATTGAATACTCAGTTAAGGTTGCAGCCTCTGCCCAGATTACGACCATGCACATTGGTGAGATTTTTGCGTTTGGAATCTTATCTTATGATAAATATTACTTGAATTCAGCATTACTCTTTGATCAACATGGTGTGCTTGAATACCATGAAGAAATGGATCAATTGACAAAGGATTTAGAAAGATATTGGGATAAGTTAATATTTGGACATGATGACGTTCCTCCACTCGTTGGAAAATATCCTGAAATTGATGCCATCTTGAATTGTCAACAGAACGATTCTTTTGCGAATTCAACCAAGTGTGAAAGTTTGAATGACGTGATTCACAGCTTTCTATTGAAGGCCATTGAGATTAATGAAATTTATGTCTCGGCAGGAAAAGATCCATTCACAGTGTTTGACCAATATTTCACTTATGTTTATCAAGTAGGCCACAAATTAGCCGACGGAATGATTAACTTTATTCAAATTTATGTTGCCAGTGTTCAAAGAGATGACAGTCAAACTTGGACAATTTTAATTGGAGTACTCGGACTCCTACTTCTTCCCCTCATAGCCTATTGGTCGATCTCAAGTGTGTCAAAACAATTTTTAGAAATGCATTGTTTGAGAATGATGTTAAATTACGTCAAGGTTGAAAACATTGATGCAAAAGAACCACTCCGAAATTATATTCTCTTCCATCAATTGAACTGGAATCATAAGAAGAAAAAACATGGCACAAGTGAGGACGACAAGGTTCGAAATGTTCTCAATGCGACTGTGGATGGAGCTCTTTTGTGCAATCAAGAATTTGAAGTGGATATTTACAATCCATCTGCACAGAGAATGTTTGGAAAGAATATGAATGAAGTGGTGGGTCTTCCTCTCTGGAATTTATTTGGACAAGAGAATAAGGAAAGAATTCAAACATCATTGCAACATTTGAAAACAAACACAGGAAGTATTGCAAGTGGTGAAACGCTGGAGATTGATTGTGTGAGAAAGAATGGAACTCGATTCCCAGCGAAATTGAACATTTCATGGACCACTTTTGATGGAAAGGCAGTCTTTGTATGTTTCATCAAAGATATCACAACAGAGAAGAAACAAAATTCTCTTCTTGCTGAAGAAAAGAAGACTTCAGAAAATTTATTGAGAAATATTTTACCTGAATCAGTGGCGAAAAAATTGAAAAATGTAAGTGTTTTTTGAAGTCACATCAAAAGAGATACATATTTCATGATTTTTATTCATTTCTTTTTATCATGATTTCATTCAAATTTTGAATTGATTGATATATTGTTGTCATGATTTCATTTTAATTTTGAATGGATTTCAAATGTTGAATGATTCAAAAATAGGGAGAGACATTTATTGCAGAAAAACTTCCTGATATTACTTGCTTCTTTTCTGATATGGTTGGATTCACAAAACTTTCAAGCAGCATGAATGCACATCAAGTGGTGAAAATGTTGGGTGATATTGTGAATGGATTTGATTCATTGACTGACAAGTATGAATTGGAAAAAATCAAAACCATTGGAGATGCTTATTTCTGTGTTGGAGGATTACATCAAGCAAGTGATCATGCAGAACGTGTTTTGAGATTTGCAATAGAAACCTTCAGAGTGGTGAGAAATTACAATCAAAAAATGATTTTGGAAAAATTTTCAACAACAGGAAATGATTCAACCACATTGCCAACGAATAATATGAATACTACATTCATGACACCATCCAATAGTACAAACAATTTAATACCCTCATCCATATCCTCATCATCCATTGTTTCCCTCAATATTGATCAGATTCATCAAGTGGATATTCGAGTTGGACTCAATACTGGTGCTGTGGTTGCAGGTGTGATTGGCACTAAAAAATTTGCTTATGATTTGTGGGGAGACACAATTAATGTTGCTTCCAGAATGGAGTCCACTTCATTGTCTGGAAGAATTCAAATTTCACGTTCCACCTATGAAAGAGTTCATGATTTGGATTTGCAATTTGAAGAACGAAAAATAGAAGTGAAAGGAAAAGGTGTCATGCAATCGTATCTGTTGAGTGAAAAGGCACATGAGAGAGCCGTGTTGACCACTGAAGAAATTGAGGAATTACGAGACGTTGAAGCAGAAAAACAAGCTTCCACATCAAAGAACGTTGTAGTACACGAATCTGAGAATTCAGAGGCCAGTCACGACCATGTGTTTGTAAAAGAAGAAGAAGCAGATGAAGTGGTCCTGGAACCCTCCGTTACAGATCTTGCACACTACACAATGAAAAGTAAATAGTAAATGATATTTGATTGAAATGTTATTCCAGAGTTTTCAAATGATCCAATAAATCCACAGCTTTCATGGAGCAAGGTTGTGAAGCAATGCAATCACTGACCTCAAAAAAGGAAGCCTCGTCGACCAATTGCTGATCACTCATACTTGCCACTTTTCTTGCTGGAAGTGGTGTTCTTTTTCTTAAACATTGAATGACATGATTGGAGCATAATGCAGAAGAGAGTGCATAGGAATAAGCTTGAAAATGTGGTGGAAGTGTTTTCAAATCTTCAAAATCATCCAAAACATAATCGGTGTGCTTTTCCAATTTCAATTTTCGAATAATTTTTTTCATTTTCACAATATCAGTTTGAGAAAGTGAGACATGACCACCACTATCTCCACCAGCTGGGCTTGAAGAATTATCTCCTTGAATAATTTGTCCATTTTCATCCATAATTGGATTTTTAAGATTGTTATAAATGACTGAAACTTTTGTAACACTTCCACGTTGAGCCAGTTGATTTCCAAATTCTTGCATTTTCATGTAATTCTCATAAGATTGATCGTCTTTAAAATTAATGTATCGATTCATGTCTTGATCATAATCCAAGGAAGCACAATTTAACATGTCTTTAAAAAGTGCATTTCTTTCATTGGAATAATAATATTTGGAAGAAATGTCAATATCTTTCCATGCACTTAAACAGGGAGGTGTCAATGATGATGTGAATAATTGTTTGGCTTTCAATGATTGTGAATATTCGAAAACATTTGAAAATCAAAATTGATGCACACATATTCATCCATTTTCAAAATTTTCATATCGAAGATGAACAATCTTCACCCAAACAACAATACATTTACAACACGTACCTGTACACAAACTTTCAAAAATTGTTTTCATTTCATGTGGAAATTTTGTTTCCTTCTTTTTGAATCTTTCTTGATCGAATTTATCGACTTGCAATTCCGCGATTTTTCTTCGACATTTATTGCACACGGAAAGAAAGATGAATATTTCTTGTTCTTTCGGAGAAAAGATGGACTCATCGAATTTGTATTTACTGAATGCTTCAGTGTTGATGTTGGAAGGAGGTGAAGAAGGGTTGGAGCTGCTTTCAGAGGTGTTCATCTTGGAGAATTTTTTTTAAAGTCTCCGAATGGAAATTTTCATGCCATCTGTCAATCTACAGCATTCATGCTGTTAATCTTTGAGAGTTTATTCTCAATTTTTAGAGGGCTTATAAAAGTGGAAGGTAAATCCACTATCACCATCCTTAATTGGTTTGTCTTCATTGTCGAATTCATGGAACTTCCATCTCTTGTTGCCTTGATTACAATTCGAGGATGAAGTTGGTGGCTGATAGGAGCTCATGGAAAACACCCCTGCTCCTGGAGGAAGATTTGATCCTGCTGGGCTATCATTTTGGAATGCAATTTTCTTTGGCTTAGAAGTCTTGTTAGATTTGGGTTTGCTGTTGGATTGTTGTTCTGCAGTAGTGCTAATCGAGGCAGAGCTTGTACTTGCGACTTGACAAGAGGTTGATGGAGGTTCCATGATAAATTGTTGTTGATATTGTTGAGCTGTGGCTGCTATGGAATCCATAGAATGTGCTTTTCGGACACCACCAGTAACTCCTCCAATTTTGACAGATTTTTGTTTGGAGCTCTTAGTTGAAATACATGACTGTGTGGGTTGTTGAGAATTGGCTATGGAGCTCAGTGATGTGTGGGATTTTGAGGAAGGTAATGTTGGGGTTGATGAATTTTCAGAACTTGTACTAGAAGAAGCAGCAGCAACAATCTCTCGATTGTTATTGGCTCTAGGAGAAGCTTCGCTAACTTGTTGTTCACTTGACTCCACTTGCAAGGAAGGAATTTCTTCGCCAGCAATATTGAGACTACTGGTACTAGTACTTGTGGTTAATGAGGCGCTACTATTTGTTTTTCTTTTGTTTGTGGGGAGCTCCTCTGTGACAGCGGTTTCCTCAGATTGTGCTGACTTTTGCGAAGAGGATAAACCTGTCATGCTGTTGTTATTGTCAGAATGGTTTTTCTTTGTGCTCTTCTTAGCGGAACTAGAATTTTTTCGCTTTTTCGAGGATTCCTTTTCTAATTCCTTATCCAGCAATCCTGAGATATTGTCGCTACTTCGTGTTGGTGCCATCTTTTTGCTTTTGGTTGGTCGCTTCAAATTTCTCAAGGAGTTGGTGCTCACAGATCTCTTCATTTCACTTCCGCCAGATGATTTGCTGTCGTTAGTAGCAACATTTTCTCCAAAAGAAGACAATGTAGAATCAAGGCCGAAATTATACGTAGTCCCAGTGTTTGCCAACGAAGATAAACAATTCATAGATTGTGATCTGCTCATTGGACTGAACGGTATTGAGCTATATCCAAGATTTTGATATCCACTGTGTTGACTCGATGTAGATGTGACACTATTGACGCTGGTTGTAGATGTAGATCTTTTCATTCCTGATACCACACTGTTTTGCTGTTGGCTCAGTGTGTTGGCCAAGTTTGCTAAATTACCATAAGCATTAGCAAGGAGCTTTTGGTTTTGCTGAAGAGTATTCATCATGGTATTATATAATTCAACAGAGCTTAAATTCAATGGGTTTAGAGAGTAATTTTCAGCATCTAACTCGATCGAATTATGTTGAGACATAAAATCTTGAAGGCCTCGTTGGTTCATAAATAACGGGCTTGGATCTTCTTTAAAATTCACATCCTCTTCATTGATTTGAGGAACGTCTGCATCCAATGCAGAGGAAGCTGAGGTTCCTCGTGCAGAAAGTGATCTTTGATTTTCACTTGGCTGTTGTTGATTATAGAGCATTGAGATTGGAATAATATTACTATTTGACAAAGAAGGCATTGTCTTACTTCGTGGTATCGATGAACTGCCAGTGGATTTTTTGACCTGTTGTTGTTGTTGAATCAATTCCTGAACTACTTGCAATGATCTCATTTGAGACCCAATCATAGAGGCCACCACTTGTTGCTGTTGAACTAATTGTCTTGAAAGTGCCAAATTTTGTTGTTGAAGTTGAAGGGCAGCCGCTGCTGAAGGCGGTGATGTTGACAGTGATGATGGAATATTTGTCATCGAAGACGATGAAAGATTTGTTGATCGTAGCAAGGCCTGTTGTAACTCGAGAGCATTAGCATTATTTAAAGCCCCATTCAACATCATCTCTTCAATGAGAGCCATATTGTAGGCATTTGTTGTGTTAAATGCAGAGGCTGAAGTTGGAGGTAGAGACGAGGAAGAAGAATTGAGCAAATTTTGAGCACTATTGGTTCTTTTCATGGATGAATTTTTCATTGATGGTGATGATGAGGGAGCGATATTAGTGTCGGTGTCGGTACTGTTGCTATTGTTGTGTAGTTGTTGAAGCTGTTGCAGTTGCTGTTGAAATATGGAACCCGTCGACGTGTTAATTCTTGCTGTTTGATTGTTATTATTGTCATTAGTATTCAGTAAATCATCGGTATTATTGAATGCATTCTCGTCGTCGAGAAGAGGCTCCACATCTTCAACAATACCACTTCCTATCACTCTAATAGTATTACCTCCGCCCAGAATATCATCATCCTCTTCTGAGCCAGCTCCCAAAAGGGTGCCATATGGAGAAGGTGATGAGAGGTGGAAATTACTCGTCGAGTTGCTACTATTGGGCGTTTGTTGTGGATGATTTGGAGGAGATGAATTATTTGTTGTTGTTGTTGCTGTTGTTGGATTTGAGCTATTGCAATTAATATTAAAGTTACCCATACTCATCATCATGTAACTGAGTCCGGGAGGAGTGAGAGAGAGATGAGATGAACCCGACAGATAGCCTGAATCGCTTGTGGTTTGATTGGCATCTTCATCATCAATGAATGAGAAGGATTGAAAAGGTTCTGATGATGTTGAGATGGGTGAGGTAGAATTGTTGTTGTGGTGTCGATTGATGTTATTATTATTGTTGTTGTTATTATTATAAAGCCTTGATGATGATGGATTATTATTATTATTCGTATTATTATTGAAAGCGTTCATGTAGACTTGTTGCTGAAGGTGTGATGAGAAAGGTCCTCCAAATAACGAGTTACTATTTGTGTTGGTGAAGAATGGTGTAGTGGCCGGCGAAGATTCAATACTGCCCGTTAAGCCTTCGTTCATTAACTCTTGTTCATCCATCATGATGATGGAATCAAAATTAGTATTACTTCTCATGTAGGAGGATGTGTTGATGGAGGTCGGTTTATGATGATGTGTGGTATTGTTGTTGTTATTATTATTGGTTGTGGATGGTGAATTATCACCAGAGGATGAGGATACCATGTTGAACGATTCACCAAACATATTTGGCGAGGAGATGTTAGAGGAACGTGAAGAATGTTGTTGTTGGTTCATGGTTCAATAATTTAAATTATTAAATTGTTGGCAACAACAGCAGCAAGAGTGCTCCAGTAGATGAGTAAAATCGGAATGACCTGTGTTGTTGATAATGTTGGGATGATGATGATAACAACTATTCGGTGAAAATAATCTGTTGAACAGGAATATTTCGTTGTTGTTGTTGGGGTTGTTGGAGGAAAATTACTCGCAACGCGTTCGTTCTTCAGTGGTGATTCTTTTCTCTGTCGAAAGAGCAAAAAAGAGCTTTCGGGAATGAAAAGAATCTCTTGTTGTGTTACGAGGAGTTTGGATTCAAGAAGAGGTTGGTTCGTTGTTGGATGTTGTTTGTTATAATGTCGTGTGATGCTCGAAAGAACAAAGTGGATGGAAGTTACTTTGCTGTTGTAATGGCAAGACCAGTTCACAATGTCTCTGCTCGGGGCTCTTGATTTTTTGGCAGCTGTTGTTGTTGAATGAATTTTTGGATCTCAGTTCTTGTTGTTCAACACCAAGATACAAACAGTTGACTTGCCTTTTAAATTTTAATTCGTGAAACGTTAAATTTCAACCCTTCCAAAATTGTCATTCTCAATTTCATCATCATCATGAAATGAAAAAAACACTTCGTTAACACTTCGTTAACACTTCGTTAACACTTTCTCTATATTCAAGAACAATATCGAGTAAAATCGAAAACAACTTGCTCAAATGAATACTTCTTTTACTTTCCAGTAACCAATTGTAAAATAACAAAATAAATCGTACTTCCCAAAATCACTAAACCTCCCAATAATGTAATTGCTGAAGTAATCTTCAGTACAGTAAATCTTCCAGGTTCCAACTTGATGGCAAGAGCACACGGTAAAATGTAGGCCATTGCACATGCACTCACTCCTCCAGTAATTTGAAAAACAATTCCCAAGTCCGTAACTGAGAGAGCAATGGTTAATCCAAGAGCCATCACAAAGAGTGTTGCTGAATAGTGTACAAAGTCATGTTTGAGCTTTTTGGCACGTTTGTTGTTTAAATCTTTTTGTTGAACTGGCATTGAGAGAGTATTGCCATTCGTGTTGAGTTGAGGGTTGGCCTCCTGAGAAAGTAAATTCTCTTGCTCTGATAAATCAATAGGAGGTTTACGCTTTCTCCATGGGTTCCAACAATAACATGTGAAAAAGCCATCTGTTGAATTGTACCATCTTGGGAATAAAAATTTCACAATTAAAATAATAACATTTCTTGGAAGGAATGCTGAATATGGAATGGAGAAGACGAGAGAAAGCGTCAAGAGAAGTCTTCCAACAATTGCGACGGTGGCACCTTTGGGAAACATTTCTAAAACGTTTGCAATTTTGAGATTTTTGTCCCAAAATAATAAATATCCTCCAATACCCATAGCACTACATGCAGCAACTGTTAATGCAACGGTCACAAACACTACAATGTAATATCTGATACGTGTTGCTCTTCGAAGTTCGTCAAAAACGTGAAAACTCATGTCATGACAAATAAAAATGTATGCCAAGTTTCCTAATGCATTCATGAATCCAGGATGCATAAACTCAAATGCTTCCTTGGGGTCGTGTGGAATATATCTTGGAACTCCAAAAAATAGTTCATAATTCACAAGACCTGCCACTCCAAATACTGAGACAACAGCAATGAAAGAGAAAAAGGCAAAACTTCCCAATCGCTTTTGCATGGCAATTGGAATGAGAAGAACTACAAGATAGATTAAAATAGCTCTTCGGCTGATGAAAATATTGGTTGGATCGTTAAATAAATAGAGTAAGAGATCTGGAACAACTCTGTGTTATCATTAAAATTTGGCAGGGACGAAATTAAAAATAATCATTCCAATGTTCAACATTCACAACACGAATCAAACTTACTGTCCAAACATCAACAATTGAGCACATGCTCCTCCAAAGTTAAAGAAAAAGATGCAAATACAAGCAATGAGAAAACCAAATTTTCCAAAACCTTTCATGGCTAGATCGGGTAAAGTCCTTTTCAAATGACGCCTAGCAAGTTCATAAACCAAACACAATGTAAAGATTGTGATGATTCCAAATATAACGAACCAAATAATTGACATGTAAAGCCCACTTTGAGCAACCACACCGGGCATGCTAACTGTTCCTGGGCTGATAATGTCATTAATTAAATTCCACACTGAAAAAAATAGGCCAGTCTTTTTGTGTGACATGAGTTCTTTCCAAAGTTTTTCTTGTTTCTTGGACTTTTTCAAAAGTCTTGCTTGTTTATCTTCGTACTTGCCATTCTCTATTACTGCAATTGGTTCCGTATATAATTCGTTCGTCATTTCTTGAATTGATTTCTTCTTTTTCAAAACAAAGTAGTCTTGATTGACATCTCTTTCAAAAAGATTTTGCTCTAATTTTTCATCTCCAACAGCAGCATCTGCACTACTATTAATATTTGTGTATATGGATGACGAGGCAGGGTCTTTTGAAATTCCATTCATATCCTTTTTAAGATAAACTTTTTCCCCATTTTTAGAGTCAATCAGAAAAATCTCTTCTTCATCACTGCTGTCATCACCATGATGCCGTTTTCTTCCAAACAATTTTACAAGCAATGATTTTTTTGTAGATTTTTTCGGAGGATACGACATGGATGGTGATGAATGGTCTATTGTTTGAAAAGAATCTTTTTCACGTCTTCCATTTTGATTCGGAATAGGATTGGCATCAGAAGGATGGAAAAAACCATTCGTGTTCGTTTGAGGATGATAGGAATAAGCCGATTCAAAGGGAGAAACAATAATGGAGGAAGCAGTGGCAGAATCGGAGGTCGAAACGTCGAATGTGTGGTGATGATGTGGATGTGCAGAGCCGGAAGAAAAGGGAACGGGATGAGCATTAGTGGTGGAGACTGCCCTTCCGTTCATTGATGAAGTAGTGGGTTCATTATTCTTCGGGACAACCATTTGATGATTTTAAAAAGATGATGATGAATTATTTCAATAATAATAATAATAATTATGGATGTATTCCTTCCTTCTTTAATCCGGAATGATGCCGAATGAAGAGTGTTTGAAAGCTTTCAAGTCAAACGAATCCACTCTCACAAAGTGCTTTCAAAAAATCTTTGGCAGATGAAAAGCCTTTTTTCAATTTTTTTTAAACACCGAAAAAGCAGCTCCGACACAAGAACTCCGAACGATGAAATAAAAAGTCAGTCAGTCGGTTCCGATTTGCTTTAAGAATTGCACATATGATTCGAGAAATTGATTCACCATCTTCTTGTCCAAATGCATTTCTTAATTTTTTAAAGTGTTTATTGATTTCATGGAAAATGACACACGTGCGAGAACGTTCTCGAGGCGGAGTGTTTCAAATGTCCTTCATGAGACAAGGATCATTTTCAAGACGTAATTTGTCAAGAATTTATTCTCTGATCAACAATGGCGTTTAGGTATGACCTCGTTGACAATGATCTTACAGTTGAATGACAACCAAGATCGAACAGTGAACTTTTTAACAAAAATTAAATATTGTTTATTGGCCCTTCGGTGCCTCAATACTTGTCATAAAACTACTTCTGAATGTCGAATGTTTTTAACAGGATATATCAAATATTAACAGATTACATGCTTGTGTTGAGCAACTGTTAACATGGGTTGAGTCCATGATTAAAACAGAAGGCAAAAATAAAGCAGTGTTTTGTCTGTTAATGCATATGGTTTCGTTGGTTTGTAAGGTTGAGTCGTCAATTATTGTAAAAGGGTCATGAATAAGTATATATAGTGTTGATGGATATGATATGTTAATAATGATATGTATCGATTACCAGCATTGTCTTCAAAGTTCTAAGTCACAACAATTATTAATGTTGAAGGGCGGAGAGCAGTCTTGGATCCAGTATAAGGTGAGATGCTTCTTTCTTGTTCTTACATTCATTACACGTTTCTTATCGAATTGTTGATAGCACTGATCATCATAATACAAATATAGTATCTTGCCTTTTTGTCCATGATTAGTATGATCGTGAAGTTTGTTCTTTTGCTTTGTTTTTCTTTTTGGCTTGGCTTTGTCGGTGGATGATTGTTTTTTAGCTTGTGTGGTCCTTCTTGTTTTGCGAGGTTTGTTCTTTGGCTTGTATTCCTTTTCTTGTTTTGATGGAGTTGGTTGATTCAATGTTGATAATGTATTCTCATCTTTCTCAACTGGTGGATCGTTAGTTTTCTCAACTGATGGATTTTCTCTAAAGGTGATTGCGTCACATAGATGATGTTGTAAAGATTGTAACAAGTGATGCGAATGATCTAATGGCTTCCGTGCCTTTTCTTCGCAATTTCTGTTCTCTTCATTTCGTATATATTCATTAAGTTTGGCGTTTAATTGTTTGAGGGTAGCTGAAATGTAATTCGCTTGTTGTTCAATTCTTTCCAAACGTCTTTCCAGGCTGTGGAGCATGCAAGAGTCAATTCTGATGTTCATCTTGCGGTATTTTTTAAGGGCTCGACTTTTTAACAAAAATATTTCCTATTCATGTCGGTCATCTATGCGAAACTATTAAAATCTACAAGTTTGCAATAGCTCCAAGGAAATGGGCTGTTGTAGTGTGGAATGTGAATCTACTGGTTTAGATTTTGTTTGAGTGTGTCAATGAAATCAACAGGTCATGCAGAGATGAAATTCAGAAATTGAAACGAACTGCAAGTCGTTTGGAGAGTCTCTTCAATGTCTTCGCAGGTCTTGCATCAGTGAACTGTCAATTTCCAAAATTATCAAATACATCCACAGAGAGTCTCGAGAGTAAAAATCACCCTTTTGACTCGCAACGAACATTCTTGTCTCTCATTTGTGTGACTCGATGCCAAACGTCAAACCTCAAAGTGCCATAAAAAAATCGAATCCGCTCTTTGTCGTGAGGGAAAAACTACTATCAAAAAAAACAACAAGCACCTCAACAACATGTTCTCATTGAAACGCTGCTTCAGCATCAACGTTTTGTTGATTGCTCTTTTCGCTGTGGTGTTTGCCCTTTCCCATCAAATGCCACTCGTCAAAGGTAAAGAAGTCCAAGTGAGACACACTCGAGACGCTATCCACATCACCATTAATGTTGGAGATAGCTCATCATCAGATGAGAAACAACAAGTTGATTCCACCACTCAATCCATTGTTTCAAAATTCAAACAAGTCATTGGAAAGGAAGAAGAAAAGCAATTGTCAGAAAAGTTCTTGCGTTTGGCAAGCAGAGTCAAAGCTGTAAGTTGAATTGAAGAGCAGTTAAAGATGATGATCATTATTGTGTGTGTGTTTGTGTTCATGTTTGTGAAAATTGTTATTGCTTGTTGTATGCTGCTGGAACGAACATGTGATTATGATGCACTAAATTACGGTCCTCGTTGATTATCTGACATTTGACGTATGACATCGCTCACGACCGGCTCAACTGCCAAACGCATCGGCGCATCACTCAACCAATCTCATACTTCTTTGCCTCAAATGATGATCATCATTGGTTTGTTGTGTGGACTTGTGTGCATGTGGTTTCTCTGTTTCACTGACAACAACCGCTGTCATCTGTTCTTCACACATCATCACGACCAACAAATTTTCATATTAGATTCACGATGCCATTCCAGAATCCAGTCAAGATGCCATCATCATGAAACAAGAATTATTAGCCATTGTGAAGGAATTCACAGTAAGAGCTGAACATCCAGGTGCTGATTTATTGAAGAGTACTTTGCAAGATATTTCCAAATATGGAGACAAGCAAAAACAAGCTGATGATAACTCTGGAACTCAAACATTGTGGATCGGAGCAGCTCTCAAGATTGCAAATGGAGTTATGAATTTTGCTGATGGAATTGGTACTTATTCTGATAAGGTAAGTCGTTGAATTTGTTTTGACACGTGTGGCATCTGACATGCATGATGTGAATTCACAATGATAGATTTCCAAAGTCTCCAAGTTCCTTAGCGGACCAGTTGCTGACAAGTTGGACAAGTGGGGACTCAAAGGAATGGGATCCTTCGCCAGAAACACTGGTAACACTGTCAATACATTTGCCACACAAAAGTTAAAGCCATTCGAAGATAAAGTTGCCAAGAAGATTGCTCCAATTGTCAAGTCCAAGGGCTTCCAAGCTGTCAAGAGAACTTTGAACGTTGTTACTGGTGCCATGAGTATTCACAACGGTTTGAAGAATTTGGGAATGCTCAGAAAGGTCAAGTTGCCAACTTCATTCAAGGCACTCAAGAGATCTTTGAAGAAGGCTACTTCTGCTCTCAAGAATAGAAAGGCCATTATGAATGTGATTAGAAAGAGTCCAGCTAAGGCTATCAAGAACTTTAAGAAGTTGAGTCTTTATCAAAAGTATAAGACTGTCAAGTCATTCAAGGGTGGATTTGGAAGTATCAAGAAGGGTCTTTTAGGAAATAAGCAAGCCAAGGGTAAATCTCAAAGATCCGCAAGAAGTGCAAGAAACACTGGTAGATCAAGTGGACGAACCACCTCTGGACGTAGATCATCCTCTTCTGGAAGATCCTCAGGTAGAAGCTCTGGTTCTAGATCATCAAGTGGTAGATCGACAAGATCCTCTGGCTCCAGATCATCAGGAAGATCTTCTGGTAGAAGTTCTGGCTCCAGATCATCAGGAAGATCCTCTGGTGGTCGAAGAAGATAAATGGTTGCAAATAAATAACAAATCTGTTTGACAACCAAAACTGGCCTCTTTCTCTCATTTCGTATCCAACAAAAAATTTTCACGAAATTTATTAAAAATTGATTAAGGACAACCTGAATGATCATAAATTTCAACGATGAAGAACCGTTGCATAGCATGATCTTAATGCACTGGTCGTGTAGCTCAACAACTGTTCCAAAATCAACCTCCATTCGCCACTCACTAATTGATTGCTAAATAAATTGGGCAAGATTGAAGACGAGTTGAAAGAGAATGAATCTGACCAACGATCAAACATCAAATGATATCCATACTTGCTATTATTCACGTCACAAATCATGCTTTCGAAAGAATACCAATCATGGAAGTATAACAAACACAACAGAGGCTGTCCCGCAAAGAGAGAAAGCCACATGGAAATATTTCCCAGTCGTTGAAGTAATTCTTTTCCTCTTCTTGATTTGAGTTTTTTGTGAAAGCTTTGTTTGATTTCTAATAATTTCTTTTCAATTTCTCTTAGTGATTTTCGAGGAGATGGATCAGCAATTTGTTGTTCTTTCTTGTTCTCATGTGAACATGTTGCAGAATTCATTGAATCTGAGTCACCTGTTGTTGTTGCCACAGAGGAAGCACTTGAGGTAGGAGAAGAAGTTCCACTCTCTTGTTCTGACTTTGCTTGTTTGATTTTTCTTTTATGATTGATGTATTGTCCAAGCAAAACGAAGGGAACCTATTAAGGTTGGATCATTTAATGGAATATGAGCAAGAAATGAAACTGAAATCATAAACATATTATAACCTACCTGTACAAGCATGGCGGCAAAGAAATAAAGTTTGACACTTCTAAAAATTAAAGCCATACACAATTCATGCAAAATGGCAGAAGTGAGGAATGTGAAGAACACTGAAATAGTTTTAGATCCACCACTTCCGAGTGACTTGAAGTAAATGTGACGAAGCAGCCATTGATGTACTGGTAGATTCCAATTCTTCCAGCTATTTGTTTTGAATCATGAGACCATTCCAAAATTGAATTTGTTAATAATTTCAATGTTGAGCTCTTAAAATACTTACAAGGCTTGAAAATCTTGACAATTCCACCAATCCAAGAAAAATCTTCGATCGCCAAATCTTGTGATCTCTGCAAGTATGTTCAAATAACAATGGAAGAAAGCAAAGCTGATAATAAGCCATGTCAAAAACCAAGGGAAGCTAACTTTAAGCATCAGATAACAAAATTTGCCTAAATTTGAAAAGTAATTGGATTGTGCTACTGTTGATTGTTGCTTGAAAATATTGAACACTTGTTGTGAGGGGCTTGTAGCATTCTTCTCGAAGAGTTTGGATATATACTCGATACTTGGAGGTTGAATGTTAAGTGTGGCGCTAGCTCTAAAAATTGGTTCCAAATATTGAATAAATATGATCCATGCAACTGCTCCACAAAGTACTAAATACACACATTGTTTCACAATGAAGGAAATGCGCACAGTCTTGGACATTGGATAGTTTCTGAAAAAACAAAGAGTAGGTACAAATAAGAAATAGCAATATTCCTTCCAAAAACTGATTGGAGTTGTTGGAAGATGAATATTTCTTTCGTCATCGCTATCAGGATTCACTTTGAGTGGAGCAGTTGTGAAGAATCTTCTCTTTGTATATTGATAATAACTGAAACCCTTCATCACGTAAATCATCATTGTGAACACCATCACCAAATTCACCATTAATGAGAGTCGTTTCAAGAAAATGGTCATTACAAAGAGTCCAATATATGCAAATGTTAATAAATAGTAAATGATCTGTTCGACAAGCTTTAGAAAAGTTGCCAAAACGTTGGTATTGTCCATGTTTTTTCCTCCCACTCTCTCAACTATATACATTCCAATACAACTATTCAAATACAATGCACAATTATACGACACGGTAAACACTAACACATCTACAAATGATCGCTTAATCAACTCGTCAGATATACAAAACAATAAAGCGAAATTCGGGATCAATAAACCTCTCTCTGTGAGATTATCAATCATCACTCTTAAAGTCATTGCAGTAAGAAATATTAATCCTAAATTTAGGAAGCCATCAAACGAAACCTTCTTTTTGGATTCCGTCTTTTTCTGAATATTTACAATATCTTGTTCGGAATCCGAGGTTTCTTCTTCATCGTCTTGATCATCCTCAATAGTGAGTAATGAAGGCCTCTCCTTGAAAAAGTCTTCCACGCTCACGATCACTGGTGTTGCCCTTCTTTTTTGATCCGATAATGATCCTTGTATTACATTCTTATTTACAAATGATGTTGTTGTCGAGGAGCCTTCGGAGGTGTTTGTTTGGCCTTGTTTGATTTCAATCGGAGAAATCTCAATGTTCTTCTTCTTGTCTTGTCTTGGATGATCCATATTGTGGTGGTTTGGGTGGTGATTTCTTGAAGGATTCATTTCTCTTTGATCTCCACTTTGATCTCCACTGTTGCTTGCTGTGGTGGGAGTTGTTGTTGATGATGACAAGGGCGAAGAAGGAGAACTTCCTTTCTTTCTCGCCATTTTTTGTGCTTCTTTCGTTGATGAATTTGACCCAAATTGGAAATGGCCACATGAAAAACCTTAATGAATGGTGCTTTATAGGGACGGATCAGTAAGAAATTCAAATGTTTAATTTCATATTGTCCTTTTATTGATATTTGAAATTCATGGCCTGTGATGACATTGATGTATGCAGCATGTCAAAATTTTGACAAGGTCATGTCACATTTTAACATTTTAAAATTTCATGCTTTCACTGCAAGCCCAAATCATATTTAATAGCCTCAAAGAAAACCTTCCCAAATCTTCCTTGAAGTGTTTGTTCCGAATTGTCGAAAGCAAGCTTTTTGTAATAGATAGACTTGTTTGAACAAGGTCCATACGAATGACAATATTGATACAAGAGATGATCAGACTTCAAGCTCTCGATACTCTCTTCTTGATTGGTCGAAGAATAGACATTGGCACTGGCAGTTACATACATGCCTTTCGTAGCGAGTGAACGAATAGAATCTTGGTCACTGATGGAGAAAATTTCAATTTTTAGATATTGCGTTGGAGTGGAAGGATCCGAGAAAAGATGAACCTCTCGATTGGCTCCAAGTGAATAGGGTGTAGGAAGAGATTGGGCAATGTAAATTCCTTCTGGTTGTTTGACTTGGGTTGTTTTGAATGGCCACATTTTTTTGTCTCATCTTGTTCTTCCAAGTTCATGACAAGATGGAGCTCCGTAGAAATATTTCAAGTTCAATTTATTACATAGTATAGGAAAATGATCGATATAGTTGTGTGTGACAATTATTCTGCAAAATCACAAACAAAATGGTGATATTGTTTGGTAACTCAAAGAGCAAGCACAAACATAAATTCCGAAACGATTGCATAGTCGATTGTGATTCCATTCATGATGAAAATGCAACTCTAACTGATTATACACTTGGGAATTTAGCAATAGCATCCATCATCAGCATCATTGATATGCCACCTTACAACATCTAAATATGATAATCTTAAATGCAAGATTAATCCTTCATTTGTGACCACATGTCGCAGTACATACACAAGTCCACATCCACCTCCGCAAGTATGTTGTGGTCTCCGCAATTTAATAATAAATACATAAATCATCAACTTTACTATTGATCCACAATATTAGTATCTTCATTGATGTTCTAATCGTTCATATCATGTGTTTTCTCATAATTACAGTTTGTACAATATTTAAATTCCAAATCATCGTATTACCAATTATTTGGAGGTGGGTGTTGTTGACCCACATCAGGTCTCCTTCTTGGTTCCATATTTCCTCCGTCTCCTCCTCTATCACCTCCAGAATAATTAATTGGAGGACTTGATGAATGATCCAATCTATTTTCTTGTTGATGTGGTGGACTAAAATTTCTTCCTCCTCTATATCCTCCTCTGTAATGATGTGGTGGAGGTCCTCTTCCATATGGTTCGTATCGATGTGACACGCCACTTCCATAGTATGGTCTTTCTCTTCCATTATAAGGATAATGATGTGAAGGAGGAGGATAATGATGTGGTGGCTCATGATGTGGAGGATGATAATTTGCTGGAGGTGGGCCATTATCTAATGGAGGCACCATTCCATATGGTAGAGGATTGTATGGAGGTGATCTTCGTTCATATCCTCCATGAGGTGGTCCACCATGATACACTCCTCCGCCACGATATCCTCCTCTCCTCATTGGTGGTGGACCATCAAATCTTCTTCCAACAACATTATTATGAAATCCACGTCCTCTATATCTTCCTTTCATTCCTCCTTTACTTGGTGGTATTCCTAACTCCTTCTTTTTTTCCTTTCCAATGTCATAATCCACTCTCCACGATAAACCCTCTTGTGGGGGTTGATCTCCAATAAATCCTGCTTTAACGGCTTCAAAGGCCTTCTCCGTACTTTCTCTTGTTTGAAAAGTAATAAAACAATAACCTAATGGTTGTCCTCCAGAATATCCAACCTTTACATCCGCAACTTCTCCAAAACGATCAAATACTCTCTTCAAGTCAGCATCATTGTAGTGAAAGGGAATTCCTCCAAGCCATAGTGTTTTAGTTTCCTTTCTAGCTTGTTCCAATGCTTCCGCACTATTAAAGTTTCATTGTTGTTGAGTAAACATCCATAAACGAAACCGCCATCATCATTTAATGACAATAATTCAATGTTGCAAACATCCAATCGTTATCAAATAATCAAAAAACACAATTTCAAAATAATTGTATTAAACCATCAACTTTATACGTGATGACTTACCTTGGCGGAGGTCTATTTTGAAACTCTGAATTTCCTTCCATTGGTGGTTCCCTTTGATGATATGGTGGTGATTGTTCTCCTCCATATCCTCTTGGTGAAAGAGGCCGAGTGTTTTGCTCCATGTCCAATCTTGCATCTTGGGGATGATGGTATTGGCTTGGAGATGTTGGATGACCGTCTGAGGGCTTTTCAAGAGTTACCGAACAAGACGCGATCCGACGAAGGAAATTCAAATGATAGATACCAACGTGATTAACGACTTCCAAGGCGAAACGAAAGACTCTACGTACCATTATTTTTTTTGTAATGTTTTTGATTTTTTAGTTTTCTTGTTGAACTTTTTATTGTGATCCATTCTTGACAAAACAAGAAACACAAGTGTCCAGTAAAGCAAAATACCATGGAATAACAATATTAAAATGGGGAATAACCTTGGAACTACTCTCAAAATATGGGAGGAATCGTTTAGTAAAAAAAGGGAGCGATTTTAGGGATAATTTTCTTGGTAAGTCGCTCTTTGTTCCCACAATAATAATTTCACATTGTGGAGATACTCTTTTAACATCTCTGATCCATGATGGTAAGTTCTTATAGGAGCATCGACTGGTCAGTTCAAATGCAATAATTGCATATTTTGCATTCACATAATAGCCGTCTCTAAGCGAACCAAATTTTTCAGGACCAGCTAAAGTTATCATGTCAATGAGAAATATTTCAAACATTAGTTTTGGACTAATTCGTGAAGAAGAACTTACCCGTGTCCCATAGAGTCATTTTGATACTACGACGAGTATTAGAGTCTTCACTTATGGGAGCAATGGTGAACGTAAAGTTATATGTTTCTGCTCCAATGGTAGGGATATATTTTTGGGATAGGTCAAAATTTGTGTCACTTAATGATTTACAAAATGTTGTCTTTCCAATACCCCCATCGCCAATGATTAATGTTTTGATATTGTCAATATGAGTTGAAAGATCGATGAGTTGGTTTTTGTGAGAGAATATTTGACTGACCAATGATATCATTTGGGAGTTTTCAGTGTCTGTCTTTTGGGGAACACACTGTGTAAAGTGTGAGAAATAGAATTTAAGGCATTCCATTTCGTGTGTAAAAATCTTTGTGTACATGTTGGAACTATCAATGACGTTCATTGTAGAAAGATTATTTGCTGTGTTGCATTTAGCCATTTCAATAATTCCAACTTGGGCCCACTGAGCATTAAATTTCATAACTAAATCCAATATATAAATTTTCAAACAGTACTTCAAAACGTTAGGTGAAATTAGATCAATCAACAACCTATGATTTTCTTTCAATTCTTCCTCTTCTGAATCATTCATCTTGAATTGAGATTGACATGCTTTTAGCATTCCATAAGTAAATTGATCATAATTAAACCATGAGCTAGCCGAGGTAGTTGAGGATGAAAAAGATGAGGAACTCTCTGAACTCATTTTCTCCCACTGTTTCATCTTTCTCATGATCCACTCATTAGCAATATCACATCTCCAAAATTTACATGTTCTTCCGATTCCAAACACAACATCCACAAGTGAAAGATATTCCAACACTCCAAACATCCACACCTCTTTGGGCAATTTCAAACAAGTGATACTCTCATCGTTCGATATGATCATTCTCTCGCAGGATCCTTCCGAATCAATTGCAATCAAAGTGTGTTGTTGCTGAAATTTTTTTGAGAGAATCTTGTCTTGTCGCTTTTTGCATTTTTTATGAAAATTTTTGAATTCCTTTTGATGGAATTTGAAAGGATTCAAAGCTTGAGAGTTTAAATCAATTGATTGTGCGTGGAGAGACTGTTCTCGCCTCTCAAAACAGTTTTTTAAAGATGAGAAGATGGATATGTAGACTCTCATTCAAATGATAATCAAAAGCTTTCTTTTCATGATAAGATTACTTGTAGTTCTTTTGGTCAACGACACTGATTGTATATTGGTTGAAGATGAAAGGTTTTGATTCGACATGATGTGCATGACTTTTCATGATGGAATTATCAACTGGCAATGAAACCTCAATTTTGAATTAATGAGGGTAAAATTACCCTCATCTCTTTGATTTTCCTTTTAAAGAAAATTACAAGTCTCGACAGCTCATGATTGCAGCTTCCAATCAGAGATATTTCACATTCTTTTGTTACAAAGATTACAAGTAAATTAGTTTCAATTCACGCACAAAAGGGCAATCTCTCGCAGATCTTCAAAGATAGCGAAAAAGGACAAACCCACATGGTAACGAAGAACAAAATTAGAGATAGAAATGAACCTATTGAGACACCTTTTACCATGTTGTCTACTGTAATGAGTCAAGAGATCCATCAACGACCATTTTGAGTGTTTTTACACACAAGTAGATGCAAATTCTCTTTCCATCACTCAAAAAACAAACTCTCAAGAGCATCTTCTCTGTTGTGCGGCCACCCATTCTGGCAATTTCAAAGGCCTTTATAACATACCACATTACTTATTCCAAAAACATCACGACAAATGGTCAAAGTTCAACCTGTACAGTCTGCAAGTCAATCTGAAAAGCCGGCCACATTCGAATCCAACAAACAATCGAGTGAGTTCTTTTCAGATGGAGTTTCCAACTCCTCCTCGGAGGATGAGAGTCTTCTTCTCGAAGGAAACAAAAAGAGTCGTCCCTTCTTGCTGAGAATGCTTCTTAGTGTCCGTCTCTTCCTCATTGTGGTCATTACCATGGTGGTCGTGTTGACAGCTCTCTCCATTTGGGTGTCAGCCTTCACCGTGAATGAACAAACAGCATTGGAACAAGTCAATGTCATCATTTCGAATATGAATGAAAAGATTTCTGGTTTTCTTCAAAGTCAATTGTTACCAGCCAAACAAGTGGCACAACTCATCGCTGATGATTATCATAACTTTAAGATTGATCATGATCCTTCCATTCGAAATTATTTGTTTTCAAAGGTCAAGTTGTTTGGTGTCACGAATACCAATCTATGCTTTGGAGATGGATCCAACAACCAAATGTTTGCCTACAGTGTCAATGTTGATAATTCACTCGTTTGGGGTGTCAAACTTCAACAAAGTACTCGTTTCATAATTTCGAAAGCAAACAATGAAACTGGTGAAGTGTATTACGATCAAGTCTTGACTAATATTTCTTATGTGATCAGTAATACGGACTATTATAAGGAATCGATTCGTATCACTCAAGAGTATCCAACTGGTGCTTTTGGAGCTCCATACAAAGTTCTTGGAGGACCTCAATCCACTTTTTTTTCAGTTCCAGTGTTCAATCGAACAGATTTGTTGAATGGAATCAAAAATCGAGTGGGTTTTGCCAAGATTAACATTTCTCTTGCAACAATTGCTCAATTTTTGAAGAATATCAAAGTCTTAACACGAGGTTATGTCATTATTTCCGAATTTGGAAATAACTTTGTCATTGGAAGCAACTTGGCCATTGATGGCATTGATGCCACTCGTGTGAAAGCCACCGACATTACCACTCGTAATGCCGGCTCTATCATGAACAAGCTGTTACAACAAATTGGTGACTCTTTGGATCCATTCATTCTCAAAATGGAAAGTAATGGAACCAATTATTTAGTCTCATCCACACCTTTCGTTTACACCAATTTGAAATGGCGAATGACTCTAGTTTTTGAAGAGAATGAAATCAAGAAGGGAATTATCACGAGTAGTTACGTCATTCTTGGAGTAACTTTGGGAGTGACTGCATTGGGAATCTTGATTAGTGTTGCGATTGGTTGGATAGTGACGAATCCGTTCATGAACCTACAGGAAGACTTTAAAAAGATTGAAATGCTTGATTTGGCGAATATCAAAGAAAGAAGTGCGTTCTTTAGTGAAGAGAAGAGTATCTATTCAAGCTTGACGGAGACTGTCAAATGGTTGAGTGAATTTAGGGCCTTTTTGCCAGACTCTGTGTTGAATCAACTCGAGAATACCAAAGTACAGAAAGAAATGCGACCAGAAACGAGCAAGAAAGAAGATGTCAAAAGTCAACAACAGACTTCTCAAGGCACCTCCTTTCGAAGTAAGGAAAGTTCGAACCAGGGAATAGACCACTCCAACAGTGGAATGGGATCCCAACACCAAACGTCTTCACACATGAAAACAGATTCCAAATCATTATTCAAGATTGGACTTTCATCGAAGGATTTAGTCACTCTTGTTCACATTTCAATTCCAAATTTATTAGAAAAGAACTATCCATTCGATGCCTTGAACTCGATTACTTCCAAATGTTTAACCTCTGTTTCGACTATTTGTAAAACATGTCGTGCAGATGTACAAATTAAGAGTTATGACGAATTTGTGGTAATATTTAATGATAAGTCACCCTGTCTGACAGCACTTGACACTTGTTTGAAATTGAAAGTGGCATTGGAATCGTTGAATAATTATCTCACTAAAGAAGGATTGAATCCATTACAAGTGTGTATGGGAGTTTCAAGTGGAGAGTGTCTGATCGGTAATATTGGTAACAAGCAGGTAAGTGGTGACATTTTTTACCTTTTTCTGAATTTCATTCATTCCACATGAAAAACTAATACATACTACATATCAATCGTACTAGATGAGATATTTTGCTCAGATTGGTGAAATTGTCAATACTGCGAAAAACTTGAGTGTCTTGGCCAATTTTGTAAATCTTCAAATCTTACTCGACGCAAGAACCTATCAACTCACCAAGAATTCTTTTGTGTTTCGACCCGTGGAACGTATCATGAATTCATCCAAGAAATGTATCGACACGGTTTATCAACTCATTCAGAAAAACCATGTGGCAGACGATGAATGGATGTATGAACTTGAAACCAAGCAACATTATGCTAAATTTGAACAATTTTCCACTCATTTCTGTAAATTATTTGATGACTCTCCACTAGATAAAGAGGAAGCCAATGAGGTGAAAAATTTCATTTCCAATTTGTGTGAAAAGTCTCCTGAAGATTTGGTCTTGCAAAGAATGAGCAAATTGATTGAAAAAAACTCAACCAACAATGGTCCATTGAATCAATTGTCAAGTTATTATACAAATATTTCAACGAATGTGACAAGTTATGTCCAGGGAGAAGTGGTACCTCTTGATGATTGATTTTACAAAACGCGAAAAATTGTTTGTGGAACTTGAGAATATTCTTGCTTTTGCTAACATTAACAGTTTGAGAAGTGTGTTGTAGTCGTATCAAGGTTCAATGCGAGTGCATCTTGAATGTAGTTTCTTGCATGACAGATGTCAAACTCTAAAGATCAAGGTTCGACAAAAAGGGTTCTAAATCGATCTTTGAATACCCAAACTCTAAATCTGAATAATATCGAATGAATGATTATTTTAGATTTATCTCACCTTTATTTACACTCACCACTTTGAACAAAGCGCTGACCTCAAAAGCTTTTGAGGTGTGAAAGCGATCTGTCACGTGTATCGATAGAATTTGGCGACAAGCGACTTGTGTTTCCAATCTCATCGGTTAAAAGTAAGCCCTTCATCATGAAGAGTCTTCCCCAAGCTTTGTTTTTCCTTTTTGACCACTCAGAAAAATGACTCGTTGACTTTTTGGTGACAAATCACTCTTTTGAAAAAATCCTCCATTCCTAACAAATGACTTCAATCTCTCTCTAGTCACACGTGAATGTGTGGCCATTTCTCAAATTTAACCGAACCCAAAATATACAAATCAGAGCCAACCCACGAAGAAAAAAACCACGCAATAGATGTCGTCGTCCTTGTTGTTGATGTTGTTGTGTGATTATAGCCAAAGAAGAAGCGCTCGCACAACTCTTCCTCATGATGATGTGACCAAACCTTCCTCTGAAAAACAGATTCAGAATCATCATGATCCGTACATGGAAACCACATCCAACAACCTCGACAGAAAGGTATCCACACTCTCTTCCAATCACAACAACAATACTTCTTATTCATCATCACCTCCATCCGATCCACATCTGAGAATATCCCATTGCTTCCAAAACAATGACCAAAGATCATTGTTGAATCACAACCTTAACCACAACCTCTCGCATGTGGAAGTCTCTTCGAGAAGGATCACCTTCTTTCAAAGCTCCTCGATGAGTGCACCACCATGTGCATCCAATCACTTGTTGAATGTGCCCTCTGGTTCATCACTAATGCGACCAGTAGAGATGTCGAACAACCAACAACAACAACTCCCAAGCTCTGAAATCTCTAATGATGGAATGTCTCCTCCTTGTCCACTTCTTTCTCAACCTTCTATTCATACTCCAAGGTCCAACTTGTCATCTCCTCCTTCCAATTCTCAGTGTTCAAACTCTCCAAATTCCAGAAACAAAATTTCATGCTCTGAAAAGAGACCTTTAAAGTTCTTCGATTATAACAAACGAAAGATTGTCAAAAAGGTGAGAAGAGTGGATCAAGTACAACCCTATGAACATGTCATTCGAATGAAAACAACAATGACAGACAAGGAGAATTCCACACAGTCTTCTTCTGTTGTTTCACCCAACATAATGAATTCGATTGGAATGAAGGATCGGTCCAATACGTCGACCTTGTTGACAGATGCAACCAACAACACGTCACAAAGTGCGACATGTGGTCAACAATCATTGAGAAGAGAGGCGCATTTTCATGAACCATTATTTCATGGATCGAATTCAGTGTTCACCACAACAACAACAAGACAAAGAACTCCACGTTATTCAATTTCAATAAAGGAGTTGCTTAATTAAGATATTTTGTTGAATCTTGGTTTATTCCGCCTTCCATTCTTTCAATAATTCTTTTCATGATTAATGTTGTGTTCTGTAACAGAAAATACCCGTCAGTCTCTTTTCTCCATATGGATCTTCAACCAATTCCACCAGTGAATTCTTTCCTCAATATAAATTTGAATTCATGTTGACAATTCTCAAAGAAATATTTCCAGAATATTCTCATTTGAATTCTTTTGATTATCCACAAAAAGAAATCATGTTGAAACTTGTTCAACATGGAATGTATCACGGATATGTCAGTGATGAACTCAAGAATGATCGAGATATTGTTTTGAGTGAGAATTAATGGTTTTTCACTCTGGTCTTCTAGCCTAAAAGTTTGAGGAATGAATAAAATTTTTAGGAGCAGAGGGAATCGAACCCTCGTCTAAGGAACCACAATCCTTCATTCTACCATTGAACTATGCCCCTTTGCAATAGTGCATATTCCTTTTTATTGTGGTTTGACAGGTTATATATGGAGATATGTGCTCTGAAAAGATCTTGAAAGATCTCTCTTCGATTTGATCTTGAGATCCAGAAGATTTGAAGAATGAGGATTGGAAGTAGGAGATGACAAGTTGGTTTTTGGAGTATGAATAGAAGACTCCCAACAATGATGGAGTTGAGAATGTTGGTATCTTTCTGTCGAGGTCTGTGATCAGATATTGTTCTTTTGGTCACATCTCGTGGAGTTGGATTTGCACTCCTTTGGCGAGAATCATGTAATAAGGACGACGACATCTTGAGCGGTTTTGGGGTTTACTTGATCTGGCCCTGTGTTGGAAATTTTGGGTAACGTCGAAGCCTGGAGGATTTTTTAAAAGAGTCATTTGTCAAGAAAAAGTCCATCATCGCTCAAGTTATATCACTCAAAAGCAAATGTTTGGAGATGATTCAAAAAGGATAAACAAATCTCTTGGGAAGACTCTACATGATGATTGATTTTAACTGATGAGAACACCTTTTTACTTGTTCATGTGAGGAAGGAAGGTTCGCTGTGACAAGAGTTTCACCAACACTTGTCTGAATGTTTCCAACACTAATGGCTTATACAAGACATCATCAAATCCTTGTGACAACAATGTTTCTCTCACTTCCCAAGTATTGGCAGTGATGGCAACAATTGGAATTCTTGTGGAATGTCCTTCTTCACATTTCCTTATTAAGGTACAAGCTTCCTTTCCACTCAATACAGGCATGATACAATCGAGCAACACAAGGTCATACGATTTTTGTTGATACTTTTCAAAGCATTCCTTTCCATCGTTGGACACATCAATATTTTGAAATCCAATGATTTGAAGCATTTTCACCAAAACCTTTCGATTCACGGCATTGTCATCAGCGATGAGAACTGAGAACTTGCTGAAATCAGGATTCGTCGGCACGCATGGAAACTGAGGATGACAAGTGTTATTATGATTTATATTGGTCAAGAGATGGTGGCCACTGGCAATTTCAATAGAGGGTGAAAAGAGTGGAGAATTAGTTGGAGCTTGCACGACAGAGGGATGTCCATTTTCAGCTGGAGTTGTGACAAAATGATGGACGTTGAGTCGAGTTTGAACTTGGGGAGATTGATCCAAAGAAGATGATAAAGAGGAGACTGTGAGATCAAGACTTGGAGACTTTTCAAGACGTTGATGATGCAGAAAGGAATCATCATTCGAGGTGTGAAAATGTCGGAACATGTGGTCCGCATGTTGAAAGATTTCAAGCAAGTCTGAATAGCGAAGAGGTTTTGAGAGACATCTGACGTTGGTGGAGAATTGTTTCATGGATCCTCGAAATCTTGTTGGAATGATTTGGAGATGACATTCATCCATTTGGAAAAATTGGCATTTTCGTGCAGTATCGTATTCATTCTCGTCAATAAACACCATGGAAGTAATTGTAGAGTCCAACACTGATGGAAGGCTTCCAGATTTCAATTCAGTTTGAAAAGATTTCAAATCATTGAATTCCTTAATCGCCACATATGGAAATGTTGGTTTCAAAAGAGCCAAATAATCTTTCAAAACTTCCTTAAAGCAATAATCAGGATCAATGATGAAAATATTGCAAAGAGGTCGATCTCTTTGTTCGATAGGAGTGCTTAATTGTCCCTTTTCATCATAATGTTCCATTCGATTCAATAATAAATCATTGTGTGGTGAACCACTCGAGTCACTATGGATCTTCTTGGAACCCTCTTGCTCTTCAGTGACCATTTCTAGTGGCAGAATAATTGTGAACACAGTTCCACCTTGATGAGGACAACTCTCTACACTGATAATGCCATGCATTTTGCTTACTAACATTTTGGAAATGCTTAAACCAAGACCCGTACGTTTCGTATGGATCACACTACTCCCACCATCGTCCAACTTTAGAATGGATCGATTGTTTTTAAAGTAGTGTTCGAAGCCGAAAGAGGTTTCTTCTTCATTGTCAGTGGGAATAATACGATAGGGTTGAAAGATGTTTTGCATTTGACTTTGTGTAATTCCACAACCTGTGTCAATGCATTCAATTTTGACAAAGACCATGTTCTTGTTCTTCGGAACATTCATGAGAAGGTTACTTGAAATTTCCTGTAACTCTTGCGAGTCTTCTTTCAGAACGTCACAATTCACTCTCACAAATCCTTTTTTAGTGTACTTGATGGCATTGGACACAATATTCATCAAAATTTGAGAAATTCTGACCGAGTCTCCTTTCAGCAAGGGAGGAACTTTAATGGCATTGCAAAAGGCATTCAAGGAAATTCTCTTTTCTTGAGCTAAATGAGAGAAAGCACCGACTAACGAATCAGTCAAATTGATCAATGAGAATTCTTCATTCTTAAGAACTATTTTATCCATTTCTAAGGAAGTCAATTGCAACGATGAAGACAAGATGTGAAGTAATAAGGTTGCATTCTCCTTAATGTCTTGCATTGTCTCTGCAATGGCGGAATTGTTCAATAAACAATGTTCACATCCATGTGAGCACTTTTCAGCATGAAAATGATGACTCAATACTTGGAGACTTCCTAAAATGCAATGAATGGGATTTCGAGCTTCATGACTCAAGTTGGCAATGAATTTTGTCTTTTCAAAGTTTTTCACCTTTTCTCGGGTGATCTCAACTTGTTGTCGAGTGTATTCTTGATTGGTTTGGATAAGAGATTCAGAGAAGAGGTAACCCCCAAGCATGACACTAATTTGTAAGACAAATATTTCAATTAACCTAATCAAGACAGAATTTCTTAATTGGTTAAGAGATGTTGGATTGAGAGGATAAAGCCAAGTCTTTTCTGATAAAGCACTTTGAAGGAAGGATTGTATGAAATAGGCAATAAACATGGATGCACTCGTGCCGAGCACAAGGAACAATCCTGCGAAGATCAAGAGTCGAATATTAAAGCAAAAGTTTTTCGAGACGATGAGAATTTTGAAAGTAGTGAGTAAATACATTGGAAACATGCATCCATAGTAAAGTTGAAGAGGAATCTGCGCCATGAGCACTAAGACTAATTTCGTGAATTGCCATCGAATAAAACTTTGAAGAGTTTCCTTTCGAATTTCATTGATGGCAATCTGTAAGAAGATTTCAAAGAGGGCAATCGCAAGAAACACAAGACAACCTTTTCCCTCGCAACAACATAATGAAATGAAGAGAATGGGAATGACGGAAAGCATTGCTCCGATCTTGCTATGATTCTTTCCTTGTTTGAGTAAATGAGTGAGGAGAATTTCATCTGGAATGTTATGTAAATCGGAAGAAGAAGAACAAGAGGAGAGGAACGAACTACTGGATGGAGACGGCGATGATGTGGAATCTTTAGGATGAAAAGATGGAAATGAAATGGAAGCTCGTCGTTGTGTGGAAGCAAAATGTGGATGAGAGGGAGAGACTGTTGTTAACACGGATCCGGAGGAGGTTGACAAGGTGTTGTTATTGCTGGTGTTTGTTTTGACGGGAGGAGATTTCATTTCAGACGGCGATTGTGATGAAAGAGAGGACTTTGGATGGGAACGATTCATGGTGTGGCAACTGCGTTGTTGTTGACCATTCATTGACATGTGGTTGTTTGAACTAGCAATGAATGAATTGCAACTCATTAAGATGGATGAAAAACAGAAAAAAACGTCAAAAAAGGGATTCCATCCACCGATGGAAGAAGAGAGCTCTGATCGTCAAAGTGCGTAAATTGATGGAAAGGCGAGCTCCTACAAAGGAAAAAAGTTGTGGTTGTAAGGTGGTCGTTTTTTTTGAATGGTTGAAATGGATTGGGTTTAACCGGCTGGATTGGACAAGTGTCCAAGTGTAGACACGTTTATTGTTCTTGTGGTGGTTGAAGGTTAAAACAGCGCCATGGCTTTGGGCATCCGTTCCTTTCCTTTTTTGGTTTTGTCCTTAGTTGAATATATCATCACATGATACCTGTGATACTACTGTTTTCAAAAAACTTGGCCATTCGTATCCACAATACGAAAGTGCACCGAAAAAGGTATCTTGTGATGATTTTAGAAGTCCTTTCGCATACATGTTGGATAAACATACCTCCTGATTAATTATTTGTTGCTAAAGATTCTCAAAACGGGTGAGTAAAGGAGGATAACACTTTTTCCAAGTCAGGGTTTGTGTCCTAAAGTTTACATTCATGAAAAGGGATAACATAAAGTCATGCGCTCTGAATGGGTTATTATGTAGTGTGTCTTGTTCTCGATTAGTTGTTGGAATTGAATCTCATTCAGAATGGTGAGTGGACTAATTTTCTTTGTGACTATGAATCTACACTCTGGTTTTGGTGACAATGGGTATTCATGTAAAAATGTTGTTGTTTGTATACAAGATTGTATGGCACTAAGGCATGCATGGAGTTTCATGATAATTTCCGTCGAATCTTTGGTTTCCCATTGTCATCCGTGAAAACAACACAAACAAGGACAGGAACCGATCCTTACATAACTGGAGCTCCCCGACCAATTTGGAAACTAGCCAAAAGATAATATTCAAAGAAATTGATATTCTGCAGGATCTCTAAATAACCGTCGTGTTCATACTGGTATTGTGTCCTTCAATCGAACTTATTGAAGTTTGAGATAATTGGCGAAATGGTATCACCTTGTTGTCGTCTAAATTCATATCCACATTTTGGTGAATATTCACCGCATGAATATTCGATTGGTTGGTGTCACTTTGAGTCTTGTCCATTGCCATTGACGAATCTTCATGGCTGTCACCAGCATGGGAACTCATTTGGCTATCATCCATTTCGTCACATCGTTTTTCTGGAATTAAAACTGTAGAGCTGTTAGAAGGAGAGGAGACAGGTGTGATTGGCGAACTTGCAACCATCGTAGCGCTATCACTACTGGATCCATTCGATGAGGGTATGATCACGTTTGAAATGAGACGATTGGTCGTTGTTTCATGAAGGGCATTCATGAGATGTTTTTGACGTTTTTCAATCTCCATGATGGCTCGATCTGTACCACCAAACATTGGATAAAACAAACACAACACAAGGACCGCAAATACGAGAACTCCTAGACAATTCACAAAATGCCAAAGGGATTTGAAATTTTCAAAATCGTTAATACTTTGAGAAAGTGCCACAGCGACCATTTCCAAAAAGACACAAATAATTAAACCCAAAAGTAACCCAAAAGTAATCTTAAAGGGAGACTGAACTCGTTTTTCAAAGTTTTTAAAATCAGATGAAAAGCTTGAAATTCTTGAGAGTTGAGCAGATTTAGCGACCTCTCGAGTTGTTTCCTTGATGGTTCTAATCACTAAAACGCCAGATGTCACAGCCATCACCGTATCAAATAAAAGCATTCCTAGGACAATCACAATACATCCAACGTACACTCCAATGGCGACTGTTTTGGTGACCATCTCCAGCTTTCTCAAAATATAAAATGTTGTTGCAAGACAAACAATGAGCTCAACTCCAATACAAAATATGACAGTGACGACATTCATTAATATCTCTATTCTTCGGTGTGCAATCTTGGAGATTGCTCGAGTCAATAAAGCAGTTTTCCAGCTGATGTCAACGTCAGATCACAATTAAAGAACTAATTGCTATTCACAAACTTACAACATCTTTTGGACAAAAAACAGAATGACAAACAACGTGACAAAGTTAGTAAACATGAAGAACGTAGCTAAACCTGTCAAAATATTTGTCGCGAGGAAAAAATTCCATGCTACTAATTGTCCACTTTCGGCAATTTGTCTCATCCTTATCGCCATGCTGTCAGCAATCAAACGCACCGTCAAATTAAAACATTGAATTAAAACTTGAATCACCACAAGAGAAAAGAGAATTTTGTGGTTTTTCTTCAATTGTTGTTGTGCTTGTTGTCTTCTCGACACTCGAATGATAAAACCAGCCAAACACATCAAATAGATAATAAAACAACAAATGTACAATGTCGAATTTCCAATAGACATTGATGCAGCCCAAACTGGAAGATAATAATCGACTGTTACGTTAGCAAATTGGTTGCTTTGAAGTGAAGACATTTTTTGTGTCACGTTATCTCCTGTGAGGGAATGAGAAACGTTCTGGTACAATTAGAGCGAAAGGAAAATAGAAACTTGTCAACTCCTTTTCGGGTAGTTCTTTTCTTTATGTCAAATAAATATTATTATATCGAAGACGCATGGAAGAAAAGGTGAATCAATGTTGCGGCTCCCTATTTTCCTTCATACTCTTTCCAAGTTACATATCCTGAACGCCAGAATCAGGGATTGCATCTGTTCTCATTCAATCAATTCTACTGAGTGTCAGACTTCCTCAATTTTTCCAAATATTCTTCGTATTCTTTGAGTGTGGCTAACCCTCCGTCATGATCTTTAACCGCATGAATATTTTGTAATTCATATCCTTTTTCTATCGCTTTTCTTGATTTCTTGTGCAATATCTTGGCTGCATTTTTCATGAATGAGGAGGCTAAGGAAGCTGGAATTTTGCCTCCCATATCTTCAATGCAAATGGATTTGTGAAATATTTCCAAATATATATATATCGTTATTGTGTTTCATGCAATATGTGTGTTTTGAAAATACGCACCTCCAACATCGAAAGCAGCATATCGAACACTTGCTTTTGAATATTTCTCTGCTACGTAAACAAGGTAATGAATCCCTCTCACTGGATTTGTCTTTGCTGGATATTCATGATGGCTTGTGGGCTTCATAATGATGCTATATCGATTGTACTGTCTAGTAGATGGGTCATATTGATCTGGAATAATGGATTTTGCATAAATAAAATCCCTATTCGTGAAAGGAAATGGAAAACTAACTTCGGCGTAGACAATGGAGGTTGGATAAGGAATATCTTTTTCTGGATTCATATGAAAATAATCGACTTGAAATCGTCTCTTATACAAATCATTGAAAAACTTTTGCACATGCTCACCATAAAAAGTGTCTACAATCTCTCTGGCAGTGCCTGGCATTATTCCTGTTTGTGCTAAAATAAATTTAGGAATATCCCTGTTCGTAGTTTTGGAAGGTTGGCTATTGTTGATAGTTATCGAATTTTGGTGAATTGAATTGAAACAATAAATTGGCTCACTGACACATGTTTTCATTCCTACTTTTTCATCCAACGTTTTCCAAGAATTTTCATTGTTCAATGAATGTAATAGCTTTAACACTAATTGATAATCCAACTCGCTCACATAAGGATTCAATTCATCAATAATTGGAAGAACTATTTGATTTGAGGAGGATGCATTCAATTCTTCATTCTCAAATAATTTCGCAATTTTCTCATCAGTGCTTAACTCATCACCACTGTGAACACGTTGATCCTCCTCAGAACTTGAGCTGCTACTACTGGTCACGCTTGATCTTGACAGTGAAATCGGTATTGCGTTTTGATTCCCTAAATCAACACTACTTGTTCTTGTATTGGCAGATGTGGAGAGTTTTTTCGTTCCAAGTTTATCAAGAATGGACGGATTCTTTTTCATTTCCTTATTCAAGAATTTTTTAAACATGTCAGATGCAATAAATCTCGGAAAGTTATCGACTTTCAATTCCACAAAAAGTACATCTTGTATGATATTAAATAAATCATTGGGACATGAAATTAAATCTGCATTGGTGATGGCTTCATTCTTTTCAGAAATTTCTTTCCATCTTTTTAATAATTCCTTTCGATCATTCATTGATAAATTCAATTCGTGTGATGATCCGACCATAATGAATTTGTCGATAATTTCATGAGCGAGCTCAAATCGATTCTTTCCCAGTCGGGTTTTGTTGTATTGTTCAACCGCTTCATAAAAAATGAAAGGCTCTGCGAAGAGTATGATTAACATTTATCGGAATGGCCCATTGCATATGGTGTTATTCGCAACACATGATAATGAATTTAATATTTGATATTCTCAATCATTAATTATTGGATTTTTTGTTTTTTTAAATAGGTCATACCTTCATTCAAACAATCCTTTTTGAGAAAATTTCTGAAAGTTTCTCTTGCTTCATCATGATCAAAAACAGCCTCTATTTTAAATTTATATTGCTTGATGAGTTGCTCCAATGTGCTGCATGGACTTGATGTCACTTCAGCGGAGGTCATGGATGAATTATCTTGGTTGACCATGATGCCGTCGATCCAACAACTGAAATATTTTTTGTTGCCGTGGATTCGCTTTTTTGATAAATTTGGAAGGGACTCTGGGAGAAAAAGCATGTGATAAATGATTCAATGGGATGCGATCGAATGATGTTACAAAATTTTGTATAAAACTGTGAAATAATGATGAAATCATGCTCATAGATCTCATTCGAAAATGACGTTCTTCTATAAATGACTATTTACCTCAAACATGAAGTACAACCACTCAATGTGAAAATCCATCAAAAAGACCGACTTCATCAGAATCATGAATTGGTAAGAATCGTTTACACGTCCCAATAACGACAGTTATGGGTGGTATACGATGTATTGATTGAATTGAAATAATAATAATCTAAATTTAAAAAAATACATTTATCAACTTATTTAATACATGTGATGATTCACAATGATGATGACGTTTTTCAGATCGGAATTTCTTGTACGTGTTGTTGATCAAAGGAAATAATGTTTTCTTATCCTTCATGGGGTAATTCGATATAGTAGGAATTAAACTATATCTAACAGTATACTGATTTGAATATAGTTTAATTCCAACTATAGGCCATCCTCATGTCAATTATAAAACACCGGAATAAACGAGTATCATCATCAAACGAAACAAATACAAAAAACATATTTCTGAACAAGATGCAAGAAGAACCCACTGCTGTTATTACCATTGATGATTATCAAGTGGAGTGGCCCATTCATAGAAATCGCTTCTATCAAGAAAACAGCGTTTTGGGAATGATAGAGTATTGGTGTTCTAAGACTCCTCAAAATCCCTGCATTGAAAGAACATTCGTTCCTGGAGAAACTGTTCATTCAAACGTTTCCAAACAGTTGAATTACGAAGAATTTAAAAGAGCAATTCTATTGACAAGAAGATTGTTACATGACAAGATTGGAGCAAAGATCGCAAAAGGTTCATGTGTTGCTTTACTTCATGAAAATTCCCTCGTTTATTCGGTCATTGTTTTTGCTTTATTTTCACTGGGTTATATTGTTTTTCCGGTGAATCACAAATTGACCACTAAGGTGGTTTCAAAACTATTAGAGTTAGGCCAAGTGCAATGTGTGAGCATATCTCCTCATATTTTGCAAAGTATGATTCAAGAATCATCCATAGAGGATGTATTGGATTTGTTCTCAAAATGTGAAACCTACTTGTGGAGCTCAGACATTTCAGAAGAATTACAAGATTTGCAAATACTTCTTAATGATGAAAAATTCTCACAGGTGAAACAATTGATTGAACCTTTGGATATTATGAAGGATATTTCAAACATTATATTGAATAAGACTGACAATACTCTCCAAGATGAAGTATGTTTGGAATATCCTGCCAAGTTCAATGATCCTTCGTTTTATGTCAACACTTCAGGTAGCACAAACATCCCTAAAATTGTTGTGCATTCTCAGAGATCTATCATGTCCAGTTTGCATTATTCCCATAAGTTACACTACTCCAAATTGGAATTTATTGTCAACTTTCTTCCATTATACCATTTAATGGGATTCTATAATTTGTTAACAAGCTTATATCATGGAACTTGCTATATAATGTTCAATAATCCAAAATCAGAAAACATGATCTCAAGTTTATATCATGTACTAAAGCATCATGAGGCAAAGTTGAGTAGAATGAGCATTCCTAGTATGCCCATATTAATGAATCAAATTAAGGAAGAAGTAGAACGAGGAGATGATATTGGAAGAATGTTAATATCTGAGCTTTCAAAAAGTCTATTCGTGACAATGGGAGGAGTATCTACTCCTAATTATCTGATCACCTTTTTACAGGACAATCGTATAAATTGTGTGAATGGTTATGGAATGAGTGAAATAGGAGTTTGTTTAGCCAGTGAAAGATTTACAGGAGCTTTCAAATCAATGAATTGTTTGCTTCCATGTAAATTCTACATTTGGAAAGAACGAGAAGGAGACGCGTTAGAGTTGTACTTGGCCAAAGGTTGTCCAACTTGTGGATTGACATATATTTCTGTTGGAAATTATGCAAAATTCTGGAATGAGGAAGAAGGCAATACCTTTTGCACTCATGATTTGTTTTATGAGTTCCCACGCAATCATTATGTTTATCTATCTAGAGCAGATGATATTCTTTGTCATACAAATGGAGAAATGACAAATCCACAACCTATTGAGGCAGCTGTTAAGGGATTTGACCCATGTATCACTCATGCTGTTATTTTAGGACACAATAGACCCTTCTGTGTGGCAATTTTTGAGACAGATAAAGATAGAGAGCCATCCGATTTTACCAAGATTGTTAGGAAAAAGATTAAGGATCTCAACAAAACACTTCCCATCCATTCAAGACTTTCATTGGACTTTTTGGTTTTGAATAGAAATGAAAAATTGCCTCTCACTGAATTGAAAGGGTTGGTTTCTAGAAAAAAAACAGAACAGATGTATGCTGATAAGATTGAGAATTTATATAATCCACAAAATGTCATTCCACAAAGTCAACCTACCTCAAAACTTGTTGAGCACGTGACCAATAAGCCTCCACCCCTTATTAACCCTCAGGAGTTTATTTCCCTATTGAAGAATCAGGTATTTCCAGAAGTGAAAAATATTGATCTGGATACATCACTTCCAGGATTGGGAATGGATTCTCTATCGCTCATTCAATTTAGAAATTTGCTTTTTAAGAATTATGGTGTAATGCCAAGTGTTGATGAAATTTTTCAACTCGGTACACCTAGACAGATTATTAAGCGTTTACAAAATATTGAAGAGGAGGGTACTAAGGACGAACTGAGTGATATAAGAGAAAAGATAGCCAATGATGTTCAGTTCTTATCGAAAAAGATCGTGAAAGATTGTACAAGTTCTGCTCACCCTCTCAAACATGAATTTATATTTTTAACTGGAGCAACTGGTATGCTTGGTGCTTATGTTATTAATGATTTGGCAAAATTGGAGGAAGTCAAGAAAATTTATTGTCTATGTAGAGGTAATTCAGTTTCGCATGCCGTTGAAAGACTTATGAACAATATGAAGTTGTATAATTTGTGGAACGACTTTACTCTAAACAATAAGGTTCGAGTTATTTTGGGAGATGTTGCAACTGAGAGAATGGGTATCGAAGAATCTATTTATTCAGAACTATTGGAAAATGTGGACGTCATTTATCACATTGGATCGGCTGTTGATTTTGTTCAACCTTATTCGTCCCTTAAAGCTGCAAATGTGGATGGAACATCTAGAGTTATTGAACTTGCCTTGACGAGGAAAATCAAACCTCTTGCTTATATTAGTTCAATATCAGCTGCTCCCAAGAACGAAGATGGCTCGTTAAGAGAGGAAATCATTCAGTTGTCCAAATTGAACCAAAAATTTGGCTATCCACAAACCAAGATAGCTTCTGAGCTCCTCTTGACTGAAGCAAAGCAAAGATTAGGATTGCCAATATTGATATTTCGTCCAGCATTGATTGTTGGAGATGAACCAACAGGTAAAATGCAAAGAGGTTTCCTCGTTGAGAGAATGTTAAAATCTATGCACCGTGTTGGTGTAGCACCCAATTTAGATATTCTTAATAATTTAATTAATGTGGATTATGTGAGCAATATTATTGTATCTGCTGTACGACATGGTTACTTTGATTTGGAAGTAGTACATATCACCAATAGAAATCCACCAAGTCATTCTGATATTTTGTCACATCTCAAAGACCATTTTTCATCCCTGTTTGGACATGTGCAAGAGGGTTCTTGGCAACAGTTCCTTGATGAAATTGCAAAGAAAGATATCAAAGAAGACGGAATGTATCCATTGGTTCAGTGGGCAAGAGAAGGATTTATTGGCGAATTAGATACGGAGAGAAAATTGGTTGTGTCTAGAGAGGCTTTTGAAGAGTCAATACAACACTTTACTGAGGTGAATAATCGTTTGACTGAGATGAGAGGTGTAGAAAGAAAGGAATTAGACGTCTTCAAATTGCTTGGCCGATTAGTTGAGTTTTCTCTAGTGGCTGCAAATGATCAAACAAAGAGTGTTGAAAGCGAATCTTCAATTCGGGAGAACGTAATTGCCGTTTAAGTTCGAATTGCAAATCAAAATACAGTCTGTGATCACTTGCTATTTTGAATTAATAACAGACAATTCAATCCCAACATCAGAAATGATAATGTCTCGATTGCTCTACTGCAATCGATTGACCTTTTTGTTTGCCACCACAATACAACAAGCTTTGTTTCTCATTACGACGATTCATGTGATTCATCGTTGCTATTATCATCTTCATCACTTCTCTTACCACCCAAAGGCACAGGATCAATTTTACAAACTCTTTCAATAATTGCTTCAAAATGTCTCTCAATAGCATCATGATAATCATCACAATCTTCATCGTTCTCGCGGAGAGAATATGATCTCCAATATTTTCTCTTTTCCTGAATTTGACATTTCGCCATATTCATCTTCAAAGTCATCACATTCATGAACAGGAAGTTTGACTTGACAACATTCTGATCTTTTGACGATTTGTTAGCTTTCTTTGTGGATTTCTGTCTTGCAATTCTGATTGGATTGATATTTTTCTCCTCAGTGGTTACAATTCTCTTTCTAATGTTGAGAAATTGTTGATAGTTAATAGAAACTTTAACTTGAACTTCAGCCCAATCTTCGTCATATTCATCACTGTCATAATTTGGAACTAGTTCAGTATATGTGACCACAAGTCGTGTTCAAGACAATAATAATATTGAAATGAATAGCAACAGTTATCAAGATTCAACAAACTCTTTTATTGATAACATTCCAATTAAAACACTGAAAAGAAAGCACAGAAAAACAACAACACCTACCTTTGAAACATAACCACATACTGAGAAGTCACACACAAAAGAAATAGAGAGTTTTCATCTCTACATGATCATCAACCAATAGTATTCATCATCGAGCGTATGTGATGAAGCATCATCAAGATTTAAATGTCTTGGTAAAATTTTGAATGACTCCTTTTTGATGTAGTGATCACGGAGTGAATTTGACCACAATATTGTTGTTGTTGTTATTGTTTAAATCATTCCGAATATAAAGGAGGCATAATTTGAACTTGAACTCTTCACCAAAATTGTTTATCAGTATTTCCAACGTGTGTACATAGTGTGGTGACTTTTTGTGGAGGGAAACTTCATGCTCTCATTCAACAAGAGGAATAATAGGAATGATTCAAAAATTTCATCCAATAACAACGTTGAAATGATGATTGATACGATCTGATCAACTTGATGAGAATTTTCCGACAAGACCATAATCAAGATTACTATTTTCGTATCGAATTAAAATTAATTCTTCGTCATTCTAAGGATATCATCATAAAATGATTGTATCAGTGTGATAATGACAGAGTATTTCATGATGAATCTCGTAACCCTATGTGCGGATGACATTTTTGCTTCTCTCACTGGTGATCGAACATTTCTGAACGGTTTTGTTACTTTTATTACAAAAGCGAATGGTTGTGCTTCGTCATCAATTACTCCAATCAAAACATCTCTTGCAAAATTGAGTGTGTCAGCATGATTTACATCTCCTAACAAACTTGCAAACAAAATTACACTGTGTGTCACTCTCAAGATCTGTTTCGATATTAAGATGATCAGAGGAGTAGAGTTATTCAGCTGATACAATCAGCCATCGATGGTTTCTCGAAGATGTTCATTAAGTGGGACGGCAACCTGTGTTGAATTGTTGTTTCTATATAAGTAATCCAACATCGAACCAAATTACTTTTGATCTTTTGGTTCCAAAAGAAATTAAATGTAAGCAAATTTAACAGGTGCGGAGTTGCAACTGCGACGGCTGCTACTTCGAGCAAAGTTACCATCGCAAAACCGACTGAATCTTTTCTTCGAAGCTAAATGCTTAACGGCCGTGATCATTGTAGGCTCAAAAATCCCAAGACCTTGTTCTGTAATTAGTGGCTCCTCCCCTTTGGGAGCAAAACAGCATGCTGACTTCATTAAACTTCCTCAAGAAATTGTAGTCTTTTGTAGTGCTGAACTCCTTGAATATCTCTCAAGATTGTGTGCCATCTTCATGAACGCAATACATTCCTTTCATGTTCATACACACAAAATAATTGCAAGTATGACTATTTTGGTGAATGGAGATTGATGACACCGCAGATGGTCACCAGGTTTGTAACCAACTTTTTTAAAAATGGAGAGATTCTTAAATATAAAGTACCTGCCGAATCCTGTTGACACCATTTCTAAAAGTATGTGATGTCTCACAGTTCAATCAAACTATTTTCTTCTGTGTTGTAAGTGATAGAGAATGCATGTCACGTTGATGGAGATAAGAAATTAAACAGGAGGAAAATTTCAACCAACAATTATAAAAATATTCAAAACAATGTCCAATATTGTCGAGGTTAAGGGTCTAGTTATGTCCAAGCGCATCGTTTGTATGGTTTATCTTTTGATGTTGGTTTGCCAACTGGCTTTTGCTCAGAAGATGGGTTTTGAGACCGAGTCCAATTCTGCTCGTTTTCAAGGAGGTGTTTCAAATCGACAATTGACAGAAGTTGCATTCAAAGGAAAAAAGGGAGAAGTAAGATTGAGAAAGGTATGTTTGTCAAGACATTGATTTTGAAAACATGGTCGATATTATTGGTGACTTTGGAAACATTACATTAAACATTATAATTGGAAATCCATATTATTATTCAAAACAACAACAATCATAGGGTGACTTGGTGGATCAGGCCCCTGGATATAAACATGGCCAAGTTCCACTCGTCCATCCAACATTTGAAATTATTGATAAAAGCACTCATCCTGTGGAATTTGTGAGTGATCCGATTCCGTTTGAAAGGTAAGTCCTCTTAATCATGTTTCTGATGTCATTGATGATCTCTCCTTTATTGGTATCTTTCTTCTTTATATGAAAACACAGAGGTCTCAACGATATTTGTCGACTCACTAAAGATTTACAGCAAATGCTTGACCTTGTTCGACAACGAGGAACTGAAAACAACATTTTAGACAATTATTTCAGACAACGCGGTTTGGATTTAGAAAATACAAACAATGGAGCATTGGATCAGGCCTTACAAATTACCTTTTCTTTCCCAATTAACAAGGGAATGTTATCATTGAGAGCCCTATCTCGTTTCTTGGCAGCAAGACAAGCAGAGCCAGCTCCACAAAATCAACCCCCATGGTTCAAAGCTGTTGATTATCCATTGTTTAGTCATATCATCACATTCATTGATACTGATCCAGAATTGCGTAACTATCCTGACAATGTCAAGTTCTTCCTCTTTTTCGTACTTCAATATTTCTCATTGGGTTCCCAAGCGAATTGTAATGCTGGACCTTATGCTAAACTCGTTTCAGGAATGGTTCTTCTTCGTACGAATATGTACGAATTTGTGAATCATGGTGGGCAATCATCTGTGCGTAACTTGTTGAAAAATCCACTCGAAAGTGTTGTGGAAGCGTATGAGCGTTTTAGAGCTTACTTTAATCCTATTAGAGGTCATACACCTCAACTCGGAGAATGTGTTTCTCATCCAAAATGCATTGGCCAATGTTTGGGACAATCTAAAACGTATTACTTTGCCAAAACCCACGAATTGAACTCAAAATTTCCATTTTCAGCCAATGAATTCATCCAAAACTTGTTTAGAAATAATGGAAGAGATTTATTCTCTACTAATGGAGAAGATTTCGATAATGCATTTGGAAGATTTGGTGTCAATGTGGGCGGTCAAGCGACTGTCATTTATGAAATTCGATTTTTGAATGGTTTCTCTTATAGTGATTCTCAGCAGTCTGTTTCTGCTTTGCAAAGCAGAATTCCATCATATTTCAATTTAGGAAATGAAATTATGAATCAGAATGATTTACAAAAAATCGATGTTGGAGTAAAGATTTGCAACAATCAACAACAATTGGTTGCATTGCAAGCTCCTCAACAACCACCAGCCCAACAACAACATGCACCAGCTCCTCTTCAACAACAACAACAAATTCACATCATGAGAGAAGATAGAAGAAACGTTAATGAGGCGATCAGAGATCAAAGACAACAAAGAAGAAGTTCTATTTCAAACTTGGCAGGAGCTCCAAATCCAGCGTCAGGTAAACACAAGAAAGTCGGGGCAACTGTTCTTTCCAATGAGGAGCCCAATCACATTAGTATTTTGAGAGAAAAAAGAAGAAGAGTTCGAGTCCAAAAAAGATTCGATCGAGAGTTGAGAAGAACAAAAGAAGCTCAAAAAAATCCTTCTCAAAAACCTACTAAGGCACAAATAAGAAGAGAAGCATTGAGATTAGCAAGAGAAAAGAAGAGATTGGCAAGGGAGGAAGAACGAGATGTTGAAGCTGGTGTGAAACCTGTTACTGATCAAGATTTGAAGCAAATCATTCAAAAACAGAAAGAAAAGAAGAAGGAACATTTTCAACAGACCGTGATACCTGCTGGAGGAATTAGTCACCAAGTGGTAAAGAATGGAAATGATGTTCAAGTTAACATCAAGTTGAGATTGTATGAATGAATTGTATATTGATAACACAAAATTCTTCCATCTCATTAATGACGAGTCATGAATGATCCTAAATAAACGCCATGATAATAATATTGCATTCATTCAATCAATTTTGAGTGTTAATTACAGTGCTGTAACCACTTCATCCCTTACAGTTGGTTGCAAGATGCTGTCAGGCATCTGCAATCAACAGAATTGATTCAACTCTCGACACACTCCTTGGTGTTTGTTTGAGTTGCAAGGTGCCGTCAGGCAGCTGCAACGAATTCGATCTCATCACAATTGTTCAGTTCTAGTCCATGTTTCATTGTGTTGTTGTTGGTGAGTATGTCAATCACATTCATTGCGAGCTAGTGTCAGTGTGTTGTGTGTGTTGTTGGTGTCAATCGAGTTATTTGTGAAGTTGAATTTCATCATGATGAGTCTCCTCCGCTCGTGTGTTCTGTTGTTGATTTCAAGCGGAATCTGTGTGTTGAAGTTGTTCTTGTAACAACAAAATTGGCTCTCTCACATCAACATGTGAGATCAGCGATGATTTATTCATCAGTTAATGTGATCCGATTCTCCCTGCTTTTGAATGGTTTGGACCGCTTTTGACGACTTTGGACAGCTTTTGATCGATTTTTGACGACTCCTCAAAAAAATATTTGCTCTTGTTCGCTCAGCATTCTCCATGAATACACAGCAGGGAAATTCATCACAAAACAATTTTGATTGGTCACAGTTTGGGAATCTAAAAGTATCTTATCTTCCACCATCAACAAAGCGTTTTAGCGTTTTCGATTTACCGCAAGCAGAAAGCGAAGTCCTTTTACAACTTTGTAGAAGATTCGTATTTAGAAGAGAAACAAAAACCGGTTTGTCCTGTTTGTAAAACAGAGATGGGTTATAGTGAAATGTTGCTTCATGTTGCTAAATGTGTTGACTATAGAAAACAGATGTAGGGTTTGGGGTTTGGGTTTGGGGTTTGGGTTTGGGTTTGGGTTTGGGTTTGGGTTTGGGTTTGGGTTTGGGTTTGGGTTTGGGTTTGGGTTTGGGTTTGGGTTTGGGTTTGGGTTTGGGTTTGGGTTTGGGTTTGGGTTTGGGTTTGGGTTTGGGTTTGGGTTTGGGTTTGGGTTTGGGTTTGGGTTTGGGTTTGGGTTTGGGTTTGGGTTTGGGTTTGGGTTTGGGTTTGGGTTTGGGTTTGGGTTTGGGTTTGGGTTTGGGTTTGGGTTTGGGTTTGGGTTTGGGTTTGGGTTTGGGTTTGGGTTTGGGTTTGGGTTTGGGTTTGGGTTTGGGTTTGGGTTTGGGTTTGGGTTTGGGTTTGGGTTTGGGTTTGGGTTTGGGTTTGGGTTTGGGTTTGGGTTTGGGTTTGGGTTTGGGTTTGGGTTTGGGTTTGGGTTTGGGTTTGGGTTTGGGTTTGGGTTTGGGTTTGGGTTTGGGTTTGGGTTTGGGTTTGGGTTTGGGTTTGGGTTTGGGTTTGGGTTTGGGTTTGGGTTTGGGTTTGGGTTTGGGTTTGGGTTTGGGTTTGGGTTTGGGTTTGGGTTTGGGTTTGGGTTTGGGTTTGGGTTTGGGTTTGGGTTTGGGTTTGGGTTTGGGTTTGGGTTTGGGTTTGGGTTTGGGTTTGGGTTTGGGTTTGGGTTTGGGTTTGGGTTTGGGTTTGGGTTTGGGTTTGGGTTTGGGTTTGGGTTTGGGTTTGGGTTTGGGTTTGGGTTTGGGTTTGGGTTTGGGTTTGGGTTTGGGTTTGGGTTTGGGTTTGGGTTTGGGTTTGGGTTTGGGTTTGGGTTTGGGTTTGGGTTTGGGTTTGGGTTTGGGTTTGGGTTTGGGTTTGGGTTTGGGTTTGGGTTTGGGTTTGGGTTTGGGTTTGGGTTTGGGTTTGGGTTTGGGTTTGGGTTTGGGTTTGGGTTTGGGTTTGGGTTTGGGTTTGGGTTTGGGTTTGGGTTTGGGTTTGGGTTTGGGTTTGGGTTTGGGTTTGGGTTTGGGTTTGGGTTTGGGTTTGGGTTTGGGTTTGGGTTTGGGTTTGGGTTTGGGTTTGGGTTTGGGTTTGGGTTTGGGTTTGGGTTTGGGTTTGGGTTTGGGTTTGGGTTTGGGTTTGGGTTTGGGTTTGGGTTTGGGTTTGGGTTTGGGTTTGGGTTTGGGTTTGGGTTTGGGTTTGGGTTTGGGTTTGGGTTTGGGTTTGGGTTTGGGTTTGGGTTTGGGTTTGGGTTTGGGTTTGGGTTTGGGTTTGGGTTTGGGTTTGGGTTTGGGTTTGGGGTTTGGGTTTGGGTTTGGGTTTGGGTTTGGGTTTGGGTTTGGGTTTGGGTTTGGGTTTGGGTTTGGGTTTGGGTTTGGGTTTGGGTTTGGGTTTGGGTTTGGGTTTGGGTTTGGGTTTGGGTTTGGGTTTGGGTTTGGGTTTGGGTTTGGGTTTGGGTTTGGGTTTGGGTTTGGGTTTGGGTTTGGGTTTGGGTTTGGGTTTGGGTTTGGGTTTGGGTTTGGGTTTGGGTTTGGGTTTGGGTTTGGGTTTGGGTTTGGGTTTGGGTTTGGGTTTGGGTTTGGGTTTGGGTTTGGGTTTGGGTTTGGGTTTGGGTTTGGGTTTGGGTTTGGGTTTGGGTTTGGGTTTGGGTTTGGGTTTGGGTTTGGGTTTGGGTTTGGGTTTGGGTTTGGGTTTGGGTTTGGGTTTGGGTTTGGGTTTGGGTTTGGGTTTGGGTTTGGGTTTGGGTTTGGGTTTGGGTTTGGGTTTGGGTTTGGGTTTGGGTTTGGGTTTGGGTTTGGGTTTGGGTTTGGGTTTGGGTTTGGGTTTGGGTTTGGGTTTGGGTTTGGGTTTGGGTTTGGGTTTGGGTTTGGGTTTGGGTTTGGGTTTGGGTTTGGGTTTGGGTTTGGGTTTGGGTTTGGGTTTGGGTTTGGGTTTGGGTTTGGGTTTGGGTTTGGGTTTGGGTTTGGGTTTGGGTTTGGGTTTGGGTTTGGGTTTGGGTTTGGGTTTGGGTTTGGGTTTGGGTTTGGGTTTGGGTTTGGGTTTGGGTTTGGGTTTGGGTTTGGGTTTGGGTTGGGTTTGGGTTTGGGTTTGGGTTTGGGTTT